GCGCTACTACAACAGCAAACATACTCCACATATGTTCCAGCTGAATAAGTACGTGTTGCTAAACGCGAAGAACTTAAGGATGAAGGTGCCGAGTCGAAAGCTAGCTACGAAGTTCATCGGTCCTTTCCGGATTGTCGAGAGGCTTGGCACTTAAGCGTACCGCTTGGAACTACCACCCTCGTACAAGATCCATAACTCCTTCTATATATCTCTCTTGAGACCCTTCTATTAGCGTGCGGGGAGCAAGATGGCGAATGCCGAAGCCCTAGAGCTGGCGCCTAACGGCGACGAGGTCTTCGAAGTTAAGAAGATTCTCGGTAAGAGGAGAAGAGGCGGTAAGACAGAGTACTTGCTGTCATAGAAAGGATATAACTCCGAATGGAATCAATAGATACTAGAGGATGACTTCGATTCTATAGAGGAGTTACTACAGGAGTGGCGAAGTCCACGAAGGAAGCGGAAGAGGTAAGAAGTAGATGCGGTAAGCATGCGGTTACGAATACGGTAACTACCTATACTTTTGGGAAGACTCAAAAAACGCAGCAATACAACCACCCTTTACAATCTAACCTTCCTTTAACCAAACCACCCTGTTAAGAAACTCTCCAAGGAATAAACCAAATTAAGAAAACCCTGCAAAAACTCTAAGAACCCTAGTGAACGCTAAGCACAGCATGCGGTAAGCATGCGTGCTATGTTGTGGCCGAAGCCGATAAGATGCGCTGCTACGTGCAGGCGGACGTTGTGCGGTACGGCCACCACCTAGTTGTCAGGTGCAGTAGGAGTCTTCTAGGCACTGACCTTCTAGGTGAGAAGGGAGAATAGAGTAGGGAGCGCAGTCGGTGAAGCAGACTTGTCGCTAGTAGCTTCCTCCTGCTGCTCGCTAGTAGGAGTGTTAACGGGGCCGGCGACGTTGGTGTCCTCAAGCTAAGGCAAAGCCTCACGATCGCTAGGGATGAGGCTGGCAAGCCAGTTGTAGCGCTCGCGGCGAGTGAGAGCTTGCTGTGCCTCTCCGGCCTGCTCGGCCTCCTCCTTATCCTAACGTGCTGCTTCCATCGACTAGGCGTGAAACACACCACGCAACCCCTCGCGGGCCTCAGTAGCTGACATAGCTTTAGTCTCCTACTCCGTGAACTAGGCTGACGATGCGGCTAATAGCCTGCGAGCATCGTGCGGAGTGAAGTTGTCGAAGTCGGTCACCCTGAAGTTGCGATGGAAAAGGCTCACCAGGCCACCCTCCTCACCTGCGAATGGTGGTGGCGACGGTGATTGCTGGACCATTGCGGCTTTGGCCATCGCGCGTGCGCCATCTATGAGCTAGGCAAAGGTCTGCTTGTTGGACTTCTTACCACTGGACTGCTCGTCTGCGAACCGCGTGCGCTTTGTGGACGACTCCCTAGCTCTTCCGCTGCTCTTACGCTTGTTGCTTGATGTGGTAGCCGGGGTAGTGGGCGGGCGAGAGGGAGTAGTAACGGCGGCGGTGCGGGTGCGGCGGCGATGTAGGGTGGCGAACTCCCTACCGGTGAGGATGGTGGGAGATGGCGGCTGGATCCGAGGCTGAAGAGCGCCCTCTAGGAGTGCGCCGCTCATGCGGTCCTAACCTGCTAGAATGCGAGGGCGGAGGCCGGGGTAGATGCGGCTCGCCATGAACGTGTCGCCAGACACAGAGTTGTCAGACTTACTATCCACACTTAGGTTGTCGATGTCCATAAAGTCTGAATTAGACTCATCCACCTCCTCTGCTGCCACGGCCTTAGTGTTACGTGCGGACCTCCTGCTTAAACGTGAAGGCGTCACAGGATCGCCGCGTGGGGGCAAGTTAGGCCGCATGCCACCTAAGCTAGCGATCTCAGACACACCACCCGAGGTGCGACGGGAAGGGGTGTGCTGGTTAATTGTAGCACGTAGTAACAGGAGCGACGTAGCTAGGACCTCCTTAGTGCGGCTGCGTGTGATGTTCTCCTATTAGAAGTTAGCATGCGGTCCTCTAGGTAGAAGGGTGAGTTACTCACAGCAAAAGCACCTCCTACGCGGCGAGTGTTAGGAGTTTGCGCTAGATGAGTGCTATCACGTATAGCCTCACGATCTGCTGCCAGAGACATATGCTCCTGCACGGAGCGTAGGCGGCGAGTAGGCATGCCGGTGTTGGTGCCCGAGCGGTTGGCGTTTGTTTCAAACTCACGCAGCTCACGAGCGAGTGTGCGCTAGGCCAGACTAACATCTATAGCGGCTTGAAGAACGTCGTTATCGGCTAGCACGCGCTGCGCAGTAACGTTGATAGTGTGGTACTGTACCCAGTACGCCTTGACGAAGCTGTTGCGCAGCTCGGATACTTCAGTAACACGACCGTTGAATCTTGGAGGGAGCTGTCGTAGTCAGCCATCGAATCGCATGCGGGATTTCATTAAGGGCAGCTTACGAGTTCACATCCGGCTCTCTTACTACCAGAATAGTGCCCGCACGCCTTGTAGTCTGGTCGCTCGTAACGACGGCCTACGGCAATGCTCTTAGCACACCTCTTGCAGGTGGAGTATTTAGCCTCAGCATCGGGATCGGCTGCGGCTGCAGACCATTCCTAGATAGAGTTGTCCTCGAACATTAATGATGTAATGCCTAGCAAGTATGACCCCTTAGTGTAAGCACTAGCTATGTTAATTGTTGATTGTTGATTACTACTTATAATTAGGTCATATATCGCCAGCACACCGCATAGGATCCGCAAACCCCTAAACATACCTATGTGTGTAATAGTGCCCTGCTAGTCGCTATATAGGTGTTGTAGATGATATTGTTAACGATTAGAAGGATCTTACGAAGACTATTGATGTAACATTTAAAGTCCGAGTGAGGGTAAGAAGCGGAATCAGGCCTGCTTGTTTCTTAACGCGCGGCGTGTAAATAAACAAACAAGCGCAGGGGCCTCGATGTCCGCTTAACTTACGCGAACAGCTAGCCCTAAGTGTATGTAACTCGCTAAGCACCTGAGCACTCTCGGCAGCTATCCGCAGGGTGACTGAGGCATATTTACAAGGTGAATTCCTAACTTAGGCATAAGTTCAACTATAGTTGCAGTACCACGAACCTACGAGGCACCGCAGGGTGTCCTTATGGTTAAGCTGGGGATCTCTATAGGAGATACCTACGGCAAAGCGAAGCGAAGTGAAGCCTACCTTTTCTACTGCGGGCCTAATAAGGACCTTAGGCGTGAGAGGGGGCGTCTATAAGGTGTCGTACCACATCTACAGTATCCTGCACGTGACCGCAGGGGGACCGCAGGCTGTCTGCAGTCCACTATAGTTACGTAATATGTTCCGGCCCCCCGCAGGGGGTCCGCAGGGTGTCCAATCCGGACACCTAATAGAACATATTAGCTCCCGCATTAAGCGAGGGGGCTAAGGAGAGGAGATAGAGGAAAAGGAAGTAGAGACTTCCTTCTCTTCTACTCCTTAAGTTTACTATCGTTACTATCGTACGAGATATCGCGTGCGTACCGCTAGCGTAGCTAGGGCACGTACGGCGAGTACGCTCTTCGACTTATCCCTACCCTCTTCCTTGCTACAACCCCTTCGCCGTAGCCGTATCCCCTACGTAACTACGCCGGAAACCTTACAGTTATTTTAAAGCTACTATTATAGGGGAGTAGCGTATATATAGGAGCTTACGTAGTATTTAGTAAGTTCGATAAAGGAGCGAGAATCTAGTCTAAGTCCGCGTAAAAGGAGAAGGAGAACGGCTACTCTAGAAGTAGCCGCTAGTACTAGTATACTAGTATATAAGCTAAGGGCTCGCCCTTTATAGCTACTAAACGAAGACTTCCTTTATTACGCTACCTTTAATAATTAGAGCGCCCTCTAGATAACTATTAATAGTAAGTACTAGTAAGACTAAGTACCTATTATACTATCGAGTATCTTTTAGTAATATTACTAGTTAACTATAAGGAGACTAAGTATACCTTTAATAGCTAGTCTTCTTACTATAAGCCGACTTATTATAGAAGACTAGCTAATCTATTAACTACTAAAGTAGCTTATTTAACTAGTTTACTTTTAATAAGATATTACGCTACTTCGCCTCTAATTTAGCTACCTTCTTCGACTAGCTAGTATCCTTTATAACTCTTAAGATATAGCTCTATAAGACGTAGACGCCGAATTTATCGAATAGCGCTAGTACTACCTCGTCTTAGAATAGTATTAGCTATTTAATAAGTAGATTAATTACTTACTAGCTTACTAATTAGTAAGAGCTAGAGGTAATATATAGTAGTAGATACGTACCTTAGACTTAGTTCTAAGTAGTTTACGAGGTTAACTATAACTTTTAGTATATAGTAGATATAGTTAACTATAGAGCGATAAGTTCTAACGAATTCGCTCTACTATCTACTTACTAAAATAACTAGTTTTTATAGTAATCTAGCTATTTAATAAAGTAGTATCTTTAATTAAGCTCTAAAGCTTTATAGTTATATAAGGCGCTAATTACGTTATTACTATAGCTATAGTAAGAACTATAATACCTTAACTATAGTAAAACTAGTAGAACTAAGGCCTTAACTAATAATAAGAACGACTATAGTACTAAAAGATATATAGCCTAAGTAGTATCTAGTTTAATATAGTAATTACTAATAAAATTAGACGTTCGGCAGGTGCCGGCCCCGCGCGCGATAGCAATTCTGCATATAATTATACCTCCGTCACCAAGAATCGGCATCTCCAAATTCACAGCTTCGCGGCTTTATACTTGGCACCAATATAATGAAACTTAAGGACAGTCAATGAGGTTCTTCGGCGTCAATATAATGAAAGAACGATGACGGTTTGGGATTACGGGCGATGAACATATGCTCTTCGAACATAGAGAAGCTGGAGTCGTAAGTAGATTGAGAAGGCTATGTACCAAAGTTGCAACGCCCGAGCTTCAACAACGGCATCGCAAAGTAACGCACTACCACCCCACGTCACACCCCCGTGCGGCATCGTTCCTCTCCCAACCTACTCCTCCGTTGTCGCATAAGTCACCTTCTTGCTCGCCTTCACCAGCTCACCCAACCTCTTCTCCATAACCGTCCTTCCCTCAAGAGTCCGCCAGACGAAATGTGGCGCCTTGTTCACGACATCCCAACTGACCAGCTTGTCCGTGAGCTTGGAGAGATCCTTCTGCTTGTCAGCCCACTCCTGGTCCCTTCTCGTGCTAATCCCCGACGAAATGATGACGAGAGGGGTATCAGGCGTCTGGATCGTCCTGGCAGATGAGACTTCGCTGCGGGTCAAGGAGTCCGCGACCAAGTTCTCTTGAAGCTGAGCCTTGATGAACTTGCCGCCCTGGTAGGCCCGATCACCGAAGACACGATCCTCGCGCGTGACGCCGCTGAAGATGGAGCCGGCGAGACGTTGGATGCCCAGCGGACTGATGACGCCCCAGCCCCAGAGCACGAAGCCACGGTATGGGCTGGCGATGCGGTGCAGGAGGTCCTCGTGAAGTGGATCGATAAGCATTAGGCCCTTGACGTCGCGGAAGTGGCGGGCACTGAAGATACGAGACACGATGCTGCCGTAGCCCGCGGAGACGCAGATCCACGGACCTTGTTCACCAGCGATTGCCAATGCCTCGGCGAGGTTGTCGGCAGACATGCCAGCACTGTGAGGAGATGGAGCATTGTCAGACCAGGCATAGCCGGGACGATCCCAGTAGCAGTAGCGGTCGATTGTGCCGTTCTGGTAAGCTGCGTAAGCCCAGTGCTCGAAGTCGTACTCTGATGGGGTTTCGCCGGCTTCAATCAGGATGGTAGGGTTGCGCTCGCCATTCTTGTCCGTGGTGACATCTCCGACACAAGCGAGGTGGACTTGGTACTTGTGCCCGTCGACGTAGTATCGGGTTCCGTCCATCTCAAGTCCGGTGTCGCGAGCGCGAAGGATGAGGGTTCCAGTCATGAGGAGGACAATGAGGATGTAGACAACCAAGATCACGGTTGCCACTAGAACACCGATCCATTCTCTGAGTGTGCGGCGAGTCTCGGGACGGCCTGTGAGGCGTTCCTCCTCCTCTCGCTTACCCCAAGCCACGATACGGTCTTGGAAGACACACCAGATGGCTATGACGGTGGCCCAGCTCACGCTCGCAATGCCTGGTGCGCTCTCCTCGAACCTCAGCCGAGTGACGGAGACGATGATGATGACGTCCACGAGCAGAAGGACAGCAATGATGCCCTGGCATACTCTCATAGCCAAGCTCGGGTTCGAGAAGAACAGGAGCGAGGTGAGGAGGAGGCCAGTGGTCAAGGTGGTGTAGGAGAAGTCGAAGAAGCCGGAGCCACGGGTGTGGAGACCTGGTGGGCTGACGAAGATGCTGACCAGGAGGAGCACCCACCATAGGAAGGTCAGGCCGAGGAAGAAGACGCTGAAGAAGCGGAGGGCTCGGACGCTCCATAGATTGTATGGCGAGACCTGTCACATCACGTCAGTAGATGTGTATATCCTCGCAGTACAAGGACGACTCACAGCTGGGTCATCCGGGTCAAGATAGCCATCTTGGTGTGGTGGTCGCGGGTTGGAAGGCAGCAGTCTGTCCCGCTCATTGGGTTCTCTGCTCCTGCTGGGCTGCGAACGTGCCATGTTGTCGTCGTTGTGGTGTTCTTCGTCTTCGGCGTGATCGTCGGTGCCGTTCTGTTTCTTCGTGCCCCAAAGACTCATCGTTCACTATCTCTGCTCTTCCACCGTAATCCTTTACTGCCGCTTTGCCGCTGGACACACGGGACGCAAGCAAGCTCTTCAGTGTACAATCTCTGCACGACTTTTGCTTGCCTCGATGCTGGACCACAACTGTTCGGCTCTCTGGAGATGAGTTTTCAGGTAACACAGGATCTCTACTGAAGGCGGAGCACGTTCACTAGCTGGTGCTCGTTGCCTTGGTCCACGCCGTTCGAGCTCTCTCTGCCGATCAACAGAGTTCCCGTAAAGCGGGAGGCGATCGGACGTCATGTGGCAGGGAGCTGCAGCTTCATTCTTCATTGTGGCGCATGCTTCGCGGCCTGGCATTTCTAGTCTCATGAAAGCATCTCGTTCGAAACGTTATCTACATGCTTGAAGCGGTTCAATCTGAAGTTGTAGGAGTCGCTGTAGTATGGAACCTTCAGCCACCATCCTCAGCACACGCGAAAGGCAGCACAACGATCCTATCGCTTCCCAGAATCAACAGCATTGACATCCTTGCGCACTCCTTCCCGCATGACGATCTTCTGCACCTTGGAAATCGCAAGCTAGTGCAGAAGCGACTTTCTTCCAATCTGTTGGCCATGTCTAGACCTTTCCTGCCTGAGGTTGTACACATACAGCGCCCTCGATAATGCTTGATGGGCCTTTGACTTGCCCTAGTTCTTGTCCTTCAATCCATTCACTGGTACACTTCGAGGCACGCAACGGGTACGCAAAGAAGCATGAACCTCAAGATTGCCATGTGAAGACTCCCTGCATGTCGCCACTACTAGTAATAACGGGAGTCTGGTGATTCATATGCATCCACAAGCTCAACAACGAAGCTACCCTTGCCACTTCTGCCGTCTGTACGACGCACAAGGCCGAACATGTCAGACCTATTACGGAACACCGATGACGGCGAAGCACCACAGCCGTCGCCACGACCTAAGCCCAATCCACGACCCGTAACCATGTCGAGCCTTTCAATAGTAGAGGCCGATGAGTGCTCTTCTGATTCGTCTGCTGATTCGAGTGCTTCACTTAACACTATCAGGCCGAGTTCAAGGTGTGTTTGTAGGGAGGACCCTTTGGTAAGATGCACGGCTAAAAGTTGGTACTAGTGAAGAGGTTGCATCCGCCAGTCACTGGACGAAATTCTTCGATCAAGAATTCTACTTCGACGTCGACAGTGATACGCAGAAAGCGAGATATCACGTCTACTTCACGCCACCAACAGACGTCAAGAAAGGCCCTCTCTTTATCTGCCATCACGGAGCTGGTTCATGCGGCTTGTCCTTTGCCTTGTTCACCCGCGAGCTACGGAAACGACTACCAGACGCCGGCGTTCTGAGCCTCGAAGCACGAAACCATGGCTCTATCGTCACGAACCCACAGTCAGGAGAAGAGATCGTCGACTTCAGCCTGGCAACCATGACCGCCGACGCCGAAACAATGATCAACATGACCAAGCAGGAGCTCGGCTGGACCCAACTCCCACCTACCGTCCTCCTCGGCCACAGCCTAGGCGGCTCCATAGTCACACAGCTAGCAGTCAACTACGCCCTCGGCAATGCAATAATAGGCTACTGCGTAATCGACTTTGTCGAAGGCTACGCGATCGAAGCCCTCCAACAAATCGCCAGCTACCTCGCCACCCGGCCCAAGATCTTCAGCAGTCTTGACGAAGCAGTCCAATGGCACGTCCGCACCCGCACCATCCGCAACCCAGAAAGCGCAGCGATAAGTGTCCCGAGCATGCTCACACGATTGCCATCGGGGAAGTACGTATGGAAAACCGATTACAGCGCCACGCAGCCCTGGTGGGATGGCTGGTTCCGAGGTCAGAGCCAGAAATTCCTCACGGGTAGAGGAGCCAAAGAGTTGATACTGGCTGGGACTGATCGGCTAGATAAAGATCTTATGATTGGGCAGATGCAGGGGAAGTTTCAGCTGGTGGTTGTGCCTGAGGCGGGACATTTTGTGCAGGAGGATGTGCCGGAGAAGACTGCGCAGTTGCTGGTTGAGTTTTTCGGACGGAATGATAGAAGTGCTATGGTGTTGCCTCCAAAGGTGTCGGATTTACTTGCTCAGGGGAAGAAGGTCTGATCGTAGTATGAGGGCTGGCAGGGAGTACGGCTTAGCAGAGTATCTGTGGTGCATTTCTGGGCTATTGTCGCCAACTGCTCGACACCATGGCCTGCTAGGTTTGATAAACACGATAGATTCCTGAAGAGTATTTCACGCCATCCAACAGTCCGTACCTCTTGTTATTATTCATGCTCATCACGTGCTATCGTGCCTTCTATCTGCAAGATGACGTAGTGAAACCCGCCAGGATTATCTTATCGCAGGTCTCACTTGGCTTGCTTGGCCGTGTCCGACGATCAATTGGTCCTCTGCCGTGGACGTGCCGCTATGATGCTACAATGGAGAAGCCTCGCTATGTCTTACCGCCGGCGGAGAAGCTGAGAGAGATCTGGACGGAACAAGAAGGACGTGCCGAGATCATCAAGGCAAGACGAGCCGAACAGTTGGCGAGGAAGACGACGAAGGAACAGCAAGCGAATGCTGAGCAACATGCTGCTGAGGTGATTCAGAGGAATTTCCGAGGATACAGAGACCGACGAGCACTGCGCGGCTATGAGCTGTCCCCGAGTCTCCGCTGGACCGACGCGATCAAAGAAGCCAAGTACCACAATCTCACCTCCCCCCGTTCCCTTGCCGAGCGCACCAGCCTCTCGCCCCCCGGCAACAAAGTCCAGGACCGATGGCGAAGAGTAGGCGCCATTGCCTACCGGGCCGGCAGCGACGACACGAGCGAAAGCGACGGCGAGAACAAAACCGATGAGCAACGGCGCCAGATCCGCACACGCCAAAAAGCCGATAAGCAGCAGCGGGAGCAAAACGCCAAGGTCATGGGTCTAGAGTACTTCCTCGAAATGGTGGATCAGAAACACCGGTACGGAAGTAATCTGCGACGGTACCATCAGGAGTGGAAACAGGCACCCACGCATGAGAATTTTTTCCACTGGCTGGATTACGGGGAGGGGAAGGGCTTGGATTTGGAGGATCGGCCGAGGAGGAGGTTGGATACGGAACAAGTGCGGTATCTGTCCCGGGAGGAGAGGAAGAGGTATTTGGTCAATATTGACCGACAGGGAAGGTTCTGCTGGGCCAAGGATGGGAAGGTGATAACGACTAGTCATGAGTGGAAGGATAGTGTGAATGGGATCGTGCCTGTGGATGATCCGACACCGACGTGGAGGGAGGTTACGACTGGTGTAGCCCCTGAACCCTCGCCGTCTGATGACGAGGACTCGGACCTTTCATCCATCGGCGGCGGCAGTCAAGAGGACGAGTCCAAATACACGAACGAAGAACTGCACAACGCCAAAGGCCTGGGCAAACTGAACCACCTCTCCGTCGACACAGTCAAGAACCATCTCCTCCGCAAGACCACGAAGAAGAACACCTGGATCTTCGTCGCCGATACCTCCATGCGCCTCTACATGGGAATAAAACAATCCGGCGCCTTCCAACACTCCTCCTTCCTGCACGGCGCCCGCGTCTCCGCCGCCGGCCTCATCAAGCTCAAACGGGGCGAATTGCGCAAACTCTCCCCACTATCAGGCCACTACGCCCCTCCCGTCCGCAACTTCCGGGATTTCGTCCGACATCTCAAGGACGTAGGAGCCGATCTCTCGCACTGCAATATCTCGCGCTCTTACGCGGTGCTGCTCGGTCTGGAGGGATATCTGGGAGCGAAGAAGCAGGTCAAGAGTGTGGAGAAGTCGGTGAAGGATATTTTGGACCCCGAGGAGAAGAGGAAGAGGGAGGAGAAGGAGAGGGATATGTCCAAGTCTGCGCAGAGGGAGAGGGAGATTTTGAGGGAGCAGGCTGAGGGGGAGAGGAGAGAAAGGAGCTTTAGTTTGAGGTTGAAGCAGGGGTTGGGGTTGGATGGGAAGGTGGGAGAGGAGGATGTGGGAGCTGGTGCTGATCAGCCTGTTGGTGGAAGGAAGTAATTGATAGTGGTTGTGGGTTTTGCTTTGTCGGCTGACCCTTGTGATACTTGCCCTATACCATACCGTATTCTTCTTATCTGGTACAACCACGAGATCATCTGATCGTGCCACTGATCTCAATTGAGATCGAATCCTACGATGGATCCCCAAACGTCGATAGGCAGCAACAGAGGGTGATATATCTCGTACTGCTCGGGTCACCGTCATGCCGCGACACTTTTATGCTGCTCCGTCTTCAGTCCACACGCAGAGTAGAGCTACTAAGTAAGCTTGAGACGCTGGACTCTTCGATGGAGGGTCTCCAATAGCCCTGGTGTCTTATCGTCTCGATTGAGTGATGATAACAACAAAAGCTGCTCCTTACGCGCCCGTATACCGTTGACGTCGTCGGCCGAAAACGTTGGTAGGTGTCAGTGCTCGTGCCAAAGCCTCTCCGAAGCCTAATTCTTTTCACTTCACCGATCTCCCTGTTACAAAGTCATTTTGCACCTTTCGTGTGGCAGAACAATATCGATGTTATGGACACGCCATTATTACTATATCGATGGCGCAACTCGATAATAACGGCCACATACCGCTGCAGGTACCATCGACCGGAATATAAGAAATGCTCGAACAGTGAATGCAAACAAGGATGTTTTGCTCCGAGGGATGAGCAATTCCCTGCTTTGGATGTCCAGTAGGGTTCGCGTGTCTCATTGGCCGGGAAAGCCACAGCTGTCATGAAACGCGTGCGTAGACTTTCCCACAAATTCGCGTTTCCTGCATTGGGCTTGGCAACGGCGAAGCTGGAAACTTGTTTTGGCAACGTGCTACGGGAGCTTGTCGCCCTGTGGCTTTCTCGTCTCGAACTTCTGACTTCACCTCTGCAGGGGGAGAGAGAGAGAGAGGAAGAGGGGTTTCCCTTTTCTCGTGTTACTTGGAACTGGTTATTCAACCATGACGTCGGATTGCCCAAAGCTGAGATCCTTGTCTTTCTTCTTGCGGGGTGGAGGTCGCTAGTAGGGGTCGGGGTGTGAGACTCGCATGGGTATTGAAGTCAATAGGGACGCGAGGTGGAGACCTCCGGCTACGTAGCTTGAAGTGGATGCTGGAAGCAGTAGCAGATTATTATTTGTCTGCTCCCAAAGCTCTAGAACGCGAAGAGCGGCATGTGGCGCGGGCATGACGGGCGAGAGTGTGTTGCTACTGGCTGCGATATACCAAGTCTGCAGACATGACTGGTGATGCTGTGCCAGTGCCACACAGAGATGAGACGACATGCACTATGCCGGCGCTTGCGGCGGAGGAAGGCTCGATCGCCGATTGCCATGCCATGCCACACGCACAAGCCATCGTTCTCCACGGCCAACAATCTGTCTGATCATCGAGCGTGTCACTACTGTCACTGCTATATCGCGAACTCTGGTTGAAGTCGTGTCAGCCACCTCCTGCAGTCGGCGTGCAAATGACATGAATATCGCTTCAATACTCATCGCGCGGCATCGGCTCGCTGCATGTTCAAGGAGACGAGACGAGATGACATGTGTAGAATTGACGTCGGACGCTTGTGACGTAGCCCAATGCCAACCCGGCAACAGACATCCTGGGAACGGGCCCCAGCCTCCACTCCACCCATGCAGATCACGGGAAACGCGCGCCATCGGCCCATCGAGCGACAGCTCTCCCAAGCTCGCGCCTCTTGTGGCTCTGGAGCGAACCACGCGGCTGACGCCAGGGAAGCTCCCCCCTAGCAACTTCCAAGGCCGGCCTGCCTGCCATCCTGCCATCCCATTTCTACGTCATCCAGTGAAACCACACAGCGTGCACGAAACGCTTGAGCCACCGCGGCTCGCCAGTATTCCTGGTTGCCCGGCCGTATATGAAGTCTACCTAGTCCCAAGCATAGCCACACTTCCTGCATAATTTCTTGCTCCTCTCCTGACCCTTACCACACCTCTCAATTACTTACTTACCTACCATTGTGACAGTATTGCATGACCAGCAATACCAATCAATACGCTTACTACTCCTTCCCTCCAACCCCGAGTAGAACATCCACACCCTCATCTCGGAGGTCCTCAAGGAAGTTTACGCCCCAATCCGACAGAACATTACAAACAGAAGAAACCATGGCCCCTTCCCCAGCCGCAGGCAAGCAGGCCGGTTCTGCGCCCAAGACTCCAACCAAGTTGGCCAGGAAACCGGACGCCACACCATCGAAGCCCACGCCCAAGAAGCTCGGCCAATCTGCTTCCTCCGCGAAGCCATCCACACCTAAAGCTGCCGCTGGCAAGAAGCCTGAGACTGACTCACCTCAGCTTCCCCAGTCCGCAAAGGGCGGCGATGTCTCCGGCAAAGCTCAGGGCTCCGCAAAGAACGCCAAAGGCCAAGCCGACGACAGTGCCGAGAATGCCAAAGGCGAGGCCGAGGACGCTGGCGAGCAAGCTCAGAGCAAAGTCGAGATGAAGGACGATGACGAGGAGGACGAAGGTCCCCTCGACAAAGTCAAGGAGGCCGGCGACAGCGCACAGGGAGGCCTCGAGGAGCAAGCTCCCGAACCCGTTAATGATGATGACGATGATGAAGAAAACGACACAGTCGGCGGCGCTACCAAGCAGGCCAAAGACACGGCTGACGATGCCGAAGACGATGATGCCGCCACGCAGAAGGCTGGCCAGGAAGGCGACGAGACCGAAGACACTGCTGATGATCAGGAGCAGCAGGAAGGCGATGGTCTGTTGAGCGGCGCCAAGGGACTCGCTGATCAGGCGGGTACTATCGCCGACAAGGGCAAGGAGGGCGCTTCTGGTGCTGCTGACAAGACCAAGGAGACCGCTGAGGAGGGCGCTGAGAAGGCCAAGGAGTCTGGTGAGGAGGCGCAAGAGGGCGCTGAGGACGCCACCGATGAGGGCCAGAAGGTCGCTGGTGAGACTACTGATGAGGCTGGCGAAGGCGCCGAGGACCAGGCTAATGGCGTTGCTGAGGATGGTGAGGAGCAAGCGGAAGGTGCTGTCGAGGATGGTGAGGAGCACGCTGAGGGCGCTGTCGAAGACGGTGAGGAGCACGCTGAGGGCGCTGGCGAGGACGGTGAAGAAGCTGCTGAAGGTGCAGTTGAGAAAGACGAAGAAGGTGAGGAGGGTGTTGAGGGCGTCGAGGGCGCCAAGGATGAAGCCGAGGGTGCTGCTGAGGAGGCTGAAGAAGGCGCCGAGGGTGCCGAGCCTACCGACCGCAGCGCGCCTCAGGTTCCCGAGGGCCTGCCTCTCGACATGTCCATCCTCAAGGGCCTCGAGGTTGATGATGAGGGGTTTGTTCGCGACCAAGAGGGTAATGCACTCGCCAAGCTCGCTGAAGGTGATGCTGAAGACCTTGGCGGCTACCAAATCGGTGACGAGGGCGAGATCCTTGACGATGATGGTGATCTCGTTGGTCGTGTCGAGCTTCTTCCTGAGGAGATCAAGAAGCAACTTCAAACCGCCAAGGAAGAGGGTGTCGAGTTGCCCGAGGGCGCTGACGAGTACCTTGACCAACTCGATGGTGGCGAGGAAGGCGAGGAGGAAGGCGAGGGCGAGAACGAGGAGGAAGAGGAAGATGACGGTCCTCGCCTGCCTGGCCTCGAGATCATGGAAGGTCTCACCTGCGAGATCGACGGTCTCATCTACGATTCCGAGGGCAACACTATCGGTCGCGTGACTGAGGGTGACCCCGAGGAGCTCAAGAACGCCACTCTCAATGCTGAGGGCGAGTTCATTGATGAGGAGGGCAATGTTGTCGGCCATGCCGAGATTCACGATGATGCCGCCGAGCTTGTCGTGCAAGGCATCTACGAAGCCGCTCCCAAGGAAGATGACGCCGAAGGCGAGGCTGAGGAGGGTGAGGAAGGCGCCGAGGAGGCTGCTGAGGACGGCGAAGAGGCTGCCGAGGGTGAAGCTGGCGACGAAGAGCCTGAGCTCGAAGGCATCGAAGACCAACTCCCCGGTATCGAGGCTCTTGAGGGCCACGAGCTCAATGCTCAAGGTGACGTCCTTGACGACCAAGGTGATGTGCTCGGCCACATCGAAGACGAGGAGCTCCGCCAGAAGATCGTCGACGGCGAGATCGACCCCGACACCCTCAAGATCGACGAGGATGGCAATGTGGTTGACGAGGATGGCAACGTCCTCGGCAAGACGGAGTTGGCTGAAGGCGCGGCTGAGAAGCTCGGCGGCAGTCCTCTCCTCGACCCACGTATCCTTAACGGCAAGAAGGTCAACAAGAAGGGCAAGATCCTCGATGATGATGGCGAGGAGATTGGTGAGCTGCGCGATGGCGACCTAGAGCAGTGCGCTGGCAAGAAGGTCAACGACCGCTCGGAAGTCCTCGACAAGCAGGGTAATGTCATCGGCCACGTTTCTGTCGTTCCTGGCGAGGCGGCTGAGACGGCCACCCGTGAGTTGCTCGAGGAGCTGGGTGAGACCGAAGCACAAGAGGAGGAGAAGCCGGAGGAGCAACCTACACCCGACCTTCCTTCCCTCGACATCCTCGAGGGCCTCAAGGTCAACAAGAAGGGTCAAGTCCTCAACGAGGACGGTGAGCCCATTGGTGAGCTTGTCGACGGCGAGATTGCCGATTGCGCGGGCAAGAAGTGCAATGACCAAGGCGAGGTCCTCGACAAGGAGGGTAACGTCGTTGGCCATGTCCGCACCTTGCCGCAAGAAGGCGAGGAGGAAGAGCAAGCTGAGGAGGCAGGTGAGGAGGAAGAGGCTGGCGATCAATTGCCTCCTCTCTCCGTCCTCGAGGGCTTGACCGTCAACAAGAGCGGCAAGCTTATCGACTCCAACGGTACTGTTGTGGGTGAGCTCGTCGAGGGTGATGCCAAGAAGCTCGCCAAGGCTGGCACTACTTGCGACGCCGAAGGTCAGTTCTGGGACAGCAAGGGCCATGTTATTGGTCGTGCCCAGACTGTCGCCGTCGAAGACCCAGAAGACGAAGCACCATTCGCTGGTCTTGACGGCCTCCACGTCGTCGAGGACGGATACGTCCAAGATGACCAAGGCAACACAGTCGGTTACATCACCGAAGGCGACGCCAAGAAGCTCATCGGTCGTCTCGTTGATGAGGATGGTGACATCATTGACAAGAAGGGCTCTGTTGTCGGCCACGCCGAGCGCTGGGAGCCTGAAGAGCAGGAGGAGGAGGTCGCCGAGGAGGCCGATCTCTCCTTCCTGCAGGGCAAGAAGGTGAACAAGGCCGGTCTTGTCATTGGTGACGAGGGTGTACCTGTCGCCCGCTTGGTTGAGGGTAACGCCAAGGAGTTGGCGGGCAAGGAACTCGACGACCAAGGACAGATCTGGAACGACAAGGGCAAGGTCATTGGTCGTGTCGAGCTCATTCCCGACGACGAGCGCGAGGCCAAACCTGAGGGCCCCTTCGCCGGTCTCGAAGGCCTGAGGGTCATTGAGGGTGGCAAGGTTGCTGATGAGGACGGCAACGTGGTCGGTGAGATTGTCGAGGGTAACCCCAAGCGTCTTGTCGGTCTTGCCGTCGATGAAGATGGTGATATTGTTGACAAGTACGGCAATGTCAAGGGTCATGCTGAGCCTCTACCTGACGAGGAAGAGGAAGGTCCGGTCGACAACAGCATCCTCAATGGCAAGCAGCTGAACAAGCAAGGTTATGTCGTTGACGAGAACGGGATCCCCTTCGGTCGTCTCGTTGAGGGTGACGCCAAGGAGTTGGCTGGCCGCTATTGCGACGAGAACGGTGACATCCACAACGACACCGGCAAGGTTGTCGGCCATTGCGAGGTCATTCCAGAAGGCGAACGTGTCCACCGCGGCGAAGGTCCATTCGCTGGATTGGAGGGCCTGCGCGTGGTGAAGGATGGCTGGGTTGAGGACGATGACGGGAACGTCGTCGGTCAGCTCGTCGAGGGCAATGCTAAGCGCCTTGTTGGCATGGCCGTTGATGAGGACGGTGATATCATCGACAAGTACGGCAATGTCAAGGGCCATGCTGAGCCGTATGAGGAGGAGGAGCAGGCTGACGTTGATCTTTCTGCTCTTGCCGGCACGAGCGTGAACAAGCACGGTAATGCTGTCGATGGCAACGGCAAGATCATCGGTCGTGTCGTCGAGGGCGACGTCAAGACCATGGTTGGCAAGAAGGTTGATGGCCAGGGCCAAATCTGGGATAATGCCGGTAACGTCGTCGGCCGCTGCGAGTTGGTCTTTGGCGAGGACGGCGATCCTGAAGGTCCCTTCGCCGGCTTCGAGGGTCTGCAGATCCAGAAGGATGGCACCATTACCACCCCTGCTGGCGACATCATCGGTCGCATCATTGAAGGTGATGTGAAGAAGCTGATGGGTCACGGTGTGGAGGAGGACGGAGATATTGTGGACAAGAACGGCAACACGATCGGCAAGGCTGAGAGGTGGGAGCCGGAGGAGAAGGAACGCCGTATCAACCCCATGTCTGGCCGCCGTGTCAACAAGGAGGGTGAGGTGCGCGACGAGCAGGGCGAGATTTTGGGCAAGCTTACCATGGGTGATCTTGGCCATTGCGTCGGTCAGGAGATCGATGATTCCGGTAACGTCGTGGACGTCGACGGCAACAAGATCGGCGAATGTACCCTCATCGACAATATCGTGGAGGAGGAGTATGAAGGTCCGACAGAGGAGCAACTCGCCGAGGCGGCCAAGCGTGAGCAAGAGCGCGAGATCGCGGAGAAGATGAGCAACATCTGCAGCCAGACGCTCGAGCGCGTGCAGCCCGTCTGCAAACAGATCAAGGAGGCGATGGAGAAGGCGGACCGCACGCCCAAGGAGGAGCTGGACGAGGACGCGCTGGTCGACGAGGTCAAGCCCCTGATCGAGGAAGCCGGTCGTCATTTGCAAGAATGCAACGGGTCCCTCCGTGGCCTCGACCCCGATGGCAAGATCGCCGCTCAGGCCAAGGGCCGTGCTGGTACCAACGAGGCGACGCCGGAGGAGCACCGACTCGCGGAGAACTTGAAGGAGTTGACGGGCACCGTTGTCACGACCGTGGACGATGCGAAGAAGAAGCTCAACAGCATGCCGCATGCGAAGAAGAAGCTGAACCCGCTCTGGGGTCTGATGACACAGCCGCTGTTCCAGATTCTGGCCGCGGTTGGACTGTTGTTGGCTGGTGTGCTGGGCCTTGTTGGACAGTTGCTCAACGGGCTTGGTCTTGGCGGACTGGTCAATGGTGTCATGGGCGGTCTGGGTATCAACAGCCTTCTCGAATCATTCGGGTTGGGTGGTGGTGACAAGAAGAAGGGGAAGAAGGATGGCAAGAGTGCGCTTTCGAGCTTGCCGGTTGTTGGTGGGATGTTGGGTGGTGGAGGGAAGTAAGCTAGTGGCTTCGACTCACATACTCGCCTGTCTCCGCCGAGCAGCCTGGTCAGTTGCGAGGTGGGAGGGTGGGTGAGTGAATGATGGGAAGATGGATTACTTGGGTTAGCTTTCGTGGTAATGCGTGTGGTGGGATGGGAAGGAAAAGCAGGGAGATATATGTATCATGTTAGCGAGTTGTGTGATTTAGTCTTTACTCTTGTATAGTATATTGAAACGTGTAACGGCGGTTCTTCATCATAAGAGACATTGTCTGTCATGGCCATTTTCATCATATGGTGGAAGTGTGCACGCTCTTGCTTTCGCAAAAGTCGCGACTTCTTCGCCAAGAAGCTTTCGGGAGCATGGACCTCCTTCTCGTTTTCGAGGAGGCTGAAGTTGCAAGCTCTCCCGAAGCAACTTTCTCACGCATCATTGCTGCGAAGACAGTCACCCCTTCACTGCAAACCCAGACCCAATGACCGACAGCAGAGGTACATTTTAACACAGCTTCTAACCACCACAGCTTCGAACCTCTCCATACTGACCCGCAGCTGCCCAGACAACGGCCGCTTGAACTCGCGGGATCACTACGTAAGAGCTTGATTATCACATACAAAGCAGAGAAGTCAGAATGTCTGACGGGAGGCTGCAGTCCCGCGATGACCGCCGACGCGACCGCGATGGCGACCGAGATCGTCGAGACCGCCGCCGCTCCCGCTCGCCTGCTGGTGGTGGGCATGGGCGTGGAGGAGGAGGAGGAGGAGGAGGAGGAGGAGGAGGAGGAGGCAGGAGGGATTTCGAGGTAGACACGTATTCGTCTAGTCGGGACTATCGTGAGCGGGAGAGGGAGGAGAGATATCAAGGTGGTGGTGGTGGTGGTGGAGGCGGAGGGCGTGACAGAAGGGATAGGGATAATAGAGACTGGGACCGTGGTTCCGCGCGTCGGGACGCCAGACGCGATGATGGAGGTGGAGATAGAAGACGCGACCGCCGCGATCGGGACCTCTTTGACGACAGGAGGAAGCCTCGCGAAGACCACGATAGGAGGGATCGAGGAGGTGATGGCAGGAACGAAGACCGTGGACGCGATCGTGATGATGAGCGGCAGCTGGAACGCCAGGCCCGACAGAAGAGCGGGAGTCCGCCGCCAAGGAAGGCCAAAGAGCCGACGCCGGATTTGACGGATGTGGTGTCTGTGCTTGAGAGGAAGAGGCGGTTGACGCAGTGGGATATCAAGCCGCCTGGTTATGAGAATGTCACGGCGGAGCAGGCAAAGTTGTCGGGTATGTTCCCTCTGCCTGGAGCGCCGAGACAGCAGCCGATGGATCCTTCGAAGCTGCAGGCGTTTATGAATCAGCCTGGCAACCAGGCTGGGAAGAGCGCGCTCAAGCCTGCTACTGCTCGTCAATCGAAGCGGCTGTTCGTGTACAACATCCCCTCCTCCGCCACCGACGACAGCGTGAGCGACTTCTTCAACCTCCAGCTCAACGGCTTAAACGTCACGCGCGGCCAAGACCCCTGCATCTCTGCCCAACTAAGCAAAGACCGCACCTACGCCCTCCTCGAATTCAAGACCGCCGAGGACGCCACCAACGGCATGGCGCTCGACGGCATAAACATGGAGCCCGAAGCTATGGACACCAGCAACGGCGACTCCAACGGCAGCTCTGCTCAAGGCCTCCAGATCAAACGACCCAAGGACTACATCGTCCCCGCCATCACGGACGAGACAGAAAACGAAGCCGGCGTCCTCTCCACTTTAGTTCCGGACACCCAGAACAAAATCTCCATCACCCGCATCCCCTCCTACCTCACCGAGGACCAAGTCCAAGAACTCCTCGTCTCCTTCGGCGAACTTAAATCCTTCGTCCTCGTCACCGATAACTCGTCTGGCAGCAGTCGCGGGATCGCCTTCTGCGAGTACAAGGATGCGGCGACGGCGACGGATATTGCCGTGGAGAGCCTGGATGGGATGGAGTTGGGGGAGAGCAAGTTGAGGGTTTCCCGGGCGAGTATTGGGATCCAGCAGGTTAGTGGGGAGATGAGTGTTAATGCTATGTCTCTCATGGCCGGGACGAGTGCGAAGGAGGGGGAGGAGGTGGGGCGGGTGTTGTGTTTGATGAATATGATTACGGTCGAGGAGTTGATGGATGGGGAGGAGGCGGACGGTGAGTCTTTCCAATCTTACCCCCTACTAGCCGTTATACTTTCCATGCCCCTCGACTTTTGCTAACGTGATGGTGTGTTTTACAGAAATCCTTGAAGACGTCAAAGAAGAATGCAGCAAATACGGGCCCGTCCTGGACGTCAAAATGCCCCGGCCTACATCTGGAAGTCGTCAGAGCAACGGCATCGGGAAGATTTATATCAAGTATGAGGCACCCGAGAGCGCGCAGAAGGCTCTTGCGGCGTTGGCGGGGAGGAAGTTTGCGGATCGCACCGTTGTGGTGACGTTGTTTGGGGAGGAGTATTTTGATGTTGGGGCTTGGTAAGGAGATGGGCTGGGGTGGGATGGGAGGGAAGTGGGTGGGAGGGAAGTGGGTGGGAGGGAAGTGGGTGGGAGGGAAGTGGATGGGAGAAAGGCAACAGGGGAGGGAGGGCGGGGTGGAGGATGCTGTTGCGGTGGCCTGAGGAGGATGTGCTGCATGCTGTTGATGGGCATGAAGGCACGCAACATGGCAACTACTCGAGCTTGGGCAGGGTTTTACTGCTGAATGGCTTGTGTCCCCAGGCTCGCCATGGGACAAGCATCTTCTTGTTGGGTGCAGGAGGGAAATTTCGCACAGCCTGCATTGCACAGTGGGCCTGGGCTAATGGTCTCTGCGCTGTGAGGGAAGAAGGCTTTCGTGCCGACTTAATTACTGTACTAAAGCATCTATTATACACCATTTCCATCCCAACGTGATATCTCATACTATCAGCCGGTACCAAAGCCCGTGTATCAGCAGCTTCCTCGTGCGGTCTAGCGCCGCCCTGGGAAACTCGATCGGATTGCGGAGGAGGAGGTGGAGGCTGAAAGTCGGAGCTCGTGCTTGAGAATGTCTCCAGCTGGCCATTCGGGGTAATGAATAGGTTGGATTGTCAATTGTTCCTACTGATCTGTCGCTGGCGACTGCGTACGATTGATACTGCTAAGATGCACTAAATCGACCTTTTTTACTGTAGGAAAAGACGATACTCGACAGGACGACCGACTTTTACGATTCAGCCTGCGGGCTACTACTAAATACTGCCATTCGTTAAAGAGGTCGATTCGGCATTGGACTTTTGAGATACTTTCGCGATGCCTGCTAAGTAAGGACTATTGTAGTATACCTTGATTGCCAATCAATGTGTACTAATATCAACCCAATAGATCAAGATTCACACGGCTCGATGCCTTCACCAAGACCGTAAGCCCTACCCATCCAGCTCTCCCACTACCAACAATATCCTGACCCTGACGATATGTGCAGGTGGAAGATGCCCGCATCCGCACCACCTCCGGCGGCATCGTGACCCTCACCTCCCTCCTCCTCATCCTCTACCTCGTCTGGGGCGAGTGGGCTGACTACCGCCGCATCACCGTGCACCCGGAACTCATCGTCGACAAAGGCCGAGGCGAGAAGATGGAAATCCACATGAACATCTCCTTCCCTCGCGTCCCCTGCGAACTGCTGACTCTGGACGTCATGGACGTGAGTGGAGAGGTGCAAACAGGCGTGATGCATGGCGTGAATAAAGTCCGCTTACGGGCGGAGGGGGAAGGAGGCGGAGAGATCGATAGATCGGTATTAGAATTGGGCAAAGCAGACGAAGAGGCAAGTAAACATCTCGACCCTTCCTACTGCGGCGGCTGCTACGGCGCTCCTGCTCCAAGCAATGCAATCAAACCCAATTGCTGCAACACCTGCGCCGAAGTCCGCGAGGCCTACGCCGGCGTCTCGTGGTCTTTCGGCAGAGGGGAGAATGTAGAGCAATGTGAACGGGAACACTACAGCGAACACCTGGACGAACAACGACGGGAAGGATGTCGGATCGAAGGGGGGATCCGAGTGAACAAGGTCGTAGGCAACTTCCATTTCGCCCCGGGAAAGAGTTTCAGTAATGGGAACATGCACGTCCACGACCTGGAGAATTACTTCGCGGGCGGGGAGGGGATCGAACATACCTTCTCGCATACCGTGCACCACCTCCGCTTCGGTCCGGAACTACCAGACGACGTGGTGAAACGGGTCGGAAAAAAAGGCATGGCGTGGTCGAACCACCACCTCAATCCGTTAGACGGCACGGCGCAGAGCACGACGGAAAAGGCCTACAATTACATGTACTTTGTCAAGGTGGTGAGTACGGCTTACCTGCCCCTCGGGTGGGAGCGGACGGGGTCGATATTGGATTTACCGCATGAGTTGGTGGAGTTGGGGGGTTATGGCAAAGGGGAGCAGGGGAGTATTGAGACGCATCAGTATTCTGTCACGAGTCATAAGCGGTCTTTGGCGGGCGGGGATGGGGGCAGCGAGGGGCATAAGGAGAGGTTGCACGCGAGGGGGGGCATTCCGGGCGTGTTTTTCTCTTACGTGAGTCGCCCATCGCTTCTTTATAGCAACAACGAGATTTCTGGGGCGTTTTGCTGACTCGGGTGTTTTGGCAGGACATCTCCCCCATGAAGGTCATTAATCGCGAAGCCCGCACGAAATCCTTCTCGGGGTTCTTGGTGGGGGTTTGTGCGGTTGTGGGTGGGACGTTGACGGTTGCTGCTGCGGTGGATCGGGCGTTGTATGAGGGGGGCCAGAGGGTGAAGAAGATGCATTCGAGTTAGGTTAGTGTGATGCAAGGCATGAATATGTGTACGTGATGCTATGGGATGGTATGCTATGGTATGCTATCTAGAATTGAAGTTGCTTGCAGTGTAGCGTATGTCAAGCTATCTTGAGATCAGTCTTCATGCGTGCATATGTCTTTCCTACATGCGACTGCGAATGTCATGGGTTGGGACGCTGAAGGCGATGCATGGCGGCAGTGAGGATGCTGAGTGAGGTTACCTGCAGACTCGATCGCGCCTTCCATGTTGGGTCTTCAAGTGAGGTGGTCCAAGCTCATATACCTCATGACCAGACCAGGCTATAAGTACCTCGCCACTCCTCACCTTCATTCACTTCTACTCGCCCTTATTCAAACACTTCAGCTTCAGCAAGACTTCTACGAGAAGCATATCCCTTCCAATCACTTCTCCGGTCACACACACATCGCTCCTTGACAAACACTCCAGCCCATCCATCTCCACCCCGACGTCCCCCGACAATACTCCCAGAGTGACGGGACCTTCTTTTGTGATTGAAAGCACCCTCCCTGTAACCATGGCACCAGGCGACAACGGCGGCGGCAAACTCTCCTGGCAAGCCGTCAAGAAACTCTGTACTCCAGGCGACATCGACCGGCTCGCCTGCCTCGCCGTAGCTCACATCAACGGAGCGGATCAGAGTAAAGTCTACCACGTGGCTGCGCAGCAGTTTGGTGGGAATATCAAGCCCGAGTCGTATAAGAGAGGAATGTGGTATGTATCTTGCTCTCCTCAACTTTGCTCGTCTCCACCCACTCCTCTTCAAGCAAAGCAGGCCTGCGAGCAACTGAGGGAGGCTTGCTCGAGGAGGAAAGGGTGCGGGGGATCTGCCATGTCATGCTTGCCCTTCGTACGTTTGTTCGTTTTCGTTCAGCGCTGACGGATGTACGTGTACCAGGGTCATCAGCAAGAAGATCAAAGATGCCGGTGGAGCGGTCGATTCGGGTAATGAGGTGGATGGACGCGATGCACAGGCGAAGACGAAAGGCGGAGCCAAGCGTGGTCCGAAGCGTAAAGCTTGCAGCGAAAGCTCGGAGGGCGAGAAGAAGCCTAAGCGTGCGAAGAAGAGTGGCATAGCTGCGTCTGCTGCGGTCGAAGCTGAGGGTGAAGAGGCTACTGATCCGGATCTCGATGGCACTTTCACTTGAAGGGTTGCGCGAGGAGAGGAGGGAAGCTGGGGTGTTCTGATGGCGTCTTAGCAGGGATGGGCTACGACTACGACTTTGCGATGGTGTTGAGGTGACCACGAATGGTGCACCGGGTGAGATCTCTCCCATGCTGCAGTGGTGACCAGCTCATGCCTCGAGACACGTAGGCGGCATGAATCATGTCATCCATCTATCTCCTCCCTCTCCGATGAAGCCAAGTAGTGTCTTGTTCACATCTGTGACTGTCCATCATTGTACCCGGACCTCCTGAGCAATAGCATGACACAACTCGACCCTCACCCCAGCTCCAGAGAGGACATCAATCCACATTCTCTGCGTATCACTCAACCGATCATTCTCGCTCTTGACTTCAGCAAACATCACCTCACCACTCGCCTCCTCCCCATCACCATCCTCATCTTTAATCCCCCTAGCCTTCCACAAAAACAAATCCGGCACCCCACCCCCCCTCTGCCCATACTCCTGCACCAAAACCCTCATAACCGTACTCAAAGCCTCCGGCCTCCACGCCCCAGCAATCTCCAACAGATCCTCGAGCTGAAAAGCCCAATCAAGACCAATAATACACGTCTTCCTTTCCGCATGAATCTGCCAAACATCCCTGATCAAAGCCGCCGCCTCACCATTCGAGATCCCATTCAACCTGGCGTTGACCTCGGAGATGCGACTGGGGTAGAAAGCATCCGTATGTAGATCTAGCGGACACGTCTGGAATTCGGTTTGGAAGACGTTGGGGATGTAGAGGAATAGGATGTCCGTGAAGAGGTAGGCGAATAGCGTGCGCAGGATCCCGGATTCGCTGTGGTAGCCTTTGAAGCCCAGGGCTCGGTAGTTGGAAAGGCACATTTCTTCCACGCTACATTCGTTCTCCGGTATTGTCTCTTCCCCTGTCTCGGCGTCGATTATGGGGGTTGGGTGGGGATCTAACCAGATTGTTTTGGCGCCTCGGCGGTCGGGTTTTGGTGTGGTTGTTGTGGTGACATTTTGTTCGCTATTGCGTCTGCTGCTGTTGTGAGAGGGTAGACGCTCGATGCGGATGCCTTTGAAGTTACGTTCGGCTGCTTTGGTGAGGAGCACGTGCTGAAAGTCGTGCTGCAGACGTTTGGGCACTTTCAGCTGTTTCTCTATCTTCATCGTACGTTTCTGCAGGTCGTGGTGGAAGATGAGGTGGGTCAGCTGGTCTTGCAGTCCTTCTTCACAGGTACGAAGGGCGACGCGCTTCCAGTGCTTCTTCTTGCTCTCCACGTCCTTGCAGTCTGCTGGTGAGGGTAGGTGAAGATGCATGTAGTGCTCCTCTAGTAGAGCTTTGCGCTGATACCAGTCACCCCGCCGACTAGTGTGGAAGAGACGCTGCTGCAGTAGTTCGCACAGGACCTCATGCTCGCGAAGATGCTTCTTGAACTTGGCTAGCACGTACGCGCCTTTATGTACGATACGTGTGTACACCCAGGCTGGTGAGAGCCGGCGAAGGTATGCGCCTTCGCCCGTGCTATAGATACTGTCTTCCTTCTGCTGCTCCTCCGCCAACAGCACTTTCCAACGAGGGTAGACTTCCTCGAAGACATCGAGGACATCATCTAGAGTCTCTCTGGTGGGTGTACCGTTAAACTCGAGTACGTTGTCGACTCGGAATTGTGTACGCAAAGAGGCTTCGAACTCCAACAGCAGTGTCCGGGATGCAAAGATGTTTGCAGATCGAGACACGATGTACTCTGGAAAGTTCCAACGTGCTATACGAGCGAGAATTATGGTGGTCAAGGACTTTTCCGTCCACTCCGTCGACCTGTAGAAGACCAGATGAACACGCTCGAAAAGCTTTAGCGTAGGCAGCGAAAGTCGTATGCAAGGACCGGTCTCTGCCATGATCTTATTAACCCAGTAAACATCTCTGTTCTCCGGTCTGGAAGGCGTGGATTCCCTGTCATCTTCGTCCACAAGACCAGACCCAGTAGAAACGACCGATCCTTCGGTATCCGAGCGCTTGAAACTCGAGAAGCCTAGACCTGTCTGCTTGCCACTTGTACGTCTGAAAGCACGAAGGAGTTCCTTTTTGTTCTTGCCTTGAACCTTGGCATCTTTGGCGAGCGCTTTTAGCTCATCTAGTAAGAGTAAAGAAGATGCCTCCTCGAGGTCTTTTATGCAGTCCTCAGACTTATCGGCAAGGGAGAAATCGATGGCCAGAGTAGTACCTTCGGGTGCTTCCGACTCACCAGGATGCTCGTCAGCCTCTGCAGAGGACGACGATGGCAAGTCTCGGGCGAGCTGAAGATCCTCAATGGCAGTGGCCAAGTCGGCAGTGTCGCTGTGATATCCTAACTTCTGGATTCGATGCCAGCTCGACGTCTTTCGCAGAAACAGCCTTACATATAGATATTGTGCTTCATAACTCAGCTCTCGCCATGTCGAAAAGACGGTATGCTCTGCTTCGTCGAATAGATGACTCTCCTCCTCGAGCACTTTGTCCAGAGCGAGATTGAATGCGTCCACGTAAATCGAGCTTTTGCCTCTCATCCACTTGCGACCTTCTACTCTCCCTTGTAGATCCAACTCCGCCTGTTCAGCTGCTCTGGTCTCTTCATATCGCTGGATTGCCTCCTTGTCGGTCTGGATAGGTGGTAGTGCTGTCTCGAGATCCGTCCTTCTGTCCCGAGGATGCTCTTCTATCTCTTCACTATCACTGTCCGCCTCTGAATCCGGCACCTCGTCCTTGATCCATCGCTTCCTCGGCGATTGCTTGGAAGGACTACCAGCGACGCTTTCATGTTTTATTCGTTTAGCAGGTGGCGTTGGAAAGTCATTGTCGTCGTCGGCTTCATCAAATCGGCTGGACTTGGGATGTGGTATGGATCTGCCAAGCATAGCATTATGTTTCGAAGGACTACTCGTCAGCAGCATTACGTTCTCCCATGACTATAGTTTATGCAGATACCGAGGAGAACATAGCTCTAACTCTCCAGAGTCACGCGAAGCGCGTCTTCGAGCTGCAGGGTCCATGCAACCATTCAGTCACAAGGCAACCATGACACTCGAGTACAACGATTCGTACAATCACGACCGATGTAGCTACAGCTCAAGACATGACGTATGGCAGCATACTCGTTCACAACATGGACACCAAATGCCAAGCCTCCCAAAATTCTGAACGAACAGATTGAAGATGAAATTGAAGACGAAAGCACCTGGACGCCACTACAGCTAGCCAGTGCCGAAGGCAACATCAAAGCTGTACGCAACCTACTCCGTGATGGAGCCCATGTTAACGCTACTCCTACGGGCTGGTATGGCAAGACAGCTCTCCAAGCAGCCGCCTTAAACGGGCATCTGCAAGTCGTGGAAACACTCCTAGCCGCAGCAGCAGACGTGAATGCACCTGGTGGTAACAATGGAGGCCGTACTGCTCTTAGCCTTGCAGCTGGGCAAGGCCACTTCGACGTAGTCCGTAGGCTTCTCACAGCTGGAGCATATCTCAATCCTCCCATTGCTCGATATTATGGCTTCACGCCACTTCAAGCAGCAGCTGGAGGCGGCCACCCCTATATCCTGGAGGTGCTGCTAGATCACGGTGCTGATATCAATGCTTTACCTGCTCATAACTCTGGTCGATCAGCTCTTGCAGCGGCAGCCGAGGGTCAGCACCTTAAGACGGTAGAGCTGCTGCTAGGACGCGGTGCCAATGTGGATGGACCTATATCCAGGTACAAAGGTCTTTCTGCTTTGCAAGCTGCTGCTACAGCTGGTGACGTGCCACTTGTTACGCGATTGCTGGCGGCTGGGGCGGATGTTGATGCTGTGGGTAGCTACTACCACGGCACTACTGCCTTATATGCCGCTGCACAAGCAGGACATCAAGAAGCCATCCAAGTTCTCCTGCAAGCTGGCGCAGACCCGATGCAAGCCTCTGGTGACAAGGGCTGGCTGCCTATTCATGCGGCTAGACATAATGGCCATGACCATTTTGTGAAACTGCTGTGCGGAGATCAGTTGTGATTGTACCAAAGGAGGTACTATCATCTTACTTTCTCTGGTTGCGAATCAAAGTATTCAGCCAGTGACTCGCCTTCCGTGTATTCAAGTTCAAGCGCAACAATAAAGAAGTAGCATTGCAGGAAGTGGGTATCAAGACACGAAGTTATGAACATAGGTACATGCGTAGTAAGCCAAAGAAGCCACAAACACCTTGCTCAAACATAAGAGTAAAAGATTTAAGAACTGACGCATCATCCAACCGTCCTCAATCATATGTCCGGCTACCCACTGAACAAGTCCGCACAGCCCCAGTACTGCTCCACACCCAAGCTACCTGGAGCCTTCCACATATCATTCTGGTAAGAGAACATGACCGACCTCGATCCGGCCTTTGACAAGATACTGTTGATAGCCGTCTTCTGGTCGTTGAGACCGGGGATAGCGACGCCACTCGAGCCGCCTTGGCTTGGCCAGCCCGTCTCCATATTATAAGCTTGCTTCTGGTTGTTGCAGCTTCCGGCCAACATACTCAGTTGAGAGGCCACGAAGTCACCAGCATTGGAGGCGACTGTCTGGCCGTTGAAGAAGGGGTGGATGTTCGCCGCGATCACATCGACGACAGGGCAGATGGTGTTGGCGTTGGTGGTGATAGCATCGACTGTGTCGGTCGTGGTGACAGGGCCATTGTACCCAGCAGCCTGGAACTTGCTCTTGCAGTCCGAAATTCCTGCCGCCAGAGCGGAAGCGGAAGCATATTGGTTAAAAATGGCCTCGTTGCCGAAGACGACCATTCCAACCATATCCCATTGTCCTTGCCCCCATTGGGTGAGAGTGCTGATCTGGTCGTTCGTCTTGCTTCCAATACCTGAACCATCGATGAAGATACCGAGAATCATCTTGAGACCATTGGCCTTGGCCGCTGAACCGACATTCTGGGGTCCAGAGCAGTCTGTTGCGTAGAGACGGACGCTGGTGAAGCCCTTGGATTTGATGTCCGCAATGTCAGAGGCGACGGTGCTGGCGGATTTGCAGGTTCCGTCATTGGCGTAGGGGGTGTAAGCCATGGCCCATTGGTTGCCGTTGGTGGAGATACTGCCGGAGGAGGAGCTACCGGATTGCTTGGGTGCAGCGCTTGATGACGGAGCGGCTGAGGAGGAGGGAGCAGCACTTGATGATGGAGCTGCCGAAGAGCTTGAGGATGCGTAGTACGCTTGAGGTGGGACCCAGGAGCTCGTCTGCACCCAGCTACTTGTCGAGGACGTGGTCAAGGGAGGTGGAGGAGTAGACGAGGAAGCCGAAGACGAAGTAGAAGATGTCGTAGACGTCGTTGATGGTGGTGGCGGGACAGACGATGAGGACGACGATGTTGTAGATGATGTCGTTGGCTGGGTGCTAGTGCTGGAGCTCGTGGTGCTGTTTATCGATGCTGTCGCGGGTTGAATGCTAGTGCTCGTCGAGAAGACGAGCGATGTAGTGTTCGAGGCAATCGATGTGCTCTGAATCGGTACCAGAGTAGGCTCTCCATACCAAGTCGTCGTATAGGTCGTGCATCCACAAGCAGTGCTTGTGGCATTCGTCGCATTGCTCACTATCGATCCAGTAGGCTTGAAGACCGGCACAGGCGAAACCCACTTGGTCATGATCTCTCTCTTCTCCTCATGCAAGTTATGGTGATGTCCATGGTGAGCAGCGCTGACAGTCGTCGCAACGAATCCGGTAGCCAGAAGACTGGCGTAAAAGAGTGTGTACATTTTTCGCGAAGAAGAGAGCCGCTGAACGAGTGAAGCGACGTAGTATTATGGATTAGTAGAATAGCATAGAACGACCGTCGTCTCCGTCTTCAACACATCAACCAGAAGAGACAGGATGGAGGGAGCAGAGAGAGCGCGCCCCGGCGTGAGGGCGTCGCAATATACTTACGATCGTGTATACCGTACCTGTGTGCGCCTCTACCGTAACAGCGACTCAATCGTCCAATCCTACGTTGGCTACCAAGCCATGAAGTCCAATTTCGGTTCTCGAGGCCTTCCCATTTTGTTGATAAGCTCGCCAGACCGTTGGCTAGTAGAGTTGGTGAAATTGCGGAGCGGAAAATTGCGAGTAAGCCGGGCTCATCATGGGGTAGGTGCACCAACCCCTGCTCGCCTTATAGGCTTGACGGTAAATGTGATAGACATGAGTACCGAGTCGAGGTAATGCTGATCTCGTGTACATGATTTGGTATGGCGCTACTACGACGATGATGTATCGGCCACTGCAGGATAGTAGTCCCGCCCATAAGTCCCATTTAGCGTAACACTACCACTAACTTCACCAGTCTCCAACCGTACCCACGTCTCGGCAATATTGTGTTTAAGCTGCTGCTCGGTGACCAGAATCTGCCTACTCCCGCGAGTCCAGCTTCCATAGCCTCCATAGCCGCTGTGTCGGCCAAAGCAGAGATCAAGACCATTACCAGTCAAGTTCATGCCTGGGAGCTTCGAGTCCCACTTAAAGCACCAGTCGTCGCCGTGGTCATGGCCAGAGAAAACACTGATGAGGTTTGGTGTATCGAGAAGCGCCTGCATGAAGGGGATATCCTGACCGCCATAGGTGGCTACTGTGCCAGAGACATCGCCTTGGCCTTGAGCGTAGCCTTGTTGAGCAAGAGGATCATCGTCGTTGATGCCAGGCTCGTAGTGCAGTCGTACACCAGTATCATTCTTGCTTTGCTGGAAGGCGAGCATCGCGTTGACTGGAATGTGTACAAAGGCTAAGGATGGCACGTCTTTGCCATACTTCGAGCACAACTGAGCTCGGGTCGCCGTAAACCAGTCGACAACGCTTTGATCGACGAAATTTGGCTGGGTTACTGACTTGCCGTCACTTGTTGTCTGTTGGTAATAGTTGCCACCTGAATGCGGTCAGCCTGATGACTGCAGATAAATTATGAAATCTCATGGCACACCTCGCGAATCGAAGAACCATAAGAGCAGCTCAGGGACTTTCTGGTCGCCGTTCGAGCCGTGCACTGGTAGCCAGTAATTGGACACGCCGGCAGTACTTGTATGCACGTCTTGTCTGGTGAGAGAAAGTGTCCAAGACTGTTCGCGCTGCAGGATTTCATAGCGAGATAGATTGAAGTCGCTATCGTGGTTCCCATATGTTGAGGCCCAGGCCAGATTCCTCTGCAACAGTGGCTGCACAATTTCATTCACGTAGTTCGTGCTATTCTGCTTGTAGGTGTTCTCACCGGTGATCAGATCGCCATTGAGCACTACCAGCTGCGGATGCTCGTCATCCAGGATGCTGTTCATGACGCGGGTCGAGTTAACATCTTGCTGGGGACCCCAGACTAGGTCTTCGGCCTCGCCATAGTGAAGATCCTCGAAGACTGAGATCTGGAATGTGCCACTGTTGGTGAATCGAAGTGTGCGGCCTCCACCGCCATAGCCATGCTGAGGTGCAGCGAGGGCAACCTGAGTGGCAGCAGCGACACCGACGAGCTTGGAGAAGATGTGCATCATGGTGGGTATGGCGAGAGGGGTGAAAGTGAGGTGAGAGGTCATCTTGTCGAGATCTCACATTTTCATCTATGGGCTTTTGCCTACCTTCCTGCTTCTCGCCATCATGCTCAGCACCTAGCAGCCATTTGTTCGACCACGTGAAAGTCGATGTACGGAGTGCTAGTCGAGTTGGGAGACGCCACCTTCCGTGTCTCGGTATATTGCCGACAGACACTCATCACCACGTTGGAACAACCGTGCGTGGTCAACCTGCTTTGACTACATGAAGCTTGGTGCCACGGAAGAGAGACGTTCATGCCATCCAGATCATTGGAAGAGAGTATTTCCATTCCTTGGGAGTCGTTATCAGTATTCCCGGGTCTAACAAGATTTATCCGCCGTATCTTTGCCAGGGGCCGCAGGTACATGACGTGAGCGTTAGTCGCCAGAAGCATCTAGAGATCTGAAATCGTCGGTCTATTTTCGAATACATATCGTATACGTCGGTGATCTCTTGGAATCATATCGCACATTGGAGCGCTGCATTTGATTACTTTGCTGACCTGATCGCCCGAGTACCAGTACGTACCGCGCCGAAGATTCCATCATCGCGTGAGCACGAAATCTACAAAATTTGTGGCAACCCACTGTTCTCTTACATCTTCAATACGCCCCACCAAGCGATCCTGCATACAAGGTCGCCAAACTGTTCTCTCGCACTTTCCGCGCCGCAAGGCCTTTGCGCTCCTCAGTCTCTCTACCACTTGCAGCAGCGGCCGCATTCTACAAACCAGGTCAAAGCAGCGGAGGATCACTCATTAGCGAAGCGGCCAACTCGGCCTCACCAACCACTACTTCGATCGTCCAGCAGAGTCGCAAGATGCATAGCAAACTTGTCATCATCGGCTCCGGGCCAGCAGGCCATACAGCTGCCATCTATGCCTCCCGCGCCGACCTTAAGCCAGTGATGTATGAAGGCTTTCTGGCTCTGGGCATAGCGGCTGGTGGTCAGCTCACGACTACGGATGAGGTGGAGAATTACCCTGGCTACAAGATGATTAGGGGTAGCGAGCTCATGGACGAAATGAGGGCGCAGAGTGAGGGATGCGGGACCGAGATTATCAGTCAGACAGTCGGCAAAGTAGACCTGAGCAAGAGGCCTTTCAAGTACTGGTTACATCCTATGGGCGACGACGACAATCTGGAAGAGGAGGTGCACACAGCCGACAGCATAGTCATTGCCACTGGCGCCAAAGCGAGGAGGCTTGATCTGGCTGGAGAGGAGAAGTACTGGGGCAATGGTGTCTCTGCATGCGCTGTGTGTGATGGCTCTCTACCCATATTCCGCGAGAAGCCTCTAGTGGTCATCGGAGGTGGTGACAGTGCCGTGGAGGAGGGTGTATATTTGACGAAGAAGGCTTCCAAGGTCACAGTGCTCGTACGAAAAGATCAGCTTCGAGCAAGCAAAGCCAATGCACGACGATTGGCCAGCAATCCCAAGGTCGAGATCAGGTACAATACTCAAGGTGTGCTGATAAAAGGCGACGAAGGCCCTCGAGGCCTGATGAAGAGTCTGGTGATCAAGAACAGCAAGACTGGCGAGACCGAGGAAATTCCAGCGAATGGACTATTTTACGCAGTTGGTCACGAGCCAGCGACAGCGCTCTTCAAGGGTCAATTGAAGATGGACGAGGATGGGTATATCATCACCACACCTGGCACTACGGAAACCACCGTCCCTGGCGTCTTTGCAGCAGGTGATGTCCAGGACAAGAAGTACAGGCAGGCTGTGACTTCTGCAGGGTCAGGCTGCATGGCCGCGTTGGAAGCTGAGAAGTGGCTAGCCGAGCAGGAGGATATTGATGTGCCGAACGGCGTCAATGGTGTCAAGGGTAGGGCGGAGAAGGGCAAGGCAGAGACGAATGGTGATGTGCCGGAGTATCGAGAGAACCCTTTGCTGTAAGAGACTCGTCGGATACCCCTTGTTGCTTTTTGATTTGCGGCTGATCGTTGCTTGTCTTTGCAGGGTCGATAGGACGAGATGATCAGACATAGCGAGAATGCATAGCGATGCGGTCGAGATTCTAGAGCATGCGCTTGTGCACTAGTGCATACTGAGCCGTAGTGAGAAGCGCGAAATGATCAGCGCGAAGGATAGAGCTAGCATAGATCAAGCGACGCTCGAACGCTTGCAAATCATATCATCATTTCAATCGTATTCCTCAGAGGATTGTACAGCAAGCCGCGTGATGGGCACATGCTCTCGGTGTAGTCTGCTCGCGTGGGATTCTCTTGCGTGCGAAAGCGGCAAATGGTCGTGGTCGAGAAAGGTCTTCAGGCGCCGGCGACGAGCTTTCCGTGATACACGCTGGTAGAAACGTAGAATAGCCGGTAATGCCTTCGAACACGTCAGGGTCACTCAACATTGCCGATGCTGCTGAGCAGACGTTACTGACTGCCCTCATGTTCCGAGGAGCTGAAGCGCACTTTTGAACGCATCGACCACTTTGATATCTGCAATTTTATTTTAGCAGGGTCCTATAATGTGGCTACTATTGTGAACATACAATGACCTCGTTTCTGCTCGAGCTCGTCTTCCTCGTGTCGGACATATGCCGTTTGTGTCTTCAGTCTGATCAATGTGTAAGCCGACTGCCCTTGCCATGTCATCAAAACCCGTGTTGGCAAACCTCTTGAAGCTGCGTCCTACTTCGTGCGTCTGCATCGAATCTGCCCAAATACCAAAGAACTAAATGTGGTCAGCTTGTGTCAATTGAGATTTTGGACGAAGTCATACATCGCAAAGCTGACTGAACTCGTCCACGATCTTCAGCTCGTTGTGCTGGAGCTCTGTCATTCTATCATGATAACGAGCCTGCAGATCCGTCCAGTCGAAGTCTGCGATTTCGTCTTGTGGTTCGCTCGGCATGAGTGAGTGCAGCACTTCTTCATCGTCTGGAATGGTAGATTCGCTCGTTACATCTTCCAATTGCGAAGCTTTTGCTTGGGTCGACGCAAGATCTGTCTGAGCGTCACGAGGTTTCTGACTACCTTGGCCGGATCGAGGAGGCTGTTGCTCCTCTCGCTGTGAGGGATCTGCTGGCTTTAACGGCGGAGGCATCATGGGCTGTGTAATTTTAAACGTGCTTGGCAATTCGGAATCGTTGTCGTCAGTCTGGGAGCTTGATATCTTGATAGGCCTATCTTGAGCAACTTCATCATCTGTGGCGTTAGCAGCGTGCTGTTGAAGCTTTTGCTCGTCATCATGAGAGCGCTTTCGTGAATTTGTGGCCATTCCTTCTGTCTCTTCCACTGCGGTAGAAACAACGGGCGGAGAGCTTGGAAAGCCAGGAGACGAGCTACCCGACCTTCTTCTTGGCTCGTCTTGTGGCTGCTCCCGTATGTCACCAGTCAGTGTGGAAGATGACATACCGTCATGTTCAGATATTGGTCGTGAATAGGAAAAGGTGCGCGAGACATGAAGTCAAGCTGACCGCGTCACGCGCCTCAGGCCAACGCGAGGCAGGCGCGAACGTCACCCTCCTTCATCGTAGACATATCCCGTGTTGCACATATACTGTACAACAATCCTATTGTGCAGAGCGGGATAGCGCAGTGAGTCAGCGGATAGCTTGCTTGCTGGAACAGTCATGAAAAGGAGAAGGAGAGAAGCTCGACGTATAGAAGCTGACTGATAGCACCCTGGTCGCCACTTTGAACAAGTGATGGATTGCCACATATGCTCGCGGGAGTTCAATAGCAAGCGCAAGCCAACATGTGCGTCTTGCGCGCAAGCTGTGCTCTATACACCTCGATTACAACATGTCAGGGGACTTCTGGATCGTGAAAAGCATCACACGTCCGTGGAGGCTGTCGTACAACCCGGTCGAGATGGTATCATCGCTGCTTTACCACAGGATGTCGACCTCGATACTATTACTGCTGGCATCAGGAAAGATACTCGGCGGAAAGCCATCGATGAACAGCAGATTGTTGAGGCGAGAATCGATAACATCATGAAGAAGACAGACGAGCTTCGGCAGCAGCTGGATCGTGGCAAGCAGTGGATCGCGCAGGCTCGAGAAGGCGATGTGAAACGACGTGCTGAGATCGCTGCAGAGAGGAAGCAGCTGGAAAAGGAGAAACCGAGGGCACTGGATCCTGTCTCACTTGCTTCGTCCAAGGCCCGGCAAAGACAGGAGAAAGTGCACAATCGGACAGTCGATGCTCGCAGCCTTCTCTGTCGAGAGTCTGCTCTCCTTGCCGGCCTCGAAAGACGTCAAGGCTCAGGTGGTGAAGTGCAGTACTGGCTTGGTGGTGTACCGATCTTTGATCTGCGTAGACTGGCACGTATCAAGCCTTACGAGAAATCTCGGGTGCCAGAGAGCGAGAAGGAAGGGAGGCCGAAATCGCACGAGCTGATATCTACTGGTCTTGACAATGTTTGCCGGCTGCTTGGCAACTGCTGTCACTATCTGTCCATACGCTTGCCATCAGAAGTCATTTTACCATTCAACAAGGACTCTCACGCTACCATACTGCCGGAAGAGATTGCGTACAAGCTCGAAGCCCCATTTAACTCCGAAGCCGCTACCAATAAGGCGCCTCCGCCAACCACAACTAAAGCGCCAGCCGAGTCCAATTTCATCACAAAGAATGCTCCACGACCTTTGCACATCACCAGGGGCCTGAGTCGGCTGTTCAAGGAAAATCACTTCGAATATCTAAGGTTCACTGAAGGCGTGATCTTCTTGGCCTACAACGTGGCATGGCTCTGCACGTCGCAGGGTCTATCAACCATCAACACTATTGACGATGTCTACAACATGGGCAAAAACCTCCATGATCTATTCTTAGGTGATGATCGACCACGTCCACCATTACTGCGCAACATCTCTTCTGCGACTACGCGGACAGACAACTCGAGGAGAGGCCCCAGTGTCTCAGAGGCTCCTCGTCTTGGAGCCTGGTCTCACGGTACCGCACATCATTCGCTAAGTAGTGCAGATGCTGTACGCACGATCCGCGAGTGGCAGGCGAAGCTACCACCAGTGTCTGGGTTGATCGAGAACCTACAGAACATTCTTAACCATGAGATAGCTGGGGACGAGTGGGATATGGTCTCGGTGCAGGAAGGGGAGGAGCAGCCCGAGAATGATCAAATTGCGGTACTTGTTGGTGGGGTCGAAGTTGATCCTGCTATGAGCATCATGAGCATCAGACCAAGTGATGGCGCTGAAGACGATCTTGTAGCTAAGGCGATCGCGAGACAGCAGGCTCACAGGAACGAGAAGGGTAGTAGTGGGTGGATGCGAGTCCGTCCAAGAGGTGGAGATGGCTGAGCTACCTGCTGGGAGATATTTTAGACATCCATGAGTCTTGATCTCGCACAATCTCACCCCGTCCATCTTGCTGGTAGTGCGTGGAGGGCATTCATCCGTCATTTCTCCATATTGATCGTGGTCATGCCAAGACTTTGGGCGGAACATCACCGCGCTACCCTTGCCTTCGTCATTGTTTGAACAAAAGTTTTGAGAATGGAGTCGCATGTGACATGGATATCCCGTCGCAAACCATAACATCATAACTCAAGCATCATGTCGGGCATGATAACAGCGACAACTTGGGTACCTCGAGGAAAAGCAGCGGCACATCCTACGAAGTATGAATTCAACGAGGACGAATATGAACGAATTGTGAAGGCTAGCAAGCTGGAATTGGATGATGCTCGAGAGGGACTTGAGGATGCGAAGCAGAGTATTGCGAAAGCGAATGGTGCAGCAGAAAGTGTAGCTGCCAGGGACACAGTGAATGGCACCGAAGAGCAAGACGAGGTAGACGAGGATGAAGAAGATGACGATCTGAAGGAGTACGACCTCGACAACTATGATGATGAACCTCAAGCGATGGATGAGGACGGTGCAGAAGACGACGAGGAAGAGGGGATGGACAAAAGCATTTTTGGGACACTGGGATCATTATCGTACTACAAGGATAACAACGATGATCCTTATCTGACACTGCCCACCACTGGAGATGCGTCGGACGACGACGAGCGAGAAGAGCTGGAGATCACACCTAGTGATAATCTAGTGTTGGCTGTGAAGGTCGAGGATGAAGTCGCTGGACTCGAGGTGAGCGATGCTGCCAACTATAGACTGCAGTGATAGGTGCTAACGAGGAGCAGGTGTACGTGTACGAAGACACTGGGTCGGGAAATCTTTACACTCATCACGATGTCATGTTACCCGCGATACCACTATGCGTGGAGTGGTTCGACACAAGACCGAACAAAGCGACCGAGTTTGGCAACTTTGCTGCAGTGGGTACAATGGACCCGGATATCGAGCTCTGGGATCTCGATGTCGTGGACAACATGTACCCAACAGCGATCCTTGGTCAATCATCGCAAACAACTTCTGGAGCACCTATGGAGCCGGCAATGAAGAAGAAGAAGAAGAAGTCGAAGAAGGCCAACGAGCACTACCACGTCGACTCCGTACTATCACTGGCGGCCAACCGCTCACATCGCCACCTCCTCGCCTCAGCATCTGCAGACAAGACCACCAAGTTATGGGATCTGAACACCTGTACAGCCGCACACTCCTACACCCACCACACAGATAAGGTCTGCGCCCTAGCGTGGCATCCAGCTCAATCGGCTGTCCTCCTCTCCGGCTCCTATGACCGTACGATCGTCGCAGCTGACATGCGCGCGCCCAACACTACAGTGCCGCGCTGGGGCGTGGAAAGCGATGTCGAGCAGCTGCGCTGGGACCCTCATAATGACAACAACTTCTACGTGAGCACCGAGAATGGCATACTCCACTGCTTCGATGCGAGGCACATGCCCACAACACCTGAACAGAGCAAGGCAACGTGGACCCTACAAGCGCACGAGAAGAGCTTATCCTCCTTCTCGCTCAATCCTACAGTACCAGGCTTCATAGCCACAGCGTCAACAGACCGCACAGTCAAGCTTTGGAACGTGACGGAGGCTGGGCCCTCAATGGTAGTCTCCCGCGATCTCGGCGTAGGCAAAGTCTTCTCCGCCAATTTCGCGCCCGATGATGCTGTAGCATTCCGACTGGCTGTGGCGGGTAGTAAAGGTGCTGTGCAGGTATGGGACACGAGTACGAATCGTGCTGTACGTGAGGCTTTCGCCACGAGGGTCCGGATACCGGAGGTTGATGGAGAGGCGAAGGAGAGATTGGTCGGTGTAGAACTCGATGATGAGATCGAGGAGGAAGAAGCCGAAGCAGAGGAGAATGGAGGTGAGGGTGGATGGGAGAGTATGGATGAGGACTGATGTAGAAGTGTATCAGACACCTCTACGAGAGATGTCTGGATTCAAGCTGCCAGCCACGCCGTCAATACCATATTTTCCAAGCAGAGTTGTGAGACCACTGCGAAACTTCATGGTATATTCACTCATATGTCCACGGAAAATCACAATTCTGAGCTGTGATATTCGCCACTAGTACTTCATCTTCCAAGCAGATTCGAGGAAATCTCTTACGAAAAAATAGGATATACTCAATCACATCCCCACGACTTGCAAGAATTTTGAGCCATCACGTTCTCCGGCAGTATCATATTTTTTGGAGAGACTTGTGGGAACGCTGGATTGTGAGAGCAGAATAAAGACAATATTCACTTCTATCCCCATGAAAAATACAGACTATTAAGCTATCATATCGCCCGGCAGTGCTATTAGTTTTCTGCACTTTTTGGGGAAATGGGTGTTTTGTATAGGCAGGAAAGGGGTATACTCATTCACATCCCTCTTACAATTATGGGTTTTCAAGCCCCTATATCACGCTGCAGTAGTGTATCTTCGAGAAATATATACGGGAAGATTCCGTGGAAGAATGTTATCGTACTGTCATCTCGTCTGTAGAAACTACTTGGATTTTACGATCCGTACTTGAAGAAGGCCCGAAGCTCACCAATCGCTTTCAGCAACTTCGCCTGCTTCTGTTCGTCTATTATAGACGATTTGACGAGCTTAGTCGACTTGTTGAGGTGAATGTAAGCATTTCCAGACGATGCAAGCATCGACAGGATGTTGTAGGCGTAGACTTTCGTCTCTGGACGAACACCATCCTCGATTACGATCTCTCAGCACAAGCCACGACAAATCTCATGCTTTCCTTCGTCCAGACGACTCTGTGCTTGCTCCAACACTTTCTCCCAATCCCGAGTTGCTATTACCGAGTCCAGACGAGGCATAGGAAGCGGTGGGGGCTCCTTGACACCAGAGCGAGAGCGTTTGAACGTGGTGAGCGAGTCGACGATTGCAGATGTGGTCTTGTTACGATGCAAGATCGGACGATTGGCGGAAGCGGGCGAGATTTCGGCGGGCTTCTGATTCTCCCTCCTATGGGACGGCGCAGTAGCTAGTGTGCGGTCCTGTGATACGTTTTAGCAAGGCCAGGCGATTGGAATGTTCTTACTGACTGCTTTTGCTGCTGCAAGGGACCTCTGCTGTACAGTATAAAATACGATTGATCAGAGTGGACTTTCTCTTGATATGGCGAAATCGTAGAAAAGGAGAAATCCTTGTAGAAGATCTCTGCAAGTGTCTGCAGTGGCAAAGCTGGCCAGGAGGACTTTGTGCTGTATTGGAGAAAATATGTGCTGGGTAACGTGTTGTAGTGGTTCTTTAGGGGAAGCTGCTGTGTTATTCTTGACGAAAATGAGTTTTTTGTTGCAACAGCGCATCTATAGAGAGGAGAGTGTACTGTGTTTTCTCTCTGCCAGAGATTTGTCTTCTAGTGGCCAGCTGGGGAGGAAGTCGTGCTGTAACGTCCTAGCGTATGAAGATGAATGTGTCGAGATCGGCCTCTGTGACTGCTACAGTGACAGGCGTGGTTGTTCAAGGAGAACTTCTTGTGCCAGTGGGGTGGAGAACGCAGAGGTGCTGAATCGAGTCTTTGAACTTCAGGAGGCTGAGGAGCTGCTGCTCGCTGAGCAAAATACTCTGATGTATTAGTGTAGTCGTAGGAAGGCGGATCTGCGGCTGTTGACCACTGTGTAAGCTAGTCTTGCGGTTTTGTACGGAGGGAATTTGGCGAGTCTGTGAGGGGGCTGATGTGATCGTTCTCGAGCCTCGAGGGAAGCTGGTCCGTTGTATCTGCCTGAAGGGGTTGCTTTCTCGCAGTGTTGTGGTTGTAAGTTGGTCAAGGTGTGAGAGAAAGCCGCAGGAGTTCTTCTTATCGCTGTGCCAACGAACAAACGCTCACTGCCGCCGTTTGCACATGCCATTACGCCATTCTGATGAGAGTGACTGGCCACGGGAAGCCCTCTCATTCGGTCGAAGGGCACACGTGTTCGCGGGAGTGCCCTCTTATCAAGGCGTTGAGTGCCCTGGAAACGCAGTGAGCGTTGACGAGGAAGGCACGCAAGATAAGAGGGGTCTGTCGAGGTAAGAGCACTCCGTCTTGGGTCGTGGCCACGTGCTCTCCTGGGTCCAGAAACGGGCTGAGCGCAGGACGAGATCGATGTGAAGGAAGCTCTTCGCAAGCCCAGCAGGGCCCTTTCTCTTGCCTCTGCGTGCTTCCCAGCGTCTCGTGTGGACAGACTATAAGCCCTTCCAGGACCGAAGCTCATTGGCCGCTTGCAGAACATCTTCCGTTACCTCCTACCTGAGCAAAGAATACGCCGGCTCAACGAGGCGAAGAGACAGCTGTTCGGCCGATGATCTTCGCTCTGTGGCATATCAAGCACCTACTCGACATCTCGAGCGCTGTATAAATCCAGTCTCGAGCTCCCGGAAAATGGCTTTTCCCAAGCACTCCTGAAGCGCCATGAACCATCGAGTCTCCACCAGTGACCCATAAGCAAGAGCGACGAGCATGGAGACGGAGAGGCGATCATGAGAGCTTACAAGTCCTGGTTTGTTGTCCACATATGTCGCTTGCTTCCTGGCGGTAATCTCTTGATTCGGGTTGACATAAGACATATTTCATTGTTATGCAGGATCTGCTCGGGCTATGCCATACCTATACCACAAACAATCACATGCCAGGTGAAAAAACATGACGTACCTCTCAGGCCATAGAGGCGCTCCCAATTGGCCCCGACCATCTTCGATAATGCATGCAAGCATCTTCATCAATCGTAAAGTCATCGTATCGCCTTTGCTCCCACTACCACGCCATGCTCTGCCATCCGCACGCTAGAATGAGAACATTGACTCAAGTCACTCACCGCAAGAACCATAAAGCGCCTCCCGAACGAGCCTCAACCATCAGAATCATGGGTATCATCACTCATCGCGCCATCAACAAGTCTCACCTCAAAGATCATTATACCCGAGAACCCGCTTCGTCAAGCCACGATCCGCTACAGCCCATGTCCAAGCTCGCCCGGCCTCGCCACCAAAGAGCGATTCCGGAGCTGATGAAGGGTCGAGCAGGCCGTCTTTCTCCATGGATTTGATTTCGTGGCCTGTGGTGTAGGTGAGGAAGTGCTCGAAGTCCTTGTCTTCGAGTGCTAGGGCGTTGCCGGAGATGCCTATGAAGATGTGTCAGTGGCCATATTAGTACGATAGGGAGAATACTGCGTGTATACCGTGGCACAGACAAGGCTCCTTCGTCAGTAGTCCCCGCTCGAGTATACACTCCCTGCCCTTAGCGATCGCCTTCTCGATCTTGTCCTTCAGGCTTGGGAAGTACTCTCGTATGCTCTGCAGACTGATAACCACACCCGGTGCACCATGGCAGATTTGCACCAGCCTGTCCTTCTCTGGTGGTATACTGCTCGGAAAGTTGCCACTCTCGTACTGATATGTCAGGAGTACCGCGAGCTCCATCTCCAGCTTTGGCGCATACTTGGTAGGATTCGTGAGGACGATTTGCGTTATGATGCCGAATGCACCGTGCACAGCTCCGACATATGCCTTGCCATGCCACTTCCACGGTCGTGGTGTCTCCAGGATAACGTCGATGACGTCGTCTTGTGTATCCGTGATCAACTTCAAGATCTCCGGTTTGTCGATGAAGGAAGCCTTGACTAGCCGTAGTAAGTACAAGTATCCAGCCCGACCATACAACCACTCGTTCTCCGTATCCGGATCCAGCACTTCAGCGGAGTAATCGCACAGATCCTGCGCCATCTCTGCTTCCTTACTACTCGCCGCTCCAATTGCCAACAAACACAGCACATCGTCCATGACACCACATTTTCCTGGTTGTGGTCCGGGGTATGTCTGGAAATTCTTCTGGGCGTGCTCGAGGTAGGCGGCTGACCAGGTGCCCAAGTGTCGTTGTTCGATCTCGAGGTCTGGGTAGAGTTGTTGGAGGACGAGGAAGGTGTAGGCAACGCTCACTGGACCATGGAAGAGCCCACCGCCAGGGCGGAGTTTTGAGGGTGGGTATTCTTTTACTAAGCGAGTGAGGGAGGCTTCGAGTTGGCGGCGTGGGTCTGGAGTGGTTTGTTAGTCACGTTGAAGGCTGCATATATTCTCTCGAACTCGTTACCTCTTCTCGCTGCCGGCGCGTCGTTCTTGAAGTATCGCGGAGGCATGGTGCCAGATTGTGTTGCTCTTGATCAGACCATCGGAGGAATAAGTAGTCGGGCGCTACCTATGTTGCTGAGCTCGCCAACCGTAGGTGAGATGTAAGATCGTTCACAGAGTCTTTTGATAGGTCACGAGGACTGATAGCCTTGTTCTCGTGCTCTGTTGACATGCGACTCGAAAAGTGGAAGCCCTGTGACGTTGGCCTCGCAGGACGGAGCTCGGCGCGAGCCCACATGACTGCCACCTTCATAATCGTCTCATCTTCACTTCGCTTGGAAGCATCTGACACAACTATGCACACGGTACGGTGCTTTCAATGAAACAGAGTGTGTCTGAATGATGCTCCAGAATCATGCGGCACGAAACATGCGGCATACAAGGCCTTTCCATGCCCTCCAAGAGCACTCCCGAGTCTAAGAAGAGACGATTGTGGATGCATTGTCCAAGGCCACGTTGGTGACGAGGTATATCTCAGGCCTGCAAGGCTACGGCTCACGACTAGAGCGAGGTAACAGATCAAGAGCGCCATGTCTTCACGTGACAGAATTGTCGTTCTTTCCTTGTTCGGCGTCAAAGCTTATGCTGCGGGGCCAATCAAGGTATATGCGACTCGAGCTTCTTTGCGCGCTTATCTTCGCGGCCTGATTCGGGGCAACTTAGCATTAAGTGTTGACTGCTTCGATGCCATAACAGCATCCCAGACTTCGCCCTCACTCCCAGTAGCTCAACATAAGTCAAAGGTATGTGCTAAGCTGCCGTCTGTGTGTCACATTACTGACTGGTATAGACCATCGCAAGCAGCAGAGTTGTAGCGTTCTTGTCCAGCTGTGATCAAAACCCTCTCGGCCCAGGTCGATTGCCTGAGCGACCAGGTAGCAGCCATCACAAATGCCGTGACGACGCTCGGCAGTGCTGTCACCGCCCTGAAGCAGACACTCGCTAAGACCAGGCAGCCCCGAGCTCGACTTTAGTAAAATTAGAACATCCTTTTGGCCTTCCGCAACCGATCAAACTACCAGATCTCTTGGGGCTTTGCGGACAAGCTGGGCGAGGTCCGGCGCCATCAATCTTGTATTGCCTTCATCGACACGGCCGACCCCGACATCAAGGACTCACACAGACACGAGTGGTACGAGGCAGATGGCATGCTCGGAATCATGATCTGGAACGAGCATGTCTACGAGCTGACCAATAGCATATTTGGGCATCAGACGTCGATACTTTGGATCAGAGGAGTCTTGTCGGCGAGACTTGTCAGATCCTTGAAGCCACAGGTGACGACGTCGTGGAGGAGCGCCAAGGTTATGCCTGTATCTTCCGCTTATCGAATGGGCTTTCAGTCTTCGAGCTTGGGATGTTCCGGAACTGTGAAGCTCCTTCGAAGGCGTTGATGGGCAAAGCACGGCTGGAGAAATGGAGAAGAACGACCACGACAATCAACGACGTACATTACGGCTACGTGGGTGGGGAAAGCAAGATGGTGGACTTTTGCTGGAAGGCGGTGCATAAGAAGGGTGTTCGTCAGGAGTGGAGGCGCAAGCGACGGCAGCTGTGAGTGGACGTCTGACCAGCGTGTTGGAAGTTGTATACCTGACAACGATGTCTACTATCGGGCTACAGCTTGATAGACTGCTTAGCCTCGACATTCATTCGCTCCCTGGCATAGCGCTTCAAGAGAACAAATGATCCAACAGAGCTCTATCATCAGGCGACTCCAATCACTTTATCCTGTCCAACCTCGCCCGATTCATAGCGATCTGATCATCCACCTTATCAGTCTTCTTACTGATGCGCTCAAGATGCTTATTCTGACTCTCAAGCTCGGCACCCATAGATTTGCCGATCCTGTTGATAGTTTTCGCGCCCTCGTGCAATGCAGCGCTGGAACGAGTCAGTATTGTCTAGGCCATCAGAGGTATCTTGCAGACACTTACAGATTGTCATCAATCTCGTCCTCCATCTGGTCATCGTCACTGTCGGCCTCGAACTGGAATCTACTACGATCGGCCAGCTTGCGCTCAGGGTTCGCGGGCTGCGTGGTCTTACCACGCAGATCACGCTGCGCTCCCTCCTTTCGTACTTGACTGTCGTACCTACTTTCGCGACTATCTTCTACAGTCTTACGTTGATGCTTGTGCTTCTCCAGTTCATGCTGAATGTCCTTCTCGAAGCGCTTATCTCTACCGACCGGGTTCTTGAATTGTACCGCGAACATGCTCCGATTGAGGGTCTTTAGTTCTCTTGCCTTCTCCTCGGCACGCTTATTCTCGAAACCGGCTTTATCGAGATGAGACTCAGCATTATGAAGCATGTCGCCTTGCCGACCAAGGCGAGCTAAAGTGTCGCGTCCCGTTTGCTCAATTTGCTCGGTGATGCGGATAGCATTGCGCGTCGCTGATACGTCTGATCGTTTGAGATCGCGGATCTGGTCTTTTGTTCCTTGTACTTCTTGGTCCTCGATCTCTTCCGCTGTCAACTCGCGCTCCTCACCGTAGCCATAGGCACCAGGCGCACCATAGCCACCGGAGTTCTCGTAGCTCGAGTCACCATTCTGTTCAGGGTTCGTAGCTGGCCCTTGATCTTGGGCCTTTTGAGCTCGTGATGGCGCGTCACCAAAAAGCTGTTGCCTGCCAGCATCCGTGGTAATGGTTTCCTGGCTTCCTCCCCGACCACCAAAGCCGCCGTAACCTCCTGATCCGTATTGTGATTGTGCGGGAGCTCGATCGTTGCCATAAGGGTTGGCATTGCCGTAGCCATTTGCCTGTCCGTTGCCTTGACTCTGATAGCGTGGTGCTCCACCATATCCACCCTGTGGTACTGGCGACTTCTCATATCTGTTGGGTGCGGGTCCAGACTGGTAGCTGGGCGGCTGAGTTCCCGCTTCGCTTTTCAGTGTCAGGCTCCCAAAAGATGATGTTGGAGGTTGAGTAAGCGATGATTGGGAGCGAGGCGCATATGGATCATTCGGTCCAGCTTGATTGGCATACGGATTTGTATTGCGCTGGGCGTAAGGGTCGTTCGTAGGTGGTGCCGCTGCATACGGGTTGCTTGCTGCTGGTGTAGCAGATGATTTGGGCGCCTTGCTACGGCCGAACAAGGACGACTTCTGCTTCTCTAGCCCAGCGTCGCTTGAGCCGGCATCGACTTTGTCTTTCTTGGAGCTCCAACCCATCTTGATAAACTGTAGTATTCGTTTATACTTCTGGACGTGAGCCGGTATAGAATGTCAGTGGCAGGTGGAGGTGCAGGCACGAGCAAATGCACATGTTGGACCCTAAGGACGGCACGTAAGCTGAAACCGCAGTAGTGGCTCAGCTAGGACAACCCCACGCTGGAGCAAACTCAAGGCTCGGGCGGTCGGCCAGGGTGGCGCGCTCCGCCCGCGTCCGTCATAAACCGCAAAATCTCGGGATCTTGGGTTATTGCTGAGGAAGCATCCATCAATTAGCTCAGCCGTGTCAACTTCGCTTTTGCGTGACAGGCTGAGCGAGATTAGCAGTCATGTACGGTGGTACTCGGTACAATGACTAGGCTACGTGTTGCGACAATTTGTGCAGCCGCCCAACATGCGTAGTGCCGCCGCTGGACCTGCATGCCGCCACAGGGGTCGAGTACTCCGTCCCACTTTGCTCCCGAGCACTACTGTCCCATGCTGCCGATTGGGCGGAGTTCTTTGCCGCCCATTTGCTGTGTTCAATCTGATCCTGAGCGTCAATAACGCCACGTTTGACAGGCATACAATGTCACAAAGCTGAGAAAGTGTACAGGGAAGTCCTAACGATGCAGAAGCTGCCGTCGCGGAGACGAAATTGGTCTATATCGTCAGGTCACAGTAGCGACGGAATGCCTCGCCGCGAGGTTTCGCAGCCTTTCGTGCGAGGTTGCGCCTCAGTAAACCATGGTCGTTTCGCCTGGTCCTCTAAGCGCTTATTCGACTCTTCTCTCTTATAGCTGTGACTGCCGCATCATGGATGGTGTCGTTGCGTTCGTACCGTTGAGCCATGGATGGCCCCCGCCCTGACTCTGCAATCGACCTCAACATCAACCATCCAGCATACGAGCCTCTGCATGAAGACGAGATCCGGATCTTATTCCTGGATCCAGGCAGCAATGAAGAGCAGCTCTCGGGCAGGCTTGAAGTGGTCGACCTCCACCATGCACCGGACTTTTGTGCTCTGTCGTACGCATGGGGCGACCAAGTCAGTACGAAGGGACATCTGAAGCTTCATGACGGGCGCAAGCTTGAGGACGGGCATAAGCCTGATGACTGGGAGGAGCTACCTCTTATGGCATCTCTGCGAGATGCTTTGCACACTATGCGACGACCTGATGAGTCACTCGTCATCTGGGTTGACGCCATCTGTATCGATCAATGCGACGAACCTGGGATGAACGTGGAGAAGAGCAAGCAGGTTGCCATCATGGCCGATATCTATTCGAAAGCATCTGAGGTGCGAATTTGGCTGGGATACCTTGCCAGTCCTGCGCCTTTGGTAAGTACGATCGTTAAGCTTCTTCATGAACACGCCAAGAAATATCGAGAGTGTCTGGCTGTTTTGGATGTTGCTACCGAGGAGGAGCTGTCTGAATATTACACAGACTATCAGCAGGGCTACACTGGTAACATACGCAATCCCATCATGAAGACTAGCGAGCCCGATAAGATGCTGGCCCATTTTTATGCGTTCAGAATGTCAAGTCTATTGCATTATATGCCAAGGAGGTTGAACTGGAGCTTAGGAATTGACAAATCACCTCGGGAGGAATGTCCGGTGTTGAAAGGGTTCCCGATCTCGCTGGACCAAGGCTTGAGTGCTCTCGAATCCCTTTGGAGCTCGGCTTGGTACGGGCGATACTGGGTCATACAGGAAGTTGTCAAGGCCAAGCAGGCTATCTTTTACGCCGATCAATGCTGTTTCCCATACCAGGATCTCGTGGATGCAGCCGAGATGCACTATAAACTCGCGGACTGGACCACACTCAGCGAGGCAGAAGCGTGGGACCTGAAAGACCTTGCAATTCACGCACAGGTACAGCTCGGCGGCAAGATCGATCGACTTTCTCGCCACTCTAACGCCTGTCCCGTCACTGAGTTACTTGATGTTATTGAGCTTCCTTCACTGAGGGGCAGTATGAAAAAGTCGCACGATCGAGTCTATGCCGTGCGTGCTCTGTCAAGAATAATCGGCAAGTCGGACTTACTATATCCAGATTACGAGCTCGACATCTCCGAGCTTTGGAGGCTTTTCACCATATCCATCCTGCAAACCAGGGACTTCATTGAGACGAACCCAGCGCTTGTGCTAGCCTGGCCCTCAACCCAGTGGAAGGAACGCTCGCCCAGTCTGCCGTCATGGGTACCCGATCTGGAGGCTCTGACGTCCGAGAGTCTGACGAAAGCGTCGTTCTACATCAACTTCTCCGTTGAAAATTGCGCCGGTGGGCAAAGTCAATGGCAAGATATCACGACCGCACCGGACAACGACGAAGTGCTTATAGTCCGAGCTGCTTTATGCTTCAAAGTTGACCGGATCCTGCCACGCTCACAGCGACGATCGTATGCATATGGTCGTTATGCTCTATCGCTTGAGGACTTCGAAGAAGAGATCAAAGTGCAGACTGTTCCACACTATTTGCATTGCTACAAATTTGCGAAACAATATGCCATAGCATACGACTGTATAGAGGATGAGTTTGGCCAGCTCATGGCGCATGGTCAGGACCTCCGATGCCGTGCCGGCTCGTTGTTGACGTCGGAATGTGCAAAAGCCATGATTGAGCCCTATATGAAGAGAGCCGTGAGAGTGAACAAAGATCTGGCGGGTGTGAAGGTTGACATCGACCGCATGACCAAGGATCTAATGCCTTTTCTCGAGCCGGATCTACCTTACCACTTCATCGACAGCACGAGGCTCCTGGCAACCACGACCGACGGCTGGATTGGGTGGGTGCCAGCTCATGCACAACCCGATGACTATATTTACGTTCTTGAAGGTGCTCCCTTCCCTTTCGTACTACGTTATCATGAAGACGGGCACTACAAGCTCATTGGCGACGCCTGGGTGCAGGCCACGCAGGATGCAGATGTCTGGCCGACCGACGAGAAGCATGTAAGAACTATACGGATATGTTGAGGTGCCAAGACACAATCATGTCGTGTATAAAGTGTGGTTATTCCCGTATATCATGTACTACTGATCGTGCAGCCTTTCAGAGCCCGTGAAACCCTATCGTTGAAGAAAGCTCAGACCCTGTACACGTTCGTCAAGTAGTCATACCGTTCATACGAAAACCTGATAGCGATGCCCACTCGCCATCATCGTTCGGCGCAACACGCACATTTGCGGCGAGAGAGGTTCTTGGCTTATGACCGAACTCCACAATTGTGCGCAAAATGACTGTCGCATGCTAAGACCTAAAGTTGTAGTATCCTCGAGGAGCGCCTATACCTAGGAAGCTACCTAAGGCTCCTTACGCCGCGTTATAACGCGTACTAAAAGTAATAATACCTCTAACTTGACTATTATTAGAATCCTTACCCTATTTAAGGCTTTATTAGGACAATAATTAGATATTTTAGGTGCAGGCGCTCCTCGAGGATACGACCGAGGGGCACACTTTCCCTAACTTTATCATTCTAATGCGGAGAATACGACAACCACCGCAAAATCCTGGACCTGGCCATGACCCGCGCATCCAAGAAGTACAGCCTAGACCATGCAAGACGCATCGATCGTGACCAGATGTATCACCACCTTCGACCCTTCACCGACCAGTCGCTGAGGACGCATTACATCGACGACGACCGCTTGCTGGCTACCACGACCGAGGGACGACTCGCATGGGTGCCAGGAGCAAGCAAGAGTGATGATCTGGTCTGTTTGTTCCAGAGTGCGCCGTTTCCCTTCGTCTTGCGCGAGGCCGATGCTGGGTATCATACTCTAGTGGGTGATGCTTACGTGCATGGGATACAGAACGGTGAGGCGTGGCCAGGGAACGAGACGGAGATGGGTATTTTACACATTCGGTGGGGCGGGTAAGACGAGGAGGTCAGAAGCATCTTTTGTGAATTCTCGCATAGGTCATGTATAGATCGTATGGCATGGCGGCGAGCTAGTCGCCCCGAGGACTAGCTCTTCGACCTTTCTAGCTCACTTTTTGACTCTGCGCAGGTGACCTGGCGGTTGGTGGACACGGCGAAGACAGGCTTAGTTCGATCCGTGACGTTATATCAGTAGTCTGTAAATCTTCCTCCTACGAAGTCTCAACCAAGGTCCATAGCGTCCGGATCCGCCTGCTCCTCCTCATACCCGGTAGAGTACCCATGCGCAGTCTCTGTCGCAGTCTCGTGGTTCCCATAACTATACTGCCGCATCATATCCTCCTGCCTCACCTCTTCCACCACCTTGTTCCTCGCCCTCTGTCTCGCTTCAATGATAGCCTTCCGTACGGAGTCCTGTCCTTCGTCCACAGTCAGAGACTTGGGCACGCTGTACAGCACGAGCTCGTGGTGATCATCATCGCCACTGCGTTGGCCGGCCAAGACCTGATGTGGTATGCGACTGAGGCGCTTCTCGATGTCCGGGAGGAAGATGAGCTTCTCCTCTTCTGGCTCGATATCTGCTAGCTCTGCATCGAGGTCGTGTATGTACACTCGATCACGAGTATCATCCACATTCATCAGCTCGTCGCCGTTCGTGTTTTCCCATGGCACTGTGCCTGCCGGTAATGCAATGGCTGTTCCGGTTGTGGATAGTCCGGTGTTGGAGACTGGAATGTAGAGGTTGCTGTTCCCATTACGCGCATGGTTGTCTATGATACTGTGAGCGATTGGCTTCCACTCCTGCCATTTGCACCTCTTCGTACCAATGCTCAGTAAGTTGAAACGCTTGGTGAAGCGTTGATCGTCATTTAGACTTGACTCATCCGCACGTCGCTTCGTCCCCGCGAGCTTCTGCATCCCATTCGTCGCAACAGCTGCAGCCATCGTTTGCATCTCCCATAGCAAAAGACTCTTCTTCACTCACTGATTGCCCTCGAATATACCATCGTCCTTGATATAAGGTATTGCCTAAGGTGCGGCTGAAGCTCGTGGTGCCTTCTGGTCTGGATCGCGAAGCTTCCACGGCATTTGCATGCGCACAGTGTGGAGAAGCCTGCCACCGAGCATTTTGGGAGTTGCAAAAGTACCAAAATCACTACCATACCGCTGTATCGACCTCGGACTACAGCAACGTAGATACAAGATGGGCTCCACGGCGGGCCAGGCGCCCGAGTGGACCGTATGTCGATTCTTGAGTGCCATTGGAAAACATAGAGCTAACATGAGTACAGGCCCCAAAAGTGCGGTCTACCTTTCTTGAGTAAGTACCTACGAGACATATACCAGAGATTTTCAACTACGATCACTACTCGACATCATGTCATTTTGCAGCACCACTCGTCGATCGAGATGCTTTAAGAAACCCACTGACTCACAGCATCAGTTTCTTCAAGGAGAGAGGGCATACAGTCGTCGCTTCCGGCTCAGTCGTACCACTGGATGATCCGACTCTCCTCTTCACAAATGCTGGCATGAACCAATTCAAGTCCATCTTCTTGGGAACAGTCGACCCCAACTCCGACTTTGCCAAGCTCAAAAGCGCCGCCGACTCGCAGAAGTGTATCCGTGCGGGTGGCAAGCACAACGATTTGGACGACGTGGGTAAGGACAGCTACCATCATACGTTCTTTGAGATGCTGGGGAACTGGTCTTTCGGCGACTACTTCAAGAAGGAAGCGACGAAATATGCTTGGGAGCTGTTGACCAAGACTTTCAAGCTGGACCCGGATCGGCTGTATATTACTTATTTTGAAGGCAAGGCGGATGCTGGTCTGGAGCCGGATCTTGAGGCCAAGCAGTTCTGGATGGACATTGGCGTCGCTGAGGATCATATTCTCCCTGGCAATATGAAGGACAATTTCTGGGAGATGGGTGATCAGGGCCCCTGCGGTCCTTGCTCAGAAGTGCATTACGATCGCATCGGTGGTCGTAACGCTGCACACCTGGTCAACATGGACGATCCTAATGTGCTGGAGATCTGGAATATCGTCTTCATTCAGTACAACCGAGAGCCTGATCGATCACTGAAGCCGTTGCCAAACAAGCATATCGATACTGGTCTGGGTTTCGAGCGACTAGTCTCAGTGCTGCAGAACAAGCCATCGAACTACGACACAGACGTCTTCACGCCACTATTCAAGCGTATACAGGAAGTCACTGGAGCCCGCGAATACGCAGGCAAATTCGGCGAGGAGGACACAGACAACATCGATACATCATATCGTGTTGTCGCAGATCACGTTCGACTCCTCACTTTCGCCATCACCGATGGTGGCGTTCCCAACAATGTTGGCAGAGGCTACGTCGTACGACGAGTGCTGAGAAGAGGCGCTCGCTATGCACGAAAGTACTTCAACACGGACATTGGCAACTTCTTCTCCAAGATCGTGCCTACGCTTGTTGAGCAAGTTGGTGAGATGTTCCCGGAGATCAAAGCCAAGGAAGCCGATATCAAGGAGATCTTGGACGAGGAGGAACTCAGCTTCGCCAAGACGCTGGATCGTGGCGAGAATATGTTCGAGAAGTATGCGGAAGAGGCGAAGAAGAAGGGGTCGACGAGTCTTTCGGGCTCAGATGTGTGGCGGTTATACGACACTTATGGCTTCCCGGTCGATCTCACGAAGCTGATGGCGGAAGAGCGCGGCCTGACGATCGACGATGAGGAGGTTTCGCAGGCGCAAGAGAAGGCGCGAGAAGCCAGCAAGGGTGAGAAGAAGGCGGCTGCTGATCTGCTGAAGCTGAATGTGCACGACATCAATGCGCTCGAGAAGATGCCTGATGTGCCGAAGACGGACGACTCGCCGAAGTTTCAGCGTGACAATGTCAAAGGTACTGTTCGGGCGATCTACCATGGCGGCAATTTCCCGCAATCGACATCAGAGGCGCCGCAAGGTGATCAGATTGGTCTCATACTCGATCGCACCAACTTCTACGCCGAGCAAGGTGGTCAAGAATTCGACACTGGACGGCTCGTGATTGATGGTGTTGCTGAGCTGGATGTGCAGAATGTGCAGGTCTATGCGGGCTATGTCATGCACACCGGCTTCATGAACTATGGCGAGCTAAAGGTCGGCGACGAAATCCTCTGCGAGTACGACGAGCTCCGGCGGCAACCCATTCGGAACAACCACACCGGTACCCATATCCTCAACTTTGCATTACGAGAAGTTCTGGGTGATGAGATCAACCAGCGTGGATCACTTGTTGCACCGGAGAAATTGCGTTTCGACTTCTCGCACAAAGCTGGTTGCTCGGATGAGGAATTGACGAAGGTGGAGGATCTATGCACGAGTTACATCCGCCAAAACAGCGAGGTATACGCTAAAGACGTGCCGCTGTCCAAGGCGCGGGAGATCGAAGGTGTGCGTGCTGTATTCGGCGAGACATACCCGGATCCTGTGCGAGTCGTTAGTATCGGTGTACCAGTAGAAGAGCTGCTGGAGGATGTCAAGCGCTCCGAATGGCGAAGTGTCTCCGTCGAGTTCTGCGGCGGTACGCACGTCAAGAACACGACTGAAATCAAAGATCTGGTCGTGCTGGAAGAAAGCGGGATCGCCAAGGGAATCCGCCGTATTGTCGCCGTCACGGGCGCCACAGCCCACAGCGCCCAACGGGAAGCCAAAGAATGGGACGCTAAAATTACCAAGCTCGAAGCCATGCAATACGGCCCTGACAAGGAAGCCGCCACCAAAGAGTCCCAACAAGAACTCGGCCGAACCGAAATCTCCGCCGTCGCCAAGACCAAACTCCGCGATCGTGTCGCGAAAGTGGTGAAGGAGAACCTCGACCATCAGAAATCGGCCCAGAAAGCCGAGAACAAGAAAGTCCTAGACGCCATAACCGAGCACTTCTCCACGCAAAAAGATGCGCAAACCCTCGTTCTCAGCCTCCCCGTCTCCTCTGGCTCTAAAGCCGTGCAAGAGGCAATCAAGATGGTGAGTACGAAACAGAAGGATAAAACGGTCTACTTGCTTCTCAAGGCCGAGGATAAGGTGATGCATGGGTGTTTTGTCTCCGAGCAGGCGCAGAAGAAGGGCGTGGATGCTGGGAAGTGGGCTGGGACGGTTGCTGAGGTTGTAGGGGGAAAGGCGGGGGGGAAGGGGGGGACGTGTTTGGGGCAGGGGACGCAGGTGGAGAGGGTGGAGGAGGCGGTTGAAGTTGCGAGGAGGTATTTGGAGGAGTTGAAGGTGTAGCGGGATTTCGTGCTCATGATGAGGCGATGGTGGTCGCATGCTGGACTGCTGATATGAGCTGTGTATGAGTATACTGCCTACTATCTGCTCGCTCTACCATTTGCTCGCTTACATATATATATCGGCCTTTGCCTCTGTGTGGTGGAAGTCCGAGCACCTAGATTGACCCACTTCTCCTCATAGCAGCTCTATTGAATGTCTCGCTGTGCTAATGCAATGTCTGGATAATAAAGTAGCAATATTGCGGATTCGTTCCTTGAAAGTATCCATTACTGCATATCTACATCTACTCTTCTTGAACATGTCTTTGCCAGCCCTACCGCGCTCGGCACTTGCTTTCCCGAGAGCATATGCCGCGCTCTGCAGCTCCACGAGCTCCTCCGCCATCGCAAGAGCTCCATCATCAAATAGCCTGGGTCGAGCCGCTAGTCGCCATGTCTTTCTTCGACCAGACTCACGAGTCGCACCCATATCTACATCCCAAAGACGAGTGTTCAGCCAGTCCACCACAATGGCCTCCTCTGCCGCCTTGAGCACGATCCGCAGTAATTGCCGGAAGGTACACACACCTACCATCGGCACCGAGCTACAACAAAGCTAAGAGCCACATACTAACATAATGGGGGTTGAGTAGGTCATGTGTATAGGCCGCAACTACGCCGACCACGTCAAAGAACTCAACAACCAACGGCCCAAACAACCCTTCTTCTTCCTCAAACCCCCCAGCAGCATCTTGCTTCCCTCCGAAGGACCCGTCCTGCGCCCTAGTGGAGTGAACCTGCATTTCGAAATCGAGTTGGGACTTGTGATAGGCAAGAGGATCCAGAATCTGGATACCGAGGACGATGGCGAGATTCTGCAGTATATTGATAGTTATCTCTTGGCAATCGACATGACGGGCCGGAATGTGCAGGAGGAGGCGAAGAAGAAGGGTTTACCGTGGAGTATAGCGAAGGGGTTTGATACTTTTCTGCCGATCGTTGGTCCCATCTCTAAATCTACAATCGCGGACCCGCATAGCGTGGAGTTGTACTTGAAGGTCAATGGGGAGGTGAAACAGCAGGATAGTACGGAGCTGATGCTCTTCCGCATCCCGAGGCAGCTGAGCGATATTTCAAAGGTCATGACGTTGGAGCCGGGGGATATGGTGTTGACGGGGACGCCGAAGGGGGTCGGGAGTGTAGTTACGGGAGACGTGATGGAGTGTGGACTGCGGGTGGGGGGAAAGGAGGTGGAGGAGGCGAGGATGAGGGTTGAGGTAAAGGATAAGGGGGGTCCCTATAACTTTGCTGAGACGTGAGGGAATGGGTTGGGTGGGGATGCTGTAGAGGGGTAGGTGGGTTGGGTAGTGTGTGGTTGTTTTATACACATGTATATCTTGGCTATAGACACACGCACTTCAGTCTTCATCCTCGTCATTTCCGCCTCCGAAGCCGAAGGAGAAGCCGCCACCATTCTCTTCATCAGCCTCGTCCCTAACGACAGCCTTCGTAAGCTCCTCCCACTTCCCCCTCTTCCCTTTGCCCAACCGCTCAAGCTCCCTCAACCCTTCCTCTAGTAGACCCTCATCATACTCCCTCAACCTCTCGACGAACAAAGCATAAGGATCCAGGACATCGTTCCCAAACCCACTAACACTCTTTTTCTGATCCCTCAAAAACTGCAGCACCGCCCCGACCCTCTGTCTCGGGACGAAGTTCTGCGTGATGGCGATACTCGGCTCCAGATTCAAGACGAGATGGTACCATCCACTAGGTACATGCAAGACCTCCCCCTCCCCACAGATCCCCTCGATACATCCCGCCGTCTGTCGTGCTTCGGCGTGGAAGCCTAGTAACCATTCGGCGATACTTAGGGGACTGGTGACTTCGCTTTGGTCTTCTGACACAAATACCCCAGGCGGTGGTGGTAGGGTGGGGGAAGAGGGGAACAGGATCCAGTATTTCTTCCCCTTCAGCACGGCATTCCATGCACTCGTAGCATTAGGGTCTTTATGGAAGGTGCTTCCGCTTCGTTCGGGCCCGACGATGAGCCAGCGGTGGTCAGGGCGGGCGGGGCCGAGGAGGGTGAAGAGGTCGGTGCCGAAGCAGGTGGGGGGCCAGTAGTCTGCGCCTGGTTCGTCTGGGTCGGTGGAGACGATGAGGGACATTTTCTCGGCGAAGGAGCGGTCGAAGAGGTAGAAGGGACTTTCGTCGTGGCTGTTGGACATGTAGGAGAGGTAGGTGTGTAATGGCCAGTAGACCGATTCGGCTCGGAAGCGGACGTCGGCATATTTTTCGAGTAGGTAGGAGATGGACCAGGTTTTGTAGACTGGCCATTGTTTGACTGGGGAGGTGAGGATGAAGGGTTTGTTCACCCATGTTTCTGCGAAGTCTTCGGCGGATAAATCGTCGAGACGTGCTACCTGGTTCTGTCTTGGGATGTTTTCTGCGAAAGGAGATAGTGGCACGTGAGCGCAGAAGTACGGTCGATGTAGGACGTCAGAGAAGAGATGGGAGCAGTTGATTCTAGGCTCGAGTGATATGTCTTGATGGAGATATGTGGAACGCCACGTGCCTTGCCATGAGAAGGAAGTCGGGCATGATCTACAGAACTCGACTCAGAAAGTTGGTAAAGAGAGAATGAGAGGCAGGCCACTTACTCTACGAACAATGCTCTCCAGAGCTCTTCACTACGAGTAAAGGCATGTAGTGCTCGACATGTGCTACCTACTCGAAGCAGGTCTACAGCAAACAGTGACTCGAGCAGTTGCATGAGCAATTCATCCGGTAGGGAAGACAAGTAGCCACAAGCACGCTTCTGGTTCTCGCTAGATGTGAGAGCATTGCCAGACGGCCTGACTCCTAGTGGATGCTTCCTGACCAGGCTGCCATCGGTCGAGTCACTGGCATGTTGAGGAGTCGATGATTCGACGACCTTTTGCCGCTTGGCTGGTCGATGGCTTTGGTCGAGGAGGGAGTATGCTTGCTCGTCTGTCAGAGGTATAGGGACAGTCATGGCTGGTAGTGTTTACTTGGAGGTAAGCAGCAAGTCACGAAAGATCTGGTCGCCACTGTGAATCACGGTGTAGCCGGCTCGTGAATGGTGGGAGTCGACAAACGTTCGTTGGAACGACGAATTCACGGGTAGGATTTGAGGCGAAATATAGTCCGTGCGTTTCGAATTTTTGAGGGCGACCTTGATAATAATTTTCCCCTCCACAGCGTCATTTCACATATACCCACCACACACTCACAAATCACTACATATCACAACCACTAGGACCAGAAGACTCTCCTTAATCGAGAGTCAGGTATCTAGTTTTTCCACACACACCAAACAGCCTTTCCAAGCGCGGCGGCATCCAAGAAGGATCCCCCCGCCTACCCACCACTCACCGGCTCCCACCTGCTCACGGCACAGCGCCAGTGAGCTTCGCGACCGACTCGCAATCATGGCTGACGGAAAGGGCCTTGAGGATATCGAGGCGGGTGAGTCCACATCCACATCCACATCCCAGTGCCAAGACACGCAGAAGACATGTGATGCTGATATACCATGTGCGCCACGCAGCCCAGATCGAGTCCAACTACGATGAGACCACCGACTCCTTCGACGCCATGGACCTAAAGGCTGAGCTCCTCCGTGGAGTCTACGCCTACGGTTTCGAGCGCCCATCTGCTATTCAGCAGCGTGCTATCATGCCCGTCATCAAGGGTAAGTCTTCAATCACCGCCACAGCGCAAGAGGCAGAAGAGGCATAGGGCAGCGGGTAGAAGAATGAGAATATCACTGACACGTCCCAAAGGCAGCGATGTCATTGCCCAGGCCCAGTCCGGTACCGGCAAGACCGCCACCTTCTCCATCTCCGTCCTCCAGAAGATCGACCCCAACATCAAGGCGCCCCAGGCCCTGATTCTCGCACCCACCCGTGAGTTGGCGCAGCAGATCCAGAAGGTCGTCGTTGCCATCGGCGACTTCATGTCCATCGAGTGCCACGCCTGTATCGGCGGCACCAGCGTGCGAGACGACATGAAGGCTCTGCAAGAGGGCCCACAAGTCATCGTCGGCACCCCCGGCCGCGTGCAGGACATGATCCAGCGCCGCATCCTCAAGACCGACAGCATGAAGATGTTCGTGCTCGACGAGGCCGACGAGATGCTGTCCCGCGGTTTCACCGAGCAAATCTACGACATCTTCCAGTTCCTCCCACAATCCACCCAGGTCGTCCTCCTCTCCGCCACCATGCCCCAGGACGTCCTCGAGGTCACCACCAAGTTCATGCGCGACCCCGTCCGTATCCTCGTCAAGAAGGACGAGCTCACGCTCGAAGGTATCAAGCAGTTCTACATCGCGGTCGAGAAGGAGGACTGGAAACTCGATACCCTGTCCGACTTGTACGAGACCGTCACCATCACCCAAGCCGTCATCTTCTGCAACACGCGCAGAAAGGTGGACTGGCTGACCGACAAGCTCACGGCCCGCGACTTCACCGTCTCCGCCATGCACGGCGACATGGACCAAGGCCAGCGCGACGTCATCATGAAGGAGTTCCGCTCCGGCTCCTCGCGCGTACTCATCGCCACCGACTTGCTCGCCCGCGGTATCGATGTCCAGCAGGTCTCCCTCGTTATCAACTATGATTTGCCCGCCAATCGCGAGAACTACATCCATCGTATCGGACGCGGTGGACGTTTCGGACGCAAGGGTGTAGCGATCAACTTTGTCACGGCGGATGATGTGCGCATGATGCGTGAGATTGAGCAGTTCTACAGCACTCAGATTGAGGAGATGCCGATGAATGTTGCTGGTGAGTTTGACATTCCGTGCTGGCTAACGTGTTCGAACAAGTACTGACTTTGAATGTCACAGATCTCATCTAAGCTCACAACACACAAACCTTCTCGAAAGACCACCTGCAGATTTGTCCTAGGGACACTAGCTCTCTAGCGCACGGATCCGTGTAGGTGGACTGAGGTACATTGTAAAAAGGGGCCTGAGATGTAGGAGCGCATAGCTCTGAGGAGGAGAGGACCGAAGGGTGCACTTCTCGTGATAGAGTTGCGCTGCTAGCTTTTCTGGCCGTAATCGGATGGCGGCACATGAATCGCATCTTTTGGACGTCGGAGTTATGCTTGCTGCTTTCTTCGGGGGAACAAAATGCAAAGCGTGTTTCCTGCTATGCTATGCTATGAGTGTTTGTTAGATCGATTGGGTTTGGTAGTTTTCTACAGTGTTTCCTGTGCCATCGATGTGGAAATGTTTTGTTTACTGCACACCTTTTCATTATTATCATCGTCATCGTCATTGTTATAGTTGTTGTGAGCTATTTATTCGACAGGTTACCGGAGGGGACCGAAAGCGTTTGTCAGGTGGAATTAAAAGGGAGGATTGAACAGCACTGAGGGGGGATGGTGGCGAAGAGAGACTGCCGATGGGTCTGTTACTCAGGAGCATCCAAGCGATTTGGGTTATCTAAAGATTTCCTTGAGAGCTATGGCCGCTGTGCTCAGGTACGTAGAAAGTCCTTGCTATATAATGAGTGCCACTCCCCGTTGACTCGTGGGAGAGCCTTGCCGGCTGACGTCGCCTGCTAGTGTGCGCTTGATGCCGTTGATCACTCGAAAGACATCTCCACCTCGCTTTTGCGTCTCACACCCAGATCGTCTTCCTCGTCCGCCCAGGGATTCCTACTAGTACCGCTCCCCGCTGCGGGAGCTGGTGGTGCGCCATTCGCTGGTTTCTGCTCGTGCGAAGGTGTGGAGATGGAGGTCGAGGTCGAGGGTGCGGGCGTGGTATTCCTGCTCTGCAAGGTCGGCCGTTCTACCGCCGTCTTCGAGAGGTCGTGACTGGAAGATGTAGCGGTGGAAGCTGTTCCACTATGCTCGTCTAGCCATGCAGGAGGCTGTGTGCGTGGGGTAGGCACCGGCGCGGTTGTTTTCTCCGGAGGGTCAAAGGACATCGTGATCTCCTCCCCTTTATCATCATGCTTCTCATCATCATCATCTCCATTCACATTCGTGTTCGTGTGCCCGTTCGTCAAAGTCGTGCCGTTAGTTTGTCCATCAGGTGTCCTTGTCCTCTTCAACGCTTCGGCCCCATCAACAGGATTACTAGCTTTGGCACTCGGCGTCGGACTCTCAATCCTCAGCGCCGGAAGCGTCGACGCGATCTCCTTGATCTGCATATGGCTTTTGATCTCATTGACATCGTGGCCCTCGAGCGCCAGCTGCAGAGCCTCCCGGCGAATAGCATCGACGTCGAACATCACGTTCGCCTGTTCCGCTGCCAACTTCTCGCTTTCCGCTTGATCGCCTTGCAGGACTTTGGTCGAGCGCTCGTCGTATGTCTCCCAGGCTTTGCGCTCCGAGGCCTTTTTGCGGGAGAAGAAGGCCCGGAAACCTTTCTTTTCCGGCTGTTCCTCAAGTTTCTGCCTCGCTTCTTCGATTTCATTCAAGAGTTCCCGCTGCCGCTTATCGTGATTTTCCGGGTCGGGGTCCTCGATCTCGGTGAACTCTTCGCTTTCGACTTCCCAGCCTACTTCGTGAAGGAGAGTGGGCATCATGCCTCTGTATGCCATGTGACCCGGTACCGTGACCGTGACGTCGATGTTCTCGACTCCTACATCTTCGACTGTGTTGAGACCGGCTACACGCATTACGCCGCCGCTGGTGGCACGGAAGAGGTAGGCTAGAATCCAATCGTTGCGGGCGTAGGCGTTCACGAAGCGGCCTGAGACGACTGTTCGAGCTCGAATCCATTCATCTTTTTTAACTACCACTGGCGAGCCGAACATGTAGACGTTTTGGATCAGACCTAGGGCTCCGCGACGTGCGAGTTCGCGTAGGCAGGAGAAGATGACACGCGAGCCGAGGGAGAAGCCTACGAGTGTGATAGGTCGTGATCCCAGGTTACGGTCAATGAGCGAGTCTGCTAGGATCAATCCTGTCGAGTCTGCGCGGGCTAGTGAGACTGTCCAAGGATTGTCGATCAGATATGCGAGCTTCGTGAGCACGATTGGCAGTGACAAGCCAGCCATGAGAGTCGCTAGAAACGTAGCGCCAAGGATCTGCTGTATTGTCTGTGTAAGAGCTTCGGTGCCCAAGATCTGTATGGTCTCACCAGTACTTTGCAGCATCTCTGGCTCCCAGTTGACCGAGTAGATATCGCCCATCACAGGATCGACAGTGCTGAAAGGCAGTCGCACATCGTCTACTTTGCCAGTCATCCACCCCGCCACAGTGACGATCAGGTTGACTCTTTTGTTGTTGAACAGAGGTTTGTACTCGAAAGTCTTGACAGCGCCTGTGCGCCGACTTGCGCCCTTCAAACCGATGCGTCCACCAATGAGTGTACCAGTCGTACCAATAAGTGCTGCAGCTCCAGTACCACCAAGAAAGGTGCCTGTCCCTGCTACACCAATACCTGTGAATCCAGCCGCAAGGCCAGCACCAATAACAGGCGCCAGAGCACCAGCACTAAGACCAATAATGAGGCCTCCTCCAACAGTACACAGACCCATGACCATCATTCGCTTCTTCCGCGCCCGCTTCTCCCGCTCCTTCATGTGTTCTTCCTCGTTCCAGTTCTCCTTCTCAGCCTGCTCCTGCATCTCCAGCGCATCAGTGACACGCTTCTCGAAACGGCAGATCTCTTGCCACTCCATCGACAACGCTTCGCCGACTCTTTCGAGTAATGTTCGTGAGCGCGAGTCATAGTTACTGTCCGCGATGAGGAGCAGGAATAAGTCGCAGAGCACAGTCCATCGCAAGTCGAGGTCGATGCTTTTGCCTTGCAGTTCTGATGCGTCTTGCAAGCGTAAGTCATCTGCAGTCTTCTCCTCATAAGCTGGTGGCGCATCAGACTCCGGTATACCAGGTGTGCCAGGTACAGACAACGCCACGTTCGAGGCACTTTTCGAAAGTGTGCTAGAAGGCCGTGGCGAAGGTAAAGAAGGTCGAGCCGATGCGATCGAAGATGTTTCAGATGCGACCTTGGGATTCTTGACTCTCGCGTTTTGCATCAATGCTGGCGTCAGATCAGAAGGCAGTACACCATGATCTGCGAGCTGCTCCACCATGACTTGCTCGGCCTGGTCGATCTCCATATGCGTATACAGCCGCACCATCATCTTCTGACCCCACATTCTAAGTGCTTCGGAGGACAGCTCAATGACTTTCCTAGTATTCTTCGTCTTCTCCAAAGCTTCAAGATCGTGCGCCATCCTGTTGATCGCGAGTCTGACAACACCAACGTATGCTATCCGCTGACCTTCAGTCAGGAGCTCTTTGGTCGTGTTCATCTGCGACGCAATATCTCTGCCTTCATCGTCCTCTTCGTCCAAGGCATTCCGGGCATACTGCTCCTTAAACAAGTACGCCGTACTCTCGTCCATGCTAGTGGCAGACTGAGCATCTTCGTCAATTTGTACACGAGTATAGCCTTTGCCTGCGCCGCCAAGATCACCATAGGCGTAAGCATTACTCTCAACCTCGTCGTAACTCTTGGCTAGCACCTTGCCCCAGTCATCGTAGATGCGATGCTCAGCCAGAGCAGGCATTTCTTGCCACTTCAGCTCGGTCTCCTCTTCCTCCTCGTCAGCATTGTTCGTGAGCTGCTGGTGGGAGAACTCTGAAGTTGTGCCCAGTGACTTCTGCTTGCCATGACTTGGTGAGATTGGACTGCTTACACTCTTGCGGCCTTCTCTGCTTGCTCGCGGCTGCTCTACGCTCTCTTCGCGATCCGCTGATTTCGCACTCGATGCCTCTACAGCCTCATGCCCAGGTTCAGGTTCGGCGTCCGCTGCAGTACTTGCTGAACTTTCCGGTGGTCTGGACAGCTCTTCGGCCTTCTCGTCCGCCTCAGATGTGGCATCGGCTTCAGGTCGCGACTTTGCTTCACCTCCTGGTCCCTCCTCTGCTCCCTTGGTCTCATTACTCTCTACCTGCACTTCACCTCTGGCCAGCTCCGGACTAGCCAACTCGTCCAGATCGTACGTTCTTCTCCGAGGCTTTCGCACAGGCAATCCAAAGTCGTCGGCCTCGGGAGGCTCACCTTTCGCATCGTGATGCCGTTGCTCGCGTGTCACCGCAGGCTTGAGCTGCGGCAGATCGCCCCCATCGTCCTCGGCCTCATGCTTCGTCGCTGCCGCTGTCTCATCTGCGCTCGAGGCAGCCATGTTATGTGTGGTAATGTTACAGCATGATCATGCAGTACTTGCTGTATGGCTCGCTATAGTCGCAGGTGCGTATTACGGTGCTGCCAGTGAATGATGTTCGAAAATAGCGCAGACAAAGCCGGCCCAGACCATTGGTTTACGAAGACGGCTTGCCTGCTCACGATGCCCTCGAAATCCGTCAGGGCTTCCCCGCAAATTGCACGGGCCGTCCATGCGCGCCGTTGGAATTCGGCCTTTGACATGATTTTGACTGTTTCTTATTTGATGAAGATTTAGTACTTTTCTGTCGCACCATTGCACCGACCATCACAATGCGGGCGAAGCGATCGAAGACATACCGCAAGCTTATGCAGCAGTATGGTCTGGCATTCGGGTTCCGTAAGTTAATCAGTTCCATATACATACTAAAACAGGGCTAACACGCCATGCGACAGGTGAGCCATACCAAGTCCTGGTGGACGCTGGCGTGATAAAAGATGCTGCTCGCTTCAAGATGAAGCTTGGCCAGATGCTCGCTGGAGTCGTACATGGAGAGATCAAGCCCATGATCACGCAATGCTGCATAAGACATCTTTACGACATACCCACCACGAACGACATCGAGCGACGGCAGAAGGACGAGTACATCGAGGTCGCGAAGCAGGCAGAGCGGAGAAGATGTGGACATCATGAATTAGAGGAGCCTTTGAGTGCGTTGGAATGTCTTGAGAGCGTGGTCGACCCGAAAGGAAGCAACACGAACAAGAACCGATATGTCGTTGCCACGCAGGAGCTTGAGGTCAGGCAGAGATTGCGGAAGGTGGCAGGAGTGCCGCTCATATACATCAACAAGAGTGTCATGATACTGGAGCCTATGGCGATCAAGAGTGAGAACGTGCGAGACGCAGAGGAGAGGGCAAAGATCAGGGCTGGGCTGAAGGGCAGGCGTGGTGCTATCACAGGCGAGAAGCGAAGGCGGGAAGAAGCGGATGACGATGAGGATGTAGACATGCCTGACCGTGTCAAGGCTATCGTGGCGAAGGATGCAGAAGTCGCTGCGCAGGATCCGTTGGCTGAGCTGCCTATGCAGAAGAAGCGGAAGGTGAAAGGACCGAAAGGACCGAATCCGCTGAGTGCGAAGAAAGCAAAGCCGGTGAAGCAGAAGTCGGCGGGTAGAGAGGTGGAGGATGAGAGGGCGGCGGTGCGAAAGGCTTTGAAGAAGGATCCTCAGGCTGCTGAGAAGGCGGTAATCAGTGGTGTAGCTGGGGACGACGGAGCACCATCAGAAGGTCCCAAGAAGCGGAAGAGGAAGAGGAAGCCTAAGGAAGGCGACGGAGGGGCTTCGACTGGGCCTGGTGTGGTTACGGGAGGTGATGCTGACAGCCCTGATTGATCGATCGATATACCCTGTGCATTATCTTCAGCCGTAATACTGTACCCAAGCACTACACACTCACCAAAACCTATCATCACGTGCCTTCTCCAGATCGTTCTCGTACGGCGGCTACTGGCGTACGGGCTGCGGATCATGGAGAAAGTGGTTTCGCGACATCGCCGAGGCATCTTTCTTGTCCCCCATCACAATAAGACACTTCCACCGTACCTGCATGTACACTCTATACTAACAGACGGGTACACTGCCTTTTCTGGACCGGTCATGAGGACATTTCCATGCCGCGGATTTGACGCCAGACGTCACGCTGTGCTCTGGTCCCGATGGCAGGCTGTCGTTCGAACATGCGAGGCCCACACGAAGAGCATGATGTTCTCTTACATAACAGGATTCATACCTGTAAGACACCGTAGTAATCCCAGATGAGCCGAATGTCGCTCGTGGTAGTGCCGGCGATCTGGTTGTCAGTGGTCACTGTCCCGCCAGCCTGTCCCCGGCTTCTCCAGATGCACTACCATGCCGATCACGTACTGTTCTGGTAAGCCCAAAGTATACTTTGACGGGACATAAAGCTTCAACGGGCGATGACCCCTGCTACTCCTGCACAAGTCTGTCTCTTGCCGCACTGGAGACTTGCGTGATGGCGCAAAAGACCAGTCTACTTGTCAATATGCCGAGGCTTGGTATGGTACCAGGCAGGTCCGTCTGTAAGTACATCTAGGAAGCCAGTCGCTAGTTTGTGTTGTAGGCAGGCATGTTCAGCTCTCCTTTCGTTCCCAAGATTTCAAGAAAGATGCATTCCATCCTAGCATACATTCTCGCACTAGGCCTAGCAGCGCAAGCCATACCCATAGAAGATCGCGCCGCAGGACCAGCAGTAAAAATCCAGAACGGTACCGTGGTTGGATCCTCTTCCCTTGGCGTCGACAGCTTCAAAGGCATACCTTTTGCCGAACCACCAACAGGCACCAGACGGCTCAAGCCACCGCAGACCGTGAGCGCTACTTTCGGCACCCTACAAGCTACTGCCAATCCTCCGGCATGTCCCCAGTTCTTCTCACAGACGAATACGTCGAGCCTCCCGTCTGATGTCCTCGGCGAGCTGGCCAACACGCCGTTGTTCCAGGCTATAGACAGTCAGAGCGAGGACTGTCTGTTCATCAGTGTACAGAGGCCCGCTGGTACGGCTAGTAATGCCAAGCTACCCGTGCTCTTCTGGATCTTTGGGTAAGTCCAGGCCATCTAACGAGCATGGCTACAAACCCTGACCCACTCTGTCCCGTGTAGTGGTGGCTTCGAGTTTGGTTCTTCGGGGATGTATGATGGCTCGAATATCATCACAAAGAGTGTCTCGCTCAACGCACCGGTGATTTATGTGGCTGTGAGCTACCGGTATGTGCTTCTTGATCCTCATCAAGTCCTTGGTATGCGGCTAACCATCACACAGTGTTGCAGGCTTTGGCTTCCTTGCGGGCAGCCAGCTCTCGAACGAAGGCTCAACGAACCTTGGTCTGCGAGATCAGAGACTTGGTCTCCAGTGGGTCGCCGAGAACATCGCTGCGTTCGGTGGTGATCCTAGTAAAGTGTAGGTCGTTTGAAAGGAGATTTTCGAATGAACTCTACTGACGTTGAGTAGAACGATTTGGGGTGAATCAGCTGGTGCGATCAGTGTCTTCGACCAGACCATCATCAACGGCGGTGATAACACCTACAAAGGCCAGCCACTCTTTCGCGGTGCTATTATGGACTCGGGCTCCGTTACGCCAGCAGACCCAGTGACAGCACCGCAAGCACAAGCAATCTTCAACACCGTCGCGCAGAACGCTGGATGTGGCGGCAGCAGTGACGTGCTTGCCTGCTTACGAGCAGCGCCCTACCAGAAATTCCTCGACGCTACGACGTCCGTACCCGGCATCTTCAGCTACAGATCTCTTGATCTGTCTTACCTACCTCGACCAGATCCTCACGACAACTTCTTTAGTGTCTCGCCAGAAGTCGCTCTTGGGAAGGGTGCTTATGCTAAAGTACCCGTCATTAATGGAGATCAGCAAGACGAAGGCACATTGTTCTCCCTAGGTCTAAGCAATATCTCCACCAACGCCCAATTTACCGACTACTTCGCCTCCTACTTCCCAGGCAATCCCAACGCTCACTCGGATGTAGCTGGCCTACTGGCACAATACCCAGACCAACCACTCCTCGGCCAACCCGCAGGCTCGCCCTTCAACACTGGAGCGCTGAACAATATCTACCCACAATACAAACGCATCGCGGCCGTCCTAGGCGACACAGTCTTCACCCTCACCAGGCGCGTATACCTAAGCACCGTCAGCAAGCAAGTCAAAGCCTGGTCCTATCTCAACACCTACTTCTACGGCACCCCGGTTCTAGGTACTTTCCACGCTTCAGACATCCTCGTTGCATATGGCGAAGCAGGTTTGGAGGCTGGTATCGATGCGCAGACTGTGCAGCAGTACTATATATCCTTTGTCAATCACCTGGATCCTAATGCTCTAGGCACGGCTACGCCATTGATCCAGTGGCCGCAATGGAGTAATACCGGCGGAACTCCGCAGTTGGTGGATTTCGCTGCGGCGGGGCTGAGTCTGACACCGGATACCTTTAGGAGCGGTGCCTATGATTATCTGGCAACGCGTACTTCGAACTTCAGAGTTTAGCGGGCTTGAAGGATGGAGTGTGACTCAGCCGCTGTAGAGAGAGAGTATTAGCTTGGTGTGAGAATATGATCTGACAGCATGCGGTCGTGATTGTGCTTAACTGTACCGACAAGTGAATTGATCCACACCGCGAAGCCGTTTGGCTGGCAGCTCATTATGCGATATCTATCATTGTGCGGACCCAAGTGTTGGACGGAGGAAGACTGCACACTACATCGTTGGAGTTCGAGCGGCTAGTGAAAAGTAAAAAAGCCGTGGCACAGATTTCGTTAGTGATTGCTTGTAGGCATGGATGGAGCTATATAAAATGCTCGTACTGATATCCGGAGCGATGCGCGCGACCAAACCACCACCTCACTTCTAGCCCGAATCTAATCTAGAGCACTCCTGCTCCATGTCTCCTAGCATGCCGTTGGATATGCCTCTGACCAGCTGCCAAAGTCGAAGCAGGCCGGTGGTGGTGGTAGCGCCAGGAATGGCCCTGCCAGCCGGAATAGTCCGGCCCTCCTTCGACATCGGACGTCGCACTCGGAAAAATTGCTGAGGTTTTTGGATCGGCCGGTACCGCCACCGACGTGGTCGCAGAAGCTGTAGCGAATGAAGTGCCTGAGATGGGTAGGGCTGCTGCCTCAAATGACGCACTGGCAGCTGCAACAGAAACGCTTGACGGCGACGATGGATCTGAAATACTGGGAGGAGATGCTGTGGCTGCGGCTACAGAGACGTTGGAGGGCGCCACGACGGGCGCGGTGCCGACGAGACCAGTAGCAGATGGGTACATGCCAGACAGGGCACCAGTACCACTGCCCGATGCAAACGGCGAAGATGAGTCGTTGCCTGTGGCATATTTCGTGTGGATCGGTCCATGCCCTGGCCCATCCGGTCGAGTGAACGAGGATGCTGGGGATGGTACGCTTGAAGTAGCAAAAGTGGTGGGTGCTACTGTTGGTATCAAGCTGGAAGTCCAGACAGAGGAGGCCGAAGTGGGTAGACCGGATTGAGACGTCGCCGATATGCTCGATGGGACGACGGAGGAGGAAGAAACTGATGATGGTGTGCTTGAGGGCGCGGCAGACGAGTAGCTAGGCGAGACACCGCTGCCGGCTTGGTAGACTTGCAGGGCATTGATCGACCAGTAAGCTTCAACAAAGTCAGATGGGTTGTTGGCGACGTAGTCGTTGCAGGTGTCTGCTTTTGCAGCACAAGAGCCAGACGACCAGACACTGCCCGCCCAATCGCCACAGAAAGTGGTGTCGAAGACGACCTGCTGATCGCTGAAGAAGGAAGGGATATCGCATCCACCCTGGAACTGTGCTAATGGTTTGCCCCAGCTGGATGGATTCGGTGATCCTGAAGTGATATCGGAGGGGATGGCGCCGCGTGGGAAAAAGTAGATGCTGATGGCAGAGGACGTCCACTCGGTGGCATAGACACCACCCTTGTTGGCGTTGAAACCTGCGCCATATGTTTGGGTGTTGGTCGTAGTGATCTGGCAGCCCTGATTGTTGCCCTGACCTGCCGCATCGATGTAACAGTTGTCGGTTTGGAGTGTACCAGAGAAAGCATTGTTGTTGGTGATGGAGCAACCATCGGAGGTGTGAAGAGTCATGTCGTTGGTGGATTGTTCATTGACGCCTTCGATGATATCGATTTCACCACCGGCTGGCCAATTCGGTCCAACTAGCCAGAAGGCAGGCCAAGTGCCACACCCGAATGGCATATGGTCGGCGTCGAGTATGAAGAGGCCAGAAGAGTATGCTTTGTTGCTGGTTAGACGAACGCTGTTGCGCCCATTGGGCGCATTGTTCGTGGTGTCGACCCCGAGGCGGACATTGCCGGAGGTGCTGTTGACAAGATGCTGCTTGGTCGCATCAGACTGACCCTGGTAAGACACGAAGCCATGAGTCGGGTCGGGAGCATCAAAAAACGAGAACTTGTCGAAGAAACTGCCTCCAGATAAATAATCGTCTTCCAAAACATATTGGGCCCAACCAGTGGTACCCAAAGCAAGGAAGCACGTAACGAGTGTGGTGAACGACATGTTCAAAAGAGTGACTGTAGCGATCAACGCTGGTATGGAAGCGACAGATGATAAGAGTCTTGACGGTTGCTGGACGAGCTCAGGGAGAAAGGAGAGGACATGTTCCAACCTTTTACAATGTTGCAACGGTTCATGCACTGTGGGTCTTGCTGGGACAGTCCAGGCCAGACGTACTGGATGGGGGCCTGTTCAACGGGTCTCAGTGGCCGCAGTGGGCTCTCCTGCGTTTGAGTCTGCAAACGTGTGAACCAGCCGAGGTCGAGATGCCTTATCTTGAGCGACTTTGCAGCCCTCAAAATATGTGACACAGTCCAAACGGCTGCTATAGGACCGTTACCAACATGCCGTAAGCCTAGCGCCCTCATGGCCAAGGCATGGTGGTACTTGGCGGCCACTGACAGCGTGCATCAGGACGTGGATATTCGGGTTTGTGAACGTTTGTGGGGCCAAACCGCACGCAAGTGGTGTGTGATCCGTGGCATGTCGAGCGAACTCGTGCATTGCAAAGGTGATAGGGGTGTGGTTGTTTCAACGTTACTCGAGATCTGCCAGTCATGCAAGGAAGATCTGGAAGAACCACGATGATGGGTCAGAGCGTTTGCCGCTTGACGATCAGGCATTTCGACCTGCGGCCAATCACAAGCATGAATTTGAGACGTCTCGAGACGGACCATCAGTTCTCAAAACTGCCCCCGGCATCCCGCAGATGGATCGTGAAACCTTTGCGTCTCCTGTCATTACAGTCTGCATGTACGACGCGTGTGTTTCTAAATTCGCCATCCACCGTTACTAGCTGATACATACCATGGCCGTCTAGGAGTCCATCAGCAGACTGACAATGGTACAGAACCCGACCTGCCAACATCTTCCAAGAGCAAGACAAAGCAAACCAGAACGGTTATGGCTGCATAGAGTGCTATCATCAGGCGCACGCTCAAGCAAAAAGGCGTGCTCGACCCAATTCTCCACACTCTACTCGGATATACTGCACTTCATGTGGCTCTTTGTTCATTTCGAGCGTGCCGTGATCCGTCCTGCTCGTTGCTTAATGTTTCGGCAAGCATGCGACCCCTTCCTGTCTACATATCCAGTCTGACGCAGCAGAGGCTGCGAAGTCTGCTCATTTGGCAACTTGTGGACATACCTCCGCAGCCATGATGGCGGCAACAGCTGATGGAGCGACGCCGCGGCTTGCACATTGCAGTACTGAGCTGTAACATTGCTAGAGGTGGTGTATGTGATGTTCTGTGTGGCTGACGCATACTCCAAAAGCACTGCACATTCAAGGTGCGACTCGAAGGTCTGTCTTGCTTTTAGGCTATGGCAGCCGCAAGACATGCCTTTTGATAGAATTAAAACGTCTGGCCCGGTCTTCGATCGCGTGTGGCTCTCAGACAGACTGCACCTCCAAGGGCAATGCTGCTGCCCTCAGGGCTACCTGACGGGACTTGATGGCTGTAGACAGAACCAAATTGCCTGCAGACGAGAGTGAAAGGCCCGCCCATTGACTGCGTGGGAGGAAGGACAAGGGATGAGTCGCTGAATGAAGGATCTAGAGCCTTCCCCTGCCCAGCGCTGATGGAGCTCGAAACCGTCATCAGGTGAGTCTAGAGTCCCTGTCATCCGGAGAAGAGTACTCCCAGGTAGGCGACGCAGAGCAGGATAAGCCAGCGGTCCACGAACGCCCGACTGGACAGAAATGATCTGCTAGGTTCTGCTGAGCTTTCCACAGCTGTAGAGGTTGGCATACTTTCGGCTCCACTTTCTGCGACGCTGGACCTTGACATAGCTGTGGTAGCAGTGCCCGAAGCGCTGGGAGCCATTACAATGGCAGGTAGACTGTTAGGCCGTTGCGTGGTTTCCGCCGATACGCTGATACCATATGGACCTGTGGTGCCACTTTTCGTCCGTGAAATCGAGCTAGAGACGGGCGACACCTGGAACATACCCGTTGGCGAAGACTGCGTGCCACTGCCTGAGACGGCGTTGGTGGGTACACTTGCCGAGGGATACCGAGATACGGCGCTGTCAATTGTGACGGGGGACAAGCTCGTAACGGGTATTGATGGCGTAGGATTTGCAAGTCCTGAACTGTATGCACCTTGAGTAGTCATGCTAGAAGGACCAGAAACAGTGGCCGCTGTTCGTACAGATGCGTACGAGGTCGGAATCTGCGATACAGCGTTGCTTTGCGTCACATTTGACGTATCAAGGCCTGTGGTCCAGAGCGCCGATACAAGTATGGACAAGGCGTTCGTGGTAGATCCTGTAACGATGGTACCTGTTGGCGATGTCTGCATCGGCCGGCTACTAGGCGAGGTTCCAGTCTGCGCGATACTGCTAGAACTGATTGTTGTGGTACCACTCCCTTGGTCGGGAGTCTCTACACTGCTGTCGCTGATACTGGATGGCTGATACGTGAATGATGCTGGCCAGGACGTCGTTGACTCTGTGGCCGCTGTTTGGCCTGTAGGATCTACTGACAAAGTTTCACTTGGGTCTCTGCTGGTCTGGACACTAGACTCCTGTGTGCTTCCCAAGCTCAACGATATGGTCGATACGAAGGTAGTGCTTCTTGTCGGTGCTGGCTCCGGCGATGCATCTGAAGTTGCCAGGACTGTGGATGAGACATACGAAGCTGGAACCGTAGGCATAGCCAGCACAGGCTGTGGTGTAAGCGCGATAGGAGGATCATATAACCCTTCCAAGCCCAGCCCACAATCCTGCCAAGCCTGGTCCAACGCTCTCATCTGATTAGGTACCACAAGCGTAGGCTGCAAAGTCGGATAGATCGTTCGACACCCACCGATCTGGCATGATTGCTGGCTCTCGTATACCGACGCCGGTGGAAGGCCAGTCAGGTCAGCATAATCGAGCGGACCATACTGGTTTGCGCCTGAAGCGGCGGCTTTGCCACCCCAGTGAACTAAAGTAGAGACCTCCGAGGGCGGCAGACCGATGATGGCACCAGTGTGCGCGATGCCGACACGGCTACAGCTGTTAGTGGCGTAAGCTGTCTGGAAAGAGATATAGGCAGTTGGTGAGAGTAGCGTTGTTCCATTGAGGATGGTAGAAAGTGGTGTAGATGTAGCTGTAGCAGGACTTTTATTTTGGCTTGTGTAATTGTTCGTCGCGGTCGGCCAGTAAAAGAGCTCGACTGTGCCGCCTACCAGAGTGCACCGACCACAGTCTGTCGATGGAGGACCGTCCGAAGTCACCCTTGTAAACTTGCAAGTTGGGGTGGGGCCCAGGATCTCCGTGAGAGTGTATGCATTGATGGTGTCGATACTGGTGTATGTATTCACCGCTGGATCTCCCAAAGCATATACAGGCGTATACGTGATCGGTTTCGAAGCCCCAAAGCCCAGGCCAATCGTAAAGACATCGCTGGCGGGACTGAAAGTTGTATAGATTGTCTCCGTGCCTGTGACAGTAGGTGTTACTGTTGCGAGACTAGTCGTCCAGGCTGAACCGAGATCCTGACCACGGTACACTGAAAATGCGGAGGCCAAGTAGTCTTGCCATAGTGCACTGCAAGTCTGAACCTCGACGCTCGCAGCCATCAAGCACTCCGTGCCATTGGCTGGACAGACCGCTACGCAAGGTGCCTTGGTAGTGATCCCATCGCTCATACACTGTGAGCGCACAAGACCTGAAATACCATTTGTCGCATTTCCTACGGCATTTGTCGGCCCGATGAGCGAAGCAGAAGATGTTATGGTGGTTCGTTCGGTCGATATTGTAACCAATGAGGCCTGTGAAGAGCCATCTGTATTGAGAGTAGATTGTCCTGCTGGTATCGCGGCACAATGGGTGATAGCTATGTTTAGCAGAGTGACTGTAGCTTTTGCTGACCGAAGCATCGTTGAAGGGCAGAAGGCAAAAGATATCGTACCTACCTGGAAGTTTTGAAGATCTGTACAACGACTCCCAGACGAGGCGAGCATCTGGCGCGACTAGGAGGCACCATTTTCCCTGCAAGTTTACGTGCCATCGATACCATCACTTACACCGATCGTAAGAGAGCCATAGTTGTCTAAAGGCAAAGCGCCGTGAAGTCTGTAGTCTGAAACGTGTAAGCGCTGAACATGTAGTCCCTCTTGCTAAGCGCCACGATATGCGCACGGACCATGCCACCTGTTCTGGCACATTTCTGAGCAATTTCTCATACTGTGATCTCTAGTAACTGTTATGAGCACAGTATGCATGGGTATAGTGGTATACAAGTCCTGTTGCTATACCAGATGAGTACGCAACTCCGTGCAGTGAAGTGTACTGTTAAGGCCACCACTTCATCCGCTTATAGCTTTCTATCACCCCCTCAACTTCCTGTCGTGTGATACGTTCATGCTTCGGTCTGCGACCAAATTAGCAATCGAGCCCCAAAACCATGCGTCCCGCCTCGCACCCGCACGCAAAGCACTGAAAATGGGGCAGGAGACTCACCTAAATCCCACCACCACCTCAAACCTCGACCCATCCACGCTCAAATCCGCATCCCTTAACAACTCCTTCTCCATAAATGGACTCAACGGCCCCCCATTCTCCTTAATCCCCGCCGCCTCCTGCAAATCCGCCCAATCGTCCAGGGTATCATCATTAACATCATCAACCACATGCTCCAAATTCAGCCGAGCAAAAGTATTCACCAACGCATTCTGAAACCCGGTCTCGATCCCGAAAATCGCCTTGATGATCTGCGCCATCTGGCCCTGTGTCGTAGCGCCTTTGTCGACGACGTTGAAGACGATGCGTTCCGAGGCGGGGGTGTTGGGGAGGCGGTCGTTTTGGCGGCGCCAGGTGGCTGCTAGCCACATTGCGCGGGCGGCGTCTTCGACATGCAGGGTGTTGGTGCGGAGATCGCTGCCCCAGAGCCATTTCATCGTCTCTTTTGGCTCGCGACTTTGGTAGACTCGTGCTAAGGCGAGTTGGGTCCCTAGCCATCGGCCGGCGTATGGGCCGTAGACGTGCGGCATCCGCAACACGCAGAGTCTGAGTCCTGGTATCTTCGCCAATTCTTCTTCCGCCGCTAGCTTCCATTTTGCTTGTTTGGTGTGCGGTTTACTCGTCTTGTCGTTCTCTTTCTGCGGTTTGCTGTTGGGGTTGTAGACTTGTCCTGTGCTGACCTCGATGAAGGCTTTGACTCCTCGCTTCGCAGCTTCCTGGCCGGTCGTCAAGCTCAATTGGTAACTTCGAAGTTTGTATACCTCATCTTCCTGTGAGAAGCGTGTCTCGCCGCCGCAGTTGAAGACATAGTCGAATTCCTGTTTCGTGCCGTCTGGTTTTGGTGGGAGGTCGAATATTCGTGCTTGGGATTGTTCGCGAGACGCATCGGCCTGGAGGAAGTTATCGTTCGAACATGCTTCTTGGAATTCGGGTGCGAGGGATGCTAGTTGTGGTAGTTGCTTGTCGACTAGCCGGAGAGTGGATGCAAGTCGGTTGGTATGTATGTGAAGTGCTAGAAACCGTCCAATGTATCCTACAGGTTGCGACGGTCATGTCAGTCCTCCCACTCTTCATCTTGACCGATGTGTCATATCTGGGCCTCTGTTCATCCACTCACCTAATCCTCCAATAATCAACACCGCAGGTTTGCGAGCAACATCACCAGGCGCAACATCAACACCACCCCCAACGGCTGCCGCGGGGTGCGTGGTGGGGTCTGAGACAGCCTCCGTATCACCCATTGCGACGTCTTCTCACCCAAGCGTACCACTGAAACAATAATCACAATTCACAGTAAAGACAGACAGACAAACAGACCTTCGCCAGAATCAGACGAAGGAAATGAAAACAAAGGTACCGTACCTAGCATGAGATTGCCGCCGGGCAATAAGAGCGAGGAGAGGAGCTACCGAAATGTACCATGACTTGCAAAGCGTTCATGCTACTGCACCTGCTGCATCTCGCATGGCGCAGGGACGGAGAGTCACGAAGCCAGAGTCGTCTTGACAAAAGGTCCGTCAGTAGTCGGACCCGCTAAATCTGGACGATCGGAGAGTGGGATTGGTGGAATCGTTGCTTCAACAGTTGGAGCGGGAGGGGGATTCGACGGCGCGGCGCGCTGAGGCTCTTCCCAGCGGCTCTGCGCAAAGCTTACCCCCTGCGTTATACATGAGTGTCGTCGCATGTAGACGCCGAATCGGTAATGAAGGCATTGATGGCTGCTCATACTACGCGGATGTCGCCCCGGGATGCGTTGCCCGGTAGGACTTTGGAGAACGTGTTCATGTCTCTTTTCGGTACTCGTGCTGCTTCCGCATTCGAAAATTTACGACACATCCCCAGCCCCAGTAGGACATCACCTAGCGCACCCTGCCACTCAAGCGTGCTACTCAATCGCCGCTCCGCAAAACAAACACTTCACATCCGTCACTTCGTCCTCCCCATCCTCCCTGGTAACAACCACCCTCGTACTCCCCTCCGGCGGGCCCCCATCCTTCTCATCTGCCGGCAAACCCTTGACAAACACCTCCGCCGTCACTCCCGTCGCCTGGTTCAAAGCTTTCGCCTGCGCCGTCGAGCCCGGAGTAAGTTCCGGCGTCTTCGCCCTCGCGCCTTTCTTCATCGACGTAGACTTTCGTTTCGCGTTCGAGCTCTGTTTCTGTTGTGAGTCGCTCGTCTGACCTACGGCTGCTTCGGCTATACATTTCAGATGCATCCATCTCCCGCAGGTTTCCGAGGGACATTGGAGAATCATCTTGTCCGGATTCTGGGGTCGGTCGTCGATGCAGATGTGGCGGAGTTCCTATCATCAAAGTCAGCACTGCTATCCCCTCCGACTGAATGTAACCTGTTCTTACCGAGAACGTCTTCGTCCCAGCAAAATCATACGTCTGTCGCCAGAAATGCTCCCCAATCCCGGGCATCGCACTCTCGTCGTCCTCCTCCGCCCAGTGATACAGTTCCAACCTCCCATTCACCGTCATCGCATCAATGATATCCATGTGATTTGTCGGGATCAGCTCATTCAGTCCATGATAATCCTTTCTTCCAGAATCCAGGTCTTCCGGTCGATTCAGCCACGCGACTCTGATGTAGACATGTTCCGGGTCCAGGGCGCGGACTTCGAGGACTTTTGCTTTCCATTGGGCGGCGATGTCGATTTTTTGGTCTTCGGAGATGTCGTGCTTGACGAGGATGTGTTCTCCGACTGCGATTGATTCGTTGCCGACTAAGGAATTTGTTAGTCCTGGCGTACATCTCCCATCTCTTATGTATTGTGCTCACCCGTAAACTTCTTATACCGCCTCAGACTCTCCCAATTATTCAGAGGCTTGATCTCATATTGCACACTCAGCCTATCCTCGAAAAGATCTGATTGCGTGTGTAGATTTGTGGTGGAGCGTTTGCGCTTCTTTGGGTTGTTGAGAGGTATGGTCGTGATCGAGAATGGCGGCGAGGGCCCATCTTTGTCCAGGAAGTCTCTCAGCTTTGCGCGTTCCTTGTCCGAGAGCTCATGTGGTTGGGCTGGCGACTTCACATCTGGGACTGGTGGGCTGTTGATTGGGGTGTCGTTGACGTCGTGCTTGGGACGTTTCGGCCCGGTCTGTTTGGTCCGCATTGCTGCGATCGTGCTGGATTGTAGGAACTTCGACCAAAACGATGGGATAGTTCAGTCAAGCAGATGTCGCGGGCGTAGTCGGTTGTGGTGTAGGCAGCTGTCGCGGTCAATGTTTGTGACTCAGCGCACCTGAGATCATATCACTACATGAACGAGAAGACTGATAGATGAAGCCGAAGTTGTTTGTTCATGCGACAAGTGATGTCCCACCACCGGCAGTGTGACGGATTAACAGACGAGGCAGTGTGCGCGTCCGCGGCGCGTTTGCGACTCGGCGATCCTTTCGCTAAAGCTAGTGGGTGCTCGGGGATGGTCTGTGCCGGGCTGTTTTATGTCATCTGCTTCTACAGTACTACTTCTTCCAATTCCTTCCAATCGTTGTTATGGTCGCCTGTGTTTCTTGATACGGCACGATGATTCCTCGGCTTAGATCTTCGTGATATGAGCTTGTGACTGCGCTAATTCCAAGCATCTCAGACGTCCAATAAGGTCACATCAACGGCCAACAACATGGCACGGCATTGGCGGCCTCGTAAGCCCGCGGGTGGGAAAGCGAGCAGGCCAAGCGATCGCGATGTGCATGGGCTGCATGGCACTGTAGCCAAGTAGGCATAGACTCCGCTAGATCATGGAGTACGTAGTAATCGTCTGTATAAGAAGGGCTTTTGGTTCCGCAGCCATCCGTGCATATAATAATCTAGCTCTACCCCCAAGATCTCCTCTCCTCCTCTCCTCCTGCTGAAATTGTGTTTCAACTGTCGTTCTAAAACCGAAGATTACGTCGTTTTGTGTATCGGATTGGGTTGCATGCGTCAGCTGGCGCCACAAATTATTCCGAGCATCCGATCACTCGACTAGAGTACACCTTGAATTGGACAACTTTCTTGCTGCATAAGCCTGGACTGCACATACGTTCGTTACACCACTCTGTCGCTCGCTATAGCGCTCTTCCATTTGCTTGCCAGATACAATATTGTACGGAACACTGCTCAAGGCCGTCACGGGAGCCTGCTGAAGATCACGGCCACGCTGCTCGAGCAGTCCGGGAGACAGTAGACGTTGCACAACATGCCTCGTTCTCGTGGTACGTACTAGCAAACCCCAGGGAGCATGGCAAAGATCATCCTCAAACATGTGGCTATCTGATCCTAACAACGTGCTCGCTGTAGTCTTGTCGTTCATGAGCCAATGGGGCAACGGACCTCGCTCGCCCACCACCGATCCACCTTCATCGCCCACGCCTACTAAACCCACTCAAGCGCCTAGCGAGAACCTGAAGTACCAGAAGCCACCTCCGAACATCGACACGGCTACATCGCAAGCTCAGCTCGCAAAGCTCGATGCATTCGCCAAGCAATCGCCAGGCTCGCCTACCTTCACACCCTCACGAGCAAGAGGCGACTCGAGAGCGAACACTCGACCAAGCAGCGTGATGATGCAGACATATCAGCCGCCACAGATGGATCTGGCTGCCCTCGACACTCCACCGGAATTGCAGCCGATCTTCAGCTACTTGAACAGCCACAGCAATAAACTATACCAGGAAGGCTACTTCTTGAAGCTGCACGATCTGGACTCGAGGGGCAGGCCAAGCCCGGATAGAGTGTGGGTGGAGTGCTTTGCACAGTTGGTTGGCACGGTATTGTCGCTGTGGGACGCTGCTGCCTTGGACGCGGCGGGAGAGGACGGCGAGGTTGTGCCTACGTTTATCAACCTGAGCGATGCGTCTATCAAGATGGTGAGTGGAGCTGCCGAAGAAGTGACGTGTGAATCTTGGCTAATTGTCATGACAGATCGAGTCTCTGCCCATGAACGGAGCACAAGGCGGCAGTCTGCAGAACGTGCTCAGCATATCTACGGCAGCCAACAACCGCTACCTCTTACATTTCAACTCGCTCAATTCCCTGACACAATGGACGGCTGGTATCCGACTGGCCATGTTCGAACACTCGACTCTGCAAGAGGCATACACCGGCTCGCTCGTCGCAGGTAAAGGAAAGTCCTTGAACAACATCAAATCCATCATGACGCGCTCACAATTCCCTCATGAAGACTGGGCTCGTGTGAGGTTCGGTGCTGGAACTGCTTGGAAGAGATGTTGGTGCGTCATCACTCCGCCAGACGAGAAGGAATACAACAAGGTACAGAAAACACTCAAGAAGACCTCGGCATACGAGCGAGTGAAGATGCCAAAGGGTGACATCAAATTCTACGACACACGAAAGATCACAAAGAAGACGAGACCGATCGCTACAATTACGGATGCCTATGCTGCGTATGCTATCTATCCACAATCGAAGCCACTCATCGATCAATCGACTCTGGTCAAGCTGGAAGGTCTGGTCACTGTCCACGGCTCTCCTGAGCAAGTAACGGAGGGCTTCGTGTTTGTCATGCCTGAAGTGCATGCGGCTGTGACTGGATTCGAGATGATGTTGAGATGGCTCTTCCCAGTCTTCGATACCTTCAACTTGTACGGGAGGCCAAGTCGACTCATTGCGGACACACTTGACCAACGTGGACTCATGTTTGCCATGCCCTCGGATAGGCGGTATGGCTACTTGGACATCCTCGATGTCTCTGCATTGATTCACACCGACGGCAGCCAAGCGTGGAGTGAACGACAGTGGAGAGGAGAACTGAAGAAGCTAACAGGCACACGCATGTCAAACCAGATGGAGACCACACGCCTGCCCGCTCAACGACGAAACACCACCACTGGACGCAGTTCAATGACTCCCACAAAAGGAGGTGTGCGATTCGACCAGACTGGCACATACGACTCAGCACCAGGCTCACGATCCGCATCGCCACCTGTCATGGGAGGTGCACCAGACGATCGCTTTGCCCCACCCCAGAGAGTCGACTCCGCCCCTCCCAGCGTGTCCACAGGCAGCCCTCACAAGCGATCTGTCTCGGATGCGCAAGGCTACCGCAGCAGATATGAGACGCAGACGCCATCGCGATTATCGTACGACCCACAGTCGAGCACTGACGATGAAGTGGTACCGCCAGCACCTCCAAGACATGGTGGCTTGCTCGGCCCGAATCTCAACCGTGCTCATGGACCTGGCACACTTGAGCGCATTCAGTCCGGTGATGCGGTACCGACCTTCGCTTCGCTCGAGCCGCAGACGTCGGCGTTCTTGCCACCTCCAGCACCAGTACTGTCTCCACCCGCCTTCACGCACAGCCCCAACGATCGTCCCGCCAATGAGCCATATCAAGCTCCAGAGCTGCGTCGTGCACATTCCAACGTGGACGCGGCGACACTATACCAAATGCAGGATGCTGTACAGAGGGAAGACGCACCAGAAGAAGAGTGGACTGGTGAGCTACAACAGCGCCAGCAGTATCCGATGCAAAACCATATCAGCTCGGTAGCGTACCTCCAACACCAACCTAGAATGCCTGCTGATCGATCGCAAGGCATATTGAACGACTCCGCGAACATGGGCGCACGCAAGAACAGCAACACGCCATTACGAAATGTTATCTCGCATGGACAGAGCATAAGTTCGATCGAGAATCCGTCGCACATGGGCGCTGAGGACGCAGAACATTTCTATTCGGCACGACAAACGCCTGAGCCATTGCAGCAGATGGATGGTGCGAGCGATGATAGACTATACAACGGGACACAGAGGACGCTCCGAAAGCAGCCATCGCTCACGTCTATGAAGTCTAGTCGGAGTATTGCAAGGAAGCCCGTGCCGAAAAAAGATGCACCCTCACCTGCTCTATCTAATGTTATCTCCACAGGACAGTCACGTAATGTTGCGGATGATGACTCGCCCGACTCACCCGTGGCCAGCGAAAGTTTTGAGGGCGCATTGATCGACTCCGATGCACTTGAGCGCATATTGGACAACGATCGTACCAGTTCCATGGCATCCACACAGCCCGATTATGCTAGCGTAGCCAGTTCGAAGCATGAGGAAAGAAAGAAGCCGATAGAATACGTCAGACCTGGCAAGCTCAAGACCGTAGGCGACCCAGACTACAAACCCACTCACGTTCGCCAGAACAGTGCTGGGAAGCTTGATACGTGGGCGTTTGACGAGACGGAGAAGACGGCTGAAGTGCCAGCCGTTGACTTTGGCCCCACACCACTTTACAAGCCTTCCACAAGGCCGACTACCAGTGGCACGCTTACACCTGGTGGCATCCACGACCGAAGCCGGTCAAGATCGGGCGACCGTCTGCGCGACTCGAATCGTGCCACGCCAACAGAGAATTTTCGTCACTCTTACTTCGGTGGGCCAGGGGCGGCCAGTCCGCTCGCAGGGTCGCCCGGAGATAGAGCGAGCATGGCTTGGCAGCCTCAAGCTCAAGCCTCACCTGTCGGTACAACTGGGAGTGCGAGCTTGACACCGGAGCAGTGGGTTGCGCACCGGGCTGCCTTGGCTGCCCAGCCTCAGCAGGCCCCTATCAGGCGGCCTGGGTCGGGCCTTGCACAACATCACCGCACGGCTTCCGGTGGTAGTATGCACCAATTACGACGGTCGTTGACCAAGACGCCACCTCCACTATCACGTACACCATCGGGCGATTGGACGCAGTATGCCCAGCCTGGTGCTCAACGCACACCACCCAGTCGCCCTCAGTCCCGTGGAGCAGGAACGTACCTGAATCAGCCTAACGCCCAACCAAGCAATCTGACTGCAAGGGAGCAAATGCATGTCGCTCGTGCGACTGGTCAGCCTCTCCTAAACTACACCACCTCCCAACACAAGAAGCTGCAAGAAGAGCACCAACCAGGCCTCTTCGGCGCCCTTGCCGCCCGCGAACGCGAAAAGGAAGAAGGCAAGAAGACGACTAATCGGAATTCTATGCATAATCCCATGGTCGCGCAAGCGATCGCGGCTAGACAGTATCAGCAATACGAGAACGAGGAGAGGGTGAGGCAGGAATATGCTATGCAACTGCAGAATCAGGCTCAGCACCAGTATGTTCAACAGCAGGCTCAGCAGCAAGCTCAGATGCGGGAGTTGCAGCAACAGCAGAATGCTATGATGGCTAGGAGTGCGGCGGTCTTGGCTAGCCAGCAGCAGGGTCATGGTTACGGTCAAGGTGGGCAGGAGCAGGGTCAGGGGCAGGGGCAGAGGCCGGGCACGGCTATGTCGGGCGGTTCGTTGCATCCGGGTTTCGAGGGTTTACCGCAGGCTGGGCCGATAAGTCCGGAGGGGCAGAGTGGGATTAGTGGGAATGGGGGGTTCTCGAGTCCGTTTGCGAGGCAGTTGTATGAGAGTCAGCAGGCTTTGCAGGGTGCGCAGCAGGGTGGTGGGGGACAGTGGCAGCAGCAGCAGAGGAGGGCGTGATTGATTAATAGAAGGGTCCTCTCTCTCGTGCTGGTTGGCCGCATTCTTAGTATTTTGGCAGGGCCTTGGCAGTACTATGTCTGGACCATGTATAGTACGGTAGAGTCTCTAGATCAAATACAGAAGACGTAATGTCTTGAACACGTGATCGCTACGCTTTCTCGCTCTTGCTCGGCGTGAACATTCTCCGGGCCCCGGCCGACTTCAGCTCACTCCACCGCCTGTTCGCATCCTACATTCTTACTCTCCACGTCATGCTCACACCATGACGACTGTTACTGGACGAGAACCTTCAGTGCTGAGATGCTATTTGATGCCCTCGCGGACAACATCTCTGAATGTCCCGCACCATTTCGCGCTGTGTCGCCCTCAAGAACGCGCCAGTCGCCCGCGCTAGCAACGCCCAGCCTCGCGCGCAGTCCTACGCCCTGCTGCCACGAATAAGGCAAACGCTTCGCCTCGTATTGGCGCCCAAGGCAACATGAATTAGGCAATGTCGTTGCCTTCCCTCCGGAACGTCCGAGACGAAGGCAACGTCAACCCACAGGACAATCTTCGGCCATGGCATCCAGATGTCGATGCTCTTCACCGGTTTCTAGCCTTGCTACGTGACAACGGTCCTCAGGCAGCCAATCACCAGACTTCAAATCCGTACCGGTCAACGAGGTATTGTTATGATGTGGTAAGGCTGTTTGGCCACACTGCTACATATAGCAATCACTGATTTCCTTCGAATATGCATTGCGGCATCAGATACGCTGTGCAACCTCTGAAGTCCTCATTCCTGGACTCTTGACGCCATGCTCAATGCCCTTACTCTAGGTTCTGCTCGTTGATATTGTTCGGATCCGGATCTTTAACTTTAACCTTGGAATGCTAGCTATGTGGATTCGCGCGATTCTCGACTATGGACGAAATCCTGCTGTGTGCGGTCGAATCTCTGCCCAAATCCATCCAACCCGAACCTTTGAAGATGGAGTTTTCACTTCGGATCTGGCAAAAGGAACGCCATTTCCTAAAACACGTCGGAATTTTGTGCCAGACTGACTACGAGATTGCTCATGGATGATTTCATCTCCCAAGTTGACCAGAGCGGCCTTCCGACGGACCATCGCAACTTTTGACGTCTGAATTGACCCAGGCTCTTCTGGTCACTGTAAGGCCCTTCTCACCCGCGTAGCGATGGCACGGCGGCCTCTCTTGTGAAGCCAATCATTACTGCCGGGAGAGGAGGCTGAAAACACGATCGTTAATTGCAATGTAAGTCAAAGCTTGCATATGTCCGCACCGCAGCTAATTCATTCTTCAGACATAAAGCTCTATGAGCGTTTAAGCCCCACTATGACAGTGACCATTAGGATACACAGCTAGCCTGGCACTGTTCAGTTTGCGATCACATACACAATCGCGAGATCCGGGTTTGCTGGAAGGTAGGTACGATTTGAGGTGCTCTCCATTGGAGCCTGGATCAGGGCAGAGTTCCACACTTTAACGATCTTTACCCAGCATTGACACAGTGCACTTCACCGACATTGACCATGCAGGATCAAGCGTCAGGAGGCTGTAAGCCAACCGAAATGCTTCAGGAAAATACCTATAAGCTCTCTGGATCGGCTCGGGCGTCTGACTCTCATTTGCATCGATCGGCACCTTACCTGAAGACAAAGGCGTGATTAGATCAGCCACGACCGATGTGCTATTCAACAGACGCGATACCAGCCTAGCTCCATCCTTCGACCCATCTAATCCCCAGGACAATGGACATTCGCACATGGATTACACGCCACGGCACGCTTCCAACCTCACCCCGGGTCTTCCAGAGTTTACCGCAGCTAAGGGAGGTCGAGAACGGCGAACATACGCGCGAATGTGGGCCCACACTGCCCCCCTAAGGCAATGGGCGGCCTCTGCGTCGAAAGGATCGATTGGCGGCCCTATTTCTTGGCAAACCTCAGGCACTTAGGTGGTCTGTGCTTACATGCAGAAACTCGCCTGGTGCTTCGCATTCAGGTTCCTTTATATCTGCTTGGATGCCCTCGACGAGGGCGACACTACTGTAGGATACGACACGTCTCAAATGATGTCACCGCTACTTCGGTGGTGCAACGGACCTTTCAACCACGCACGGGCGACCTTCGAGCTTCGTATAAACATGTTTCGGACGACTGGCATTGATTTATTCAGCTCTCATCAACCCCGTTCGAACTTCTGGTTGAGTATCTACATCATCGTCGTCTCCCACTTTTCGGACCACCGAGAGTTTACCCTTTGTTTACGCAACCAATCTCAGGCGTCTCGTCTGATCCCGACTCACCCTGTACCTGGAGCATACACATGTACCATTTGAGGCGTGCCAACATTGGCATCGATCGGAGATCGTCTGTAATAGTGCCAGGCTCCCACGACATACTGGAGCACAGTCTTTTCGGCGGCCCCGATCCACTTTTCGATTCGTCAGACTACCAAGATATCCTTTCGACCGCGGAGGCCGAGTATCTTTACAACTCGCAACTACTTACCCAAGAGGGCACTCAGTTTGGAAGTGATCCAAGGCTACAAGTGCCCCTGCCTACTCGAACAGTTCTCGATGAGTCGCACTCCGCAACCCAGAGTTCGTGAGACCACCCCAAGATTGTTATCGAAGCTGACCCATAGGCAGGACTCTGGGATGTAAGGTCGGCTACGGCATCTCTTTCCCAGGACGCTTTTGTAAATGCTCGCCAGATCGTATCGATCGCCGAGGAGGGCATATTGCAAGGTAGTACGCCTCTTGCTCCAGTCTTACATCTGGGCTGACTCTATCTAGGGCTTAGCGTGGGCGTTCGAAGTGATGTTCCATACGAGCCGTCAATCTTTACTGATGACCTTCCAATGTCATGGCACCGCAGCGCATTTGGCGAGGTTGCGGAGCCAAGCTGGGAACGTGTCGACGTGAATTCTGGAGAAGCATCACTTGGGCCTCATCGACCATCTCGGCGTGTCCCGATAAGCTCGCACAACCCGGTTCCCACCTTAGCGGTGCCCATGCATCGGCCCTCACGATTAAGATCCGAGGGCGCCGCTGAGTCTTCGAATCGCTCTTCCAGATCATCACAACAAAGCCCACGCTCTGCCCCCCTTCCCATCGTACGAGCTCCGCATATCATCACCGGTCCGTCTTCTTCACGGTCGACATCGCAACGCGAGCGCAATCCACCAATCATCTGCTACTGGCACGATCCTCCAAAGTTGTTCACTAGAGAGTTTGAATACGACCGTCACTGCGATGTGGTCCACGCTCAAGCGAAGCAGCACTACCACTGTTCGATGCTAGGCTGCAACTACTACTATCCGCGTCATGACAAGCTTCTAGTGCATTGGAAGAAGAAGCATCCTCTTTCCTGGCAGGCACTTCCTCCGCATACTCTATGGGTGGAGATCTCAGATGCTGATTTGCGGCACTATGGTCGCTGTCCTCACAGCTGCGACTGGTATTCACAGCGCCAACCATATTTGTAGCGCAGCAACGACCTTCGGGTTGACGGAGCTTGACACCATATCCCCGTATCTTTGAGGCTATGGGAGTTCGTCGCACCCAATCAGGTCAGTGCCATATGCGTGACGTGGCCACAACACCACCTATACTGGCCAGCTTCATATCAATTGTCTTCAGGAACTCACATACGGCCCATCCTTGGCGAGCTGCCAATCTATGGACAAGTTGATTCAATGGGCAAAGCTATGAGCTGGCTCCAGGAAACGCCGGTACTCCTGCTCTTGAGTATGAATGACTTTATGATTATTAAGGAATGATTGTGGAATTGCTTTTTGTTTCATCCTTCTAAGTGTGTTCCTACAGCTTACGAGAACGTCAAGTTATCATCATCGCGCTGCTGTCTCTCTACGCTCCAGAAGATCATACTGTGTTTACAAGCGTGTGGGAGACTGTACGTGCATGCGCATCCAATTCTCCAAAATCTCTACGTGGTACAGGCATACAAACTCGCAAGACATGACGCCGTCAGTAAGACTGTGCATCTGTTGAGGCTTTGACACGACCAATCTACATACGCCACATTTTCTACGTTCATTGCCGGACCAGACTCGGAGCACGTAAAAATCACTATCTTTTACTACGACAGTCGCACTGGACGTGCAATACATCAAGCTGCTTCTATGGTAGATACCTTGAGCCACATGACATACGCCAGATGAGAGCACACGATGCATGACTTGCGCAGGCGCTGTAAATAATAGTGTTGGCGAGTTATGGCCACGATTCGTGAGGCGACTGAGGCTGAGAGGGCGAAAGTCACTTATGCGAACATTGTTCGACACGAACCTTAATCTAGATACTAGCAATATGCAGGTATCAACGCCCGCTGCAGCGATTCCTGGGCTGAAATCAGCCGTGCTGTACCCTCTACGACCCATAACGCCATCAACACCTAACACTACCGTACAGCCGCTCCTCCCACAAAGCTCAAACCACATCAATGCGCATGGCCCTGGTCATCCTTTGCCGGCGGAGCACAGCATGCATTGCCTGCTCCACACTTATCGTCGCAGTCAAGCAAACAAGCGTCCGCAGTCCTCACACTCGCCGCCTTGCTACCTGGCTCGCCTCCGGCACTGGGACTCAGATGTCCACTGTTGCCGTGTTCATGGCCATGCTCATGCGCACCATCACTCTCACTCTGCGCCGCATGTGAGTGGTTAGGATCGAGGCAGAATTCGGGCTGGATTGTGCTAGAGTGGATGCCGTATTCATGCAGACACTCCCTGATCGTCTTCGCAAGATGCATATATCTCGCACTCCCCTCATCCTTGAGTTCGAACTCGACTTGGACGTGAAGGGAGGCAATCATTTTCGTATCGCTCAGTTGCCAAACGTGCAAGTGGTGGCAGCTGATGATCCCGGGTAGGGTCTCGATATCGTCTTTGATGTCGTCTATGCTGATGCCTAGTGGTACTGCTTGGAGTAGGATTCTGGATGCTGCTTTGCAGAGAGGGATGGCGGAGCAGAGGATGATGAATGTGATGACGAGAGAGATGGCAGGGTCGAAGTAGAATCTTCCTTCGAACTTGGTGAGCCAGATGATCAAGGCGGTGGCGATGACGCCGATGTTGCCTAGAGCATCGCCCATGACGTGGAGGAAGATGCCCTTCATGTTCAGATCACCGTGGGAGTGGCCATGCCCTTTACCAGCTTCCTTTGGTTGGCGATGGATGTGCTTCGTGTGGCTTGTTGTCTTGCCCATAGCGCCGTAGTTCCCATTCGCTTTGTTACTGACGAGAGCACTACGCTCGTGGGCGTGATCGTGGTCGTGTGTCTCGTCGTGGCCGTCCTCCTCCACTGCTTCTTCTTCGGTGTCCTCGTCTGACTGCACGGGCTCCATACGGCTGGCTGCGATGATGGAGCGACGGAAAGCTGATGGGTTGACTTCGATGTCGTTAAATCCAGAGTACGTCCGCGAACGTGACCTGCTATGTGCGCGCTTGGCGAACTTGGCGCTGGGACTCTGAGCAGTGTCCTCTACAGCCGTAGAATCACTTCCAGCAGTCTGGTTTATTGCGGTTGTCGGCCAACCAGCGATACGCTGCTGTGGAAGTACATCCACCACGTTTCCGCCCTCCTCAGCAAGATGTGGATGGTTGTGCCCTTCCTCTGCAGCATGCACGTCATCTCCATGCTCATGCGAGTGTCCTTCAGGGCCATGACTGTGTCCACCAGGTCCATGACTATGATTATGGAACAGGAACAGTCCCAAGATATTGCTCGCCAAACCCAAGCACCCCACAATCAGAATCAACTTCGGCTGAGTGACCGTTGGTTTCTCCACAAACCGCTGAATCGCCTCTAGAAAGATGGTCACACAAAGCGCCACCAGGAATACTCCGTTGACCAACGCTCCTAGCGTCTCTGCTCGCTGCCAGCCATAAGTGTACATCTTGCTCTCGCTCTTGCGGTTCGCGACCTGGACAGCCCAGAGACCAACGAACAGGGAGAGCACATCGTTGAGCATGTGGAAGGCATCGGCGACCAGGGCGAGGGAGTGGACGGCATAGCCTATGATCAGCTCGGTGAAGAAGAAGGCGACGTCAATGACCAGCAGGATGATGATGCGTTGGCTCTTCGTGAGCGCCATGATGGGTGGAGGTTGTGATTCGTCCGTCCAAAAAGTTGCAGTCCCAGGCGGTGATGGTGCTTATGTATGCTACCTGTCCGTACTCATATCGTGCCGGTCAGTCTATCACACACGTTCAAGCTAAGGAAGGACGGTAGCAACCAGAAATGGCGCAACGATGCACGAAGTCAGAAGGCGTGATGACAGTGTGGAGTGTCAATTGCGGGACTGGCAGAAAGTCAGTTCAGCAAGCTTCTGTGGCGTTGGTTCTACGGCGGACTAAAGAGCACAAAGGACGAGGTCCTGAACATGTTAAGCAGGCTTGAGCCATGCGTGGATATAGCATTGAATAGTATATACAACCCGCGAGCTCAAGAACGTATTCTCGAAAACCTTCATGCCAAAATCTCAGCAGCATTCGCATATATGCTTTGGCTCGCCTCAAAAACGCAGTGCCATGCACCATGACCCAACCCAACCCGCTAAACCATCAGCAGTCACATAACAAGAAAGTCAGAATCAAGATTCGAAACGCTACTTCTTGCCCTTCTTCTTCTTACTATTCGCACCACCCTGCGCCTGTGTCGGTACATCGGAGTCCACAAGGACACCTTCTTCATCACTGCTTCCGGGTTTCAGTACTGCGGGTGCAGGTGTAGCCGCAGTCGTACTCTCACTCGATTCTGATGCTCCAACCTCCTTCAAAAAATCCGACTGGATGCCTGCCTTCTTCTTGTCCCACCATGCTCTATCTGATGCAAGCTTCTCCTGTAGCTCTGCAATTCGTTGTTTGATGACAATGTTCTGGTTCATCTCGTTTGCGGACTGGAAGATTACTTGGCCCCAGTTTGGTGAGAAGTCGTTGGCCTGCAGGTCGCACAGCAAGTCAGTATACACTACCGCAATAAAGCATGTTTCTCGACTGCCAGATTGCCGAACTCACCTCATTGACGACGTCCTTCACCTCAGCCTCCATCTCCTGCTCCGCTCTGAGAAAACGCTGCCACAGCTCATCGCCCACACTACCCCTCTGTAATAGCGTCTGAAGTGCCTGCTTCGACGTCCTCAACTGCACTATCCGTCGTATATCCTCCAGTGCTCTCTGCATCAACGCAGCCTTGAGAATGGAATCCGGAACTCTCTTCAATTTCTTCTCGTCATCCTCTCCTCCCGCTTCCGCCGGGTCCAGATGTAAGAGTGAAAAGTAGATGTCTCGTTGTCGATGTGCAGGAAACCAGGGTTCTAACGAGGCGGTTTTGGCGACTTGCCGTTTGCGGTAGAGGTTTGAGAAGGTGTATAGGCTTCCTATCACTATTATGAGGTAGAGAGTTGGTAGTAGTAGGTTGGTCCAGAAGCTTTTGGGCGGTGAAGGTGGTTGGAAGCCTTCGAATGTGCCGTTTGTGGAATTTGAGGAGGAATTGAAGGTGCCGTTGAAGGTGCTGTTGAAAGGTACTTGGTCGTCCATGTTTGCTGGTCGTGTGCGCTTACTTTGGGTTTTGGTGTGGAAGGAGTCCTGGTCTGTATTATCTTGTGAGGAACCTGCTCATTGCTATACAAAGGGTCGTGGAGCTAGGAGTGGTATGTCTTGACCGTCCAGCGATGTTAATTGATCCTTCCTAGCAATTTGTCCAGACAGCAAAGTGGCCTCACCATAATCCGTGTCTCGAAAGTCCAGAAATGGCAACGTTGCGCCCGCCGGATCTACCCGTCATTCACGCGGCAGGGATCGACCAGTCTCCGCGTGCGTAACGTCACTAAATAATCGATTCGGTACGTTGCGTAGCTTATGAAAGACATCTTCACACGCAAGCTGTTGGTTGCCTTGCACTAGAATACAATCGAGCTTCGTGGAAGACCAGAAAGGCTCAATATATTGATGGCTTCGTAATAACGGCACTCTGCTTCGATCACGTGCACCGCTTCTGTGCTTCCGTGCTTCTGTGCTTCTCGAGAGACTGTTACAAACAGCTTCCTCCACACCACACCCACATCACAGCAAATATGATTCTTAGATTCCAGTCGAAGGAGGGCCAGTTCCGACTGAACGTCGAGCTCGACACAGATATCTCCAGTGTGCTGCCACAAGTACAAGAAAAGCTTCCATCCGACGTCATCGCCTCATCCATCACAATAAGTCCGAAGCCTCACGGTGCCGACTCTCGCCCAATACAGTCCCTCAAGGACGTCACATTCGGTCGACTAGGCCTCACACACGGCACGCAAATCTTCCTCGACTTCAAGCAAGATACTCCTGTTGAGAATGGTCATTCTGTGCCTGCAAACAAGCTCAGTGGTCAGGATGTGGCTCCTGAAGAGGATGTATCCAGCGTACAGATCGCCGCACCAACACTGGTGAAGAACCCATGGGATAGCGTCAAACAATCGCCTCTTGATGACCGATTAGACCAGAAGGATGGTAAGATACACCGAAAGAAAGACGAGAAGATGTGCAGACATGGGCCGAGGGGTATGTGCGACTACTGCATGCCCATCGAGCCGTATGACAAGAAGTACCTGGACGAGAACAAGATCAAGCACAGCTCCTATCATGCGTACCTACGGAAAGTGAATCAGGGCAAGAACAAGTACGAGTCCGGAAGCTCCTACATGCCGCCCTTGACCGAACCATACTACCGGGTAAACCCGTACTGTCCTTCTGGCCACAAGCCTTTCCCACAGGGCATCTGCTCAAAGTGCCAGCCTTCCGCCATCTCGTTACAGGCGCAGGAGTACCGCATGGTGGATCACGTCGAGTTTGCCAACCCGGAAATCGTCAACTCGTACCTCGATTGGTGGCGAAACTCAGGCGGCACGCAGCGCATCGGGTTCATGTACGGTCACTACGAGGAGTACGAAATTGTTCCCCTTGGCACGAAGGCGGTCGTCGAAGCTATATATGAGCCTCCACAGGCTGATGAGATCGATGGTGTGACGCTCGGCGAGTGGGACAGCGAGGATGCGATCGATGAGCTTGCATCGAAGTGCGGTCTCCGGCGTGTTGGCGTCATATTTACCGATCTCACAGTCCCAGAGGATTCATCACAAGGTGCCGCAGCCTGCAAACGCCACGTCGACTCCTTCTTCCTCTCCTCTCTCGAAATCCAGTTGGCCTCACGCTTTCAGGCCAAGTACCCTCGACCCAGCAAGTGGAGCGAATCCGGGCAATTTGGCAGCAACTTCGTCACTTGTGTGGTATCGGGTGATGACAAGGGCCAAATCGGCATCTCCGCCTACCAAGCCTCGAACGCTGCAGTCGAAATGGTACGGGCAGATATTGTCGAGCCTTCCGCGGAACCAGGTGTCATGCTTGTGCAGGACGAAGATGAAGACAACGAGCTCGGCCGCGTACGGTATATTCCCGAAGTTTTCTACCGTCGCATTAACGAGTATGGTGCGAATGTGCAGGAGAATGCCAAGCCGAGCTTTCCGGTCGAATACCTCCTCATCACGCTCACGCATGGATTCCCCAACGAGACGACGCCGAAATTCGTGAAACCTGGGTTTGCGATTGAGAATCGGGATGCTATTGGTGAGGCGCAGGAGCCGCGGGATCTGCAGACGCAGCTCAAAGCTGGTGCAAACAGGATTGCCCTGGACGATACTCAGGGTGTACTCGCCGTCTCGGACTTCCATCTCTTATGCTTCATCCACAATCTCGGCGTCCTGAGCAAGGTATGTCATGCACAAACACTTGTGGTTTGCCACCAAAGAGTACATGTTTGCTAACACCCATCGCAGGACGAAGAACAGCTCCTCTGCACCATCGCAGTCACGCACGACGCCTCCCTCGGCGCACAACTCATGCACACATCAGGTTGGGCCACCCTTCAGACTATCCTGCAGCAGATGTAACAGTAGACCTACAAACACAAAGAAGTCGCAAGACCACGATGAGAAAAACTGTTATGTCTGCTTGTGGACGCTCTCTGACTTCTGGACTTCTTTTCTAGGCTGGATGACGCTCGCCGCTATACTGGAACAGTATCAAGATCGGATGCCGAAGAGGGGGAGTGAGGATGTGACTGCGATGTTGAGTAAGAGGTTTAGGGGTGCGAATTTGGGTGGTTAGACCGAGAGCAGATCAAGCCGGTATCTGCACGTTCTCGTACGCCGCTGTTGAGCGCTCAGTGGGCAAGATGGCGAACGAAGTCGAGTTTGCTGCTGTGGACTGATGGGTTGTGAGGTGTGACAAGAGAAGCTTGCTCTCCTCGTCCGTCACTGTGGCAAGCGCCGGCACAGCGACGCTTTTGCTATGGCAAGATGCTGCGGTGACTGAGAGCTAGATATTGTGCATTCGCACCGTACCTCTTCCAGTACCGCAGTGATCAACAACTCCTCAGACCTTCCTCATTGCCCGTCGCCGCTGTGTTACGGCGTACAAGTTGCTATGGGATCATGTCTTCCTTCTGATCTTTATTTCAACACAAACACCTATACTGATCACTTGCTATACACAGCCCAAGACTAAGCTGTAAGAACAGTGATTGTATCACGACTGCCGCCCATAGACGTGAGTGCGAGGGGTCAGAAGTCCGTATAGCGGACTCAATATCCCATACCACAATCAAGTCCTGCCACGATGTCGGACAACAACAACGCCATACCTTCAACCACCTACCGCTCCCGCTCAGGCACAGCCTCCTCACATCTCAGCTCACCTCGCAGCCCAGGCACACCCACAGCGCCCTCTCCATACCTCCGCCGCATGGGCCTGCAGGTCCATGAACATGCACGCCCTGATGGCACCTACAACATGCCAACCTGCACCTTATACCAATCAGAAGGCTACCTGGAACGAGCTCTCGCAAGCCATAAATACAAAATCGAACGCCTAGCTTACGAGGCAGAAGCCGAGAACGATCCCACGGGTGTGGTGGAGGCATCGAGAGTGCTGTTGCCTGACACGCCGCCTTCTGAGAGGTTTGAGGAGAGGTATGGGAGGAATGAAGGGTGTAAGTGTCAGAAGAGGGAGGATGGGTTGCCCGTGGGAGTTTCAGAGGTGGCGAAGTGGCCGATTCTTGGATGTGGAGTTTGTGGGACGCGGTTGAATTGTGTTGATCCTTGGAGGCATGATTCGATGCCTGGAGGTCATATGAATGACAGCGCAGCCAGGCCGTGAAAGCGTCAGGTGGAGAACAGAGCACACGGCGAGCATTTTGTCTTTCGAGGTGGTGGAACATGAAAGGAATAGGTATAACGACCGTAAAAGCAGCCATTAGCACTTGGCTACGAGGCAGTTGATACTTTCTATACTTCACGTGCCACTCCCGTGTGCTTGTTATCGACTAGACGGGTAGACCTGCTCAAAGCTTACCCCCCGAGCGTGGTCATGCGACATTCTTCTCCAGCCATTGCTCCCAGTCCTCCTTCGAGAAGCTGCTTGCAATACCGCCTTCGACCACGCCCTGTATATGGTCAGCCTTGCCTCTGATGAGAATGCATAGGGATGACCTACATTGAACAGCACAGTAGGTGTAACATGAACACCAGTCAGCCGATTAGCCTTGACCATAAGCTTCACATCGTCCGTGACTTGATTCCCAGTATTGAGCTCGCCGCCCTTTCCAGGCTCATCGGAGACCTTCAGTAAGATGTAAATCTTCTTCTCGTCGACACCCACGCCACCCGCAAGCTTGGCCAGACGCTCATAAGTCTTGTTGCGAGTCTCATTGACGACATTGACGTCGAAATAGTCTTTCTGCTGATCGAAAAGAGCTTTGCTGAATGGCCAGAACTTTTCGGGGCTCACCCGGAGGACTGCAGCGCCGGCTTCGTGGACAAGAGTACTCGAAGGATGCCATGGTTGAATATGAAGAGGTCTAAGCTTGCAGTCTGCTACGGATCATGGTAAATGACATACCTGCTGACGAAAGATGAATTGTACCTTGTCCGGATACTTCTCCTTCACAACGGGAAAGACTGAGTCGTACACTGTGTCGAACATCTTCTTGGAAAAAGGGCAAACATAATCGAGGAAGAGCTCGAGGGTGTGAATGTTGTTGGAGGACGCGTGTGCAACAAGCCTCTGCCCGGCGAATCTCGGATTGAGTGCCATGATATGTCTGGTGGTATGAAGTTACAACACAAGCTCCGGTGTCCGAATAAAGACCAGAGTAATCGCTGTCGTTGAAGTAGCAGCGGAAGCGCAACTTCCCGATTGGGAGGCAACGTCATCGCGTAAACCCAAACGCGTCTTTCACGACGCGATCGAGACGACACTCCATGCCACTTCATCTCATATCAGTATCATGTGTTTCAGAAATCTGAATTTGTTTCTTGTATATCGAGGGAGAACGAATATTTACATGAGGCCTGAATATATGCCGGCATGAATACTTGACCGACCTCGAACGAACATGATGCGAATATGGCCATCCAGAAGCTCGAGGACAATACCGTACGCTTGTTGGGCGCCTCACAAGTCTTGAACGACCCGTCGGCACTTATCAAGGAACTCGTCGACAATGCACTGGATGCCAAAGCTACGTCGATAGCCATCGAAATAAGTGCCAACACGCTCGATTCCATTCAGGTCCGCGACAATGGCCATGGAATCTCGCCAGAAGATCGTGCCATGGCGGCCAGACCAAACTGCACCAGCAAGCTCGCGGACTTTGATGACTTGCGAAGTATTGGCGGCAGCACGTTAGGCTTTCGAGGACAAGCATTAGCGGCAGCAGCAGAATTGAGTGGCGGCATGATCATCAGTACCCGAGTAGAAGGCGAAGAAGTGGCAGCTACTATGACCATTAACCGTCTTGGTGAAGTAGTCAGCCAGCAGCGAGCATCACTCCCAGTCGGGACCACTGTTTGCGTTGCAGATTTCGTCAAGTCACAACCAGTCCGCAGACAGCACGCACTGAAGAATGCTGAGAAGACGTTAAAGCACATCAAGCAGACATTGCAGGCATATGCTTTTGCGAGACCACATGTCAGATTGTCCTTCCGAGTACTGAAAGCCAAGAATGACAAGGGGAACTGGATGTATGCTCCAAAGTCAGGAGCAGGTGCTGAAGATGCTGCCATCAAGATCATGGGATCTGCGTGCGTGACTCAGTGCGAGTGGATCGTGCTTGCGGAAGGTGGGTACGAATTGCGAGCTCTTGTGCCACGGCCAAATGCAGAAGTGAGCAAAGTCATCAATGCTGGTTCGTTCGTTTCGATCGACGGCCGACCTGTGTCGACAATGCGAGGCACAATGAAGCAGATTGTCAAGATCTTCCGTGAAGCCCAGAAGGGCGCTGGATCGAGATGGAGCAGTGCTAAGGATCCTTTCATCAATTTGCTCATTTCCTGTCCCTCCGCAAGCTACGATCCGAACGTGGAGCCATCCAAGGACGATGTACTGTTCGAGGAGCCGATTATGTTGATTGGGATAGCCCGCAAGCTCTTCGCTACGGTGTATTCAGTACCTGGCTTAGGGACCACAAGCCAGCACACGGCTCAAGCATCACCGCCCCAGCATGCAAGTCCCGCTATGCATGACGAGTCCGCCACGTCGCTGGAGGAGTCTTCGAATGACTTCCATGCTCTACTCTTACCGGACCTCCCTAGACATCCGAACCACGCGGGAGCGGTGTCGCCCGAGATCTCTGCAACTTTACCTCCGCGCAACACTTTCCGACGAAACATGTACGGGTGTGACGAAGAGGATGTTGACATCATGGACACAAGACCGCCTACTGGGCGTACGGAGGCTGAGTGTGAGGAGCTGCGCCAAGCACGAAAAGACATCACAGTATCCAACCCCTGGGTGACAGCCAAAATCAATGCGACCAGGAAGCAGAACGTTCTTTCAGGTGAACCAGCACGTGATGACGAGGTCTTACTCACAATTAATGCTACGTCTCCGTGTCGAGAAGGGACAAGTATGGAGGACGTTATTGGTCATTGTCTGCCCACGCCTCGACCATCATCTCCTTCTCCCAGCGCTACACACCCGCACCACTCTGGCCGCAATACTGAGATGTGGAATAGTCGTGACGGACGCCTTCCGGCACAGCTCCAGATTGTACAGAATGACAGTCCAGGAGACGGAACGATAAAGCCACGCGCAGACCCATCGATTGACCTATCTGACCAGCCTGATGAGCGTCAAGCTCCCACATACAATAATGGCTTGGAGGCGACTTCGTCTACTCCAGAACAAGGTACGTCTTTGCAATCAATACCATACCCAAGCAGGCGCCCTCGCCAGAGTCCAAACAAGCAGTATCTATCGTCATCTCCGACTAAGCGGCCGTTCATCACACCCGTTACCGAGCGTACTCCTCGTGAAAAAGTATGGTTTGATCATCTGGATAACAGCGGCAAGTCCTATCCAAAGAGCGCAAGGCGCCGTGTGCTAGGAGAAGATGCCGGTCTGGTCAGACAAGGCGAGCTCGAAGATCTGCTCGACGAGCCACGACCTTTGACGCCTCCACGCCGCAATCAAGATATTCGGGCCTGGGTTGGCTCTGTGGATCGAGCACATCATGAAGCGGCTTCGATTATTGAACGTCGCAACTATGGTCAGCTACAACGTTGTCGATCTGCTTCCCACATAGACGAGCCACTGCAGACCGAGAATGCTACTTCTAAGCCAGTCTATCGTGGCTTCGTGCCAGCTAGCGATCTGGCGGTCCTCGAAGCTCATGCTGAACAGATGGCGAAGACTACTGTGCCGCCTCCGAAGCGTCGCAAACTTAGTCGTCCACCCTCACGCGCTCTGCAAGAGCTTAGCACGAACGTGCCGCTTAACGTGAGACAGAATGAGCCCGAGACCATACAGTCCGCGACCGAGGCAGATCAATGTATTGAGAATGTATCTACCAAACATCGACGTACTACAGACGGTAAAGTGCAAAGGACGAAGTCGGCGCGACTGCCACTTGAACGCATACTACGAGGACAGACCATGCATGATCTTGAGATCAGGTCTCCGATCTCTGTACGTCAGATCTCGTGCTGGGCCAGGAAGCTTGATGAGGATGCATCGTTGTTAGGATGGAATGAGCACGCTACGGGGCTACACTCTGCGTTTGCAGGGCTGACAGATGGGGATGCTGTGCATGATCTTTCCGGAAAGCTTCGAGAGCTGATGATCAACCGGCTATCTGACGGTGAGATGGCACTGGACTTGGACGAGCTGGTGGCGAATGCATTGCGAAGTAATGGGTAGAGCCGCCGAAGCCCACGTTCCACAACAGCGTCCAAGTCATGCCTTGTGGTCTTGCGGAGGCTTGCTCTTGACGTTAGCATCCGCGCAGATACGCACATAGTGAGCGCTGCGATTCTGCGACATGGCACACGTAGAAGCAAGTCGCCTGCAGCTCTTTGATCTAGCGTTTGCTAGTTATGTCACAAAACAATTGTGAGGATCAATAACGATGACACCTCAACAGTGACATCTCCGGCTTCCAAGAGCAAAGGCAGTACACGAACCATCAGAATACACTGCACGGTGTCGTGTGGTCATCTTTCGGAGCCCAATTCGGATGAATTGGAGCGGCCCACAAGTCCGTGTCCAGAGAAGGTGGCCTGGCAAAGTGAAAGGTCTTCGCTACACACTATCTGCAACCGTAGATACACACCCTAATCACTCAAACCCCGACCTCCGGACCCTCCTCACTTCTTACCCCTAATCCTAGCCCTCTTCTCCCTTTCATAAACCTTACTCTCATGCCCCTCACCCCCCTGAATCTCCGCGATCAACCTTCGCTGCTTCTTCTCATACTCCGCATCCCTCTCCCTCTTCTCCCTCAACTGCTCTCGAGCAACAAAATTCCCGTCCTTCCTCAATTCCCTCAGCGCACCCTTCTTCTCCCGCTTGACCTCCTTCTCCAATTTCCGTTTCTCCGACCGCTCCTTGTCCGGGTCGTAGTGTTTGTCTGGGTTGAAGCCTTCTTCGAATTTGGGGATGGAGGAGCGGATCGCGAGCTTTTTATGGTGGTGGAGCTCGAGGGGGCGGCGGCGGAGATGGATTTGTGCGAGGAGGATTGTTAGGTGCTGTGTGTCCTTTTTCGTGCCGGCACTCTTGACCAGGGGGAGGAAAGGGGTGAAGACCTCGGTGAATGCGGACTTTTCCTTCCAGAGGTCGGCCATGTCTGTTACATTTTGCACGTGTGCTGCTAGGTCGATCTTCACATCTTTGCCAGGTTTGTGATTGCTCATAGCTCGCAGAGTGAAGCGAACAGCCTCCGGGACATAGCGCTTGCTCAGTCGCTGATAGCTGACACACAGTCCCACCATGAAAGCACCAGTCGTGCTCTTCTCCTCGCTCTCGGGAGCATTGAGACCTAGCCAGCGTGCCATCAGCGTGACCGCAGGTGTTACAACTTGATGGAAGTGGTCACTGGTCGGATAGATAGACCCAATGGCGACCAGGATCATCAGGTCGCCTTTACTAGGCTGATTACCTGATCGTTCGTGCCAAGCGGAGAGGTGCTTGCGAAAAGCTTGCGCGATTTCAATCGGGTAGGATCGGGAGAGACTATGGACGTGGCGAATGAGGTGCTCAATCACAGGTAGAGCTTCCTGGGTGTGTATTGCCATGTAGGAGATGTGATCGACCAGGCTCCGAGAGAAGTCGATCATGGACTCTTTATTCGCTGCAGCGAGGGAGGGGTGGTGTAGCGCACGTATGCGTTGAATGACGGTAGGTAGTTGTTCAGTTGGGAGGCCCTTGATCACGTCCAGGAGCTCGGCGTGAGATCTAGGACAGGGGTATGTGTAGGAGAGTCCTCCACTTTCCATCGCAGACTTCCCTGAGGACAGAGCAGCCGAATTCGCTCCAGTGCCTAGGATGCCTTTGACGAACTCGTCCTCTTCTTCCTCGTTTCGAGGTTTGGCGACCGCATCATCGTTAGACTCGGCGTCAGAATCATCCACTTCGGACTCTTCTGAGTCACTAAGCTCGACATCCTCGACTTCGGCGTCGCTCGCTATTAGTTCGTCGTCGACTTGAAACTCATCTTCGTCTTCATGCTGCACCTTGTCCGGCTTTGAAGGAGCAGCGGTCGCAGCAGTGAAGCCGAAATCGGCTGCATCATCGGGTATGTCCTCGGGTGCAAAGATGTCGACTTCGCGCTCCTCTTCGTCACCACCGACATCTCTCGCTCCCCTTGTGTAATCTTCACCTTCGTCTTCAGATAATCCTTCACCCCTCATACGCTTCTGCCTCTGATCCTCCATTTCTTTCAGCCTTGCAGCCTCGTCCTTCAATTTCTCTTCCTCTGTCTTCGACCGCTCGGCAGGCTTCGCTCTCGCTTCCTGTCGATATTCCCGCAGCCTCTGCTCGTACTGCTTATCGTTATCTGCTTCCATCATCGCTTGCCTGCCAGGATCCATAGCTGGGCCAATGCTCGCACCGTTAGCCTCAGTTTCCTTTACAGCAGACTTTGGCGCGGCCTTGCGACCTTGCAGAAGGGCCAGCATGTCGCCCATACTCGCATCAAGCTGCTCACGCAGGTCCTCGTCGTCTTCCTTCGTCTTTTGCCTCTCGTACTTATGAAACTTGGACTTCGAGATGACCTCCTCCATGACCTCCTTCTTCGTCTTCTTCCGCTCAGGCTCCTGCTCGCCTTCCTCCTCAGGTTCCTCGACCTTCTGTTCATACTCGTCCTCGACCGGCCGCTTCCTCTTCAAAAACCCCTCACCATCACTGCCCTCACCATCCGACCCACCGCCTTGTAGGTCATCGTCATCGAAGTCATCCAGACCTCTTCCCAAATGAGTCAAGCCCACCATGGCCTCATCATCACTGCCCTCCAGATCAAACAAGTTCCCACCCTTCTTGCCCGACTTCTCCCGCGCAAACCTCTGCACCGCCCTCTCCTCCGCAGTCAGACTGGCATCGCCCTCGCCAATCCTCCGATCCACCAGTCCGCCGACTTTATTCCTCTGTCTCATCTCGGGCAATAGTTGCTTCCGGCGCATCTCTTCGCCAGCACTCTTCGTGACGCCCGGTCGATGCAAGGCCTGCGCATATTTACCGCTGCCATTGCGGACATCTTTCACCGACACCGAGGCGAATTTGGCTGGTCGTGCTGATTGTCGTAGCTCGAAAGGATTGAAGTTGTCCCGGATTTGCTGGAGTGCTGCTTGTCGATCTTGGGGGTTTTGTCGGTTATGATTGGACTTCTTCTGCTTTTTGGACTTTTGAGGGCCAACGATTCCCTTTTCACGCAATGAGCTTTTCAGCGCCTTTAGCTGTGAGGGTGGCATGGTTGCCGTAATTTGAGAATGAGTGATTCTTGTCCGAACTTTTTGTCGAGTTATGCCAAAGATTAGATCAGATCGTGGCGCAAGATGCGGGGACGGTCCGGATCCGTATCCGCTGTGGCGTGTGTGATATGAGTGGAAAGCACATGCTGCCCTTCACGCGGAAGCATTGAACATGGACAACAACCAATATCAAACCCAATATGCTTCATCAACACAGCCTTACCGTGGCCAGCTATGGCGCTCCGTCTGGATGACCGCTACATCTGGCTAGGCTTTGCCGCCTTCTTTGTCGTGGCAGCCTACGGCGCTCGATATGCCATCACAGACATCCTCGCCCTGACGGAGATTGAGCCTACCGAACCGGAGGAAGACGACGAGCGAGAGAGCAAGCCAGAGCATGGTATGTGCATTGAGCCATGTTTGTACTCTGCATATATTGACAATATCAGCTATCGATCTCAATGTCCTTCGCACCCTCGCCACCTCACCAAATCCCAAAATAGCCAATGCAGCCAAGGCATTCATCATCCAGCGTTTCCAGGGAGACAATCAAGCCACGGCTGTCCACGAAGCTGGATTGATCTCAGACGATATCCACGTCCGCAACCGTGCAGACATGGTGAACCAATATCTATCAAGTTTCGACGCTGGTGATTCCCTCGGCGACCCAGGAGTGGGCTACGAGTACGCCTTGCGAGCCCGTCAGCGTGCACAGAGATTACTCGGCGGCCCTACGGACATGACTACCAGGCCTAGAAGCCGTCGGGGCCCCTTCCCGGACCACACCGATGATTACGACGTGACGGAGATCGCCACACCCGACAGCTCACCGGATCTTATGAGCATTGAGGGTATGGAAGGCGTGATTGTTCCTAGCCCGCTTGATCCGGTGGCTGGGTGGACTGATGTTCCGAGGGAGAGGACGGTGAGTCCGAGCCAAGAAGATGCTATGGAGGCGAGAAGAAGGAGGAGGGAGGCTGTTGTTGTGCATGATGGGACGTGAGAGAAACGAGAAAACCGTCATGAGAACAAGGGATAAGTACTTTTAGTGGTTGAAAGTACTGTCTGCTAAATCACAACGCCATGGTCCACCAAGATCTGTATGCGCAGCATGCGCAGAAATACTATCTTCTTCATCACTAAGTCCGCAATAAGCTACCGCAACCCATAACGGGCCACGGCCGCCCAGCATCGATCGATCATCGACATCCCACACCATAGGATCGAGCGCAGCACGAGAAGAATGCCAGACAGTCGCGATGTGCCAGCTTCAGCCGGAGCACATAACACAACCCCTACCAAACCATCGGCCGGAACCCCAGCTTCGCCCGCTCCCGCTCCTGTTCCCTGCTTTCCCCAGCCCAAGTTTGCAACTGCCACCGTCTCTCCCTGGACTCATTTCCCTTCCTCAACCAAGCGGGTAATGTCTTCGGCGTCAGCGCCCGAAGCGCCTTTTCCAATACTCGCCTTCTCGCCTCCTTCGCCGCCTTGGCCTCACCTACCTTCTGCTCATCCGCTTCTCTTTGCTCGGCATGTATCAACCACCAGCGTGCCGGGCTAGGAGCGTACATCTTTCGCTTGGGACACCATACCGAGACACGTTCTGGCCGGGAGCCAATAGGTGGACGATAGCCTCCGGTCGGCGAGAGCGGAGCACGCCCCGCTGCGAGACGGTCGGCATTGATGAGGGCGTAGAGCTCGTTTCGCTTTTCTTGTCTTCTCCTCACTGCTTCGACAGCGGGGTCAGGGTGTGAGTATAGATCGTCCTCGTCGATCTCGACTTCGCCTTGTCGCGCTTGGTGTTTGGATTCAATTGGTGAGTCGTCATCTTCGAGAGCTGCTGTGAGAAGTGGGGTCAGTGATGATGGTCAAGTCTGGAGGTGAGGCACCTGGGACGTACCTTCTGTTGCATCTGCTGGCATAGCATCTTTTGCTGCCTCGAGCGCAGCTGCTTCGGAGATCGAGTCGGTTCTACGCACCACAGACTCCGCCTCTGGTGTATCTTTGGCCTTGGCGTTCACAGGGCCAGCTATTTCTGATCCAATGGCTTGCTGTGTGGCAGGTCCGGCGGTTGACGGGACTGGGTTGCTCCTTTTCCCCGAGGTAAGTTTCATACTACCATCGTAGGCCTGGACCTCCGCCATCTCTTCAGCATCCTGTCTCGACCTGTCGACTACCATCCCATCGTCTTTTGGCGCATCGGTCAAGGAAAACTTCGAAACATCAGCTCCATGCTTATTACCACTGGCGTAACCAGAGTCGGCCGGACTGATCAACAGCGGAGTCTCTTTCGGCGATGCAAGCACAGCTTTCCTTTTCGCGATCATCTCATCCGTGACGTTCCGCTCCCTGGGAACGACTTTCTTCATAGCCTTCTGCCATTTCAGCGCCGTCTCGACCGGATCATGCGATGCGAAGCTATCGGTGACGTATCTTATGCACTGATCGTAACTCGCCTCATCGTCCTCTGCCATCTTATCCAGAACACATAAGATTCTCTCATGATCGTCCCGGATCTGCTCCTCGATCTGCTCCACAGTCTTGTCCTTCGACCACGAGGAAAGGGCTTCGATGGCATGAACTTTTGATATCATCTTCATAGCTCCCTGGTGAGGATAATCGATCCATTCGCTTTCCTTGCGGCCTGCTGGGTTGGGATCACGCATAGATGGATACGGGTGGATACCCTTCGTCTCTGTGACCACGCTCACTGACGTGGAGGCGTGGATGCCGGCTTTTTTCACGTCGACGTGGTACCAGACATCGAAGAAAGCGTAGCTAGTTAGCAATCCGATGGGCTCGCTCACAGCCACGGCAGGGTAACGAAGCATCATGAGCCGCCTATATCCTTGGACATCGACTTCCATCTGTTGCATTAAGTTCTCTGCGACCCAGTCTGCTGTTCGTCCGGTCTCTCGATCCTTTAATTGATTTCGAAAGAGGCGGAAGATGAAGTCGAAGACCTTATCATCTTTCTCACTAGCAGCCCGAGCATTTTTCACAGTCAGGCAGAAAGGATAGTTCACTTCGGCCTTCCACTCCAGTTGGCCCCTCGACAACAGAATCAGGAGATCATCCCGTTTGTCGTCATTGTGTCGGAGGTCACTGATGGTTGTTGTGAAGTATGTTTTCATAGCGATCTCATTGAGAGGGGCCGTGGAGGGAAAGTACCGGATCGTGGCTGTTGTTGGGGTGAGCAGGTAGAGGTTGAACCATTCGGGGCCGGCGGGTCGATTGATCTTGTCGGCGTAGGGCACTATTCGAGGACTGGATGCTTGTTGCCAGCTTTGAGGGGCCGGAAGAAGAGGAGCAGGGACGAAAGAAAAGGCTGCTGGGTTGAACGAGGAGGCTGTTGGCTTCAGGGGTTGATTGCTTGAGGGAGCCATGGTGAGTATTCTTGTTGATGGTGGTATTGGCATCAATAGCAGTACTGATCTGGCACACTTGCGGCTGGACGGTTGCACAATCGGCTTTGGTACTATATGCTTTCTCCTGGTAGACGAGCAGACAGACGATATATATGCGACACACGATATCCATCACGAACAGACATCCTCACTAAACAGTACACCATACCATTTCCAAACGTGAGGATAACACCCGATCAACGACTTCACCGCTGGAAGGAAGCATGAGGATACTTGCCCTAGACAGATCGGGAGATGTGGGGCATGAGGATAAGTTCAAAGTGAAGTTGAGGAAACACAGCGGACGAATAATGTATTTCTGATTTGTTTGCTACATACTGAAATGTTCTACTATAGTATCTCATGATCGAGCGCTATGACACGGTGATAATAGCACCCTCCTGTCACCCAGGTATCCCCGCTCGCATGTCTCCAATGTACTTGGTTATGCGAACCTGCAGTGTCTCCATCACCTCTGTACTCTCATGGAGATAAAAGCAACCACTTCAACACGGAAAATGGCAAGCGCCTCCACTCTCGAGCAGAGGCGTACTCACTCTGAGCGAGTATCATGCACCGGGATCGACAGATGGTGAGGTTCTGCCGGCCGCTGGTGAAGGTAAGCACAACAAGGTTCGAGGACGACAGACCAAAGCCTTAGGCATCATGAGTGGAATAAAACATCCCGACGTGTTCAATGAAGGCCTGATGCAAGCTTGATTCGCAATGAAGGCACACACTCCTGAAGATCAGAATGTAGATTCTGTATTCACACACCCAAAGACATCTACATACACCGCCCTCCTATTACCAGACTCTACCACATACCATTCGTATAAGTGTGCAAATGCGTTGCCCATCCGTCGACCGTTCACTTTACTGGTCGACGAATGCACAACTATCTCTAGACGCCACGCCTCACCTACTTGCCACTCCCGCCCCGCCCTCCTTCTCCTCTCCTCAAGCCCTGACTGCTCTCGTCCTGACTGTATGCACGTGAACGACTATCGAATCCAGACATGACAGGAGTGGTGGTGCCGGCCTCGTGAGACATGAGCAGGAAAAGAGGGTAGAGACCTTCGTCACGAAATTTGGCTTTTGGCAGTGAGCTTGGACCACCATGCAGAAACGATCTCATCCGCTGCATAAAGCTCGTGTTGAACGAGGCAAGCACGCAGACGTTTCTGATATGCCTGTGGAGGAAAGTTGCCTTCGGTTTTGGTACAGAGCCATTCATGGTTACAACACCTACGCCCACCCCTACTACAAACTACCATCTCTCATTCTCCTCCTCTCCTCCTCACTAGGCGCACTCTCATTAACCGTCCCACACCTCTCACACGTCCTCGCCTGCACATCACCCTTATACTCCTCCACGGCAGCCTTGATTTGCGTCCCCAAATCCGTACAATGAAACCCACTCTCATGAACCTTCTCCCCACAACCCGAACAATACCACCTCAGATGATCCACGCTACCCTCCGGCCTCGGCAGCTCCAATACCACGCCCACGGTATCCTCGAACCGGACGGGGTTATGTGGGACGTTGCCTGGTAGGAGGAAGAGTTCGCCTTCGTTGATGTAGATGTCTTTGAACTCTTCCTTGCCGTCTGGAGTCTTTGGAGCTTGTACAGTCTTGAGGAGCATCCGACCTTTGTACTGGTAGAAGAATTCGGGGGTGGAGTTGATGTGGTAGTCTGTTCGGGCGTTTGGGCCGCCGACGATTTGGACGGTGAGGGGATCGTTGTAGATGAGGTGGTTGTTGATTGGGGGTTTGAGGAGGTGAGAGTTCTCTTCTAGCCTGGAGTATCATATCACTGGTTAGTTGAGAAGTGGAGGTAGAGTGGGTGACTGTGGCGTACCATTTGGGCAGGTTAAGAGGCGAGCCGAGGTTCGTTGCGGATTGTGTTGTGGATGGAGCCATCGCTGGGGATGTGGTAGATATTGAGCGGCGGGAAAGTGATATGCGCTGCCTCGTTGGTTGTGCTGCTGTAGATGCGACAAATGGTGGTAGTACTCGTATATTAGCTTGTCTCGTCAGGGTATTGAGAGTTGCGGGTTTGAGCAGACTACGCATCTCAATGCTGGTGGGATATAGCGAGAACGATATGAAAAGGTCATGAGTATGTTTACTACCTGCTTGATTACTGATGTCGCCTTGAGCTTACCCAACGGACATGGTCGTGGTGAAGATGAAGTCATAGAAAGAGAAGAGCCGCTAAGTCCGGAGGGCGAGTTCCTCGTTTCGTTCGTACATTTGGCTACCCGTAGAGGATATCTTCACGACCACAAAAAGCATTTTCAATGGTCCAGACGCTGAATTGTATAAGGAATCGTAGTCTCAGAAGGTAGACACATGCCACTGCTGGTCACGACCCCTAACTTTTTTCGCATGCATGCATGCATCATCCGCACCACGACAGCTCACATCACGCTCGATCCTCATGTATCTTCAGAATCATTCCAGCCTTTACCTCCACCACCGCCACAGCCATCTCACGATTCCTCTCCATCCACTCCCCAACCGTCTTGATTCTATCCGGCAGAATCTCATCTAACAGCCTATAATCCCGTTTGATCAACGGCTCCTCCCCGCCACAAGCCTGCCACATTCTCCAGAAACTCCGGAAGTTCTCCTGGAAGGTCATTAGACTTCCGTCCGTGTCCTGCATGTCCGAGTACTGCTTCCCGATTCGCTGCGAGAGCATTTCCGAGGGCATGGCGGACCAATAGTCCTCTTCGCTCACATTGATGAAGCGAGCAGGGTGGCCAGTTACTTTTGCAAAGGCTGCGGCGAGGTCCTCGTACTTGACGTGTTCGTTCGCTACGGCGAGATTCATGCCATGGGATCGTCCTGGTTGGCCGTCAAGGGCGAGGGCATGGTCGAAGAGCCATCTCACGTACTTGCCGCAGTCTTCGAGCGCAATATGCACGACTGCGCCGCTGTTGAGGGGGATCTGCCATTCCACAACACCATCCTCAGCGATCTTGGGCGTCATGGGAGTAAATTTCGATAGAGCCATGTCTAGATATGGTCCAGTGGTGAAGAGAGCGGCGCCCATAGAACTCATCTCTCGAGTCGGTGCCTTACGAGCCCTCTCTGCATGCCAATTGTTCTGCGCAAGGATGAATTCGCCAACAGCACCTTTGGCATCGTAGTGGCCGCAGTGGTGTTGGGGGTCATAATTAGCTTCTCGGAGTACATAGTCTAGATTACCCCAGACAAAGAACTACGTCTACGCTGTCAGAAGCTTTCTGTGCAAGAGAAAGTGATGGGATGAAATAAAGATACCTTGATCTCAGCCTCCTGAGCAAGCTGATAAGACCTGATACCCCAGAAGATCTCGTTCTTCTGCCCAATTACGAACCCATCGAGGTTGACGAAGGCGCCCCAGCAGCCTTGGAAACCCCGGCGAAGCTCCTCATCGCTGTCGAGTTTGCCTTCTTGGAGTTCGACGTTGGGGAGAGTGGCGAGATCTTGTGCACGCTTGCTGCTAGGATTCCAAGTGAGGATGCGAACGGAGTAGGCGTTGTCCTTCACAAGCTCTATGAGCACCAGGTCAGTTGTAATGTGAAGAAGGCCTTGAGCCGCAGGCGCGAGTGTGAAGTCTTGCCCTTGACTACAGGTATACCTTGCGCGCCTGTGCCACCAATGATGAAGATCTTCTTGCTTGGTGCAGTCATTTTTGTCTCAGCTCATACGTCCTGCCACGAACTTACCTTCTAACATGCCGTGCGAGGCAAGGCGAGCTTTTTTACCTACTCATGTCATTGCTATCCGGGGTTTGAGTCCGTGCTACTGAAGATGTTCAGTAATCGCGATTCGTGAACATAGCCCGGAGCACACAGAAGTGATATGGGAGCAAGCTCGTGGGATCAACTCGGCCGTAAGAGAGTCCACTGCCATGGATTGCGATCGAGGTTCGTGCTATCAACGGCCATGTTCATGACAAGGAAAGGGAAATTGTAGCGCAGGAAGTCATGCCTCTTTCACGTGCCAACGCGTTTTTGTGGGGTCGATCTGGCATCCGAACTTCAGCGTACATGTACACTTCCGTGGGACAATCATCAATATAAGCTACTGACAACATGACTGACGCCACTCGCCTCGCCGCCCTCCCTGGCTATGATTCCGCACCAGATGTATACGAGACCGCTGACTTGGCAGACGACACATCAACAGTGCAAACATCGCCTCGATCGCCAGCAGAAACAGATGCCACGAGCGAAGATGAGGACGAGGAGAGTGATGGATATGGTGTGAGCAGACGAAGACTGTATCCTGAGCGAGCGAGATTGCAGTTCAGTGCTGGGAGTCGAAGGGTAGAGACTCGAGGAGTGGACCTTAGTGACCGCGTGGATGGGAAGCGGAAAGGGTTTAAAGTCAGACCACGCACGAACGAGGTAGAAGATGGCGATGATGAAAGTCTGGATATTAGGATCGCGCGGTTAAGGCGGGAGATCGAGGAGTGCAAGCTCGAGGCGGAGCGGGAGAAGGCGGCGGAGGAAAGCCATGCCGATGAGGAAGACGGGGAGGACTCGGCCGCACCAGAACTGGATGATCTTGGGAGGTTATTGCAGAGTATCCAACTGCCCGTGAAGAGATACCGACGGAAAGCAGCCAACATTGCGACTACGAACGGCCACAGCATACCACCAGACGAAGAAGACCTATCAGACGAACAAACACTATCCCGAATCACAGACTTCGACACCCGGCTCCACGCCCTCGAACAAGCGCTAGGCATATCCACTATAGATGCAGCAACAAATCCGGACGCCATTTCTACTCCGATCCTGCCAGCCCTAAACCTCCTAGACCAACAACTCTCCGCCCTCGCCTCCGCCACATCACTCGCACGCCTAGAAGCAGCCGGAAACCGTCTCCACAAACTGCGCTCGGAAGCCGAATACCTCTCACAATCCCAACTATCCAGCACCGAAGACGGCGAGGAGACACAAACAGCAACACTAAGTCTCGAGGACTTAGCGAAGCTGCAACAACTGTACCTTCTCCTTCCAAACCTGCAATCGCTTTCTCCCACCATCCCAGCAATCCTCACACGACTGCGAAGTCTACGAACCTTGCATACGACGGCTGCGGAAGCAGCGAGCAAGCTGGAGAGGGTGGAGCAGCGACAAGCGGAGATGGATTCCGAGCTAGCCGAGTGGCGGACAGGGCTGGGGAAAGTGGAGGCAGCGGTGCAGGAGGCGAGTGAGGCGAATGGGAGGAATGGGCAAGTCGTGCAGGGTTGGGTAAAGGACCTAGAGGGGAGGGTGAGAGGGCTGTAAAAGGTGTAGATGCTCTAATACTACGTCAGACGCCGTCCACCAGTCGCCACGGCCTAGTCCCACTTCTTAAAGTCGTCAGATGGACCGATCCTGCGTGCTCCCATCACTGCGCTTTCAAGCCCTGCCTTCGCCGCAAGAGCTCAGCAAGCGGTAAATCGTCCTCATCATAGAAGTCCGCCACCTCGTCCACCCCGAAATCAGCTAACCTCTCCCCTTCCTTATTCCGCCATCCTTCTTCGCCCGCGCCATCTTTGCCCTGCACCATCTCCACGAGCGCAGGCTCAACCTCGCCCTCACCCTCTTCGTCATCATCCTCGATCTCATAGACTCGCTGGCCCCCATCACCACCACTACCACGATCCAACTTCTCACTGTCCTCCAACCTTTCATGAAAAGGTCGCCGACGAACGATATACTCACCATCCGCATCCTCGTACCTCGCCAAATCAGCTGCCTGCCGGGCACGAAAACTCTCAATATCCATCGCGTGTGTGAAGCCGGTGCCTTCCAGTGGCTTGCGAGCGGCGCGGAAAAGACGGTCGGGGTCGGGTGGCGGCCAGGGTTTTGAGGGATCTAATCGGTCATGTCAGCGGCTGGTGGTGGGGAGGAAGGAATACTGGGTGTGAGCGGTATACCATCGATGAGGTTGTGGTGGAGATTGAGTGCAGTCTCTATCGCGGGACTCCTGGCGAACGGCCAGAACCATACCAATGGATTCGACGTCCCCATGCCGAGGCGGATATTTTTCCAGATACCCACATCGAAAGGGAATTCCTGGTGTTCGATCCAGACTTTACTGCCGTCTGGACCGTTCAGGTACCCACCTAGGACTCTCGCACGTCGGAGAATAGCATGGTGGCGTTCGACTTCCCAGCCCTCGATCGTAGTCATGTTTAGACACAGAGACCAGAAAGTGCGGCCGAGAAGGATTGTCAGAGCGAAGAGGGTGAGGGAGTTTGTCACCACTAGCATGAAAAGATGAGCTAGCTGGAAGGTGCTTGGCCCTAGGTACTAGATCGATGGGCAGTATGAGTGAGTATTGCCGGACTATACGTGATATGATGGAAGGATATGATGGACATACGCTAGGAAGACTCCGTTTCTGCCACAGCACCGCACAGCGCGTATAGAGCATAGTCTCCAGATAGAACATTGCCGCGACAGCGTAGGAGAGGAAACGGATGAAGTGCGGGAGGACGACGTAGGAGACGCAGTTTGCTAGTGGAGAAAGAAGAAATGTTACTTACGCTATTACTTCCGTTGAGATGGTTTATAGGTGCCTACCTGTCCAGATGCAATGGTGGTCCATGTGCATTACGCAGCTGAAGAAGCAAATAATATGAGAATGGCTGACAGTCTCATATTGGTAGGACGGTAAGAATCTCACCGTTTACAGGTCTTGCAGTGGTGTGCCCTCGGCGGCTTATACATCTCGCACTTGCGACACCATCGTTGCTGTAGAGGTAGTTTTGTTGCTTCATCTTTACTCCCATTCAGCAGAAGCTTGTCCTGCCAGTTAGATGCTATGCGTCCGGGATCCGTGTAACAAGCCCGGTAGTAGCATATCAGTAGACTAGCCACGAGGAGATTAAAGAAATAGATATCTCCCGTTCGTGGCGGTCCAGGCTCGATGTAGAGGAATAGGATCTGAGAGGTGTAGGCCAAGAAGCACACGAGCACTGTTACTCCAGGAGGCGAGAGGCGTTGGAGGAGTGCTGTGTCCATAACGTGTAGTTTGTTTGTGAATGGTGTTGATGGTGGTGGATGCAAGTGAGGTGAAGGCGTGTCTCGGAAGGCGTCCCGGCAAAGCTTCCTCCCACGATCGCGCCATCTTCTGCCCGCCGACCTCATCGATTGACTGCCCCACTATATCATACTCATCTACATATCCACCACACTTCTGTAGCACTCTTGATATAACGACGAAACGATATAACCCTAACCTCGCCGCCGCACCGCATACTAAATTGAGGTAGCGCCACCCGCGATCAGCGACCGCGAGCCTAACACCAACACGACCGGCTGGCCCACGCCGGCGCACGCGAGAGACATCATGGCGCGGGTGTACGCCGACGTCAATCAGCAGATGCCACGCGCATACTGGGACTACGACAGCGTGAATATCAGCTGGGGGGTGTTGGAGAATTACGAGGTGGTGCGCAAGATAGGTGAGTCAACAAAGACGTGCTCTTCACGTGTCACAATCTCGAGCTGACATCCTCTTCCAGGCAGAGGCAAATACTCCGAAGTCTTCGAAGGCATCAACGTCGTCAACTACCAAAAATGCGTCATCAAAGTCCTCAAGCCAGTCAAAAAGAAGAAGATAAAGCGCGAGATCAAGATCCTCCAGAACCTCTCCGGCGGGCCCAACATCGTAGCCCTCCTCGACGTCGTCCGGGACAGCCAGTCCAAAACTCCCAGCCTGATCTTCGAGCACGTTAATAACACCGACTTCCGAACCCTCTATCCCAAATTCCACGACATGGACGTCCGCTACTACGTCTACGAGCTGCTCAAAGCCCTCGACTACTGCCACAGCAAAGGAATAATGCATCGGGATGTGAAACCGCACAATGTCATGATTGACCACGAGAACCGCAAACTTCGCCTGATAGACTGGGGTCTCGCGGAATTCTACCACGCCGGGACAGAATACAATGTTCGTGTAGCCTCGCGCTACTTCAAAGGTCCCGAACTGCTAGTCGACTTCCAAGAATACGACTACAGTCTCGACATGTGGTCCTTGGGAGCCATGTTCGCAAGCATGATTTTCCGAAAAGAGCCATTCTTTCACGGGAACAGCAATAGCGATCAACTGGTCAAGATTGCCAAGGTCTTGGGGACGGAGGATCTGTTCGATTATCTGGACAAATATGATATCGAGCTTGATGCGCAGTACGATGATATTTTGGGGAGGTTCCCGAAGAAGAGCTGGCATGCTTTTGTGACGTCGGAGAATCAGCGGTTTATTAGTAATGATGCGCTTGATTTCCTGGACAAGCTGCTGCGTTATGATCATCAGGTGCGTGACATGCTTCACAACGCTTGTGCTGCTTTGACTGACGATTGCTAGGAACGTCTGACTGCAAAGGAAGCAATGGCACACCAATACTTCGCCCCCGTCCGCCAAGCCGAAGCCGCCGATCAACAGGTCGCAAACAATGTCCATCAGTAATCTTCAAGGACAAGCAGGCTGATCTTATACAACCGAACAGGCCCGCCAGATTCAGGCCGCACTCGAACGTTGGCAAGAAAGGAACGCTGGACCCGTCAACCCACCACCAGCATGGGCGCAGAACCTCGCACGCGAAGCCTATGCTACGCTGGACCTCTATACCGCTGTCCTCAGCGAACCAGATATCGACCGAGCTCTCACACTCTCACATTTCCTTCCTCTCGCTATGGCGGAACGATTCGAGGCGGAAGCGGAAGTCGTCGGCTCGGAAGCGTGGCAATGGCAGCAGGACATGCAGAATGCGAGGGATTGTTGTTCGAATGACTCCGCGTCTGGTTCGGATGTGAGCGAGAACGCTCTGCCGCATACAGCACGGGAGCCGGTTTCGCAGCGGCCTGGGGTGGTCTCAAAGGGCGAGATCTCACCTCATTTGAAGCCGGCAGATCAGCTGGGGATGGAGGACGATGAGATGGGAATTGGTAGCGTTTAAGCGATGGTGCATTCATGGTGGCTTTAGCCGTTGGCACTTTCTTTTTCTTATAGTGATGTAAGTGCCAGCTTGTGCTGGTAGTATGGTTACATGCATAACTCAAACACCCGCATATGCCAGAAATCTGTAGAGTCGTGGCATCGCTTTGCCTGTGCATGCTTAACGAAGAGTCGCGATAAGCAAGGCGAGGAAAAGGGAGTGGCTGCCAAATGTATGCGTAAGTGATATAAAGTGAAGATGTTTGGAAGCCACCTGTCAGCATTCTCCTCGGTTTAGTTGGGATGAAGGTACTGCGCTCAGATAGATGCTGTGTGTAGATGGTCGCCAGATGTCAGTGATATCATGTGCAGATGCTAGTGACTCGTGTGGAATTCGCTGATGGTTTGGACGAGAGCAGGGCTTGTGCGCTAGAAGAATGATCGCGAGTGCTCATCCGCAGACAGATGGGTGTTATATAGTAGAAAGTCCGTCGAGCTGATCGAAGGGGTCGAGCAACGAGCTGTGCTCGATGAGATTTTAGCAAAGCGATCCGTGGTTCGTCGACAAGAGTACTGTTAGCGAGCGATGATGAGGAGAGGCGGTATGTCGCTGGGATTTGTGCCTCCTGACCTGGTGGCGGGATGTGCCACTCTACTTGCGTGAGGCCTGACCAGTAATTCTGAAGGTCTCCGACGGATCGATGAAATCAAGAGATCTCATCAGCATGACCGGGAGGACCACCGTGCGACGCAATTCGCTTGCAGACGTATCGCTCATATCGTTGGAGACATGGCTCGTAGCGCTGAGTCAAGTTAGCATGCTGGTCAAGTCTCTACACATATCTTTCCATACGCATCGTCTGAGCCACCATTGCAACGGTCAGCGTTCAGCGTTTGCTGTTTATTTTTGTTGGTGGTTGGGATGTTGACCGTGGTATTGGTGACGGTACTGGTGGTGGCGACGTTGTTGGCTCTCAGTGGGGCTCCATCGTTAGTGCCTCTTCCTAGCAAGCTCATGCGACGGTGGATGTGTCTTATGATTTGAAGGTATGGAGATGGACGGACGAGTGCACTATCAAAGATCGGTTGACGACTCGACTTATATGTCCCGCTCTTGTCATTCCGCTCGCAATCTCCGTCAAGGACTATCCGTGTTACCATGTGTCAGAATGCGAATCTGAGTATTTCCACAGGCGGGACACTCGACCCGCCGACTCTTCATCAATGTGAAGCTGATGTGAAGCTAGTGGGGAGATGTTGTCGATAGACGCGGGTGCGCATGAACCATGACCGCGGTCCCATGTACGTCCGACTACTGGACCAGACTTGGACCTGACTGCAGGCCGACGTGTAACAGCTTCTCCACGAAATGTCATCAGACACATCGATGGAGCCAATGCTATCGTCTGGAAATGCAACAGATGAAGCACACACTATAGTCACTGAATCCATGGTGTGTGGAACACGGTATCACAACATGTGCCCTTCAGCGCCGGGTGACAGTCTTCGAATGCAAAAGGTAGTAAGGGCAAGTTGTATCGGACCGCGGAGATAGGGTAATCTTTACCCTAAAGCTGTGGTTGGTATCGGGAATGGAACGGGAAGGTGATCCCAATGGACTATGCCACAAGAACAGGCTCTCCGAGGGTGGAAGGCGGGATGAGATCGTACCTGGAGATCTGGTGTGGTCACGAACAGATTCCTGTGGACGAGATAGGCGAGCAGAACTCAGCCGAGGCAGGTTGCTGTACGGCCGGTAACCAAGCGGAAGTGCAAGAGGAGAATCCGTGGTGGTTCTGGTGACTACTTGGGCGATCTAGACCCTCGACACGGGAAGCTGTATTGCCGACCATCAACCATTCATGCGTCTACGTAAGAGTTATACGGTCCGCGGCTACGGCGATGCCGCAGAATGTCTGTGTTTTTCGTAGGGATGCTCATGCTCGAAGACGCACCGGAGGCGTGGTCGTACACGTATGCTTACTTAGGAAAATGCTGGCACGTCCAGCGAGCGTGTTCATGCGAACGTTCCGCATGGCTCGAAAATGGTATTATAGGGGGTGTCCCAGACGATGGGCGTTCATGCTGGGCCCCGGTCAACACGGAAAGCTGCTTGGATAGGGTGATACAAGCTTAGGAGCCGGTGGCAGCCGCGACGATACCTGGACCATCTCACTATGGGTGTAATCGAATAGATGCAGACTATCAAGGTACGATGGATGCAAAAGTGCAGCAGTCTGGAAAGGAAGATGGTATGAGTCGAAGTGAAGTCGGCCACGATTCGTGCCAAGGAAAAATACGCTCGGATCATGCTGCTCTCTGTGCGAATCTAGACTTTACATTTTCTTCTTTGCTCGCCGCAGTTTTGAGCAGGCACGATTGTCGAGTCTTGAGAGCGATAACTGCTAGTTTTCACGTCGATACGGGCATTGACATGTCATGTAATCGAGGCGGGTCAATACTTTGGTTCTTCCCATAAGACCTGGGCGCTCCGCTGTTGTCACCTGGGACTCGTGCGTCATGTGTGACCGAAGGACCACCCGTTAGTGAGGCGTTCACGGAACTCGGACAGCATTCCTCCCTGCATCGCTCTACTATCTGCTGATGACAAATACGACACGAGATACTCTTGTGGCTGGTGTCACGGCGGCAGCATAGCCATAGACCATAATGCTGACTGTTGCTAGACAACCTTGGACACGGACCGTCACTAGCTGTCCCCTAGACCTTCTGGAACGAGACGCCATCGTACATTTCACATATCTGTCATCGTCTGTCGTGGCACGCACATGTTAGATGGCTCGGACAGGTACTCGGTCACTTGAACGGCACCAAGGGGTACTAGATCGGAGCGAGGATTTGTAGACAAGTACTATAGCTCTCCGTCATTCATTGCAAAGCCAAATTAAATGCTGATAACAATAGAATGTTCTAAAAAGCGTCACAGTCTTGTCCAGATCATCTACATATACGGACAAGCCAATACCCAGTGATCTTGCCAGTATGAAATGTTGAATGAGTGTGGTCCAGCCTGTTGACTTCTACACCGCGCGTGAGCGCCGACTGGTTACTGTACTGAAAGTGATGTCGAAGCTGTACCCGTGACTCCTGCATCCGAGAGCCCTGGCCAACTTTGTCGCGCAAGTCGAGTCGCTATTCCGTCCTGCCGGTAGCCTTGAGGGATTCGAGTCTGTCATGCTCGAGTATCCAGCGTGCCAGGGCAATGGGGTCCGGTCTCTCAAACTTTGCTGAACAAGAGCCCTTCTTGCTGCCAGCACTGCCAGCTGTGGCGGCGTTGCTTACAGTATCTCTGCTATTCGATTAGCCATTGCTCAAAGCGAGACTCATAATCACCCACATCGTATCTACGACCACTGTCTTGGTTCCTTCCTTGTATTTGTTTGGTTTGGAGCGGCTGCTTGAGCTTCTATTGTCTCGGGATGTGGTCATGTCAACTTGGTGGACGGCTGATCGGGTTTTGAGCGAGCTGTGCCAAACGATTCGCGTGGGTTCGTAATGATGATGTCCAGGAACAAGAACGAGCGGCGACAGTCTGTACTTATCTTGAGTGGTGAGTTTCAGCCTACATCGCGCCGCTCGAGCTGAAATCCAAGGTTGTTACGTGACACGGCACTGCGTACTGCCAATGCTGCACGAGAATCCTGAAGCGAGGTCCCTCCGAATGCCAGATACGGTGGTAATACCATCGTGATGTGGTCCCGATCGGCGAGAGTCTTATTTCGTTGCACCTGCGGTCGAGCAGTCGATGTCGCCCTTGTCCAAGTCCGAGTGAAACCGCATGGTCATGACCAGAGCATGACCGAAACGAGCTGGAAGGTTTGCAAAGCAATGCCGCCAGTAACACGTGCTCTTTACTGCGGAAGTGTGGCCTGTGTAGTATCAAGCGCAAACGAGCTGTTGTGGCAACAGAGTGCCTCAAGAGTGGGATCCCGAGTTTCCAATGTTCTGATGGGCTTGGTTTTGCCATTACACACATGGCCCGTGACATCACACAGGTACCGAATCAATTTGATTGGTCGATGAGGGTACGATAGGCAAACTTCCTACCAGTCAGCGCAAAGCATCTTTTCATGAATGTTCATGGGGATGTACCGGGTGGGTGAAGCAGCCTCTCGATGCCGATGCAGGATAGCATTGTGCGACCTCGATAGCCCAATTTCAATGTCTGAAAACGCTGAAGCTAGCCTGCGGACCTGGATGCAGTACTGTGGGCTATTGCGAACATCGCTCAGGCTGGCGGTGGGATATTGGTGGCGTATGGCATGGCATAGCTCATGAAGCTGTATTCAGCGCGTGAACCAACCTTCGCCTACCTCGGCCGCCCCGGAAGGTCACAAGAGAGGACTGAAACAGTAGGGAGGTGGCAGACTAAGGCTGCCAACACGAGGATCGGGCACTGCTTACACTCGTACACGCACTGCCTTCGCGGAAGAGCATGCTCGATAGAGAGCGACACCAACTTTGGGGAGTAGGGCCCGCATGTTACCGGACACAGGTCGGCGGAAACGTTACCAAGATCACATCCATGTCCGTCCAGAGGCAGCCCTACGTATGACTTCAAGAATACCAAGATGCAAGCGGGAAGCAGGAACGCCTGCGACGAGCCTCGGGACGTAGCGCCATCCGTTCGTGGCTGTCCAGGTGGAACGCCGCGGCCACTGCACTAATGCTGTGGAACGTCCAAAAAACCCACGAATATATCGGGGTGGCATCGTGAAGTACGCTGCCAGGCCAACGCGTAAGTGATACTCCACGAGCATAGGATACGGTGTCCACGTCGGGCAAGTCACCCAAAGTTGAAAGATGTCATGCGATAGTTGCAGCACTGTATCGCTACGTCCCGCTCGGACGTGTGGCCGAAGCATGTTCTTCGGGGAGTATCTGCACGCCGCTCAATTAGCATAGTCGCTCAATCAGCAGAATATAATCTACAAGCGGTACTGCCATGCACACGTTTTGTGGCGTCTGTCACAAAAGCCATCCTCGCTTCGTGGCTGCATGGCTGCCCGACACTACCGACGTCACTCCTATGGTCGCGTATGTATCGCATTATGTGCGAGCAGCGTGTGAGCAACTCGCCGCTTGCTCCTTTGAGAATCTTCTGCAAAAAGCCAACAAGCTCACGCCATCACTCACTATAACTTCATCTCCTCAAACCTCGCCAAACTCTCCTCGTAAGCCCGCTGCTCGCTCAGAAGATCCTTGAGATGACCCTGCTCCTTGCCTCGAATCTCCCCTGACACCTTCTCCCCTAGTCCCTGAATTAACTTCTCCTGCTCTTTGACAGCGTCGGCAACCTTCGCCATCTTGGGCTGAATCTTCTTAATCTCTGCTTCAGGCTCCACATCCCCCTTGAGAGCCAAAAACACCGAGGCATCAGCTGAAACAGGGTAAACAGCACAAGCAGCAGGCACACTCGCCCCCTGCTCGAGCACAGTGACATTGCCCAGACCCTTACCAGCCAAGGCCTTGATAGATGCGAATTCAGCCGAGGCAATCTTTTGTGCGTCCGGGTTGAGCGATTGGACGTAAGCTTGGCCGTCGTCTTTGACACTGTACTCCTGTAACAGACTCCTTAAACCCTTTGAGCAGCCGAGCACAAGTTCGTAGGCACGATTGCTCGTCTCGTCTTCCAGCTCCGAGTCGTGCTCGGGGTACGCGGCGATGACGATACTCTTCGTCTTGTCGCCTTCGCGGCGAGGGAGCCGCTGCCACAGCTCCTCGGTCAGGAAAGGCATGAAAGGGTGCATGAGGCGCAGACCGCCGTCTAGAGCGGTATATAGTGTATTCCGTGCACTGCTCGACTCCTCTGGCGTGCCATCGCGAATGATGGACTTGCTGTTCTCAATGTACACGTCGCACAGCTCATACAACCAATAATGATGCACTGCCTGCGTCGCCTGGGAGAACTCCCTCGCGGCCAACGCCTCATTGATCTTCTTCGCCGCAACATTGAGCTTATGTAGGATCCAGCGCTCCGGTAGCGACTCCTTGCCCATTTTGCCACCCCGTGCAGGAGGCGTGTAATCATCCGGCAGAGCACCAAGCACGAATTTCGTCGCTTGATAGATCTTGTTGCAGAAGTTGCGGTAGCCGCGCATGACTTTCACTTCGAAGCTAATGTCGCCGCCGCCGGTTGTGTAGTTGATAAGCGAGAAGCGGAGGGCGTCGGCGCCGCACTCATCGATACCGTCTGGGAACGCTGACTTCTGCCATTTCGTTGCTCGCTCCACCTCCTTTGGTGCGAGATTACCAGTTGCAAGTTTGGCGGTCAAGTCGTTGAGCGCGATGCCGTCCATAATGTCTACAGGGTCGATGACATTGCCTAACGACTTGGACATCTTGCGGCCTTCCGAGTCGCGCACCAAAGAGTGACAGTACACCTCGGTGAAAGGCACCTTGTCGGTCAACTTCAGCCCGAAAATGATCATCCTCGCCACCCAGAAGAAGAGGATGTCCCAGCCAGTCTCCAGCATAGAAGTCGGATAGAGCTTCTCGAGATCGTGTGTCTTCTCTGGCCACCCAAGAGTCGAAAACGGCCACAGACCAGACGAGAACCAAGTATCCAAGCAGTCCGGATCACGAAGCAGCTCGAACTCCTTACCTATGAACTTCTTCTCCGCCTTCTCTCGCGCCTGTGCTTCGTCGTGAGCCGTGACCCAGTACTCAGGATCTGTATCGTATGCCGGACCATCCTTCGTCTTCACCCAGAAAGCAGGAACCTGATGACCCCACCAGAGTTGTCTGGACAGACACCAGTCGTCGATGTTCTCCATCCATCGGTAGTACATGGCTTCTGAGGACGCTGGCTTCAGCTTGATCTCACCATTCCTCACGACTTCGATGGCAGGCTTGGCGAGCTCCTTCATGTGCATCCACCACTGTGGCTTCATGACGGGCTCAATGACATCCTTCGACTTCGAGCACATCGGTATCGACATCGGGTTGTCTTTCTTACCGACATAGAGACCCTTCTTCTCGAGCTCGCTGATGACAGTATACCGTACATCGAATCGCTTGTGACCTTCAAATGGACCAGCATTAGAGTTCATCGTACCGTCATCGTTAAGGATGTTGATGAACTCGAGGTTGTGCTCCTTTCCACGCCTGAAATCGTTGAAGTCGTGTGCAGGTGTGATCTTCACGGCACCAGTACCGAATTCCATTTCAACACTGTCGTCGCCGAAGATGGGTAGTAGCCGATTCACGAAAGGATGCTTGACCTTCTTGCCCAAGAGGTGCTTGTACCGAGAATCGTTCGGGTGGACAGCAACACCAGTGTCACCCAACATAGTCTCCGGACGAGTAGTTGCGACCTCGATAGTCTCATCCGTGCCATCAATGGGATACTTGAAGTTCCAGATGGAACCAAACTCAATCTTCTTGTCGTAGCCAGGAACATCAATCTTTGTCGATCCAGCCAGCTCCTTCTGATCAACCTCCAGATTCGAGAGTGCAGTCGTCAGTTTCGTGCACCAATTGACAAGTCGATTCGCGCGATAGATCAACCCTTCGTCATGCAACTGCACAAACGTCTGCCTTACAGCCGCCGAAAGATTCTTATCCATCGTGAAAGCCTCCCGCGACCAATCCATCGACCCACCCAGTCTCTTCAGCACAACATTGAGCTTACTGTGATATTCCTCCTTCCACTCCCACACCGTCTCCACGAACTTCTCCCTACCCAGATCGTGCCTCGTCTTACCTTGCCGATTCCACAACATGTTCTCCACCACACTCTGCGTCGAGATACCAGCGTGATCGCATCCAGGTACATACAGCACCGTCAACCCCTTCATCCTATTCCACCTGATCATCGAATCCTGCAACGCCGTCGCCAAAGCATGACCAATATGCAACGAGCCAGTAACGTTGGGCGGGGGTATCGCGACAACAAAACTTCCAGCCTTCTTGACCTCCCCATCCTTAGTGAACTCCGGATGATGAAACCCTTCCTTCTCCCACCAGTCATACCACGCACTCTCCACCACAGCAGGTATATACGCCTTGTGATACTCATCATCCAACGGCTTGAGGATCTTCTTGTCACCCTTCGGCGTCTCCTCCTTGTAGAGTGCAAGTCTCTCCTGCTGCGGCTTCTTATTCTCCTTCTGCTTGGGCTGTGATGCCAAAGCCAACGCCTTGGACTTCTCTTGCTTTGCCGCAAATTTCGCCGCCTTGTCTGCTTTTGCTCGCTCCTTGGCTAGCTCCTTTTCCGACTTGACTTTCTTCTCGCCGTCCTGGTCTCCGCCGTCTTTGCCGGGAGCATTGTGGCCTTTGGGGTCGCCATTGGCAGAGTCCAGAATGGCAGATTTGGCTTCATCAGACAAAGGTGGTGGTTGGCCGCTCACAGGACCCGTCTTCTCGCCCGTGATATTATGGGAAGCGGCATTCAACGCCATCCTTACAAAAGATCGTGTGTGTTTGAATTGGAATGGAACATAGGAAATGCGCCGGAAAAGCGCTGATCGCAGTATTGTCGCTTCAGTGCTCGAGTGTCGAGGTCAAGAAGCCTCTTATGCGTTGGCAATTTAATGTGTATCGTTGTTGTTGGTGGAGGATTGTGTTCTGAAATCAGTCATTGGAAAGAAAGAGTCACGCTGCTCTATGAGCAAACGGAAAAAGGGAGCTTGGGCCACATTCAACTTGCAAAAAGCACACGAGCAGCGATTGAAGACGATAACGGCTTTCGCCGATGAGACCAAAGGTACATGAAGAACGAGAGCGGGATAAGGTGTCAGGAAAGGTATATCTCGTGGCTGCGGTCAAAAAGCAATGCTATCTCATGGAAATGCCCACCTATCTCCTTGAAGCTGTATTTCGTTATGGCTAGTTCATCAAAGCCCTTCATATATCGAGCAAAATGCCACGCTCCCCCTGCTAGTATAATCCACGCCGAGTGTCTTCTGTTGCGGCGCAGTCATGATAGCCACGGGAGCCCTGAACTCGCCCATGAACGGCCTTGCATATATCTTCTCCGCTTTTGTCGCACTTATCGGTGCTACCGTGACAGCCTCTGGCACTGCGTATTGGCTCGACCGTGCCATAGATTGTGAGCGCCGAGGCTCGACTCCATGCACGCCGATCGTCAAATTCTGATTTCTAACGACTGGCGGCAATGAGAAGATCCTGGGCACCTCGTACTCCACAACCATCCCAGCCTCGACCTTCTAAGTCTTAGCCCTTTTGACATCACCCCCACCGTCTCCATCCTCGCTCTGTCTTTTGCGATCTTCTTCTCGCCACCCTTGACCATTAGGTATAATCGGTGTCTGGAAATTAAGTGGCGAAGGTAGTAAGTTCGAATCTGCAGACCGACCACCAAAGAACTCTGGATAAAACTGACTAGGCGAAGGCAGAAGATTGTCCGACATGAATCTGCTCGGTAAAGCGCTGATAGGAGTCTCGATATGATTTGCGTCTCGGTTCATAGCGTGCGGATTCGTGCTCATAGGTGGTGCTGGTCGAGCGAACGGGTTCGGAGGGCCTTGTGCACCGGCTGATAGTAGAGCACCTGCACTTGGCGAAGGAGGTGGCAGCACGACTCTATCGTGTGGAGGCTGATGGGCATTGGCTGCTGGCTGTGCTGTAGCCGAATCGCCCGGTGCTGATGCCGTACCTCCCTCATCACCAGACTGCTCGCTAGGTATCTGCACTTTCAGCCGAGGTCTTTTAGCATCAGACTGCATAGTAGAAGTCCTAGTCGGTCCAGCCGGCATGCTCGCGGCACTGCCAGCTCGTTGTGGAGGTTGTGGTGACTTCGGCATCCTTGCTGGTGGTGGTTTAGGAGACGTGCCATTCGATCTTGGATTACCTCGTTGCATCACTGCCAGGTCTACAGAAGCTGACCTGGGAGCATCTTCGAGCTTGATTGCCGGGTCGATCCGCGGATCTATGTTGCTGCCCCAGTGTTGAGCAAGCATCGATCTGCTGTCATCTATTGGCGTGAATATGCTCTGTGCCTTGGCGGCAGCGGGTAGTGGTCGGGGCTGTGGTATATGCGGGCTGGCGAACTGGTGCTGAGGTGGCTGTGGTGAAGGCGTTGCTCTTGGCGGCATTAAACCTTGTTGAGGCTGCGGCGACGGATGCGGTCGTGGTTGCGGCGGTTGTAAGTGATCGGTAGACGGATGCCGTGACATGTTCGCTTGAGGTGGTGGCTGTGGTGGAAATGCTGGTGGACCAGAAGATCTGCGTTGCTCCTGTATGAATGCTTGCTGTATTTGTGGATGTTGTGGTGGAGCCTGCGCGTATGGTGGAGGATAAGTAGCCTGGTGACCTTGTTGTACTGGCCGTTGTTGCATTTGCGCAGCTTGAGCAGCTTGAGCAGCAGCGGCAGCTTGTGGGTTGTAGAATGGTGGATTAGGCGTATAAGCATAGTTCGGCTGTTGTGGGGGACCTTGAGATGGCTGCATATGTGGCGGGGCAAGATTCGAGCTGACTCGACGTACATGTCCTGGGTGTTGTTGAGTCCTCGATGAAGGTCGTGAGATACCAGGCGGTAGTGGAGACGGACCACGCACGAATTGAGGCGGCATGGCTCCATTGTGCATGGGTGGCGATCCAGAAGGCGTGCCGTGTCTGACGTGCTGGAAGCCAGGATGGTTCTGCATTTGCGCATGCATCATAGCAGCATCGGGCGGCACGGGTGTGTTCCTCTGCTCATCGCCCTCCTCACCACCCTCGTCGTCCTCATCGTCATCGCCTCCACCCTTGTCCGCAAAGTCTGCCGGGCCTTTATGCTCATGCGCGCCGCCATAGTATTGGAATCGTCCGATTATCTCATTGATGTCCGATGACGAGTACTCATATAGCTTCTTATTATGCCCAAAGATGATGACAGCGACATCGACGGAGCAGAGGACGGAGAGCTCATGCGCCTTCTTGAATAAGCCCCCTTTGCGCTTGAGAAAGGTTACTGATCTGGTGGGAAAGTGTTAGCGAGGAAGGTACAATGTGTATAGGTGCTCAAGTGAACGGCAGGACATACCGATTACGGTCATCGCGAATGGGCTTGATTTCGATCTTGCGTCTGCCCATACTCTTTTTGGGAGCCAGCGCTCAGACGAACGGCAAGACACCGCGTGCGTACGTGCCTGTCACTCCAGCGTTGCCAATGTCGCGGAATAGCAATCGTCCAGTCCAGTCCAGCTTCGGTTGAGCGTTGTAGATGTGTCGCGCGTCGTAATCAAAGCAATTACCAGCTCCGAATCTACCGAGGAACGTGGCGTGTCGGTATAAGCACTCAAGCTTCTACAGTACTGTCTCTCCTCCACCCCACTGCCGGTAGTGCACTTACAGTACCAGAAGTAGATGACGGATGACGAAAGTTGCGAGTCGGGCGCATGTGGTTGCTATGAATAACTCGCATGGAAGGTAAGGCAGAGCGAGAATAGCACTTGCTACACAGCCCCTTCGCGGCCCGCTCATTCCCGCCCGCATTCCCGCCCGTTTCGTATCAACTTGAACGATGAACCCAAACCACCGCGTTTGGACTCTGCACACACTCTTTACTATGGTCGGTATATGCTAAGCCGACTTCACTCTTACCTATACCATGGTACCGCGTCTCCGGTATTGCAATAGAACAACATAGCTGGTCGAATTGTGTTGTGGAACATTGATATCACTGATCTATGGAATCTGCTCGGCCCGCGTTCTCATCCACGCGGCCAGGACCCGATTGATTCTTCTCAGCCTGGGCTGGACCCTGCCAGCTCTTCAACGTGCGACCAACTGTCATCACCACACTTGCTGTGTGGAGACGATGCTCTATGGTCTGCTACTCTCTTCGTGCCTCCGCGGACCATAAGAGCTCCAGCAGGAACCATCTTCGGCCATGGAATTGTTCTCGGTCGCCCCTTCAATGCCGCGAACTTGTCTTCGCAATTGGATAGCCATGCTCATCGTTGCTTGATAATTTCTTCGCAATTCGTCAGTATAACCCAGTATCCGTCTGGGCGGAGATCGAGTTGAACAAGAAAAGAGATTGCGCACCGGTCAAGAACTCCTCACTGCAATCACACACAAGTCAGCAGACATCCTCTCCACACAGGATCCGCAGCACACTTACAAGCTCAACGTGATATACCCATCCCGATCCGAATCATACTTCTTAAACACATCCGTCATCCTCTTCAGACTAATGCAAGCCTGCACGAACAAATCAAAACTCAACACCTTCTCCCTCTCCCCATCATCCCCTCTTCCTCTCGAGTGACTCCTCGCATATGTTCCGAACAGCAACTGCACGAATTGTGGACTCAGGCGATACCCGAAAGCCACCAGCGCGTCTTCAAACTCCCGCAAACTGATGTTACCAGATCGATCCACGTCGAAGCGGTCGAATAGCGCTCTCCATGCCGCCAGAAATCCCCACAGCCCGCAGAACTCGTCAAAATTGATTGTGCCGCTGCGGTCGGTATCGAACATGCGGATCATCATTTTGACTGTATGGTGGTCGAAAGCTGTGTAGTCACCGTTTACCAACGCTCGTCGGAGTTCTTCCTCGGATAGTTGTCCCGAGCGATCTTTGTCTACCTGCAGGAAAAGTGGCCACAGTGCGTCGCGGTCGTTGCCGTCTCGTGGTGGGGCTACAGTCGGTGGACGTTGCTGCTCTGGTATCGGTGGTCGGTTGTGATAGCCTTGTGGCGGTGGGCCTGAGTTAGTGGGTGGTGGCGATGTGAGTTGGTTGCGACCTGGAGGTGGTGCTTGTTGCTGGTTGTAGCCACCTTGGCCGCCCTGGCCGCCCTGGCTACCATATCGAGGTGACTGTGGTTGTTGTTGGTTGTAAGAATCGTACCTAGCGTTCTGCGCCGATGGTCGACTGTAGTCGTTGTACCCTTGCTGTGGTGCTGCTCCTGTTCCATATGCGCCGGGTGTAGCCTGTCCATATCCACCCGACGGTTGCCTCCCATATCTATCATCCTGACCCGGCCGTGACTTTTGCTGCTGCGGTGGCGGAGGAACAGGTTTGTTGTAGTTCGACGCAACAGATCCGCTATGCGCTCGTGGTGGTGGAGCGCCGCCGCCTTGACCTTGATTCAACATCTGAGCGGCTTGTTCGGGTTCAGCATGCCTGTGTGCGTATCGCGTCAGTCGATCGGGACCGTAGTGATATACTGTCATTCACCAAACGGAGCCTCAAGAACAACAGCTGGCGGATGTGTGTGAGATATAACCACTTACGCAGGCAGAGCATCCGGGTTGTAACCACGATTATACGCCATCCCACTCTGCCGCTCGGGCTAGTGTACCAAACCTATACGTGCAAAGCCGAGTAGCAGTCTTCTTCCTCTTCCCGTACTCCGTTCGCCCTAAATAAGTGTGACTGTCACGATCACGAGCGTCCAGGGCGTACGTAATGTGCTAGCGCCGAGTCTGCTGCGATGTCAAAAGTGGACTCGGCAGCGCGGCGCATCCAAATTTCTACCGTTTCGCGAATGCGCTTCAGAAGTGAATGGAGGTCAGCAAGGCCAGCGAGCCTGACTGCTATGGGTTGCTTTCTTGTAGTCCTTGCGGCTCTATGCTACGATGAGTCCTTCGACCGGTGAAACGAGTGAGGCTGGGCCGTCATAGTAGAAGAGCAAACACCAGACGTTTGTGTAGCGCAAAGCTTCGAGATCACAGCAAGGTTTCGTGCCCCTCCAGGTCTGCCGCTTGGACTTTGTTCACGTGGTGCGTCATGAGCAAGGGTCTTGCTGCTGCTATTCTGGGCTTAGCTCCGACGACGAGGAGTACTACCTGTAGACAGATGTTCAGAACAAGGTGGTAGGCACACTGACTGCTGTGGACATCCATACCGAGCTATTCGCAATCAACTCGAAGTCTACTCTAAATAATGTAGGCGCAGCGCAAGATCGCATGCTTTTGGTATCTCAACTTAGCCACCCAAACTCCGTACATACAATGTAACCCGCTGGAATGACTCTAAGCCCAACACTACTGCCCTCTCGACTCCAAGGTAGAAAGAGTATGATTTCTCGCCTCATCTTGCGTCGCAAACTTCTCCGTAGACATGCTCGGCATAGGAGGGATCTCCTCCTTACTACCGCCAGCAGTGTGTGGTCGACTGCCAGGCATAGCACTATGCGGCCTGCTACTATCGCTAGCAGCATGACTCGTGCGCTTCGACTGCCTCTTGCTCTCATGTCGAGCCTCGCGCTCAGCAGCACGTTGTGCAGCGTTCTCCTTCTCGGCCTCGATACCAGTCTTGGTCTCCTCGTGCTGTGCACTGAGAACCTTCCGCCTGATGAACAGGGCGCAAACAATCCCGACAGCTGCAACGCAAGTGTACATGATCCACATCGGTTGCAGAGACTGTGCGAAGTACTTCCGCACAACGACTTTCTGCGCATCAGGCAGCTGGTCGATGATCTGAGAGTTCGCTCCGGCATTGCCTCCACCGAGCTGTTGCGCCAGTTGCGGGCCAAGAAGTTGCGTGAGAGCAGCGGACTTCTTGGCCATTTGGTTTTGGAAGACGACTTCGCCAATGACGACACTAGAACTAGTCGCAAGCTGTCGCACGAAGCCTAGGGTGGCTGTGGCTGTGCCAATGTCCCGAGGATTGATGTGAGCCTGCAGTGCAATGATAGGAGCCTGAAAGAGTGGACCGATACCCAGACCAGCCACGATCTGGAACGCAATCAGTTTGCCCCAGCCGCTTGTCGAGGTGAAGTCGACGAAGAGGCCATATCCCAAGGTCAGGAAAAGCATTCCACCATAGATTGGTGGTAAGAACATTCCAGATTTCTTGATGAAGACACCTGTTCCGATGCTAGTGAACGCCAAGGCCAAGGCGGTGGGTAGGAGGTAGACACCGGACAGAAGAGGCGATGCGCCTCGGATGGCCTGAAAGTAAAGTGGGAGGTAGTAGGAGCCCGAGATGAAGACGAAACCGTGGCAGAAGACGACGCCCAGTGTCGCTAGTCGGCTGCGCTCGTTGAACAAACCCATAGGCATGACTGGAAACTTGGCGTACTTTATCTCCCAAAAGGCGAAGAGCGCGAAGGTGACGATGCTGAAGACCAACAGACAGACGACCGTGGCAGAGCCCCATGGGTCTGTTACACCACCGTATTGCAGGCCAAAGAGGAACATTAGAGTGCCACCCACAATGCTCAATGACCCAACCCAATCAATGGCTTTGAGGCCTTCCATAATGGGTGTGCGTGGAGTTTTGAGGTCCAGGAAGAAGAAGAGGATAATGAAAGCCAGACCGTCGAGAGGTAGATTGATGTAGAAGCACCTGCGTAAAGTGTCAGTTCGAACCCATCGATGTCTCATTTGTTAGATCGCCACTTACCATCGCCAGCTGACCTTCTGAGTGAACGCGCCTCCAATGATTGGCCCTACTGAAGATGCAATAGCCCACACAGCTCCGACCATGCCATAGAATGCGCCGCGATTACGCAAGCTGAACAGATCTCCAATGACAATGTTCACCAAGATCACCAGTCCTCCACCTCCAATACCCTGGATAGCTCGAGCAGCGATGAGCATACCAATGCTGGTCGAGAGAGCGGCGATCAGCGATCCAATCATGAAAATGACGTTCGCGACCAAGAGCATAGGCTTGCGACCAAAGATATCGCTGACTTTACCCCAGCTTGGAATGGAGGCAGAGTTGGCGAGCAAGAAAGCAGAACCGATCCAAGTGTAGCCAGACGAACTGTGAAAGTGCTCGCTGATCGTAGGGAGGGCCGTGGTGATGATCGTGACGTCGAGAGCGGCCAAGAAGACCGCCATGCAGAGGGCCAGCATAATGATCGCAATCTTGCCTTTCGATCGCTCTATTGGTGCCTCTGTGGACGGTCCTCCTTGTCCTTCCTCCTTCGTAGCAACCTCGCCTTGCTCTTCATCGTGCAGCTTCTCTTCATCGACAGCGTCTTGACTAGAGGCGCTCGAATCAGGGTCCTTGTGTGAGAGATCATGTCCCAGTCCTTCTGTGCTTGTCACGTTCTCTGGTATCGCCGTTGTGGTAGTAGCTCCCGGTCCTGCGGCCGTCGCTGGCTCATCTGTTACCAGATGACTCTCATTACCCCTCGTGTGTTCAACCTTGTGCTCAAGCGCCATCTTCTGTAGTCAGCGCAATGCGCGTCCAGCTGGTCTCAGAGAGTTTGGAATCGAAGAAAGTATATTTGAATGCTGTTGTCACCTAAGCAACCCTCAAGCTTATGGAAAAGTGTACGAAATGAAGCGAACTTGCACATGCACACCCAAAGAAAGAGGCGGTTTTCGATGATGATGTGAGAACATAATGTACCTATCCAATGTATTTGAACAATCTCCCGTTCGAGCTTGGTGTACCACGGGCTCGGGCGTTCGGGTTTTCGGTAGACAAGGCTATTTCCACCCACGATCGTGACTACGATCGAGACCAAGCTTTCGCCTACAGCTTGGCAGTGACTGCAGCTAGTTTCAGTCTTCAACAATATCGTTTGAAAGTCGACGGAGCCGCCATTCCATCGAGTTAATAGCGTTGGTGTTGGCCTCATGCAAGAAGATATCAGACCTTCAAGACATTTGCCATGCGAACGCTTTGTGTTGATCGCAACGCCCTGCAACGCTGCCGATTGCCGAGCTGTCGCTGCCAGTTTGGGACAAGCGCTGAGGAAGGAGCCGAACGCGCTTTCCTGACTTCATTCCTTCGTGCCTTCCTTCCTTACACTGCAACGTCCTAGGGATCAAGCCTACTCTGAGCCGTCCACGACCCAGAGATATGTCTTTCTCATGAGTAGCGGCTCGCTACAACTTCTTTCGACTGCGGGCCTCAGTGCTATACCCTCGTCAGAACGTGTCGAAGGGGCGCTTGACACTACTCAGACTTGTTGTGATGTTTTCATTGGCTTGTAGTCTCATCAAAAGAATGGTGAGTGCCTGGCAGGCAAGGCAAAGGTGTGTCCTGAGTTGCTCATGACTCACTCGCGAGGTGACCAGTAATGTGGCCGCTGACGGTTAGCTGAACGTCTTTTACTTGATGTCACCGCTTGCATCAACATCATCATCTACTCATTGTCCGCATTGGACTCTGCTCGTGGGCTGATACCTCGCATCTCCTACCCTCTGGGCTTCGAGGGAGCATATGCAGAACCATCCAGCGGTGATGTTGTTAGGAAGCTATGACCGATCCAGGACCAATTCCGACCCGCAGGAGGTGTTTGGAACATCGGTTCATAGCGCGGAGCAAAACTGATCGGTGTCCCAATCGAAAAGACAATTGCCCAGCTAAGATTACAGCGGCAGCGGTGGCCCAGTTGTGTCTCTTCGAAGCCGACTCAAACCACTAGCAGGGTAAATCCAGGCTCCAGAGACGCCACCATATCGCAACAAGTAGACGACATCGGGTGCGGGCTTAAGTTTTGCTCGGCCATGAGAGGCAAAAGCTCGTACCGAGATCCACGTTTGAGTTGCAACCTTTGGTGAATGAAGTAGAGTATGGGTGGCCGCCAGTCCTCGATCACGCGCTCATCAGGCGAACGCCCCACTACACGTGCAAATGTCGCGACGAGGAAGGCGGGGCTTGGCGCTTCAAAACAATTTCGACGTCAGTCCAGCGGAGCACAAACACTCGACAGACCGAAGCAGAGCAGCAACCGACCTCAACACACCTTGCAAGCTCTAGAAGGACGAATGCCATCACGGCAGCACTGAGCAGGACTGAAGCTACGGTCTGTGTCGATCATCATGTGCTTCCAGGGCTTCGTCTACTTTGCTTGCGGGCACAACAGAATCGTGACCCACGACTGCGAACATGCGCTGGTTGCTGGTAATCCGCATTACATCAGACACCAATGCCCGGACTACAACTCCTCAAGCGAACGACCGAACTTCCAGTGCGGCCTTGGAAAATACTACTGCAGCGAATCTGTGGATGGACCCTTTCTCGACCATGTTCATCAAGCGGCCACTACTGCGCAGTCCAACATTAGCATCATTGACACCCAGCTAGTAAACTTGGGCAACACCCGTGGTCAGCTGATAGCCGAAGCCAAATTCCGAGGGATGAGCGATGAAGCTCTCATGCACAGCAAGGAGCACCAATGGCTTGTAGCTAAGCGGGGTGAGTGGACCGTCGAGAGGAACCGCCAACAGATTACTCAGATTGATGCCACCGCCATAACTCAGCAGGCTCTTCGCTACTACAAGGACATGCGCCCCCGCTACGGCGACTTCAGCAACGCCGGGCCACGAGCCCCATTCATACCAGGTCAGACTGTTTTCGGAACGTTCGTAGCCGGAGCACCAACCGCGCAGAATTCAACATCAGGTCAACCGTGTTGGGGCACTGAAATGTCAAAGCAGCAACCCTATACAGTTACCGGGCAATACTCTCAACTTCCTAGTCCTGCTCGCACGCATCTTGCTGCCACTCCAGGGTACACAACTGCGAGCACAACCTACCCACCTGTGGTACCGTCACGAGTCACTGGAGAGACCATTTCTGCGCTTGCGGACAATGTCAGGGTAGCTCAGCAAGCAGAAATGGCTCGACAACGCAACATGTCGCCTGTCGCAAATCAAGATCGTAAGGTCGGCCGGCAACGCGGAGCTATGTCAGCTCGACCCCAGAAGTCAAGGGCTACACAGGCCAGGGCAGCCGAGCACGATAGCGCGGAAGAGGAGATTGAGGTCGTGCGCAGGAGTGCCCGTGTCCGCAACAAAAAGGTGAATTATGCAGAAGACGGCTGCTCGTCGATTGCCTCCCGTGAACCTTCACCTGCCAAGTCTGATCGCTCTGCGTTCTCACCACTGATGTCAGATGCGTCGTCCACTGCGGAGAAAGACTGTATCGGCGCGACAACAAGCGCGAAGAAGCCTTGTGAAACGCCACGGACACTTTCCCGTCCTGCGAGTTCGCTGAATGACAAGATCACGGACTGGTCTAAGAGGAGCAATGTTAGGGAGACAAGCACATCTGATGGTCGCCGCACCATGCCCGACATGAAAGATATACTGAACTCAAGCCCGGCGTCCGAAGTTTTCGCTTCGAACAGAACTGTGGGCCAATCAGAGAACCACAGACAAGCTCGTGGGTACACATTCAAGGAGCCGATCAACACATCCAAGAAGCCTGAAGCGCTCGCTCTGGCTCTCAACTCTACGCCTCAGCCGTTGGAGAAGCATCAGATCTTCCCACCGATCACTATGGCTGCACAGCAAGACCAGGTCGGGATCCTCACCCCTGCGCCTATCTTAGCACGGCCTAAATCACATCACGCGGCATTTGACGTCGGCTCCTATGTACCGCTATTTCGCCCACAACAGCCGCTTCTGCGCGAGCCGTCTAGCGGCACGGCAATGCCGACTTCAGTATGGGACCAAGCCTCACCGGTCACATCCACTCAGCTCCACCGTGGCCCTTCCTTGCCATACCAAGCCTTCACTGTTCACACGGACAGCATTACTGGCCTTGGAAAAGAAGAGAATGGCGAGCACGAAGTCGATGTGAACTCGTACTATGGTAGCTTGCGTCGTAGCTTCGGGTCTGGTACGCCACTGGCACCTACGAAATTGTTCGATGGTGCACAAAGTGATCGCGACCCGAAGAAGCGGCTCTCTTCTACTCTGACTGAGACGGAGAAACCTCGAAAGCGCATGCGCCTGTCTCTTCCTGGGCAAGAAGCTCAGCCTGCCGCGCAGCCAGCACCGAATTGGCTGCTGGGCCAAGGTCTCATCATGAATACCGACGGCCGTGGAGCACCGCTGTACGCACCTCTCATTACTCAAGGCCAAGTTCGCATGCAAGGTAACAACAGCCCATCGAGCCTCGGTGCACCTTTCGAACCACCTACTGCTATCATGACGGCCACTACTGCTCCATCAGATGAGGGTCTCGATGGCGTTGCTAGTAGTGCCTCGCCACCAGGGCAAAAGGCTGAGCAGGCTTCAGCAGAGAATGACACCGCTGAGAGTGGCCCAGACTTCTCGGACATTGATTGGGGTCACCATGAGCATGACCTTGATGCTTTCGTTGATTGAGAGCATCAACACTCCTAGGAGCGAACAGAATCGTTCTCCGATAATGTATCGAGGCTACTTGAGGCGCCGCATTACTTATGCTACTTACACGATTCTATGTCTGCTTTCTGGAGGCAGTCCACATGTTGGTGCAACGCTTTAGTTCGTGCCTTGTGAGGAGTCGTGGAGGAGCATAAGCCGAGAGGAGCTCTGTCCACGGCGGACAGGGCACTACGATCATATCAGGACTGCGCAGTCGGGCAAGGATGGATGCGATGTGCGATTCAAAATGTCCAGCAGAGGCTGCAATATGAAAAGACTTCTACTCGGAGCCAAATCTAGCATTATCAGGTCGACAGCAGGACTATTGACATGTACGTATTAGCTTGTACAAATATCCTATACTATCCAACTATGTTCATCATCAAGTACTATATCGAAGTGATACGCGCAGCAGTACCAGTCCTGCTTCTCGGTCGTGGCCGCAGGTTCATGACCGTCTCAAGCTCACGAAGCATATTCGTATTCGACTCCCGCTTCGCTCTCAACGTCGCCTGCCGATCCCGCTCCTCTTGCATTCTGACGATACGTTCTTCGCGTGTGAGAGAGCTGCGCTGTCGTGGCATAGCGACTGCTTCGAAGACCTGCTCCTCGTCGGAAGGCGTGGTAGCCATACTGGACCGGTTGGATAATGTGTCGCCGGTCAAAGCTTTGAGCGCATCTGCTGGACTGCCGCTTTCTTCTACGGCTGTCAGGCCACCGAGACTGGAGACAGGAGAGCGGATGCAGGAGCCGGCGCTCGAGTTCATGGATATGCGACGTTCTTGTTTCGTGATGTTGGTCTGCAGAGAGGCTTTGCCGGTCTCCCAGGCTTGCATGAGATCGCGGAGGTCTACACCGATGGAGTCGTATTGTGCCATTAGCGAAGGGCCGAGATCAGTCAGGTCTTCCGATTGCTCGATTGATTTGTTGGTTTCTTCGCGCAATATTTGCATCTTCGCCTGGAGGCCACGGATGCCGGAGGAAAGCATGCTGATCTTACGCACTTGAGTGCGCATCTTCTCGCGAGCTGCCGGGTTGGTTGATTTGATTGGCGTGATGGGCATGTTGATGATTTCCATGTCGCCAAGTACGTGCTTCAGCTTGTCTGTGGAGCCGCCGAGCAGCGATGACATGCCTTGCATCACCTCTATACACATCCGCCAGTGGTGGAAATCTGGCTTACCACCGTCTGCTTCTAATGCCATAAGCGAGCATAGCGTGACGCGTCGAAGCACACTGGCTCTGTAGCCTAGGACACGGAGTGCCTTCAGCGACTCCAACTCATCTTCCGTGTCGACACCTTCCTCGCCCATAAAGCTCTCTTTGGCATCTTGGGCATTAATATCATATATCTCATAGTATCTCTCAAGGTCATCTTCGTCAATCAGTGTTGCTAGTGTCCCACATGCTTCAGTACAGGCTCCTAGTAGCGTGCGATAGGACTTGAGCAGCGCCTTACGTAATCTGCTGCACCTTCGAGCTGTGCTACTGTCGTCTAGGCGAGACGCAGGTGGGAGCGGTGTGCCCAAACGGTAGCCCTTCGAAACCAGCTCTACTTCCTGGATGAGTGACAGCGCAGTACTCGCCGAGACTTCGAATGCCTGCCAATTGGCCGTTAAGCTTGATGCTGCAGTTACTGCATTGCGCCGTACGAACTTCAGCCATTGCCGCCGCAGATATGCATATACCACGATAGCAGTGGTGACAAAGACTGCAGTCACAAGTAGCACTCGGCTCGTGCTTATTCCGCCACCGCGTCGAACGAGTGCCCAATGAAGTATGTAGACTAGAGCGAACGCGCTCGCCGCTGTTGCTGCTGCACCATACAAGGTCGTTGGCGTCAAAGGCAGGCCCAGACCGTCCGCTTTTCGCTCTGGCAGTGATGCCGTGTCCGCATTTGGCTGAAAGGACCCATGGTCCAAGTATTCGTTCAATAGTTGTGACGCGACAATCACATATCGAAAGTGCTCCAAGAATCTAGCATTGTCCGCACGCCCTAGACGCGAGTTCACGGCTGTAGAGCAGACATCGTGTATCTGACCGACTGTGCCCTTCCGTTGTACCGGATGCGCTGGTGAGAGACTCAAGCGAGGCCTACTCTTCTTCTGTGCTATGCTTCCATTCACTGGCGCGAAACCCTGGTTGTTCTCATGCACATCCAAGATCTCGTTCTCGTACGTAGGAACGACAGGAGGCTCCGGCTCGAAAGTGCCGTCACCTATAAGTGTATGTCAGCATGATAGCATACTTCAGACCAGGCGGAAGCTACATACCTTCTAGATACTCAGCTAGAGGCGTGCTCTCATCGAATATAACCTCCATGCCATCGTCACGTCATTGCTCAGTGTTTGGCTCCGCTTTATAAGATGTGCAAATGATCCGAAGATTGGTGATGATATAGTGATCCGGAGGCGCGGAATAAAAGGCACTGGATTGCTGGAGCGAAGCACAAGTAAGACAACAAGATCGTGGTATACTACTATCGCCAGCACAGCGCAACTTGGCCTTACCGTTTCTCGCAACTGGTCTGCTCTAGGCTTTAGCCCCTATCTGACTGGATAATCAAAAGAACGTGGGGCGACACGGTTCAGAAAGCTTGTTTCTCCTCCTCTCCTGCCAACCAATTTGCAATGACGGGAACCCAAGATTCGATCTCTTTGTCCTCTCTGTTTCCATCCTTGCGACCTTCTGCCGTCGCGGTTATGACGATCCTGCGGGCGTCCTGGTCAGGTGCCTGGGAGCGTGCATCTGACAACGACCACTCACGGCAAGGGGAACCAGCTATTGATGGAAGTTCATTGAACGACGGTCGCGACGGCAGCCTGGCAACAAGGCGTGCGTCATGGCCTACTACTATGTGATTACCACCCTTGGGGCGCGCGAACATTTACCTCTGAACAGTCTGGTGGGTTCAGCGCAACAATTCCCTCGCACTTTCGTTACATCGCATACATGTATCCCGTCGGACGAATTCGGCTCGCATGCTCGGCGCATCGGGATCCCGGCTGACTGACTTCGAGATGTGAGCAATCACTCTCTATTCATGAACAGTGCAACTGTGTTATCTTGGACCCTCCGTCGCCAGCTGGACTTTCAATTTTCGAGACGGTAGATCTAGGACTCCTCTTTACTGCCTAGAGTCGGGCCTACCGTCTCGAGAGGTTGACTAGACCGGGCCTAGTTTCTCAAATGCTTTGCAATCATGAAGTCTACTGCCACTGGTATCTCTGGAACTACCCAGTCCCGTCCATCTTCCAGCAAAGATTCTTGCTTCTTCACGCGGCTGAAGAATGATGTGCGTCTTCCTCACTTCGGATGGTAGTCGGTACCGAAACTGGAGCCTGATAGGCGACCACAAGCATACGCTATCGTGGGTCAGAAACATCGAGGCTATGCGTCGGGCATACCGCCTCTGGTACGAGTATGTTCTTCAACTCAAAATGTGGCAAAATGACTCTAGTGACTTCACACCACGCTCGCGTGCTTTCGTGCTTCCCTAGTGGCCTACAGGCTGGACTTCGCATACTGTGGGCCGTGTCCGATCATGCAGGGCTGGCTTCGATATGTCATTCCTGGGTCTTGTTTGCTCGAGATCGTGTGCCTCAAGGACGCCCTAAGAAAGGCGCACTGTCATCTGTCCTATGTAACGACACATACATTACCGTAGCATGTGAGGTACGAATACGATTCCGCGATATCGAATGCAAGAGCGCAGCGTATGATATATAACGGCAAGTCGGGTTCATGCCAGCATTTTCGGCTGTTTACATCGACTACCATTGTACTACCCATCACTACTGAACATCATGAATGATGAACAACGAATCCACGTCTGTAAGACTGCGGTCAGTCAGATATACACCATGCTGCGGACATCGCCTCAGGACTGGCGCAACTTTCTGGCGATTGCACGATCTGTGATAGCACATATCGACAACACTACTGTGATGCGCCGACGAGATCGCACGACGGAGCAGACTTGGCTGGTGGGAGGCCTGCAGCGTCTGGCGTTGGTCGACAGCGGTAGTGGAGAAGTGGTCGACATCTCTGACTGGTGTTCACGGCAATGGATGTCAATATTGCAAATCGAACCTCAGAACGTCGAAGCCTTGCGAGGACTCGGGCGAGCATGGCTTGCTCGTGCGCAGCCAGCGCTGACCCGCATACATCGTCTCGATGGAGCTTCATCTTCTAGTGAGGGCAGCTCACAATGGTCCGCCCCTTCCATGACCACAAGCGATGACGAGAGGCAGTCTGCTGCAGCTAAGGCAGAGGCTGAACGCCGCTCGGGCACGGCGGACTACGTGGAGGCGCGTGGGTCGCTACAGCCTGCGATTGACTATCTAGAAAGGGCACTGGCCGCGGCAACGGCGCAACGATCGCTCTCGGGAGAGATGCTGGCTACAGTATGTGCTCTTGCTATCTTTGATGACGGATTCTGACACCCTACAGACTGCCGAAGCGTATATGTCGCTAGGCAACGTCTCAAGTCCACGCATCAATCAGACTCACTTTGCCAGAGCGCTACAGCTGCTAAGGGCAGCGGCCGCTATACAGGGTTACACGCTCAGCAGATATCTGCAGCAGTATGTCGACATGTCTCGTGTATGCAAATTCCTCGCTAACGAACGTAGATTCCTCGACGACTACGGTCGCCTCCTCGACTAGATCGCTCAGCCGCAACATGGTTGGCAAGTGAGTCATTCGTGTTCGTCATTTCAAATGGTGGCGCTATAGTATACGATGGCGTGGGTGCATATGGGCAGGGCTCACACTACTCGCAATGGGATCTAGATCTGGCAAGTGCCTTGTGTACAGTAGCATCCAGGGCGGTGCAAAAATGTAGGACTATCCGTAGCTGAGAGAATCTTACTGCTTTACGGCCGAGAAGAGGTGAATCATCTGTGTTATGCCAGTAGGCCAAACTAGGTGCAATCTCTCATGTAGAATCTAATACGAGCGCTCCTCACGTCTCACATGTCGTACGGAGGAGTTCATGGAGGCATTGACTTTCTCGTGTTGCTGTTGTCCTTCGCATCAAGTTGATGATTTGAAGTGACGTTGCGTTGCACATGTCGGACCGGAGTTTCCTGCAGTGCCGAAAGCCTTTCGACCTACATCGCCTTTTGGCTTGGATGCTTTACTTGTGCCATTAATCAGCGATTCTGATATCTTCTTTCCGCACGACACTCCATCTGGACTTATCTCATAGACCCCTACCTCCACCACTCACACTGCCTTGGCTCATCCTAGTCTCGTTGTGCGCGCGAGGACACCCGGCCATCACGGAAGCCACATAGCTGGGCAGGCCAAAGCAGCACTGCACGTGTCCGCGCATCAGACTTCCGCACCAGGAACGATCCGGAGTCTGGCGTATCGAAGATGATAGACGAGAAGGACCTAGCCAGGCGGCCTATTGTACAGGAGAGTGTTCAGCATAATGCTCGCGTAAGTCCGACTGGTTCTCCTCCTCATCCCTGACCAAGGCATATGCCATGTAACCTCAACCAAGCCAAAGCGCCCTTTCCAACCCGCTGACACGCTCGCCACAGACCGTCTCGAATATTCGCGCACTAACTGCATCGCTCTTCGGAGTCGCCGCCGGCACACTAGGACTGGAATCATTCCCTGGCTTCATCTTTTACTTTCTCGGCACGGCTACCGTTTCCATGCTCATATACGCTCTCAAGGCAGAGAGCAAGCCCGAATCGTACTTCTTTCAACCTCTTGGGGATCTCTGGGCGGGGGATCTGTTTGGTGGGCTCATGTCTTTTGTGCTCACCTGGACCTTGTTCTATGGGCTGTGCAAGGCTTGAGTTGCTAGCCTCTTTGGCTACCATGTTGCGCCAGATCGATGCTTCGCAGCTCTAGCGTGGCTCGGGTTCGCATGTCTGGGCTCGCTGTGTCAAGACCATCTTGAGTGGTAGCCTGGAGGTATTGTGACCTGCTAGAGGCTGGAAATGTGAACCGGCATTGACAAGTGGCCACGCCTTCGCAACGACTACGACCATCGATTTCAGAGCACAGAATGGATGACATTCGCTCCGGGTGAAAGCGTGCCCGTGGCATTACTGGGGCCTTTTGGTATCAGGACGCCGAATTGAATGCACCGGAGAACACGTGAAAGTCCACCACGCGGTCCTCATCAGCAACCATATCACGCTGCACAATCCAGTATGTGCGATTCGAAGCACGACTTAGTAGATACAGAACGGAGTATGCTGGGTTCTGGGACTGTGAAGTCAACGGACATACGAGTTCGACTGCTCACGCACTTGTGGTAGATATGGCAGGGAAGTTCAACAAATCGGTCTATCTCAATACCATCGTCTTGCGTCATCTCCCAACTCTACTCATCGCCTATGTTCTTCCGCACGCAATAATGAGCTGTGTACCTGATCACATGAATCGTGTTAGCAATGAGACCCACCACTTCCGCTCCCGTCCATATAGAGCTTAGCTCATCCAGACGCGAAGCGCGTAAAGTGGGATTTCGCGTGACATTGCTTTGCTGTACAAACACTCGCCTCAAGCAATATCAAGGACGACGACAACAGAGAGCCCCTTCGCAAACGGTATCCAGACAATTCGAAAGATCAGTGAAAAGCTACACATCAGTAGGAACTGCCTTTCCTGACGACATGAACACTACATGTACTAACAAATCAACAGTGCTTGAGGCACGTTTGGAGCAGGCACAGCTGCTCAAGAAGGTAACATACCAATTCTCCTTCATCAGTCTCACTCGCATGCTGACTCCGCAACAGGTCGTCGATGCCATCAAAGACCTCGTACAAGACTGCAACTTCGACTGCAATGACTCCGGCATCGCCCTCCAAGCCATGGACAACTCTCACGTCGCCCTCGTCTCTATGATGCTCAAATCCGAATCCTTCTCACCCTTCCGATGCGACCGCAACATCGCCCTCGGCATCAATTTGACTTCATTGCAAAAGGTGCTACGATGTGCGCAGAACGAGGACATTCTCACAGTCAAGGCAGAAGATGCACCAGATGTTGTGAACATGGTGTTCGAGAGTGCGGACAACGACAGGATCAGCGAGTACGATATCAAGTTGATGGACATTGATCAAGAGCACTTGGGCATCCCGGACACAGAATACGCTGCTACGATCTCAATGCCAAGCTCAGAGTTCCAGAGGATCTGCCGAGATCTAACGGCGCTGTCGGAGTCTGGTGCGTATGTCCGTACTCTGAGAGACATGTTCATTGATCCTCTAACCTTCTCACAGTGGCCATTGAGTGCACGAAGGAAGGCGTGAAGTTCGCATGCAACGGCGACATCGGCTCGGGTGCTGTCACCCTTCGCTCACACACAGACGTCGAGAAGCCCGAGAGGAACATCGAGATCAACCTGTCGGAGCCGGTGGCGCTCACGTTCTCGCTCAAGTACCTCGTCAACTTCTGCAAGGCCAGTGGTCTCAGCGACTCCGTGAAGTTGTGCTTAAGCAACGAGGTTCCCTTGCTCGTTGAGTATGCACTGAGCAATAACAGCTACCTCAGATTCTACCTCGCACCCAAGGTGAGACCATTCCTCCGTACATACTGGTGACCTAAGCTAACAGTGGTTAGATTGGTGACGAGGAGTAAACTTTGGCCCGCAAAACAATGTGGATAATGTCAAACACCATGGCGGCGCTGGTGGGATACTGCAACTACGATCTGGTGATTACGACAACGAGCGATCGTGCAACGACCGTCTAGATGCGTATGAGGAAATGTATAGCATGAGGAGGTTGGAAAGCATGAGCGTGTTGTGGAAATGTTTCGCCTGCACGAGCCAGAATCGGAAGCGCTTGCGTCAGAGCATGAATTTCGACGCGGTTTGTTGATCGTACTTTGTCAAAATATCATAGCCAATCCAAAACTGTAAAACACACTTATACAAGCCAATCTAACCGCTGCGCGTTTCATATCACGACTGATTGTACGCCATACGATATAGCGAGTCGGCTGCCATGGCCGAGTCACTGGTGCCGGAGACTCACGTCCTGGCCATAGCCAGTCATGTGGGTGCTCTTCCACCATGAGACATCGAGCACGGCTGACTGTGCAACAAGGTGACGTCCGGGTAAGTGTGAGAGGCTCAAGAGTTTAGGAAGTCGTGCTAAGGTTGTATAGATATGTCGGCAACACAATGGCCACGTTCTGCATGCAGACGCTCGGCTGCGAAGTTTCCGCCATACATACCGTCAATTATAGTACGAGCACGCGACCTTCTCGAACAACGCTGTACTAACTGAATACTGCAACACAGGCAACCACGTAGGCTACAGACGATTTAAGGGGCGCAAATCACAACCAGAGGAGCTCGCAGAATTATGGGATGGTCTCAAAAATGCTCGCCTTGATGGCTTCGACGTACTCTTGTCCGGCTACTGCCCTTCATCTGCCACGGCGGAGCAAGTCGGCAGGATAGCACGTGAGCTCAAGAGCCGGTCGCGCACGAAGCCTGGCTCTTTCTTCTGGGTACTCGATCCGGTCATGGGCGACAATGGTAGGATATACGTGGCAGAAGACACAGTGCCTGTATACAAGAGTCTGTTGAAGGATGCGGATCTCATACTACCGAATCAATTCGAGGCAGAGCTCTTGTCCGAGGTCAAGATACATGATCTGGCCAGTATGAAGCGGGCGATAACAAAACTTCACAAGGACTATCGAGTACCGCACGTCATCATCACAAGTATACGACTACCTGCTACATCGTCGAACACGCCAATTCAGGTCGAGGAGGATCTATCCGCGAGCGCGAAGCTGACTATCATCGGATCCACGGCAACAGATGACATGGAGCCCCGACTCTTCCGGATCACTGTCGATGCTCTTCCTGTCTTCTTCTCCGGCACTGGTGATATGTTTGCTTCTCTCATGGTAGCGCGACTACGACAAGCTGCGCAGGATGCGGATGTGCTGGGTCGAGCGAGCTGGAGAAGTCCTGATGATGTGCAAGCCACCGACCTGCCTTTGGCGAAAGCTGCAGAAAAGGTCCTGGCTAGTATGCATGCTGTTTTGAAAGACACAGCTGCTCACTACGACGCTGCCACGGAGAGACTAAAGGCCGAGCAGGACGGCGCATTGAATGAAGGCAAAGGAGAAGAAGCCGAGGCGGAGAAGGCTACGCAACGGCACCTCTCGCTGACCAGGGCAGCAGAGGTCCGAGTCGTGCGTAACATTCCAGTGCTGTTATCGCCACCAGATATGGAGTGCTTCAAGGCACAACATGTAACGATACATGAGAATCATGGTTGAAGTGGGCGTGGCGGTAGCGTGAGACGAGCTTGTTGACATGTAGAGATAGAGCTGATCATCAAGATTCTTCTACCAGGCTGCTCTTGAAGCATGCTATTTCCAGTCTCTTCGTTCACATAGCTCTTTGGCGCTGTGGGACGATTCACAGCTGACTCGAATACTGAGTCTGGGGCAAAGGTGGGGCGCCTAAGGCACTTCTGCAGTTGGGCGATGCAGCTCTGGGACACAAATGACAACGCTGCTAGACCGGTGACTACCTTGGAAGCTCAAGAGACGTAGTGTCGTGGCGTTGATGAGCCTTTTGTACCCGAAGTGACGTTCAATGTAAAGTGTCGGAGCATTCAAGGAAGTGAGGTTGGCCGGGTCTGCACGTGCGAGCTTACCACTGCACCTCACCTCACTCCAACGGCAAACAGCTCCCGCATGCCATCATTTTCTGACGTGGCCGTCACCAGCCCATGACATTCATGTAACACAGCTAATCAATATCGAGCCTTGATACCGCAGCTGGCCTGACGGTGACATGGCTCCCCGCAGGTCGCCAGATTCGTCCAGCACCGACTCCCAGCTCAGTGAACCAAAGACCAGCCTCACGACCAAAGACGACAGCACTTTCGATTTCTTCCGCCTCCCCCGGGAACTTCGCGACCAAATCTACTTTGACAGTCTAGCCTACAAGCGCAAGTACCCCGACCAGAGTGGCGCACGAGTCCGAGGCCGTCGAGTCGCCGACCCCAATTTCCTCCTCATCAGCAAACAGTTCAAGTCCGAGTATCTGGAGCGTGCAGAGCAGCATACAGCACTTATCATAGTCGACCGTCCCGAGTACCACGGCGACAACATCACCCTGCCCAGCGAGATCGCCTACGCCCGTCATCTGGAGGTCCACATCGCGATCGCCTGCGATGCCCCCGACCATGTCGGCAACCAGTGCCGTGTGACGAAGGAAGTCCGAATGCATCACCGCTGGCTCTCGAACCTCTGCACCAAAATGCGACATCTGCAATCTGTCCAGGTCGACATGGTCATCGATCCTCATCAGTACATCAACGAGTGCGAGGCGAAACTCATGGAGATGCAGTATAAGCTCTCGAATGTCCTTGAGCTGTCATCGCTAAGGCTGTTCTATTGCGATTATGCGGGTAGGGATTTTGGGTGGAACTTTGGCAAGTCGAGGAAGTTGGCATGGGAGTGGGATGCGGAGGATCGGTCGCTGCATCGTGTGGCGAGTAGTTCGGTGAAAGGTGAGATTTGTGAGGCGGATGGAAAGGGTGGCGAAGAGAATGACTCGGCGTGATGGTGACTGCTTGTCAGCACTGCCAAGCTTGGGATGAACTTGGGGAGCTCTATGAGACTGACAATGGCTGCGGGAATTTTGGCGGGAGGAGTTGTGGTTGTAGCCCTTTTGGATCACGATGCTACGTTGTTACGACGCGCCATAGATTGGAGTTCATTGTTTTCACATTGCTGTAAGCTTAGCTATGTATTGCTATGGCGTGCCAGACGATCTCGCGTCAAATCATCATGCTCTCTGACCTGACCGGTAGTCTTGTCGAAGGTTCCATCCTGGATGGCTATGTACCCTCAAATGCGGACGTATAAGCTCCGTGCCCTCCATCTGACCCAATGCCAGCCTAGTGGCATTAGCCCCGCCCTTCGCCATCTGCTCCTATGTGTACAGTAGCCAAGGTTCCCAGCCCTACCCTCCCCGATAGCAATAGATCGATTTGCACTAACTGGCTTACACGTACTTCCCAAAGAAGTCATCACTCTGAAGCGCTTCCACCTCATCCGGCACAACACTGATGATGACCTCAGCAGACCCATCTGGCAACTTGGGCATGATGCCGTTGAGGCCAGGCTCACCAGGGTATCTGAATCGCACCAACGGACCGAATGCTTCGCCCCAGTCGTACCCATAGATGCAGCCGCTAGTCCAGTTGGTGCCGGTGGCCCAATCGAGAGTGCCAAGGTCAGCGGTCATGTAAGCCCAGTCGATCCAGCGCTTGTTGACTTCTGCGAGGTAGCTTTTGACGAGCTCAGGGGTCGCGGCTGTGATGGCGTCGCGGATTGCGCCGGTAGCGTGCTTGAGACCAGATGCGGAGAGCAGGGCTTCGAGGTTGGAGCGAACGGCCATTTGATAGATTACATTGCCGATGTAGTTTGGTTGTAGGCCAATGTGGCGACGCCCGTCGGACGGGAAGAAGAGCGTGCTGGTCGTAGAGTGCGGTAGGTGAAATGAAGGTGCTGCACGATGGCTACGAAGCAGTAGTGACGAGCGCCACATCAGTCCAGCAAGCGCATCATGGGTTGAGATCTGCTTTCTCTTGGAAGGAGTGGCGTCTGCCTTGAGTGTCTCAAGCTTGGAAGCCGGAATTTGGATGCACACGGGTGTCGTGGTCGGGGCGTGGATGACTTCTGCATCTGCTTGCTTCGGCATTCGTCCGTAGCCGGGATGCTCCTTGATGTTAAATGGCTTGTCGCTGGTCACATTCCGTAGCACGCTTCTGTCAAGTGCGAGTGGCTTCTGGTCGCTGGTGTCTTGGACTTCGATGATACCATTGGCGGCTCCTTTGTGTTGTGATAATCTGACGTCCTCGCTGAGCATGCGAAACATCTCATTGTTGGCGGAACCATCGGTGACATTGTGAGAGATGGCCCAAGTGAGGACCGTACCGCCTTCGAGGAGCGTGTACTGAGCCTTGCACGCCACGTAAGGATAGTCACATCGCAGATCGTGTGGAACCGGGACCAGTGCTGCATATGGCAGACTGGCCGGCTGGAAGTTATTAGCCTTGAGTTCATCGAACGACGGCAGGTGCGATCGTAGATCCTTGACCACGAGCTCCAACCCGTCGCCAGGCTCAAGGGTGCACTTGCCGAGCTCGTCGTGGACAGCCGGGTCAAGTGGATGAGGGATGATTGTGCCGCCCAGGAAGGGACACTTCTGGACCAGGTTCTTGAGGCCGGCTCGCAATGATGTGAGTTGGTCTTGGCGCTGCGCCTCGGAAGTACACTGGAAGATCAGGAGGCGGCGCCCGTAGTGAGGTGGGAAAAGAGCATCGAGCGCGGGAAGCTCGATTTCGAATGACGGTCCAGTAATTAGCTCAGTGCTGTCAAGTATGCCTGCCATCGAAGCAGCCCACACAGTGTGAGGCGGATGTTTCTTCAATGCTGTTCAGACAAAGCAGAGTCCAGGTGGAAGTCTGTGTCGATGTATTCGAGAAGTAATGATGATCACGTGAGAGACGTTTTGGTATAGAGGAGAGAAAACACTTCTTATCAACAAGTGAAGGATGTCGCAAGTGCCACTCAGTCGATCGCGCTTGCCGTTCAGTAAAGATAAGAAAACGCTCTTGCCAACCTGCTTCACCGGTGTGAATGGTCACATTTTTCCTCTCTTACATACACCTTGCCTCAAAGGGCCATCGAAGAGGCCGCAAAGGCTCATGAAGACTCATTGGGGCGCAGAGCCTCAACGTCCGGTAAGGACAAAGTGGAAGGATGATAGGAATGCCGTCTCGACTGTGAAGTCAAACGACTTGTTCGCGCACATTGGTCCCGGAATACAAGACGCAATCACTGGGATTCCGAAGATCTTGCGAGCTAAACGGTACTCGGATCTTGAGAGGAGATGGACGTGGTGTGATTCAGAGAAGTCGGCAATCGTGCATACGCATCGGCTTACGTTACTTGATTTCATATCCGGCGCAGGACTGGCATCGGCTATTGCGGGCAAGGCGATGGACGGTTGTGCCACGCCGGGCATCTCTAAGCCATCCACTGTATAACAAGACAACCAAGATAAATGTCGAGCTGAGTGCACTCGAGATGCTTCGATGATAGTTGCACCGTGAGACAGCAGGCTGACTGGAGGCTGAGTGCTGATTGGCTGCAAAAGATCGCCAGCATTCACATGTATGCCTCGGCCTAAGCACAGTCGCCGACCTCATGATCTGGTCAGGCTGATGTAGACGTCCCCCAAGGTGAGAATATTAATGCAGGGCACGAGCTCGAACATGTGAATAGCAGCTATCAAAAGTCTTCCAAGATCCCCCAAGGTCATTCCCATCAAGAAGCACAGAGTTCTGCCATTCCGTACCGTTGTACCCAGATCTCGAATCCCACAGCCTCGCCTCCGCACCTCGGCATCCACTCTTACATTTGGTCCGGGGTCTCCGCCGTGTTTCTACTCTTCACGTGTCAACCTCGACTACCTCTTCTCTTGCAATCGATTTGGTCAACGACGCTTACCTTCATTTCCATCGCAGCATCATCATACCATCCAACATGGCACCGAGAGTTATCGTCGTCGGCGCTGGCCGTAAGTCGAGAACCATCAGATTGGTGTATACAATGCTCGGCTGACAGGAAGGCATAGTGTCCGGCTTGAGTGCAGCGCATACCATCTACCTTGCTGGTGGCAACGTTGCTCTCCTTGACAAGAACAGTATGCAAAGTGCTCAACCCTAGCTGCAAAATCAATACTGATCACAATGCAGACTTCATGGGTGGCAACTCCACCAAGGCCACATCCGGTATCAATGGTGCCCTCACACAGACTCAGGTCGACACCAAGATTGCCGACAGTGTCAAGCAATTCTACGAAGACACACTCAAGTCTGCTCGTGATAAGGCACGACCAGATCTGATCAAGGTCTTGACCTACAAGTCTGCGGCAGCTGTGGAGTGGCTGCAGGAAGTTTTCAACCTAGATCTTACCCTTGTATCACGATTAGGGTATGTATATGCCCTTACAGACACGTTGAGTAATGCTGACTGTGTACAGAGGTCACTCTTTCCCACGAACTCACCGCGGCCACGATGCAAAGTTTCCCGGCATGGCCATCACATACGCACTCATGCAGCGCTTCGAAGAGCTCGCTGAGAAGGAGCCAGATCGTGTTCAGTTGATCAAGAAGGCCAAGGTCGTCCGTGTCAACAAGGAAGGCAACAACGTCACTGGCGTCACATACACTTTCAACGGAGAGGAGACCGTGGCTGAGGGCCCGGTCGTGTTGGCGACTGGCGGCTACGCAGCTGATTTTACCGAGGACAGTCTGCTCAAGAAGTGGCGACCGGACACTTTTGACCTCTCGACCACCAATGGAGCACACGCTACTGGTGACGGACACAAGATGCTGATGAAAATCGGGGCAAACGGTATTGACATGGACAAGGTGCAGGTGCACCCGACTGGTTTGGTTGATCCAAAGGACCCTACAGCAAAGACCAAGTTCCTGGCCGCTGAGGCTCTACGTGGTGAGGGTGGTTTGTTGCTCAACAGCAAGGGCCAGCGTTTCACCGACGAGCTTGAGCACCGTGACTACGTCTCGAACAAATTGTGGGAAGAGAAGAAGAAGGACCTATGGCCTATTCGACTCGTACTCAACAGCAAGGCATCTGGCGTTCTCGACTTCCACACAAGACATTACAGTGGACGAGGGCTGATGAAGAAGATGACCGGTGCCGAGCTTATTAAGGACATTGGCTGCTCAGAGGACGATCTCAAGCAGACGTTCAAGGACTACAACCGATACTACGATGGCGAGGAGAAGGACCCTTTCGGCAAGAAGTACTACCACAACGGCCATTTTGATGTCAACGATACTTTCCACGTTGCGCACATGGAGCCTGTGCTTCACTTCACCATGGGTGGTATCGAGATCAATGACCAGGCACAGTGTCTAAACGAGGAGGGCAAGCCGTTCGATGGTCTGTTCGTTTGTGGTGAGTTGGCTGGTGGTGTTCACGGTGCGAACAGACTTGGTGGCTCATCACTTCTCGGCTGTGTCGTCTACGGTCGTGTGGCCGGTGACAGCGCAAGCAAGTACCTCTTCCAGAAAGTCCTCAACGGCAGCACAAGTGTTGCAGCACAACGTCTTGGCCAGATCAGCCTGCACATCGACCCATCGCAGCCCGGCAAGGTCTCGGTCGAGTGGTCGGAAGGTGTTGGCGCAGGCTCAGGCTCGAGCGACGAGGCCAGAATGCGACAACAATCACAGAAGTCTGCCGGCCCTGTCATGACTCAGAATGGAGACAGCAGCGACCCAGCCAAGGTCAGCAAGCCCAACGACATCAGCCAATTCAAGGTTCCAGATGACGAGTACAGTCTCGAGGAGGTGGCGAAGCACAACAAGAAGGAGGATCTATGGATCGCCGTCAAGGGTGTGGTGATGAACGTCACTGACTGGGTTGACGAGCACCCTGGTGGACCTCAGGCACTCTTCTCGCATATGGGCAAGGATGCGAGCGAGGAGTTTGAGATGCTGCACGATGATGAGGTTATTCCCAAGTACGCTGCTGGTATTGTTATTGGACGGGTGAAGGGACAGGAGATTACGCTCGAGTATTAGGCATGGTTGTGAATGTTCGGGAAGGTAGGCGTTGTTCCGACTAGCCTTGTAGGTTTTGCATGAATTTATTGTATAAATGCTCAGAATGCCGTGCAGGGCCCGTCCCATCTGCGAGACAACCCGCACCCTCCGGCGAATGCTGTCAGTACGTCGGATGCTATTGGACGTTTCAGCCGTGGGCAAGCTGAAGAGGTCGGAATAAGCATATTTGTCCTTTTCGGTTGGCTTTGGAGAGTCCATGATGAGGCAGTGGCAAGTCGGAACCAGCCACAGCTCTGCCATCAGATCTGGAGGCCGCATTGAAGTGAATTGAGAGTGATCAGCACTTAAGGATCCACGTGATTTCTATCGAGCTGAAGGCGGAAGGGGGCAAGCTTGTAATGATCTCCTTCATAGGCCAGTCACCAACCTAAGGACAAAAGTTCTGAGCACGCTGTTGAATGAGTCATCTTGGAAACAGGGGTGCTGCAGAATACTTGGCAGGAGAATGGAATAATCTAAGGAGGAAGTACTTCGACAGATACATCACTCGTAATCGTGCTCCTGCGTGGGACTCAAGAGACCCACTACACCCGACAGCAGTATGACCGACACGAGGAAGATGAGAGAAATGACGGCTACGAGCGACCGTCACTTCTTCCGCCTACCAAGAGAACTGAGAGATCTGATCTACACTCATCTGTCCACCAGATCTGCTCCTGCCAGGCTCACCCACAAATGGTTCAGGAGTGGCAATTTGCCTGCAAAAGTGACAGGACTTCCTTCCCGACCATTGCAGCTCATCAACAAGCAATTCCGCGACGAATACACATCGGTGGCTCTCAACACCAAGACTCTTGTGGTCGAGGACCATATCGCGCAATACAAGCAATTCAAGATCACCTTCACCATTCCGCGTCCGATCACGGGAGTGAGGACATTGCATCTCAAGCTCCATCTAAGCTCCAGCCTAGATCTTGCGGAAGCAGAGTGTCACGAATGCTGGATCACTCAGCTTCTGCAAAAGCTTCCGAACCTGTGCAGATTGGAGCTCGACGTCGTGCTCGATCGTGCTGGGGAGCAAGTCAACCTCCTCAAAGCATACAACGTCCAATTAGACATGCTCTTGAATCTGCCTCATGTCAAGTCTCTCAGGGTTTGGAAGACTGAGAACTTCCCGGAAGATGATTCGGGGACTTGGGATTATGGTCTGGTTACCGATCACATTGCGACATGGGCCTTCTCAAGCAATAGTTGGCTGGAACCCGGGGCGTCATCAGCTTTATCTTCGGCTGCTGTCGCGGCGGCAGAGGTCGCCACGACGATCAGTACGGAAGCTATATTGGACGTGACTGAGGACATGATCTCATGCGAACTAACAGCCATGACTGAGTGTACAAGGATAAGTTTGTGTTAATGTTCATCTGAGGAGAGAATCAGAGTGGAAGCTTGGCTAGCGATGAGGAGTCTGAGGAGTGGAAGTATTGGTGGACAGGCAGTTAAATTATCGAAGAAGATCTATCTTTTAGTTTAAACCTGAAATCAATTCGCACCCTCCGTAGACTGCAGAAACGCTCAAATTGAAGCGCCTTTTCCGTTCCCCAACACCTTCGCTATCATACAATCGTGAAACGTGAGATCATAAATCTAAAGCTTTGGAACAGAGCTCCCTGCACCTTCGATGGTTGACTCCTCGGTGCTGGCAATGGACGCACCAGCATTAGCAACACCACTGGTCAACGTTCCGTCGAGGGAATCGCCAGCATCAGTAGCCGGAGCGGTGATGGCACCAGTTCCTGCAGCGTTGGAGATAGCTGCCGCGCCGTTGGCGATCTTGTCGAGTTGACGGCGAGACTTTGGAACAGCACTGCCAGCGCCCTCGATAGTAGACTCCTCAGTGCTGGCGATTGACGCACCAGCGTTGGCAGCGCCGCTCGTCAAAGTACCATCAAGAGAGTCACCAGCATCAGTAAGTGGTGCTGTTACCGCACCAGTACCAGCTGCGTTGGAGATGGCCGCAGCACCATTGGCGATCTTGTCGAGCTGACGACGAGACTTGGGGGCGGAGCTGCCAGCGCCCTCGATTGTAGACTCCTCAGTGCTGGCGATTTGAGCACCTGCGTTGGCAGCACCGCTCGTAAGCGTGCCATCAAGAGAATCGCCGGCGTTGGTGACTGCTGCAGTCTCGGCACCGCTACCAGCTGCATTGCTGATAGCCGCAGCGCCGTTGGCGATCTTGTCCAACTGGCGGCGGTGTGGTGGTGGTGGAGGTGGAGCTTTGCCAGTGCCAGTCGTAGATCCGGTTGAGCTGGGCGAGTTGCCGGTCACGGAGGCGATGTTATTGGCGATGTTGTCTTCAGCGTTTTCGACACCATAGCCGACTGCGTTGTCGGTTCCCGAGAGGATGGAGTTGGCAGCAGCACCTTCACCAGCCAGCTGGCGGCGGGTGTTGGGGACCGCTGGGACGCTGGCCTTCACAGTGGCAACGTTTCCGGCAATGTTGTTTTCAGCGTTCTCAACACCATATCCGACAGCATTGTCGGTTCCGGAGAGGATGGAATTGGCGGCAGCGCCTTCACCGGCAAGCTGGCGGCGGGTCTTTGGGACCGCTGGTAGGCTGGCCTTCACAGTGGCAACATTTCCGGCAATGTTGTTCTCAGCGTTCTCGACACCGTAGCCTACGGCGTTGTCGGTTCCTGAGAGGATGGAGTTGGCTGCAGCTCCTTCGCCGGCGAGTTGTGGGAGAGGTGCAGCGAGCACACCAGAAGCGCAGAAGGCCAAGATGGCAGCAGCGATGGCAGAGTTGAAATGCATCTTGATGGAGGTAGTGATGAAGGTGTGGGTGGTAAGAGCTGATGAAGGAGGAGGTGTTTCGGTAATGATAAGACTGCTGGGTCGCTCAAAGAGCTTGAAGGTCTCGAGGCTTCTTTGCTTGTTGGAGTGCTGAAGATGTTGTTGTGCTGGATGATGTTGGATTGATCAGGCATTCGTCTGTCCTTATATGCTTACTCTGGTGGCCTTCGAGCCATCCACACTGGCGATACGACGTCATGCGGCCCTGGCATGTCTTTGGGTGATGTCGTTGTACTACAGTACAGCGGTGCATGAATACGAATGTGGACGGGGTGTAGAGTTCGCAACTGAGTTCACGGCAGTATCGCAATCTCCAGAAACATAGCAGCTACACTAGAGTTCAGCATGGGTTGTAGGAAGGTGGTGCCGTGAGGGCACAGACTGCCGCCGACGAGAAAGTCAGATATGATGTTGGCCTTCCAGCAAGAGGACCAAAAACAAGCCACGTGTGGTAAGGTCCGCGCAGAGTCGAAGAGTGTCCAAGAAGAAAGCTTGAGAGTGCGTCTTTCGGTGTGCCGAGAGCGGGCGTTCGAGGCTAAGATCGGCATAGCATGTACCTGAACTGAGACAATAGAGACGAAAGCTTGCCAGAGAGAATCCACATCAGCGGCGTTTTCCTGACGTGGGGTCCAACTCGCAGACCTGGACAATGAGATGGCTATGCACAATGACGATCGTCAGTAGCTTACTGTAGCCGCTGACTCTCCGCCAGTTACTGTACAGTTTGTAGAACCCCAGCAGTGTGGCTTGAAGCCACTGCAGTCAACCAGCGACGAGTCCGGCACACGGCATCGTGGTTGTACACCTCCTGCAGTATTTCCATACGATGTGAGACGGTCTGCCGCCTGAGGCTCAGCGGCGCCCCTGACGCACATCTGCTGGAAAAGAGGTACAGGGTTCGATATTGATGTTGATCAGAACGTGTAGAACGGCCCTGGCTCCGCAACGCTGACGATCTGGAGAAGCTCGCACGTGCTGGCGACACCGACGATCCGGAGCAAAATCCCACGTGTGCCTCGATGGATCGGATCATCATAGCCAAGCCGATGATGGAAGTCTTGGTGAGATCCTTCGCCAGGCCCTCGTATCTTCTCACCACATAAGCTTCGAATGGAGTCTTGTAACTCTTGTTCAGCCCAACGCTACGAGGCATGGTCCCCTGGCCTACGAGAGAGTAATGTACGGTCTGCATTGTACCGCCGTAACATTGCAAGCGTCCTTGGCCTACGGGGTCTGCGGCGAACAAAGTTGTCGATGCTGTAGTGGTCCTGAGTCTTGACCAGTGGTGGCATTGTGTAGAGACGAAATCGGGTCTCGACGGCCGGGCCCGATGATCCCACTAGTCCCGAAACAGATAATAGAAGGGGTTGTTAGGCCGAAGCTTTCAACAAGCTTTGTACCACTTCACCTCCAGACTCGACCTCTTCCATCGTCGAACGTCGAGCATTCCCTACTCTGGAATTCTTGTAATGACTCTTGCTTGATTCGCAGACTGCTGCATGCGTCAATAGCGTCCCGAATTCGAGACATCGTTCCCCGTCAAGTCCCGATCTCTGGAAATGCTGAAAGGTGGTGTTTTCATACTTTCGCCCAACCTCCTAGCTCTGTGGTATAGTGAAAGCGACCCCAGCAGCAAGAGCCTTTCTTGGCCTGGCTCCGCAGCCAATAGCTGGCAATACGGCAACACCTGTGCCAGGGCCAATAACGTGATAGAGAGTAAACTTACGGTAAGCTCGTCGTGTGCCCTCGCTCAAGACTTCCCGGTGCGGTAAACACGATCTCCCTCTATGTGAGCAGCTCGGCTCGTTTCCGGTATTTTGCAGAAGCTTTCGCCATAGGGAAGCTACTGCTATAGCAGCAAGTGCACTAATAACCAATCCGGAAGGCCGTCAGCCGAGAGCCGACGTGACTGCTTTGCTCTGAGCAGCTACTTTTGCACCACCCTGGTCAAAGGCACATGCACTTCCTGCAATAGGTAGCAGGGATCCTGGTATATCGGCAACCAGTCTTCGGAAGAGGCACCCTCACTTGCAGCTTCCAGTAGAGGAGCCGTTGTATCTCAGCTCCGAACGCCATGGCACCACCCCACCCGATCCTGCGGCGCCTCGCTTTCGCCTGAAAATCGTTCCCCAGGTACCAACTGCTTATGCTGGCAGTGTCTGTGACGCAAAGTAGAGCGACACCATGCTTTACTCCAACCTGCTCGAGCAGCGTTCAAACGAGAGCACATAATCCAGCCTCCAGACAGTATGGCAAGACCCAGGAGCGTGAAGAAGACGTCCTGAAGCGGCAATTACGCCTCGGCACACGTCTATAAAAGCCTATGTACCAACAGACTCCAGGACACGCGTGCAGATCCCGTGCTTCTCGTATTATGGGTATGAATGGTGACGAAGCGGCTCATGGCAAACAGATAGCCTAAAGCTGTAGCAGGCTCGCCAGACCCTGAGCCCTCGCACTTGGGTCCTGCCTGACGTAGTGCGGCATTGCCGTTGAGTCACGCCCGCGGACTGCAATGAGCAGCGAAGCAGCATTTCGAGAAAGCGCCACTAATGTGCGGCTACTGTATGCACGTATTTGTGGCGTTGACGAGAATATGGAGCTAATGCATACTTCGCATTCAATAATGCTTTATCTGAACACCCCGCGGAGCAATTGCATGCTTGCACAATGATCCGAGCAATAGTCAAGAACAGCATCGCGCACGATTGCATCACGCATACCACAGAAGTCGACAGCTTCAGTGGAAGAATTGCCGGACTGGACAAGACTGGCATCGCGCATTGCAAGATCCATACCACGAGACGCAATGAGACCACACGTTGAGACAAATGCAATACCACGTCTTCGAAATCTTCAGGCGTGCACGATGGCGGAGTCATGGCAATCACGCATTCTCCAAGACCTATGGTATCCCGAGTCTACTTGGCTCACCCAACAAGCTACCAAACCAGACTTGGCTACGCGAAGAAATCTTACGTATGCTTGTTCGCCATGATTTGGATTTGAAAATCGATCAGCGATCTACTAGTCGTTGTGGATCCACGTGGACGCGCGTGGAGATCGACGTGTGAGCTGGGCCAGACGATCAACGGTGCTTCGCGCACCGTATGTGCTCTCGACCATCTAAATAACTCCACGTAAATATGGCAACCGACAAGCGAGCGGTGAGAGTGTTGAGACACGGACTCAGACGAGCGAACACTCGTTCCATCCTAGATCAGGTCGAACCGCAGGATCGGACATTGAGGGTCTACACGCATACCACCCACTGTAGGCTTCGAAGTGAGATGAATGTAGCCATCGGCTCTGCACAGACGCTCGAATCTGTATCCCTCGTGATCCTGCAGCGGAACGACAGGACCCATGAACCCGTATAAGCCACGGACACGATCTCTATGAGCTTGACATGATAGCAGCATTTGATCGAAGGAGAAAGAGAGAGAACGTCAGAGAGTACAGCGGAAGAGGAGGATCACCATACCCATCAGCTCTTCAGCATACAGTATGTGGCAGTATGGACTCGATAAGATCACTACAAGAGCAGCATTTAAAGCTCCCTCGCTGGATGCCAGCTATTACGGCATGACTTGTTCGCGAGTGAAGTGGATATGCACTCTGTCCACACGCCGTCTCAAAGGCATTCGCGTCTGGAGCCTCGTTTGACGGAATCATCCCTGCCCCGCGAGGCTTCAAGAAAGCGTGCATACGATAGACTGCACTGGATGCTGCCCACCTTAAGGCTTCCCGGCCCAAACACTCGGACCTCAACTTGTCTTCGGCGCCTTTCTCGCCTCCTCCTCGAGACTCATACTCCCGGCCTTCTCAGCTAGGGCACTCTCGTCATACCACTTCTGAACCCTCCCACCAACCTCCTCCTCAAGTTTCTCAATCTCAATAAGCACACCCTCCTTTTCCGGATCACCTTCAGGCAAACCATTCTTCTTGATCTTACACTTGCCCTGCTTCAACTCATCCTCCCCCAGTATAAGCGCAAAAGGCGTCCCATTCCTCTCCATGTCCTTGAATTGCTTATCGAACCGCGGTTTCTCCTTCATCGCCGTCTCCGTCTTGATACCTGCCCTCCGTAGTCTTCGGGTGACAGATTTCCGTTGCTCGATTAGGCCGGCGCCGCCAACGGACATGACGTAGACATCTGTTTCGTTTGTTCGGACCTGAGCGGCGTTGGTATCGGCTGCGAGACGTTGTTTCGTTATACTAAAGATTCGTTCTACGCCGAAGGAGATGCCGACACAGGGGATTTGCTGTTTGCCGGAAAACATGGAGACGAGGTTGTCGTAGCGCCCGCCGGCTGCTATTGAGCCAACACCCACACTAGGATCGTTTGAGCGGTCCTCGTCGCCATCCATGTTCGTCGCGCGCTTCTTGGGTTTCGACTCCTTCTTGCCGGTAGATTGGAGATCTTGGCCTTCGGATGTTTGCGGTGCGGAGCCCTCGGTTACTACTTCGTAGATCACACCGGTGTAGTAGTCGAGGCCGCGAGCGAGCGACATGTCGAAGGAGACTTTGTCTAGCACGTCATCGATCTTGAGGTAGCGGAAGAGGAGTTCCATGTCCGCCAGACCAGCTTTGGCGGATTCGTTGGCTGATAATCGTTCATCTTTTTGTAATCGTTCGAGCAGGTCGACGCCGCCTTTCAACACCACATATTCGCCAATTTTGTCTGCTACGTCTTCTGCCAGTCCTTTCTCCTCGACCATCTCTCTCCGCACTTCCTCCCAAGGTGATTTGTCTAACTTGTCCACTGCACTCGATATTGTGCGTATCTTGTCCTCTGGTACACCACACACTTGGAATATACCATCGAGGATCTTGCGGTGATTTATTTTAATCATGTATCGTCCCTGCCAACCTAATCTCTCGAAGATCTCACATGTGATACTCATGCATTCAGCGTCCGGCAGCATAGGGTCATAGGAACCGGCAATATCGAAGTCACACTGATAGAATTCCCGCATCCTGCCTTTTGTCATAGCAGGTTGATCGCGCCGGTAGACCTTGTCGAGCTGATACCGCTTAATCTCCTTGATATTCGAGTTCATGGCCAGCCATCTTGCGAATGGCACGGTGAGATCGTATCGCAGCGAACAGAGCTCGCCACCCTGATCCGCGAGGTCGTAGATGAGTTTACTGTCCTCGCCATACTTTCCCGCCAGAATCTCGCGCAGTTCGAAGACGGGGGTGTCGATGGTCACGGCGCCATAGGTTTTGAAGACTTCTTTGATTGTGTCGAAGATTTTGTTGCGGATGATCATGTCTTTGCCGTCCCAGTCTTTCGTGCCTTTGGGGACTTTGAGCTGGTAGCCCGATTTGTCTCCCTTGTCTTTCGCCATGTTCGTAGTCGTTGTGCTCGTCGCGTGGACGAATGTTCGATATGGTTGTTTGAGGTTGGTGAGAGGGACAAGACTACGTCTGAAGCATCGGAGGGTCGAGCTGATGTTCATGCAGTCAGAAGGTCGACGTGGTCAGCAGTGAGTCAGGATATGTGGATTTGATGAATGCCAATGTTGACTCAGTAACAACATCCTTCAAAAAGTTCCCTCAATCGCGACTGCCCCACGTCACCGTCACATTGATGTCCATGCTTTGGCGCCAGTGTTTGAGCCGCATGGCTTGAGCCTCATCCGTGCCTAGTACCTCTTCTACTTCAACTCATATCCGACATGTAATGGCAGCACATTCGGCCGGGAAGGCCATCAATACCCAGGACATCACTGACAAAGCCAGGCGAGATCTACTCCTCCTTCTTGAAAGCGTAGGTACTGCTATGTGCTTTGTCATGACCAAGTGCTAAGATGACGATAGGTCAGAGGCAAGAAGAACCTGGTGATCGAGCGAGCACTGGCCGGGACTATCGGCCTCTTCGTCAAGTTCAGCACCCTTCAGGAGTATGGTGTCGACAAGCTCTTCTTCTTGGAAAACCACAATGTCGACTCCAGCCAACGAAATATCATCTTTCTCGTGCGTGGCGAGAAGGCCAAGCAGGTGCAGACGGTAGCAGGTGAGTGCGTCAAACCAGAGCGAATCGTATGACTGCTTTACCTCCCACGCGACTTGATGCCCGAGGATTGCAAAGAGAGCACGAAGAGCGTTTCCTCTCTCCGTACTCAATCTCGATCCTAGATGAAAGCTTCGGCAAAGCATAATCATTATGCTGCGCAGCAAGACCATCTTAGCAGCCATCAGAGTGTGCTCACATACACAATCGTCGTCTCTTTACATGCGTCATATGTAGCGCGATGACGAAGGCAAGAAGCTAACAGCAGCAGAGCAGATCCGTCTCGTGCGAAGCGAGAGCAAGATCGACCATGACTTTGCTGTTATCTGGGTACCTCGGCGGACTCTAGTCAGCAACCTGATACTCGAAGAACATGGCGTGCTTGGTGAGGCAAACATCACAGAGCTGGCCATGCAGTTCGTGCCGCTTGGCCATGATCTATTATCTCTGGAGCTCGAAGATTCATTCAACGACTTGACTCTGCGCAAGGATCCTACGCCAATCTTCGCTTCAGCCAAGGCTCTAATGCTGCTGCAAAAGCAATATGGCCTTTTCCCGCGCATCCTAGGCAAAGGCGATAACGCTAGAAAGCTCGCCGATCTGTTGCAGCGTATGCGGAGTGAAGAGGATGTCAATGCATCGTCTGACCCGAACAACAGTTATCTCACTTCTTTCGGACTGACGCCGAGTACCGTGGTCGAAAACCTCATCATCATTGATCGAGAAGTAGACTTCCCAACTATATTAGCCACTCAACTCACTTACGAAGGTCTTCTGGATGAGGTATTTGGCGTAGCCAACAACACCGTTGAGGTGGATTCGTCGGTGCTAGGTGGAGCGCCAGCACCACAGCAACAACAGACTGCTACTCCAACAACCACTCCAACAACAGCAACGAAGCGCAAAGTACCGCTCGACAGCACAGACAAGCTGTTCCCCGAGATTCGAGATGCAAACTTCGCAAGTATCGGCCCACTTCTCAATAAGACTGCACGAAGACTCCAGTCCGACCAGCAGAACATCCATAACCTAGATCAACCATTGTCCGACCTCAAGTCCTTCGTGCAGAAACTGCCATCATACCAAGCGGAACAGGCCAGCCTCAAGATCCACACGAGTCTTGCCGAAGAAATAACCAAATTCACCAAATCAGACACTTTCCGGCGGACACTAGAAGTAGAGCAAAACCTCCTCATAGGGAGCGAAGGCAGCACAACACACGAAATCGTCGAGGAGCTCATCGCGCGTGATATGCCTCTGCAAACAGTCCTCCGCCTACTATGTCTTGAAAGCTGCCTAAGCAACGGTATCCGTCAACGGGAACTAGAGCACTTCAAGCGAATGATTGTCCAGGCATATGGGTATCAACACCTCATCACTCTTGCCAACCTCGAGAAGGCTGGATTACTCATCCCAAGAGAAAGTCATAGAGGATATCTCAACCCCATCTCCGGCTCAGCAGGCCAGACAGCTACAGATTGGAATGCCGTACGTAATGGTTTACACTTATGGATCGATGAAGTGGAGGAATCGGAACCCAACGACATTGCTTATGCTTTCTCGGGCTACGCACCATTAAGCGTGCGACTCGTACAAGCTGTGCTCCAAAAAAGTTACCTCCAGAACCTCGTCAGTCCGCCTCGAAGCGGTGCCCCTCCTTCCACTCTGACCGGAACAGGCTGGCGAGGCTTCGAGGACGTGCTAGCGAGGATTAAGGGCGCGACGGTAGATGTGGTGCAAAGGGGTCACGATGCTGATGTGAGCCATGCACGGAGTGTCCTGCGAGGAAGCAAGGAAGGGCCACGGACAAGTATCGTGTTCTTCCTGGGCGGTGTGACGTTCGCGGAGGTAGCGGCGTTGCGGTTCATGAGTGGAGAGATCGAAAAGGCGAGTGGGAGGAAGTTGGTGATTGCTACGACGGGTATGGTTAGTGGGAAGAGGGGCGTGGAAGGTATGGTTGAGAAAAGGGGATTTGGAGGTTGATGTGATGCTTTAGTTCTGCAAGCGGAGCGTGTGCAAGAGTTTCATTCTCATCAGATATACATGAACGTTTCGTCCCGGCATCAAATATTGCCTCCCAATCCCAGATCCTCAACACCTAGCAATACCTCAATTACGCCGGCAGCTTGGCGAGCCCCAACTCGACTGGCTACGAGTGGCCAGCGAAATGTGCGGAAAATCATGCCCATAGAACGCCTGTGCCACAAAAACGTCCCTCTCCTACCTCATATCAAACCCACAGCATCTTGCCGGGTACCTCAATAACGCATGGACACAAGTAGGCGCACATACGTCTGCATTCGATCCTGGCCGAGGGGCCCGTCCACCACTGCTGAATGAACGGTAACCTCGCACACCAATAACAGAGGATCAATAGTGCCCTTGTATCGCACTGCTCCAGTAACTCAATAAAAGAGGTTTCCACGCCGGCTACTATGGCCATCATCTCGTCGACGGAATCGTGGTCCGGGACTGCTAAGATGTAGGGCGCCAGGCGGGTGATGATGGGGGTATACGGATCTGCTGCTCCCAGGGAGGAGATGGCGCAGAAGTCCCGTAGACGCGCTAACATGCTTGTGGGCGAGTCGGGGTCTTGGACGTCCACTCTCATGTTTATGTCCATGGGTGGGGGAGTTTTGTAGCGCTGGAGGATGGGTAGGAGAAATCCGGTCTGAAGTTGTGTTTTTAGGTTCGGGGTGGAGAGGATGACTTTGACACCTTGCATGGAGCGGATCCAGCATACTGGGCTGGTTCGGGGGGAGAGGGGTTCGTCCGCATTCATGGCGACTGTGTTGATGAAAGTGAGTTTTGCTAAGAGGCCGCTAGCCGCCATCATGGCTTGGCCGTCGCCGTGCTCGATATCGTGCACGAGTTGGCTGGAATAGGCTTGCAGGGAACGCGTGTAGTGGTGAAGGGCCGCGGTTTCGTATTTCTTCTCCCCAGGATGCAGGAATTGGAGATGCGAGGCGGCGCAACCCAGGACGGCGTGGAGAAGGTACGAGGCGTGGAATGCCATGGGAAAGGCATGTCTCTGTATGATCGTCTGGCTGACCGAAGAGCCTACCCATAGCTCGGTCGTGTCCAGGAAGTGGTCTACAAGTTCTACGGCCAGGCGGACTTGTGGTCCATCTGGCTCCAGTTTCCGGCGAGGTACACTTGTGCGCTCCAGGTAGGCTATGACTCCGGTATGTATGGCATTCCGGGATTCGGCCGCAGGTGATCCCGAGTCTGATATGGATGTTGGTGGTGTTTCAGGCTCGGTTTTGGGTATCGCCAAGGACTCGGAGGAATCATTGCGCGGTGGTGGCGATAAGTGCGCCCTTTTCTCTGGCGGCGGATATTCGCACTTCCATTTCCTCTCAATACACTGTCCACACGCTGGTCGCACCTCGTCGCACTTTACGCGCCTCTGCTTGCAATGCTGACACCCATTGCGGGACTTGGGGTGCGCACGGCGGCGTCGGGCGCCCGTCTCGTTATACAGGGACTTGGACTGCTCATCGCCGCCTCCCGGCGTCTCTGTCACCCATGCTTGCATCGTGCCGTGTTATATCTCGATTTGGAATGCCGGGCGCAAGTAGCGTGGAGGGTTGACAGACCCATCATCTATATGCAGGCCTTGCAGCATATAGTTCGTCGGCAACTTGCGCGGTTAGAAGGCTTATTATGTCGTTAGCTAGATTCGAGACGACCCATGCCATCGATCCTCCCAAGCCTGCGATTGTGGAACCGGTGGAACTTCGGAATCTCACCTCGGCAGTCGTGCTTACTGTGTCGATATTGGGCTAGATCACGTGTGAAACATCCCATATGACGTACGGGCACACGATCACTATCAAGCACATCAAGATGGTTGCGATAGAAGATTCTTGTCCATCAGAATAGCGTTGATATTCAGAATGAGGTCTTATACTCTAGCAACCACTGTCGTCGCCTCTGCGATCTTGCTTGGCACTACACAAGCCCAGCTGCTGCCATTCTTCGCCAAACCTTCGCCATCCGTCCAAGCGAACCACAACCAACAGCAACAGCCTCTAGTCCGCCCTGGCATCCAAATGCCTCAGGACGACTCTCCCGTGAAGGAGCCTCCACCACCACAAGGCGACATTATCCTCTCCGACGTCCTCGGCACACAACGAACCATCAATATCTTTGCGGGCTTCACCAGAGACATAACCACTCTCTCAACCCGCCTAGACACAAGTCTCCTCAACACTACCGTGCTCGCACCTTCCAATAGCGCAATACAGAATCTACCACGAAAGCCATGGGAGTCACCAGCAGACTACGATAAGATTGGCGCCAAGGCCTACGGCGGAAATGATGGCAGTGCAAGGGCGCAGGAGAATCTAAAGAAGTTCTGCGAAGCGCATATCGTGCCACAATCGCCGTGGAAAGAGGGGGAGAAAGTCAAGACGTTGGCTGGTGATGAGGTGTGGTGGGAGAGTACAGGGCCAGGCGGGAAAGCAGTGGTTATGCCCGGGAAGGTGGAGGTGGAAAAGGTGGTTAGTCGCGTTGCTAATGGAGAGGTGTGGATGCTTGGAAGTGTTTTGAATTATGCGCAATAAGCCTCGAAGCCTCGAAGAAATATGGGATGATTGCATGAGCTGGCGTTTCTGGGACTGTCCGAGCTTGTGTTTCATATGCTGGCTTTGTCTTGAATCTTGAATGCCACGATTAGACGAAGTAACACGGACTTTGACTGTCGGCTTCTCTTCACGCGATATAGTGCGAGAAAGCTCAGAAACCATCCACGACGCCTCATCCTATTGGTATGGTGCATTCATATCAGGCGCTGGAGATGTAGCGGATCTTCTCTAATCCATCACATACTCCTCCTGCCAAAAGTCTACAATGGCTCTACACTGCTGCTCTCCAACCAGATCTCTGAGCTGCTTCAGCTTCGCGTGCTCGGTTGATTCGCTCGAGATCGGCATATTTTCATCTGCGTCAAAGATCTCTCCGTGGTTCCTGTCCTGGGAAGAAAGCATCCTATTGGTCCCAGCCGTTCGAGCAGATGGCGAGCTTGAGTTCGGTGCCGATGTGATGCTGGAGCATGCTGATGCCAGATCCTTGAGGTTCGCGAACAGATCCGAGAGGTAGTAGGCTGTTTGTTGTGGCATCGGAGGTGAGGTTGTGCAGTGCTGGAGCAAGGTGAATGGAGAGGGTAGTGGTGGTTGAGCGGCGATACGTTGTGGTCGGGTGAGGTTGAAAACGTACTTCTTGACTTGTTCTGGCAGACTGGCAAGAGTGGGGACGGGGATGATGGGAATGTAAGGGATGCTCCCGTAGTGGTCTATGAGTACTGCTTGGAGTTTGGAACAGGCGAGCATGTCTGTGCTGCCTGTACCCGTAGCCTCAAGCGAGAATATAATGCTGATGTCCTGTCCGCCTGTCAAGGAAGCGAAGTGGCGAACACGAGCTATTGTGCCCTCCAACTTGGCTTCAGAGACAGAGGTTGGACTCAGGAGCAGGAGTCGTAGTTGACGGTCGGGAGTTGTCGATAGTGGAATTGCTATGTCGTGGGTCACCAGTCGAGATTCTGCCCTCGAAGTCAGTAATGAATTGAGGAATGACTGCGATGGCCTTGTGTTACACCTCGAAGCTTGAGATCTTCTGTAGCAATCAGTGCTGGTACAACGCTACTGAATGAGGCTCGTCGACGAAGGCTAGCGCAGAACATTGTGTTGTGTTGTGGAGCTGATCATCTCATGCGTAGTTGAAATCGCAAGTGTTCATTGGCGTGTTGTTTGGGATCATTGTGATGTAGTGAGGTCGCGAAAGCGTGAGGTCTGAAGAAAGAAGCCTGCGTACCTTCCTTGCTCGCTACATATCATACAGACAGGACCTCCAGCGCCATCGCTATGCTCTGCTATACAGAAAGTGGGGTATCTTTATTCTTACACACAAGTGGGATGTTGTACACACTCATCGCTCCTCTTTCACCGACGGAACACGGTCCACTCCTTTGGACAGCGAATGTTGTATTCGTGTCCCTGTAGTCGCCCGAAGCTCGACTTTGGCAGTATCAGCGGCCTTCGCGCCAGGGGCTTTGCCAGTCATCTGCCCTTTAACCTCTTTCGGTTTCGACGAGGGTACTGTAGGCTTGATCGCTTTCTCCGGCTGCGACACAGGCACATTGCCAGGTATGGGCTTGGTCGCACCCACCTCGTCCGCGACAGGCATCCCGCCTCCACCCAGTGGCTCTGTCCGCATCCACCATCCAGCGGGATTCCACCAGCTATACTTCTTCTCATACGGCTTCACCTTCTCTGTGATCGCAAGCAGCTGAGGCTCGTACTTCCCACGTAATCTCTCGACCTCTGCCTCAAGTTCGCCCAACCTTTCGGCTACATCGTCCCGTCTTGCACTCTCCTTCTTCCTACTTCGCCAACTATCCCATACCAGTAATCCTGCCGCAACCGCGAATATGAAGGCTTCTGAGAAGAAGTTCGCGCCCAGCTCAATCGCTTTAGCCTCACTTAGCGGACGGATCTTGACCTTGCCAACGTCTTCTTTCTTCTTCTTGGCTTCTGTAATCTCGTCCTTGCCCAATGCCTTGTCTTCCTCATGCTGCTTCTGATCCACTTCCGTCCGCACAGTTGGGGCTTCAGCCTTTCGCTTCCGCTCATCTGCTGCTTTCTGCTCCCGCTCGTGTAGTCTCTGCTGTGCATCTGCATCGTGGAGTATTCCTAACCGCATACGCATGTCGATCCGATGGACGAACTGAGCTCGATTGACTGCGAATTTGCGGAAGGCTTCATGTTCTTTGGCTTGTCGTTTGATGTAGTTCTAGAGATCCATCGTCAGTCTCGGAAGAATGCATGGAATAGCACGGCAAGGAACAGTATACCTACACCTATTGGTTTTGCGGCCGTCCGGATCACCAGTGATAGTAGCTTGAAGGTGAGAGACATTGTGGTGATGTCCTAGGCAGAGAGGCTTGCTGCCCGGACGACTGATAATCGATCAAGGCATTAGTGCTGTCAAACATGCGAATACATCTATTCAGTAGTCGTGGACTTGCTTCGCGTTCGCGAGTGCTCGAAGCTGAAGACGAGGCTCGAAGGTCGGCTTGAAGATCCACGGCTTCTGCTTTGCGATCCATCTTTACAACATCTTACCACTAACATATACATTATACAGCAGGCAGGTGGGATAGCATACTTCCTAGCTTCTATCACAGCCGACATCATTCTTGGCATTTAGGAGACGCGTGATTGCTTCACACGAGCCTCGCGATCACCATCATGCTTTCCCGACCAGCGACCAAGATCAGCCTGACCATGGACGACATTATCTCTTATGAACACCGTAAGATGGTGCGAGATACTGCCCGCCATCGGGAGCTTGAGCAGCAAATGGACAGCTCTCAAGACACCAGCCAGAGCACAGTGGACGAGGCCGCCACCACCACTTCACAGCAGGACATCACGCCAGCACAGCAGACACGAGCTGCGAAGGCGAAGGCTGCGCGTGAGGCGAGAATGGGCATTGCAGGGCCTGCGTACTGATTACATGTATGTCCACGTATCTGGACGTGCTTGCACGTTTGTGCTGCGCTGCTGTTTTTTTGCGGCGAGTAGCACATCTGTTCGAGGATTCAATAGCCCTTCCACCATACGGCCAAAATGGGGAGATGGGGCCATGATGGTTCAGCTCATCTGGGCGGCTTGGCTCTCCAATCCAGGGATGAATGGCTACATTCCAAGCCCAGGGTGCGCGAAACAACAGCCTTCTCAGCACGCGTCGAAGCAGCTTTCCTCTGCCGGTCGTCCATCCACACTGTCTGGTGTCTGAGCAAGTTGTCCGTCTTTACAGTAATAGTGCGCAGTATAAGTGATCACTCAAGGACATCATGGTGCTCTCACGGACGAGGGCAATATGTGCGACAGTGCTTATGATATTGTTCTTCACAATAGTCCCCACCGCTCGCGCCGCTCTGGATCTCCCAGCACTGTCACCGTTGGAGCTCGGTATCAAGCTCTCCAGTCTGGACAGTCCTGGCCTTGATCCACAATTGCAATACTACAGTCTGGGCGACAATGAAGCACCTGAAGGCACCCACAACCACAAACGTGTCGCTTCAGACTCTTACGGCTCCGGTGCGCCATACTGGATGTCTCAGATCAAGCGGCAAGGCAAGACGCCGTACGGTGCCAATTCTTCTTTCGTCATATGGAGAAACGTGAGAGACTATGGTGCCAAAGGCGATGGTGTCACGGACGACACCTATGCCATCAACAACGCTACAGCAGACGGCAATCGCTGCGGCTTCGGATGCGATAGCCAGACCACAACACCCGCCATTATCTTTTTTCCGCCTGGTATTTATCTTATCAGCACCCCTCTGATACAGTATTACTATACGCAATTCATCGGCGATGCGAATAATTTACCAAGAATTATAGCAACGCCGAACTTCTACGGCATTGGCTTATTCGATGCGGATGTGTATCTCGCGTATGGATTTTCCTGGTATACGAACCAGAACAACTTCTACCGCCAGATACGCAACTTCATTCTGGACATCACTAATGTACCAGCCAAGCAGGAGCAGCATTGCTTGCACTGGCAGGTTGCGCAGGCCACCAGTCTACAGAACATTGTCTTCGACATGGTAGCCACTAGTCCTGGACAAACCAATAAACATATGGGTATCTTCATGGACAACGGGTCTGGTGGTTTCATGGAAGACCTCATCTTCAACGGCGGCAATGTTGGATTCTTCGCCGGCAATCAGCAATTCACAGTTCGCAACTTGACCTTCAACAACTGTCAGACGGGTGTCTTCCAGAACTGGAACTGGGTGTTTACTTATAAGAGTTTGGTCTTCAACGGCTGCCTGATTGGTATGGATTTCTCGCAGGGTGGCGAGGTTCCCGCCATGAGCTCCACCATCGTGCAAGACTCGTACTTTAACAACGTGCAATACGGCATCATCACAAGTTTCACCAGCAACAGCACACCATCGTCTGCAGGCTCGCTCGTATTGGACAATGTTCTGTTCTCGAACACCGATCCAGCTATACAGTTCCCGAACAACACTGTTATTCTGGCAGGTAATCAGGTCATACCTAGCTTTGTGCAGGGCACTTGGTACAGCGCCTACGAGGCTGAGGAGGTTGTCCACAACCTCACCTGCTACGAACCTACAGCAAAATATGCTCGCATCCAGCAGCCCATGGCGGCACCTCCAAAGAGTCCAAGTCTCCTCGATCCAAAGACCACGAATCCCTCGAACAGGATCTGGGAGCGAAGTCGACCACAGTACGAGGGCGTGCCATATACTAAGTTCAAATCTGTGATCACCAACGGGAAGTGCGCAGGCGATGGAATTACAGACGACACTGCCTGTCTTCAGGCGTTCCTCGGAACCGTGGCTGCTGATGAGGTCGCCTACTTCGATCACGGCGCCTACGTGATATCCAACACACTTCAGATCCCGAACAACATCAAGATGCAGGGCGAAATTTGGCCTATGATCATGGTCGACGGGTCCGCAGCGGCGTTTTCGGATGCGACAAATCCTAAACCAGCTATACGTGTTGGCAACCCAGGTGATACTGGAACTACCGAGATGGTCGAGTTCGTATTCGAAACTCGTGGGGCGGCACCTGGAGCCATCATGATGGAGTGGAATCTAGCTGGTGCGAACGGCGACCCTACTGCTACTGGTATGTGGGATGTGCACTGGCGTATCGCCGGCTCCAACGGTACGAAATTACAGTCCGACACCTGCACCAAGAAACCCACGGTCCAGCACACGGCCGACCCGAAATGCATCGGCTCGTTCATGCTCCTGCATATCACCCACACGGCCTCCTTGACGATGTCTAATAACTGGGGCTGGGTCTCCGATCATGAACTTGACTTGACCGATCACAATCAAATCGACATATATAACGGTCGCGGTGTCCTGGTCGAGAGTCAAGGTCCAGTGGTTATGTATGGGACGGCATTTGAGCATAGCATGTTGTACAACTACAATGTCGCCAATGCAAAGGACATTTACATGGGCGTCATCCAGAGCGAGACTATGTAAGTTCAGTGTATGATCATGAAGATAGATGCAAGAACTGATCTTATCACTCCAGGTACGCTCAAGACAACCCAAATGCTCTCGATTCCTGGACCCCAGACAGTCGCTACACCGACCCCACCTTCGAAGAGTGCTTCATAGCTACATGCTACAAGACCATCGGCCTCAACTTCTTCAACTCCACCTACATCTTCGTCTACGGCGCCGGTCTGTACAGCTTCTTCAACAATTACGATCAAGGTTGTTTGTTGACGGAGAACTGCCAGCAATATATGGTGAGTATGCAGCAAAGCGAGGGCATCTACATCTATGCTTTGAACACTAAAGCTGCAGCGAATATGGTCGAGATCGATCAAGTGGCAGTTGTGCCTCAAGCGGCGAATCCCAGCACATTTTGTCAGACTGTGGCATTCTTTGAGTATCCTTGAATTGGGAGCTGGTATTTTGGCGGGTTCGAGGAACTGCGTTAATGCTTGTATGGTAGAGTTTTGGACATGCAGCTTTGGTCAGTGGAATTGAGGCAGTCATTATTGAAAATTGTTTGGCGACTATGGTTTGCATTAAACACTCTTGTCGCCGTCATTTATGGCCCAGCCCGAAGTCACGTGCGTTGGCGTTCTGCTAAGCAAGACCGGGCATCTCGAATTCACGATTTTCTCGTAGTCCGTCTTCCTACATTGCGGACCTTCTTTCGTTCATCCAAGTGACTCTCCACGGGAATGTGAGACATCAAGGCCAGATGGGAAGCCGAATCAGCTGCATGGCCGGTGGCAGGCCATACTCTGAATGTACCGACCAAGTCGTACGGAAGGATGACCGCTTTGTGATAAGGAAGACTTCCTTGCGCCAAAGTATCCCGAAATCATTCTAACCACGCCACGCCCTGCTTTTGATGACCGGTCCTGGTCGTACTCCAATGCCTCACACCACCGGCCTGTATACGTCAGCAGACTGGGGATCATGATTGCTTGTCAGGGAAGTAGACTTGGCATCGGATGGAGAATGTGGCCGACTGTATGTGTCCAGACGGCTGGGTTTTATCGTGGAATGTAAGGCAGGTCCCATCAACAACGCGTCCAAGTAGCGTTCCAAAGGGCCATCTTGCACCCTATACACCCTTCCCTGTTCCTGGAGAGCACACCAAAGGCATAGTCACTCTTTGTATAGCACAATGTGGTCCTCGCCGCTCATTTCGGGGACGAGCATCGTCACAGCTCTCCTAGTGGTCCAACATGCTTTCTCCCAGAGCATACCAGGAGCACTGTTCCTGAACGGCAGCGGTTCACCTAATGCCGCGCCATACCAGCTAGTCGACAACTACGACCCCTCTACCTTTTTCGGCAAATTCAACTTCTACAGTGTAAGATTCCACACACTCAAGTAACGGTGTGAGGCTGATGGTCTGTCCAGGGCTATGACCCAGGCACCTATGGACACGTCTAGTACGTCTAGATTGATATACAAAACATGGGAGTATCACTATCACTAACGAGCAGAAGCTATGTCAACCAGACGGTCGCGACCGCCAATGGCTTTGTATCAACCCCCAACAACACCGCGAGAATCATCCCTGATACTACGAACCTCTGGCCGACAGGAGGTAAAGGTCGACCTTCTGTGCGCATTATCAGTGACAATACCTACACCCATGGCCTGTTCATCCTTGATCTGTCCCACATGCCCACCGGTTGTGGCACATGGCCTGCGTATTGGCTGCTTGGACCAAACTGGCCAACCAATGGCGAGATTGATATGATCGAAGGCATCAACACAAGTCCCTCGGACTCGGTATCGTTGCATACCAGCCCTGGATGTCAAATAGACGGCGCAGGGCAGACTGGCCAATTCCAGACATATAATTGCGACAAGAATGTCAATGGTAATTCAGGCTGTGGAACGCTTCTCAATTCTTCGACCATTCCGAACAACTATGGAACCGGCTTCAACATGAATGGAGGCGGTGTTTATGCCACAGAATGGACATCGAACTTTATCAAGACCTGGTTCTTCCCTCGCGGTAGCATCCCGAGTAGTATCACGAATGGCTCTCCCAACGTGTCGACCTTCGGTATACCCACCGTTAATCAGCAGAGTGGCGGCGGTTACAGCTGTAATATTGACAGCCATTTCAATAACATGAGCATCATCATAAATACTGACTTCTGCGGTGCTTGGGCTGGTGAAGTCTACTATCAGTATCAAGACTGCCCGCAGAGTCGACCCGCGAATCAGAGCCTGAATTCATGCACGGACTTCGTTGGCAACAATCCTACCTATTTCCAGGAGGCATACTGGCAGATCAACTCGCTCAAGGTTTACCAAATGCCAAGTGCAGCCCAAGGAAGCTCAACGTATTCGACCAGCTTGTCTTCCGTCACGCCCAGCATAAGTGTCAGTAATTCTGTTGTCGGCCCTGGCGCGTCGACTACAGGCATGAGCAGTGTACCATACACTGGACCGATCTCCTCGACCTTCACTCCATCCTCGTCGTCCTCCGGCTCATCCCCATCTTCGACATTTTCCGGATCGTCCAGCAATTCTTCTAGTACCTCGTCGCTAACCGCGGCGTTGTCAAGTTCTGTGATGACCACCTCGAGCGGCGTCTCAATTTCAACGCCACTGGGAACGACTACCCGAACGACAACCACCACAGTCACCTCTTCCGTGCCTACAACGACTACTATCGGTGTGACCATCACTCAGTCGTTGAGCACTATATTATTGTCTGGATCTACGAGTATCATGAGCAGTGGCACATCAGCAGTATCATCTGTATCAACGACAATCAGCACTACAACAACAACTGCAACTTCTTCTATGCCGACGACCACTACAATTTCTGTTACGACTACATTATCGTCTGGTGGAACATCTACAGGGTTAATCTCATCACCATCAGGTAGCTCAATTTCGAGCTCATCTACAACATCGTCCTCGTCGATGGCCGCATCATCTTCCGCTGCTCTATGCGTGAATAACACCCAAGTCGTGGATGCCAGCGGCGCAACGTACACGCTATACTGCGGCATGGACACCACGGGTGGCCAATTGAAGATGATGGCCTTCAATACTGGAGATTATCGCAACTGCGCAGGACTTTGCGACACGACAGCAAGTTGTGGAGCTTTCACTTTCGTCCCGAACTCCGGCAGTGCGCCAGGAGGTACTTGCTATTTGAAAGGAGCAGACGCTAGACCTGTCGCTGGTAACGCGCTCGTCATCACTGGTGTGCTTGTGAGTGGCGGTTCTATGACTTTGAGCAGCAGCGGCAGCATGTCCAGCTCTTCATCGTCATCCGTCTCACAGCAGCCGTCTGGCAGCATGGCAGTCTCTTCGTCACCCTCGGGTACGACGAGCTCATCCTCAAGTCCGATCTCCCCATCAGCTACAGCGTTGTGTCCGGGAGTAAACAACACACAGCTTACCGACAGCAACGGCATGAATTATACCATCTACTGCAATAGTGATACGGCGAACGGAGTGTTCGGTACGCAGTCCTATTCACGCGGTGACTTTACACAGTGTATGAGTGGTTGCGACAGCACCACTGGCTGTACATCTTGGACATGGATGTCATATACGGTCGGCGGTATATGCTACTTCAAAAAGGGCGCCGACCACTTTGTTACAAGCGATAGCTCTCACGTCGCAGGTATTGTTGCGAATGCCGCACCCAGCCCTTCGACCACCTCATCCAGCTTTGTCGGGTCCGGGACGATGTCTTCCGGTACGTCATCGCCAACAAGTACTCCATCGGGTAGCATAGTCTGTCCAGGCGCCAACGACACCACGTACACCGATACAAATGGGCATCAATACACCATCCTGTGCGACACGAATACTAGTCCTGGAGCGATTGATGTCAAGAGCGAGCCCGACTTCCCGAGCTGTATCAATGCTTGTGCTACCAACACCAACTGCGTGGGCGTGACCTACTCGGGAACGCAATGCTTCTTCAAAGCTCAGTTGCAATCTACAACATCCGCACCTGGTATAGAAGCAGCCTTCTTGTCGCCCCTAGTGCACAAGCCCAGCCCAAGTAGCACATCTTCAAGCAGCTCTCGCAGTGCCACACCCAGCACGAGTAGTGTCAGCCAGTCTCCTGGCAGTCTAGCAAGCTCTAGCTCTTCTTCTGGCGTGTTATTTAGCACCGCATCGGCAAGCAGTACTAGCAGTATTCCGCAGTCTGTATCGTCCACGGGTAGCAGCACAAGTCTGACAACTAGCATTGGGTCCAGCTCGAGCAGCGGGATACCGACCGGAACTGGTACCGCGAGTAGTATTGGGCGCTTGAGCAGCTCTAAATCGTCAAGCAACTCGATACAGCCAAGCACGTCTTCACAAACAAGCAGCTCGAGTCAATCTAGCACATCCAGCCAAAGCAGCACCGTGTCAGGCGGCATTTCTTCGAGCAGCACAAGTGTATCAAGCAATATGCCAACTAGCTCTAGCTCGTCGACCAGTCTTTCAGTGGCGTACACAACTTACGAGAGCACCACCGTCGTAAGCACCAACGGCGGATCATCGACCATGATAGTGACGACCTCCGGCTATGTCACTCAAACACCAAGCATTACCGTATCCACGTCTGTCTCAGCTTCAGTCACCTCAAGCAATAGTAGTCTTGCTATGTGTGATGCGAGCGCTACTCCCTCCGCTTCTGGTGGGGCTTGTCAGGACGCTTATGGCAATGCTTTCAATGTCACTTATGGCAGACAATACACCGGAACCGTGCTCACGAGGGCCAAAGCGTCTAACGTCAACTCCTGCCTACTACAATGTGACAACGCTCCGGGCTGCAAAGCGGCCAACTACCAAGATGGCACTTGCGAGCTGTTGAGCAACGTTACAGGAACGACCAGTGTACCTACTAATGGGACAGTAGTGGCTGGAGCACTAAGACCGGCAGACGTCAGCACTGTGTACACCACACCGCCAGCTACTAGCACAACCTCGATGGCTAGTGAATCAGTTGCAGGCTATCTGAGTGACTCGTCTACATCTTCCAGCTCTCTCATCACGACCCCGAGTGGTAGTGTGGCTAGCACGAGCGCCAGCTCCATATCAGTAACCGGCTCGACCTCTACTTCTTCAGGTAGCAGCATCTCAAATTTGACCATGAGCACACCATCAGCAAACAGCAGCTCAACATCCACCTCAAGCGCTACTTCAGCCGCACCAGCTTGTCCTGCCAATACGGCACCTTACTGCGCGAGTCCCGGATCGAACTTGACCTGTTCAGATGCATACGGAGCGACTTACACAATCCGCTGTGGATATCTCATTCAAGGTAACGTGCTGAACCCTGCGCCTGGCAATCACAGAAGACAAAGTGCGGAACCAGGTTATCAGAGCTGCACTACCCTCTGCGACGCAACCACAGGCTGTATCGCTTTCAATTATGTCGGCAATGCTTGCACGTTGCTCGGTCCCGTGACAGGCTCGATTGTAGTCAATGGTGCAATATCTGGTATTCAAGTAACGAAGCCTAGCACCACGCCCATTTTGACCAGCTCAAGCTCAACTGGCGGAGCGTCGAATTTGCCTACAGTCACGACATGTAAGTTCAGCATAGCCGTCCGAAAAATCCACAACACTAATACAATACAGCTTTCCCCTCTGGGGCCACCATCACCATTACCCCCACAACTACAATCACGCCATCTCTACTATCGGGTGGAACATTTACCACTGGTCCTAGCGGATCGTCCTACATATATACCAGCCCGCAATCAGGAAATGGTGATCTTGGGCCGACCGGCGCTTGCCCCAACGGTGCCGCAGCTTCGTTGTGCTATACCTGCGCTCTCACGCCCACAGTCGTTTGTGGCAATTCTGGAGGAGTCACAGGGGCTGTGACTTCGGGACCAACCCTAGGCCCATCTTATCCAAGCACTTGCACGCTTACCGCAACCACAGGAGCTGGGACTACCACGATTTTCACGACGCACACGATTACAGCTTGCGGCATGCCGATGACTTGTCCAGCTTCTGGCTATATCATCGGTAGAGGTGGTGCTACTCAAAGCGGACAGGTCGTTGTGACGACGACGAATAACAATGGGCAGGCTATCACTTACACTCAGATCCCCAAAGGAACTGGAACAGGTAGCGAGTTGGGCAGCGGTGGATCAGGAAATGGCGGACTGGGAAACGGTGGATCGGGGAATGGTGGATCGGGGATGGGAGGTAGTGGCGGATCGGGATATGGAGGTTCAGGTGGGTCTGGGACCGGTGGCAACGGAGGATCAGGGACTGGTGAATCAGGGACTGGTGAATCAGGGACTGGTGAATCAGGGACTGGTGGTAACGGCAATTGAGGATCAGGTGGGAACGGAGGCGGTGGCTACGGGAGCGGAGGCTCAGGTGGTGGACCGCCAACTCAGGTCATCACCAATGGCGGAAGTACCGTTATAGTGACTGGCAGCACCGCGACACCTTCATGCCCCTACACATCCGGCGAGCTTTTTGTGGACGCAATGGGCATGAATTACTACATCGAATGTGACACCGTCTTTACTGACAGCACCCTGAGTACGGAAGACTCGAACTCACTCGCCTCCTGCGTATCGGCTTGCGACATGTGTAAGTGCAATGGCGTGTTGATCACGCACATGAGATATCGATGAATTCTGACCAGTTTTCTAGACAATACCATGACATTCTACCAAGCAAGCGAGTGCAAGGGAATTAGCTACATCAGCACATCAACTACTAATAACTGTGTGCTAAAAAGTGGGTATACCGGTGAAAACCAGCTTGGCACCCACTCTGCTCGACTCATGACGCCGTATAGTGGACCTGGGAATGGTACAGGTGCGGGTGGATATGGAGGTGGAGGGGGCGGAGGTGCTGGGACAACCGTCATTATGACAACTATGCCTCCAGCTGTGGTGACATATGTCACCGGAGGTCAGACACAAACGATCATCCGTGGTGGCTCCACGTACGAGACTGTCGTTGGCCAGCAGACCATCGTTTCAACGGTCGCTGGAGGAAGCGGAGGAAATGGTGGGTCTGGCGGAGGAGGAGGAGGGTCTGGCGGGAACGGAGGAAGCGGTGGGTCGGGTGGAAACGGAGGAGGTGGGACGGGCGGCTCAGGCGGCGGCGCCCTTACGACCGTTGTTGGGGGCGTGACATACTTTTCGACTTACCAAACTGTCGTCCAGACAGCCAAACCGGAGGTGTCTACTGTGGTATCTAATGGCCAGACGATTGTCTCGACTTATGGATACAGCACCGTCGCCACAACCCAGTATGCAACGGCCACCATCGTCTCTGGTGGCAGCACGATCATCAGCACCATCGTGAGCGTCAGCCCGTCGATCACCGTCGTTCCATCAACCGTTTTCGGAGTCAGCACCCAATTCAGCACGATTGTTTCGAACGGGATCACCACAGTTTCTACCTACGGCATTACAACGTTGATCAAAATTGTTTCCGTCACGGTCACCTTGACAGAAACGACGACTGGTACAACGACAGCCACAACGACTGAAATATCCACGGCTACTACTACCGGTACAACCACAGGGACAACTACAGCTACCACTACAGGGACAACTACAGGAAGTACAACTGCTACAACCACGGCAATATCTGTTTCCATCTCCGTATCAGCCTCTGCTACAACAGACACTACCACGGTCCTCGGAACGATCACCATCACAGAAGGAGGGAGCCAATTCATTTATATCACAGCCCCGCCCGTTACAGTCTTCGCAACGCCCGTATCCAGTTCGAGTAGCTTCACATGCCGAACGTTTGCTACCAACTACCTGAATGGTATGCATGGAAGAGTCAGGAAGGAGAAGAGGTTCGTCGAAGAGCAAATTCCAATCACGCCTCTGTCGCATCCTGCTATGCCGGGTGGTGTGGCAATGATCGGTACTGTCAATCCTCATTGAGTGATATTCGCGATGGTCAGAATGGGTTTGCATTGTTTGTATTTAGCTAGCTAATGTGTTTGCTTTACAATTTCAATCACTCCAACAGCTCCTTGTCCGGACCGGCGAACCGGATCTTGTAGGTTTGCATGTCCTTGTGCTTGCCTTGCCATGCGTGCTTGTGGAGACCAAAGCTCTCCATTTCTGGTTGAGGGATGCGTGGCATCATGCCCATCTTGACCACGACCTTGCCTGGGTAGGCTTGAGTCTCTGATTTGATGGGGCTAGTCAACGTATCAGTATCGGGAGCGATACTGAGTGGCTGACTGGTAGCAGACTTACTTCCCGTCCTTGCTGCAGAAGAACCTGTATACAGGGTTGCCACTACCAGTTGCGCGGTCCTCATAAGTCGTCAAAGTGCCATCGCGATCGTCGATCTTGACCTTCTCGGCTTCGATGAGGAGATTGCTCGAGACGAAAGAGCCAGCCACCTTGCGGCAATTCGAGCAGTGGCATAGATGGCCTCGAGGCTTGCTGAAGAGTTCAGGATCGGTGATAGTCACTGTGATACTTCCGCAGAGACACGATCCAGATATCGAGTCCGAGAATTTGGAAGCATCGTGTTGATTCGGATCACCTGTAAGTCCGGGCATGATGGCGTAATGTATGCAGTGAGTCGTGGGTGTCACCTTGATGGAAGGCAGATGAATGTACAAGCTATATGAAGCTCCATTGTCGGCCTCATACTGCCTTTGGCCAGACCCAGCAGCATACTGCGGGCCAAGCGGGCAGCACGGAAATAGCGGTTTGGTAAGCTGATGAGCGTGCCGGAGCTATGGCTGTTGTTTTGTAGCGAGACCGCGAGACCGCGAGACCGTGTACTACCGTGACTCGTTCGTGAGACGCTGTGAGAAGTACGTGCCCATTGCGGTGCTCATCCCATGGTGTATGCAGGCGAGCTTGGATTTGTGAGAGACAGATGCAGATTCGAGGTGCTTGGGGGCTCGGAAGAACCTCGGTTAAAAGTCGCGTCCCACGACGCGTTCGGAAGTATTGGCGACTTCACCAAATGCGTGAGAAGTGAAAGAGCTCACAGATAGTCGTGTGCCATACGACAAAGCGATGCAATGCCTCACAGTGATGACTTTGGCATTGATGACGATGATACTGAGTTTCTAGCTGTTGCTACTCAAGTGGAAGCATCACCGCATGGTGGCAAATTCGAGCCTTCCGGCAGGCCCATGAAGCGTAGGCGGATACTGCATACTGGAGCACAGGTAGATGCAGCGGACTCGGATGGTGCAGAAGCGCTCGAGATCGGAGACGAAGAAGATGGTCGGGCTGTGCCATCGAACTTCTTCAGATCAACAGCAGCATTCACCCAAGATGGCGCAGCAGACGCAGACGAAGCTGATCCTGAAGGATACTACTTTCCAGAAGAGCTTGGGGAGAAGCCGCAGGCTCCCAAGAATGCAAAGTACAAGATCCATATTCCTAGGAACGGCGGACAGTTACCAGACACCATCTTCACGCAGACACAAGCTCATCTGGACTCCAGCCCCAGCAGGATTAGAGGTGCAGTATGGAAGAAGCCAAAACCGCCTCCTCCGCCTCTGTTCAGCCACGGTGGCAAGTCCACCCTTGCCTCGGTTTCATCCAGTCAAGGACCATCGATGCCATTGGTGAGGCAGCAGACGACTTTACGAAACCACTTCCGAAGAGATGATCGGACTGGCCTAGGAGTGCAGATGGATGACGACGCTGCTCTTGCTGCACGTATGCAAGCCGAGGAAGATGGTTTGGCGGAAGATCTGGGCATTGCACGGAGGACGACCGCTCCGGTTGTGCCGACGACTTCGATGGAGATGCACAAGGAGCTCGCAGATCTGCCTGCGGATGCTTTCTCATCATCGTCACCCGAGAAATCGCCACCAAACCCTATCATCGATATATCGTCTTCACAGCCTGCAGCCGCCCAAGCATCGAGATTACGTGGCCCACAGACGGGTCTGAAGCAGATGACCATCTTTGGCCAGCCAGCAACGCAGGAGATCTCTACGTCTCAGGCTGCCACGAAAAGGCACGCATGGCCGTTGAAGGAGCGCGAGGAGCCACCGACTCACCACAAGCTGGACGAAGACGCTATGAAGACATGGGTCTATCCAACCAATCTTGGCACTATTCGAGACTATCAGTATAACATCGTCTCTCGAAGTCTGTTTCACAATACCTTGGTCGCACTACCCACTGGTCTCGGTAAGACGTTCATTGCAGCGACTGTCATGCTCAACTACTATCGATGGACAACCAAAGCTCAGATCGTCTTTATGGCACCTACCAAACCACTTATCGCTCAGCAGTTGGGTGCATGTTTTCACATTGTCGGCATATCTAGACATGATACTGTTCTGATGACTGGCGAGACCACACCTGGCGCGCGAGCAGAAGAGTGGCTGGAAAAGCGACTGTTCTTCATGACGCCCCAAACTGTGATCAACGACCTCAAGACTGGTATCTGCGACCCGAAAAAGGTTGTTCTGGTAGTGGTCGATGAAGCACATAAGGCTACGGGAAGCTATGCATATACAGAAGTGATAACTTTCTTGAGACGATTCAATTCTAGCTTTCGAGTTCTCGCGCTCACCGCTACACCCGGCTCAACCGTCGAAGCAGTCCAAGCGGTTATTGACCATCTGGGTATTGCTCGAGTAGAGCTCCGGACCGAGCAGTCCCTCGACATCCGACCGTACACGCACGAGAAGCAGACTGATGTCGAGTTGTTCGACTACAGCGACGAGCAAGCTCTGATCATGGAGCATATGAGCAAAGCTATCAAGCCAGCATTGCAGAAGCTGAATGCGCAAAACGCCTACTGGTCGAAAGATCCCATGGCGTTAAGTGCGTTTGGTCTGACACAGTCGAGACAGAAGTGGATGCAGTCTGACCCTGGACGGAAAGCACCAATGTCCCTGAAGGGAATGGTGAACTCAATCTTCACAGTGCTCTCACAAGTCGCGCATGGCATTGGACTACTGAAAAATCATGGCATTGGACCATTCTACTCGACTGTGTCTAAGTTTAAGCGAGCTGTGGACAGTGGAGAGACTAAGGGCAAGAACGCAAAGGAGATAGTGCAGTCCGTTGACTTCACGCAGATGATGAGTCGCATGAACGATTGGATGAAGGACCCCGACTTCATCGGCCATCCAAAACTAGAATATCTTAGAGAAGTCGTCCTCAACCACTTCCTAGATGCTGGCGAGGGTGCACTTGGGTCTAATGCTCCACCGAGCGCCACTCGTGTGATGGTGTTTGCATCGTACCGTGACAGCACGGAAGAGATCTGCAGAGTGCTAAAGCGTAGCGAGCCGATGATCAGACCGCATGTGTTCGTTGGGCAGGCCGGAAGCGCAACATCTGAGGGCATGAGCCAGAAGAAGCAGAATGAAGTGATACAACAGTTCAAGGCTGGCAAATTCAACACCTTGGTCGCGACGTCCATTGGTGAAGAAGGTCTGGATATTGGAGATGTCGACCTTATTGTCTGTTACGATGCCTCATCATCACCGATTCGTATGCTGCAGCGCATTGGCAGGACTGGGCGCAAACGTGTTGGTAAGGTCGTTCTGCTTCTCATGAAGGGCAAGGAGGAAAATGATTATGCCAAGGCTCAAGACAATTACCAGTATATCCAAAAGTCGATCGCGGACGAGAGCAAGTACAATTATCGCAACGATCAGAGTCCGCGCATCATACCGAAGGAAGTTAAGCCTGTTGTGGACCGACGTGTGATTGAGATACCGATCGAGAATAGCCAACCTGTAGACCTGAACGAAAAGAGCAGGAAGTCAAAGGGCAAGGCCAAGAAGCGACCGCCAAAAAAGTTCCACATGCCAGATGGCGTGCGGACGGGTTTTGTTAAAGCATCGAAGTTGGCATCGGACGATGAGGATGGAGCAAGTGACAAACCAGTGTCGAAAACGAAGAACACGCCTGCGAAGAAGAGTGTACCCACGAGGCGAGCCAAACCAGCGCCGTCCCCAGAGCCAGATCCGATGCAGCTGCCCTTTCTTGGCGACGTCCTCCTGACTGACGCCCGGCAAGCGGAGCTGGAGGGCAGGTATGGAAATGCGGCAAATGATGAGGACGTGGCAATACGAGCACCGGATGCTACGAAGCGCATAGACCTCATACGCGACCTTGGCAGAACAAAGTACGTTCCGCACGGGCGAGCTGCTTTGGCAACATCCAAGGCTTTAGCTGCATTACACGCCGTGAATGACGAGAAAGTCCAGCAGATGAAAGCAGATCTAGACACGACGATATTGTCTAACCCTGGTGTTGCTCGACGCAGGCTTGTGAGTCCAAACAGGGGAGAGAATGATTCCGAACTCGATCTTCCAGAGCCAAAGGATATTACGGAAGAGCCGAAAGTCAAGAAACTCCCGGCCAAACGAGCAAGCGCTATAAGGCCGAAGGACGCCACAGCGCAGGGAGCAGCAACGGCCAAGACTCCGCGTGGACGTCCACGCAAGAACAAAGCAATACATCGAGTGTGGTCTCATGGCTCTGCAGCTATGGAAGGCGAGGAGTCTGAGCCCGAGCCAACACCAACTGACATGCGTATTGGCACGCAAGGTATCGATCTAGGCTCGCATGATACAAGTGGCGAAGACAATGATGATGAACCCGACAGCGAGCTGGATGCCTTCATTGCCAGGTCTGACGAGATCATTGAGACATTATCGAGCTCGCTTCCGGGTACTCAAGAGACGTCACAGCTAAGTCATCAGAAGAAGGCTGGTCGTTTGCGCAGGCGACCAGCTGTCGTATTGTCTGATCTGGACGAAGACGATGAGGCTGATGCAAGTGAGGACGATGGTGCAGATGGCGCTGCGAAAGACCTGGTGGGGGCCAGGAAGCAGCGTGTTGTAGCCGAGAGCGATTCAGAGTAGTCTATAGCTTTGTGAAGCCTAGGTGAGCTTGAGTAGCAAACAAATTCTGCAAGTCAGTCCGGTCTGCAACATGATTACTTGATGGCTCTCAGCTATGGCAGAGGTCTGTAACCATGCACAATCGATTGATCGACAAGTTATTCGGGTGCGTTGTGCCGACATCGCTACTCCACATATGCTTCCTCGATCATGCAGCTTCCTGCTTGGAGGGCCAAATTACTATCGTATGGATCACTAACAAAGTCGATTGAAAGAGCAGACTCTCTCGCTCAGATGTAGCTGGAACAGACTTCGTTGCACGAATTTGACAATGCCTAGCAGCGCGATTGACTCCTTGCTCTTTCGCAACATATTTGGTACCAACGAGATACGTAGCATATTCGATGACAAAGCCTACATTCGAAGATGCATCGATGTAGAAGCCGCTCTTGCTCGAGCGCAGAGCGAGATTGGTGCTATCCCGGCGCATGTGGGCAGCCGGATTACAGAAGCTTGCGAAACCATCGACCCAGACTACCAACGCCTCTCTAACGAGACGGAGATCGTTGGCTACCCAATCTTGCCCTTGGTGCGCCAACTTTCCCATGCCTGTGGCGAGGAGTTTGGTAAGTGGGTGCACTGGGGCGCCACAACCCAGGACATACAGGACACAGCGACCATGCTGCAGATGCGGGATGGTCTTGCGGTCGTGGAGCAGATGTTGAAGGAAGTAGCTCAAAGTTTGGCGAGGTTGGCAATGGTGCATAGAGATACACCGATGGCTGGTAGAACTCATCTGCAGCATGCTCTCCCCGTGACTTTTGGCTACAAGTGCGCAGTCTATTTGTCCGGCTTCCAGCGTCATCTCGAGCGACTGCAGCAACTCAAGCCACGATGCTTGCTTGTCCAGTTCGGTGGTGCCGCTGGTACACTCGCGTCTCTTGGCGCAGGGGAGGAAGGCTTGCGAGTACGAGAGGCACTTGCTCGGCAGCTCGATCTATACAATCCTGTCATTACCTGGCATACGGCACGCGACGGCGTTGCGGAGATCATCAACTTCCTCGCTCTGGTTGGAGGCACACTTGGCAAGCTCGCGACAGACTTCGTCGTCATGTCTTCGAACGAGTTCGGCGAGATCAGTGAACCTTTCGTGCCTCATCGTGGTGCCAGCTCAACTATGCCGCAGAAGCGCAATCCAATATCCAGCGAGGTGATTTTGGCAGCCTCTAAGATCCTACGAGCAAACGCTAGCCTGTGTTTGGATGCCATGATCACCGACTTTGAACGAGCAAGCGGACCGTGGCATCTCGAATGGATGGCAGTGCCGGAGAGCTTCGTTGTCGTCGTTGGTGCGTTGTGTCAAGCGAAATTCGCTGTGTCAGGGCTGGTCGTGAACGTGGATCAAATGCAACGCAATCTGCAATCGACTCGTGGACTCATCGTTGCTGAAGCTGTTATGATGGAGCTGGCTCTCCATGTAGGAAGACAGAAAGCACACGATATCGTGTACGAAGCGTGTAAGCAGACAATCGATGCAGGCGATCAGGCGACACTTTTCGACCAGTTGGCGTCGGAAGACATTGTTAGTATGGCAATAAATCCCACGAGGTTGATGGAGTTGTGCGAGCCGAGCAATTATCTTGGTGCTGCTGGTTGCATGGTCGACGCTGTCGTCAAAAGGGAGTGAGACCATGATGGTGAAGAAGGTTATCCTCATCAACGACGACCGTCCGACGATTTTGATCCGATGCTACAACATCGTGATATTTATCATTGTACAGATGGCGTGCCATGGTCGTCGTACCTTGGCTGCTACCATTTCTAGTGTAGCGCTTCCGTCCCAAATTAGATACACTTCGCCAAGCCGTCCTCCACTTCCACCTCCACGCAAAGGCGATCGTGTGCCTTTCAGAAACATGAAAGACCCGGCAAAAATGCTCAAGTAATCAAGTTCGGCTCATGAAATCGGACATGTCAGCTGCAAGCCTGAGAACGATGGATGGTATCGTCGAGTGGCTTCCATAGGAAGGCTTGTTGATGGCACTGGTATGTCTGTGCGACCAAATCTCAGCCCGGCACGGCCGATGTGGCTGCGCCTCCAAGGTTGAATCCATTCGGTAAACGCTCTCATCCATACCATTTCCATCATAAGCTTTGGGTAACTCATGCCTCATGTCTTCACCGTTACCTCCTGTGGCAGGCGCGGACGCCCTTCATAACGATGGCAGATTCTCGTTACCAGCGCCTCAGCGTCTTTCGCGACGCGACCATGGCCACAATGCGAGGCAAGTCCATGCCGACCACGAGGGGTCATGGTGAAAATGGCAGTGAGTAGGCTCAGCAGACTGCCAGTGGTCACTATGCCAATTTGACATGTACTTGCAGACCACCTCCAGCAGCGACCTTCTTTCGATTACAAGCCAACAATTTTACGAACACTGTCACTAGCCTCTATCTTCATCCTTACAACTGTTTTGATAGGCATAATCGAACTTGCTGTGGTTAAGCTACCGCATGGGAACCATAGTATATTTGCGCGAGGCACGTCGCCCTCGAAAAGATCAGATCTCTTCGGTCTTGCCGTTCGTGAAGCTGCTATAGAGTCGAACTCCTCATCAATCATTACGTCTAACAGCGCCTCGGGCGCGTCATTTGCGTCTACTACCACCGATGTCGACACTGGATCTTCTACTTCAACGACGATCGACGTTGGCAAAGCCCCTACCAGCAACTACGTGGCAACGGAGACCACACAAACTGTATCCCTGTCATCCACAACCCAAGAAGCAGTTACTAGTGTGGTGAAAACGAGCAACTATGTCGCAACCGCAACAACTCAGACCATATCCCAAAATGGTGGGAATAACAACGATGCGGTTGGAGCAACCACGAGTAGCTTGCTCATAGCATCCAGTGTTGAGAAGAGCAATTACGTCTCAACAGATGCGACACAGACTGTAACAACTTCAACGGCTGCCCCAACGATGGCGTATTCCACCGGATCAGGGCAATACGTGGCAGGCGCAACCACCCAGACTGTGTCACAAACGAACCAACAAGGTTACACACGCACACCTTCTCCGACAGCACAAACGCTTACTACGATCTCGAGTGCAACGGTTTTAACCGTACCAGTCTCCAGAGCATCTGCAACAGTCGTCAGCTCTTATACTACCACGGACAGTAACGGAAATACGGTGAGCACTGAGGCTACATCATTCTACCCTGCCAGTCGCTACACCCTGATCACTTCGTCCGTGCCTGTCGTGCAAGCCATTGTCCCCGGACAAACAATTCTCACAAGCATCTCAGGCGGCTCAACCTCTGTTATTGTGACGGGCGCTTCCACTTACAGCAGTGTATACGGTGCTTCAACCTCTTTGCTGATCTCTGGTAATTACACTTCCACCCGTGTATTTGGTGGGTCGACCTCTGTATTTACGTCCGGGGGCACCACACAAACTACCATACTTGGCGGACATACTGTACTTTCTACTCAGCTTCCTCAGGCCACCGGTGACGCCGACAAAGACGCTCAGTCCGACAGCAACTACAGCAAAGGCTACTTCACTATCCCTCACCACTGGAACCCTGTTCAAGTGTTCCTTGGAACATATCTGGCCGTCATCATTGCTGTGGGATATCGCATGATCTGGACAGTCATATACAACAACTTCTCACTTATCGAACCCTTTCGGCAATTGAACGAGCCCAATGGGGCGCTTGCTGAGCGAGCACTATTCCGTTTCTACCATTCACAGTCGAGCCTTCTGGAGCCTTCAGCAGCATTACTCAAGGGCAGATGGACAATGGCGTTGGCTGCAGTGACGTATTTGCTGGCATCGCTACTGCCAGCTCTTGGCTCCGAAGCGATCTATGTCGACACGAATTGGGGGTGCCAGTATCCAACCGCAGGCATGAACCCTTGTAGCGCGAGGATGACTGGCAACGTTGCTGTCTTGCGAGCCCTGCAAGGCTTGTTGGCTTTTGCTGCTCTGGCACTTCTTCTGATCATGGTGGCATTGCTTCGATCAAAGACCGGCCTGCCGGCGAACCCAAGCTCGATAGCTACTGTGGGCACACTCTCGCGAAACCCTGACTTTGTGGACGATATCACCACGTTACCTTGCAGTGCCAGTACACGCGACATGAGAGAGTCGCTGCAAGGCCGAAGATACAAGCTCGACTTCTACAAGTCGGGTCCTGGGGAGCTAGCATATGGCATAGTACCCATGGCGGTGTCTGGAGGAGACGATGTTTACGCAGCGGGCGAGCACACCTACAAGCCTGTAAGCGCTTCAAGCAAGTCGCATCGATACCGCATATTAGACTTCGTGTTGCTCCTAGTGACGCTTGGCACCCTCGCCATGGTGCTTGCGTACTACGTCGATGCAGCGGACGATCCCTTCAACAGATTCTTCAGCAGCAATGGCTTTGGTCCTCGCTTCATACTCACAGGCGCAGTTACGGTCTTGGCCGCAATCTGGAAATCTGTTGAGCAGAGTGAGGTCATCATGTCGCCCTACACACGCATGGCACAGCACTCTTCGGGTCCAAGGAGCACCGTCTTGTTCACACCCCACGACACGCCAATTCTGTCGACCATTTCGGCAATCTTTAACCGATACTACTTCGTCGCTGTAGTCACCTGCATTACTCTGCTCGGCGAGGCACTCAATATTGTGATAGGCGGTGTCCCATATGCCACAGGTCAGACCTGGCCACAATTCCTCGCGTCGGCCTACATTTCTATCGGCGTCCTAGCTCTCATGACCATTGTCAGTATCATGGTGATCTTGAATCGGCGTAGGGAGCCAAAGATACCAAGGCATCCTGACACTGTGGGCGCTGTTGTCAGCTATCTGGCAGGTAGTAGATTTGTGGACGACTTCGATGGCTTAGAGTGGCAAGATGAGGATACGCGAGACAGGCGGATACGACTTCTTGCCAAACGATACGTGTTCGACGATAGACCCGGATCCGATGGAAGAAGAGCCTGGCTGGTCGATGAAGTGTATGAATAGAGATGGACGGGAGCTCACAACAGAGTAAAATCGATCCAGATCTGTACAATCACCTCGACCACATTGCTTGATAGTATTATGGGCGAACACCTTCCCCTTGCCCTGATGCAAGAAGGCCACGAGGAGCGTGGGCTCAGGGACCATCTGAGGCCGTTGTGGAAGTCTTACGTCCATTCTCACAACTATGGACGATGAACACGGCGTGGACACCCCAGGGTGAGACGTCAGGTACGAGCGTCCGAAGTTTGGCTGATAGTCGGAAGCTGCTCGTGTTTGGGTCGCGGTTCCCGGAGAGGGCTCAGCGCCCCGAAGTTATCCTCTAGGTATTACCATGGATGTTTATATCTCAATGCAGATCTCGAAATGGCGATCGACGGTCATAGGTATTGCCTTCAGGCTCATCTCATGGTACGCAAGGTACTACAGGCCTGGCCAAGCATCCTTCAAGGGTAGTGCGGACAGGGCTGCTCATCGTCAAGACGTCTGAAAATGCTGGTCGTTATGCATTGCCCTATGTATGCGAATATGCTTCAGGTGTGGTAAGAAGACCATAAACAGTGGCAATCTGCTCCATTCTTCTCTCCTCGACGCTGGATACGGCCTTCCACTCGACCTCGTTGTCGACAATCATTGCGAAAGCCCGCCATAAGGTATACACATCGAGGCACGGCTCGGTGGCCTTCCGACGGGCATATCGCATCTCGGAGATAAGTGGAGAATACGATCATGAGACAATGGATGTTACTACTGTGGCTGTAGCTCTTCTGTGACTACCGCATACAGACACTGACCTGACGATCAACAAGATGCCAAGAGCCTCTCACATTAGGGCCCTTCCTTACGAGTAGGCGTGGATATGGTTAAATGCTGCAGTCTATTCAGCCGCTCACTGAAGGACGGTCGTGTGTAGTTGTGTCAGAACGTGACTTGCCATACCACTCTTTCCACACAGCTCTGTACAAGCTGCGTCTGCAAACATGACATGTCGTTGGAATTGTCTTTTGAACAGTTTGATCGCGGCCAGGGTATCAAGAGGATCGTACATTGACAGATGTCGAAGCACGTGTGTCCAGGATGAATCGAAAGTGAACGCCCTCAGCTTGAAACGCGAGATCCGAGATCGCATTCATGCTGGCCATATCACCGGCTTGCTGGATCAGACGACTTACTTTGATAGGCTATTGAGTCTTTAGCGAGATGGCTATTCCGCCTCTGCGCATCCGAGCAATACCGGGATACTTTACAATTACTACTCTTGGGCCCTACAGCTTTACTTTACCTCGCTCTTCCGCACTGTCATATTTAGCCGTGACGCGCAACAAGCGAGCGAATCTAGTGCTTGACCTGTTCACAGGCTCAATACAAGGACAGCGTAGCCATTGCTTAGTACGGCTTGGCGAACGGCAACAACCTTGTCCCCGTTTGTTTCACCTAATCCCTGCAGGCGTTGCCAATACCAGCGAGCTTCCATTGAAGCATAGAATTTGTTTGGTGCACAGCTATGAAGCATAACAAGGGCTCATGATGTGGACCTCGGGTCTTCCAGGCCTGGCGCCATGCAGGCCCCAGACTCTCCCACATGACCAGGACTCCCTCCACTATATAGATTAATCGTCCTTCAACCGGTAGTGCAATTGACATTTGGCCATCTCATGGCGTTTGAGGTCATGCGACGACTGGTAAGTATGACTGCGCAGGATGTAGAGATGGCGGGTAAAAGGGACGAGGGCTGTCGAGGCAGCGAGCAAGGTGACATATAAGGACGACGGTAGGCCGACATCATCATCTCTTTCATCTCACAGCATCCGCAGTCTCCCTCCACCAACCACAAAGCTCTTCAGTCATCACTCGATCGATATGAAGTTCACCACAGCTTTGGCCGCCCTTGTGGCCAGCGTAATCGCCGCCCCAGTCCCAGAGGCTGAGGCCAGCCTTGAGTCTCGCAACCCAGGTGGTATCAACTACGTTCAGAACTACAATGGCAACCTTGGCCAGTTTACCTACAACCTCGGTGCCGGTACCTACTCTATGTACTGGACTAACGGTGTGAACGGCGACTTCGTTGTCGGTCTTGGTTGGTCCCAGGGTGCTGCCCGTACCATCACGTACTCGGCAAACTACCAGGCATCATCCAGCGGCTCCTACCTGTCCGTGTACGGCTGGGTCAACTCTCCTCAGTCAGAGGTAAGTCCAGCTGGTCGAAGCCAACCCTGAGACGTTGATGGATTAGGCATTAACGCTCGCTCCAGTACTACGTTGTCGAGAACTACGGTTCTTACAACCCTTGCAGCGGTGCTCAGTCTCTTGGCTCTCTGTCCTCTGACGGAGGCAGCTACAACGTCTGCACCGACACCCGCACTAACCAGCCATCCATCACCGGTACCTCCACCTTCAAGCAATTCTTCTCTGTGCGCCAGAGCAAGCGCAGCTCCGGCAGCGTCACCGTTGGTAACCACTTCAACTACTGTGAGTAGATCATCAACGAAATCGTATGTGGGATGTCGTTCGGTACTAAATATCACTTCTAGGGGCCCGTTCCGGATTCGGCAACGGCAACTTCAACTTCCAGGTCTTCGCCGTCGAGGCTTTCAACGGCAAGGGTTCTGCGACTGTCACTATGTCTTAGACGACAGAGTATGATCACCCGAAGTGTATGGGCTCATTGGGCATCAAGCTTAGGTAATTTGACTTACATTGCGTGTTCAGTGAGCCATCATCAGATAAAATTGGCAGAACACGTAGACAGTTGTACCAAAGTTGCCAACAAACCTTTTTCTTCATCTTGAAGTTGATATTATCTCCCACAGCCATATGCCAGGCAAGAGGCTCGGAACTGGCGTCAAAAAGTTCGCTGCCAGCTCGTAACAATACAGTATATGCATAGAAAGCTTTCGCACCGGGTATCATAAAACACTGCATGACCATTCAAACCAAAAAGCATCATAAGTGCCACGAACTCGGGTCGTTAAGCAACCTCTGCGCATCCAAGCGATTCCTATCCTTCGCCGCCGCCCTGGCCCTCTCGATCTCAGAAGGAGCATAAACATGATGCTGCAACAAAATCTTCATACTCCCGATATGATTTTTCGCCGCCGCCAAACTCAGCGGAGTGTTCTCTTTGCTTCCATACCTCTTCTTCGAACTGATACAATGGAATGCCGGGTTCGCGCCTTTCTCGAGGAGCAACTCGATGACTTCTTCTTGGCCATGTAGGGCTGCGTCCGCGAGAGCGGTGTAGCCGTCCCAGACGCCGGAGTTGTCGATCCCGACGCCCTTCTCTAGCATGAATTTTACCCGGGCGTAGTCTCCTTCGGCTGCGGCGAGACGGAAGGCTGTGCCTTCACCATCCGACATATTCATAGAGATGGACGAGAACAAGGAGGGTGATTGGACTTGACGGCGTCCCGAGGAATTGGTTCCGCTGTTGGTGCGTTGTTTGTCCAGGGTGCTGTATTCGGTCGTTACTGTTGAGGTGCTGTTCCGTTTATTGCTGTCGTTTGCTCCATTTGGGTATTGTTCCGAGGAGGCGTCGGACAGGGCCAGGGACATGGTCGACTGGTTTATTGACTCGACGATTGAGCGGCTGTCTATGGCGGGCTCTGAACGGATACTACCTTGGTAGGAGTCATTGCGGGCAGGAGGAGGAAGCTGATTGGTCAAACCTGGGTATGTGTTTGCACCCTTGATATCTGGACTTGAAGTGGTATGCGGTAGTGGTGGAGTGTAAGGCGTAGTATGCGGCATTGGTGGAGTGAAGGCAGTAGCACCGGATAGTGGCGGGCTGTAGGCTGTAGTGGCCGCAAGTGGTGGACTGTATGTTGCAGCCGGTGGTGGAGACGATGTGATACCTAAACCTGCAACGGATCCAGAGTGCTTGATTGCCTCCTCAATCATCTCGCAAACATTACCCTCGACTTGCTCGTAATCATCCTGGTCATCCGAACCATTGAATCTGCACAGCGAAGTATGATCACGATTGAGCGCAATGGGCCACTCCCTGTTGGCTCCAAGACTTAGACTTGCGGAAGTCTGATCGACAACCTACAAGCAGTCAGCAAACAGCTCTCTTCAGCCATGCTTTGGTATCTGGTCATACAATGCCGATGCCGTGCATGGGTTTTGTCTCATAAAAGCTGATGATCCTGTAGTTCTCCGCGAAGCTTCGAAACTCATTCGAAAGGCTCTGGCTGAAGGATGAGTCTTTTTCCAATGAGTCCATGAACGAATTCTTAGGTTCATGGTACACCGCACGCATGATATTGGCAGCGAGCTTGCCGAGAGAAGTTGCATTTGCCGAGCCTTGATGTGGTGTGCCGAAGAAGACGAGACCGTAAGTTGCCCTATGGATTGGCTTGTAGCGATTCACGTTCGCGGCCGTCACGATGGCCTGATCACGAGTCAGCGGTGTACTGAGACAGGCCTAACGTTGTCCAGCGGCTTACATGCTTTACCACGAGTCCGCCCAGACTGTGTGCAATAAATATAAGAGGTCGCCTTTCTGCTTCTTCTCCCCTTCTCTTCATTCGTAGTCTATTGAGCAGGTTGTTCGCCTGCTCCAAGATGCCTGCCGTCGAAGAGTCGAACGTCACATTGGCATTGTATGCAAACAGCATCACCCGTGCGGTCTGCGCCTCGTTCGGCAACATGTCTCGTAACCATAGCTTGTCATCTTTCGTCCAGGTGGAGAGGGCATGTGAGGCAGAGTTCGTCGGGTTCAGGCCATGAACAGCAACAACACTAAGGTTATGCGGTCAGGACTGACAAGTACTTCATTCGCTCTCAGCAACGAACGACATACTCAACTTGCGTAGCCTCACCCGGGTCAACGATAACTCTGAGACCTTGCTGAAACTCTGGTCCATTGAGGTCTGGAAACGGTAGGCCAGCAAGCGCTGGAGAAGGCGCTGCCATTGTGAGATGATAACAATATCATATGCTGTACTTATCCTATGACGGTACACGAAGAGAGAGAAAGACGACCATAGCCTCAGTGAGAACGACAGCTAATCGAGCCCATGCGGCTATCAGACTGAAGCTGAGCAAGTGGGTGTTGGAGCCGCATGCACGTCGTTCTTCGCTCGAAGCATTGCTCCAATAGCGCGTCTTCGATTCGCCACGCAGCGCGTCTCGGTAGCCACAAGGCTTGATCGTCTTGCCTCTTCTAGGTAGATTCGATACATAATGTCGAGAACGGGAAGCGCGACATCAGTCTGTCGACCGGTCTGTTGGCTACCTGTCTCCAGGCCAGGGTGCTCACGAAGGGGTCGCGTACAACCAGATGAATGGGCACGGACCATGGTGTGCTGGGCCTGTCGGTGAATGCAGACTCTATCCACAGGATTCTTTCTTGCGTTCTCAGATTTGATGGGGATTGGGGCTAGCATGAGGGCTTGATTAATCTAGTTCACACTGTCGTAGAATATGACCTGGGCAGCTGGTGAAGAGATCTCCTTGTATACCCTTCGCGTTGAAGAGAGGTCGGCACGCGTTGCGACGCCGAGGATGAGCCGTTTCAAGGCCGATGGAGCTCCCATGTCCATGCTGTTGGTGAGCAACATCTGCCTTATGGCTTGGTATTGTATTCTGCGTTGACACCTTATATTACTGCCTCGAGTTGCCCAGATGATTGCCAAACAATGCGAGCATATAATCCTTCCGCAACCAAGCCATGAGCGATGAGCCCTCCTCTTCCGCAGCAGCCTACACCTCCGATATCTCAACAAATGGACCAAGCACGGAAGCAGTGCCCACGGCGGCACAATTGGCAGAGCGGAAGAAGAATAATAGACAGCTGTTCAACAGGAAGCGTGGGGACTTGCTGGACGATGTCCTCAGGAACCTGGATATACTCGTCTATGCCGAGTTGAGTGCCATCTATTATATGGAGTATGTTGCCGGCGTCGACTCGGAAGGCAATGTAGAACAGGGCTAACACTGTCAGCTGCTCCTTCATACGATTTCTCATACGAGGTTTAATACAGTTCGTCTTTCTGACGCCCAAACCAGCTGCTCCACCAGCTCCGCCATTGAACAAGCCATATATCGGGGCCATCCTCGGATCGAACATCCTATGCATACTGTTGCATATCATATACGCCCCACCATCTGGCAGCGAAGCAACCCGAGGCTATCTTCACGGCGGACTGGCCATGGACTTTATTGGCCAGAAAGGACCAACCAGTAAAGTGCATTTACTTCTGCTGGATCTGCTAGTCGTGATTCTACAGCTCGTGCACTTGTCCACCCATATCACCCGAACGAGACTGAAAGACAGCTCTGTCTCCGTCACGACGTCTTCAGGCACCCAATATACCGCGACCGCCATCCGCCAAGACCACGACGCCGAAGAACGCGGCGTCCGCCGCTCAGGCGAACACCAAGACATCGAGATGCAAACTCTCAACCCATCCGGTACCTCAACCGAGCCCGTCCCAAATCGAGCCAGCACAACCGAGCGTGCTGACGACACCCTCGCCTCCACCTCCCCCCGAACAGACGCCCACATCTTCAACGCCTTCAACTCCGGCCAAATCGTCCTCGCCGATCTCGACATCTTCCAAACAACACGAGATCAATTCTGGGCGTACGCGACCACACCTGCGGAGGATTCCACTACCTCGATAGTGGAAATGCGGCGGAATATAATTGGGCAATTATTAAGGTGGCGTTCTGGTGCCGTTACTGGCCGGCCTGCTGAGAGGATTGTCTGACGAATATGCTTGTACAGATTACGTTCGATCGCTTAGCGAGGCGTTGGAGGGCTCATATTGCGCAGTTTACATAGAGTGGGACGCGGCCATGTATCTATGTGAGTATTGAATATGACACCATCAGAATGTTCTTGGTTGTGCCTTCCTGATGCGCTACCGGCGTGAGAATGTTCGTGTCTCTTCGTCGTAAGCAAGCGGTTGGTTGCACTCCGCTTCCTGTCATAATATCACCTCAGATTCTTCGTTCAAAAGGGCTGCTTCGTGTTATGGCTACTCGCAAACACGGCTCTGGCTAGAAGGTGGAGTTGCGAAAGGTCCGATGTTTTGCATTCTATGAATTACCACCTGCGAAGTATCGCTCTATCATGCCGCATTTGGCCCCAGACTATATGTACGGGTGAATACATATACCATATCTTCATATCTTACAGTTTGACTCGACCTTCAGCACCAGTAAGTCTAAGCACTTACTCATCATTTTTCTTATGCCTCAAGCTCCCAATCCTCTTCTTCAACCCCTCGCCCACATGGCGCATACTACCACTCTTATGAGCGCTCGACTCGCCATCCTCACGATTCTTGTATTCCAGGTCCGCGTACTTCCTGTCGTCGCCTGCAATGGCGACTGGGTCGCGGTCGTCAAGACTGCCTCTTGCCTTAGCCCTGTTGTAGTCTTTCATGAGGTGAGCATGGTCTTCCATCTCGATGCCGTTATCGTCGATCTTGTGGGCCTGGAGGGCACGGTCGAGAGAGAAGGAGGGCTCGGATTGGCCTTTTAGGTCGTCTTTATCGTAGTCCTGGGCTTCGAGTCAGCATGCATCATTGTTACTATAGTCGATCTTCGGGAACTTACTTTTCCAGGCCAACGCTTATACCCAGCATCATCGGTCCCCTCCCTCATCATATCCGTGCCTTCCTCATAATTGTAAGTCCTACCGAACTGATCCGGCACGCCCGGAGGCACGACAGCAACACCATCAAGCGGCTTGTGCCTGTCCAAAGCATCCTTAACATTCTCTCTCGGCGTCGCCCTCAAAGCCTCCTCGTTACTCGTCTGCAGCGCGGCAACCGGACTAGTCTTATCATACGCCTTATTCCTCGCGAACGCAGCGGCGTCGTAAGGGCCCTCGTGATGATAAGCATGACCTCCCAAGGCCGGGTCGAGCCGATCGATCACGTCCGGACTTTGCATATTACGCTTGTTGAGGTGCGGGGACCGATGGGCTTTCCTGCTGTCCTTGCGGATCATATCCAGCGGTTTAGCAGTGGTGTCGCCGGGATAGCGCTCTCTAAGCGAGCTGCCGCGGCGACGACTCGGGCCGGATGTCGCCTCGTCGTATGCAGGTGGGGATTGGTTGTTGGAGGTGGAGTGGAGCGGGCGGGTGTTGTGGCCGCTGAAGGCTTCGGCGCGGTAGTCTGGGAAGCCTTCGCGGCTGGAGGGGCGTTCGGTGGTGCGGACGTTGGGTATTTTGCTGCTCCCTGATCCTGCTGTCGCTGCTGGAGGAGAGGCACCATCACGGAAAGGGTTTTGGGAGCTCAGTGAGGTCTTGTGTGAGGCGGCGGCGGTGGTTGTTGTACTGGTTGGCTGCTTGCTTGGCATAGTAGAGCCGAAGTGAGTACCAGGGCCGGTCTCTGCGGACGGCTCTGGCGCATGCATTGGGTCGATCAGGGTGGCTGCGTAATTATCAGCATTAGATTCACAGTTAGCTCTCAAGCATTCCTCAATGCTTACCGTGAGCCCCCTTCGAATCCATTGAGGCCATTATGATTTGTTGCTGTGGTCGAATAGGGTATAAGACCAGAGATATGGCGAGATAATGTATGTAAGGGAAAGTACAAAAGAACGCCCTCAGCATCAACTCGGAAGGAAGCGGCCCCCGAGCTGCTTCTACTTGACGATGCAGAGGAAAACGCGCAGCCGCCACGTCATGCTAGAGCGTCGATCGTCACTGCTGCCCAGGTACGACTTTGTCACCCCTGCAGATGCGGCATTAGTCGGCCGTCAACTGTTTATTATTATAGTAAGCCACGAGATATGAACGGCCACACGTCACCGCAATCTATACTACAATCTTGATATCATGGCATTGGTAGGGTATCCTGGTTCCTCCTCCGACGAGGCAGAGGCTACGACCACCACACCACCAGCGAAGAAGAGAAAGGTGGGTGGCGAGCAGAAGAAACCGTCTTCACTGCCTCCTTTGCCAAGTGCCTTCCGAGACCTGTACTCGTCAACTGTGCGAGCAAGCACGCAAGATGACCCGGCTTTGCACGGTGGTCGTAAGCGTGTGACGCCGCACATTGAGGGCAATTGGCCTGCTCATGTCTACCTAGAATGTAGGTAAAAGCTTCTCCTGAAGAAGAGCACAAAGGTAGGTGACTAACACGTTTGAGGGAACCCTACGCCTGAGGAGTACAAAATACTGTCTTCTTGTATCAACCAGAAATCTACAAATATAAGCGACGACGGTGTCGAAATTCACAGTCTTCTGCAGAACGATCTAGGCGTGTCCTTGCCGCTTCACGTCTCTCTATCCAGACCGCTGGTCCTGAAGACCGAGCAAAAGGCACCATTCCTGGAGCAGCTCAAGCAAAATATCATAACAAGTACGGCGAGAACTTTCAGTGCAAAACCTGTGTCTTTGCGATGGCATCCGAACGAAACTTCGACCCGCTGGTTCTTGGTACTCCAGCTGGGTAGACCACCCAGAGACGAGCTCGCGAAGCTGCTTGCTGCATGCAACACTGTCGCCTCCGCTTTCGACCAGCCATTACTCTACGCAGATGACGAGAAAGCTGCCACTCCATCGGAATCCGCTGACGACGAGGAAAGAGCTGGCCGCTCCCATATAAGCGTTGCCTGGTCACTGGAAGCACAGACGACATCTGGTACTCATCTGACTGCTACAGCTAAGCAGGATCCAGCTTTGTCAGACGACCACAGTCCATCGACAAGCGGCTCTTACGCTGAGCTTGATGTAGCATTCGCGGAGATGAAGGTCCGTATTGGACAAGACGTAGAGACCATTCCATTGCCAGCTCTACGGAGATTCAGATAATCGGTATTCTTATGTCGAATATGAGCCTCTTCCTCATGATGGTAGTAGTCATACACTCTTGGTCATGGCTTGGGCGACGCGATTTGCATGACTTTCGTCGAAGATGTAGTCGACTGCACGATTCTCTCGGATATGTGGCTTCAGGTCTGGCCGTGAAGGTGTGTGTGACCAATAGCGATGCGCTGGGTTGTCCCTCGATATCTACACGAGACAGTTCGGTACTTGCTGAGCCGCGTGCATGACTATGATTTATGAGAAGACAAGCCATGGGATATGGACTGTGATACGACAGGTCTTGCACACTCGACAGCAGTCATCCAATCTGCGCGACCCCAGTCATATACACTTTTACATGAGGCTCGAGAAAATAATCTACCCTCCCCAACCGCACCACCCATACCCAAGCCCTATCTACGATTGCGTAGGCATATTCGTCCCCGCCCTCGTACTAGTAGCATCCGCCGCCGCCCAAAAACTCGTAACAGTCTTCTGCTGCGTATAAAACATCATACCCGGCTTCCCATAAAACGTGTTCGCCCCACCCCCGGCCACGGACTTCTTATTGCCCGTGAAAGAAAACATAGGCAATGGTACTGGGATAGGGACATTGATGCCAACTTGACCGGCCTCGATCTCCTTCTGGAAGCGTTGGGCGGTGGCGCCGGAGGAGGTGAAGACGGCGACGCCGTTGCCGTATTCGTTGCTGTTTATCAAGTCGACGGCTTCCTCGAAGGTGTCGACGTTGAGGCAGACGAGGACGGGACCGAAGATTTCTTCGCGGTAGCAGGTCATGTCTTTTGTTACGTTGGCGATGATTGTTGGGCCGACCTGGGACAGTATTAGTCAAGACTCGTATCACAGGATGAAGACAATTGCATGAACTCACCCAATTGCCATCAGGATACTTCTCCGGCTTCTGATTCCTGCCATCCAATACGATCGTCGCGCCCTCCTTCTCCGCCGAGTCAATAAGACTGACAATCCTCTCCTTCGCCTGCGGTGAGATAACAGGACCCAGATCCGTGCCCTCCTCAAACCCACCATTCATCTTCAGACCCTTCGCCCTCTCCGCAATCTCCGGCGCCCAGTCCTTCGTCTCGCCAACAAGAACCAAAGTACTCAACGCCATACACCTCTGCCCAGCAGCGCCGAAAGCAGCACCAGCAATAGCATTGAGAGCATGATTCTTATTGCAATCCGGAAGCACAGCAGCATGGTTCTTCGCTCCCAAATTGGCCTGGACACGCTTACCATTGGCCGAAGCACGCTGGTAGATATACTCTCCCGCCTTATTGCTTCCGACGAACGAAATCGCCTTGATCCTCGGCTCATCGAGGATGAAGTCCACAGTCTTAGCAGAACCATGAATGATATTCACCACACCCGGTGGAAACCCAGCCTTCTCCGCCAACTCCGCCAGGATCATCGTAGCGCCTGGATCCCGCTCCGAAGGCTTGATGATACAGGTATTCCCCGTAATCGTTGCGATAGGGATGGTCCACAAAGGAATCATAGCGGGGAAGTTGAAAGGACATATCGCGGCCACCACACCAAGCGGCTCGCGATAAGATCTCGTCTCCATATCCTTAGCAACCTCCAACACCTCACCCTGCATCTGCGTAGTAATCCCACAGGCCGTCTCCGCGACCTGAAGTCCACGTAGCACATCGCCCCTCGCATCCGCGAAAGTCTTGCCCTGCTCCAATGTAATGCTCGCAGCCAACCGATCCCAATTCTCCCGGATCAGAGCGACATACTTGAACATCAACTGCTGTCTATGCAACAGACTCGTAGCTTTCCACGCCGGAAAAGCCTTCTGGGCGCTATCGACCGCAGCCGTCATCTCCGCATCGGTCTGCTGCGGAACACGAGTGACGAGGTTGTTGGTCGCGGGATCGTAGAGATCGATCCATTGCTCTGCCTGCGAAGCGACGAACTTGTTGTCCACGAATGCGGGTGTGTCGGCGGGCTTCTGGATCTGGTCGTGGGAGGTCGGGTAGGAAGATGCGGAGGTCGCGAGGGCTTGGTTGAGGTGGGAGGTCGTGGCGTGGAGTCTTCGTACGGCCGTCGCATGGATGTTATGTGAAGGTGCCATTCTCGTGGCTTTGCAGGAGGCAGCTGCAATTGGTCGTCTGGTCAAGGTCTGGAGGGTTCGACTCGAGACTCGTCTTGCGGCCATGGTTTTGTAGTCTAGCTCTGGTGAGCTTTCGTCTAGCTCAAGCCGAGCTTGCTTCCTACGCAATCAACAGTTCTGTTCGCCGTCGACTACTGAAAGTGACAGCAATGCTTGACCGAGAAAGTGTAATGTAGAACACATAAAACAATAGAAACCTATCTATCTAACGCAATGTGGGGCCCAGCATAATGTCATCCATTCTATCCTCGGTAAATATGATCCCGACCGACTCAAGCTCCCCAGTGCCGTACCGCCTCCGATACAGCCGCTCATAGCCGCACAATGCCTTCACTGCAAGGCCAGAGAACGAAGGGAGAAGGAACGACGGAAAGCGTGATACGAAAGGCATGGAATAGAGTTGAAGACATTTTCCGCTAAGACATAAGCATTCATACGCTTTCTACAACACAGCATAGGTCCATGTAGCCACGAAATTACCAAGAGATCTTTCTCCCCATCCCTCGCGCAATAGTGATATCTTTGTAAGACGCCTTCCTCCACATCCCTCCAAACATCCTCGCTCGCACGCATACACATGTCAACAGCCCAATTCAAACTCTACTGAGCCGAGCTCCTCGTGCTCCTCTTGTTCACCTCATCCCTGACCTGCTCAGTGCCCGAAGCGACAGCGTCAGCGACCTGATCCTTGACCTGCTTCGCCTTAGCCTGAGCCTGATCTGCCTGCCTCTTGATCTCCTCCTTCGAAGGGGCGGCCGCGGCACCACCGCCAATCAGCCCACCAACGACCAGGATAAGCGTGACAAGACCAATAGCCAGACCACCAGCGACCTCGGGAACGAATCGGACAGCCTCCATGGGATCACGCTTGGCGATCTCGAAGAAGAGCTGGACCTTCTCCTTGACGTAGAAGACTGGGTCGTCCATGAACTTCAGGTCCAGAGGGCTCTTGGGGTCGGTAGACTTCTCATCAGGCTTGGGCTTCTCAGCCTCCTCTTCCTCCTTCTCGACGGCGACCTTGACATCGAAGGTCTCGGCTTGAAGAGCGGCGGCGTCGGACTCGGAGTGGCCGATGTAGATGTTGTCGAAGAGAATGTCGTTCTGCATGGTCCAGATCTCGAAGCCGATCTACGTAGTCATGTCAGCAGCTGCACCTCTCATGCAAATTTGGTACCACTTACAGCTCCCATAGGCTCAAACTTGGCAGGAGTCTTGTCGTCGAAGTAATCAGGGTTGGCGATCTTGCGAGGAGCCCACACACCCTTGTATGCCGGGTTGTCGATCTGAGGCGCGCTCCACTTGCCCTTGTACTCTGGGTTGCGGATCATTGGCTTCTCCCACGGGCCAAGACCAGAAACACCCTCACCCTTGGGGTTGGGGACCATAGGAGCGACCCAGTCGCCATCCTCCTCGTCTTCCCAATCCTCTGGCTTCTCAGCCTCGGGGTCAGCGACCATGGATGGCTCATCGACAAGCCAGTCCTCAGGCATGGTGGCCTCCTCGTCGACAACCTCGTATGGCGCATCCTCGTCCCAGTCCTCTGGCTTTTTGGCCTCAGGGTCTGCGATACGGGCCTCGTCAACCCAGGAGGAAGGCTTCTCGTCCTTGGCGTCATCAATTTCCTTCTCGGGGTTGACAGCCGGGCTGAAGTCCTCAAGAAGAGAGCCGTTCTTGACGCTGCCACCATCGATCTTGATCTCGAAAGTCTGGTCGGGGCGGACGATGAGGGTGTAGAGGGTGGTAGTTTTGGTGATGCGAGCTGGCGGTGGGTTGCTCAGGTGCTTCTCCTCGTACTCGCCAGTCTTCGGGTTCTTGTGGCGGAAGATGAAGTGAACCTTGTTGGTAGCGCCGCACTTGTCGGGACCGAACATGATGATGTAGGGAGAGGCGTTGGAGAACTCCTCGGCGTGGAGGGCCTTGTTGTCTTGAAGGAGCTTCATGTAGGCACCACCGCACTCAAGGCCGCCCTGGAGCTTGACCTCATATTGTACGACAAGAGTGTTGTCCTTGTTGGTGATGGCCTTGGGGAACTTGGCAGAGATGGCGTGATGGGCAGCCTTGTCCTTGAGTACGAGGCCCTTGTCGCCGTGCATACCGCGAAGGACGGAGGGCTCCTCGACACTCCAGGTGCCAACGTACGCCCACTCCTCTTCGGTGTTCTCCTTCTTGGCATGCGAGGCCTGCCATCTGCTATCCCAATCATCTGTGAACTGCTCAAGGAAAGGTGCCTTGAGGGTTGTGGGCTGGTGAAGCTGTTAGCACATGAAGACATAACATGTTCACTGTTTGTATGACTTACTGTGAAAGTTGGCTTGGCCACAGCGGAGGATGTGACCGACTCTACCACCGAGCCAACTGAGCTGGAAGCCTCAGCAGCAGCAGAAGAGACGGAAGATGCAGCATCCTCAAGGTCGTCTTGTGCATGTGAAATAGCTGCATAGCAGCCCAAGGCGAGAAGGGCGGTGACACGCATGATGGCGGTGTTGCCTCTCAGTGTGTAGAAAGAAAGATGACGAGAGAAGGGTGAATTCTTCTCAGGTCGATATGTGTGAGGGCGGAGGATATATAAGTCCAATCGACTTTGTGGAGGAATAAATTGAGGATTCGCGAGTGCCAGCTGGCTTGAAAGTCAAGCTCCGAGCGCATTGGAACGAAGGTGGGGAAAACGAAAGACGGCTCGCGGGTAGTACCGTCACACATGTCTGTTTGAGTAGCAATCACATGATCTCGATCACGAATGTGAACGCACGAGTTTGTTGCATATGGCAGTTCGAGATGCATGATCAAGGGAGACTTCTGGAAAGAGACTGAGCAGCTGTCTAATGTTATGTGACCTTTGTCTTCAGTGCGGCGATAAGTATTTACGTTCATGTTGCACTCACTCTCCCATTATAGCCCATATCCCTCATATACAATCATCTAACATATACCTCCCACACCCAGCTCAAAACTGTGCTTGCTTCGAAGCAACCATCACCCCACTACTCTCCAGCCCAGACTTGAACATATTCTTCAAATCCCCATCCCTGCCCTTGCCACCTTTCTTCTCATCCTTCGCCTTCGCCTCCTCTTTCCCATCCACCTCCACCTTCTGCAAACTCTCCAAAAACATCTTCTCAACCATCTTCCTCCCAACCTTCTCCGCTTCCTCCGTCCCATCACCAGCAACCTTCTCATCAAGCGCCAGCTTCGACTCACCCAGAGCATGAATTTGCTCTTCGATCGTACCCTTGGTCACAAGCCTAACCACCTCAACCTCACGTGTCTGACCAACACGATGAGCACGGTTTTCAGCCTGGATGTCGTCTTGCGGGTTAAAGCCAGAGTCGAAGATGATGACTTTATTCGCTGCAGCCAGGTTGATGCCTGCACCTCCAGCTCGAGTTGACAGCATGAAGACGGTGATGGTCTTGTCCTCATAAAATTGGTCAATCATATCCTGCCGCACCTCCATCTTGGTCGAGCCATCAAGCCGCATGAACTTGATACCCAGAGTCTCAAGCACAGCCTCAAGAATATCCATGAGCGTGGTGAATTGTGAGAAGACTAGCACGCGATCGCTGTTCTTGGCATATGCCGTGACAAGCTCCTCGAACTTCTTCACCTTGCCGCTGTCCATCCACTCTCTCTTCTTAAGCGTGTAGCGATCAAGATATGGCCTCTCAGCACAGAACTTGTGCAGCCCGTAATCGCCTCCCTCAAGCTTCTGGCCAGTCTTAGCCTCGCCATTGATGTAAGCGCGAACCTTCTCTGGCGGGTTAGTAGAGAACTCCTCATGTCGGACGAGCGCTGACACAATCTTGTCGATCTTGGCATCGGTGTATATACGTCGACTCAGGAGCGGCTGAATCGCAGCTTTACGAAGAGACATCATAATATTTGAGCTCTTCTTGGCTCGCTCGGCAGCCCTACCTGATTGGAGGGCTTCCCTAGCTTCGACGATAAGACCATTGTAGAAACTGGCTTGCGTGGCGGTCATGTCACACCACTCGACTCGACTATGCTTAGCTGGAAGTTCCAGGACCTGCGCCTTCTTTCGCCGTAGGATGAAAGGCGTCATCATGGTGCGCGCGCGTGCAATACGATCAGCTGCCAGCATAGCCGTATTGCTAGTATCCTTCGTGCTTGCCTTCTGGTCGAAGATGAAATTAAGCCTATCCCGCTTCTCATGGAAAATGCCCGGCATGATGAAGGCGAGGATGGCCACGAGTTCCTGTAGATTGTTCTGCAGTGGTGTGCCAGTAAGCAATAGCCTAAAGTCTGCCTTGATCTTCGCAAGTTGCTGGTAACGATCCGTAGTTGGATTGCGAAGCAGATGTGCTTCGTCGAACACGCAGACCGCGGGATCGATTTGCTTCCGCAAGAACTGGTTGTCTTCGACTTTGACGGCGACATCGTAGGTGGTCACGACGACATCGATCTCGTGGAACTCGTCCTCGATTCTCACACGTTGCTCAGCGCGCTCTGCCTGCGTGCCATAGTAAGGGACTACACGAAGGTCTGGGGCGAAGCGGCCGAACTCTCGTAGCCAATTGGCGATCGTCGACCCAGGCACAATGATGAGGTGCACGCCGTCGACTTCTGATTCTTGCAAATGTGCAAGGAACGAGATGACCTGACAAGTCTTGCCGAGACCCATGTCATCGGCGAGGATACAGGAGATCTTCTTGTCCCACAGAAGATTCAACCAATTTAGACCCACAAGCTGATAATCTTTCAGCCTAAGAACCTGATCCATAGTCTTCGGCTGCTTCAGGAAGTTGCCCCTCCTGGCTGGTAAGTCATCGGAAGATGTCGAGCTCGCTGGAGTGCCGATCCCAGAGTCATGTGCATCATCCAGATTCATGAGCTCCAGCTCTCCATCGTCACGATTCATGCTCCAACCCTTCAATGCCTTCTGTATCGGCTTGGCAATCTTGGCGCACTCCTCTACCAGCTCATCGACAGCTTCATAGCCAGCCAACATAGCCCACGAGTCGTCGACTAGCTTATCACCAATCGGTCTAGACCGCGACTTTGGTCCAGCTTTGCTGACCGTGCGGACGACATCCACACTGGCGAAGGGTCGCTGCTCAATGACGAAAGCAGTGATGTCCTCCGGCTGGCCAGAGAGCTCGGATAGTTCTCGTGCAGTGGCATCGTTGAACATCTTGAGCAGGCGCGTTTCGAAAGCTGATTCGACAGGAGCCACTTCCTCGACGTCTTCACTTACATCCCTACCTACACCCGAGTCGTCATCGTCCTCGTCGTCGTCGATGGTGATTACAGCCCTCTGCTTTTGCTGAATCTTTTGCCTCGGCTGAGGCGGCTTCTGTGCCGGCGGCGAAGAAGGCGGACTTGGCTCTCGATTGGGCTTCCGTCCCTTGAGTAGCCTACCTTTCGGTCTGACCTCCTCCTCGTCCTCTTCTTCCGACTCATCAGCGAGGGTAGGACGTGACGGCTTGCGCTGAGTAGCACCATAGCGCTCCGCAATCGTTTTCGAGGGGATCTTGACCTCCTGCTTGGCAGTTGGTCGTGGAGCTTGCGATGCTTGCAATTGTGAGGACTTGCTCATGGCGACACCACGTCTCATGACTGGACTCATAGTCGACAGCTCATCTGGGCCATCATCGGGGCCGTCATTCCGCCTCCCACCGACGTCACTGAAAGGCGGTGGGTCCTCTGTCGTAGCTAGCCATTCCATGGCATCATCTACGTTGCCACGCTTGGCAGCAAGAGCATCATGACAACGCTGCACGCTCTCGTCCGTCAAGATCAGGCGTATGCTCTCTATCTTCTTCCGTACGATATAGTCCTCAACATCCTCGAGAGTCCTGTATCGTACGGCATTGACCGGAACAGCACGTGCGGGCATCTGCTGACGTTGCTGTGGCCGTACATGACGTGTGACACCGCCATATGATGCTGCTAAATCATCTGCAGCAGGACGCCTGTATTGATTTTGATGACTCGAGTCGTGCGTAAAGCCAGCCATGAGACTAGCAAAGGTGCTTGGCCCGCCACTCGAAGCAACCGGTCGAGGCGACTCGCGGATTGTCTGATCGCTACTGGGAGCACTGCTCCTGTTTGGCGTGGAGTCGAGCCCACGTCCACCATTCCGAAACACAGTCGGTCTGATATTCGAGCTCAAGCCTTGCGTTTCTTCGTCAGAGCTATGCAGTACTGGTGGGTCGTCATCGCTGTCATCGAGTGCGATAGGCGTCGGCCGAGACTGCACACCCAAAGGTTGGCGAAAGTTTGTGCCTGCCGGCGCAAGTGCTTGTGATAGGTAGCTGCCTCTTGGTCTCTTGAAAACAGGATGTGCAGGCCCTGCTGGCGCAGGAGAGACAGTAGCTGCAGCTGGAGGAGAACTCCGACCGACCAGAACGTCACTACTCGGAGGGGACGGTCTCTTTTGAGTGAGTGGCTGTGTAGGCTGTGTGACGTGCTGCGATCGTTGCTGGGAAGACAGTAATTGTGTAGGTTGTGTCATATGAGCTGTTCGCTGTGGCTGCTGCGTGCCTCTCATGGTCATCGAGTCCATATCTGTGTGAAAGGCGCTCGCCGGGTATGACAGTTGCTTCGACTTGGCAGCGGCCAGCGGCATGGTAGCAAGAGTCTCATAGTCCTCCTCGCCGACGAGGTCGTCGCCGCTGTCGTTCTCCGAGTCCCAAGGTTTGGCTGTACCATTCAGTCTCCTCCTCTTATTCGGCGTCGAGTCAGATATAGGATCCGAGTCCGCCATCGTGTGGATTCGTGGTCGTGATTCGTGAAGGTGCGATTCGATGTCTGTCCGGTGAAGCACATACGCTGTTGCACTCTATGCGTCTGTCGATCGTGCTTGAAGCCTTGTTGCTTAGAGGAGCACCACGCAAAGCACACTCCCCATCCAATGAACCGTGTGTGGAAATATATAGTCAGTGAATGGAGAAAAGCCCAAAGAAGTCCGTGTAACACAAGAGCACGCGAGACGCGAGTGAAGTCTCTCGCTAGCGCGGCGCAGCAAGCAGCAGAAGCCGACGTCAATCAAAGGCTACCACGAAACAAAGAAAGAGTATTCACCATTCACAAGATCGAATTATGGCGACGCAAAGAAGAATCATATCAGAGGAAAAGACCGCCCTCGACCAAGACGACACCGCGAACATCAAGAGCGATGTTACACCCGCCGTGGCTCCGTACGCAAATACCAACAACATATGCTGCACGGGACATCACGAGGCTGATATGAGTATGATAGCGCCACCATAGCAAAACTCCTAGGCTTCACCTTCGCCATGATCACTCTACCGCTAGGATCCTACTTTGCATCTGTCAATCTCTTGTTCTCCGGTACATACTCACATTTCACATCTCACCCAGGACACCTCCAAGACTGACACACGTCTAGGCAACGCAACATACGCCGGAGCCCTAGCAGCAATCATGGCCAACGTCGTCCTGATCGGCTACATCATCGTCGCCTTCCAAGACGACAAGACGGAACGAGAAATGGACGCTGCTGACGAGAAGAAGAAATCACGATGAGGCAGGGACGACTTCAAGATGCGGCGTGTCTGGGCGCTGGAAATGCTTCATTACAGTTCGAATTGTGGATCACGCAGAAGCACCGCCCGTGTGATTTTGTCTACTCCTGCTCCAACCACATGCATATGCTTCTCAAATTTTTCGTGGTCGAGGAGTCGAGTGATTCGCCCCTTCGAAGTCTGCTTCAGCTCTGACGGTATCCATTTTCGGTGTGCTGATGCAAACGTGAGACGCTACCGGCAGTCCTGCCGTTACTTCCAACGTGCACACCACCATCTCCTTTCGCATCGTATACAGGCTTATAGTTGCTGCCATGCTGAACAATACTCGCCACCCAAACACCCAGAAACGCCTGGCGATGCAAGATTATCCACTCCCACAATTTCAACGCCATCAATAAACAATTTCATGGCCTCCAGAGCACTGTGCAGCCCAAGTTCGTGATTGTTCGTATCGATGCTTTAGTGGTTACTACTCCTTCTTACTAAAGCGGCGCTTCAACCACCCCTTCTTCTTCTCTTCCTGCCCAGGCTTGCCCCTCGCAGCCGAAGGCAGCTTGCCCGGAGGCGGCGGGGCAATAGGCTCACCCGTAGCATTTCCCAGCGGAATCGGACGGCGCGGAGCCGGCTGTTGAGGGTACTGCACCGGTCCACCATACGCCGGTCCAGCACTACCTTCCTCCGTGATAGGTGCGCGACTGTTATAACCATTCTGTCCGTATCCGCCGCCATTGTTGCCGTACACGTTCCGGTCAATCGAGCTATTCTCGCTACTAGGGTCTGTGCTGTTCGCCCAGGGACCCGTGCTATCGCTGCCATCGGTGTTCATCGTATTCTGGCTCTGATGGTAGTTGTGCTGGCCGTATGGTCGTTGTTGGTGTGAAGGCATGGCGCCTTCGGACATGACGCGGTTGCCGTATCGGTGGCGTTGTTGGCCTGGGCTACCACCGAATTGGCTGTCGGGTCGGCGGTCACCGTAGTAGCCTCCGCTCATAGCGGAGTGTCGACCAGGGCTTGGACCGGACTCGTAGCCTGTGAACAGGTTGTTGGCGGTTGATCGGCGTTTGGAGTTACGCTGGGAAGACTCACCGAAGTAGGCACTACTTCTCCTGCTGCCATTTTGGTTGCTGGGGTCATGTGCTGGTTCTGTAGAGTGTCAGATGTAGCTCTTATCTCCACCTGATCCATGCCAACTTACGAGAAGCTAGGTATGATGATCTTCTTTTGTACCCATTATCGATGGCCTTCTCAAATGATCGAATTGTGTCTAATGGTCTCTCCAGACGGGGACGAGTTGGGTTGGACAAGTCAGGGTCAACTGTTGATGAGCATTAGCAAGAGGACTAGGATCTTCACTTCGATATTCTGAGCTTACCAATGACATTGCCGTTGACATCCTTATGCGATCCAGATCGTAGTGATGCGAGCGTCGACTGCTCGGTAAGGTTGAGTACTTTGCTCACATCAGCATCACTCTGAATGCCAGTAATGTTGACGTTCGTGGCAGCACGCTCGATGTCCGTCATGATGAAGATCTGATTGACATAAGGTCAAGAAATACGAGAAGCTCCAAGCTCAAGCAAAAAAAGTTATCGACAGCTAAAGCTCAATGATGCAAGGAACGATATCACGCAACCAGTGTCATAACGGGGAAGGATGTCTTACCACCGGGTTGCGCCTCATTGAGCGCAGCATTGGGATTAGCTTTGCTTGTGTTCTTATAGATACTATCGCGACGAGCCTTGTCCTCCGGCGACTCGGTCAGGTCCACTTTTCCCTTGGAGCCAGCGCTCTTATCGCTGCGAAAGGAGAAGCCGCGCGAACGTGCACGCGGCGATGATGACGGCGGCTGGTCCATGCCCGGCGGTGATGGTTGGTGCCGCGTTGAATGTCTGGGGAAGTAGTGGCGTGGGCGGGTCTGAGTCCGTCTGTTTCGGCGGTGGACAGGGTGCGGTTCGTGATCGTCGTTCGTTGAAGCTGGATGTGTCGGGGAATTGGTCGGATGCGCTACCAGCTGTAGTGACGGACTCAACGGTCTGAAGCGGTGCGTAGCGACAAACGCAGTGACTGTCTGATGATCCTGGGCCGGCTGTTCAGGTGGCGGCGATTATCCACGTGCTTGTCAAAACGAGCGTGTGTCTTCCAGACTGGTTGACGATGATGGAGGAGGTGAAAAAAGCTATGAGAACGAGCAGAGCTACTGGCAGGCGAACTAATGCTTCCCGCATGAATATTAAATAAAGCTATGGTGTACGCGCAGCCTCCGAGAGCCCGATTGTGCAGCGGCCTGCGTGTGTGAGATGCTGCCGCGCGGAGTGGCTCGACGTACGATTGGAACAAGCTCCGGCTGGGTGGCTGGGATCCTCTTTCGACGTGGGGTTTGGCTTTAGCGTGGTAATTGATGGCGATTAGACACGAAGTGCATAAAGAGGTTGCATGAGTCTAGGTCGTGTTGGCGGTCTATGGAAAACTGGACGGAAAACTGGACGGATTGCTTTGAAGTTGGCAGCAACATTCGGTCATCACCGTGGCACGCCTCGCTCCTGGCAATATTAATCACAAGCAGACATGGACATGTAGCTGGGCAGCACGATTTGCTTGTTCAACATGATTTGCAAAGCTCTCAACCAAAATACATGCAATGTACATGGATACTTGCATGCCCGCGAATGCGAGTCTCGGGTTTTTTTGATTCTCGACCTATCAGAGCTTTCTACACTGTCGTTTGAGCGACGATCCTGCTACATTCCTACCGCTTTTCTGTTCCGTTGTAGACGCTTTTTGATCTACAAAGACGCTACTGTAGAAACAATAAAATTGCCACTCTGCGTAACTGGACTCTCGCGGCACAGAGGTCGACGTTTTCAAGGGTGTTTTTCTTGGCTCCACGCGTCGAGGCCGGTCATCTTTGCATATTGAGCTCATTGGTCGTTAGATATCTCAAGCTAGAGGACGCCCCCGTCTTGGCAGCCTCATTCTTGAATTCCGCCAGAAACGACTTTCTTTGGTCTCGCACGCGTGCCATGAAGCAGATCTTTGTGATTTGAACACACGACGATGATATTTCACCCGAGCTCTTTCTTGCGGATGTGCACATCAGTCTGTGATGTTTGACATGAATGCGCGAGAGAGGGTGGTTGAGCAAAAGTCTCACCGAAGAGATCTCCATCATCACGTGAGTACCACACCTGACCAGCACTATCACTTCATATGCACTCATTGCTCTCCTTCTCCCGATCCGTCAGGCACCTGGGTGACACGGTCGTGCACGTTCAAGCTTGCATAGCTATAAGCACCAGTGAATACATGTTCACCATGTGGTCGTCGCAAAAATGACCATCACAAGCTACAGGCCCCTGAAAGTGAGGCGAGAGAGTGCGCTTCGAGCCACTCGAAAGCTGGGAACGAAGGCGACTGCCACGCATATACACGACTTCACGATATTACTCCAGCGCTACATCTACACCTTCCTCCTCCGCTTCGTCTTCCTCACAACCTTTCCTTCCACCTCCAGCACTTTCCTCTCACCCTCCTCAAACTCCCGCTTAATTCCCCTCTCCACCACCTTCACCTCCTTCTCAACCACCGTCTCCACCTCCTCGCCCTCCTCTACCTTAACCTCAACATCCTCTTCCTTCTTCTCAACTTTAGCAACCAATCTCTCACCAAACGCCCTCAAATCCGCAGTAAAAAGCACACTATGCGCCCAGCCCGCCTCTTTGCCCCATAGACTCCTGAACTTCGCTCCCACGGCATCGTACGTCGCTTTCGTCAAGCTAGCATGCTTGCCCTTGCCGAACTTGTAGTCTCGTTGTGCGATTTGCCAGACGTGGGTATCTACTGGTACTGCTTCACCCCAGCCTAAACCCATAAGGCAGACGCAGTCGGCGACTTTGGGACCAACGCCTTGAAGTTCCAGGAGCGCTTCGTGGGCTTCTCGATAGCCTTCGCGACCTTCTGGAGCCCACTCGCCTGCTGGGAGTGCTTTTGCGCCAAGGAGAGGCGACTCGGGGTTGCGGAGAGACTCTAGCCATCCCTTCGGCTTCTCACTGACAATTCGTGCCGTCGTCGCGAGGTATTTTGCTCGGTACCCGAATCCTAGCGACCGTAGTTTTGCTTCTACCCCTTCTTGTGCGAGTGTCTCAGGCTCTGGAAAATCGTGGTAGGGTTCTCCTTCGAAGTGGCCGAGTAAGGGGCCGTAGTTTATGCAAAGCTTGTGTATCATTTGACTGATCCGTATGATGTTGTTGTTACTGCTGCATATGAAGCCCACTAATGCCTCCCAAGCGTCCTGCTTCAGTATTCGTACGCCAGCGAACTTTGGCGCCTTCTTGGCAAAGTTCGCGTCTGCTGCTGACCATTGCTGGTATAGTTCTGTCAGGTTCGGCGTAAGGTTGAAGTAGTGCTTCAGGAGGTCAAGGGTATCATCGTTCGTCTCGGGTGCAACCGACGGCGGATTCGAGCTTGGCGGTGTAGGTGGGGTCTGTAGTGCCGACGGCGGTATTGACTTGTAGTGGAGGTATTCCGGATCCTGATGGAGACATAGTATGCGGTTGTGTAGGGCCATGGACCAGACGCCCGCATCGCTCTTGCGCCATCGGAAGGATTGGCCGCAGCGGAGACTGGTGTTGATGCACAGTTCTTTGAGGGAGACGGGCAGCTTGTGCCATTCGGCGAGGTTGAGGGCGCCCATGATAGAATCCTGTGATTGTCGTGGTGGTGGATGAGCTATGCCAGTACTTCATGGAAGTTCTGAGGATGAGCCTCGGGAAGGAGTCCGAGAGTCGCGACTTGGTGACGTGACTCGCGACAGTTTCGCGAACTGCTTTTACACCTCGACTGCACTCTGAGCCTCTGAGGGAGATTTGCATCCAGAACGCTGTGGCTGTAAGAGTTTACATTTACATAAGAATGAATAATACACTGGTAGACTATGCGCTCTATCATACGATACTCCATCGGACGATATCCCGTCTGACGACATTCCTTGGATCGAGCAAGAAAGAAACATATTTGCAGGACGCATCTAGCTGACGATGCGACCAGTACCGCTGAAGTGATCAACGGTGCACGTACTCGACCGCTACTTGAGCAAGTCTGAGTCCGCGATCAAAGCCACCTAGGAAGCATCTCATTCATTGCCATGCCCTCAGCTGGGCACCCATTGGTATCTGACCAGATGGTAGATCCACATTGTATGACAGTCACAGGAACGATCAGACCACGACAGAACCAGTTTCACTGCCATTCGGAGAATCCGTCACGAAGCGATAGGGCTTCTCGTCTACTGGCAGATCCGTACATGTAACATATCAGCAGGACACTCAACTACCCATCACACTTGCGACGAACTCAGCAAGGTCCCCCCCTTCAGCAGCTTCCGTACTACCAGAAGCCTGAAATCGCTTGAAAACAAACCTGAGCATCATTCTGGTGCTTTCCAGATCTTTTGCCAACGGCGCGCACGTGGTGCAACACTCAACGCCGTCAGAAGGCGTGATACTGGTGAATTGAGCCTTGAGGTGCCGTTCGAGTAGATCGAATTGCGACTGCAAAGCGCTTAGATGCATGGACGACGTTTCGAGTGGTGGCATTGAGCTTGAGCTTCGACTGCTGTCGGCTGACGATGGTAGGAGAGGTGGAAAACCAGTGGACTGTGCCATGCATACTGGAGTCGCGTCGCTGAGCTTGATCTTCGCTGAGCCATCTGAAGTAGCGTGCAGGCCTTCTGAGCTGGTCTGAAGTTGCGATGTCTCGGGCCACATGACCTCACCGTAGGCATCGCAAAGAGGTGGATCGTTCATCAGTAAGTCTGATCGGTTCCCTGCTCGTCATATCGCCCAAATTGGCTGATGTCAAGATAATGTGCCGCCGACTGCTGCCCAAGGCCTTGATGCAAGTAGTCCGGCATGACAGTGTCCGACTGGACTCCAAAGCAGGACTCCGCAGCGGTGAATGGAAAACCGCCGGGGACATCGACAAACTCCTGAGGTAACGCATGCTCCGGGATATATCAGGCGGTAGATACCAAGCCATTGTCGTTTCGAGGTCGTTGTGCAACCACACAGACCTGTACTGATCGTATCTCTGGGTATATGGCGGCGGCAGCTGCTGTCACGACATGCTTTGTCGTGGCTGTGCTCTTGCAATTCTTGCGCCGACCCGAAACGCATGACACAAGCAGCGCATACGAAAATGCGGTGCTCAGCGCTCTGAAGATGTTTCCTATTTCAATCAGCGAAGTACGATTCTGGTCGATCAGGGTTGGACCTACAGTAGTTTTGATATGAAGGCATACGACATCTCATGATGTCGATACTCATGTGGAGCACCTATGTAGAATGGACATTGTAGGCCTTGAGGCCTGCATCGTGCTTGGGGATCCTTGCTTCGCCGTGGTCGCTTGCCCCGATCCCCATCTCCACTAGAAGCATCTGTCTCGGAGGCTTCTTCCTGGTTGATCAGCCTGTCGACCTGTCGCTTGCCGCCTTCTTGCGCGGAGTGCTCGTACCAGGTGTATCACTTACCCTCTGTCTCGCAGACTGGCTGGCACCGGGAGAAGTGCCGGGAGTGGTATCAGCACCATCAACGAGAGCATGGTCCTTCGTATGCAATGACTGAACATGCGGCGGTGAGCTGACAGCTGTCTTCTTACGCTGCGTGTAGTATAGTGGGAAATCTTCTTTGCAATGCAGGAAAGCTTGTAGCGGCGTTTTGTGTGGTACCATACTAGATGCTGAGCTACTGGGCCTAGCATCATCTCGAGCTTGCTGAGCTGGCAGATCATCAGCTTCGGTGATGACAGAGAGGAGAAGATCCAGTCGGCTTTGCAAGCTGTTCGCATTTGGCAATGTGTCGGCGGAGCTGTTGCTGCGGTCAGGTGTGCTCACATTAGAGGCGTGATGGAGGTCCGCATCAATAGAATGCTCTTCCATGGCTGATTACTGATCCCGTCGTGAAGAGCAGCGGCTTTGTTGGTCTGCATGTTGAGCTCCATTGTCTACATCGCCGAGGTTTGTTGACGTGCCGGGCGAGAGAAGACCGGAGCCGTGTAGAGGAGAGACCAGAGATGCCTGGTCGCAGTGTCTGTTAGCAGGGTCACGGCTGTCAAGGATGTCCACGAGTTTGCATTCGCTCATGATGTTACCAGCCCGGGGTTGGCCATCAGACTCCACAGCAGCAGAGATGCTTGGAGCCTGAATAAGATCGGCAGTGCTTTGGTCCGTTGTTCTCCTGAGAGGTGCGTGATTATTCCTAGATTCCAGTGTACAAGAAGCACAAATCGTCTGGCCATCATTGATGCGGGACTCGTACACCAAAAAGAATGAATCGCATTGACTGCATCTGTGGCATTTCCCCTCATGTTTGGGACATGACAAAACATCCCCGTACTCCTGTCTCTGTAGCTGCGGCTTTGCTGCTCTTCGCAGCACTCCGTAGATTCATCTTAAGTTGAGAAGTTCCGGGTATTCTGCGAGCTGGAGTAGGCCAGGACCTGGGTTGAAGGACCGTTGTAGGCGAGGCTTACCCGGTTCAACGGCCTTGAAGGAGTCCTTATGGCGACGAAGCAAACGCAGACTGGTCGCTGATGAGTGATCCCCTGGCCTTTTTCTTCCAAATTTAGCAGGCATGTTGTCACCGATGGAGTTTCCAATCGAAGTATCATCTCTCGTCTCAAGAATTTGCTTCGGCGAAAGATTTCCATATTTGTCCAGCTTACGCGGTCTATAAACCCAGATGAACCACAGAACATCTTTTACGATATCCAGAAGGTGAGTGGCAAGCGGCGTGGGACCCAGGGACAATAGTACTGCCGTGGTGCGCACCATGTGCATAAGGAACGCTGCCCGACCATCCAGGGAGGTCGGCACGGGTCGAAATATCAAGGCAGCCATGAAGACCAATGCTATTATCAGTGCAAGGGGCGCCATTGCAAGACCTGTCAAGCTGGATGGAGCGGCTCTGTAGATGAGTACAGGCAGGTAGAATAGATGCCAGCACAGGGCAAGCGTCAGTAAGGTCGCAATTGTGTAATGCTCCACATCCGACAGAACGGCTCTCCAAGTCCTGTCGGATCGTTCGTACCAAGGACGGCTTGACCATTCTTTCGATCGAACAGCAACGTCGGAGCTCTTACTGCGTGAAGGACTTCTGTGTGCTTCCAATGAGTAGGGCGCCATTCGGTGTCGTATGTGTCAGCAGTAACATCCAATTCTTTCATGCAACGAGCAATCTGGTTCTGCGAGTTCGTATCAACAAGCAATCCCTTCAAATGGCCTGTGCCGTAATGAGATGCAGCAGAAGTACATTGCCCGATGCTTCCCGTAAGGCTGGCATTGTGGCGCAATCAGTGACCAGTCACTGACCTACATGCTCCATCGCCGTCTAGGCTCATAACAGCAGCAGCAAAGCACTTTTTAGCCACTGCTCGCAATCTGCATACAGCTGCATGCCCTCGTAATGTACGAGGGTATGTTGACTTCCTGCTCACTAGGGTTGTTGTTCGTGATTAGTGACTGGCTCAGGAGGAAGCACACACTCCCTGCGGCCACAAGTCGTGGCTCAATGACAAAGCGAATCCTTCGGGCTTGCGTGTAGTGAAGAACTCATAGGGTACTGTCACACTACTGACCGCACATAGAGTCGCTGTGACAAGGCCAGTGGCATCGACAGACCTGTATGCCACCCTTGACTGTAGATATAAGAAGCAACATGTATTCCTTCTGTAGCCATCACCAAAACGCCCAACTGCTGCTTCGTTTCGTCCCTCGTACCTATTTGATGAGTACAGTGAGATTATACTTTCACCGCGATGTCCTACCGAGCGTATCTGAATGACACCGAGAGTTGGACGGCAATGCATAAGCCTCCCTCTGACCAGCGTCCTTACGATGGTCCGACTACTTCCGGCCAAGCGACCATCGCCACTTCCACCCAGACCGGTAACCTAACTCTCGATTCGGACTTCCAAGTGGGTTCTTGCTCGAGTACTCTGGACGTACAAGACACCAGTGCATCGGCTTTGCTCGCTGATCTTCAATGTGCTTGGCCGGCTTGGGACGTATCGGACATGGAACATGGTAAAGATGAGATCCAATCTTGGAATCACCTAGGCAGTCATGCACTAGACTCATCAGCAACATCCCGCATAGTGCCGTTGGCACCATGTGCCATGTGTGGTACCCTTCCCAAAAACGAAAGTGATGCAAAGTAAGCCTCCTTCTCATGGAGGAATATGCTGAAAAGATCTGACAGATAGAACAGGCGACATGCATTTCGCCACACCAAGCCCTTCGCCTGTCCACAAGTCGGCTGGGCGCTCCAGCACGGCTTCGGCACGAAACTCGATATGGAGCGCCACCGGGAGAGCGTTCACGGTGAAGCCCCACTCCTCGGTAGCCCAGAGCATTATCAATGCTGTGTGCCGGGATGTCTTCGTGCCGCCAAGATCTGGTCAAGGACTCAATCATTTCCGGTTGCATATCCGACGCCTGCATGGAGAATATGATGTCGGCGCTGTGATCGTGCGGAGCATAGTGTAAGCGGCGGTGTCCTCGGGCCATTGAGGTCAGGGTGGGCAATGTGAGGTACAACACTAGGAGCACGAAAGAACCTAGCATAGTGCTCGCCGCGGGACAACGAGCAGTAGATTTGTTGGCGAAGTAGTAGAATTCTGCCATGGGAGTACAAGGGCGTTGATCAGCGTAGCGAGGCAGGACCTAGCCACTTTCCAAAACCTTCCTAGCAGAATCCACAATCCTCTTGACCTCCCCCGTCCCCTTCTCGACAACCTTCTCCATCAACGTCCCCGCCTTCTTCAGATCATCCGGCCGTGCACTCTTCGCCACCTGCAGCGCCCTTAGCTTCTTCTGCTGTTTACCCCTTGCATCCCTCAGACTCGTTCCAGCTTTCTCGCCAGCTTTGGAAGCCTCGTCGACCACGGCTTTCCGACTCTCGGCTGTAGGAGGCGGGATGTTGATGAGCAGGAGTAATGGGTTGGTGCCTGTGGGGTCGGCTTGGGGTGTCAGGGAGAGGGTGGAGGATTGGATGGCGGTGGTTATGGGCTTTATGTGCTGTGTTTTCGTCAGCTTCACATCCTCTCACTGGCTTTACGAAGATGGACGCACATCTTTCTCCCCAACCATAATTTGCACCACCCGTCCTTTGGGTATCACTTGAGCCACATCACTCAATTTCACAGTCTGGTTACTGCTTTTATCCGGCTGTACTCGTAGATTCTCCAGGACTTCAGGGTTGAAGCGGCCACCTGCTCGGAGTCTCGAGAGGTTGTTCTTTAGTCGTTCCACGGCAGATGCGATATCGGCTTCGAGGGTGGTGAAGTCGAAGGGGTCGTCCGTGGCTGTGCCGCCGGCATTTCCTTTCGCACTGGTGGGAGATGTGCTTGATTTCTCTTCACGAGCTGCTTTGCCACCTTTCTTAAATAGTGCTGGATACGTGCTGAAAGGTCTATGAGGTGGCGATGGTGGTATGGGGCCTTGACGTCTCCATCTTCGTATGTTCAAGGCACATTGAGCGCATATTTGTGGTCTGTCAACATGATGAGTTCTGTTCACGTGCTTGTCCGATCTCATTACGTACCTCACATAGCTCTCGCGTACAGGCAACAAACCTTGTTGCCTGTTGACGTGCCTGCTCGATCGGGACAATGCGATGAGTTCAGTGAATGCTCGAGACATTTTTCGGTGCTGACTTCCATCACGCGAGCACATGTGAAGCTCCAGTAGCCTGCGGACACAGCCGGCGCAAGGTGGCTCGTGCGCGGTCCGGCCGTACATATGGATGTGCTTTCCATGAACAACTACCACGAACATCAACACACAAACTCTCACAGGGGGCACAACACCACTGTCACGACAACAACGGGCCATATCCATACTCTAGCCACCCTCACACACTCCTCCCACGCCGTCACGTGCGACACACCACCCAGCATGGCGACAACCATGACCGCCGCCTCACTGGCCGACTCAGGCAAACAGATCGTCAAGGCAGCCGAAGGCGGCGACCCTCCCTCGACCCTGCTCTCCCTCCTCCAACCCCTCACCAAATTCACAGCGACCGAGGACCTTCTACGGCAAAGCAAAATCGGCATAGCAGTCAACAAGCTAAGACAAAACAAGGATCCCAAAGTCGCCCAACAAGCCTCGCAATTAATCAACAAATGGAAGATCGATGTGAAAGGGAGTGCGAAACATAAGGGGAGCTCACCGGCGCCGGGAACAGCGAGAGCAGTAGGAGCAGCTGCACACGGAGCAAGCCGAGATGCGACGAGCAGTCCGGCACCGAAAGCAGATGGAATTGTGAAGAAGGAACCCGCAGCACCCGCAGCACGCAAAAGCAAAGTCCCGCCCGAAAAGCGAGACTTTAAAGCCGACGAAGTCAACACCGCCCTCACCGCTGACCCCGCCCGCAACGCCTGCATAGGCCTCATCTACAACGGCCTCGCCTACCTCTCCACTGTCCCACCCAGCAATGTAATAACCATCGCCCGCTCCGTCGAACTAGCGTGTTACGAGTCGCACAAGCAGGACACCAGCGCAGCCTACAAACAGAAGATCCGGTCACTATTCCAGAATCTGAAAATGAAGGGGAATGAGGGACTGCGAAGAGATGTGCTAGAGGAGAAGATAGGCGCGAAACGGTTCGTCAACATGACGTCCGATGAGTTGAAGAGCCAGGAGAAGAGGGAATTGGACGAGGCGTTGGAGAAGGAGAATATGAGTAAGGCGATGACGGCGCAGGAGGAGAAGGCGATTTCTACTACGTGCGTATACCCACCCTACCATACATCCTCGACTGAAGTCACAGAACGCACATTCGAGATCAGACCTCATACTCCATCCTTCTACCACTCTCTTGTGGCGGGGCATGGAATATGGGGTCTTCTTTGCGTTCAGACAAAATCTCACCTTCCCTCGCATCCCCCAGACACTCTTTGAATCGCATACTGACCTCCTTCAAGTCTGACCTGTGGAAAATGCCGCCAATCCCGCGTCGCCTACACCCAAGCCCAAACCCGTTCTGCCGATGAGCCGCTGACGACGTTCTGCGAGTGCACTATGTGTGGGAACCGGTGGAAGTTCTCTTAGCTTTTCTCCACGGAATGTGCTTACCTGACGGATTGGTTTGGTGCATGAGGCGGGTTGTCGGCAATGAGGACGCTGCCCGCACGTTGTTTCTCTTGGAGGTACGGAATGATACCACAGCTTTTCTTGGCCGGTTTTGCTTGAGGCGAGACGGTATATGGCTAACGCAGGAACAATTGAGAGCACGCGACCTTATCCCAAAGCGTGTAGTCATAGCAAGCTTTCTTGTATGACGAATCCATAACGAGTGAAACAAATTTCTATCTGGGTATCACCTCTATCCTATCACACTTTCTCTCCATGCGTCACGTTGTCTTCACGCATACTCCCAATGACTACTATCAATCTCCATGACCTCCCCAACCCCATAATCCGTCCCCTCTCCCTCACCTCCACCATCCCCTTCACCATCATCCCCATCATCCCCCTCACTCCCATCCTCCTCCATCCCATCATCCACACCCTCCTCCAACCCCAGCAAACCCAACGGACCTTTCGCGCTCGGGTGCGGGACATACTGCAAACCAGCGACCGGCTTCTCCCCCAATCCCGCCAACACCTCCGCCCATCCCTCCAACAACCCCACCGCCTCACCCACCCACTTTGCACGCCTCGCACAAACATTCAACGTCCACCCAAACTCCCTCAAACGCGAAGAGTAGAACTCTACCTCCTCCCGCCCCGGACTACTCGCCTGCAACAACGCGCCAAACGTCGCTATCAACGAGAAATTGGCCGCGGAAGCAAAGAACCAAAACGCGCTGAGATGTTCCGGACGGAGACGGTTGACGAAGTCCATGGCGCTGATGAGGCGGGTTTTGGCTGCGCTGCGGCAGATGTAGAGGATGTAGGGGTCTGGCTTTGACGCTGTCGGCGTAGTAGTAGGAGCAGCTGACGCAGGGTCGAGTGACTGCACGATCCGGCGGTGGATACTTATTTCCGCTGCGAAGTAGCCTAGATGCAAGTAACCCGTCCCTGATAGTTTCCCGGTCTCGAATGAGTCCATTTTGCATTCCGCCGGGAGATCGGTGAACCATTGTTTCAAGCGTATCTGCACCGGTTTCGCGCGATTAAGGACGAGTTGGGTGGCGTAGGGGCCTGCTCGCGCGAAGGAGGCGATGGCGGTCGTGGAGTAGAAGGTTGTCAAAATCTCGGAGAGGATGGTGGTGAGGGTGATCATTTGCATGAAGATCTGTCTTCCCTTCAAGATCTCTGGATCTTCTGGTTCTCCTGCGCTCCTCGCCCCCGTAGGCCCAGGACCTACTGTAGTGGTTGCTGGGTTGATGGTAGCACTCATGGTCTCGTCGAAATCCGATCGAGTGGGTGGCAGGACCGCCCAATCGGCGGGGTTGATATGAGAGGGTCGGCCGTGCATCAGGGCAGACCATTTATCTTGCATGTACAAGGCCCAGGCTAGTCGTTTGCGGAGTCGCCGTTCCCAGAGTGGAATACTCCAGTCTGAGCAGTCAAGGTGGAGACCTATGTCTTGACCTAGAGCAACGAGTTGCACGGTCAGTGTCCATGTACTCGCTTTGGCTCTTTGGAGTAGGAGGAGCCCGGCTTGTACAGCGGACATTTTGGGCCGTTGCATGGCGATTGTAAGGCTGGTGATGGCGATGTACTCTAGGCGATTCATATCTGGTTTTGGGAAAGGCGCAAGGATTGGGTCTTGGTCCCACCAGGACAAGGCGAGGAGGTACATGGCGGCGAGCAATGGCGGGTTGAACTGTCTGTCGCCATGTCTCTGTCGATCGAGAAAAGCCTGCTTCTGTATGATCGGATAGCTGGGATGCACATTGCGAAAGTATATGTCGATGAGTGTAGAGCCATACTGCCCAACAATGGCGTCGATCTCTGCTAGCGCGCGTGCCTCGTCGTCTGGAACGGCTACGTCGGCATCGTCGTGGGTGCTGAAGTATTCACCAGTATGGACTTGACGGAGTCTGCCAAGTCGTGATTGCGTTTCGTTCTTCTCATCGAATGTGCCAAGGCTGATGAGGGATGCGTCCAGTGCTGTCGTCTGGCCGATGAGCTTGCAGTGGCGATGTCGTTGTAGACTGAGACTTTCGTCCACAGCAAAAGGTTTTCTCACAGGTGCGGCCGGTATGCTTGGGGTTGGAATGACAGGCGTCTGAGCCTGCGATCGCTGCACATTCGAGGCCGTGTTCGCCACCTGAGTGGTGCTCTCACTCCTCCTACTTGTACTCTCATCATTCAGCGCACCCTCATCCAACTTCCGCTTCCTAGGCTGAGCCTTTTCAACAAAAGTACAATCCTGCTTGTGGAACTCACACAACACACATCGTCCAGAATCCTGAAGTACGCACTTTGACTTCCGTCGCCTACACCCATCACATGGCCTTTCCTTCCTACTACGTGCAGCTGGGGCAGTCTGTTGCAGTTGTTTCAGAGCCGGTCGCTTCTCCTTGTTATCCATGAAAGGCATTGGTACAGACCAAGCGGCTATAGGTCGTGGTGCAAGTGGAGGAGCAGCCATTAGAGTCGCCATGATCACGACCAGATGAGCCTGGACCAGTACTGTTCTGCACTACTGACGTATGAGGCCTGTATCCAGATAGTGAAGTCGAGATAGGCACGCAGGCACTAGGGTCCGAGATGATCCGCGATAGAGGCCTATAGGCGACTATCGGTGAGTATAGATATTCCGTGTGGTCAAACAGCCAGATAGGGTGCCCTCGATCTTCGCTATCAAGGATGACTGATTCCTGTTACACAACGGGCGAATGTACTGTAGGGCTTATCGACTGGGGTTTCCAGGGATAAAGAAGCAAAGCGCTGATCACGCCGGATCCGAAGTAGAGCAGAGGGCCGTAATCAGGATGAGATGCTTGAGCGTGACTGGTGTCATTGGATCCTCTCAAGAATGCTAGTAATGTCAATATCGACTGTCCAAATCGTGCCCAAGACTAGACAAACAGCATGAAAGAGAAGGAGGACAAGAAGGATCAATGTCGTGTGCCCATCCACTATTATAACCAACCTTGTCTGACGAAAGGGCACATGCGTCTGAGGCTTAGCAAGGTCTCACGCTCACGCTCACCCTCATCCACCACGTCTGCTGTTATGCCCATCGCTTCGGCAGCCCATGTCAATGTACGTAAAATATACATAATGGAAAACGCCCTTTGGAGGCAGAGTTGCTACGCCATGGACAAGGCAGAGATAAGAGATGTTGGGGAGCCAATTAGAGGTAGCTTTTGGATGAAGGCTAAACAGCGGTTGATCCCATGTTTCTGGCACTTCGGGAAGTCTTGGGTGAGGTTCCGATGAGACGTGGAGTGGAAATCCTTATTATGTAAATTTGGGCCCTGGAAGTGGTTAGCTTTGATGGGCGCATGAGTCGACATATGGAGCGTATGATGGATTGCACGAGGCATGTTGTTCACCAATGATCATATTAGGACAATATATCGGAAGATCTTGAGTCAAGTCTACCGGCAAAGTCTACGCCAACAGACTTTCTTGACACACGATCACGCGAAAGGCATAACGTAAGCCCTCCGATCTCAGCTTCACGTGATAAGCTGTATGTTTCTACACGCCCATATGCTGTTCATGAGCGACGCTTCTCTTTGCAGGAAGCGGCTGCGTATGAGCCAAGTACGTCGTCTGGTGACCTTCTTAAGCAAGCACGAAATGAGGCACATCGTCCGCCTCATGCTTTTCACCCGTGCTCGCCATTTTTGGCAGGCACAGCTCCCGTAGCAGGAATTTGAGCAGCCTGATCGGTCTCCTCGCCACCCATGCGAGCCTTCTTCGCTCTCCTCTTCGCCTCACGCTTGCTGATCGGCTGTCCAGCCGTCTCTGCGCCGCCATCGGCATCTCCCTCCGCCTTGCGCTTCTGCCCATTAACAGCCGCCTGATTCTGCTTCGCCTTTCCGCCCTCCTTGCCCTGCTTCCCACCCTCCTTACCCTGCTTCAATTCCTCCACAACCTCAAGCTTCTCCCCACCATAAACAACATCAATAACGCCTCTATACCCGGTCCTTTTCAACTGCGCCGTGACAATCACACTCCTCGCCTCCTTACTCACAGCCTCAAACCCTCTCTCCTGCGACAGACCCCACACAGTAGCAAGATTGACCGCATCCCAAGGGCCTCTACATCCTACTGCCGCCTTCGCCTCGGAGCTGATAATCAAGCCTCGTCCTCGACTAGCGCGAATCAACTGTGTAGCATTGCTGATCAGATTCCTCCGTGCACTGCTATCACCCATCAGGCCTTGGCTATAGCATATTTCGAATCGCTTCCCGCTTTTGATCGCTTCAGAGAGCATCTTGAACTTGAAGTAGTATCCGAGTCTCTGACTGAGGTCGAGGGAGATGATGTCGCAGTCTAGACTGCTGCAGGCAAGCTGAAGTGTGCGTTCGTCGGTTGGACGGACCGCGAGAATGTCGTAGGCTTTTGCCAACTCGGCGAGGCGAGCATTTTGGTAGGATTCGGTCAATGTCAGCGTGACGCGGCGCCGGATCTCGAGTTTGCATGGGATGTCCTTTTGTGGGAGCGGGCTAGGTATGGCGCATGACTGGAGAAGGTCAATATGTTACAGATCTCATGTAAGAGTGTAAGATAGTATGCTTACAATCTGTGCCGGCAACTTGCCAACTATGCTATGGTTGAGCGCAACGACACCGTAGCCCAGCTCGCTCAGAAAAGCCAATGTCCTGGGTAGATGTGCATCGTTGGCGACATACGGGATGTTCAGGTCGTAAAACATGCTGGTGCTCTGCGACGCCTTTTCGTCGCCTGCTTGTAGTACGTACTATCTGTGGCGTGATGAATCATCGTCTGCAATTACACCTGGTGTTGAAGTTGTATAGGAGGAGCATGTTCTCGCTCATCCGTATGCCATGACTTTCACAAAAATTGAGCCTCGGCGAGTTCTCGTTCACTTCCAAGCGACAAGCACAGGCCACTGGGAGTACACATCGTTTGCACGAGCAGATGACATGCTCGCCCCATATCTGTGTGTCTCGTTTCTCGCTAAGGTTCGTAGTGGCTTGTTCGAGCTCCTGAGTTTGCAGCTCAATATGAGGTACTGCATGTGTCTCATCACATGCCGGCATTGAAGTAGCTGCTCGGTTGCACGAGCTCTCTGGACTACCTATATCTTGAATCATAACCTCAAATCACTCCTTACAGCTACCATATTTCCAAAGACAGACTTAAACAAGCTCGTCCACAGTCGACGAGTACCTTATCAACTTCCAGTAACTATCCGCCACCATGGCTGTCCCAGCAGAGAAGACTACGCGTGACATGAACGGCACCTACGTGCTCAATAAGACTCTCAGTGACTCCGTGGACGAGCTTCTGCAGCTGCAGAACATCGGCTGGATCATCCGCAAAGCAGTTGCCTATAGCACAGTCACTGTCGTCTTGAAACAGTACGCCGATGACGGTGGCAAAGCCCACCTTGATCAGGTGCAACGTTCAACGGGAGGCATCACGAACCAAGAAGCTCGCGTCCTAGACTGGGAACCGATGGAGACGAAGAATGCCATCTGGGGTCAGGTGAAAGGACAAAATCGGTATCATGATCACTGTTCACGATATTCGACGGTGACGCTAACACATCTACTCAGCTTCATAAAGGTCGCTGACCTCACAGATGACTTCCTTAAGCAGGACTGGGACGGCGACGAAGTTGTCGAGGCCACTAATGAGAGTATGACAGATACGTGGAAAGCGGTGCAAGTCATGGGCTTCGCCATTGTCGACGGGAAGCGGAGACAGGTGCGCAGGATTGTGGGGAGTAAAGGGCAGAAGGTCATCAAGGTCCGGCAGGTGTACGATTGGCAGGAGTGAAGTGCTTCGGGTTGATGTCTTGATCGGTATTGTTATGAGCCCGAAGCTGAGTAGAAGAAGAACAGGGTTATCAAGCCTATATGACAGATGATATATGATTTGCTAATGATACATCACCTGAAGCCGACCTTGATGGCAGAGGCACTTGAAACAGTCGTGAGTGTTGGCAGTCGTGCTCTCACGATAGCAGGATGAAGCCCAAATCCTGATGTTTCGGGAATGGCATAGACAAGACCCCCATGTCTTGCAGAAACTTGGCGAACACCTGCGCATGCTCCGCCTGCTGCTCGAGTTCATGGCGAGCCAGGCGTTCCTCGAAGCTATAGCTCTTCTTACTGTACGAGTAGTCGATCTTTGGTGTGGAAGCAGCGGCATAATGGTGCACGAAACTCGCAGATCGCCGAATCTTTGGCAGGGGCGCGACTGCATCTTCCAGAAGGTGCAGAAGTTTAAGGCTCTGCTTCTCACGATGAGAGGAATAGGTGATGCAGTTGCCAGGCAGTGCTGATGCCCACTCGATCACGACATCCTCTAGATTTGTGCAAGCGGTCAACTGATGGACGAGGACAGTCGCGCTTCCATCTTCGAAGTGACCAGGCCATGAAGGGTAGCAACTCAGCCCACTGTACTTCTCTCTAAAGGTCTGAGAGAGCCCGATACTAACGACCAGGCGACGAACATTCTTAAGCCTACTAAAGAGGTCCGTCACCACGGCGCGCTGCAGACGTGGACGTTCGGAATGACTTGGCGATGCGATCAAGAACAGATGATGCACAATGTTCGCTCTCAAGCGGTGGAGTGTCTCCACAAACTCGAAAGCAATCTGTCGATTCGTTTGGATAAAATTCTGGTCACCGTGAACTTGCAGGAATGTTCGGTGGAGACTGCTTTGCTGAACATGTCGCAGGGCAATCAACCCATAGATCTTTGTGTCCGAACTGGTCCGGTCGTCGGCGATGTAGTCGTCGTAGATCTGGCCTCTGATCTCTCGTGGAAGCTCAAGGAAAGGGAATATGTCTGGACCATAGCGATAGGACACTCGTGACTGGGAGAGTCTGGAAGCGCTCCTATGATTAGTGATGGTGGCTTGTGGAACCAGCACTCGGTTCTTCGACTTCCTTTTGCGAGATGTGACTGGCGTTCACCATGTCGTTTCGGTCTGTTGCTCGCTATTTGAAGCCAGCTGTGCTGCGAATATCATTGATTGTTTCAGATGCAGTCTCCTACGCGAGATCACTTTGCTGGATCTTGATGTAGGCTTTGCTCGAACAACAATAGCGAGCTGCCGTCTTGTTGAGGTCGTGGCTTCTACAGCTTTGACCTGCGTCTTTCGTAGCTTTTTTCGCCGACACTCGCGACTCCCTTTGTCTTGTTCTTCGGATGTAGATGGCTCCGGCAACGTCACAGAGTCATCCTGCTGGCTGAACAGAGAGGTAGCCCTCAATACGCTCATCAATAAGCATTAAAGCACACGCATAATGTATCTGTCTGCACGCATCTTGCCACTTTCTACCGGATCTTTGATGGTACTGCGATGTTTTGTTGCGTGAAGATGCCTTTTAGCAGAAGGAGATGTCGTCGTAAAGGTTAGTGTCATCTTGAGGTGAATGATTGAGGCAGTGGCAACCAATCAATTGCGCTATTCCTTGCAAGGCCGGCGTAGGTGAGTGAGCGACATGTGACCACATGTGAAACAATCAGTACGAATGGCCAGTAGTCATGAGTGCAATTGCATGGAGAGTGACATTGGACATGCATTGAGCATAGCAATGTCGTCTCAAAGCAAGCATTGTATCATTATTTGGATTAGTGAGCTACTCGGCCCTCTTGGGCACTGACAGCATTACCATACCTTCATTCACCCGGTTTGGAGCAGCTACGGGGAGACGTGAGAAGCCGTCTACCATCCGCCACCGTTGGCGCCCCAGTTGCCTGGGTTGCTGCCCCATGGTCCACCCCATGGAGCGTTGCCATAACCACCTTTCTGTCCACCCACTGACAGCACAAGGTTCTTGAGGTTCTGGAAGTTGGGAGTACCAAGACCAGTGACCTAACAAGCACACGTTAGCAAGACAATTATCGAAGCATTGAACGGCGGACCACTCACAGGGTCCCATCCAACAGTGGCGTTCCACGAGGCGTAAGGGATAATACCAGCACCTTGGATGACGAGACCATTCTGGAGATCGACACCAGCGCAGCCCACCGCACCACCAAGCGTGATGTCATTGATTGCCGATGTGCCGGCTGCCTTGCTGTACAGGAGTGGGTTCACGAAGCCAAGAGCAGGTTGACCAGCCCGGAATCTAGCATCGTTGAGAAGTGCTATGATGGCAGCAACGACGGGTGAGGCAGCAGAAGTACCGCCATTGGGCTGCGGGATGCCACCGATCACGGTCAGGTAATCGGGATACAGACTGTGCGCACTGATGTCTGGGAAGCCTCTGCCAGCAAAGTCGGTGTAGTTGTTGCTCGAGTAGTATTGCTTCGTTCCCGGGCTAATGTAATCGTTCAGATAGGTATTGACCGCGGCTTTCTGATACCAAGCTGTCGGGAAGTAGAAAGAGAAGCCACCACTGGACGCGTTCCACGCTTGCTCAGGGTTGACAAGCTGTGTTCCGCCTATAGCGGTCACATATGGACATGTGCCTGGGAACTGTGGTGTAAACTGCGGCTGCATCGAGTCCGCATTGTCCCGACAAACAGCTCCTACGCCTTCATCTCCACTAGACTCGAGGATCGTGCGCCCTCGGAGGCCCATCATACCGATCTGGTTGCAGACACGCTTGGCGTAGCGCTCAGGTACGGTGTTCTCGTGGTCACCATAGCTGTTCGAGATGACATATGGCAGATTGCTGTTGGGTTGGGACAACAAATAGTTGTAGTATTCAAGATAAGGCTCATTACTAGCCACACTTTGATTGGGCTCTAGAAGGTCAGGAACGATGGGTGCAAGGCCGCCGGTGATGTACTCGAAGACCGGGAGGCCGTCCACTAAACCTATGATGTTTTGAACATCAAGATTTGCTTCGCCATCGAGTTCTGTTGGATCAATGTCAGCTCATGCTCGCCAGAAACCGTCGACCGGTGCATTCCACATACCAGTATTAGGATCCTGGTTGTCTACACCTCCGTTAATCAATGCCTTGACAGTAAAGTTCTGGCTAGGAATGTTGAACAGCTGCTCAAAGATGGCGAGATCAGAGTAGCTAGCTGATTCGTTCAGAAAGCTACCGAAGGCAATAGTGCTTCCAGAGTTGACATCGACCTTATAGTCACCAATGTTGTACAGCTCCTTCAGACAAGTGGGGGTAAGCACACTATATGCTTTCGTCCTGTTCTTTGAGATTGGAATCGTGATCGTTGTCTGACAGCTGGGATCCTCTTGTCTCTTCGATGGCACGGTCTCAGCAGCAGTCTCGGTCACTGGGATCGCTCGCTGGGACTTCGTGGTCCCGAAGAAAGTGGTTGGGGTTATGAGGTCGACGGCATCCCCGAGGTGGTCAGGCACCGAATACTCCATCGTGCGCAGCTTAGTCATTGCACCATTTGTGTATAGACCGAACGTCGTGTTAAGAAGTTCGTTCGCCTGACCCACAGTAGTGGAAAAGCTCACCACTCCACCCTCACTTGAGGCGCCAGAAATGCCAGCGCCCTGAAGCCACGACATTACACCGTTCTCGGACTGTTGGTTCGCTCCAAAAATGGCATTCTGTTGGTCGAGATCGATGTACTTGCCATAGCCCGGGCTACCAGGAGTCGACACAAAGGCGAGCTTGGCTTCGAGTGTGTTGAGATTCTGGTATTGCCTATCTCCTGTTCAGTTTTGACTCACTGAGTACGAAGTGAGGGATTTGCTTACAATGCCACGGACAGGTCAAGCTGTGTACTGTCAGGAACGCTCACAGGCGAGGGGCTCCATCCAAAGGGCAAAGCATTCAAGCTCTCATGAACAACAGCATACGCTGGCAGCGCAGAGGCGATCAAAGGCAATAATTTACCCATAGTTGGAGGTGGGATGAGCTCAAACAAAGCAGTTGTCCAAGGTTGACGAAGGTCCTGGGGCTTGAAGCAAGTGAGAAAGGTGAATCATATAACCTGGTAGAAGGCCACTTACTCAATGGTTCATGCAAGGTACGGTGGTTCGGTCTATCATCTCCATATCTTGCATAGTCCCCCGCTCGTATCAGTACCTTGACTTCACCTTGGCTCGTGTAGGAGCTTCCTCAATGGTCGTAGCAGGAAAACTAGCGATACACTTGACGGCAAAAGACTTGATAAGCCTCGGTCGCGTGCTCTTCCATCCTGACGTGACGTACGCTGATCTTGGTCGGCGCTACCGACGGCGGGCATGATGCCGCTTGTGGTGTGGTGCGCTCGTAACCTAGAAGCATGTCAAGACCAAGCCTGCATTGGTTGCTGGGTGGTGGGAAAACCTGGAGACGGAAATGAAATTATGGTTCGGCTCAAGCTCCAGCCGCTGAAAGCTTGCTCTGTCCGACGCTGCGCTAGCGTTGGCACCTGCTGTTTCGAGTGTAGCGCAATCTTCACATGGCGCGATCGGGACGAAATGCTTGCCCGTACGACCCGGAAGATGCGGGTGGTATGCAAGATGCGTATGATGCGCGGTGGACGCGGCGTTGAGGATCAGACACGTACTTAGGTGCAGCACACCAGTTCAGACTTCACCAAAGCTGCTCGTACATCATGCCCACTTGTTTCTAATGGCGACATACGTCCTGCACGAGTCTTTAAGATCTTAAGATCCTGTCGCTACCACTCACGACCTCAAGCTAACCCTGCACGGCATCCCTTCTCTCGGTTTCGCCGTACCCAATTGAATCTGATACGCTTCGTCGCCAAATTGCTCCTGAATCCCCTGAGAATCACTAGGATACCCACTCCCATCATCCTTCAGCTTATCCAGCTCATCGAAAGCCGCATGAAAGTCGAACGTCCTGATAGTCATGGCCAAGATAACCTTGGTCTCAATAACAGCCAGTTCCTGCCCGATGCAGTTTCTGATACCCTTTGAGAAAGCTACCCACGCTGGATTCGAAGCGAAATTGGCGGAGTCATCTTGCTTCTCACCATGCGCGGATGTCGAATGGAGGTGTCGTTCAGGTCGGAACTCGTTGGGTTCGGGCCAGTATCTGCTATGGCGATGCAGACCGACGTCAACGGGCCACAGCATGAATCCATCGGTTGGCATCGCCTCTCCTGTCTTCGGATCGTGCACGAAGAAGCCCTTGATACCCGCACGGATCGTAGATGCGGGTGGCTGCATACGTAGAACCTCTCGCATGACGGCGAGAGTATACTCGAGCCTGTTCAAGAGTCTTGGATCCTCTCGCAATTGTTCGGTGACAGCGCTGGGGTCGGGGCCGAACACATCATCATGTTCCTTGCGGATCTTCGCCAGACAGTCCGGGTACTTCGACAGATAGTAGTAGGCGTAGCACAATGTCGAACTTGTCGTATCATGTCCAGCGAAGACAAAGGTCTTCATGTTGTTGACTGCAGCCTTGCGGAACTCGGGATCTATCCCTTTGACCTTGCTCAAGTCCACTTCACCAGTGGCGCCTTTGACCTCTTTAAGGTACGCTTCAAGGGCGAGATCAATCACAGCCTTTGACTTGCCTCTACCCTCTCTGCTGGCGAAACGTCTGTCGATAGCATTACCGATGTAGCGATCCATCTTCCAATTGTAGTACGTCTGAACAGCGTCGCGTAGAGGCCAGTCTATTATTTCAATGGGATTGAACTGCACACCGACTCGCTGCCACCTGACTTGCTGCATGAATGCATCGACCAGCTCGTTGTAGCCTTTCTGTGAGGCGAGATCTACGTCCAAGACGACTTTGCCAATAATGTCTACGGTGAGTCGAGTGGTGTCGCGCTCCACACGGAATACCTCATTGTTCCTCACACGCTTCTTGAGGATGTCAACAAATATTTGGCCTTCATCCAGCATGACTGGCACCAGGCTCATAAGATGTGCTGCGGAGAAGCCTGGATTGAAAGCACTTCGCCACTTCCTTTTGCACCTGGTCAGTATCTCGACAACAGTACAATGTATTGAATTTTATTTAACATACTTCCATAGTGCGCCTTCACTGCTGACAAGATTTCCAGGACCACCGAAATTCTGCAAGAACTTGTCCACTTCGATATGCTTTGGCAAGCTGTTCTTGACCGTGATCTCAGCCATGACATCCGTGTCGAAGATCATCAGAATTGGGTCTCCCATGGGCCAGACGTCGACGTAGAATACATCAGGCAGGTTATATTCTTCTTTGAGGAAGATAGCGAAAGTTTGTGGCGCGGCTCGCTTGGGCTGCTTCCGCAGGACATAATCGAACGCACGAAGGTGACCCCAGATGTAGCTGTGCGGTGGGCCAGGCAGGCCTTTGACCATACCTCGTTGCTTGTGTAATCTTTGGAGGAAGCGGCCGACGAGGGTGACGAGGACTATGCCCACTGCCCAGGAGAGCCGGGTGGCGGTGAAATAGTCTGCCATGGTGGGAAGTCGACGGCCAGAACCAGCGGAACGAGTTCAAGGAACGGAGTGTAGTGAATGTTTTGTGTCAGATTACGTCCACATCATTGACTATATGGTCAAACAAGCCAGCTGAACTTGGGTGGCTAGTCGTAGTAAACTAGGCTACGGAAGGCCTCGCTTCCGTGCCCGTCATGATGGATCCGGTGAAGGAAGCGTGGCGGACAGGGATCTCAGATGATTTTACGAGCTTACTCATGGCAATGCGATATCCCTGGATCGTCGTACCTGAACGAACAACGAGAGCACGTTTCGGTGTCGTACCAAGAACACCGGATAGACAGCATTTCCTTTGCATCTCGCGGTATGAATCTGTCAAAGTATCGAGTTGTTTAGAGCCTTCAATGACGTAGGTGTCACTTATGTCCACATTGACGAATGGCAAGTACCAAGTCGTATAAATCAACATGTATAATCAACCTCCACCATGGCACACATCTAATGTCAAAACGGAGATACGGAAGCGTCGCTGCGTGAGCGAATACTCTCAAAGGTACGTGTTCAAACATTTCATTGCATGCAAAAGGCAGAACCAGCAGAGAGGTAGCCAATTGAGAGCAAGGCGCAACGGTCGGAGAATCATGGCAGGTGGAGCTGGAGCTGGAGGTCCGAGCGATGATGAGCTTCTGGGAAGCCAATTCGTGTGGGATGTGCAACATCAAGCCCCACCCACATTCACCTCACATAACCCACAGACTCACACAGTTGCCGAGGAAGCTGAAGACGCCAATTCCATCTTCTCTGACAGTTCGCTGGTGGACATAACATCGCAGCACGCCGAGCCCGAGGCGGAAGACGTGGCAGCCTCCGACTTTGAGGATCTTGGTGACGACGAACTTCCTCAGCTTGACGGCAGTAGAGAGGCCACCAACGGATATCACATCGACCAGACTGGGCTCAGGCGCAAGGAGAGGAGGCGGACGTCTGGAAGATCGATTAGGCAGGCACAGCATAGTGAAGAAGCAGAAATGGAAGGGCCAGGCAACCACGAGTATGACCAGGACTGGCCGCAAGCTGGACCCAACGCCGATGCGGTAGATCTGGCCGGCCCTGGCTTGGAGGGATCCCTCAACTGCCAGGTCACGAAACCCCAGAAGGAGGGCGAAGGTACACAAAACACCTACATCACATACCTGGTCACAACCGACACAGACTTCAAATCCTACCAGTCCACGCACTCCTCAGTACGGCGCCGCTTCAAAGACTTCGACTTCCTCCACAAGATGCTCGGGCGAGAGTACCCGCAATGCGCCATTCCTCCAATACCCGACAAGCAGCAACTCAGCTACGTACGCGGTGATCGCTTCGGCTCGGACTTCATCAACAGGAGAGCATTCTCACTATCACGATTCCTTAAACGCCTGACACTCCATCCTGTGCTCCGGCGAGCAGCAATCCTCACTCTCTTCCTCGAATCCATAGACTGGAACGGCGTAATGAAAGGCAGATCGACACGCGGCATGTCCGGCAGCGAAAGCGGCAGCGGCTCCGTGCTAGAAACCTGGACCGACAGCTTCCTCAACGCCTTCACCAAGCCCCACAAGACCGACAAGAAGTTCCAAGACGTCGGCGAGCGGGCGAACAAACTCGACGACGATCTAGGCACCGTCAGCAAAACCGTCGCACGAGTAGCGAAGCGGGAAGGCGACCTCGAAGCCGACTACGCCGACCTCGCCGTCCAATTCCAGAAACTCGCCGCCCTCGAACCAGGCGTCCAAGACGAACTCACCAAATTCGCCGCAAGCGTGCACGAAACGAGTGGAGGCTGGCGAGATTTGAAAGAGCATACCGATCAAGACTACCTTAGCTCTTTGCACGACATGGAAGCCTACATCAAGAGCATCAAATCCCTCCTCAAGACTCGCGAACAGAAACAGCTCGATTTCGAGGGGCTGACCGAGTACCTGAACAAAGCTGCGCAAGAGCGCGACACGCTTGCTTCGCATGGCAGTATGGGCGCGTCGGGATTCTTGCGGCAGAAGATAGAGGACGTGAGGGGTGTAGATCATGAGCAATCGCGTCGGGAGCGGCAGAGGAAGCTCGAGGTGCAGATCAGTCGGCTCACGACCGAGGTCGAGGCCGCGAGGAAGACGAGTCAGGCGTTCGATAGTGAGACTATGAAAGAAGTGGGTGATTTTGAGAGGATCAAGGCCCATGAGTTCAGGGATACACTTGGGGGGCTGGCGGAGGCGAATATTGCGTTCTTTGAGGGCAATATTTTGATCTGGGAGAAGTTTGTTAAGGAGATGGAGAAGGCGCAGGCGCAGGCTCAGGCGCAGGAAGGTGCGGGAGCTGCGCAGTGAGTGCTTCGGATGAGGTGGAGCTGGATAGTAGCATAACGTACAGCAATGTCTAGCATTCTCGACCCTAGCTATGGATAAGCATAGGATAATGTGTAACGTCAATTCAAATTCATGCGCAATGCTCTGCGTTTAGCGCCTCTTGTGCTTTTGAACATGGTGAACATGGTGAAGTTGTTCGAACTCCATACACGCTGGTGGGGACCTTGGAAGCTCATGGTAAGAAGCATGCGCTGAATTGTTGAAGTAGTGATCCGTCGTCCTTTTGCGGAATCACACGCCGGCGTGCTGGCTGCTGTGGAAGTAAGGACACAGGCGCCGTTGTAGCTCCTGGCGAGGTCAAGATACCTGTGTCGTCGCTGACCGTAGTTTCCTGCTTGATTGCAGCGCCAGCCGACTTCCTGACACTGCGATCAGGCTTCTGCGGCGCTGGACCTGCCATAGAATCTCGTTGTGCCGGCAGCGATCTGCGTGGTCTGCCACTGGTAATATCAACGATCTGACTACTGTAACAAGTCAGTCTTCACTCTGTGCGATAGGTGAACGTACACGGGCTTACAACTCCTGTGATTCGCGCTCACTCTGCTCTGGAGTCACCGCATATTCCACCCATCCCTTGCCTGCTCGCAAGATAGGCTTGTCGGCCTGGCCCTCGAAGAAGCGTTCCGGGCTCGCTGCAGGCTTTGATGTAGCTTTACCAGCAACAGGCTTCTTTGGTGCGATTGGAGGAGCAATGACGGGTGCGATTGCTGTCTTCGGTTTCGGCTTCGGCCCAGGTTTCTTCCTGGGAGGAGGTTCGGGTTTTGGAGTTGGTGCAGCCCTCTTGCTGAACGACGTTGGCTGCTCGCTGTTTCTCACTAGCTGCGGTTTTCTCACAGCTTTGGCCGAAGGCTTCACAGCAGGCTGCCCAAGGGTGGTCCGAGGTGATACTAACGGCCGGGCTGGGGGCTTGATGATCATGGCAGCGGCCTGATCAATGATATCCTTGTCAGCGCCACCACCAGACCACTTGTGAGACTTCTTTCGCCTCTTGCGAGGTGGATGAGCGGCGGTAGATCCGTCCTCCGCATTTGCATCAGTCTCTGCCACCTCGCGCTTCTTCGAGCCGGTGACTGGACGCGCAGTGGCAACCACTGATATGGGCAGGAATGAGAGCTCCTTGATCTGCTCGGCAAGTCCGTCGTTCGCCTTGACCAGCTCGATGTTAGCAGTCTCAAGTGCAGCAATGCTCTCTTCCAGCAACTTCATCTGCGAGCCTTCCTTCGTCACTTGTTTCGTTAGACCAGCAAGCTGATCTGCAATTTTCGAAATCGAATGCTCATCAATTCGCCTCCCGACTTGATCGAGTGAGCTTCGATACCTCTGCAGGCCTGCTTCTACTTCTGCCACGCGCTTGAGTAAGGCTGTCTCCCTGTCGGCAGCCTTCCTTCTTGCCTGCTCGGTCAGCATTTCGTCTTGCTCTAGACTTGCCATTTTCAGCATTGTCGCTTCGCTTTCAGCCTGTACGTCCTCGAGTCTAGTCGCTACATCGTTCTCGATGTCTGACAGCTGCTGCTTGATGGCTACCGGGTCGATGGCACTAACTTGCTCGGTAATTTTAGCAATATCTTCGCTAGCCTGAGACATGGCGGCCTGCTCTGCTCCCTTCAGTCGTTGGTCTTGTTGGACATTGTCGTGCTCCAATTTTCGAATTCGTTCGAGAATGTGGCCGTTTTCGCGCTTGATCTGATGTGCCCATAGTAAGGAGGTTGGGGATGATGGACGTGGGGTCATGATGCTCCGGTCTGGCCCCTGAAGCCACGAATAGTATAAGTGGCACGGGATATTGTCAAGACGGCAAGGATAATCATGCGCTCTGCCTGTCAATGAGAAGGCCAATCCGCCGCGGTGAAGGGATGTAACGTGGTCGGTTATCAGAGAAGGAGAAGATGAATAAGATTGAGATGAAGTGCAGTTCAAAAACATGAAGTCGCATTGTCGCGCCTTCCTTTCACTTGCATGACGCTACGCGATTGGCTGGAACGACGAGACACTATCACACGAAATTCATACATCGGGACTCATTTAACGATGGCTGACAGCTCTTGGAATGTGGTGCATGTGAACTGTACTGGACTGCTTGCTCACTCCCTGAAACATACTGCCCATTAGGGACCATACCGGTCTACTCAATATATGTAACGGAAGTTTAGGTTCTCGCGATCTGCTCAGCATGTTAGCACAGTTCATCATCTGCACTGGCAATGTACTCACCAGTCATATCACTAAAGGCAGTAGCGTCGAGATCTCTTCCTTCTAGACCGCCTTCCATCTGGCTCTGGATCTTGTCGCGTCGCTTATTCTCCCTCGCCAGGTGGAAGCGTAGTACGAGGACCAGAACAACCTCGATGAGATGCGACACGATCATACTCCAGATCCCGAGTGGATACTCCGGTGCTTGTTCAGTCTTGTAGAAGAAGGGACCGATGATATTGCCCGTGCAATAGCCAAGGAATAAGCAGGCATTCTGGACCACTTTCTTGCTATGACCTGCTGTATTTGCAGTCGTCATGGACAATATCATGACGAAAGCAGCATTATAAGGACCAGTCAGATAGTAGGACACCAGACGTCCGGCCTTGTTGTCGGCTGCGAGAAAGCGCAACCCGAATGCTCCGGCGATGTTGGGGCAAAGGTACAGCAAGATGAACCAGCATCGAGTCTGTCGGCCTTTCCTGGACATGTAGTCGTTGAGAAAGACACAGCTCAGGATCGAGATGGCGATGATAAGGCCGTACGGTATCTGCATGAGCGTGGTGACCAGTGTACTGAAGCCGAAGCCTGCATTTGTTAGTGTGATTCTCATGGACGAGAGGCGAATAGTATACCTTTGATGATGATGGTGCCAAAATTACTGATGCCGCCATTCGGGACGTTCCCAACAACTCCCAACAGGAAGAAAAGGTACAGCTTGATGTCCATGAATAGCTCTCGGACCTGATACCACTTAAAGTGCCTGGAAGACAATCAGTACCTCCATTCTTCTGCGCATGCCGTAGGGAAGGACGTGACATACTTATTCTCAACACCGGTTTGATTCTCTCTCAGTCTTTCAACGGCGATACGCCTCTCTCTCATTGACAGTCCCTTGGCCGTGATAGGCGAATCGGGCAGAAAGATGTACATGACAATACCCCATATGCAACACAAAGCTCCGATAATCAAGAACTCGTATTTCCAGGACGCAAGAGCACCACGGATGTGACCGATGCCGAAGCCAAGGAGGCCACCAAGAGCAATACCGAACCCGTTCGCAGTGTACCACAGGCCCATGCGGACGGGTTGCTGGCGGCGTGTATACCACATTGAAGTTATCAACATCTGCAATTCTGATCAGTATCATGCTACAGGAGAATGACCATGGCTTCGCTCTATTGCACTCACAAAGGATGGATCACTACATGCTTCTGCAGCTCCCGCAAAGGCCCGTAGAGTGGCCAGTCCTGCAAAATTCTTGGCTGCAGCTTGCATCATCAGGAAGACACCCCATAGAAAGATGTTGAAGCCGCTGTAACTAAATTAGCCCTTGAGTCTTTCCGTTACAATCATGGGATGACCGACAGATATCGTCCGACAGGCAAGCGCTGCATTAAGAGATTCGTCGGAATTGCCTACCGGATGTGCTATATCAGTTTACGCCCATCAACGTTTCTCCACACCACAGGAACTCACCCAAGCTAGAAAGCCGAAGTAGAAGATACTCGACAGCCAATTGTACTCCGTCCCGACCAGCTTGAGATCATCGCGGATGCCGAAGATCGCGGCATAGGATAGTGTTGTTTTATCGATGTAGAAGAACGCCTTCGTCGGGTCAGCTCGTTCCTCAGTTCACAAAAGTAGCGTGCGCTAGCAGTAGAAGCAAACATCACCAGCAGAACAGACTGTAGACCAACGATCAACTCCTTGTTTGGAGCTGGCGATGCTTGCTTCTAGACACAAATTCGCCAGCAGTGCCACGTACGTAGCAGACGGCCAGATAAGGCAGGATCATAAGATCTATCTTTCGCACGACCCTACTCTCTTCCGCCGGGTCGACTGGCTCATGAATTTCGTCAGGAGAGTTGAACAGAGCCATGGCAACATCGCCATCGCCAGACTTGGAGACCTTCCATTTGTGACTTGGCCCTGTGGTTGATGCATTCTCTGCGTGTAGGACGTCGGTGGTCTTCTCGTTATCATAGCCAGATACTGTGTTGTCGACCGGTGATATGTCATCTGCTGGACCAGCAGATCTCCTGAAGAGCCTCATGGTGAAACGGCTTTATGGCTAAGGGAATGCGGAAAGTAGACAAACCAAAGAAGACTGCATTTCAAAGTATCATATCTTACATTGCCAAGCAATATGCGCATCATGTTTTCTCGCTAGCCTCGTGGAAACCTCGTGCAGCGGCACATCATTGCAACGAACAGACCGACCGCAAGGGCATCGGTGATTGACGGATGTTGTGTTGGTGGTGGTAGGTTGGCAACAGATGATGCTGATCCTCCCCAGAAATCCTCCGCCGGCAACTTGACCCCGCAAACATGCTGCAAGATGAGGACGCAAGAGGCAAATGATCGACACAGACGCCGAAGTGCGGGCTTCAAGACGGATCACCAAGCCGTGTAGTGCAGGTTGGCCGATGTATCTATTTGTGACAAGAAGGATGGCCGAGATTGCTTAAGAAGGCGCTATCCTCCGTTGCCAGTCCATCATTTTACTCATCCGGACACTATTCACCGTTTCTGATACTGCTTCGACCGTTCGCGGCGCAGGAAGGGCAATCCGAGACGACAACCTAAACTGCCGGCCCTAACCTCAAACGATTCTGCTCCTCGGAACGACGGCGAGACCATCGAATTCTGCGGAGTTCTGTTCCTGGCAAGCTACGTGCGGATCAACGAGGAAAGTGCGAACCCTTGACTCGAGATGTAGGCTTTAGAGAGACGAGCGAGGTATTGTCTGACTGGTGACAGCCATGGGATGAACCCATCAGCCTCTTCGCTTGGCATATTGGTCGTAGTATCCAGCGTCTTCCTGCCGATATCTCTTATGTCCATGGCCAGACACGAAAGCAGTGGTGAAAGCATCTTGCCACATGACGGGTGTCACGGTCGGCATGGCCGGCAAAGTCTGTTCCGGCAACACCGCGCTGGTGCCATTGGGCGGTAATGGTTGAGACGTATATGTTGATGGGTGACTCGTTGGAGAAGGGTTCTGTGGCAGGCCTGCTGCAGAAGTCATAGCCATCCTAGGATCCGGAGCCTGGACATTCTGCGGCGACGGCTGCGGCTGTGGTTGTGCGCCACCGAAAGCTGAGTTCCATTGCTGGAAGATGCCTGAGGGATCCCAGACGGGCTGTTGCTCGTTGCTGATGACTGGTTCGAGTGCGTAGCCTGTTTGAGGTGCGGAGGTGACCTGGTGTACAGCGTTCGTGGCGTAGGACACTTGCGGCGCCATCTGGTAGCCTGCACTGCTATAAGGACCTGTAGGATGTGCAGGTATATTCTGGCCGTGTGCAGGATCGAATGGTTGCGAGTATTCGCTGGCTGGACTGATAGTCCTTGACGATACGTCATCTTGCAGATGTTGCCATCCTGCTGATTGTGACAACACTGCATGCTGCTGCATCGAATGCATACCTGGAGGTGTAGATTGACTCTCGGCTACTGGACTCCGCACGCCCAACGAAGCTTTCAGCTCAAAAGGCTTGCTCGTGTCTGCGCTAAAGGCTTCTCGCAAGTTATTTATCTGTGTCCGGATCTCTGGTGTTGCGGAGATGATGCATTGCTCCAGCACACGCATGTGTCGTGTAAAGTAGATGCGTGCTTTACCATGTAAGTCCGGATCTGGGGAGGTCACTGCAGCCTAGAGAATGTCAGCTTTTGTCGGCTTTGAGGGCACGACCAGACCTACAAGATGCAGCATAGCACATGTGAGAACGCAGTAAATTGTGAAGCCCACGCCTCGTAACATGAATGTCAAGCCATGCAAGCCAAAATCTCTGATGAGCGCTTCCTGCAGTCGACACATCTTTATGGCAGCGTTTAAGCAGATCTCAATATGTCCTCTGAAAGCCTGATCGCGGTTCTGGAGTAGTGCCTGCAACTGCGGTCTATAATGCATGACGATTACTAGATGATAGTAGATGTGCACATAAGCCTTAAAGTGATCGTTGCCGATCCAAGGCGGACTCCCGTCGTCAGGATAGTTAACCTGCATATCAGATGGGAGGGAGCTTGGCCAGGCTTGCAGGTAGTCATTGTGTTGTATGAAAGCTGGGTCGAGCGCCCAGTCTGGCTTCATCCGGCGCGTCCTCCGCCAGGTGTTGTTCGTAATCTTGATCAATCTGAACGTTTGCGTCATGTACATGTACCTTCGAGAGGTCTGGTATTCGAAACTGTCCATGTTGTTTGCCACGGCAGGGACATCGAACTCAACGGTACCAAGCTCGACAGCAAAGTCAGTCCTGCCTTGTGGAGCACCTATTGTGGACTCTAGTTGAAACAGGACCTGCCATATACGAGTGCGTATTGTGCAGTCGGTATTCGCATACCGACAAGGCTTTCCAGAACGGTGCTGGTCGAAGTGCTCATGCAGCCCAACGTCGAATGCCATGGATGTCATATATTTGACAGCCATCCACGATCGATAGTAGTAGCCTCTGATGGGCACGAACTCTCTTGCTTTCGTGAGTAGGATCATTGCTTGAATAGTGCTTAGACGTGGCACGTCTTTGAAACCCTCTTCATGTCTCGATGCAAGCGCAAGCCATGTTCGAAGCTCAATTGGCTCTTCGAGATACCGTGCAACGCAGGCGAATAAGCCCTCTAGTAGAAGTGGTGAGATCGTATGCCGAGCCGATCTCCATTGTTCATAGAATGCTTGCCGGTTGAGCACGGGCACGTAAGGATGAACATAGTTGAAATAGTAGCCAAAGTATTCCAGAGCTCGCTCCTCGCACGGCATCATTTCAGGTGGAATCCTTATTGTCGAATCAGTGCCGACTGAGGCGGGTAGGGTAACATCACTTTCATCGACCGCCGGCGTTTCCGCCAATGATCTCTTCTCGTTGGCAATGTATGGTGCTGCACTGGTCACGTCAATTGATAGGTCGCCCATGTGCTCGGAAAGCTCCTTGACAGTGGCGTCGACCTCCTGTGGATCGCCACCAGAGCTACCTGAAGTCTCTGTCTGAGTGCGGAAAAGATTGGGAGCAGGCCGAAATTGCGATGCTCCTCCGTTCGATGAGGAGAAATACTCGTCGCTAGGATATCGTCCATTGAGATGCGGTGGTGCTTGGCCGTAATAGTGTGTGCCTGTGCTAGATGGCTGAGCGAGCGAAGGCGGCGTCAGAACTGGTGGTGCTGCCACATTGGCGGCCCACTCAGGGACAGTACTGGGTACTGGTAGGCCGTTTGGAGACTGCAACAGAGGAGGTACATGGTTATTGTTGCTGAAAGAGATAGGTTGCGCAGAGAACACTCCTTGACCACTTGTCGCTGACAAGCCGTCCTGGTCCTCGTCCGGATCCAGTGTTGGTGGAGCACATTTGAGCTTTAGTCGGGTACAAGCTCCACAGGGCCATGGTCCGTTTTGGAGAGCACCATCGCACTTGATCTTGCGTTTCCGACAGCCATCGCAGGCGCGCATGACCTTGAGCCGCTTATGCCTGTTGTATTCATCGACGAAGACATACTGCTTGGTGTGGGCCGCTGTAGGCGGAACCGATGCGACGCCGTCCATATCCAGTGGGCGCTTTCCGGAGACGATGCCAGATAGAAGCTAGGGACGGGCTTGCCTTTAGAGACGTCGTCTATAGATGAACAGAGTTTTAGAGCCTTAAGCCGGGCCTGCCGACGTACTGCTGACTGAGCTATGGGCGTTATTGCGGCGTGGGATGGCAAGCATAGGAGAATGATACAAGCATCCTTGCTGTCAGTCCGCGCGCATAGGAGGTGGGTGGGTACGTGCAGCGCAAGCACTCCTTCGAACCCATTCGCGAGGTTACGCCAACAGTGCCAACACCCCACAGACCGGCCTGGCGATCTTCCGAGAGTACGACAAGCAGAACCGCGAAGGAAGTGGCGCTATGCAGAGGGTTTCGATGAGAAGAACTGCAAGGTACTGTAGGGCACCTCGGGACGTTAGCTTTTGGTTTCGGATCACATGCCAAATGGCGGGCATTTGTCAAGATCCTTTCTCACACAAGGCAACGTGTAAGCGCGTGGGACTTGGGCGACACCTGGCCACGTCATGCGAGAGCCGCCGCCTTCTATCGTCCATTTGCCTTTACTTTCGGCGACGCCATTCCCCTGCATCTTGGTTCGTCTGTTCCTGGTGTCGCTGGTGTCAGACTGGGATGTGAGCGGACGGCGGGGCAGGGATGCCGCTAGTGTGCAAACTTTGCTGCACTCTTCGGCTCCACCAAGGTTCAGTAGTCTGCCGACGTTGCAACCACACAACGTCTTGAAACCCAAGCTCACGTCAGTCTGCCCAGTATCGCCACACGGACCAAGTCGGCGGCGCACATCACTTGCAGCTACTCGTCTCTGCCTCCCATATCAGGCGGCTTTGTTATATAATCAGGTGGCAAGCCACTCGCTGATCGCCCAAGCCCACGCACCATGGAGGCCGACAAGGATAACGCAAATCCCACAATCATCAACCCGTCGGATTTGCCATCCCGCCGCAGGTCTGCGCCAACGGCGAAGCGGCCTGGAATATTCGATGCCTTAGCACCTGCATATCCGAGCCTGGCGGATGCGCCATCCCCGCCTGAGGCACTGTCAGACGTCTCGTCAGACGAGGAGCGCGAAGAGATTGATGAGCAGGAAGTCTACGATCTCATTTCCACCATCTCGGACCCCGAGCATCCTCTGTCCCTCGGCTCGCTTGGGGTGGTGACGCTTGACGACATCAAGATTGTACGGCCCACCTCCCCACGATCACGCATTAGCACTGTCACGGTGTTGGTAACGCCTACTACCTCGGCGTGTTCTCTTACCACTGTCATTGGGCTTGGGGTCAAGGTTCGACTTGTCAATGCATTGCCTCCACGGTTTAGGATAGATGTCCGTATCAAGGAGGGCACATCAAAGACTGCAGACGAAGTCAATAAGCAGCTAGGCGACAAGGAGCGTGTGGCTGCTGCGATGGAGAACAGATCACTCGTTAGTGTCGTCAACAATATGCTGGCGACGTGTGAATGAGATGTCTGTCTGTACTAGGTCGGGGCGATGTACCTGCGTTAGCTCATGACAAGCATACATAATGCTTCTTTTCAATGTGCAACGGCCACAATGTGTCAATGCTTTGCATTGCATGATCGGACGTTCTTTACAGAATGGGAAGGAGCATTCCGGTCATCCTTCTCGATCTGGTAGAGGAAGTACAGACTTGCAAGCCGATGATGATCAACATAATGTCCACCAATTTCAGTTTCTACATACCGCTACGAGGTGAAGTAGTAATCGCCATATGCACGATCGGCTGTCGCAAGGCGGCTCGTATGCAGAGTAGCGAAACGAACGAACCGCCAGTCCAAGATGCTGCAGAGTTCTTGAGCAATCCCTGCACCAATCATCCGGCCAAAGCACAAACGCCATAATGATCGTCGCTATGCATCCACAATGTCCAATCTTGCGCACCATCTCAAGTATGCAATCCTCAATGGCGAGGCACCGGCGGTCTCCCACTACTCTCACCCTCTTCTTGCGTAGGGACTGGCGGCAGAGGCTGCACGTGCACGTAGCTTTGATCCGCCATGATCTTGCTCGCACCTTGCGGAGGCTGATAAACCGGTGGCGGCATTTCGGCGTGGTTGTACGCAGGAGGTGGGGGTGCGTAATTTTCCATCTGGTATGCGTTTGGTGGGTTTTGGTGGCGTCCGTACTGCTGTTGTGAGTTCAGAATATGCTGTCGTACCAACCATCGATGATATCGGAGTGGTGGGAGCCCCTTGCGTAAACGGCGGCGCGCATGATAGTAGCCGCCGACGAAGAACAATAAGACACTAGCAAAAAGCAATGCGACGATCACGTAGCGGACTGCCATGCCAGCCTGCGGTCATAGAAGTCAGCCAAGAGTCACATGCTTCGTTGATTAATGTGTGCTTACAGGAGTCCACCACCAGCTCTCATAGCCGTCGTAGCCGGAGCCATAGCCATACCCGTCGTCTCCATAACCATTGTCGCCGTTGGTACTGAATTGTCTCTTCCACATCGAGTTCGCCAGGACGGAGGGTATCGCTCGTCAGACTGCTGCTCGTGCAACCCTGCGTTTGTCCACTCTCAAAGCACTAGTGCACAGTCTCGGAGCGAATGCAATCGTGCTGTGCCGTTAAAGGGTGTCTCCTTGTCGGATCTCGGCGCTCTGCGAATTGATGTTTGCCTGCGGCGTGGAGATAAGGTAGATAGTCAGGTAAGTGACATTGAATGCCAGCTGGCGCTAGACACGCAGGTGAACAATGTGCTGCCAGCGAGCGGGTGTGGTGGTACTGGAGGGTGGATCAACACAGGTGGCTGAAAGGATTAGGCGTTAGACGCTACGTTAGTGCTTGCTTTAGCGCCTTACGTTAGCTTGAGCTTCACAGAGCGGATCGGTGCAAGGTCCTCCCGGTCCATCCTCGACCGCTCTCTCTAACACCTTCTTGTCCTGGACAGCAATGATGATTCCGCCCCCTCGAAAGCTTTTGTGCAAAGGTACGTAGACGAAGGCTTGCAGCAACCATGCGCTCGTGCGCAGCTGAACGGGATTAGCGTGGGAGGACCGGCTCTTGACACGTAAGTGGCAATGTCATGGAACGATGCATCGAAGGATCGAAGGCCCACTGATGCACACTACTCACGCCATCGACATCAGAGTCAGTGGCAGTGGCAGGGTCAGTGTCCGTGTCAACAGCCGCACCATGGCTACGGACACGTGCTCGATACCAAATGTGCCACTAATCATGTGACAAGCCCTGTGCATGACCGCTGCGAGACCTGAACCCTAACCACCAATTGGGAATGGCGGTGGCCTCTCCACTGATCCTGTCCATATTCGAACTTCAGAGATAATATTGGCTTCTCAGACCTCGGATTGAGCCAACTATTCGCCATGATCCTGCATACCTGGTCGATCGACACCGAACTCCTCACAGTTTCGACAGCATGTGTCACAGAAAAGGCGCTTTTTGCTCAAGAGTATGCCTACGAAGCCAAGTAGCCATCGGATGATTCTGCGGGGAGTGGACCGCCAAAAGTACTCAAACCTCGTTTGCTGCCTAGTGCCCAAACACGAGATCCCTACGCACATGGCACACGGAGTAGTATTAACTCAACTGGACTACACACGATATTCCCGTTTCGGTCGCACTGGTTACTATACCATGAATCTCGACTCTTTAATATCAGCATTTTCGAAAGCACCGCAACGATTGTTCATACCGCCTGGTCTGGCTTGCGCATCCTCCCAAAGACTTCGAATTCGTGGCGAGCACCTCCAAGCTAGTCAAACAATCAGTCGCCGTGTGGCCCCTTGGGCCGTTCAGGGCCTGCTCTTATTCGTGGCGACGATCGTGATCCATCCCATCCCGGCGACACTGTACTCTATCTCGCTCTTCTCAATCCTGATCAATCTTGTCTGACAGCTGTAAGGTATAGCATTTGAGGCCTGTGAAGGCTTGAGGCCCGAAATTCAGCCGGTGATATTTCGGGCGAAAGTCGGCTGGATATGAGCACGCTATAGCTCGGCCTCCTCCCGAGCTCGGCAACCAGGCAAGTACCTCACACGGCATCTCCTACTTCTCTCTTACCTGCTCGACCAATATACATATTTCGCACAATGGCTCCCGCACTTACCGAAACAACCTCAGAAGTATCTCACACGTCCGGCAGCGTTAGCAAGGCCATATTTCCAGATGGCTTTAAGACTTCTGGTCAACATGCTCCAAACTACGAACTCTTGAGGCCGTACAAGAACTTCCCGCAGCAGATTACTGGACCAACGGTCTGGCAAGCAGAGGACTATCGGGATCATCCGGAACGCTGGACTAATGTCTTCTCGGATGACGAGATAGCCGAACTCTCAAAGGCCGCGGACGACTTTTTGGCCTCTGATAAACCATTGACAGGTATCTCGAGGGAGCAGTTTCCCTTGCCAACTCTTGGGCCGTTCTTCAACACCGTCAGGAATGAGGTTCTGAATGGGAAAGGCTTCATCTTGTTCAAGGGCGTACCTGTCGAGGACTGGGGTCTACATAAATCCGCGGCTGCATATCTTGGCTTTGGGACGTATTTTGGTCATTTTACCAGCCAAAATGGTCGAGGTCATATCTTGGGCCATGTGAAAGATCTTGGTGAAGATCCTACACAAAAGGATAAAGTTAGAATATACCGGACGAATGCAAAGTCTGTCTTACTATCTCTGTCTCGAGGCGACTTTCTTCGAACATGATGCTGATCCGTTACAGGCAATTCTTTCACACGGATGGAGCAGATCTAGTAGGTCTCCTGTGCATAGCCAAAGCTCTCGAAGGTGGTGAAAGTGATATCGTCTCTACCCACCACGTATTCAATACTCTGCAACGCACACATCCAGACGTCATCGAAACCTTGGTCACTCCAAACTGGTACTTTGACCGCAAAGGCGAGGTCTCGGAAGGCCAAGAACCGTACTACCGCTCCGCAATCATGTTCATGGAGAATGACTCTGCAGGCGAACCACGAGTATGGTGCCGCTTCGACCCCAACAACGTCACGTCCCTTCTACGCTTCAGCGAAGGCTCGAACGCACAGATCCCACCAGTTAGCGAGAGGCAATTGCACGCACTACAAATCCTCGAGGAGACATGTACGAGCCTTGCGCTGCATATGATTCTCGATCCCGGTGACATCCAACTCCTCTGCAACCCTCATGTCTTCCACGCTAGGACAGCGTATAAAGACTACCCACCAGGCTCCGTCGATGACAGAGGCAGGGAGAGGGTACGAAGGCATTTGATGAGATTATGGCTAGGTGTTCCTCAGAATGAAGGGGGGTGGAAGTTGCCGTACCACGACACGAACGAGAAGAAGCGTGGCGGTATTCAAGTTGGCGATACCGCCCCTGTATGTCCCATAGATGCTGAGTAAAATCGCTCTATATGAGTCGACCAAAGATTTGCGGGCATCAACATGTAAAGATGCAGTGGTACGCTATGCGCATTTCCATGTTCAGCATCAGTAGCTGTGCGCCCTGTGAGAGTAGTGCCGTCCACCGCCCTACTCGACTACCTCAGCGTCAGCTCCAAGAATATCGTGCCCTCAAGCGGCGTCTCATAGTAGGCCTCGATCTCCCGAAACCCCAACGCCCTATACAGCGCTCTTGCGGCCTCCATAGAGGGTAGCGTATCCAGCCTGATGGCCTCGAAGCCCAGATCCTTGGCTTCCTGCACAACGCGAACAGCAAGAGCTTTACCCACACCTGTCCCTCGGCCTGCAGGAGACACGTAGAGACGTTTCATTTCGCTGATGGTCGATCGAGATCTAGTCGCAAGCGAATCGTACACATTCGTTGCTTCGTGTGTTGTTGCCGAGGTTTGAGTCGCAGGAAGTGGTCGGAGAGCCACACAGCCTATTGATTCTGCAGTCTCGTTGCTACGTGCGAGGAGTAGAGCACCGTTAGGTGGCGAGTACTTGCCAGGTAAGCCCTCAAGTTCCCTGGCGAAGTCTTGGAATGTGAGATCGATGCCCAGTGACTGTGCGTACGCCTCGAACAGCTTCTTGATATTCTGCAGATCCAGTTCAGATGTCGCAGGAGATATTGTGAAAGTGGTCATGGTGACTCCAGTAGATCAGGGCCTCCTGAAGGCACTTCAAGGTGTGCAGCTCATGGGACTTGTCTCGTGTCGTGGAAGCTGTAATGGGCGATGTAGCGCCTTTTGGAACTCATATCCAGGCGACAAAGGTTTGCAATTGGTTTTTATATATGTTGGTATCAAACTAGGTGTAGATTAAGACATTAAAGACACTCATTGCGCTGCAGGGCGTGGCCTTGCCGATTTCGGATGCTGCCAAGCTTGTTGTCGAGGTTTAGTATGTGTCACCACATCACGAATGGGATAATTGGGTTGCTATGCAAGAAGAAGGTAGAGGAAAAGCTGACGCTGTTTGTGAAGCTCAAGCCACCATATCAATGGCGAGCATTTTGTGCGATCTGCTAAGGAGGAGATCATAGCTGCAATTTGATATCTTAATGCGTGAAAAGCAGCAATAACGTGTTTGCCCCCCAACCTGATCTGACCAGCGCCATCGCTAAGAGCATCACAATCTACCTACTCAAGCACTCCCCGTCCTACGTCCCATCCACGACGCCTGAATCACCACCCCTTCGCTTCCACACAGCGTCTTCCCTTCCCAACCTGATAATACCTCTGGATCCCATCACCTGCAGACTAAGCAGGCAAAGCAGACCCAAACGCCTCAGGCGGCAAATTCCCCTTCACACTCTCAAAAGCCTGCAGCGCCATGGGATAGTTCCACGCCACCTGCTCCAGACAATCCTTAGCATACTGCAGCGTCATATTCGTCTGCTGCATAAGCTGCGCAACCATCTGTTCCGCTTGTGCCACGTCTAGCCCCGCAGGGAGACCAGGTGCAGCTGCATCCGGGACTTGTTGTTGTTGTGGATCCATGTTGTAGCCCTCGAAGTTGTCGGGCTCGAAGGCTTGAGTGCCGCCGTAGCTGCGGATAGTAAGCAGGTCGCTCACGACACGCACAGTGGCGGGACCACCGGGCCCGATGATGAAGGTGCGGTCGAAACTCCGCTTCTTCTTTGCCTGACCAGATGCGATGTCCTGCTCGTCGAATTCGCCATGAATGGTGATGAGGAACCCATCAACACCACCAGGCGAGGCACCACTAACGTCAGGCACACCAGGAACCATTTTAGCCTCGACGATCCACTTCCTCGCCTCAGCCGCAAGATCTGGATGCTTGGTAGCTGGCATTCCCGCAAAGACCTCGGCCACGGCCTGTGCACCACGAGATTTCCTGCTCTGTCTCGCAGGAAGTTGCGAAATCTTCTTAAGATTGCGACTGTGTTTGAGGTATGCTTCCCAATTACCAGTCTCAGCCTTATCGGCTGCGTTTGGATCGCGAGGCGCGGAGGTATTGACAGCGTAGGAAAACTCAGAGTCGTTGTCGTAGTAGTAGTTTGCCAGAGTCGCGCGATCAGTGTCGAAGCCGGTGAAGAATGTGCGGATGAAGTTCTCCGCAATGCCGCCTTCATCATTGAAGAGCGCGCTACGGATCGGAAAGGGTAGATCGGGCATCATCGTAGCCTTCTTCGCGATCTCTTCCTCCGTGCGTACTTGTATCCCGTTGAGTTGGCGGAGCGTGGGGTACCAGTTGACGATTTCCTGCTGGTAGCTAGGCTCGTTCTGCTCGAATGGATTGCCAGTCAGGATGAGGTGCTGAAGGTGGTTAAAGCGTCTGCGCCAGTTGTTGAGGCTGCCAAGCTTCGCGAATTTGTTGTTTGAGAGATCGAGATTCTGCACCTTTGGCAGATGTAGCGAGAGTGTCGAGACTGCGGTAAGATCCTCGAGGTCGTTGTTTGCCAAGGAGACACTCGTCACTGCCGCATCTCGATCCTCCTTCTTGTCGAAAGCATGGTCGAAGACGACCATCATAGCTGGGAAGAACTTGCTAGCTGTCGACTTCTTGTCAAACATGTGCTGATTTTTCAACTCCTCATCCTGGCCCAAGGCGCTAAGGTTGAGAAACTTGGTGTCTGGGTCGTAACGTCGCTCCAGTACACCACGCAACATCGCCTTGGTCGCCTCCGCCTGCGAAGGTGGCCCGCCTGTGTCCGAAGCTGCCCCATCCGTGCGCGTGATGCTGACTGTAGACCCTGCCCATCCATAACCATTCATCCGTACCAGTGCGTTCGCATCCTCCGATGGCACCTTGATGATCAGGTCTGAGCCTTCAACGTGAGACTGTTATATATCAAAATTAGTATTCTTCGCCAACTTTCCATAATGAACCCAATAAAAAAGCCGATCAGCCGGCGTCGGGCACGCGTGGACCAAGGTAGTAGTGCATCGCGGTCGTCGTTCTGAGATTGGCTGCTAACGATGGCGGACCGGATGTGTTCCTTCTCTTGACCATGGCTGCGGCGTGCACGCTGCAAAACAGGGTGCGGCGATAGGCATGCTGGCGCAGACATACCTTCTTAATCTTCACATTCCGGGCTCTTGATCCAAGTTTGCTGCTCGCTTTCTTCTCCAGCCATTTTATGAGAGCGCTGACCCCGCCATCGGCATTGTCGGCCGCTTTGCTCTTGTTCCAGCCGGACACCTTCAGTTCCACCAGTCCTCCTCGTGTGACGCTGATCCTGCCCTCCTTCATCGAAACGTCCCTCGTGCCTGCCGCTTGCCGGAGGATGGCTCGTTGTGCTGTCGCGCCAAGGATACCGCCGCGTGCTGGTCGTGCAGCCGAGTCCTTTCGCGGTCCTGTGGGTGTGCTGCTCTTGGCGACGCCTGCGCGGCCTTTGATGGGGAGACCCATAGCAACATCGCCGTCGCGATCAGCTCTAAGTCCGGCGCGGCGCCGCGTAGCGGCTGGGCCACGAGGAGCTGCGCGTGGTGCGGCGTGGCTACCAGGCATGTTGGCGGTGATGTGAGGTTTCTTCACGGTAGTGAGAGTGAGCTGGGCGGCTAGGCCAGCCTGATGCCGTAGATTGTCGTGGAATGTGCCTTCAATAAGTTATGTCGAGGAATCGCTGTTCTGGCGTATGCGTCCTCGTGTGTACTCGAAACGAGTCGTGGTATTTTAAAAGAGAGCGTCAAATGCGTTGTGCGTTGTTAAGTTGTTGTATGAAGAATGCAGTACGAAGCACGAAGCTTGTACAAGAACAAAGCCGCTGACAGCGATGAGTCAGCCGCCGGATCGACCCGTGTTAGGCAACAAGGCATCTTTATTCACACGTGACTAGTACAAGAACGCAGTGAAGGAGGCGGCAGTAAGAAGCATCAACTCTTAGGTCTACAGGAATACACACTGCCACGGGACCAAATCATCCCTAAGCCACCCAAGCAGAATTACAATATCGTATCCTATCCCACATCCACCCCCTCCCTCCTAGGCTCATCATCCTTATACCTCTGATTTCCCGTCCCCACCAACCCCTTCCCTTCCTCCCCCTCCTCTCCCTCATCCTCAATATCACTCCCCACCCCAAAAGCATCCCCCTCACTCTCATCGTCGCTCCCAGGAGCAAAAGCATCGTACAACCTCCCAGCCTTCTTCCCTTGCTTCCCTCTCGCCCCACCGTTCATATGACCATTCCCATTGCCATTCGCACCTCCACGTCCGTGTCCATTATCATGATCATCATCGTCGTCCGGATTCTGACGATCCACCATTTCAAAATTATAGTCGTCGCGGTTTAGCCACGAGCGTCGGCGGCGTTGATGGTACCAGTAGCCTCCTAGTCCGATCAGGAAGAGGAGGATGAGGGTGATGGAGCCATAGATCCAGGCTTGGGTTGACTTCGTCACGCCGAAGGTTGGGAAGATGTGGGGGAGGAGGCGGTCGGTGTTTGCGCTGGGAGTTGCGGATGGTGTTGGGGTGGACGAGGTGGCGGGTTCATCGACTTTGTCGTCTTCCTTATCTCCTTCCTTGGGAGGTACGGTGGACGATTCGGTGGGTTTGGCGTTGACGGGTCGATGTTGGTGGTCATCTGGATTACCCTCTGGCTTTCCGGTTTCTGTTGGCACTGCAACGGAAGTAGTGGCCACGTCTGGATTGGTGATGACATCGTGGTCATCGTCATCGGTCTCGGTCGGCATAGGCAGGAGCTCCTGCTTGCTACCATCGATACTTTCACCCCAGAGCTTGAGCCTCCAGTCCGTGAAGTTCCCGGAATGCTCGTTGACACTCGTGTCCTTCACGACGACTGTCCAGGTTCCAACACCAGGTTCGCCCCAGTGAGCTACGGACATGAAGGTCCAATCGACGTAGCCGCTGTTCGCATCGTCGTTGCGACGGTGGGTCGCGATGTGGCTGACCATACCAGTAGGACTGCGAAGCTCAGCTGACAAGTCGCCACGGCGTGTATGCGCTACATTCATCGTGACAGTGACATGCTCCAGACGCTCCAAATTAGCCATCTTTAGTATGTCTGCCGTGACCTCGAAACTGCTCGTCAATCCTTGGTCGCCCTGCGGGATAGGGTGCTTGACGTGCATCCATGGTGAATAATACCACGCCTGCGGCTTGACGTTCGTCCAGTTTCTCGCGCCCTCGACAAGCGCCCACGCATCCGCTTTTCCATACCCGAACTGATGACTGAAGTCCTTCTGGATGGCAGTATTGAGCGACCAGTCACTCTCCTGATCGATCTTCACTGCAGTCAAAACAGTCAACCACTGTATATCCCTCCATGTCAAGCTAGGGTTGACTTCCAGCATCAATCCGTAGATACCAGCGACCAGTGGTCCAGCGGCCGAGGTTCCACCGTGGTTTGTATAGCATTTGTCTTTGCCCACATCGGTAGTGTGAATAGCATCGCCGGAGCCAGAGGAATAAGTGACCACGAGCTGCGCCGAGCATTTCTCCGAGTAGTACGGATGCGCGCCCTTGCGATCGATACCCCCTACACTGACAGAGTAAATACTGTTCGTGTACCCATCGAAATTGCAATTATCGTCGTTCGCTGCACCATTGCCAATAGCGAAGACGTAGATCGAACCCAGACCTCCTCGGCCCGCTTGCACTCCCTTCAACATCGCGCGACGAATTAAGAGCCCCGGCTGCTCCATACTCTGACCATCATCCGGTGGTCCCCAGGAGCAAGAGTAGATTTGGTTTTCCTGGTAAGCGTAGTTCATGGCTATGGCCTCATCGGCATCAGAGATGACTTTGGACAAGATCCTGCACGCGCTGACTTTGCCATCATAAGCTACTCCTACACCACAAATATTGTTCCGCGCCGCTGCTACCTCGCCTGCGCATCGAGTACCGTGATGATCATCGCTAAGCCGAGGCTTTGGATCCTGAACTTGGTCGTTGAAGTCCCAGCTTCCGGCCTGGAAGTAGTTGGCTTGGAGATCGTCGCTGTCCATATCTAGACCGTCATCAACGATGCAGACTGTGCTGTTCTTGCCTGTGATGCCTTGCCCCCATACTCCGGTGACGTTTATGTCGTGGCCTGGTTGGATGTGGTTGTAGAGATGCCACTGGTCTTGGAAGATCGGATCCGTGATGTCCAGGGTCTTCGCAATATCGAGGCCTTCTTGTATGAGGGTAGGATCACCAACAGTGCTCTGTCGTACCGAAGGAGGTATGACGCCACGCTTGACCAGTGGAAAGCGAGTGGAGAGGTCTTGCTTCTTGTTCAGGAGAACATGGTCGAGGATGTGCGGTTCTGCTGCGCCAACGTCTCTTCGCCGCCGCCGTAATCGCAGCTCTTCTTGTGCTTCTCTAACATGATCGTAACCGTCCTGTCGAGTTTGGGCGCGGAAGAAATGGGTATTGTCCAATTCGCCTACGGGTCCATCATAGTGCAGATCCAGTGTTCGTGACAAGTCTTCTGGTCGTTGTCCTGATCGCAATTCTACCACATAGTAGTCATGAGCATCATAATTGCGGTGTTGTCGTGCCCACGTGTCCCCAGCAAGACATAATAAGAGCCCTGAAGGCAGCCAGCTCGATATTCTCATCTTCTCCTTGCTCCTGACGAGCTGTCGCAACACAAGAGTATGCCCCTACCATTCACATGCCTTATCTTTCACAGAATGACATATTCCAGAGAGAGTGTAAGAAACGAAAGCGCAAATTGGGTGTCGTAGCTGACGGTAAGCAAGCTCGAGGATGGTTCTTTGTCTCGTCAATACGTGGACTCCGACTTCAACCTTGAATAGGTAGCCGAGAAGTCGAGCGGGTCGGTCCTCGTCCCCGTCGGTCGGGTAAAGCTTGGCTTTCTTCTTCGTTTCAGCTTGCCGTCGTTCCGTGTAGCTGGATCCTTGCTTGATTATGGTGTATGAAACCAATGTTCGACACGATATGATCACTACAATCTGGCAGAATACATCCAAACATATGCCAGCGTGATGGCAAGAGGGTGTTGGCCTTATTGTACATATAAGATCGTGCATGAGCCTGTTCTGGCAAGATGCAAAAACTCCGGCGCATGCGCGACCCGTGGCCGATGAGCTGCATGATGCTGCCAGGATACCAGCCATCTTTCTCGTGCTCCAACAAACCTGTATATCCATCCCGTCCCACCGTTTCCCCAGATCATGACCTGTCAAAGCCCAAGTGTAGAATACATTTGTCAAGTTTGCCTCATCGGCGCAAAGATATAAAGCAAAAAGCATAGAAGCAAGATCAGGAAGCTGAGCGCCAGTAAAGCCACCGTACGACAGCCATGGCAGACACTCGTCGCCAATCTGGACTCTGGTCCGAGAACCCCTCGACTGGCACGTACGAACAGCAATCTCAGCCAGGTCCATATCAATACTATCAACCTCCGACTCGCAAGCCAGGGAGTGAAAAGCGACGATCATACAGCGAACGAGCTGGCGACAACGGCGTAGGTGAAGCCGAGACATATCGTCCGACCCAACCCAACGGCGTGCAACGAAGCGAAAGCAGAAAAGTGCGCGACCTTCGCAACGATCGCGACGCAGAGATGGAGAGACAGGGATACAGCACCAGTAACAGCGATGCCCGTGCTGGAGCACAACCACTGAGAGTCGATCCGAACGCTGTTCCGGACAATCTGCGCGATAAACCATGGTCACCAGACCTCGTCTCGCCTCGCACAGGTGGGCAGCAGAAGACAGGTCGACAGGCTAGTACAGCCTCGAACGCTTCCGAGCTTTTACGCCGCGGCTCCGTGCCCGATCGCTCACCCTTACAGAAGCTAGAAATGGAGTTCTCCAACAAGACCGAGAAGAGAGCCAAGCTGGAAGAAGCAGAGAGACGACTCAGTGTAAAGGATAGAAGTGGTAGGGATGACAGGAGGATCGTTAGTGACGGCGCTGCTACTACTACGAGACGACCGAACGAGGGCGTGAGAAGGGACGAGAAGCCCGTAAGGGTTTCGGCGGATGTATCGAGGGATGGAGAGGGTGTTAATGGGTCCAAGAAGTTCCATAGGGCTAGTGATGCCCTGAAGAGGGAGGTTGAGCCGGAGGGAAGGAGGAGTATGCAGGAATCTGCTCGGCAGAGAGGAGCGGAGGAGGATGTGCGTACCGGCAACAATGATCTCGGTCGGAGTGGGAGTAAGTACAAGCACCGAGCTCGAGATGCTGGATTTGCTGGTGCGGCGGCTGCAATGGCCGGAGCTGGTGTGGCTGAAGGTACTAGCGCTGCGGAAAGAGGCAAGGCTGCTCATGAGCGGAGAAAAGGTGGTTTGACGCGAGAGGGTAGCGTGCAGGAGAGCTCGTCTCCTTCGTATGCACGGGAGCCGGAACCTATGACGGCAGTTGCGCTGGGTCGCTCGGGGTCTAGAAAACTTCAGAAGCGCAACCAGCCGGCTGATGTGGAGTGGTATGGTAGAGGTAATGGTAATGATGGGCGTGTTTCGCAGGATCAGCAGCGTGGAGGTCAGGACACTGGACATGCGACCAGGCAGGCTTTGCAATCCGATCGCATTGGTGGTTTGAATGGTACGAAGAATGCTGGGAAGTATCAGGAGCCTGATCCTCTTCCACCAGCGCAAGTTGCGACGGGTAAGGGGCATGCGGTGCCATACTCTGTTCCGCCGCAGACGGCTGCTGGAAGAGATATGAGGGAGCAGGTTGGGTTTGGCGCTAGTCAGGAGCACAACGCCGGCAACGGACCGCACCAAGAAAAGCATCATCATAGCTTCGGCGGCGTGTTCCATCACCATGATGCGCCGCGTGGCTACGAAGCTCCAAGCAGAGAGCTGGATGAATGGCGGTCTGCTGGTGTGGCGCGTGTGCGGCTGGAGGACTTCGCCGAGGGCAGACCTGGAGCAGCGATTAGTGCCGGAGACGAAGACAAGAATTCGCCGTGGTGGGAGAAGGAGAGAGAACAAAAGGGAGGACCGTCAAGTTCTTCTGGCTCGACGCGGAATGCTGCACCACCTCAGATGGATGGACCATATGAAGAAGAGGCGAAACACTTTCGTCCGCCTCTCTACCTCAAGTGTGGTCCGCTCCTCCGATACACAGGTATGAGGCGCGAGAACGCAGCACCGCCATCTCGATCTGGAAGTCGCACCACAAATGGAAATACCGGTGACAAGGAGATCTGGCGCGGCAGCATCATGATCGTAACAGATGATCGACAGTCAGACTACTCTTCCGTTCCAACCCTGCGCCTCTTCGCCCAAGAAATGGAGCTCCACACCCCGCCACCCAAAGAACTGCTCGAAAGTGGCCACGAGCTCCCTCCCGAGTACGAAGACCCAGTAGCAGGTCAAGTCAAGCTCTCCCGAACAGGTCGACCTCTGTACGTCCGACACGTCCATGAGATCGACGGCGAGGTCGACCTCAGTCGAGAAGAGAACCCACAAGGCCTCTTCGCCGCCACGCGAACACCTGCGCTCGGGCCACAGAATTCCATGGAAAACGGGCGGGAGAGCAGACACATCACCTTCCAGGACAAATCCCGCGTGAAGAAGAACCGAGCAGAGAAGGAAGGTCGCTACCGCGAAGTCCGCGCCCACCGCCTCCATGTCGAACGCGGCTACACGTTCTGGCGCTTCAACATCGAGATCGAACTCGGAAGTCGTCAACACCGAGTAGCATACCGCATCAACAAAGGCCCAGCCATAGGCTTCTGGGTGCCCGCCAAGGGCGAGACGATGCACACGATGTTCCACTCCTGCAACGGCTTCTCCATGTCCGTCGACCCGCACCTCTTCTCTGGCCCCGACCCGCTATGGCGAGATGTGATGAATAGACATCAGATGCGACCATTCCATGTCATGCTCGGTGGCGGAGATCAAATCTACAACGACGCTGTTATGAGGGATACGGAGTTGTTCAAGGAATGGTTGCAGATGAAGAATCCGGAGCACAAGCACTCTGCCCCTTTCACGCATGAAATGCAAGAGGAGCTGGAGTCATTTTATCTGGAAAGGTATTGCATGTGGTTCTCCCAGGGCCTGTTCGGCATGGCGAATGCGCAGATCCCGATGGTGAATCTGTGGGACGATCATGATATTATTGATGGGTTTGGATCTTATCCTCATCATTTCATGGCTTCGCCTGTATTTGCCGGGGTGGGCGCCGTGGCTTTCAAATTCTATATGCTTTTCCAGCACCAGAGTCTGGTTACTGAGACGCAGAAGGAGGAGCCGAGTTGGATCTTGGGCCATAGCCCGGGACCGTATATCAGTCAGCTTTCGAGGAGTGTCTATGTGAGGTTGGGGAAGCGGGTAGGGTTCTTAGGCCTCGATTGCAGGACCGAGAGGATGAGGGATGAGATTCTCAGTCAGGAGACTTACGATGTTGTGTTTGATCGGCTGCGGCATGAGCTCAGGACTGGCGGGGAGGAGGTGAGGCATTTGATTGTGTTGTTGAGTGTGCCTATTGCTTACCCGCGTCTGAACTTTCTGGAGAATATTCTTACGAGCCGGGTTATGGATCCGATCAAAGCTCTTGGTCGCGCGGGAATGCTGGGTGGGTTCGTCAACAAATTTGATGGCGGCGTCGAGATTTTGGATGATCTGGATGACCATTGGACGGCGAAACATCATAAAGCTGAGCGAAACTGGTTCATCTCGGAACTTCAAGAACTGAGTCGCGAGTTTGAGGTCCGCATCACCATTCTCGGCGGTGACGTCCACCTTGGTGCTGTCGGACAATTCTACTCTGGCCGCAAGGCGACTGGTGGTTTGAGGAAGGATAGGGACTGGAGATACATGCCCAACATTATCTCTTCCGCCATCGTCAACACCCCACCACCGAACATGATGGCTGATGTGCTCAACAAGCGGAATCGAGTGCATAAATTGGATAAAGAGGGTCTCACGGAGGAGAGCATGATCCCATTGTTTGAGAAGGATGTGGATGGCAGTAAGAGGAATAATAGATGTTTGCTGCCGAGAAGGAATTATTGTACGATTCGGGAGTACGTTCCTGGATCCACACCGCCGCATTCGCCAAGGTTGGGGCCGCATAATGTTTCGATGGATGGGCAGAGTGCAGAGGGGATGATGAGTCCGAGAGAGGGAAGATTTGGTGGTGATGGCGAGGGCAGGAGGTTCCCACCAGGTTCGATGAAGAGAACCATGTCTCTTACCCGTGGTCCGGCAGCTCTGGTGCGAAGACTTTCTGGTTCGGGGAAGAAGGACCAGAGGCCTGGGTCGGCGGGTTACGGGCAGCAGGAGGTGGAGCCGAGGGGTCCGATGCAGATGCAACGGGCTAATAGTCTTGGTGGTGAGGCTCAAGGCTCTTACTTCCCTCCACATCCGGCGGATGACGAAGCAGAGGGCGGCAGACCTATCAACCGCTTTCTGCGACGTCCGACAAACTTATCGATCAAGGAAGCGAGAACAGCGGCTGCGAAAGGTGGAGCAGAAGACGACGACAACGACGATATCGGTAAGATCGATCTCGAAGGTGGTCTGGACATCTCGCTTTGCATGGAGGTTGACCAGAAACATCCTACTGGCGAGACAATTGGGTACAGACTACTGGTTCCGGCTTTGTGGTGCGAAGATCAACCGGTGCACCACGCAGACGGGCAAGGTGTTGGACACGCTGGTGATGGAATTGAGGACGAGAAGTTCAATGAGAAGCCGAAAAGAGGTGGCGGACTCCTACGACGGCTGACGGGACGTGGCAAAAGAGGTCACGAGGTTGGTGAGGACGGGATGAGCAGGAGTCCTTCGCCCACCCCGCCTCCATCTAGAGGCGGTGGAGGTATGATGGGTGGGCAGGGTTTTCAGCAGCAGTCAAATGCTATGGGTCACGGCATGCACTCGGACGGATACGAAACTCAGCCTGCGCCGCCCCGTTCACGAGAAGCCGATGCCTACCAGAAAGGCTACACGCTCTCCTCGCCACCTATTGGCTCGACACAGCCTCAGAGATTCAATGCCGTAAGCTCAAACAATAATCCTTACCCTCAGTATGCGCAAGGCGGAGGCAACACGAATCCAGGTACTCGGCCCAAATATCAAGGCCAGCTACCCCACCAGCAGCAGCAAGTGCGTGGTGGTGCCGTTCCTCGGCACGCAGCCAACGAGCCATGGCGCGATGGCCAACAAGACTACAACGAGTACAGCGAAGGCAGCCTAACACCTTCAGACGAATACATCAATCCCAACGAGAAATTTGGCGCCGCGGGGGGCAGACATGGCCCAGCAATGCAAGGCCGACGGCCAAGTAAAGCGGAGAGATTCTTCGGTATTGGTGCCGAGAGTGGGCCGTGGGGTCGTGGTGGTGGTGGTGGTGGTGGAAGAGTGCAGAAGGATGAAGGCGGGTATGGTGACCACGGGGAATTCGATGATGGAGAAGGGTATGAGGATGATGGGTTTGAAGGTGAGCCTCAGAAACGGAAGGCTAGCTGGAAGATTTGGCAGAAGTAGAGGGAGTCGGTACATAGATGACTAATTGCGCGGGAGTAGGATACACGATAAACGCCATGCTTGTTACGACCGTCAGACCTTCTCCAAAACGTCATGTGAGACCTAAGCCGTGTTAAGCTACAAAGCATGGAACGCTGCTGTCTCTTCTTGCAACAAGAAAAATAGTCTTCCTACTCTCAGCTCATATCATCACTCCCAACTCCACCCTCCCAACCATAGCCGCCACATCTTCCTCCACAACCGGATAATAAGGCACCATAGCATCCGCACTCTGCACATAAGCCTCGTTATACAACCTCCAATACGGCACCCTGACCTTGCGCGCCGGATGGAACAACCCAGCCCAGACATAATTCATCACCGCGCCCGTTCCCACAGCCACTCTTACCGCATCAATAGCCTCGATGACCCTATCAATGACATGTGGACTAGTCTCGAAAATATTCGGGTACAGGAGGTTGAGGAGATGGAGCATAGCGTCTTCGCAGCCCAAGCCGACGACGCCGAGAGCGATATGCTTCACCACCGAGGCAGCGGTTTGGCGATGGACTTGGTCGCGGTCGACAAGGGCGTCTTCGATGAGTGGCGTGACGGCGTAGACATAATCTTTCGCCATCTCACCAATGTATTCGAACAAAAAGCTGAGGGATTTGAGGACACCATTCTGGACATTGAGTTCAGGGACGCGGTACTCGTTCATCAGAGCCGGGAGGACGGTGAACGGGGCGCAGGTTTCTGCAACGATGCCAATGGCGACGGCGGTACAGACACGACTTTGGCGTTCTTGGACTCGGAGGTTGTTGAGCAGAGTGGCGAGGACGTCTTGAGGCCCAATGGCTTTGGCGATGAAGCCGAAGGTGTTGTTTGCCGCGCGACGGATACCCTTCTTATGCGCCTTTAGCATGTCGAGGAGTTCGAAGCAGATCCGCATCCATTCTCGCGCGTTGACTGACTCGGGCCCACGATCCGCAATACGGCCTACGAGGTCGATGGTGTTTTCCTGCACTTTCTCGTGCCGATTGCGCAGGATAGGTGTGAGGCGAGGTAGAAGGTCTTTGATGGGTGGTTGCATGCTGGCGATTCCTACCACCGTGACGATACTGCGCATAGCGCCCAGGATCGAGCCGAGGACTTCGGGATATTCTTCTCCTAAGTATTCGTAGAGGACTGTGCTGAGTTTACCCATCAAGCCGTCTTCACCACATTGCTTCATGACGATTGCGATGCGGGTGATCAGGTCTGCGGCTTGCTGGCGCACAGTTGCGGATTTGTTGTTCAGCCGCCAGAGGATGGTACTGACGATCTGAGGGAGATATGGTTTGCAACGTACGCCGAGAGCATTGACTACTGTGCCGAAGCCGTTCAGTAGCACGACGTCTTCCACACTCTGTTCCTGCAAAGCGTGCAATATACCATCGACTAATCGCTCCTCAAGTCGCTCGTTGATATCTGCTGCACCCATAGCAGAGATGACCTTCTCAATCGTCTCTACAGTCATCTTACGGTACGACTCACTCTCGTCCTTGAGGTTGTTGACAACACGCTCCACGATCTCGCCGACGCCGACCTTGTTGCCCAGATCCACGGTGGTCTCCACAACTTGCTTGTAATTCCTCTTATCCAGAGCCATGCGCCTCACCCAGAAACTCTTGAAGAAATCGTTCAGCACCTTCTCTTTTAGATATTGTGCAGTGACACCACTAGTGCCAGCACATTGTGAAATGACCTTGAGCACAACTTTCTTCATCTCCTCATCGGGGGAAGCAAACTCTCGAAGCAGAATCTCCATGATCTGTCCAGTGTAGTAATTCGAGTATTCCTCGTCCATGAGAGGGATGATATACCCAACAGCCTTCAAGAAACCTGCAAGACCCTTGCCACGTTGCTTCCGGGCGCCTGTCCACAGAGGGTTTAGAATATCGTCGAAAGACTCAATACCGAAAGGATTCGAAGCTTCAGCCAGCGCAGCAAGAGCCAGAGACGTGACAGTCCGGACCTTCGCCTGCTCGTCATTGAGGTTCTCGGCAATACAGTCGACCAGACCCTTCAGATGCGGCAGAACCGCACAACCCATAAGGATTGGAATCTGCTGCACGATCTTGACACCCGTATGCCTAGCTTGCCATGACTTCTTACTCTTGCACACGGCCTTCAGGAAAGGCAACAGCGTTGGTATGCCAAGTGCACTAGCCACCACGGCGAAAGCTCGAGCAGTGGTGTTCCGCACATACTCGTCAACATGATCGATATCAGGTCTCATCGTACTAATCATGTGTGCCAGGCCAGCAGCCTTGGCCAGATTGCTGATGATTTCTCGGCCTTCAACACGGGCGTAGTAATCCTGATCGATGAGAAGTGGTTCGATGACCACGAGAATTTTGTGCACGTAAGGTCGTACGAGGTCGTCCAACTTGTATAGAACACGGTCAATAACCTTGACTAGAAGATGGCGTTCTTGGTCTTCGAGTGACTTCTCCATGAGGAGTGGCAGGATCTGGTCGAAGAGTGCTCCGGCACCGAAGTGCCGAGCATTGTCTGTGATTTGGCGGAGGGCGGTCTTTCGCATTGGTGGTGTGCCGTTCTTTACTTTCAGTAGTAATCGCATGATCTTTCGCTGTTTGAGCTCTTCCACGCTAAGCTCATTCTCGTCTGCGCCGTCCACGAGTTTGCCAAAGTAGGCCATATCCTCGGCCTTGAAGAATTGAAGATCGCCTACGCCTGGGATGTCGGATGGTAGCTGTTTGCCCATTGACCGCGGATCGACAGACTCCTGCATCATGAATCCCCCAGTATTGGCGGGTGTGGCTGCAGGCGCAAGACGCCGTGCTGGGGCACGGGTAGGCTCGTAACCTGGTGGTGGCTCCAGGATCTTGAAGCCCTCCGAGGGCAGCATTTCGTCCAACTCTTCGTCTGATAGCGGAGCGTTGCGACTCGAGATGTCGGTACCGAAGCTAGACATGGCCTGACCAGGTACCGGGCCGACAGCTGGTGTGGCACTGCCTGCTGCTGCTGCGACGTCCCACTTCGAGCGCTTTTTCGTTGCTGCAGCATCGCCGTTTGGAGCAGCAGTAGTGTCCCACCGTGATTTCTTGGCTACTGTGCCGCCGTTCGTAGTGCTTCCATTTGTGTCCGCTGCACCTTCTTCAGCAGTAGCCGCATCTTCAGCTGAAGTATCCCATCTCCTTTTCCTCACCCTCGGCTTTGCCTCTGTAGCACCATTCTCGCCATCTCCGTTCTCTACTTTCTTGACGTCTCGTTCGGGCGTGCCATCCTTAAGTGTAGCCTGATGTTCCACCACGCCATCCATCTCGTCGTCATCGTCACCTCTCGCAATCTTCTCCTTGTCTTGCTCTTCAATCAGTCTTCGCACCCGCTCCTCTTCTCGTTCCATCTCCCTCTCCTGCATAGTCTCCTTGTACGACTTCGCCTCTCCATCCTCGAATCCGCGCTTGAACCTCCGCTTTTGGTAGTCCGTCTCTCGACTCGCGATCTGTGCCTTCTTCTCTCGCGACTCCAAGATGTCATCTTCTGCTGTATCTCCAGTCGCCCACTCCCCTATCTGCGCAGCCGTAGCCGTGTACTGACCCACCAATCGCCCGTCCTGCTCGTCATCTTCATCCGCATCTGCCATCATTTCATCATCCCCCGCAGCGATAGACGTGTTGTACCCAGCGAACTTGTCTCCGGAATCCTTGCTGTACAGGTCTGTATCCATAGCATCCGTGAGGGAGACCTTGGATTCGTTTTGTCGCTGGCCATTTGCGCCGCCTTTGCCAGACTTCTTTCCACTTGCATTGCGCTCAGCCTGGGCTTCACGAACGCGCTTGAAGTCGGCGTCGGACATGACGGGGGTGTGTGCGTCCCCTTAAGCTGCTGTGTGGTGGTATGGTGTTGGGTGTAGTCACCTCGAAGGAGAGGATGTATAATGGACCAGAAACAGAAATCCGGGGCTCGGCATTAGTCGCTGACTCGCGCGTGCACGTGATCTCGACCGGTATCTGGCTCGGATCCACTTGCTAGAGAACAACCGATATGCTGTGTAAGATGCCTCGACATGATCACTATCAACTTCACATGATCATAGCTGATGGACTACTTTCTTTGTACTCTACCCATCAACATACTCGCTTCGATGCTGAATGGCCCGATGAACTCGATATATTCGCCTCAGTCGATCTAGTGCCGTCCGCCGCGAACTCCACTTGGCGCATCTGCATGCGCAGAAGCGAGGGCAAAAGCCTAGTCTTTTGTCCGGTATGCCGGCTGTTGGCTCCATTGGATGTAGCCTCCGTAGACGACGGCTCATGGGGTGGCGGTCCGCCATACTATCGTCTGCATGGTCGTTGCCAATGCATATACATACCGTCTGCTTTGTTCTTGAGCGGCACATATAGGGTCGCGAGCCGCCGCTTCGCTCTCAGGTAGGAGCTGCTTCCGATTTTCTACACAGCGGTCTGCTTGATCACCGTCGGTATCTCTCGAAGCGATGCTTGTGTCTAGTACATACTCACCGCTCATAGCCTTTGGTGTGGCATTGTTGCCTGTAGGCACCGCGGCTTCTCCATGGAGATCCAACTGGCTGACAGGAAGCAACTTCGGAGTGCCTGGTGAGATTTTTTTAACGAGAGATAGTGAAAAATCAGACATTGACGACTGACGACGACCACTAGGCACGAATGCGACCTTTGATTATGTGGTTGTTGGTGGCGGTACTGCTGGTCTCACAATCGCCACTCGTCTAGCACAAAATGGCTCTTACTCGGTCGCAGTCATCGAAGCCGGTGGCTTTTACGAATTGGAGAACGGCAACAACAGCCAGATCCCAGCCTTTGCATTCCTGTCAACCAACACCGATAGTCTTGATGGCGTAAACCCATTGATCGATTGGTTGTTTGAGACGACGCCTCAGCCTGGTGCTGGTGGGCGGGTGATCCACTATGCGTAAGTGATGTTCGAATGGCGTAACATAATGGTAGACTCATAATCCCCCCAGGCGTGGCAAGACTCTTGGAGGCACGAGCGCGAGAAACTACCTCAACTTCAATCGTCCCACTATCGGAGCAATGCAGAAATGGGCCGATACCGTGGGAGACAACTCCTTCCTTTGGAACAATGTTCTACCTTACTACAAAAAGAGCGTCCATTTCACACCACCGAACAAGACGAGTCTCAACGCCAACACCACGATCAACTACGATCTCTCGGCCTGGTCTTCAGACGGCGGTCCCCTACAGGTCAGCTACCCGAATTACATCTACGCAGTAGGTAGCTGGATGACCCAAGCATTTGCACAACTCGGCAGCTACACGCTCAATGGCTTCAACAGCGGTTGCCTAATCGGAAGCTCCTATACTTCCCATACCGAGAACCCCGCAGACGAGACTCGAAGCTCCTCGCAAACCGCCTTCTTGACCCTCGCAATGCAAGAAACGGACCTGATAGTCTACACCCACACCCTCGCCAAGAAACTCCTCTTCAACAGCCAAAAGAAAGCGACTGGCGTCCTAGCCCAAGCCGGCGGCGTCAACTTCGCCATCTCCGCCAATAAAGAAGTCATCCTCAGCGCCGGTACCTTCCAAAGCCCCCAACTCCTCATGGTCTCCGGTATCGGTCCCGCCTCAACCCTAAGAAACCACAACATCTCCCTCCTCGCCGACCGCCCCGGCGTAGGCCAGAACATGTGGGACAACGTCCTCTTCGGCGTAACACACGAGGTGAACCTCGAAACGACCTCGATCCTATCCTCCCCAGCCTACTTCGGCCTAGTGAACGACTACCTGACCAAGAAAACCGGGCCCCTGACCAACGTGGGCAGCGATTGGATCAGTTACGACAAGATCTCCAACCAGACCTGGTCGAATATCTCGGCCTCGACACGAACGGAGTTGGCGTCGACTTTCCCGCCGGATTGGCCAGAGGCGGAGTGGATCGCCAACTCCCTCGCCACGGGCGGCGCGCCGGATAACGGGAACTATGCGACGCTAAGCTCTGGTCTCCTGGCCCTGGTCTCCCACGGCAACATCACGATCTCAAGCTCAGATATGGCAGACGCCCCCATCGTAAACCCTAACTGGCTTGCCGATCCAGTGGACAAGGAGATAGCCATCGCGGCCCTCAAACGCTCACGCCAAATCTGGGCCACGCCCGCTCTCCAGAAAGTCATTCTCGGGCCTGAACTCGCGCCTGGTGCGAATATAACCACTGATGCGGAGATTTTGGACTGGATCGGGAAGAATTTGCAGCTGCTTTATCATGCGGCTGGGACCTGCGCGATGGGTAAGGTGAACGATACGATGGCTGTTGTGGACTCGGAGGCTAGGGTGATCGGGGTACAGGGGTTGAGGGTAGTGGATGCGAGCTCGTTTCCTTTTTTGCCACCGGGACAGCCACAGGCGACTATTTATATGCTTGCGGAGAAGATTGCTGAGGATATACTGTTTGGGAAGTCGTAAGGTGAAAGGGGTATGGGATGGTATGAGAGTATGAAATGATGATGACGATTATGTAGAGACTGTGTATAGAGAAATCGCTACCAATCGTCTTCTGCTGCGGGTGGTCGACCCATGCCCATGCCTAGTCCTGGTGCGGTGCTCATGCCGGCAAAGCCTAGCCCCATGTGCGAAGCCGGTGCCTCTTGCACTTCCTCGACCTCATTCTCGTCCTCATTTCCGCTCTTGCCGTCTTGATCATTACCCTCCCCAGCATTCTGCTCATTGTCCCCATTCACACCCACATGATCTGCATCCCCAGTCACCACTCTATTCGCCTCTCCCGCAGTCAACAGCCCCCCCGGGGCCGCCACACCCGTCCCGCCAGTCCCAACAATTCCCTTCTTCCTCATCAGCCCATCGAACTTCTCCGCCGTCTCCTTCAGCGCCTTCTGAATCCTAACTTCCTCCTCCGCCAACCGAATCTTTTCCTTCTTCAGCATCTGCATCTCCTGCAATTTCTGCGCGCGACTAGTCTGCATATCATTCAACTGCTTCCTCAAGCGATCCAGTACACCATCTAGAGTAGGCAGAAGAGAAGTCATAGGAGGTGTCTTGGGTCGTAAATGCGCGTAAGGATCTGCTTTGACAGCATCGTGTGTAGAACCATAGGTCCCATGCCTGGTCTGCGCAGCCTCGAAAGCGGCATTTCGTTCTCGCTCACTGGCGTCTGAATCTGACTCGTCTGCATCGCTGCCCTCGGCCGCAGCGATTTGGTCTGCCATTTCTCGCCTTCGTTTCTTCTCCGCTTCACGCTCAGCATTACGACCAAGATGGATTTTGCCATCCTCGGTGAAGTCCTCGAAATTCTCCAGTATATCCTCGTCGTCCTTGATGAGACGGCTCTCGGATTCGTTCCATTTATCTTTGGGTTTCAGCACGAGACGGCCGTTCACGTCGATCATCACGTTATCGTCGTCGCCGCCATCGTTGTCAAGGTTTGGATCGTCCGGATCGAGAGAAATATATTCGTCTGCCTTGTCTTCTTGCGCTAGACGGGCTCGACGGGCCTTCTTTTCCGCGATCTCTGCTGCGGATGGAATGGCGGAGGAGAGTTGTTGGGCTTGATAGCGAGCTAAGGAGGAGCCAAATTTGGAGGAGAGGTCGAGACCGCGAGTGGCTTCTGAAACGTCCTGTAGAGCTGCATCTTCCGTGCCAGATGCCAAGTCTTGCGGCGTTGAGGGCGTGCTGTCTTTGAGCTCCTGTAATGAGGCGGTGGTGTAGCTTGGCCGCTCCTCGTCCTCCTCGTGCGATCGCTTTCTCGGTAATGCACTCGTCCGTAAGGCAGCATTGCGCTGCGATGCTATCTTTGAGAGGCTTCCACGCTTGGGAGTGACGACACCAGAAGGCTCGTCATCGTCGTGGAATGCTGCGGACGGTCCCAGTGACTTTCGTAGAACACCAGACTTTCGTGGTTTGACAGTCTGTCGCTGGAGGGTGGGTCCTAAGGAGGCATCGGTCAGCCACTGACAAGGACTGTCGAAGCTTGTCAGAAGATATTCGTTCGTGACAGCATTGCATGCCGACTTACCTGAATCCTCTGCTATCCCGTTCGCTGGTCCGTCATCCTCTTCGGCGCCAACCTTCCGTGACACCCGACGAGCACTAGTAGACTTCTTCATGGTCACTAATGTGTTGAGGCTAGCTTGACCAAGGAATTGGTTGACTGTTTGATGTGGATACAACTTTGCTCAAGTAATTCCATTCACTTTCACATGCACTTTCGCTTCCCCACATTTTTGTGTCACGAGAGTTCGCGACGTGCCAAGCTTTCAAGGCGCGCCATCCTGCGCCCGCGTCGAGAACTCGAGATGGAGGCGTCAGCTCCCCACTCCAATGGCAGACTGACCTTCGATACCAATCAATGCCGTAGGCCTCAGAGCTTCGCGAGCTCGATCGGGACGATACAGTATGCCGACATTGCGGAGGTCGGGAGTGACCAAGTTGCTGCGGACGGTCAACGGGAAGCCGCATGCGAGCGACGATGATCACGAAGATACCACAGACATAGCGTTTCAGCTTCCAACACCAACATCTTCGAATGGCACGACTGACTCGGGAGGAAGTGGCAAGAAGCTTGTCGACGAGGGGGATATATACGCCGATCCACTTTCGAGTGGTGATGAGAAGCCAGCAGGATTCAAGCTGCTTTCACATATCCCTGTAGTAGCACCAGTGACAGCAGCAAAACAGTTCAAGCAGCATCTTCAGCTAGACGGACCGTCTGAGGAGGTCGTACCAACAACATTCAAGCACTTTAAGCCAAAGAGTCCAGCGAACAGTGTGGGCAGCAAGCGAAGTGCAGACGATTCCGACCATGCAGCTGGCAGCGACAATGACGGCTTCATCTTCAGCTCCGAGTCTTCGCAAGCCAAGAAGCCGCGGATGAAATACACCCAGAACGTGCATGCTCGACCACAGTCTTTCAGGCCCACAGGCTATGGCGCCAAAGCTGCAAGGCAAAGATCACGAGAAGAGGAACAGAAGAAAGTGTTTCAAGTCAAGCAGACGAAGAAGCAGGAGACTGAGAAAGCAAAGGCGCCGGCTTTCAAGACCATGAAGTTACCGGACGGCATGCTGGCGTTCAGTGGCAAAGATGGACCGACTACATTTCGGCAACCACGACGTAGGGGAGACGGGGTCGGTGACTGCGAGGCTGAAGCAAATGGCTCGGACTCGGACTTGTCGTCTCTACCCGGAGACGAGCCAGCTTACACAGAACAGGAGCTCGCAGCACTTGGACTTCCTGAAGTGGAACCATACGAGCGTACTATGGACTGTACCCTATGCGAAGCCGGAATGCCATACTCAATACGTGAAGACTTTGAGGACATGTTCCCGCAGGCTCGAGCATGGACATACAAGTGGCAAGAACGGTTTTGCAGTTATCATAAGCGGGCGGAAGCACAACTGGAATGGAATGAACGAGGTTACCCTAGGATTGATTGGCCCGGATTGCCCGCGAGGTTGAAGCAGCGGAAGCACACGTTGCGCTTGAAGAGCATCATGAGTGGCGAGCTCGAGTCTGCCTTCAAGAAGAGCTTCGAGGAGAAAGTCAAGACTGGCTCCAAGACTCTACTGCAGGCTGCTACAAGCACCAAGGAACAGATGGGTACGACTGCTGGGTACTACGGACCCAGAGGCGAGACAGTAATGTATGTATTCAATTCCTGCCACCGGTTTAACAGACTGGCAGCGCTAACAATAGACAGGACCGACCACATCATCGCCACCTTCGGCTCCGATATCAATGACTACGCCATCAAAGACAAAAACGTCGCCTCGGCAGGCGTGTCGGGAGGTGTCTCAGGGTACGTTCAAAATGTGCTCGTGCCTGAGCTCACTCTTTCCCTCATAAGCCAGGACATGAGTGCCAAGGCCAATCGCATGCAAGGCACGCCTTTGGAAGTGCTCACAAAGAGTGCGAAGCTTGGTGAGCTTCTATGTCCGGAGCTTGACGAAGGGGCGCAGGTCGTTGGAGATGAAAACGATGGGGATGATGATCTATAATGGATTTCGTGAGTTCGCTAAGATCTTTATGTGGGCGCGTTCGAGCTTCGCAGACGTTGCGATTTGACCTGTAAATATCATGCTGTACAGACCAACTATCGTGTGCTAATCCCACATTTCCGCTTTCCGCGGTTCAGCCATACACGGCCCATCCTCTGTCATACTGCGACCTGCCATTCGCATACGTCCCCTTGAAGGCAGCAGTAGATCTGTCGTCCTCCGACGGTCCATGAAGCGCACAGACACGCTAGCAGCCTCTCGTATCCCGGCGTCGACAGCTCGTGTTATCCAGTCGCGCCATAGGTCCTGAATTCCCAGTACTGTTGTTGTGTTGACTTTATCGAAATTGCTTCGGGTGTGATACTCCGCGCACATGGCCACGAGGTGCCCAGAAGCGCGTCTCGAGAGCTGTTCGCTATATAGCCAGTCGCGACGGTGTCCATCATCTTTCATCTCACTTCACTTGCATCATCCACCCATCTACCCAGATAGCTCCTCCTTCCTCCTCAAAATCCTCGAGTGCCGATCCACTTCCACCTGGATATCCTTTATCTTCATCTTCTCCAGATCGAGCTGCATTTCTTTGCCGTCCTCTACGCCAATAAAAGTCAGCATTGCCATACCACAACGCCCTACCCCTTCCAGATCTCGCCTTGCAATCTGAACGTACTGAATTTCAAGCTCAAACTCGCCGGCTTCTCTGCCTCTCCCTGCCCAAACAACTTCACACTTATCGCCATACTGGACCGCGCATTGGGTGGTAGCGAAGCTAGGAAGTTGCGGACGGTTTTGCCGGAGCGGGCGTTGAAGGGGGAGAAGGCGGTTGTGACGCCGGTGATGTATTTCGTTAGCATCCTGTCTCCTCTCCTCCGCAGCTATCCCACAGTACGCCAAATATCTGGCGACGATGCTGTTGCTGGCCAGATTTTAGATCGGTGGTACCGATGCGGCGAACGCGGGAATGCCAAGCTCGCTGTCTGGACGACGGGGCGCAGCCTCAATTCTCTTGCTATTCTAGCAGAACCTCGTTGTTACTCATCGTCTCTGCATGTTCCCGCTCGCTGGGTCGCGTGCCGCATACCGTTATTGACTGGGTTACAGAGTTGCACAAGTGTTGACCATTGTCGCACCAGTGCGGGTCAGGTAGAGACATAGATGTAAGCTGATGCCTTGTCAGCATCCCCTTTCCTCGACCTGTTTCTACAACTACCTCTGAGCCTCTCGTCTTCTTTATCCTGCATCACAGTCGCTCGCTATAACAGTCCAAACAGCTATATATCACATACGATCACAGCAGGAGATCTTTACCTGAAAGCACAATCTCAATACAACCACAACTATGCCGTCTCTAACATTCTTCCTCCTCCCCGCCGCTCTTTCCACCCTCGCCCTCGCGAAAACAGACCTAAGCGGCTGCACCTCCACCGATGTCTCCTCCCCAGCCGGCGCCTCGATAGCCTGGTACGTCCCCGGCACCGGCGAAATGTGCGCCGCTCTGGACTGCGGCGGTGGACGTGCTCCTCCCAAGACAGACGTTCCAGGCTGCCCACAATACAGCGGCACGGGCACCTACTCTCCCTCGTACAACACTGCCTGGGCGACCGGTGCCGCGGCGCTGGGTGGCTACGGTAGTACGTCGTCGTCTGCAGCGTCTGCCACGGCGACGGCGTCGACGACGGGAAGCTGGAGTGCGTGGGAAACGGATTCGGCGAGCAGTTCTTGGGATCTGTATACCACGGCTCCAACCTCGTCAGCTGTCACTAGCGCACCAGTATCCTCCAGTGCTAGCACCACTTCCACCGCATCTACCACGCCGATCGTTCCCGTAGCTCCAGTCGTGCCCTCCAACGGAACGATGCCATCCGGGACTGGCTCGAGTCCGTCACACGCTGGTAACAGCACGGCTGGGATCACGAGTAGCAAGCCTACTGCTACGGCATCATCGAACACAAACGGTGCGATGGGATCGGCTGAGATGTTTGTTGGTGCTGCGGCGCTTGTGGGGTTCAGCGTGGTTGCTACGGTGTTGTAGGGATAGCAGCTCGTCATGATGTACGATTCAGCGAGGGCGGATTGGGTATAGACGAGACTTGCATGCAAGGGCGCAGATGACATGGGTACGGCGAAGATGTACTTTAGCGTGGCGGTAGTTTTCGGGCGTAGAGCGAATCAGTAATGATACGATGTCTTTGCCTCATCACGGCTCATTCGTGAGCGGGTTGATGTAGACGTTCACGTGGCTCGATGGTGTTTGTTTCCTCTCATCTAAGCTAGTGCATCGTCTTTGCAGCGTGAGGAAGGCGCAACTCACCTTGATCCAATCTCATGCTTTCCGCCATGTGCAATAGTCTTGATGCCAATCATGATCTACTCCCCTATACCCGCTTGCTTTAAACAAGGATCAGGACCGTCTCTACACCCTCTGGAATCTGGTCTCGAGGTGGTTTCCTCGCCTCGAATATCCAGCTAGGGCCTCGACAATCACACTAGAATCTCTGCGAAATCGTTCTTGGCCAACACCTGCTCTGCTGAGTGCACCATCAAGATCTCGTTCCGCCAGGTCGTTTGCCTATAGTCACCTTGCACCTGGAACAGCAGCTGCCTGTGTACATCTCTAGTCATCCAACGAGGCACGACGGGCAATCATGGCCATCGAGGCATTACACTGGCATCCTCACCTACCAGCACCCTAATGCACAATAAAATACTAGGTCTAACACTTGATCTCGGTCAGGGCGGGGAAAAACCTCGGCCTAATTTAGAAAAGGATCATTTATTGCAACCACTAGAAATCGTGGAAATCATGCCAGATTCCACGGACGATCCCAATCGTTTGTCCCTCGTGGCGCAATTGGCTAGCGCGTTTGACTGTTATGTCTGGCTTGCACCAGCAGAATTGAAATCAGGAGGTTGGTGGTAAGTTTATCTCAAAGGTCCGCGTGTCTGAATACGTGTTGATTTGCTGTTCAGGTTCGAGCCCACCCGAGGGAGTTTCTTTTGGTTCTGAATGTTCTTTTGACCTCCAGCCTGCTGAATTCTTCATAGCAGACCTCAAAAGAACTTTTGACTAGCACGCTAATTGCACAACAAGAATGTTATTATGATGCTTTAAGCAACTCGAGTCTGCATCTGATCGCCAAATTACAGCTATGGTTTCCAGGGATCGTAGTCATGAATGTTTGACGTGCTTCCCAACTTCTCCATAAGCACTTGGAGCGAGTCAAAACGAGCCGCTCACCCTGCTCATGCGGCCAGGGGCGGGCGAGATGTAGCTTTCACACAGCGGGCAAGTAGTAGGACACTGCTCGTCAGCCTCTGCGCGATCTTGAGTTGACCCACTCCCTAGGACTTGACTGGGCAAGCGAGTACGTACACCCGGCTTACGAAGGAGTCTGCTTAGCAATAGGCAACGTCCAAGCACAATGTTGTTGGAAAATCGCAACAGCTTGGACCCCGCTTGTACAATGTCCAGCTACCTTATGCAACACTATTCTACTTCAGATTTGTAGACTATCCCTTTACCATGCCATCACCGCCAGCGACAACATGCCATCTACACTAGAGAAGCTCCCAGAGCTCAACATTCCTCCATCCAAGCATATCGTCGATGTAGCGATCATCGATACCACAGCCCATGGAGGGAAACTCCCAGTCGCAGCGTTCATGCACCCAGCTATGCCGGGATTTGACATGCTGGACGCACCGTGCTACGCCTTCTTGATCAAGCACAGCAACCCTGAAAAGACAAGCAAGGACGATCAATTAATTTTTGACCTTGGTGTTCGCAAGGATTGGAGGGAGAATGGTCCGAAGGCTATAGTTGAAAGGATCGATGCCTTCGGAGCTGAAGTCACAGTCAAGCAAGACGTGATCGATATTCTCCGCGAGCATGGAGACGATCCCAAGAAGATTGGCGGGATCATCTGGAGTCATCACCACTTTGTGAGTATGTCTTATTCGTTCCAGCTGACACCCACTGATAAGTCGATAGGACCACACCGGCAACCCGTCGACCTTCCCAGGGACGACAGATCTTATCGTCGGACCCGGCTTCAAGTCTCAGTTTGTGCCTGGATACCCAACAGTTCCCGATAGTGAAGTCGATGAAGGTGCCTGGGAGGGTAGAGTATTGCGAGAAATCGATTTCGTCGCGGAGGGCAAAGGCCTCAAGCTTGGCCGGTACGATGCATTTGATTTCTATGGAGATGGCAGTTTCTACCTCGTCGACTCGCCAGGCCACGCTACAGGCCACATGTGTGCTTTAGCACGAGTCTCAGCGGAGCCAGCAGAATTCATCCTGATGGGAGGAGACATTGCGCACCACGGAGGCGAGTTCAGGCCAACGAAGTGGCTTCCTCTGCCTGGAGAGATCAACCCCAACCCGCTCGTTGCCCCTTATGCGAAACATGCTCCGGTGTGCCTGGGTGCTCTGTTCGAGGCCATCCATCCCCAAAAGAGCTCCACTGAGCCTTTCATGCAGCCAATTGGTCCGGTCCATGATGATGCGGAGCAGGTGGTCATCAGTCTGGCCAACTTCCAGGAGTTCGATGCACATCCCAACGTCTTTGCGGTCATCGCTCACGACGCGCATTTGCTCGATGTCGTCGACTTCTATCCGAAGTTCGCGAATGATTGGAAGCAGAAAGACTGGAATGAGCAGGGTAGGTGGCGATTCTTGAGAGATTATGATACCTCACAGAAAACTTGAAAGGCTGCCTTGGAGAAGGTTTAAAAACCGAGTCGGGCCAAAGCCGCCTTTAGTACTGGAAGGTCAACAGACCAGTGAGCACAATCAGATAGGCTGCCAATTTCGAATCCCATGTTCTAACCCCTGAGCTTTCCCTCGAAAAAATTATTGTACTAGCTGGCGATGCAGCAAGTGTGGACGCTGCTCGTGATGCCGAACCCGGTGCTGCTGCGGTAGAGACACCAGTCACAGCTGGCGCGGGGTTACCTTGGGATGTTGTACTTGTAGTAAGCGAGTTTGGAGACATAAGTGTAGGACTTGAGTGCAGTCCGCTGAGAGAAGTCGTTGTCGACTGAGACTCAAGGGCAGCTGATGACAAAGTTTCCGAGACCGATAAATTGCTGGCTAGAGCGACACTTGGAAGCACCGGCCTTGACTGAGTTGGCGAGTTGAGTGGGGACGCAATTCCATCGGACTCTGGCAATATCGCAATACTCTTGGTCGTGCTCGCCCGCACAGGGTCCATATCGCTAAGACCTGACGTGGATGTGGATGGACTTGATCCGCCACTCGGGATGTCACTACTCGGCGAGCTCTTTTGGCTGTGTAGCGCACTGATTAGCACCGCCACCACGCCTTCTACTGTCTCCTGAGCAGCAGGCTGAACTCTGCTGGGGTCTGAAAACACCTGCAGTATTGCACTAGCAACACCACTTGCTGCAGGGTTGCTGTGCACTTCCACTAAGCTCATAGTAGTGGCAGCAACGGCTGGAGAAACCGGATCGTCTATCGGACCTCTTGCCAGACTCGTAGCTTGCACCGCGTTCATTGTGCTGTGCGAGATCGATGGCGCAGTCCCATCGATCGAGATGCTGGAGCCACCAGCCACGACACCCGCGTCAAGTACGCTGGGGTCCGCACTGTTGACCGTGATACCAGAGGTACCGACTGTACTTCCAGCGCCCGATACGTTGCTGACGATAGTATCCACGGATCGAGTCGAGAGCTTTGCGCTAGACACCGTAGATACGAGCAGACTCTGTGTCTCCTTCGCAAGACTCGACGCTTCGTTCGTTCCACCCTCCGGAACACCAACCACAATCGCCGTGCTTGAATATAGTGACTGAGAGCTACTTGTGGTGGAGAGTGGTTGGGTCGGCATGACCCCCGAGCCCGGAGTAGCTGATACAGTGGCTGTCGCGGACGTTGGACTCGCAGGTATCGTTGGGAGCTGCACTTGCGCCACTTGACTCAGAGCTTGTGGCGGGTCGTAGACATTGGCTAGCACAGAGCAAGTTGTCCATTGCTCCTGTACCTCAGTCAGCCAGATCGGTATGGCCAGCTCAGGCATGTATGGTGAAGAGATAGTAGCACAGGCTGACATATTATTGGCGCATAACATTTGGCCTCGGTAAGCACTCCATGGTACAGGGTAGTTCAAGTCAGCCAGGTTCATTGACTGTGTGTAGGCATCAAACTGTGTCTGAGCAGGATTCACCGGAGAGTAGCTGATTGAAGACAAATCGAACGTCCAGACTGGCACCTCGAAACGGGCCTGTGCAGTGCCGCACATCGCGCCATTGGCCGCTGTTGCGAAGAGATCCGAGAAGCTGTAGTATGCTGATGGAGAGATATACGTGCTGTTGCCCACAACCATAGTATTTGGACCTTGACCTGTTGGTGCTGCCGTGATCGTGGTCCCATTGCCTTGACACAGATCCCCGGAAGTCGTAGTTGTCGGCCAGTAGAACAATTGCATGCCATTTGCGAAGACTGTGCAATCTCCGCATGACGGCTTGAACGATCGCACCGTGCTACAAAGCGGCGTATAGATCATGGCGACAGCGGCATCGATGTTGTCTTGATAGAGCTTGTTGCACTCGCTCGGTTGAATCGTGCATGATGGGTACGAGCTGGGGTAGAGTCCGCTATTGAGTCGAGTGGATCTTCCGCACACAGGTACCTGTAAAGTTGTCATCTTGGTGGTGAGGGAATAGGTGAAATTATCTGGGGTTCGAGGGTGACCATCGCAGAACGTCGTCCACTCGATGTTGATTGCATGATCTTCCTGGGTGATACCATACGTATTTGTCGATGTCGAGCAATTCGTCGTGGGCGCGACCATGGTCTGCCATGCTTCCGAGGCCAAACTGTACGAGATCCTCTGCTGGTTGCATATGCTGGCTGCTAAATGTCCAGCATCCAGAGTCGTGTTAGTACCGTTGACACGACTGATGACGCTGGAGAGTGAGGCGGTTGCTGACTGGATCCCATCCTGAGTACTATTGCTATACGACGAGAGAGGTGGAACAGTGATTCCAATGTTCACGGTAGCCAAATACTCGCTCTGAGCAACAATGGAAGGTAGACATTGTAGGAAGTATAAAAAAGTGGCGATGGATTGCATGAGTGCGGAGTCAAGGTTCCGAGATAGCAACACCGTATCGAAAGTCGCAAAGAAGGGTATCGTACTTCCAGGCAGGCATATACATACTGATGTGATTACTCGCTGTACTACACTATAGTAATTGATCCATGCTGGGCGCTTGCAAACCGCGTTACAGACGGTAGATAGAGAGCATGAGGTTTCAGATGAGCGGGTGAAGATGGCGAAGTTCACCCTGTGCCACAATCCCGGTACAGCTGGCTGCTTTGATTCGATGCAAACAATGCGGCACTTGCAGAAAATAATGCCACAATCGATGGGCGGTACGAAACATATGCAATATAGTTAAACAAAATGTTGATGTCAAGAGAGCTGGCGCCGCCGGCCACCATCGATCATTACATCAAGTCGTGCTCCCGGACCACGTTGCGAAAGACTATTGCAACCACCAGTCAAATACCAGGTTTGTAACACGGACTGGTACAATACTCCAACGATGACCCAACACCTGTAGAGACCATGTCGATCTGGAATTCGACATCTCGAAGTGAGAGCGGGCTAATGGACGACTGTGCCTGACCATAGCTTGCAGTCAACCTGGACCGCCGTGCCAACGCCCAATCCGACACCAGAGTTGCCGAACAGAGCTTTTGACGCACCAGAGTCGATGCACGTATCGAAGTTGAGGTTGGCTCCGTACTGGTTCGTACCACCAAGGCCGTTCTGGGCGCAAAGCGGGTTTCCAGAAGCAGGGCACAAGTTTGTCACCTGGACGATGATGCTGTTGCCGGCATTACTCACGGCGTGACCAGAGCTGTCCGTCTCAATAGTGAGCCTCCAGCACGTCCCGCAACCTGGACCAGCTCCCGCCCCTGGCCCCACACCGAACTCATTCTGAGATACAGCGGCAGAGTATCCACCAGGATTCGTATAAAACCCACACGCCGTGGTAGGGACGTTACAATTGCCCGAGTTGTTCTGATCATTAGAACCGTACTCAGTGAAAGAAGCCTTGTAGGTACCGCTTCCAGTCGCGGGCGAGGTGGATGCAGCGGCTTTCGAGGTTGCTGAAGTTTTAGAAGCCGCCGAAGAGGTGACCTTTGTGGTTGGACTGCTACCAGAGCCTGGGACAGAAGAGGTCAGCGAATACTGAACTAGCATGCTAAAGTGACAGGAGCGTCATCTCACCAGAGCCCGGAATGCACTGGGAATAGTAGGAGTTCTGCGCGACGCAGTGGTAGCCAGACACACATGTTGTGCTACCTTGGAAGTTCTGCCCGCCGCACTGGGCATAGGCAGCTTGCTGAGCATAGGCAGATGAAGCGGCAGCGACCGCCAAGATCATGGATTTGGTGAACATGATGAGAGAGTGTGACCGGAAACTGTGAGGAGCAAAGGAAGAGATCTTGTTGGAAGCTGTCAGGACAGTAGTTATGATTGTGCAGGATCAAAGCCCAAGGGAGCCGGACGACAGTCTACCTTATACCTCCCCAGACACGGCACAACATCATCCACATCGATGAGTAGTCGATCCTCAATATAAGCCGCCAAGTTTCATAGTACCACAAGACCACGACATGGCTTGCCGGTTGACGGGTGGGCTGCTAGACGAGCTAGACATTGGTGCGGCGGGATGTGGTGCGAGGCGATTGTAACAAGCTTTTCCTGGTTAAGCTTTCTACGTTACAGCACGGCCGTCGATCGGCAAGATCGTTTTCGGGGAAGTATCCGCGTGAACATGGCTGCAGGGAGGAGGAACGCCATACGGAGCAAGTGTAGGGATGTTGCTTTGTACTTCCAGCGGTGTCTTGTATATGGCCATATCCGTTCAACCAACGACGACACGACAGCGCCATGTTTCCAGTCACCAGGCCACGTCTCATGGTTTGTAGTACGGTAGAGCAAATAACGATGCAGCCACGTTTTTGACAAGCTGCCGTGTGCCGTGATCCAGGAGCCCGTGTGGATGCGAGCAGGGATGTTTCGATGCTAGCGCCGTTTCGCGTAGATGGCGAAGCCAAAGCTTGGTGGCTTCCATGATCGCCAAAATCCATCTTTCAATTCTTCCAAGCGAGGAGCGAGGACTAGACTGGCCGCCGGACCGCTACGTCAATGTTCGCCACAAGGTCACAAGATGGAGGAGGAATCTGCGTTTTTAAAAGCGTTGTATCGTCAAATCCTCGCTTTTCCCCGACGATCTTTAACGTCGAGGTCGCGACTCTAGCTTAGATAATCACCATTGAGTCGTAGCCGCTGGGCGTTGTGACAGTGTTTGACGTCTGTCGCACACGGGACAGTGACATCGGAATGCACTCTCATCACTTCTCCATCCATATTTGGAACCAGGTCGTTGTGTTGCTGGTTGGTTATGTGCATGCCCTGAAGCCAGCCTTGCTACTGCAAACCGCCGTGGCGTACAGATGCTGTTGATGATGGTGGAGAGATCGACATGAGGCCAGCAAGTGTAAAAAGGGCCATGATTCAACCAGCTCCGTACGGTCAATCGCCACGAAGGGGAGCAAGTGCCAAAGATAACAATGACGGTAAACACCTCAAACCTTCTTGTCTCCCACCTGCACTTCCCTCTCCTTTGCAGCGACCTTTGTCTTATACTCTCTCGGCGTCTCGACAGCAGTCGCCTTACGCCCAAGTAATCTCCCTACCAACCCAGGATTCTGCCACATGCCGACGCCTCTGCTCTTTGCCTTCTTCTCAGCAGCTCTATACACCTCCTCCTTCCCTCCAAATTCCGCGCCACTCTTTGCCTCATACACAGTAGCCAGTCCAAGTTTCAGCATCTCCAGCCCAATATCCGACCGAAAGAACAGCCACTTCCGTCGATACGCAGTCCCCACCACTCGCTGATACTGATCAACCCTGTGAACCTGCGTCCGCACATACGTCCCTTGTATCGCACTCCTCAGCCACGCCAGAGCCTCAGGACCGTAAGGCTGATCCGGGTTGCCAAAGTGTGCACACTCAGGCGCGTCGACACCAGCAAGACGTACTGAGATAGTCTGATCCTTTAATTTCTTCCTGTCACTCTCTTGTGGCCTTCTACCTCTGTACCAACCCCACCCTGCCAAAGGACCACCTGGCGTATGGAAGAGGTGGAAGCCATCCCCATCACCAACACTAGTCACGTAGCCATATAGACTCCGTTTGTGGAAATCTGTTGGCTTGATGTGGCCTGCGGTCGGTACTCGCTTCAGGTACATTCGGTAGAAACGTAGAGCCGCGAAGGTCGCTCCAGCAGTGATCACACAGGCTGTAATGATTCGAGGCTCCAGGAATTGTGATCGTGATGCTTGTTTATGCTCGGCTTCGTCCTTCGTGGCATGCTGCACGGGCAACGCTGGCAGTATACGTTCGCCGTCATCTTTTTGGTGCGTGTTGCGGTTCCATAGCCAGTCTGACAATGGCATTGCTGGTACGTGTGGGAAGGCGTGGAGAGCTCGTGATAGCGCGGCAATCGTTGCTGTGCCGCAACATGGAGCTTGGTTGACATTTTCCCCGAACTAGCTAGCGGCATATTCAATCATACATAATATGCCCGTGATGGAATCTCGACACAAGCATCCGAGAGCGAGTCTCCCCTACTACTCATTGACTCACGGCACGAGGCAAGAGGAGCAATAATAGCATTTGGGTACATCATGTGACATGCCCGGGAAATTGCATGGACGTCGGGTGGCAGGATTTATAGCAGTATTGTACAGGTATACTACACTATAGATGGCAATGGCACGGCTAGGGTGCAAGACTGTCATGAGACACAGCCGCATCTGGTGGGCCATATCCCGCAACAGATCATCTCGCACATGCCTCTAGAACTCCCAATCCTCATCGACAGACTTGACGGCCCAGTCGAACTTCTCACGCAGCGTCTTGGAGAAGAAGCGCTCGATTGGGACGTCGAACTTCTTCGAGAAGACGACGGTAAGACGCGGATCGATGTAGTTCTGCAAAGATTGTCAGCATGCCTCATGTTGTCACGAATGGCCGGTCCTGAACTCACGATCTTGGAAGTCCCCAGCGCAACCTCCTTATTGCTCTCACGATCCTCACTCTGTAACTTAAGCGTAGCAATCCTCGTATCGAGCTTCTCAAGCGCAGCGTCCAACTTGTCCAGTGTGGGCGCCTTGCCGTCCGCCTCGATCTTCCCGCCCTTCTTGTTCTCGCGCTTGAACTTCGCCTCGAACTCATCAGCAGGCTCCATGCGCTCATCGAGCTCCTTGGCCTTCATCTCCTTCTCGCCATCCGCCAGAAGCTTCTCGTTCTCCTTCTCGAACTTCTTGCGGATCTTGTCGCGGGTTTCGGTCACGAGCTCTTCTTGGTGCTTCTTCACCCACTCAATGTCGATACCTTCTGGTAGGTCGAAGTACTCCGCGCCACGTTTCTTCTTGAGCTTTGGATCAAGATCGAGCATCTGCTGCTTGAGGCGGTATTGTTGATAGCGAAGACCATCGATCCTGCCTTCCATCTTCTCCATCTGAGCAGCGTGACCAGCGCCCACGGTACGCTTATGGTTACACAGGATGGCCACACGGCGATTGGCATCGTTGTAGGCTTTGATGCGCTCAGGCACTGTCCCCGTCGCTTTCATGTCCTTGAGCAGGTTTGACATAGTCCAAGACGCGTTGTAAGTACGGAAGACCTTCGCGGTCAAGCCAGTCATGTAATTCGACAGATGCTTGTTAAGACCAGATGTAGTGAGTCGATCGAAGATCTCGTCGCCTTCGGTCTTTGGCGCGCGCTTGAAGATTTTGAGGTTCTTGAACACTTGCAGATCGACCTTGACTTCGTCGTAGAAGCGGATTGAATCTTTACCCAGGAAATCGAAGATGACAGTGTCTGGTTGGCGAAGGGTGACGTGCTCGAATTTGAGCGAACAGCAGCCCACGGTGTCTGCTTCGTCTTCGCCCTTCTCGTTACCGGCACGAAGCGCAAACTGATCGATGAGATATACGGCGGTAGCACGCTGGCGCTCAGCCATCTGCTCAGACTTGAGCTCCTTGTGGTAGTCCTTGCGAATACGGTCGATGTGTTTCTTCAGCTCACGGGCTTTCTCGAATTTCTTGTAGTCGCTCTGGCCCTTGACATCGGAGTTGGCAGCCAGCATAACGTATTTGTATGCGCCGTTGATATTCTCCTGCCACATAACAAGCCATGTACCCTCCTGATCGTGTTTGACTTCCTTCCACTTATGCCCCTCGGGCGGTCTCGGCACCATTGCGTCTTTGCCGATGTTGATGGTGATTTGCTCGGGTGCGACTCGCTTCTTCCACTTGCCGGTCTTTGGATGTTCGCCACGACCACGAAACAGACCTGGCGGCTCGACACGAAAGTTGCCGACCTTCTGCTTGCGACCATTCCACGTACAATACATGAACGGTGCCTCTATTTCATCCTTCTCCGCTTTCAGCTTCTTCTTTTCCGAGGCCGGAAGAGCTTTCTTGGTTTGGCGTGCAGCGTCGACGTAGTTGAAGATCGGCTTGAAGTCGCACTTCTCGAACTTTGTGATCTTGACCTTGTTTCCGTCCTTGTCTGTAGCATGGCCCGTCTTGTCGAGCATTTCCTTGAAGTCGGCGAAGAAGTTCTTGATAAAGGTTGGATTCTCGACGTTGTGAGTCGAATTCAGCATGCTCCCGAAAGCGTGCGCGATCTCTTCAGCTTCTGGGTGTAACGTAATAGGTACTCCATCGTAAGCCATTTTGACATTTTTCGGTAGTAGCTCATACTCAGGCGGGAAGATGACTCCGTTGTGCTCGAGAGTGCTCCACTTCTTGGTTCCATCGCCCTTGGTTGGATCCTCCCACCACCTGTACTCTTCTTCTTCGTCCTCAGCCTGATCGTCTTCGGCGGTCTGTTCCTCCTTCTTGACCTTGGCTTTGCCCGCTTTCTTCGCATCTTCTTTCTTGACAGCTGCTTTCTTAGCGGGTGCCTTCTTGCTGAGCGGCACGTCGTCCTCCTCATCGTCCTCTTTCTTGACCTTCTTGGCCTTCGCAGGAGCCTTCTTCTTCTTGGCAATAGGCTCATCGTCTTCGTCGTCACTCTTCTGCTTCTTCGCTTTACGTTTGGCTTCCTCGTTCTTGTCCTTGCGACGCAGTGACGCAGCTTCTTTCTCAGCCCTTTTCTCGATGACCTCTTTCTCCTTCTGCAACTTCTGACCAAGTGGTACATCGTCATCGTCATCAGATTCTCCGATTTGTGCAGCAGACGCCTTGGGTGGCTTGACTATCTTCTTGAGTGGTACGTCGTCGTCGTCCGAGTCCAAAGCCTTCGTCTTACGCTTCTTGGTCAGTGGAACATCGTCCGAGTCGCTCTCATCCTTGTAAGTTTTGCCGTTCGCCATCGATGACTTTCTTTTGCCCGCAGTGCCATTTGTCGTTGGAGGATCAACTTCCATTGTATCGACAGGACCCATGGCCAGACTGATACCAGGAGCGACGTGGCCATTCGTCGGTGCTGCTTTGTCCATGGCGGCGTCAACTGCTTTCGAGATTGTGTCTTTTGACTTGGCTGCAATCGTTGTTAGTTGAAGCACACGACCAGTTTTGTGTGTTGATGAAAATTTGACCGTTGGAAACTGGAAGCCGGCATTCCTATGAAGGGATATGTTGAGTCACATGCAAACAATAGTAAGACTGTTGAGAGCAATTGATTGTGGTGAAGTGAAGTTGTGAAAGTGAGCAAATTCTGACCAAGTCCGATTCAGCTGAGGGGCAGGACTTCGCCGAATTGACACGCCAGTGAAGTCAACTTGCAAGGGCGCAGTGATGCAATAACATACCCTTGATTAAAGGCCTGTCATCCTCTGAGTCCGACATCGTCCTGATACATGGCCAAGGCCTTCTGATCGTATGCGCGAGTTGTGTTGCGACTATGCGAGACGTGTATCGCTCTGTGAACTCGACGCGCGAGGTGCTTTTGGACTTAGCGAAACGCGACTTGGATGCTGCTGTTAAGCGGAGTTGTGTCTGGAGCCTCGTAAGAAGCCGTGTTGTGGTAATAATGATTGCTGTCGTGGTAAGGACAGTGCAGTGGAGTTGATGATAGTAACGCAGCTGCGCGAGCCTGTCTAGAAGAATGGGAAAGTAGAAAGAACGGGACAATTGGTTCTGAATGTTGTAGAAGTCAAGGCACAGTCACGTGTCAACCCATCCCGGAGCTTCCCGTAAGCGTCCAGGAGCCCCGTCGAAACCTCCATCGACGAGCTTGCTGCAGTGACGGACCCGTAAGCATTCACGCCCATCCACATCACACCTACACTCGAGCAGCCGTCATCATGCTGTCTCGGGCAGCTCGTCCGGCCTTCAAGGCTGGCTCGGCGCTCACCATTCGGTACGTACACCACGCAGCAAGCCCGACAAGCTCTTCCGCATGGAGAGACAGCAAAGCTAACAGAGCCATTGCGCATCAGCCCAGTCACTGCCGCCACTCCCGCCCTTCAGTCCGCCAACTATGCCACCCTTCGTGAGATCGAGGGCCGTCTCAAGTCCATCCGCAACATTGAGAAGATCACCAAGACCATGAAGATTGTCGCCTCGACCAAGCTCACCCGCGCCCAACGTGCCATGAACACCTCCCGATCATACGGTCAGACCTCCAATACTGTCTTCGAGGAGGCTGAGACTAAACCACTTGAGAGCGAGGGCAAGAAGACTCTGCTTGTGGTGTGCAGTTCGGACAAGGGTCTCTGTGGTGGTATACACTCTGGTATGACGCGTTACGTGCGTCGTCTGATGACTGAGCACCCTAGCGATTACCAGCTGGTCATTGTGGGCGAGAAGTGCAAGGCGCAACTGAGCAGGAGCAACCCCAAGGACTTGGCTTTGACATTCGCTGGTATCGGCAAGGATGTGCCTACCTTCGCAGACGCTCAGGCCATTGCCGACCAGATCTCCCTGCTTCCCGAGGACTACGCCAGCATCAAGATCATCTACAACAAGTTCTTGAACGCTCAGTCCTACGAGGCCGTCACCGTTGAGGCTTTCTCTGAGGAGGCTATCGCTGCGTCACGTAAGTGCATAAGTTGCGTATCCAAGCGAATCTTAGCTAACTCTTTATGATAGCCAACTTCGCCGCCTTCGAGATTGAAGATGAAGTCCTTGCCAACCTCCGCGAGTACGCTCTTGCCAACAGCCTTTACTGGGCTCTTGCCGAGGGCCATGCTTGCGAACAATCTGCCCGCCGTAACGCTATGGACAACGCATCGAAGAACGCCGGCGACATGATCACCAGGTTCCAGATTCTATTCAACCGAACGAGACAGGCTGTGATTACCAACGAGCTGGTGGACATCATTACTGGTGCGTCTGCTTCGGAGGGTTAGAGAAGCTCAGTGTGTACATACTAGTATCCGTAGAGAGCGTGTAAAACTGTTCCGTTTGTTCTGCGAAGAAATTACGCGAGGAGGCTATGTTGCATTGACATTCTCGATCCTTTCTGTGCAGTCCCGTCCGAGAGCATGGTTTTATGATTGTCTCAGCTTCTCCCCGCGCCTTGCCTCCATATCGTTGGCATTTTCGGCAAGCTCTGCCGAGAGACTGCAATGCTGAACAATCCCTTTCACTGCTCGGATCTCATCGCAACCAAAACAGCACGAGTCTTGCAAGCTGGGATCCTAGCGCTAGAGGTGTCATACTAGTGACTTGACAGCCTATTGAGTTGCTTTGTCAACACTTCTAGACAGAGCCAGGCTCATGCACCGGACAAACAGTCTTGGCCGATCACAACTCCGAAGCATCCGCACAACTTCCGCAACCATGGAGCCGGCTAATGGCATGGACGGCAGCAGCAACATCCAGCAGCACGAAGGCAGCAATAGTCCGCCGTCTTCATCAAAGCGACAGCGCGCAAAGCAAGCCTGTGAGCCGTGTCGCTTGAGGAAACGTCGATGCGATGGCAACCTCCCGTGCAACATGTGTACACAATTCGAGTACAAATGCTATTTCGAAAAACATCCTCGCAAGCGAAGCAAGCTCGTAGAGGCCGGCGAGGCGCTACATGAACGAGAGCATCATGCTGGCCCGGCGCGAGATGCGCCAATCTACGAAGACACTCCTCCTCGACCCGAGCCAGTCAAGGAAGACAGGACGAACTTTGAGGACCAGACGAAGGTGCGGTCTATGGAGGCGAACTCGAGTATTGCGTTCACACGACTGCTTGGGCTGAGACTGGATCCAAGTTCTGGTCCCAAGCTGTTCACGTTTGGGTGGAATCTGGGTAGTGGCGAACATGTAGTTCCACTTTCACCCTCACTCACAGATCTACTGGGACAGGACCAAATGTATAGCTTTGCGAGACTCTACTTCCTCAATGTACATATCCTTTGGGGCTTCCTGGAACAGCGATGGGTAATGGAGCAGCTAGGACTGCGGTGGGCAAGGCCCGAAGTCTGTAGACTACCAGACCACATGCTAGCAGGCATCGCAGCATTGGGTCATCTATGGTCGAACGGTCAGCAGAGCTTCGACATCAATCCGATAGTCAGCCTTGCCAAGCTGTCGCTGGAGAACACTAGCACGATGCAGCCGCCAAGTCTGATTGACGTACAATCATGGATGCTGCGCACATTATATCTTCGCTGCACGTATCATCCGCATGCAACATGGATGGCGAGTTGTACGACCATGCATTTGGTAGAGTCGACTGGCATACACCAGGAGAAGAGCAATCATGCGCTACATTCTCATGCCAACGATCATCTGAACGACTCCGAGATTCGAGGTCGCACGTTCTGGGTGGCGCGCATGCTGAACACTTGGGTCAGCTTCGAGTATGGCCGAACGCGAGTAGCCTTACGAGGTATTACGTGCCAGCTTCCTTCGCCGCGAGAAGGCGACTTCACTACAGATTATGTCAATCTATACAGTGTATCATGCTGCCTGGATCCCGAGCGACTCAATCAAGCGTCGCAGTGGGAAGACTTCCTGAGACAGCTCGAAGACTACGAGGTCAAGCACGATGGTATCATGCTATCGAAAGCCAACATTGCGCTCTGTGGGTACCGTCGGATACGATTGTCAAATCCTGCATTGTCGGCAGACATCACAAACCGCATCATCAGCATTGGGCTCAACGGACTCGAAGCTGCAAGACGACTAGCGAACGAAGGTCAGCCATGGTGGCACGTCGCAAATGTGCCCTTTCAGGCAGTCTGCGTATTCCTGGCTATGGATGTCCGAGAGTCTCTAGCACACATCTCAAACGCCGTGCGGACTCTCGAAGAAGTCACAGCACGCTTTCCCACTGTGGCGATGAAAGAAGCTCTCAAAACCGCACGCTTCCTCATCCGGCTGTCTAAGAAGCGTAAGGACGAGGACTCAGGCATACTCGGCCAAAGCCTTCGGAAGGATGCAGATTGTGATCCGAGACCTGAGAACTTGGCATCACCACCCATCGCTGCTACACGTACAATGTCTGTTGCACAACCACTGGCGCCGCAGGCTTATATGAACGGTACCGTGATTGCGCCACAAACAGCTGCAGGCGCTGCTATGCTGCCGCAGCAGCTGAACACGCCTCAAACGGCGACAAGTGAGGACTGGAGTCTGGACATCTTGAACAATAGCGACTTTGATTGGAATTACTTTCTTACTGCGGACATGCCGGCTTTCCAGAGCTTTGCGCCGGATGGAACGATGTGATCGCGGACGTGCCGAGCATGAAAATTCATTATTGTGAAGTATGTGAGTCTGCTACTCTCGCACCGCTACAGAGTCAGGCCACCAGGACATCACTCTCGTTTGCATCTCATTCATCCACATGACCAGCATGAGCATACCTGGGCGCTGTCGCAACTATCTGAGCAACCTGTTCTTCCAGACTTCTTTCTACTTCTCGGCCGCTTTGACTGGCAGCTGAAAACACTCGACTTCGCTTCGCCCGCGTCGGACTGCATGCCCATTCGATACACGTCGTGTCCGGATCAAGGCGCTGGTCTGTTAGGGGTCAGTTTGCTTGCTATCTTATCGTTTAGCATCGGCCTTCATGGAGATACATACAAAGGTTGCGAATGCCCAGACAGGTCGACACGGAGCCGATGCCATGCTGCTACCGCATACCATGCTGGGGACCCTATGGCCGCGAGTGTCGTCCAGACAAACAAATATGCAGGAGTTCCGGGTATGGCCCGACGCTTTCTCAGCTGGAGATGACCATAGTAAATGGCCACGGCGACACCTAGGACCGCTATGACCAGACCAATAATGCCAAGCATATTGTTCATCGCGTTCGATTCTTCCGACGCTACGATTGTGTCGCTCACTGGGGTGGAAGACGATGTACTATTGACAGACAAGCCAACAAGGCCCGTGGCGTTGACGAATCTGTTGCCGAGTCCGCTATGATTCGCGCATATTATTGCAAGATTGCGTACGAAGGGCTGTATGGGTTCCTTGATACGATATGGGAAGTGGAAATGTGAACAGCGGAAGAAATACTGTCGACTCGTGTGCATCACGCTCACTTTAATATCTCTTCAGGAATCTGCACTGACCAAAAATGCCTCACCACTTTACGAGGATCATGATCATAATTCGTCTGCTAGAGATCGCCTCATGCACTGCCGTAGATGCATCGGCACCTCAGCCCCACACCGTCTAGATTTCGGCAGACGGCCTTGGGGCAGATCTCTTGCAGCAGGAGCGTCTGTCACGTACGGGATGGTTCACCAATGGGACCGCGTGGCGATCACAGGCAGGAGATCTGTTCCTGTGGTGTTGTATACCGCAAGCCGCGGACAGTGAAAGGACTGAGATCGAAGCGGCATAGTTCGCCTGGGTAACATAGGCGCGGGGCCAGAGGATCCGATAGGCTACTAAGCTGTTATGCCATGCACTGATCGCTGCAGATGCATTGGCGAGGACATGCCGTTGGGATTTGGTGGTCGAGTTCACCATGCAGCCCGGTTGACCGTTGCCTTCTCGCCCGAGCCCCATGGTACCGATCCCGCCGTGCATTAGCGTAGCCTTGTCTGGGTCGACTAATCGGTGCGCAAGCTGTCGCAGACGTCCCTGCCGACGACTTCATGCCGTTCTTCAGATTCCAAGACTGTGATCCCTCCGACCGATGTTGATCTACAGCGGACATTCTGGAGACTGCCACGACGTCCGTTGTCCACTTTCACATGCCCTGGGACAGGACGTTTAGATCCTCAGCGTGCGCCTCACCATCGACTGCTTTGGCTGAGGGAGGGCTCGAGAAGACCAGCGCCGTAGCGGGCGACGTTCCCCAGTGGATTCGGGGCGCTTAGATCGGATCGTGCTCCAATGAAGTTCGTGAGAATGGGAAGAGACGAAAAAATGTCGACAGTAATAGGGAGAACCATGGTCTGCTGTTCAAGACCTAGAGGTGATTGCATGCTCAGATCTGCGGGAGCACAAGTTATCAGTGACTAATGTACGAGCCTGCGGATCGAGGACACGGTACAGTATAGCAGGTTGGTTGTGCAGCGTGAGTCGAAGTTGCTTCCAAAATCAGTAGACACAGCAGATTGGCGAACCAGATAAGGGTCAAACCAATTCAGTAGCACGTAAGGCATAGTCTCACATACGTGGATGATATAACCTCATATTTCATTTCACTTCATTTCATTCCACACCCACTACCAACCCTACCCCTCCTCCCCGTCCTCTCCATCATCATCATCATCATCAACACCAACCCCCACCCGCCTCGGATCCTCCCTCAACAACAAAACCTTCGTATCGCCCCTAACCTCCACCCCACTATCTCTCCCCCCCGCCAAAACCTCCCCCACCCCTCTACCACTACCCCCAGCCTCCCGATCATACGACCCCGGATCCACGCCCAAAATCCCCCCAACATTATTCCGATCTCCGGGAACCGAAAACTCGCGAAAAGCATACCGCCATTCGTTCAGAAACGTCCGGATAGCTTTCCCCACTTTGTCCTTCCCGTTTTTGCTATGGTGGCCTGTTCCACAGATCGCGTAGACGGGTCGTGAAGAGCGGGCTTGGTCCGCGAGGCAGGAGGAGAGGTAGGAGACGGCTTCTTCGGGGTGCAGGCCGTGGAGGTCGACGTAGAGTTCTTGCTGCTTTGAGCCGGAGGAGGAGGAGGGGGAGATGTGTTTATTGCGTTCTTCGTACAAGATCTTAGCCGCTTCGCGATGCTTCTCCCGCATGATGCTGTTTTCGTTCTGGCCTCTCAAACTCAGCGCCTTCGCACCTCGAGCATCATTGCGGTTCCAGGCTTGAGCGGCGGATTGCAGGAATTTGTTGCGTAGGCCGCCGTGTTTAAAGGCTTCTTGGCGGGCTTTCATATACGCGCTATTTACTCCGCTTCCAGTGTCGAGCCAGGGGATGTCGGTTGGAGGTGGGATGGCGAGGGCGGCGGCGCTGTTTTCGCGCGAGGCGGTGAAGGATTTATTGGCGCGGAGGCCGCGTTTCATTGCTTCTCTGCTGGTGGGACCGGGGGAGGGAGACATGCGGACGACGTCGGCGAGACTGCTGGGTTGGGGTGGAGTGGCTGTGTGGTTGTGGTGCCCGTGGCCGCCGCGTTTGCCGTGGTGGCGTTTTCCTGGTTTGGCTGCTGCGGCGGAGCCGAGAGAGGGGAAGGCTTCGTCATCTTGGAAGTTGGGTTGTTGGGATGGTGTTGGTGCTCGGGAGGTGTGGCGGCTTGTTGGGCGAGAGCTGGGTCTGCTGTGTTGGTTGCGTGGACCGGAAGGGACGAAGCTTGGGAAGAGGCCTGGTGGTGGTTGGACAGGTGCTTGCTGCTGTTGCTGTTGGGCTAGCATGGCGTTGAGGACGTTCGGGTCGACACTCGCCACCTCCTCCTCCTCGTACGGATTACTGGTGGTTCGTGTCAAGGCTGGAAAGGAGTCATAGTCCTGCAGTTGGAAGTGGGCAAGCTGAGATGGTGTGCTAGCCCCACTGGCGCTCATGTTCAGCTGTTGCATGAGTGCTGTTGGATCGTGCGAGAAGAGACAATTCGAGCCTGCCAGGCAATTACCTTGCAGCCAGAATTTGCAGATGTGATTTTGTACTTCGTGGGCGAAGCGACAGTCGGCACGTGCGCAGTGACCCGACGTGAGCCAGTATCGACACACGATTGGCGACTTTTGCTGTCCAGCCGGCGTCACTGGTCGCGAGGATGGAGACATGCTCTTCCCAATTAGTATGTTACGAGTCTGCTGCTCTTGTACTGCAGCAGCCATGGCATTTATATTCATGCCTTGCTCCTCCATAAGAGCATTAATTGTTTGGCTCAAATCATAGCCATTGGCTTCGAGCACCTGCTCTAGCTCGTCGTCGCTTTTGTGGTCCTGCAAGATCGATCGTAGCATGTCGTATGGACTCATCTCAGTCGTGTAAGGTGACATGAATTCCGAGGAGCTATTGAAGCCCGAGTCGCCATAGCTGGTACTACTGCTTGCATCGTCATTCACCAGCCAGTCGACCGTGTCACTTCCATAATCGCCATAGTTCTCAGTCGTAGGCGAAGACTCACTGAACTGGTAAGCGCTCAAGCGAGGACTGTGAGGGATAGCTGGTGTTGCGATAGGCAAGCGTGGCGAAGGCCGTGGTGAGCCGAATGGAGAAGCGGTCGAAGACTTCGTCCGTGCAAAAGCTGGAGGTCCCGGCCCGAAACCGGGAGGATGCGAAGGAGTCGCGGTGGAAGGACGTGGTGAGCTGGTGCCTGAGACTGGCGTGCCTGCCCTCTGCAGCCACGGAGCAGGGGAACGTGACCGCACTAGCGTCGCGCCACGGGCTGGAGGTGGCGAGGATGTCTTGTCTGTCGCAGCTTTATATTGCCACAATGCGCCGAGCACAGCATCCTCCAGTGCCTTGCCTTTCAGCAAGACGGGAGCACTGCTCAGCATGTCCTCCAGCTTGTCCGTCTTGTCCTCGTCGCCAAGAGCTTCATCTTCGAGTATGGGGCGGCATAGATCGTAGATGCGTTCGGAGACCATCTTGGCGGCGGTGGTAGTATATTACGCGCGGGCTGATCTCTATCTCGCTGATTCGTGTGATGTCGTGATGGGTATAGCGGTACCTCCCAGCCTCATCATCTCCGCGTGGGAGGTGTCTGTGTCTGTTTTCGCAAAGGGTGGTCGTGACGTCGTATTCGTCGTTAGTATGTATGACAAGAGAGCGTGGTGGTCGACTGCGACCGTGTAGCTTTCGTGGAGCGTGGAGGGAGGTGCAGGCAAGAGCATATGCTAATGACCAAAGCAAGCTCACATCGTGGGCACCAAGGTTATGAGAGGCTTCCGGGCTGATGACCCAAAGTGGTAAGCGCAGTGTCGATGGCAAGATGAGATGATATAAGCCACATCTCGTACCTTCCTTCTTGACCTTTAGATCATGGTTTGAAGTGAATGCTTGGAGGCGGTGAAAGGTGCTTCCTTGCCCATCACTGCATCCTCTCAGCATAATCCTTCCATTTGAATTATATTCGTATATTGGCAGTGTTAAAGTATTAGTGGAGAGCTCTTCACAAGTCTCCCTGCGGCAGATCTTACCCCAGATCTCTAAAGTCAAACTCGGGGACAAGCTCAAGTTGCATGTGAGAGCTTCGAGGTACATCACAAACACAACGTTGTTACCTGTGACACACCCATCATCACCCACGATGGCCGACGTCGAAATAAGACTGGCGCCACCTGATGCCACACCACCCTCTCTATCCCTCACCTCCCAAATCCTCAACCCCCAAACATCAACACCACCTCACTTCAACTTCGCCCCGTTCCTCTCCTACTACCACCCGACCCTCGGCGCCCCCTCCAAAGTCACGCGACCCATCTGTCCCGACTTCAAAGCCGGCAACTGCAGGAACGGTCCCACCTGCCCAAACCGGCATTACGTCCCCCCCAACGAGCGCAGCGGCATCTCCAACCTCATCTGCAAGCACTACCAACGCGGTCTCTGCAAGAAAGGCGACCACTGCGAATTCGCCCACACCTTCAACCTCCGCGACGAGCGGGAATGCAAAGAGTTCACTCGGTATGGTATCTGTCCGCAGGGAGACGACTGCACCTACCTCCACATCTCCCCCAACAGCAGATTGAGAGACGCCGCCTGTCCCCACTACACCCGCGGTTTCTGCCCGCTAGGCCCTTACTGCTCACTCCGCCACATCAAACACCCGACCCCCTGCCCCTTCTACCTTGCCGGTTTCTGCCCTAACGGCCGCGCTCACCCACCTGGACCCGATAAAGTTGTTAGCTGTGAGCACGGCGCGCATATGCGGTGGATTAAAGACGAGGACTTGAATCCAAGGAAGCCGGAGGTGAGGAAGGGGAGGGATGTGGAGACGGAGAAGCGGGAGCAGGAGGAGCGGGAGGAGGAGTATTTCGCTGAGATGGAAAGGCAGAGGGAGAGGGAGGCGAGGGGCGAGCCGGGGATGGGGCGGTGGGGAAAGGGGATGAGGAGGGGTGGGGGGAGGAGCTTTAAGAAGAGGTTTTAGGCTGTAAGAGTAGAATTCCAATGGTCTAGCGTTGGTGTTCAGGATTGGTTTGTGTTGAGGTTATGCATCAAAGGATATGCGACCTCATGTCGCGCTCAGCATTGTGATTCTCGCGACAGCTTGAGCAGTGCAATTTGTTTGCTTCTTCACCAGCAAGACAAGCAGAAGATGGCGAACAACACCCGCATGATTGCCACAAGGCCGAAAGTGGCGGAAGTACATAAGTGACTTCATGCCGCTGGCGGTTCTCCACTGTTGTCTGGATATTTACAGTCCTGATATCATGGTCAAGCGCAGGGGCAGAGCGTCAAATCAGAACAATACGAGCATACCCGACCTTCCTCCGACTGGAGGCGACTGGACACAATTCCTCGTGCCGCCCAGGGAGTTCTCGCAGAAGCAGTGGAGAAGCGGCGTCGGCTTAGACAACCTCAGCCTAGAAAGCTTCGTCAATGTGAATGCGCGAAGCAACTCGGTTCCTTGCGCCACTTCAATTGAAAGCATAGCGGCTTCACCATCTGCTTCTGTACATGACAGCAAGCTCTCATCCACCCAGAGCGTATCCTCGGATGTCAGTGGTACCGAGGATCTACCGCGACAACACGAGCTCGTGAAAAAGTGCACACAAGCAGATGCCGCGCGTGCTCCAGCTGCGCAGCTCCGCGCAAACAGCACGCCAGTATTCACTGATCAGATCGACATTGCGAAACTGCATCGGCTGTTCACTAAAGCACGAGCGCGGTGTTTGCGGGATGTTTGCGTGCATGCGCTTTTGCGGCGGAGTGTTGGATGTCAGGCGGGTAAAGGTGTAATGGATACTGTACAACGGGCAGCAATGCCACCGGTAGATCTGATGCCTACCCTAGAAGCCTGAGCAGTACGGCAGGGGTCATCGGCAGTGGCTGGGCAGGATGATGAGCTTGATGCAGCGGAGGAAGGACAGTACTTCCTGCCCGCCGGCCTGTTAGATGACGAGGAAGAAGAGGCTGTCGCGGGCCATTCACAAGCTGCACTAAGACTCGAGTCACAGAAACTCACCACTGCCAGCCGACCATCAGCCTTCCTCGAATATGACTTTCGGCCACATGTGTCGACCAGAGATACCCAGTGCCGTTCAGGGGCGGAGGTCTGGAGCCGCGACACAGACACGAAGGCATTTCTAGATAGCTTGAGACAAGCAAAGTACTGCTGGCACACCTTCATGACCACAGACCCGGAACTAGCAATCCAGTATCTTCGCACACCCGAACATCTGCACCTATGGCAAATGATCAGCGAGATCAATGAGAACCTCGCGCCGCATGAGCTTTCCCTTCCATTACCGCAGTGGCCGACACAGTATCTCGTTGATCTGACCAACGACGTGAAAGCAGTACACCATGCCATGACGAGGAGGGAAGTGCGAGTGCTGAGGCAGCGTCTTGCCTCTCATTCTAATGGGGTTGTGGTGGGTGGGCTTAAAGGCAAAGAGGTCTGGGATCTACTTGTCGCGGCCGCGAGTTCATGTGTTAGGGACGCGAGACTGGGACTTGAAGATCTGGTGGTTTTGAGGGATGCTGTGGTTTCGGGGCTTTGGATGGGGATTGTGGGGCGATGTTATGGGGATGGGGGTTGTGAGTGGGCAGGTGTGCGGTGACGCAGACAGCGACGGCAAAGGCGAGAGTCGTGGTGGTGTGAAAGAAGTGCGCGAGGAGGTGTGTGGGTGTGGTTGTTTGAGTTATTCTGAGTGGTGAATGTGTAGGCTTTGTCTGATAGATAAGGTGTGCAAGCACGCGAGACAAGATCAGATCGACATTCACCATGTCCCGTCTTGAAAGTCGCTTCGGGACGATCGGGACGTCTCGGTAGCACTACTGCAAGTATAGTGACCGGCTGGCAGTGTGTCAACACATGAATCATCCTGACCACGTCCTTCCATGAACGTAGCCTGGTCGGTACTCTACCGTACACTATGTAGTCGTCGCGGGCGGGTATCACAAGCGCTCTCATGCTAGCACTCAACCAGCCACCACAGCCCCTCCACCACCCTTCCGCACAAACTGCACAGCCCTATGCCCCCTCTCCTGTCCCGCACGGTTCCCATGCCCCTCCCGCCAACAATTCTGACAGTAAATGTCGCCATCACAGCCAAGACATCTGACCCCGCCGTCTTCGTTACAGATACAGCACCACGAGTCGATATCGTCGTCCGTATGTGTTGGTAGATTCGATTTGCCTTTGGCTCTGCCTCCGGGTAGTATGCTGGCCGTGACTTTTGGTTTGCTAGAGGGTGGGGCGGAGGGTGCGGACGGGAGGTCGAGACCTAGTTTGGAGAAGCGGGTGGCTAGTTCGCTGTCTTCGTAGGATGGTGGGGGAAGGGTTGAGGGGGTGGATGGGAGGTTGAGAGTGGAAGATTGCTCGTCTTCTTTATGTTCCTGGGGCTCAGGATCGTCGGGAGAATTTCCTCCGTATCTTGCTTCAACGTCTAGTTCTGCGAGTACTTTCTTGACGTACTCGTTGGCTTCTACCTCGTCTTCTTGATCTTCTTTTTTGCTGAGGTCCTCTCCCTGCTCGGCTTCACTTTGACCTTCAGCTTGCACGTCCTTAGCCTCAATCTTCCGCGAATCTTCGTCCTTGACGGATGGCTCTTTGTGGCTTTCGTCTGTCTCAGGCAAGGCGTCCTTCGCCTCCTTCAGCAATGAGGCAACATGCTTGGGATCCTGAGGGTCCAGCTTCCACTGATCATCCGGACCAAGTTCCGCCAGAAGCTCTTCTAAAGTCTGCTCGTCCACTTCATTCTGCTGCCAGTCACGGATAGGATCTCGCTCGGAGGCAACTTCGTCCTGTACTTCCGCTCGCAAGGCATCTGCGCGATCGAAAGGAGCCGGACTGCTCGGTTTGCCACCATCAGCTCCTGTATTCGAGCGCGAAGATGAGCTTCGCAAAGACTTTAGACGAGCTTCTAGCTGGTGTTCAGCTGACGTGTGCCTGGTGTTCTCCACAGATGATTTGGAGTAGATTATAGTCGTTGGCTTGAGAGCATTCAGTCTGGCCAGGAGATCATTGTCCTGGTCGGGCATGATCAAAGGAAATGATATGAATTGGAAAGACTCAAATGTGAGATCGCGGTTCAAACTGTAATGTAGCAAGCGTCATATATTCGCCTTCTGCTCGACCTTCATCAGCATGTTGTGTTGTCCATGATCTGATGGTCGTGGAGGCAAGACTTCTGGGAGCTAAGCAAGTGATGTAGGTCTGAGACAAGATCGAAATGTAGTCCGGTGCCACTTTCAACATCTACTTTCGTCGGACATCAGTACATGCCGTGGAGTATTGTTTAATTGAGCACGTGAGATGTCATATGTGAGCACGTGAGCTGCAATCCTAGTGGCCCGCTAAAAAAGCTAGCCGAAAGGCACAATCAATCACATTTCGAAAGACTTGCATTCATTTCACAAGGCAGCCGGCAGTCGGTGACCGCCATACCATTCGCTACAACATCGCAATCTCTCATACATGCCCCTACACGATCTCTCGCCATGGTATCACTCGCGTCGCCAGCAGGCGCAATGTTACCGCCACCAACACCTGCCTCGATCATACGACCAACCATGGGCCTGAAGCGCGACAGCTCACATCTGGATACCGATGATGAGTCGCGCCTTTCACAGTCGACGAAGAGGCTTAAAGTCGCATTCAGTCCGACTGTGGACGTGCGGACAATTGCGGACGACTACAGCGAGAAGAGTTTCGATCTCGTAAAGGAAGAGGTGCGGCAGGGCATAGAAGGCCATCTCGCACCTGCAGACCGTAGAGATGACAAGCGATATGCTGGACTGCTGGAGCTGCTTGGCAAGGATGTAGAGTCCGACGAAGCACCCAGCAGTAAATTGCTAAAGAAGTATTTGCTGGCCACCATCGCGAAGATCAGCTCTCTAGGTCACTGTGCAAAGCTTGCGACAACCCTGCTCGAGCTGTCATGGCTGGGTAGAGACGATACTTTCGTTGCACTCTACATGCAATTTCTTATCACTCTCGCAACCGCTCATTCGAAGTACATTCCGGCGATCATGGAAAATCTGGCCTCGCACTTTGCCCGCTTACCTGCAGCCACTGGTCGCTTGCAAGGAGAAACTCCCGTCTCCCGTGCTATCATGTTCGGTCGTGTGCATGCAGTACTCAAGATGCTGTTACAAAGAATACCATCTGCGACGACAACGCTTGTGCTCAAACTGAAAGCTGAGTTTCCGAACGACTTGGCGACAACGAGATCGTACATACAGTATCAAAGACAACTATTACGGTTGGCAGAGTCGATGCCTGAGATCAAGGCAGAGATATTAGCACTTCTCATACAACGACTTGTCAGCATCGACGAGCAAATACAGCTAGATTACGACGACCTCGAGGACGATGAAGAAGAGGCGCTATTACAGACGAAGCAAGCACCGAAGGTTGACGATATAGACAACAGTGATGATGAGTCAGTGTCAGAGTCAGAGGAGACTATGACTGAGGACGAGCAAAGACAACACGAACTGAATCTGAAGGTGGAAAAACTCGATGCGACAATGGACTTGCTGTTCGCGCACTACACCCCGCTTGTGCAGGGTGGGCTCAAGGCAGATCTCAACGACGCATACCAACAATTGCTGTCACACTTCGAGACATTCATTCTACCACATCGAACGCGGCATGCACAGTTCCTCGTCTTCCACTTCTCTCAGACACTTCCAGAGCACGGCAACCTCTTCGCACGACAATGTCTACACTCCATCTTCGACGGTGGCAGACCGCTCTCGCTCCGACTGCACGCCTGTGCATACCTGGCGAGCTTCGCAGCAAGAGGCGCACATCTACCCACGACTATAGTGCGCGAGATCTTCTCTGGTCTTTGTCAACAACTCGACAGCATGCGGAAGCGATACGAACCGGCGTGTCGCGGCCCCGACAAGCGAACATATGCAGTCTACTATGCCATCGCGCAAGCCATCCTCTACATTTTCTGCTTCCGGTGGCGTGACCTGGCACTCGGCGCCGCTGATCCGGAGGCAGGCGACGAAGACTCTAGCGAAGAAGATCTTCTGGCCGAAGGACGCGAGCTAGCCTGGTTGCCCGCTATGAAGGAGACTTTGCAGCAGAATATCCAGTCCCGCCTCAATCCACTAAAGGTGTGCTCACCAGCGATTGTTGGAGAATTCGCCAAGCTGGCCCATCATGTTCGCTTCCTCTACATTTTCTCTATTATCGAGACCAATAAGCGGGTACGCCTGACCAACGCTTATGCAGCGCGGCCAGTCTCTGAAGTTGGACGAAGAGAGACAGCTATGGATCGCAAGCTGGGCGAAGCACACCTACAGCTCGAGGCCTACTTTCCCTTCGACCCATATACGCTGCCTATGAGCAAGCATTGGGTAGCTGGTGACTATAATGAGTGGGAAGATCCGGCGGGTATGAAGCAGGATAATGAGGCTGAGCCGGACAACGATGAGGAGGAGAGTGATGAAGACTCGGATGAGGGGTATGAAGAAGATGATATGCCGGATGCTGACGATGTTGTTTCTGTTAGTAGTTGAATTTCAGCGATGAGCTTGGTCTGCTTATTTAGCGTGGCGTTGCTGTTTCGAGGGCGAACCTCTTCGCATCGGCAGGACGAATGTCCATGATACCAGGAGAAGAAATGCATTAAGTCACCCTCATATCCGCACAATCAACGTTCTCATACTTTTCACAAACACTGCAGACGTCTCTCGTAGATTACCCATGCCTTTCAAACATTCAGATATAGATAAGTCGTCCCGGATACAACACGTCATACCTGCCATACACGTATTCAGCCACACAGCTCAGTTCATCTGGTCCACTCTAAATGCCCAGCGGGTTACCACCTGACCCTCCACCAGCTCCCTTAGTAGCCGAGCTTGCGCCCTGGCTGGCGCCTGCTCCGGCAATACCTAGTGGGTTGCCGGCAGTGGAGATTCGTGCTCCGCCTACACCTACAGCATCTTTGATGCTGTTGCCGTAGCCTGCGACGCCTTGACCCCAGCCGCGGGTGGTGTTCGTTATGCTGTAATCTCATATCAGTACCGAGGGCTGAGAAGTATCGTGACTGAGCGCTTGCGCTTACGTAGCTCCAATACCATCACCAATACCATTGACGCTGTTCCCGATACCGTTTACGAAGCCTCCAGCATAATTGCCTACATTTGCGACGCTACCCTGGACCGTGCGGTTAATCCAGTTGCCTGCTTTCGCCGCTACACCTGGTTCTGGGGCGGCGGCTTTGGGCGCTTGAATCGGTGCTCTGGGCTTTTGGACTGGTGCTCTGGCCGCTGGAGCAGCGGGTCGTGGTGTGACTGCCTTTGACACGGGGGCCTTGTTTGCCACTGGGGCTCGTGAAACAGTGGTGGGAGCTTTCTTCTGAGGAGCAGGTGTTTTGAGGACTGGTTTGACGGCTGGTGCAGCGGGTGTCTTGAGGACGGGCTTGACTGCTGGCCTGGCAGCTGGACCTCCGGCGGGCGCTCTCGTTGATGGGATGTTTCGTGGTGCTGGTTTAGACATTGTGATGAATATGGTCGATGGTCGGCGAACTAAGAGATAGTTTGGTGGTATAGAGGTGTGGCTGAGAAGGAGCTCGAGAGCATGACAGGTGGGAAGTGAATGTGGATATGCTCCTGTCTACCCACATGGCCGTGTGGCTGTACCAGCTTTTCGGGTCGGTAGCGACGTCAGATCTGATAGGAGCGGCGTATGGTTATCTTAGCGCCATCTAAGCGCAAATGCTCTTCCAAGCGCGATAGACTACTTGGGACTGGTGCAAAAGGTACAGATATCAGTATGCATTTCGAGATCTTTGTATATGATATGGTCGATCTCGTTATTCGAGCCATCGACACAAAATCATAACTCAATTATTTACGAGCGAAGTGCTACTTCCACTATCCGGGATAGTGGCAACTTGACCCATGATCACGCGCAGGAGAACGCTTGGCGATTGGACGACCCAGTGATGACTTTCACCGAGAGTCCCAGACCGTCTATACAGCTTGGGACGCATCTTAGGAACGCATTCACGCTAGGCTAATAACGTAAGGTGAGCATATGACCTCGACTTCACTTCGACATTGCCCCTTTCGCAATGTTTGACCTTCACCACCTACACTTCTCCAACCTTTTAATCGCATATCGCAACCGCCACCATGTTAGGAAGCCGAGATCATGCTAAGCGAAGGCGTAAAGCCACAGTTACCAGTAACCGGTCTACCGGATCCTACTCCGACGAGCCCACTTCACCGGATAGCCTACCAGCGCTCCGGCAGTCGACAAGCAATTCGACCAATCCGACACCGAGTGCGCCGGGCACTCCTTTCCAGTCTCCAGCCGGATCTTTCAGTCCAAACTTCTCTTACGAGGACGCGGTCGACTTATTGCCCACCGTCAGCGAGCTCAACAGTCCACCACGCGAGCAAGGCACACCTCGATCCAGGGCTGGTAGTCGTCGTGGAAGCTCGTTCTCAGAAAGTAGGCCCCCTCCTTCTCCCTCTTTCGGAGAATCTGACTGACATCGAGCAGAGCTCCGTAATAGACTCCTCGATCCGTCTGTTGGTGGCGAGCTTCATGGGTCTAAGCCCAAGGTCAAACATCGTAAGTTTGCCCTTCCATTTTGCTTGCCTCTCAATACTGATCCGTCGCCGCAGCCGACGTCCTAGAGAAGGAGAGCACATCAAAGCTCCTCAAATTCTGGAATCTAGTGCACGGCAACGACGAGTCCAGCAATTCACTTCCGAGTATCTCTGAGGATACAGGGCGACCTGCTCCATCCCCACAACCGGTAAGCCGTGGTGAGCGTTTCCTCTCGCATTTCGGGTTGAGGAAGTCTTCCGGCAGGATGGATGGATCACGGCTTGCACCCGCGGCGTATGGGGCGCCAAAACGATCGGCACAGATGCAGGATGCACGAGACATGTATCAAACGGTGGTGAGAAATGCTGAGCGAGCGGGAGTGGATGTGCCTCCTTACGATTTCCTCGAGCTCATTGGTAAAGGAGCTTTCGGACGAGTGTATAAGTGCAAGAAGCGCGGTACTGGTGTACTAGTGGCGATCAAGATCATCATGATCGACGATTCTGACTTCCAGGAACACGTCGCGGAGAAAGACCTTGGTATTAGTGCCTTTCGGAAAGAAGTCGATATCCTTCAGCAACTGAAGGACAAGAAGGCGAAGAACATCAACATGATTCACGACGCTTTCGATATTCACTCCCAGTTGTGGATTGTTAGCGATTACTGTACAGGCGGCAGCATACGGACCTTGATGAGGGCGAATCCGCGGCAAGGTTTCGAGGAGCACTATATCATACCAATCGCGCGGGAGCTCGCAGTGGCGATGAAAGCAGTGCATGAAATCGGTGTCATCCATCGCGACATCAAATGCGCGAATGTCTATGTTAACGAGGAAGGCGAGATTCAATTGGGCGACTTCGGTATTGTAGGCATGGTGGAGGAAGACACATCCTCAAAGCGAAGGACTATTATCGGCACACCACATTATCTACCTATGGAGATGCACACGACTGCTATGCAGACAGCCGAAGCTTACGGCATGGAGATCGACATATGGGCATTCGGCGTCACTCTATATGAGATGGCGGCAGGACACCCGCCTTACTCAAATGTTCAACCAAACCGCTTGGCGGAGGCACTCTCGACAGCTCCACGACTAGAAGGTGGCAATTATTCTGATGGCCTTCGGGACTTTGTCGCTTTCTGCTTGAACAGCGACCCGAAAGCACGACCCTCCGCCGACGAGGTGCTGATGCATCCATATATCGCCGGCACTGAGCACAAGTACCCGACCAAGAATCTGGTCAAGCTCATCGAACGATATGCGGTGTGGGAGTTTGGTGGTGGACAGCGACAGTCACTTTTCTTCGCCGGTGGCGCGGCAGCCCCTGTCGTGCCTACCGACGAGCCAGAGGAAGATGAGCATGACGATGCGCTGGACTGGAACTTCAGCACATCCGACACCTTCAACGAGGAGTTTGGACGGCGCTACAGCCAGATGTTTGCAACTCAAGAATTTGCCAATGAAGATTTTGATGTGCCGGCGGGAGCTGGGTTGCCACCACTCGTGACCAAGGATCTATCTCGCTTCGAAGAGATGGAAAGAGAATTCAAGGAGCTGAGCGCAAATCGTGGCGAGCGCTCCCTGGATCGTCTCTTCAACCCGGAGCAGAAGCCATACGAATTGCACACGCCTGTCGACGACGATAATGAGCCTCTGTCTGATCTGCCTCTTCGTAACTTTCCCGGTACAGCCCCCACACGGGAGAGTATGATCGATCTTGACAGTGCTGCAACGATGGACCTGAACGTTCCAGCATTCAACTTCGATTTCGGCGATGTACCTACGCTCAGGGCTCGCAACTCACGGTCTACGGGACGGCATGAGAATGACGATGAATCATTCGACTACGGTGCGAACGAAAGAGATGATCGTCGCGCGACTCGGGACTGGAAGTTTCCAGCGGCAGCTTCAGCGGCAGAGGAGAAGAAACGTGCGACCATGGACTGGAGCTTTTCGACAGCTCAGCCGACTGAGCCAGATGAGCCAGATGTGTCGATGCACCTGCCACCTACCGGAGCAGATGGACTTGCTGCAGGCTTTCGACCAACGCTCAGACATATGGCTACAGAACCCTTGGGGAAGTTCGGAGATCACATGCACCCTACACAGCCTCTGCAGCCTTTGATGGAAGGGTCATCCTCGCCAGTCAGAGATTCTATGGCTTCGATGATTGATTTGGACATGGGCTTAGCAGATCCAGGCGAGATCGTCCGACCATCTACGGCCAGCTCAACTACAGGATCAGTCATGACGGATATCACCTCTGGCAATCCTTTCGACCTCGAAGAAGACCCCGAGCAGAACGAGATTGACCGCAATCGCTTCTCCTTCCACAAGCAGTGGCAGAGCGAAGGCGGAAATCTGCGTCGAAGAAGTCACAAGCATATGCAGATGCACTCTCGTGGTAGCAGTCTGACGAGCACAGACTCCGAACTCGATCGAAGGATGTCACAGACTTCCCAGCCACGCGTAGACGATGTCTTCGATTTCGACTATAGCCGGAGTCTGAATGATGCCGTGCGCAATGGCATGGGCGGGATACAGATACCGGAGAGTGAAACGAGCATGAATCACTGGCCGGATTTTGGTCAGAACTCGGGTCTGGACGAGAGTCCGCAGTATATTGCTCACCATATCCCACACATGGGCGAGCAAGACTATCCTCTGCAGCAAGGTCTTCGCACCACGAATGGTTTTGCCTCGCATACATCGGTAGCCAGTCGGGACCGCCAGCGCTCGGGTCGTGGCGCGCAGAAGGAACTCGAATTTCCTGAGCCCGTGGCGCCACACCCGGATGCGTTATTGGAGGACGCAGATCCGAATGTTATGGTGAGCGAGATGGATCGGTTGCTGGACGATTTTAGTGCGAGTCTGAGTGCTACACGCAGGGCTTTGAGGGCGCATACGGGTGTGCGAGATGATGAGATGGAGAATGATGATTTGGGCGAGGAGAACGAGACGGATAGTGGGGTGGAGAGTAGTAGTGCCGCGCCGACTGGGGATGAGGGAGGGTTTTGAGGAGAGGTGGAAGGTGGACGCAGACCGGAGCTGTTTCTTGGTATGAGTGTCTACTTGTGTGGCGCTTTGAGGGAGGATGGGTGAGATGTACAAGATGTTGGAAGGGTGGCAAAGTGCGCTTTTGACGGAGAGGTTTTGCTCGAACTGATACCCTGTGCTATGCTATGTACTTCTATCTCATACGAGCCAAATGCATGGAAAGCCATCGTCTCCAATGTCTCATGGTCGTCATGGTCCTGCATCAGACTACAGCGTCGCAACAAGAACGGGCATAGCCTCCACTTTGAGGCTATATGGCCGGGTTGCAAGTGGGAGGTACCTATGAAGACTTTGTCAGTCTTGGCCAAAGGGATGTGATTTTATGTTTGAGGCGATTTGAGGGTCGAGGAGATCAGAAGTCCATTTAGATCATCGAGCTGCGAGGCAGCTCTGACATAAGAGGTACCAGAAATAATAGTAATGTTGTGTAGGTTGTCATCAGGTGATTGGGTGAGGGGGGTGGAGGGTGGTAATGCACTTACAGGTTGAGGACACCGAGTGCGTGGCGGAGTTGTACATTAGTAATGGGATGATGCTTATGGTATACATGAACAATATTAATATCACTTCTGATGCAGATGCGTGAAGACGAAGGCACGACTCTGTTTCGAGATTTTGCTCCTCCGACTAGCGCCGGCAACACCCGTCCATCTCCCGCTCGCAATTCTTGGCACGCGCACCCGCAACAAATTCGTGGCCGGCATCGTCAATCGCACACGACTAAGCACGACTCCTACGGCCACCGAACCCCTCGACAATCACCACCACTACCACCACCACCACAACAAAGCGCAATCATGGGTCGTCTTCACAGCAAAGGAAAGGGTATCGCGTCCTCGGCCATCCCATACTCGCGCACTCCCCCGGCCTGGTTGAAGACCACACCCGAGCAGATTGTGGATCAGATTTGCAAGTTGGCGAGGAAAGGCGCGACGCCGTCGCAGATTGGTGTTGTGTTGAGGGATAGTCATGGTGTGGCACAGGTCAAGGTCGTTACTGGTGCGTATACACCATACATACTTCGAAAGATGGGAATTGATGGGATATGAAGTGTGGATGAGGCATATCACGCTAACATGTGTTGTGTCTTACAGGTAACAAGATCCTCCGAATCTTGAAGGGCAGTGGTATGGTATACCCCGTTTGAGAAGGATGAGAGAGCACATATCCATACGTGGTGTGGCAAGACAGAAAGAATACATGATTCCGCATGACTTGTGCTCTGCGAGAAGACAATACACAATATTATGCCTCTGCTTCGGTCACAATTGACTGACGGAGTGATTTTTCATCACAGGCCTCGCCCCCGAGATCCCAGAGGACCTGTACATGTTGATCAAGAAGGTGAGTTTGAGCAAAAAGTGCTCTAACACAACGGCATCGCAACCCCCTTCCACTCTACCCACGCCCACATGCTTGGTGCTGGACGGACACTGCTAACACTCGTGATTCTCCCAGGCCGTCGCCGTCCGCAAGCATCTCGAGCGCAACCGCAAGGACAAGGACAGCAAATTCCGCCTCATTCTCATCGAGTCCCGCATCCACCGCCTGTCCCGCTACTACAAGACCGTCGGCGCCCTGCCACCCACCTGGAGGTACGAGAGCGCTACTGCTTCTACTATGGTCGCTTAGATGTAGTCTCCTGGAAAGGATGTGAAGGAAGGAGGAGATGCGCATGGCGTTGGGAGGATCAGGTCGACCGAGCTATGAGACGCACGATCAAGCAGCGGAATATGGTCGTACGCATGTCACCACCGGACTTGCTACCAGAATTTAGCTGAGCTCGATTTTAACAAAACAAAATTCATCAGCACCACTCAATTCAGACATGGTCATCACATTATACGCGCTGAGACTATTCATAAGAGCGACACGGATTCACTGGATGCAGAAACAAGTTCAATCAAATCCCCCTTCTCGTGTACCTACATTACGGTCTGTGATGCATCTTCTGAACATGAAAGGGTATTCCGACGAAGCCAGAAACGACAAACTACAGAATGCAACTTTCCCAGTCTCCTTGCCAATACATGCAAACTCGTTTCTGCCATCCATCTGCCATCCATACCATCTTCTCCTCCCATCTCAACCTCATCACCGACCCACCGGTCCTTCCTCCCCATGATCAGCCGTCCCTCGATCAGCCGCACTCTCCCCATCCAAAGCCCCATAATCCGCCCTCTTCACCCCCTTAGCCTGGCCCGTAATATCCTGCCACGTCGCCCCAAACCGTCTTCCGGTCGAAGCGAGAAGCCCCTCCTCTTCCTGCTCCCTTAGATCATCATCGACTTCCTCCTCATCCAGCTGGGGGACGCGGAATAACATGACTAAGAAGACCACGATGAAGATCCCGAGAAAGGCGAATTGGGCCCAGAAATCTACGACGCCGAGGTAGGGGAAATTGACCGTGATGCGGTTCAGGAAGGTGGAGACGACGGAGGGGGTGCAGACCATGCGCGCGACTGGGTTGTCTGCGGCTTCGGTGCAAGGTTTCACAGCACTGTGATGTTCCGTGCAATTGGGCTGCTGATCGGGATGGTGTGAGGGGCGATCACAGAAGGTCTGGGGGCCGAAGGTTGCGTATTGTGGGGCTAGAATCATGGTCATGGCGTAGTTTAATGCGAGGACGATGAGGGTTAGGAGCACGGTGGCGGTGAGCATTGCGTTTGGTGTGGTCTTTCCGGGTTTGATGCGGAAGAGTGTGATCCACAAGAAGCGGATGCCGATGCTGGCTACGCCTACCACGGAGGCGGAGAAGAAGAGGAGGGTGAGGAGCAGCCAGAGGATGTAGTCGATTGGGAAGATGCGGGCTGTGAGGGTGAGGATCCAGTTCACGGGCTGGAAGATCTGGGTATGCGCCAAGAGGTAGCCGCATGAGGTGCCGCAGACGCTGTTCTTGATCTTGTCGATGCTGGTTATGAGCATGCTGGCGAAGATTGCGAGGGCGATTACTACGAGGAGTAGACCGGCGAGGAGGGCGATGGGGCGGAAGATGGCGCCGAGCTTGAGGTAGGCTTTGATGAAGAAGTTGCGGCCTTCGCCTTCGCGCTCCGAGGCGAGGCGGGAGCGGCGTTGGAGGGTGCGTTCTTCGCGGACGAGGGACTCGAGCTCGCGGCGGTCACGGGCTTCGAGACCACCTTCGCGGCCTTCGTTGCGGCCTTCGAGTTGGCGCTGGCGTTCCCGGTTTTGTTCTAGTTGGCTGTGGGTGGTGGCTGCTAGTTGTGGGGCGGAGATGCGAGGGGCGGTCTTGATGAGGGCTAGTGGTAGGAGAGCCAATCCTGGAGCTGTGTAGAGACAGTACAAGATTGTGCCAATGGTCATGAGGACACCGATGGAGAAGGTCAGAGCACGCTCGCCATCTGATAGTAGCGTTAGCTTGGTCATGGCTAGTGGAAGATGAGAGGAACTCACGATTCTCCGTCAAGAGATCCTTGAAGTAGTCCAAGTCAGGATGCTCCTTCCTCGCCTTCTTCACAACAGGCACGAAGAACCCCACGAAGAACAACAACAACGCGATCACAATAAACGCAATGGTATACTTGAAGGCACCCCACAGCCGACTCCCCACCGTCTGCGTCCCCTCCTCCGCAGCAACCTCATCATACTCCTCACACCAAAAGTACGTGAACGGCACCACCAGTAAACACAACACGGCATCCAGACTGTACAAAGCATAATACACGCATTTCAGCTGAAACACGATATTATCCACGGCATTGGGATTGGCCCAGTCCTTTTTGGCGCCGAGTCTGCGATTGGTGGTAGAGCTGGTCAGGGCGATGTCGACGGGGATGAGGAGGAGGGTGGCGAGGAGGGCGAAGGTGGTGAGGAAGACGATGGTGGTGACGGCGATGGAGCGGGTGGATGGGGCTTGGTAGATGAAGACGAAGATGCCAGCGATGAGGGCCAGGATGCCGAGGCAGACGGCGTAGGCGACCCAGATGAGGGAGGTCTCGATGAGGGCCATGTTCTCGTACTGATAGTGTCGTAAGGGCGAGTATGGCTGTCTCCAATGTCTCCTGTAGTCGTTCTGGGGTGGGGACTAGCTAGGCGTTGGTGACAATGCCCCAGTCTGGTCGTGGTATTAGTCTGGCCTAAACCTGTCGGCGTGACTCTCTTCTTCTTCGTTCCTGCCTTTTCAAAACCAGCATGAGGAAGAGGTGGATATGAATATATGATGCTCTCCTCTTCGATACGCGGCACAGGCGGCAGGAGTCCAGAGCTCTTTCCTGCTTTCCACATTGTGGCTGCGAGCTCTCCCCAGAACATGCGTCACCAGGCAGCTTGGCGAGCTCGCCGCTCTACATGACTCGAAAGCATATACCAAATGCAGCTTAGCTCAGTATAGAACAACTGGAAGCTCGCCAGCACGCGTCGAAATGAATATTGATGGAGTTGATCAAGATGAGCTAGACGATGCAGTGCTACACCGAGCTTCTCCCCCCCACCGCCGTCACTCACGCCGTGTCCCTACCCTTTCTTTCGGCTAACTCCAACAACCTGATCGTCGCCAAGACATCCCTCCTCCAGGTCTTTGAGGTCAGAGATGCACACAATACCAGCAATGGCAATGCAACACAATCCAAGCTCTCCCTCATCGGCGAGTACCCTCTCTCTGGCACGGTGACATCTCTACGCTCCATCGCTCTCTCCACTACAGCAAGCGGTGGACATGCACTCCTTGTCGGCCTCAAAGATGCCAAAATCAGCTTGGTAGAATGGGATCCTGAGAATCACCGCATCAGCACCATCAGCATACATTACTACGAAGGAGACAATGTCTCGCTACCGCCTTTCGGCCCGAGTCTGAAGGATTGCGAAAGCAGTCTGACTGTCGACCCGAGCTCAAGGTGTGCGGCGTTGAGGTTTGGGCAGAGGCATCTCGCTATCCTGCCTTTTCGACAACATGGCGATGACTTGGCTGAGGAGGAGAGGGAGGATGGCTTCGACGCTGATATGGGAGATGCTGCTGCTGACGGACTGAAGAGGACAACAACCAATGGCATAGAAATCAATGGCGATGCTAAACTCACCCCTTACAAGGCGTCTTTCGTAACGCCTCTGACAACTTTGGATCCGTCCTTGACACATCCAGTCGACCTGGCGTTCTTGCACGAGTACCGCGAACCCACCTTCGGCATCCTCTCAGCTTCTCAACAGCCCTCTCAGGCATTGCTGGACCAGAGGAAAGATTGTCTAAGCTATCAAGTCTTCACCCTCGATCTCGAACAGCGCGCTTCTACCAACCTCATATCTGTTCCAAAACTGCCTTCAGATCTGTGGAAAGTGGTCCCGCTCGCACTACCCGTAGGCGGAGCACTGCTTGTTGGCACTAACGAGTTCGTGCATATCGATCAGAATGGCAAGGCAAATGCTGTGGCTGTCAATGAGTTTGCGAAGAGGGCTAGCGGCTTCGCTATGACTGATCAATCGGACTTGCAGCTGAAATTAGAAGACTGCGAGCTTGAGACTCTGGACACGAAGAATGGCGACCTGCTGATCGTGCTCCATGATGGCTCGCTGGCTGTTTTGAACTTCAGGCTCACCGGCCGAAATATCGGCGGCTTATTGGTCACACGCGTGAGCAGCGCAAGAGGTGGGTCAGTCAATGCTAGTGCGCCTTCGTGTCTTGTATCGCTTGACGGGCAAAAGCTTTTTATCGGCAGCGAAGACGGGAATTCGTCATTGCTCAGCTGGGACAAGGACGCACCTTCAACTAGTCGAAAGCGTTCGCACGCCCAGATGCTGGACCAACAAACCTCAGCTCCTGCTCCCGAGGACGCGGATGAAGCGGAAGAAGTTGACGAGGATGATCTGTACGCGCCTACTGCCGAAGCTGTCAAGAGGACCGTCGCGGTCTCCTCGCAGACGGCGGCAGATTCGGCGGCGGCTTACCGCTTTGAGCTGCACGATGAGCTACAATCGCTCGGACCAATCAACGACACATGTCTAGGACGCTCGCCGGATGCTGCACCTGATAAGCTCGAGCTCGTCGCTGCAGTAGGAAGAGGCAAAGCCAGCCGGCTAGCTTTCATGCATCGCGATATCCTCCCGACCAAAGTTCGCAGCAGAGACGAACTACTGGGTGCTCGGAACATCTGGAGCGTCCGCGCTCACAGCAAGGATTCTGCCACGGAGGCAGATGAGCATGACACGCACCTTTTCGTCTCCGATCCCACATCTACACGAGTCTACACGTATGCGCCGGACGGTGATCTGAAGGAGTTAACGGACACCGATTTTGACTCGGAAGGGCCGACTCTTGCTGTCGCCGCATTGGCACATGGCACCATGTTCCTGCAATGCCGAGCTACAGAAATCCGAACGTACGATCGAGAGCTTGGTCTTAGTCAGATCATTCCCTTGATTGACGATGAAGACGATGGTGGCGAGGCGCAAGACTTGTTGACGCCTGTGGCCGTGGACGTCTGCGATCCTTACGTACTTGTTCTGCGAGAAGGTGGAGGGGTAGTCGTGCTGAAGGCTGAGGAGAAGCAGGGAGAAGTGGAGATGCTTGATATCCCTGCTCAGGTGGAGGAAAAGACGTGGATTGGTGGATGTCTTTACTCGGGACCGCTGACTGCGGACACGCCGACAATGTGGTTACTGGATGGCGAGACCATGGCTTTGCATGTGTTCGCGTTGCCCTCTTTCGAGCGGGTAATGGTGGCAGCCGGCTTACCTTTCCTGCCGCCTGTTTTGACCCCGGATGCGCCCTTGAGACGAGGTGCGAAGGCGACTTTGACGGAGATCCTGGTAGCTGATCTGGGGAATGAAGGGGTTAGCCGACCTTTTCTTGTCTTAAGAACGGCTATGGATGAACTTGTGTTCTACGAACCATTCTATTACGACTCCGAGGCCGCGGCAGTCGTTGAGGAGGGAAAACAAGCAGGCTTCGGGAACCTCAGGTTCCGAAAGGTGCCTAATACCTACGTTCCCACATACGACGACGAAGCGGAGGCGGACGAGGATGGGGACGTTGCGACGCGTCCGCAGTCATTACGCGCCATGTGTGTTGGTGGACGACATGTCGTATATGTGCCCGGTGGCAGATCGCCAAGCTTTATCATTAAGGATCCCGGCAGTTTGCCGAAAGTACTGGGCTTACGATTACCACCAGAAGTCAAGGCTCTGCAAACTCTAGCTCCACTGAGCGCACCGGGCTGCGAACAAGGTTTCGCACTTGTAGAGCGCGGCGGGAATGGTGTGCAAGAGTGCTTGTTTCCTGCTCGTGCGACTTTCGAGACGGGCTGGAGTGTTGAGAAGATGGCTGTTACAGATGGCGCGTCCCAGGAGCCGAGGGAAGTGAGAAGGGTTGGCTATCATGAGGGTAGAGGTCTGTATGTCGTCGCGTCCTGTCGAGATGTCGATTGGATTGAAGGCGGTGGGCAAGAGGAAGAGGTGGAGGATGGGGAGGTCGGTAGGGTGGTTGACGGTAAGTTGTCCCCCTTCTTCTGTCTTGGCTCGATTGAGCCCAGCACTACCCACATTCTCGTCTTTTCCCCTTTCGTTACCCCTTTCGAACCCTCTAGGCGTACTTCCCAGCACGATTGAAAGCATCACAGCATATGCGTCCGCTTGTATAACAGCCCCTACGGCACTGGTGGAGCGACGTCTAGTAGTTGCATGCAAGAGCAAATTTTCCTGTGGCAAAAACAAAGCGGCCTGCTAATTGAGTGTGGAGCTGTGTCATAAACGCTGGGGAGACAAACACTTTCTTACTTCTCTACTTGGTGCTCTCGAACTGCGCGCGATCCATGTGATCGATGCTGACATACAGGTTCCAGACATCTCTCTACGACCACAACTACCACACTATACCCTCCACCTGCTCTCCTCTCGCAACCACGCCACAATACAGACCCTCGGCCTCCCCTACCTGGACACCCTCACCGCCCTCAAGATCCTGCCCATCGAAATTTCCGAACGCACACACGAACAGCGCTCGCTCATCGTAGCCACTACCGCCTCAATCCGAGGCCAAGACACCCCCGCCCTCGGCGCAGTAACAGTCTTCGACCTCATCGACGTCGTGCCCGATCCCGATATCGAAGAAAGTGGCGTCCAGATGCACCTGCTGTCCCGTGAAGAGACCAAGGGCGCCGTCACAGCACTAGAAGGTCTGGGTGGGGGATTCATAGGCACAGCGCAAGGCATGAAACTTATGGTTAGAGGCCTCAAGGAGGATGGTTCATGCTTGCCTGTAGCTTTTCTGGATGCGCAGCAGAGTTTTGTTACGACGTTGAAGTGTCTGGGTAGTTCGGGACTTTGGCTTGCGGGGGATGCTAAGAAGGGTGTTTGGATTGGTGGGTGGACGCAGGAGCCGTATAGACTTTCTATCCTTGGCCGAGGCGGGTCTGGTGTTGAGGTCCTAGATGCGGACTTCTTGCCTATGGGCGGCGCGCTAGGCGTGATCGTCGCTGATGGGGATGGTGCTCTGCATTGTCTGCAGTATGATCCCGAAGATCCCGCCACCGGTCATGGACAACGGCTTCTGGATCGTGCGGCTTTTGATACGGGACATGTGGTCACGCTGGCAGGCATGATGCTACTACCATCGACACTGTCGCCTTTCGCCGAGCAAGCCGAGGATCTTGCTGCTGCGCGACCATTGACGAACGGCAATGCCGATGGTACGAACGGCGAGGCTAAGCCGCCATCTCAGCCTCAACACCATCGACTCAATCATGTCTTACTCCCGACACTTTCTGGCTCCATCGGCCTCCTGACACCGATCACGGATGAAGCCACCTACCGCCGTCTCTCTGCCTTGCAGACCCAACTCACCAACCTACTCGAACACGCCGCAGGTCTTAATCCTCGCGCCTACCGGGCTGTAGATACCCTTGCCACACCAGCGGTTGGTAGTCGTGGGGTCTTGGATGGGAGTCTAGTGCAGAGAATCAGTGAACTAGGAGCTACAAGGAGGGCAGAAGTGCTCGGACGTGCGGGTACGGATTCGTGGGCGCTGAGGAGCGATCTTGAAGTCATTTCTGGTGGTGGATTGGGATATTTGTGATGATAGTAGTTCATGGCGATTCTCTCGTTGTATTAGTAGTCCGTGTTGTACGATACCCATAGGATCAATGAAAGCTAGCGCAGGAAGATCATTGTTGTGCACTGTATCGATCCACAAACACGACCGCTGAAGAAAGGAGAACCGGCCTGTGCTAGTTTCTTGGAGCAAAAGCCGGGTAATGTTGTGCTCCAGCCAAATCAATAACATTGTTCTTGGTGAGCATGTAGCATTCGCAGGTATCAGTATAACCTGTTTGGCCGCCAGAAGCCTGCAAAACCCTCGTCTCGTGCATTGCCTACATAGTCATGAGCGTCGTATCCTCCTGATACTGGTCCAAAGTCCTCTTGCGGCCCCACATATAGCTGCGACATTAGAGGCGAACGTATTGTTGGTGTAGCGCCTACCTCGTAGAGGTCTCCAGACTCGCGCATCTGCTCTCCGTACCCATCGTGCATAGGGTTCGGCTGCTGGAATATGGGATTAAAGGCAAGTGCTTCTGCTTGTTGTGCATTGGCATATATATGCACTGGTGAGACCAGATCTTGCTTTCGCCCGGGCTCCTCCAGCATCTCCTCGTACATTTGGACTGGTCGTGGTTTGCTTGCTGTAGTCGACGACACCGCTGTCGGCCTCAGAGGTCGTATACGTAGTGCAGGTGTCAAGATTCGATCGCTCGTGATGGCAGATTCCCGTCGCTTCCGTTGTTGCTGTGCCGAGAAAGTCGACTCTTTAGCAGCTGGACGATGCACAGCCTCGAATGCTTTGCGTAATAGCTTGCCGGTCGGCGTTGATGACGCCGACTGTTGGTTCTCCTCGGGCGTCTCGACTGAAATATTACGATGAACACGCAAGATGTCGGAGGTGTGGAACATGGATGAGTCATGTGGCAGAGATTCTTCGTCTGCCGAAAGCGAAACATGGATGGGCGGTTCTGACGGCATTGTATGGGGCGCAGATGGTAAGATTGTCTTGGTGGTCGCTCTCCGGGGCACACGTTTTTCACGGGTGCAAGCTTCGATGGGTTCTGTAGATCGCCGGGTGGGCTTCGGTTCGGACACTCGTTTCTTTGCACGTGGCGGTATGGACTTCGGTTTTGGAGTTTGAGAATCAGACCAGGTGCAGTTGCTGTTCGTCGTGGGCTCCTGCGTAGTGGCATGCTGACCTTTGCTACCGAATCCTAGGAAAGGTTTCTCCGGGAGGTCTACAGGAGGAGGTCTAGCGGCACTTCGCTGGTGTAGGCGGTGGCCCTTCTCCTTACATGGCGGGTCTCTGCTGTTCCTTTGCCTAGGATGGTCATGCTGAGCGGCATCACGACCGACTGTGAAGTAGGCAGATATCTCCTCCTCTCGTCTCTGCTGCCTGTCCTTCTTGGTGGCTGCTTCGTTGTCTGGTCTCGCAGGAGTTTTGTCCTGGTGATCCTTCGGCTTCTGCAGAAAGCGCATTTCGTTGAACACTAGATCAGGTACTATGGCCTTGTTAGCACGGTAGTTGAATACAGGCCGAATTGTACCAACGTACGTCCTGCGCCACCCGGAGGCACTTGCGCAGACGCGCGACCATGTCGAAAAATACCGGCTGTCAAATCGGGTTTCAACTATCCATATCATGTTAGCATGTATTGGTTGTCTTCTCGGCATTGCTGTACGACATACAGTAAGACGACTATTCTTTGGTCCGTTCTTCAGCTGGAATGATTGTACAACTCCAGTAGGGCGCCCGCTATCTACACTGCGATGTGACGCCCGTCGCTTCGATGCAGGCTTCTCGCGAGGGCTGTGCTGGCGCTCGTGCCGCTTCTTAGGCTCATAGCGATCGGCTTTGGTCTTGTGGCGTGGCCGTCTTTCGTAGCTTTTGTGCTGTTCTGCTCGTGGTGAAGAGCCTTCGCTTAGAGATCTGTCTTGCAGTCTATTCCTCCTGGCAGTCGGCGCAGTGTCGCGGACATGCTCGGTTGGACGCGCATATCGCATCTCCTTGGCATGTTCGTGACGTGCGTATTCAAGCAGAGAGCTGTCGCTCGACGCGCGCTTGCGCTTACGTCGACATAGCTTGGTTGCAGAGTCTTGGTCGATGGCTCCAGCATATGTCTGCATATGATCTGGGACAGTGTGCCGCTGCTCGTCCGGTGGTTCCCGGTCTGCTGTGTCATCGAGCCAGCGGTGTATATCCATGGTATCTGCAGGGTGTCGCTTCCGTCTGCCTGAATACTGCCCGAGTCACAATTTCGAGTAGCACAGGTCCCTGGAGTCCTATGGCTGTTCGTGTTTTATCTAGCCATGCGCATGCAAGATAATTTCGTCTAGGATTGACCGTGAGTGGCAAGTGCCACCGCCAAAGGCGGAAGAAGAAAACGAGATGGAAGGAGCGAACTGCTGTGTCATGCGAGTCGCTCTTGCCTACCTTCTCGAAAGGCATCCTCATCTGAAGACATTATCGCATACAAAGGCACTCATATTACCTGCAAGATAGGTGAAATTATGTGCATTCTTACTGCCCGGTGGCCGGGTTGTCTTCCTCCTATGTGTCACAGCGCCATGCACTCATGTCTTTCTGCTTATCACGACCCAATGTTGACTTCGGTGTGGCATGCAGACTGGTCTGTCGTGAAGTGTCGACTTCAATGACGATGTTGTACACAGGCGTCTGGCCTCCCCGAGTCGACGTCGCCACGTCTATTATTAGCGTTATTCCAGTCTTGCCTCTCTAGTCGACGAAGGCGGCATATACGCCTTGCCACGAGCGGGGAGCAGGCATCATGCAGAGGAGTACTTCTGCTAGTCCTGCTCTGGTAGACTTTCACGATCGGAGCAAGCTTTTCTGTACAGACGACCTCACTTGATGATCCGGTGCTGTGGAAGTGGATTGGAGCGGTGTGCCGTGGATAAGCAGAGATGTGATATAGCCTTTCGCTTCTGAGATGCAATTCTGTAGATGGAGAGCCCTATGTACGCCAAATGTAGCCAACTGCATGGTGCAGCCGAAGATGGCGCGGGACCCGACGAGAGTCTGTCCGAGCCTCCACGATAAGATTTGTTGATGTGACCTCTCCGGTATCGCAGGGCAATCCGCTCTACAGCATTTCGACACACCACATTACAACCGCATGTCCTCATCAGACCACCGGTACGCCGCAGAGCCATTTACTGCCCCTCCCAATCTGCACGATGAGGGTGTCATGATGAGGAAGGCGCGGACGCCACGACCAAGGTATCGTGGTAGGCAAGCACTCAGCTGCATCCGCGCATGCAGTTAAAGCAACGCTCCACCCTCTAGCTGCCGGCCTGACGCCCAATGGCAGCGCCCAAACGAGCCTACAAGCCCACGATACCTGTACCTTCGCGCATGCATTCGATGGCACAGGATCAAGCTAACGATGAGCTTGCAAATAAAGTGAGGAGTGAGGGATTATTATTCGTTGCGAGCGCGAACTGGAGCTAGCTATGGTGTCCACTCACACACCCAGCTCGACGTCGAAAATCAAGAAGCGGCCCAACTCTATCGACTTCCAACCATGCAGCCCGTATGCCGGCCTGCCCTTTCCACTGCCTTGCGCGGAGTGCCCTAGCATCGCCTGCTGCTTTTGTGGTACCGCCGCACGCCATGCATGTATCCAGACGGTACAGTAGTGCAGTAGGTAGTACATGAGGGGTCTCTGACCAGTCTGCTTTTGCCCCTCCTCTCTTCCTGCGAACTCTCACATCCTTCATAGCCACGAGCCTTCGCACGCCATTTCTCGCCGCAAAGTTTCGGCCCTGGTGTGAGCTTTCTGTGCGGCTTGCGCTTTTTTGTGTTGATCTGTCCGAACGGCTCGTTTGTGTTGTGCTCTTCACTTTCGGCTTGCTGTCGCCTTCACTTGAACAAGGATCACCGCGGTTCTCACTTCGCCTAGTGCCACGTGCTATCCTGGTCGCCTGACTTATTTGTGAGCTGTCGCAATCGAAGCCGAACGTCACCGATACATATACACTTCACGACTTCCTAGCAACTTCTTCAGCAACACCGACCACCTGAACAACAGGTCTCAGTCTAAGCAGGAATATCTACGAGGAAAGCAGTCGGTCCTTACCTGGAACGTGTTGACAGCATGTCCAAACTTTTTATTGGGTACGTCAACCATGAGCAGACTTCACGACGACCTTCGCTAACAATCCAATAGTGGCCTAGCATGGCACACCGACGATCAGACCTTACGCACCAAGTTCGAGGAGTTCGGTCAGGTTGACGAGGCCATTGTGGTCAAGGACAGAGATACTGGTCGCAGCCGTGGCTTCGGTTTCGTCCGCTTCAGTGATGACGCTGGCGCTCATGCCGCGATCGCCGGAATGAACAACGTTGAGTTCGATGGCCGCACTATCCGTGTGGACAAGGCTTCTGAACGTGCTGGCGGCGGTGGTGGCGGCGGCGGAGGGTTCGGTGGTGGACGTGGTACGTTCTTGCCTCTCCTTAACATGTGACGTCACTCACATTCTGACCTCATTCCCAGGCGGCGGCTACAGTGGTGGTGGTGGAAGCTATGGAGGCGATCGTGGCGGCTACGGCGGTGGTGGACGTGGCGGCGGATATGGAGGCGGTCAGAGTCAAGGCGGCTATGGTGGTGGTCAAGGTGGCTACGGCGGCGGTAAGCAGCGAAATTACGATGAGGCCCAGTCTTGAGACATGCACTAACACAAGCTCTAGGCGGAGGCGGCAACAACTGGCGTCAAGGCGGTGGAGGTGGCGGCGGCTACCCGCAGGGCGGCGGCGGCGGCGGCTACGGCGGTGGCGGAGGAGGGTACCAGCAACAGTCAAATGGCGGCGGATATGGCGGTCAGCCCCAGGGTGGCCAGCAGCAGGGTGGCTGGTAGTTGCGAGTAAGCAGCACCACATCTCAGCAGCATGGCGTTCGGGCTGGAAAATGCAGCATTGGCTGAAGGAGGAATGGGAGAATGCAGTGTGCCTCACAGCACGGAGCTCGATCAAGTTCGAGTCTCCCTCTTGGTCTCGTTTGTTTGTGATGAGTCTGGGAGCACAGCGCCAGGCCCGGCTCGAAGTTGATACCCATTGATAGTAGCTTCTTAGTGCTCTCAACTCGGCATAGATGTGGTTTGTCCTCAGTCTACACTCCCAGCTTATGGTCTATCTACATTTTACCGTCGTTTGTTGTCGTTGATTGGGACTGTTGTGACCACAACTTGAGCTGCGACGTCCGTCTGCAGCCCTATAGATGTCATGATCAGCGGTCTAGTGGAACAAACAATTGCGTGTCCTAGATCCGCGCGTGGATCAAGAACCCGCGCCCCACTCGCCACGTGCAAGACCCCAGCTTTTGGCAAAGTGAAGCCGAATTGGAAATTTCATGGGCAACTTGCATGTGACATCTCGACATATCTACAATCTAGTAAGCATAATGACTTGCTTATAAGGAGTGTAGTTGCGTGCAGGGTAGGACAGTCCTGCCACTTCGTCATAGCCCGTCGCGGTCATGGCCACGGCACCAGCGCCCGCCGCGCTGAAGTTCACAGGCTCAAAATATCTCGTCCAGCGCCTTGTCCTTGCCACTCTCACAGGTCGAACGATCAAGATATCCCAAATCAGGTCCTCGTCGCATACTTCGCCAGGTCTAGCGCCCCACGAAGTCTCCTTCCTCCGACTACTGGAAGCGATCACGAATGGCTCCCAGATCGAGTTCTCGTACACTGGCACTACAGTCGTCTATAAACCTGGCCTCATCACTGGAAGTGCAGCTGGATATGGGGCGCAAGGTGGTGTGATACGGCATGAACTGTCTGCAGAGTGTAGACGGGGTGTGAGCTATTTCCTGGTACCATTATGCTTGCTTGCGCCTTTCAGCAAGGCGCAGGTTAACGTCATATTCACTGGTCCTGGCGTGATCACCTCCAGCACTGAGCTTGGCGATATCAGCGCGGATACTGTGCGCACAGCTATACTGCCGTCGTTCAGAAGCTTTGGAATTGAGAATAACCTCGAGCTCAGGATCTTGCGACGCTCGAACAGTGGAAGAGATGGTCGAGGTGGAGGCGGAGAGGTACAACTCGTGTTCGGACATCAAGTGCGATTGCCCAAGACCATCCACCTCATGAATGCAGGACGAGTGAAGAGGATAAGAGGTGTGGCATACTCTACAGGCGTAGCAGGGGCAAACAATGCACGTCTGATTGAGGCAGCGAGAGGAGTGTTGAATGAGTTCTCGCCAGACATCTACGTCTTCTCCGACGTCTCATCCGCACCTTTTGTGCCGGCACCGAGCAAAGACAACCCAGCCGCGAAGAAGAAAATAGGCTTGGGGTTCGGGCTTAGCTTGGTCGCTGAGACGAACACGAATATGCTGTACTCAGCAGATATCACCAGTCCGCCAGCTGGTGGCGAAGCTCCAGAAGAGCTCGGCAAGAAGTGTGCATACCAGCTCTTGGAGGCTGTAGAGCAAGGAGGGTGTGTGGGTGCGGTCGCAGCGCCTACTATGCTTACGCTTATGGCGCTGGGGAGTGAGGATGTTGGCCGTATTGCGATGAGCAAGGATGTGCTTGGCTCGGAGCAAGTCGTACAACTGGCCAGGGATCTGCGCGCTTTTGGGTTCAGTGGATGGGGTTTGAGGGATGGTGATGAGGAGGACGAGGTGGTGGTCAGTGTTGTTGGCCGAGGTGTCGGCAATGTTGGGAGGAAGATCACATGAGCTTGCATCTGAGTCCGTGCAAGGTCAATGATGAATCGCAGAGAAAGTCAGCCTGAGAGCGAGCAAAGCTCATAGAGAGCTATGCGCTGATTCTCGTCACACTGGAGAGCCCAGAAGTTAGCCATAGACTGGCCTTGAGTCCTACATGAGACCGCGACTTGGGGTGCGGCGAACCTCTCCAGTGGCTGCATCGCCACACATATCTTTATCAACACGGCGGTCGCTTGACGAAGGACCTAAACGTGCCCGACAATGCTGCCACATGACCAGCACAGGCCTTTGAGACGTCTAGCTATGCGGCGAGCTCATTAGCAGCCAAGCTCTCCGTTAACCTTTGGGCGCAAATGATCATGGCTGTAGGCAGACAGAATCGAGGATACCATTAGCAGACGTAAGTAAATGAGGGAAGAAGACATGTGGTCTTTAATTGGATTTAGAGTATACATTAGAGGCTGCTATTAGATTGTACATAAGACTCCATCTATACACGACAAGCACGTCGCAGCCACGACCCTCGTCCTCCACATGCCCTGCTTCCAAATTTCCTGATGCATCCCTCGCCAATGATTGACACGAAGAGCATGCAAAATACACTTCCCTTGGGTATCTTCTCGACACAGTAAAGAAAAAGTTTCTTCCCAATTGACCAATTGCTGTCCTCCAATTCGCTCCTGTTCATCGGAAGGACCTTCATGTTACCAGTACCATTGCCAGCCGCAGCGCCTATCTTACTTTTCTCCTCCATCCATATCTCAAAAGTCTATAATATATGCAAGGAAATTCGTGGGCAATCGTCAACGACATACCAATTCTCAGAGTGAACGACTCGCATCCAACCCCTCACAGCTTCGGCGGAGCGCTCTTCTCGCCCAGACCTCCAAGTAACGATTCCGGAGGTATACGAGCCAGATTGCTCGCCTTGTCCATCGGCATCGGCACATAGCCTTCTCGTCGTCGCCTGTGTCTTTCCATGAGGATACCGGCGATGACGATCAGCATCAGTAGTCCGAGCGATATTGCTAGGCCGATGAGAACGACGAGGCCGAGGGCCAGGTATTTCTTGGTGTTTGACATTAGGTTTTGTGGGTTGCTGTTGAAAGAGGGAAGGTTAGCGAGGGGAGCAAAGTCAAGAGGACACATTTAGTACGTACCTAACGAAGAGTTGGCCGAGAGTACCTTGACTGCCATCTTGTCGCCCTGTGAGGATGAAAGGAGTGAAAGTGGTGCCATTGAAGAGCGCGGCGCTGGAGTTGCCGTAATTGGGAACGACGATATTGCCCGTCATCATTAGCGCCTGGTTGCTGGCCACCAGATTTGTGTTCCCGTGATCAGAAGTCAATGCCATGACCTGTAGACCACGAATTGTGGTACCTGCAGCCAGGCTGACACCAGTCCAGACATTGTTGCTGAGTTTGGCGAGATAGTTCGACCCATTGGATGCAGTGCCCGCTGCCCAGAACTCGTTATATTTACTATTTGCAGGGGCGAGGACCTCGATGGTACCTGGTGTGGTGGCGCTACTGTATTGTGAGAAAGTCTGCTTCTTGCTATCGTACGTGACCAAAGCGGCAGCAGCGCCATTGATGGTAAGGTTGCCGGCAATGACGAGAGTAGTGGTGCTTGACCAGACCATGCTGGCAACTACTCCACCAAGACCGGTGCCGGGCGAGTTCCATTGTGATGTGCTAGCATCGTAATAGCAAAGCGTGGCACACGGTAATGAGCCAGCTGCGTCAAAGTTGCCGCCGACATAGACGGTGGCTGCGTTAGGCTGGGTGGCAATGGCGTTGACAATGACTGTGTCACCGGTGAGGGCAGCAGGTTGAGTGCTAGCATACTCGGCAGTCGATAGATTGTAAGCGATCAGACCCTTGATACCACGACCATCAATGGTGCCAGCGACTTCGCCGCCAGCAAAAAGGGTCGTATCGTAGGTATCGAAGGTTGCGAAGACCGAGTCACTATCGAGGCCGGTGACTCCAGTGTACTCCTGCCCAGCAGTGTTGTTAATGAAGAGCAAATTCTCGACTGTGGAGCCGTTGCTGGCCTTCGCTCGGAAGTGGCCGCCAACGATCGTGATGTTCAGGCCACTCTTGGCGTAGTAGAGGCCATTGTACACCCCGTTATAACTCTCCTCGGCATGTATAGCACGCCTGCGCGACGCAGAAGACGAGCCATTGGTCGCACTACTCGGCAGCAGCGTGAGGCCAAGGGTCTCAAGCGACGAGCGACCAGAGCCCACAAGCTCAACCGCACCACTGTAGAGCCCTGACGCCGATATCTGTCCAGCGTACAGTGGCGAGGAGCCAGTCACGTTTGTCATGGTCGTCAGCTGCCCACTGATGGCCACGGTCGAGGTGGGGATGTTGTGAAGCCAATTATTTTGACTAGGCACCCAGACGGCGAAGCCTTGGGTAGAGAAAGAGGCGTTCCGGTCGACCTGGTTGACGGACGTGAAGCTACCACTGACTGTCAAACACTCGACCAGATTGCCCCTAGTGATGTTGATGGCTAGTGGTACCAAGGAGGTTACCGGACCATTTACGCCACCTCCCAAGGCAATCCATGAGTTGCTTGATGTGTCATATGAAGCAACATTGCTGAGTCCCGTCACCGAGTTATCGGCTGTATTCGTGAAGTTGCCACCCATGTAAAGCATCGTGCCGTTGCGGTACAGAGCTTGCACAGCAGCATTGAGACCACCATGAGCAAGTGCAGTGGCGTTGTTGCCAACACTCATGACATTAGAGATGCCGTTGCCGCTGAAGTTGCCGGCGACATACAGCACGCTACCAATAGTCTGTACAGCCTTGACCATAGCGCCAGACGATAGACTCGCGCCAGCTGCGTTGATCTTGGAGGTCGAGAAGTCTGTGCTGACGACAGCTTGATTGGGATTGTACTCGAACAGTCCGTTCAGGCCGCCGGTCGTGGTGATGAGCTCAAAGCGCACGCGCTGGGCAACGACAGTCAAGGGCACGCTCTGGCCAGCTTGTGGGACGAGTGTGACACTGGGCTTGAAGTTGTCGGTGTCCACGTCGACATACCCGTAATAGACCTGGTCGTACTTGTCATAGTTGTTGGACTGGTAGAGCGTAGTGGTCACCGGTGGGGTGTTCGATGTCATGGTACCAGTGACGTTGACCAGACCTCGAGTCGAACAGGAACTGTCCTGCAAGCAGCCGGGTGTGTAGACCGTGATCGAGTAGTTGCCAGACTGCTGGATGTTGGGCGTGAAGACGACAGCAGTGCTCGGGCTGACCTGATCCGGGCTCTGCAAGGAGGCCGACAAGTAGTCGGAGCTCGAATTGCCGTTGTTGTTCACTCGTTGCCACAAGTTGGACGGCGTGGCAGTAGAAGCCGAGCCGGCGCTGACATCGTCGCACTTTGGTTCATTATAGTCGTTTACAGCGAATGAGTAGATGTCATCCTGGAATAGTTCGATTCCGCTCAATCCTCCACCTGATCCATACCATTGCACAATATTTATGCGAAAGGCATTCATGCCGACGGGTGGTACGAAGTGGAAGTCTTGCGCGCTGGCATTGTTTGCGAGTGGGCAGGAAGACGAGCATGACTGATTCTCTCCGTTGGCGTCCAAATAGTTGAGGTTCAAGATACCTCCACTGTTGAGGTCCTCGTAGTAGAAAGTCTTCGTACCACGACCTCCAGATTGCGCGTTGTACAGCCGTAGCTTCGTCGGGTTGAAGCCATACGAGAAGTTGCCTTGCCAGTACCCAGCAGTATTGTCCTGAAGTAGCCAGTCCGTGCCGCTGTTGGTATTGCAGATGATACTATGCGGATCGCTGTTGGTTGCAGAGCCCTGCGCAGTAATATTCCCAGAACCAATATTGATGACCTGACCATCAGGGTTTTGTGGTGTAGTTGTATTCCCCAAGCCATCGAAATCACCACCGAACACGATATTACCCGCCGCATTCTTCGTAATTGAAGTCACTGGTCCATTAAACCCAGCAAACGGTAGATTGGTCCACCCAGTCGTCCATGCCATTGCATTCGTGCTGTTCCCTGCCATGAAAGATCCACCCACGTACACGGTCCCGGAGCTCGCATCGCAATACACCGTCGATACCTTCCCACTAAGACCAGGCAATGCAGTGACCTGCGTAGTATTCGGGTTCCATAACGCTATACTCTGTGCCTCTACGCCTCCTAGACTCGTGAAGTTGCCTCCTATGACCACACCCGCTAACGATCCGTCTTTTTGCACGAAGGGACACATGGTCATGATACTGGCGTCCGCCGTGGCCAACGACTGAAAGGAGCCATCGGGATATTGTGTGAGCAGCGATTGACTGCCATTGGTGTTGAAAGACGCCTCACTCTGGCCTTCGTAGTTGTATAGCGAGATGCTGTCGAAGTCTCCCGCGAGCGCCACGCGTCCCAACGATGAAAGATCGAGGTTCGGTGATGGAACCTGTGTTATCGCATGTGCGCCTCGCGCATTGAGGAGTGGCGATGTGAGGATGAAGGCAGCCAGCTCTGGGCCGACGGCCAGCAGCTGCTGAAGGAGACTGCGCATCCGCAAGTCCGATGCAGAAGCTGACTTTCTGGAGTGACCACCCTGAACCACTGCTTCCCACCCAATCTCCAATTCCTGTCGCAGTTGTTCCAGACAAAGCTCGTGTGCCAGAGTTGGTTGCGTGGGCGTGCCTCTTACCTTGCCTTAGCTAGTAGCTGTCACACAAATGACGTCTTGCTGGTCAGGTACAGTTGTGCCGTGTGCCTTCGATGCAATCATGCAGCCAGTTAAGCTCGATCGAGTCCGCACTCCGCAGATCGCGCCCGGCGTTGCAGCTGCTGCTTGGTTGGTTAGATTGCTGAGGTAATATATGTCCAGGCCCGCTATATGTCAGTCGTAATGATGGGAATGCCGTGAAAGAGTGACTGTGGTGAGATCGACCGCCGATATGATATGATGTGGCCGTATGTCGAGGTGTAGTGAAGGATGTTCTCGCGTCTCTCATTCCACTCTGTCTCCTCCTCGACGGCTCCGTGCAGGGGCCACTTGAAGAGAGTGTTTGAGCTTGCTGATTCGTTGGGTGGGCTCTTGGCTTCGGAAAGCCAATTTCCGCGCAATCGCTAGACGACCAACGGCTGAGACGATATGACGAGAGTTTGGACAGTGAGGGAACTTCTATAGACATGCGATGGTTGTCTGACTGACCGAGACGACATGTGCTCATAAGACATGTGCTTCGTGCGAGGCTAAGCGCTGCCCGGCCACGAAACTCTCGCGGGCTCATGGGCTGGTTGCTGGAGTGGGACAAAACAACACAAGGTTCGCCGGGACACCAATGATCGTTATGGAGGCTGGATCGTTACGAATACAAACACTGTTTGCCGGAGCCATTATCATGAGTCTTGCTGCTCGTCAAGCAGTCCGCAGGACATCGTGCTCCCCACTTGTGGCCATCTTCTGGCGGAGATCGATAGGCTTAGCAGGAAAATGACATCGAATTGTTCACCTACGATGAACGATAACTCCCTAAATGGATGAGTGACGTGTCTAGATTCAAACAACTCTCAACCTAGCATTGAGAAAAACGGAATCCTCCGTCTCTTGCCTCCTCTAGAGATCAAACAGCCATCCCTGGTTCGGAGTGGCAACCATGGACCTTGTGAAACGCGTACCAATGTTGGGTGCACGCACATGGCAAGCTGCAGAAGCACGAGGGAACCGCTAATAACCACTGCACATGATCAGGCAAGGGGTCATTGAGGAAAGCCAAAAGTATGACATTGCAGTACTTTCACTGTCCACAGCTGTAGACAGGACATCACAACAGCCATACTGCCGCAGGCTCCCACGATCCTCGTCGCTCACCTCAGTACTGACATCCCGCTCCTCGCTACAGCCTCATAACAAAGCACTCACTCAACCCAACCAGCTAAACATATCAACATCCTCCCTCCTATTCCTCGCAATCTTCTCCCCTAACCTCTTCTCCCCCTCCTCGGCCTCCATAGTCGCACACTCACACGTCATCACAACACTCTCCCAGCTCGCCTCGCCCCTCGCCACAACAGCCGACATCTCATCCAAAGCAGCCTGCTGAATCTCCTTGACAGCTTGAGAGTTCCAACCCTCCTCGCTCTCCGCAGTCTCACTGTCGTAGTTATCATAACGATACTTCTTCCCCTTGCGACCAGCAGACATATACCCCTTAAGACTCCCCGGAAGGACCAGCCACGCGATATCCTCGAAACAGTCGCTCGTGGGCATGTAGTCCTTATGCACGTAATGGCAATCTCCGCGAGGACAGTCTTCCTTGCTGTATCGGGAGAGTTTGCACCAGTGATGGACGCAAGCGACGACGTGGTAGATGCACTGGTAGCACACGGCGTCTTCGTCGCAGGGCAAGCCGTGCGAGCGGCAGTGATCACACACTATGAATTTATTCTTCTTGCTGTAGCCTTCGGTGAGGAGGTAGTCTGCTGCACTGCCACTCGCATCGCTGGCGTCGTCCTGGCAATGAGGTCAGAGAGGTTTGGACTCACTTTTAGATATGGAACAGCGCTGGAGCACATACCTGCGAAGAAGCATCGTCGCTGTACCCGTCCGCGGCATAGTCACCATCGATGTTCTCCAAGACCTTCTGCAAGTCTGCAAGATGGAAGCCTCCGCTTTTGATTTGGTCAAGGGCATGTTCGATGCGTCGGCGTCGTGTCGTAGTTGCGATAGGTGTAGAGAGTCTCTGCTGGGTCTTAACTGGTTTGCGAGTCCATGAATCGGGCTCCTCGGCATGCTTGTCGGCTTCTGCTTCTTTCTTTGCTTGCCACTCTGCCTCTCGAGCAGCCATGGCCTCCTTCAGTGTAGCCATGATGTGGTACGGTATACTGAGCGTGACTTAGGTCAAGAGAGTGAAGGGGTGATGAAATGCAATGCCACTAAAGTCGTGGGCAGATGTTCGTCACATGAGCTTAACAGCAGTGATGTCAAGGTCTCATGGTCCTGTTTAGCATAGCAACAGTTGCGCCTTCCTCATATCTGATCATACACAGTCGCACCTTCCAATAAACACCGGCCTTTCGGACGCCTGGTGAAGATGCTCAAGCCAAATTCGCAAAGGCTCTCTTCTTCCTCCCCTTACCCTCCTCGCTCTCCTCCTCAACAACTTCGTCCAAGTACCCACTCACAACTTCCCGCTCCCTGACATCCCGACTCATGATCTCCAAACCAGCCAGGTTAAATCCCATCAATTTCGTCTCACTTTCCACCCACTCTTCATATGCCTCCAAGCACTCCTCAAGCACATCTCTCATCTGCGCCGACGCGACGATCTGCTGCATATGTGCTTGCAGAAGAAAGTACACCACCCTCCATGCCAAATCCGGTCGCATGCGTTTGCGTAGGAAGATGGAGAGGAAGATGAAGAGAGTGGGAAGAGTGGTGAAGGGAATGATCAGCAGAGCATCATGAAGAGCAGCGCTAGGAATTTTCTGGATGGTGCTGAGAACATGTTGTTCGGCGGATATGTTGCCGAGGGCGAGGAACATGGGATTGCGCTGTGGGATGGCAAGTTTTGGGTTCCGTGTTTTGTCGCGTTCGTAGGCTCGCATGAGTTCGAGATCTGTGAGACTTATCTCCAGTGCTTCCATGACCCGCTCTCCATGTGTGAGGGTGGCGATGGTCTGTCTACTCGCAGCCGCAACTTCATCCTGTGCTTGACCATCCTCATCCTGATGATCACGATCTAGGTTCTGGGCGAGTGTCGATTCGTACATCTCCTCTTGCTCCTTCTCCCGCTCTTCCTCCAAGAACACGAGGTCATCACCTACTTCCCATACACGGATGCTCTTGTCGTGAGAGGCTGTCACAATTGTCTCACCAGTGCGGCTCAAGATCATGGCCCAGATTTCACCATGATGACCTTCGAGCTTTTGGATCTGCTCGAATTTGTCGCCGTCCCAGGACTTGAGGACACCGTCTTTTGATGCGGAGAAGAGTAGATGTGCTTCGTCGCGCTCGGGCGGATGAGCGATGAAGTTTACCTGCATCACGCTGTCCTGATGTGCAAAGAATGCTTTATGGCAATCGCCGAAGTCGAGGCCCCATATCCGGACGTTCTTGTCGGCCGAGCATGTGGCGATGAGCTTGCTGTCACTGCTGATACTGATGTTGAGCACAGGTAGCTTGTGGCCGTACAGCGTCAAAAATAGCTTCAGCGAGTCTACGAAGAAGACTTTGACAGTGTTGTCGAGTGTCGAAACAGCTAGCAGGCGCTGATCAGGACTGAAGCATAGGCTTAGAATGTCGTCCGACACCTTGAGCTGCCTTGTCTGCGTGAGCTTGAGCCTCTGTGTCGTCCGTCGCGTACCAGGTATTTCCTCATCCACGACATCGAAACGCCAGAACTTCGCACTCTTGTCGGCCGAGCCGGTCACTACGCTGCGGCCATCCGGGTGGACAGCCAATGTCCATATGGCTTGACCTTCGTGGGCAGGAATGCTTTCGATCAAGGTGCTCGTGCTGACGTCGTAAATCTCGAGATCACCGGTCTTGGTGCCGAGCAGTACTATTCGGTCGCCAGGTAGGAACGCTGAGCATAATGCTTGCCCGCAATCGATTGTGCGTAGGCATGATTGCGTCTTCAGGTTCCACACTTTCAGCTGGCCAGCCGAAGCTGATGCCAGCATACGATCGTCGGAAGAAAGAGCAAGGGTTCGGATGTCGGTGCGATGGCCTGGTATGTCGACCGCTAGATTGCGACTGTACTCCGGTGCCTCCCTAGTAGCTGTCTTCTGCTGAGCTCGATATGTGGCGACGTTGTACAGCTCGATCTGATTGTTCGTAGTCGAGACAACCAGCTGTAGAGCTTTGCTTGTTCGGCTGCCTACACTTGCCCAGCAGGCTGATCTTATCTTACCCCCAGTCCGTACAGTCACGTACGAGACGAAGAGATCGTCTACAACAGGTGCACTATCTACGTCATCTGCTTCGGGTAGAGGTGCTTCGCCAGCTGCAGCTGCCTTCTCTCTTCGTCTTCGCCGCTTTCGCTGCATGTGTCGATGCACCTCGTCCTGCGCTCTCAGTCTCCATATCTCCACAGCCTTGTCTGATCCGTGCACCGCAAGATAATCCTGCTTAGGGTGGAAAATGATACTGAGGGCTCTGTCACGTCCCTGCCGTTGCAATATACCCTGACTAGTGAGTATATCTTGTTTCTTGCCATCATTGATGCTACTGCTCAATTGGGCCAGCTTCTCGAGGTCCATCTGCCACACTTTGAGCTCGCCATCATTGCCTGCAGTGACGCAACCGTCTCCGTCAGGACTGATACCCAAAGCCCAGCATTCACCAGCCGACTGCGCAACATGTGTCTCGACACAGTGAGGACTTGTGAGGTCCCATAGCTTGATCAGAGCATCCTTTGAGGTAGAGACAAGGTACTTCTCTTCGACCTCTCCTTCACTTTCACTCTCGCCCACATCGATGCCTTTGTCGGTGTGTGGACTCTGTCTTCGGCGCACAGCAGTCTTCAGGAATGATAGTCCAGTGATCTGATCCTTGTGGCCTCGAAGCCTAAATACCGCGGTCTCGGAAAGCAAGTTCCAGATGATGATATCCGTGTCGCGGCTTCCGCTGGCCAATCGTGCTCCTTCCAGATCGAATTGCAACTGTGTAATAGCACTTCTGTGGCCATTGAAGCTGACTACAATTTGTCCTGAAAGACCATCCCATATTCGTATTGCACCGTCTGCATATCCAGCAGCGAAGAGGTCTGGCTGTGCACTACACTGAGCCAAAGCAGTCACCTCGCTCTTGTTATTTTTGTCATGCCATCGCGACAACAGTTCGCCTTTCTTTACATCCCAGCAAAGCACATCTTCATTCGCGCCGACATATGTTCGTCCTGCACCGGTCGACTTTGCAGTGCTGCTGTTCAATATACTATGATCCGGGGTCCAGAGAGCATTGGCGAAGCCAGTACATATCGTACCGAAGGTGTGTAAAGGCTCGTAGCGCCTATAAGACCGGACCATGGCGGTAGCAAAGTCAAGACGATCACGTCCTGCGCCTTCACAAGCCATTCTTCAAAAAATCGAGGTCGGCTCATGCACCCCGCGTTTCGGTGGATCTTATCGCCGAGGGTCCGCAGAGCCGCATCGAATATCCCACTCGAGAAGTGACGACGCCGTCCAACGCAATAGGTTGATATCTATAAAGTAGAACTCTCACGGCCATTGCGCATTGTCTACCAAATATTGAGCGAGTCCAACCAGCATGTTGCTTCTAGACTATGGCAACTTGCTCATAGAGAGCCTGCTCAAGGATCGCTTTGCGCCCGGGTAAGCTAGAACTGCTTCTTGTGTGCATACCAGACGCCTTCTAACAGACTTGTAGAGCAACCCCGACCTCGATCGATCAGATATCAGGAGAGTTCGACAACACCTCCTTCCACATCTCTACACCAGAATCAAAGTCTAAGATCCTCATATCTCTCGCCATAAAGTGCTACCCGGAACTGGTTAAGTACGGCGCGGAAGAAGTCTTACAGCGAGAGTATGGTTCTCTCATCGTTCAGCCGGAGAGTGGATACGACTTCAGCGTCGGAGTCGATCTCGAACAGCTACCTGAAAGTGAAGAGGAAAAGACCGATCTCATTCGAAGAATAAGCTTGATGAAACGCAATGCCTTAGCCGCACCCTTCGAGCAGGCCTTCGACGAATTCGCATCGTTACAGGAGCAAGCACGACAGTACACATCCGAGTCTGCACCGCAAGGCGTGCGAGAAGGTGGTGAGGTGCGGGCGATCCACTACCGGGAGGAGGAAGCGATATACATCAAAGCGAGTCATGATCGAGTGACTGTCATCTTCAGTACGATCTTCCGCGAAGAGACGGATCGAGTGTACGGCAAGGTCTTCCTTCAGGAGTTCGTGGATGCTCGGAAACGAGGCGTCCAGAATGCACCGCAAGTGCTCGCCAGAGACGATCCGCCATTGGAGTTGCAAGGCATACCTGGTATCAAGGCTGGCAAGGGCGAAGTCACTTACGTCACATTTGGTGCGTGTCATCGATCATCTCCAGGTAACGTGAGCCTTTTACTGACTGAAATGTAGTGCTCTTTCCTCGCCACCTGACCCCACAGAGACGAGCAGAAGTCATCTCCCACATTGAGACTTTCCGAGACTACTTCCACTACCACATTAAAGCATCGAAAGCGTATATCCACTCGAGGATGCGGCGGCGGACAGCAGACTTCTTGCAGGTACTGCGGAGAGCGAGGCCCGAAGCAGAGGAGAAGGAAAGGAAGACTGCATCGGGCAGGACATTCACCGTGAAAGGATGAGCGAGTGGCCTTGTACGACGCTGGCTCGTAGGTAGTCTCCGTAAGTATGTCTGAAGCCGCTGTTCAGCATCTGACGGCTTCCTGAATCCAAGAAGCTGCTGTCAAAGAAAATGGATGCAAGCCTGAGTTCCGACTAGTGGTTCTGTTCTATCACGTGCCTTCGTCGATCGCGCTTTCCTTGCTCGGAAATGAGGACGAAGTTTCTCGCGCTCTGACATCAGCTGGATTCGTTGATTGATTTTGCTGGCATTTACTGGAAGCACAGTTCTCAAACTTCATACGCGACTCACCGCAGCGCGCCATCACGACGAGTACCAGAGGGCAGACAACGATACTTGACAAGCATGTCCGCGAACATACCACCCTTCATACTAAGCCCCTGTCACTGTGGCATTTGCGATAAGCTACGGGGAACCTGGGGCCTCCTGTACACTGCTTAGATCGCAGCACGTTCTGAGGGTGATGTTGAAGTCGAATGTTGCGCCGAGAAGTCTAAACGTGTGATCTTCGATCTCTTGAGGAACACTCACAAGAAGCACAAGCCGGAGATATACTCTGATGGAGAGGAAGAGGTATTTGAGACCTTCGAGGTGGCGAGATTGAGTCTGCTGACGGAAAGTAGTTTGATGCTATCCCCTACAGAGATCACCACACAAAGGAGAATCTGAGTCAGGTTAGATCGAGCGAGCAGAGTCCCTGGGAGGAGAATGAGAGCTATCGAGCTCCCGAGGTCAGTACAGACCTCTCGTGCTTCATAGCATTGTTGCTGACACATCATTCTTCAAGGCTGTCGACCCGTATGCCCATGTGCCAGGCAAGTTTATGGTTTGCGACCATTGCCACGGACACGGGCTTCGATGTACCGAAGTTCCAATTTGCGAACAGTGCCTCATCAGTGAGACTGCATGCATCCATCGCTGGTGTCCCTACTCTCCCTCCTCGAGAGATGATTGTCCGGATCCTATGTGCCGATACTCACACGAGGATTTTGCACCCGTGGACGATGATATCTTCGAGGAGAGCGACTACATGGTGATGCCCGGAAGGCTACGTGGCTACTTATTTGATAGCCGCTTGCCAGAACAGGGTTGATCCGAGTATGATCTCGAGCCTCACCGTCAGACACGATACAAGAAGAGGGCACAAGAGCGTCAGGTTGGGGCCCACGATGCAATGAGAAATTGGGTTGGCAAGCGTCACGGATCCTCTAAGAACTGGTATGCAGAATGCGGCAAGGAGTGCGGGAACTTCGACTTGGACGACGAGTAACTTTGTCGACAAGTGAAGAGCAGGTATTGTGCTTGCGCCATGTTGTGCTCCGTCATGATGGGGCTATGGGAGCCACGAGCGAAAGCAAGACGAACTTAAGCAGGTAGACATCCATCATCGGCTTTCAGCTAGAGTACAGCCTCGTCTTATTGATTGACGGAATTCTTGCGGTCGAGTTTTTCGATCTCTGCCTTTGTCTCCCTACATTGACCGTCGATCACGGAATATCGGCAGATCGTCCACTTGACATATCGCTAGTGTCCACCAAATTGAGTGGTAGTCTATGATTCAGGACTATATCTCGAGAAGGCATGCCATAAGCTGATTTAGTAAGCCTTCGACATGGCCAGCTCATCACTTTCAAGTAGGCATGGCAGTTTTGACGATAGAGGTAGATACATGTGGCGTATCATAGTGTAAGAATGAAGTGTCGCCAATCCCAATGGCAAGAGATAAGAAAGGTGCGGCCCGCGATCAAAGCTCCACCACACGCTGCAGGCTAGCTCAAGATTTTCTGGAGCAGCAGACCAGCAAATCTGTGACTCTGTTTTTCACAGCTATCGCTCCAGATAACCACGTCTGGTATCCTCCTCACCACTTCTCACCATAGCCTGTGAAGGCTCAAAATTGGCTTCATGACTTCTGCGCCCACCATCTTCACTTCCCAAGGTAGGTACGACAATCGCTTCTCCTCACCACTGCACGTGCCCGAAGACGTGCCGTTGGAGATAGGCATTGTACGGCAGCGATAGTACACAGGCGGTCGCTGATTGTATATGCTACAGACTACATCTCCGACCATCTGTGGAAGGCGAACGTGAATTGATTACCGCCGAGGACGGCACCAGATAAATCTACAAACTACCAATAAGAAGACGGAGAAGACCCTCATACTGCCAACCACACGAGCACATAAGCAGAAGCAGCTATGGCTCTCAGCGGGTGTATTTCCCGACAGTTGCGCCATGGGATGCTTAATATGAGCAAAGGAAGGCTGCCTCAGACTGCGGGACGAACATTTGTTTCACAGAGGAAGCCACTGTTGAACCCCATGAGCCCAGTCACACGACAAATCCGCAGCCTCACACAGTCTACGGCAGGTGCAGCGGCAGCATCGCCACAGCTGGCACCGAATGCGCAGGCATATCTGGCTAGTGGAGCTGTGGACACTACCAAGAAGAAGACGAATGTAAAGAAAGTGCTGGTGATTGGATCTGGAGGATTGGCGATTGGACAAGCTGGAGAGTTCGACTATTCCGGATCTCAGGCACTGAAGGCGTTGAAGGAGGAGGGAGTGCAGTCCATCCTGATCAACCCGAACATTGCTACGATTCAGACGGCTCACGTGCTGGCGGATGAAGTCTACTACCTGCCAGTCACTGTGGAGTACGTCAGACATGTGATTGAGCGCGAGCGACCTGATGGCATCTTCCTCTCTTTCGGTGGGCAGACTGCATTGAATCTTGGCGTCAATTTGGAAAAGATGGGCATTCTGGAAGAGTTTGGTGTGCAAGTCCTCGGTACCAGTGTCAAAACTCTGGAGACCAGCGAGGACCGAGACATGTTTGCCACAGCTCTCAAGGAGATCGATATCCCAATCGCTGAAAGTATCGCCGTCAAGACCATCGACGACGCGCTTTCTGCAGCCGAGACAGTCGGGTACCCTGTCATTGTTCGTGCAGCGTATGCACTTGGTGGCCTGGGCTCTGGCTTCGCGGACAACGCAGAAGAGCTCCGTAATCTTTCCGCCCGTTCGCTTACTCTTTCGCCTCAGATCTTGGTAGAGAAGTCTCTCAAGGGCTGGAAAGAGGCCGAGTACGAAGTCGTTCGAGATGGCAACGATAACTGTATCACTGTCTGCAACATGGAGAACTTCGACCCTCTTGGAGTTCACACCGGTGACAGCATTGTCGTCTCACCGTCTCAGACCTTTAGCGACGAGGAGTACCATATGCTCCGCACTGCATCTATCAAGATCGTCCGTCATCTTGGTGTCGTTGGTGAATGCAACGTTCAGTACGCTCTACAGCCTGATGGTCTTGACTACCGTGTCATCGAAGTCAACGCTCGTTTGTCTCGATCTTCTGCTCTTGCTTCTAAGGCTACCGGCTACCCGCTCGCGTACACTGCCGCCAAGATCGGCCTCGGATACGATCTTCCTGACCTTGTCAACGCTGTCACCAAGACTACCACGGCCAACTTCGAGCCCTCGCTGGATTATGTAGTCACGAAGATCCCTCGATGGGATCTGGCGAAGTTCCAGAATGTCGACCGTTCCATCGGCTCATCCATGAAGTCTGTCGGAGAAGTCATGGCCATTGGCCGTGTCTTCGAAGAGAGCTTCCAAAAGGCCATCCGACAAGTCGATCCGAAATTCCATGGCCTACAGGGCGACCACTTCGAAGACTTGGACGACGTCCTGAAAAATCCTACTGACCGTCGCTGGCTTGCTGTTGGTCAAGCTATGCTCCACGAAGGCTACACTGTCGACCGCGTCCACGAACTGAGCAAAATCGATAAATGGTTCCTGTACAAAATCCAGAACATCGTCGACTGCACTCACGAACTCGAAGCCATTGGATCGCTCTTCGGCGTCAAGAAGGAGTTGATGCTCAAGGCCAAGAAGCTTGGCTTCAGTGACATACAGATTGCGAAAGCTGTCAATTGTACTGAAGAAGAGGTTCGTGCTCGTCGGAAGAACTTCGGTATTCGTCCTTGGGTCAAGAAGATCGATACTCTTGCTGCTGAGTTCCCGGCTGAGACAAATTATCTTTATACGACATATAACGCTTCGAGCCATGATGTCGAGTTCAAGGATCATGGGATCTTGGTCTTAGGATCTGGTGTTTACAGGATCGGCAGCTCGGTTGAGTTCGATTGGTGCGCCGTCAATACTGTCAACTCGCTCAAGGATATGGGGAAGAAGACTGTGATGATAAATTACAATCCCGAGACATTTTCGACAGGCATGTTCCCAGTTGTATGAGATTGTCCTTGATATACTGACTGACTCCCCACATAGATTTCGACTGCCCTGACCGCCTGTATTTCGAAGAACTTAGTTATGAACGTGTCATGGACATCTATGAGCTTGAGTCTGCTTCTGGTGTTGTCGTCTCCGTTGGTGGCCAGTTACCGCAGAATATCGCTCTCAAATTGCAGGAGACTGGGAAGGCAAAGGTGTTGGGCACCGATCCCAAGGACATCGACAAGGCTGAGGACAGACACAAGTTTTCACAGATTCTCGATTCCATTGGCGTCGATCAACCTGCCTGGAAGGAACTCACCTCATTTAAAGACGCGCAAGATTTCGCGGAATCTGTCAGCTATCCTGTCCTGGTTCGTCCGTCTTACGTCTTGTCTGGTGCTGCTATGACCGTCATCCGGACCCCTGAGGAGCTCGAGGAGAAGCTCGTCGCGGCCAGTAGTGTCTCTCCCGATCATCCCGTCGTGATTACCAAATTTATCGAGGGTGCCAAGGAAATCGATGTCGATGGTGTCGCCTCCAATGGCAAGCTTCTCATTCATGCCGTCAGCGAACATATTGAACAAGCTGGTGTTCATTCTGGCGATGCATCTCTCGTACTTCCACCCACCGACCTCTCTAGAGCGATCTTGGACCGCTGCAAGGACATTGCTGAGAAGGTCGCAAAGGCCTGGAAGATCACTGGACCGTTCAACATGCAGATTATCTGCGCCGAGAATCCTGATGGTGGCGAGGAATTGCTCAAGGTCATCGAATGTAATCTTCGTGCTTCGCGATCCTTTCCCTTCTCCAGCAAGGTTCTTGGTACCAATTTCATCGATGTCGCCACTCATGCACTTGTCGACAAGGATGTGCCGGCGCCCGTGGACCCGATGAAGGAGCAACGTGATTATGTCGCCGTCAAGGTGCCACAATTCTCCTGGACTCGTCTGGCCGGTGCTGATCCTTACCTCGGCGTGGAGATGGCGAGTACAGGCGAAATGGCTTGCTTTGGCAAGAATTTGATCGAAGCCTACTGGACTGCGATGCAAAGTACGATGAACTTCAAGATGCCGGAGCCGGGGACTGGTTTACTCTTTGGTGGTACGACTGAGACCCCGGACCTTGCCATCATCGTCGACTACCTCAATCCTCTTGGCTATAAGTTCTACGCTGCCAATAATGAGGTGAAGAACCATTTGGAACAGGGCAGCAAAGATGGCAGTGTCAGTGTTGAGGTCATCGAGTTCCCTAAGGAAGATAAGAGGGCACTGCGAGAAGTGTTCGAGAAGTACAACCTCAAGGGTGTTTTCAACCTTGCGAAGAGGCGGGCAAGTAGCATGGTTGACGAAGATTATGTCATGCGCAGGAATGCAGTTGATTTTGGTGTGCCTCTGTTCATGGAGCCCAAGGTAAGGAAAAGCAGCTGAATTCCATCAGATCTGGTCGCTAACATCTCAATAGACCGCAGTACTGTTCGCACAGTGCATGAGCGAGAAGCTGCCAAGAGCAGAAGGCATTCCGCCTGAAGTTCGCAGTTGGAGTGAATTCATCGGTGGAAAGCCATTGTAGGTCTATCTCCCTGCGATAGCATCGGCTTGTTCATATCCGGTCGGATGGGCAACGTATACATTAAGTTAGTATGAGATATGCAAAAGCACAATTCTCGATCAGCTCTATTCCCCGAGGTACTTCATGAAAACATTATTTCCGACACAAGCAAAGCCGTGGTCTGCTGATCTTTACGCACTGCACAGCATGAGGTCGGAGTGGAGGCCGGTCCATTATAATCACACCGCGACGGCTCTGTAATGACAAGTGCTCCGCGTTTTCGAGTTCGAGTAGCTGCGGCCTTCTTTAATATGCATCCATTTGGAAGCTGCCGTTTCACCTTGGCGCTGAAGTCTATTACCCATCGAATCAATCGCGTCCCCAGAAATGGTAGCAACAACGATCTACATTTCCCCATGGGCTTGGAAGCTGGGTTGGCCGAGTCCTCCAGACTTTGGTCCGTGTGTCTCGGCACTGGCCATTGGCAGTTCTCGTCCATGGCGATGATCGTGGAGTGGAGGTTTAGGCGAGGGAGTTAAGAGGTCGTCGCCGCCCTCATCCTTTTTGCACTTGCTCCTGTGCTATAGCGACTGACATCGACGATACACAGAACGACTGGCGTAAGACGACATGGAGCGAGATCCCAAAGACACCGAGGAGGGCAATACGGCCCACCACGACGACTATGCGACCAATGGCCAGATTAATGGAAATGCTGGCCCAGATGCGCTTCGCCGGATGATGACATCTGGCACAATGCCACCAGACGTCTTCGAACGCCTCTACCTACAGCCTCAGGTACGATTTACGAACCTGCAACCCCAACGCATATGCTAACACAATAGCTGTCCAGACATCTGTTGCTGGTGATTTGAGGAAGAGATTCGGCAATCCTACCCCCATTGCGCTCCTCGGTTTCTCGGTCGGCCTGACACCTCTTTCCATTGCACTGATGGGATGGCGCGGCTCTGGAGGAAACGCTGTGGCAACGACGGGTGCGACACTCTGGTTCGGTGGCATGCTCCTGATTATTGCTGGAGTTGGCGAGTGGATCCTCGGCAACAACTTCCCCTGCTATGTGAGTATAGCACAAGTCTTCTGCCGCATACAAGATGTCGTAGTCTCTGACAACAGCACCGTCAGGTCTTCTTCGGCTATGGCTGTCATTTCCTCACCTTCGGCGTCACGTTCATCCCATATTACAACGCAGTAGATGCATATACAGCGACTGGAGGAGGCGGTGAAGCTCAGTTCTACGCAAGCTATGGTGTGTATTACGGCGCCCGGCAGCATGCGCGTGAGCGTCTGGTTGACTGAGATCTAGGCTTTTACCCTGTGGCTATGGCTCTGCTGTCATTCATCTATTTGATTGGCTCGCTACGGACGAATATAGTCTTTCTTCTCATCTTCGTTGTCGCAACGATCGGATTTTCTATGGCAGCGGCAGGCTTCTTCTCACTAGCATTGGCCAACAATGCTTACGGCGAACAGATGATTGTAAGTACTAAAGAGACGCCAAAGGCGGAGACAGCTACTTACAGATGATCGCATGTAGATCGGCACCGGTGCATGTTTCTTCGCTGCAGCAGTATTCGGGTGGTATTTAACGCTCGCCGCGATTATTGAGATCCAGGAGGTACCGATTCCCTCGCTACCACTCGTCGACCTAAGCACAAAGATTAAGGCGAAGTCGCTGGTGAGGGCCGCAAAAGACGCCAAGCGGTCACAGTAGAGCAGAGCTTGGGCGGTCGGCGGAGCAATATAAGAAGACACTCCGAAGAACGAGCCGCATTGGTTTCATGACAAGGCTAGGATTTTTTGCTCTGCATTCATCATAATGATGGTCGTCAAGATCATCCGTGTACTCGGTCTGAGGACCTGTAGCTTTCAAGACGATGTCCTGCGTCTCCCATCTCGTCAGATTCTTCTAAAGCCGTTTCCGTCGTCTCTCTAGGCAAAGTTCATGACATACCAACCGATAGGTATGTCACTTTGTATTTCTTCCGTCTGGATGGCCAGCCAATGCCTCGTTTCCCGTAGCGCGTTCACGTGTCAATCTCAAATTCATGCTGATGTCACGTCTCCCTTTCTCAGGTTGGCGATAAAATCGCTTCCAACAACATCAATAACAGTATCTTGTGCTCATAAATAATCATGATTCCGTAACGTACTCCTGGTCTAGACGTCCCGTAGGCACGATAGCAATGGTCGACCAAAGTAGGTGGAACAGCAGGCCAAGCGATGCCAACACTCACAACTGTGCTAGAGAAGGCGGCAGCAGAATGCATATCTGAAGATGCTTTGCAACACTTCAAGACGTACAAGTACTCGTCTGTGGACAAGTCGCCAGTATCATACTATGTCCTTCGACATTATGTGGGTACTCTACCACACTTTGCCCATTAATCCTGGACTAAGACTGCATGCAGTGGAACGCCTGTGTGGAATTCTTGCCACTATGGCTCGCTCCAAACATGGTGACTTTGCTCGGCTTCTTCTTCGTACTCGGAAATGTCGCCTTGCTTGAGTTGCTGGATCCGGCACTCGAAGGACCTAAGTATGGCTGGGTCTGCTACAGCTATGCCTTTGGCGTCTGGGCCTACTCAACCATGGACAATATCGACGGGAAGCAAGCACGTCGGACTGGCACTTCATCCGGTCTCGGTGAGCTCTTCGACCATGGTATCGACTCACTGAACTGCACCCTCGCCTCCCTGCTTGAGGTCTCCGCTATGGCTCTCGGTCCGACGCCGCTGGGAGCATTGACAGCATTGATCCCTTGCCTACCAATGTTCTTCTCAACTTGGGAGACATATCATACGCACACGCTCTACCTGGGATACTTCAATGGTCCTACGGAAGGCCTTATGATTGCTTCCACCATCATGATACTTTCGGGTGTGTATGGTCCGCACATCTGGCACGAACCCATGGCAGACTATATTGGACTCGAGAGCATACTTGGTTCGCTGTCCTTCAAAGACATTTGGGCGCCTTTGCTGCTGACCAGCTTCGCTATTGCGCATCTTCCGAGCTGCGTCTATAATGTATGGGAAGCACGGAAAGCGAAAGGTCTGCCACTTGCACCAGTCTTTCTAGAATGGATCCCTATGGTAGTCTTCACCGCATCTATCATCGCTTGGCTAGGCTCGCCATACTCGAATCTGCTCAACGATAATCATCTTTGTTTACTGTGTCTCACATTGTCGTTCGTCTTCGGCCGAATGACCACAAAGACGATCCTAGCACATCTCACACACCAGCCATTTCCATACTGGACTGGACTACTGGCACCGCTGATAGGTGGTGCTGTGCTTGTCAACTTGCCACGCTTCGGCTTGCCCGCTATGTCCGCGACGGTCGAGCACCTCTATCTCTGGGCATACTTCATCTTGTCGGTGGTCGTCTACTTTCGGTGGGCTTTCCTGGTCATTGATGCTATCTGCAGCTACTTGGGCATAAACTGTCTAACCATCCCAGAAGAGAAGTGGAAGGCTTTGCAAAGGCAGCAGGCTGGAAATGATGCGATCGGGCAGGCAACTTCGCAGAATATAATGAACGGCAAAGCGAGCAAGCATGATTGATCTACCAAGCAGATACAGCGATGCTTGGTACAACACTCTTGAGATATCGAACAGCTGTATCATGCATGCTACACTCCGTCCTATCGTACAGTGTGGTAAAAAACTAAAATTTGTAGTATGAATACACATAGATCGAGTTCCGGCCATATCTTACTTGCCAGACATCAATGTGTAGCCTCCATCAACCGTAATGGTCTGGCCATTCAGGTAAGTGTTGGTAACGACGAACAGAATGGCGGATGCCATGTCCTTGTCGGTGCCAGGTCTTGCAGCGGGGACCTTGTTCTCGAACTGGTCCTTAGGCAAGCTGCTCTTCTGATTGGCACCGCTTTCGCCACCAGCGGTCATCTCAGATGGGAAGACCTATAGTTAGGGGTCAGCATTCAATGATCCTGGCTGTTATTTGGATCCGATATCGTTCTACTTACACCTGGAGCGATGGAATTCACTCGAATCTTGATGCCGTTTTGTGCTAGCTCGTTCGCAAGCATACGAGTCAAGTGGATAGTGGCCGCCTTGCTAGCATTATATTGTGGGTGATGTTGCATCGTCTTGACCTGGCCGGAGATGGAGCAAGTATTGACAATCGTTCCGCTCCAGCCATGGCCATGCTCCGTGGCCTTCTCCAAGAGCGGCAAGAAAGCGGTCGACATGAAGTAGCATGCTGACACATTCGTGCGGTAGATGTCGTCCCAATCGCTAAAGCTGTTCTTCTCGGAGTCGAACATATTCTTCTTGAGTTCATTGGCGTCTTTGCCTTCGGTCTGGACAGTGTTGCCGCTCATAATTCCAGCGTTGTTGATCAAGATGTCGAGATGTTGTTCCTTGCTAGAAATCTGCTCATACAGCTTGGAGATTTGAGCCTTGTCCGTCACATCTGCTACCAATGGGATGATTTCGCCAGAGATGCCTTGGCTGTAGGTCTTTGCCACGGTCTCTAACTTCTCCTCCGTACGGCCTACGATGTAGACTTTGGCACCATTGACGGCAAGGGCTTGGGTAAACATGAGGCCAATACCAGAACCGCCACCTAGCAGATGATCTGTTAATCTGGACATCGATCGACGGAGATTGGTAGAGCCTACCCGTGATCAACGCGACCTTGCCCTTGACACCAAAGATGGCGTCAAAGGTGAAGTCCTGGTTGTTGTGCGCGCTTGCATCGTCGGAAGCCATGCTGACGTCGCCTGAAGTGCCTTTGAATTGCGTGAAGGCGATTGCTGTCGTCGAGAAGTGATGGTTAAGTTGTTGTGATCTTTTGCTTGCTTTGGAAGATGAGTTGAACGTTGACCGGATTGATTGAGATTTTGTGAATCCTATAAAAGGTGTTGTGGATGTGCATTTCAATACTGTCGTCACCATGTGTCGTTGCTGGACAGCTGCAGCTGATCGGGCCGCAGTGAGGCCTGTGGAGAGGAGTGGTGGCATTGTGAGGGGCTACGGAGTGATTCTTGGAATGATCATCAACGATTACTTACCTTGAGACTTCCTACATGCCTGCAGTGTGTTGGTGAATGGCAGGCTGGATCTCTGCGTCACGATGATCGTTTGATCGAGCCCTGGCAGCATCCCCACGATCCATCATCTCCAAGGCCGAAGGAGATCCTTTTGAGGCTGGCAAGGGCGATGTACGTGCAGGGAGATATGTGTTCTCATGAATGCTCGCCCTTAAGGTCCTGGCAGATCACGCTCTCCCTCGACACGTATCGAGCACGGGCGTCTCAAGTCAAACCAAAGACGACCCAGACATGACTCTCGGCGCGGAACGTAGCGGCGTCGTGCCAATCCTTCGGGCTCGATGCGAGGTTGCTCGTTCGTGGTTCGTCAGCAACCAGAACCAGCGCATACACAGCCACAGTCAGTCCAATGCGCAACAACAATGCATCAATAATATTATTGCTGGCGCCTTAAGGTCGCCTTTGTATAAACACTTCTCACCAGTATCTCTAGCTTCACTCTCCTCATCCATTACCTACCTCCTCCATCCTCACTTGAACCATGTCCGCATACTCCGACACTGCCCGCGCTCTTGCGGCGCAGATCGACGACGAGGACGAACCACTCTCACACAGCAGGGGATCAAATGCGCCATCGTGGCGACGACGATCAAACTCACAGTCCATCGAACAAAGACCCAAATGGCAACAGAATGCTGAAAACCTTCAACGAAGAGCCGTGAAGCTGTGGCTGAAGTTCACACCTATACAACAGATTGGGCTCGTAGTCCTGAACATAGTACTGCTTGTATTCGTAATACTGGGCTTGATCTACAACCAACGCATATTCGCATGGCTTGCGCCTGGAGCGAAGAGATGGCGAGAACTACCAGGCGGATGGCTGATCCTTTGGTTTATGACCTTCTTCGTATCCTTCCCTCCCATGATCGGATACAGCACCTGCGTCACTATTGCTGGATTTGTATTTGGTATGAAGGGATGGTTCATCATGAGCACGGCATCAGTGGCAGGTTCGACAGTAGCTTTCATTGCGTCAAGATCAGTGCTAAAGGGGTTCGTTAGTCGCTTGACGGAGAAGAACAAGCGGTTTGCTGCGCTGGCACTGGTACTAAAGCATGATGGACTGAAGCTTTTGATCATGATCAGACTGTGTCCTCTCCCATACAGCTTGAGCAACGGTGCTATCAGCACGATTCCGACTGTGACGTGGTTGAACTTCATGATTGCAACGGCGATTGTGTCGCCGAAGCTGCTGCTGCACATCTTCATTGGAAGCAGACTGGGCGACTTGGCCGAGCATGGTGACAAGATGGACTTTAGGACGAAGATGATATCATACATGAGCATCATAATAGGCATGATTGCTGGGGCGGGCACTGGGTACTGGATATATGCAAGGACAAAAGCGCGTGCGGCCCAACTGGAGGCAGAAGAGGCAGCAGCAGTGGCAGATGGCAGTAGATCGGCTGGAGTAGGAAGTGACTACATTGATGATCCCAGTGCGCGGTATGCTACCAATGTGCTCCGGAGGGACGACGATGTATCGCTGCACACCACATATGAGGATGACTTGGAAGGTGGTCGAGGAGGCTATCTAGACGACTTCACGGACGACGAAGATGCTCACGAGCGTGATGTCTTTGACGATGGAGATGGCCATCTTGACGATGAGCCGAGGCATGGCAGAAGATAGCACATTCGAGCCCGCGCGAAGCATTTACTGGTCTTGGACGGTGTTGGTCACTTTTGGCTGGCCTTGGATAGACGCTGCGAATATTGATGCAGCTTTGCTTGTACAATCTGATGGCCTGTACAGTATAGAGACACCTTGTATGTGCTACGGCTACGATCTGTGCATCGTTGCGCTGACTCTCTCCGTATTCCTGTCGCACATGCTTGCAAGCATAACCGTTCGGCTTCACTGCGTGGCGCCACGGCTGCTGACGTGGTTCAGTACTCCCAAGACCGACTGCGTACCTCGGCGCCACGAGGATGCTCATGGCATCGGTCCAGGTAATCTCGTCGCATTGATTGGCTTCATCTAGTCTGCTAACAGCAGTAAACATGTTGTCGGTACATGAGTGCCACGTGATAGGATGGTCGACGAAAGCGGACACGCATTCTAGACCCCGAAGCATTCCAGAACGCGCAGCTGATCCAAACATCATGCAAGATGGTCGGCTACAGGCACCCTTCAGTGCATCGTGCTCCATCATACATATCTACAAGGATTCAGAAGTGGATGCGGCATAAAGATGACAGCCTGCGACAATGCCTAGGATAGCGTCGATCAGGCTCAAACAGCGGGTCCGTCAATAAATATAGGACGTTTCACAACATTTGGCAACGAACTGCTTCCGATACTCGTGGGCTTTGTACTCCGTTCATTGTTCACTCGACCTCGCGCACACACATGTTCACTTCTGTCGGTCTTTACGGGATATTTGGCTGTTGAGGAACGACATCATCAGCAGATCGCAGTAAAGGGAGCCGGGTTGAGTGGCAAGACATACCACGACTTCGCAACGCAACGAGCATTGAACATTGCGACAAAATCATACCATGAAGTACATCTTATCCGCAACTGCGCTGCTTGCAGCCACTGTCGCCGCCGACAAGCGAGACTTGTGTGCTGATGGATCGACGGACGACAACAATAACTGGTATTGCCAGGCCGTGAAGGCGATCACATATACAGGTGTTGGTGGTACTGGGTCGTACAACCGGATCACGAGCATGGATCCCACGAATGGCCAGTGTCAGAGTGCGCCGCAGTCGTATTCTGGCAATTTGTCGCCACTGGACGAGGAGGTATGTTCACTCATCACAGTCGCGGTATCGTTTTGATAGTGCTGGTACTGACTCGAGTCACAAGGTATCGATGCACTTCCGAGGACCGATCCAGATCAATCAATTTGCTGTGTATACGCCATTCAGCTCTTCAAAACCGAAGCGTCACTCACCAGCACAGCGGCATCCACATGCTCACGCACACGCACGTCGCCATCAGGCACGTGAGGCAAATGCTGCAGTCGGTGACATGGTGACAGCCACAATCAATGGCATCGTGCAGACTTGGGTGAACGAGTGGAGTGGGCAGTCGACCTCCGCACCACCTGTACCTGCTGCTGCATCGTCAGCGCCTGCAGCAGACATTGCATCAGACATGCAGGCTGCAGCATCATCGGCATCTTCGTCAAGCAGTGCACCCTCCTCGTCTCCGTCCTCCCTTTCATCACCCAGTGGAAGTATAGCTTCATCATCTGGCGGCTGGAGTCGACAAGCATATTACAACGCCTCCACTCAGACAAGCGAAGGCCTTGTGTTTCTGAACCACAATGGCGGTTCAGGCTCCGGCACCTTCGACTACCACTTTGGCAACTCCTTGTCATACGCAAGCGCGGACGGCAAAGGCGGATCTTCCACAAACCAAACCCTGGCTGCTACAACGTTGCCCTCCAGCGCAGAGGTCGTGATCATGTCCAACCAAGAGTGTGGGGAAAGTGATTGTGGCTACAGTCGGTCCCAGACAGTTGCCTACCACGGTTTCGGTGGGCCCAGCAAAGCCTTCTTCTTCGAGTTCCAAATGCCATATACTGGTGAGAGCGCGAGCAACATTTATGACCCCGTGGACATGCCCGCAGTCTGGATGCTCAATGCTCAGATCCCACGGACACTGCAATACGGCCAAGCCACATGTTCCTGCTGGACTTCTGGCTGCGGAGAATTCGACATATTTGAGGTTCTGGCACCGGGTGACAAGCGTATGAAGAGTACGCTGCACGGCAACGTCGCTGGTGGCGACAGCGATTACTTTGATCGTCCTGCTGAGAAGCCGATGAAGGCTGCTATGGTGTTGTATAACAACAATATCCATATCAAGCTTCTGAGCGATGACACGGATTTTGGAGAGGCCATGGATGCGGATGTGATCAATGATATCTGTGGGTCGACGCTTCAGCAGACGAAGACTGTCTCTCTGTTCAAGTTGGGTAGCTGAACATGCTTTGAATATGGTGGTCGTGGCGCATTGGAGTCTGGGATACGGTTATGTGCAAGATGATGGGGTCAGATCGCTGGATAATTTGATTCAATTTGTCCATCTTGGATGATGCTCTTCAGTGGTTGCATTCTTGTACATGTTTCTAGTAGCTGCAGTAGATTGGTGGCAAAGGCATATCGTGAGCGGTCTGGAGACACTCGGTATCATATTAGTGGACTTCGCTGTGACACGCTATGTCTGTCGGCATCTTGATGCTAGATTGCTATCGGACGCAGACATACTAGCAGAGCATAGCGACATGTGATAGTTGTTGAGTCCTGTCGCCTTCGTGAATCTTGAGCCGAGGCAACGCAAAACGCCGCCGAGATGGCTGAACATCGCAAAGTCTATTGCACTATTATGACAGTAGCAAGCTGAGATATCGAGTTCCTACTGACCGGCTGACCTTACTATCGCATACGTTTGTTGACTGGATTGAGTGAGCAAACAGTCGCGCAACACTGGAAGCACGAGCAGATACTATTCACCTACCGTAAGAAGTGGATATGACGTTTGGAGGACTTTAACGATACCGAAGACGTGAGCGCGCTGCCAGTCTTACGCAAATCGCAAGGAGTAGACCCGAGAGCCGGTGGGCACCAGCGTAGAGGTCCGGCCTAGCGTTCACCCCATTCACCTCACGTGCCATCAAAATGGCCTCGCCGCCGAAGCCTTGGGAGACGGCGAGGAGCGGATCAGGTCAGCGACGATGAGATGCGCTCGGACGACAATATCGCTAACGAACAAGCAGCAGCCATACCAATATCCACACCGGTAACTACAGCCACCACGAGCGCCATCGAATCAGCCGCCGCGCCATCAATACCTACACGACCCGACTCCCTCAATCAGCTTGCCACGCGCAATGCCTCAGCATACTCTTCACCACTCAATCGGGCATCACCCTACTCATCCCCATATGGCGGCATGGGCTCGTCCTATAGCTCTCCCTACAGCAGGTTTGGTGGAGGTGGCTATGGGAGTTTCGGCGGGATGGGAGGAGGCGGCATGTACGGCTCCCCATATGGCGGGATGGGTGGTGGATATGGCATGGGAGGATACGGGCAACCGGGCATGTACGGACAAGAGCAGCCGAGCATGACTCAGTCCATGACACAGAGCACACAAGCCACTTTCCAGATGATTGAGAGTATCGTGGGAGCTTTCGGTGGCTTTGCACAGATGTTGGAGAGCACGTATATGGCCACGCATTCCAGCTTCTTTGCTATGGTAAGCGTGGCAGATCAGTTCTCGACCTTGAAGCAGACGCTGGGCAGTATACTGGGTATCTTCACCGTTATGAGGTGGATACGAACAGCGATTGCGAAGCTCACAGGCCGGCCTCCACCTGCATCCAGCAAGGAACTTACACCAGCGAACTTTGCCGCTTTCAGTGGCGGTGCACCACCAGATGGTGCAGCAGCACAACCAAAACCAAGCCGGAAGCCGTTCATCTTCTTCATCGTGGCTGTATTTGGTTTACCATATCTCATGAGTAAACTCATACGAGCACTCGCCGCATCACAAGAAGCCGAACAACAACGACAGCTCGCCATGTCACCTCATGGAACAGATGGTCAGCAGCCACTCGACCCAAGCAAACTCGATTTCTGCAAGGTCATGTACGATTACACACCCCAGCAACAACCCGGACAGCAGTTCACCGAAAGCATTGACCTAGAAGTGAAGAAAGGCGATCTCGTTGCGGTCTTATCCAAGACAGATCCAATGGGCCAAGCGAGCGATTGGTGGCGATGTCGCGCTCGCAACGGCCAGATGGGATATCTACCATCTACATACCTGGAGACCATTGCGCGAAGGCCGCAGCAAGCGCAGATCGCGGCTAAGAGCAATGTGTCAAGCCCTGGTCATTCACGAGTGAACACAATGACCGGAAGCATGACCAGTGGCGGCAGCAGGGCGAATAGCATGACTATCACGGAAAAGGAGAAGGCGCAAGTCAAGGCGAAGACGCCGCCGACAGTGGAAGGGAAGCCTGGCGATATCAGTGTTGAGAGTTTCCAGCGAGCAGCTTTTAATTCGTAGTCTCTTGTTCGTATATCTGGGTACTTAGCGTGTGGCGCATAGGGTTTCACGAAGCGTTCAAGCGGGTGTAGGTAGTGAGTGAATGTGTACACAAAGGCAAGAAATCAGCTTTCCGCAAATCTCCCTGTACTATGTCAATTCAGTCACAGATCGTTAAGGTTAATATGCTGTCATCATTCATGGACGCGCGTGAGGCGGCGCTTAGGTCGTAGAAGCCGTTGCTTGCTGTCCGTTGACAGCTCACCATCCGCCGGGACCACGCTGCATCTCTTCCACGCAAGTATGCGCGGGCTTGTTGGACCCGCAAATGCAGACCCACGGGGAAAAGTCCAAGCCCCTGAGCAAGTTGTAAGCCAACGAGCTGTCAAGATCTCAGATCACCTGGGGTGATCAATATCAGTCATCTGGCGCCCATTGTGCTCAGAGAAAAAGAGAGAAAATTGAAACACTCACTTCACCTTCAACCTCAGATTCTCCTTGAACTCCTCCACCAAGACGTCACTCCACGGCTTCAGATTCTTCTTGTCATCCTTGGACTGCAACGCCTCCTTGCCAAAACTCAACACATCCACCCCCGCCGTCTTATCCCCCTTCCCCGCCCCGATGGCCTCGAGGAACTTGTAAGCGTCGGCGTAGAACTGCTTGGCCGCTTTGACTGGGTCGCCTTCACCGAAGACGCCGGCTTCGAAGTGCAGGCGAGTGAGGTTCTTGGCTTCGGCTAGGAAGTGCATGCTATTCCGGGACGAGGTTTTGATGTAGTTCTTGATTGTGAGAGACTTGAGGTAAGGTTTGATGTTCGTTGGGATCTGGCCCATGAAGTCGAGGAGAGTGGTGGTGGATTCGAGGCGGAGAGTGTGGGCGTAGAAGACTTGGATGGCTTCGTCGTAGACCTGGAGGATTATCAGTGTTTGCGCATGCTGAAGTAGTGGATTTGCGGGATACTTCTTTGTTGACTGCCAAGAGTCCGACACGGTTCTTGCTGCCGTCGGCGTAGGTCTTGGAGTAGACGTCTTTGTTCGTACGCTTCGCATCGAGGACGATGGGTTCGTTGATGACACCACGTTGAGCGAAGTAGAACATGTAGACGCGCTTCCGAGCTTCTTTGGGAAGTTCGAGGAACTTGAAGGGTTTGGCGGGCTTGAGCAGGATGACCTGACAGCCGTCGAGATCTCCGCCATTGATCATGTACTTGCGCAGTCGTCAGCCGTCATACTTACTCTTCAGAGGCCGATACTACTGGGGGCGAATAGGAGAGAACTCACAGTCTTGCTAACCGAGAAGGCAATGCTCGAGTCGAGCTTTAGGCCAACGCGATAGCCACCAGTCTTGGTCTGCAGAGCTTGCTGAGAAGAGCCCTCGAGCTGAACGTCGATGGGGATGACACCAGTGGTGGTCGTCTCTTTTGGAACTTTCGTGAAGACGGTAGGTTCCTTTGGCTTCTTGCTGGGTGTTTGCTTGGTAGGTATGTCCTTGGGAGCAGCTTTCGACGCTTTAGTTGGCGTCTTGGGCGCCGGCTCTGGTGAAGCCTCTGCCTTCAACTTCTACAGGACATATCAGCAAGCTGAGAACGACCTCGATAAGATCCCAGCCTTACCTTGCTGCCTTTGGGTGGCATAGTGTGAGACGATTCAGAGAGGCGGCTTGTTGAAGCGCGAAGAGGACAGTGATCCACTATAGTCTGTCAGTATGAGCATATCGTACAGGCAGATATATATCATCTACCGACCTCGATGAATCAAGTTGTGAGTCACGATCCTTGAGGATGGCAATGCCGTGGAGGGCTCGAGGTCGAAGGGTGAAGGTGGTGGGCACTTAAGCCCTTGTAAAGAGCATCGAAGGTCGCACATATGTGAGAGAGTACGCCACTACGTAAGCGAAGGTACCATGCAGTCCGAGAAGGGCAAGTGAACCTTTGATATCACATGACTGAGCCGTTGGTAGGCCTGTCGGCCTACCACGATCGCGAGTGTGCCAGATCGATGGGAATCTTGTCGGCGATTGTATGGTTTCTCATAGGTCATAAGATATTGCTGTCGAGGATGAAGAATAGCATGTGTTGATCAAAAACAGGGCGGCACGCACATCTCTCTAGCATCACATACCATTGGATAGGCCTAGCCTCGTGTCGATGCAGTCTGCGAAGTGGGCTCCTGTTTTCATACCAACCTGGTAGCAAAGGTGGGACCCCAAGTACACAGATGGATATGTTGTGGTGCTTGATGCTGTTTAGCTACAATCTCTGTTGTCTGTGGCGCTCAAAGCTCGGTAGTAACATTGGTCGTTCTCTACTAGCATACTGTACATGGCTGCCGAACGATCTGGAGATGATTGTGAGGTACAGACCTTGTCTTTGCTCACTGACATATGTTATTTGGGTTGCGCTTGAGGAGATGCTGGCATCCAAATCCCGAGTGCATTGTTGGGGAGCAGAGGACGAGGCCAGTGATGTGGTGCAAGCATGGAAGATCCTCCCGTACATTCAACTGCAAGGCTTGATCGTCACGTTCCTGTCTATGTACTCAGGGGTATATCAAAGGTGAAGTTGTGCTTAGGTGTATCGTGAGGTGACGTCGAGCCCGAGGAGGGGTCTTGGCACTTTTGTTTAGACGCGATTCACGTGCGCGCTCTTCACGATTAACATTTCTTTACGTCGCCATTGCAGCGCAGCCTCTCCCTCATCATGGCTGAGTCTCTTGCCAATGGCAGCTCTGCTAATGGTGCTGATGTGGAGATGAAGATGGAATCCGCAAACGAGGTATACAGTCTGCTTTCACCCTTCACAGTGATCTACTAACCCAAACGCAGACCAGCATGCAGGCCCTCCCGGATGCCACGAATGCGCAACCGCCTCCGCAACCCATCTCGAACCTCCCAGCTGTCATTCCACCGGAGCAGACCCTCGCAGCTCCCACTCCCCCCGCAGCGTCAACCCGAACAAACTCGATGCCTCCTGCGCGACCGGCTCAACCAGTAGCTCACGGAGGACCAACTCGACAATTCCTCAACCAACATCTCACACCGCACTTACTCGAAGGCATGAAGTACATCGCCATGCATGAGCCAGACAAGCCACTTCTATGGCTGTCGGAATTCCTGAGGGACAGGAGCAAGGAAGTCGAAGGCTGAGGACATAAGAGGCATTTGACTTGCCGATCGAGAAGACTTGGCGATGGGACAGTGGTCAATTCATGGGCACAGCAACGGCGCAAGAACTGGGTGCACTGGTTCAGCATATCCAGTCTAAGAGATACCCATACAGCGGGCTGGCAGGCGCACTGGTGCACTGATTTGCCACACTACAAAGGAAATAGCGGCGCCTACTTCTTAACATCTTTTCCACATTGAGACACTCAGCTGATATACTGCGGTTTGGGCGCAGCAGCCATACCTTGATTCTACACCGGCCCGAGCATTCACCCGCAAAGATTCAGGGACAAGCCGAACTTGCGACGTTACTCCCTATAGGCTAGGACCCTGTGAACTTACATGGTTATGACAGCTTGGCAACAGAACATGACTCGCCTTACCGCAACACGATGTCCGAGTCGCTGACAAGTGCACGTATTTGTTTCAGGAAAGCAGGATTGCGATAAGGCAAATTACCGGCTTTGAAAGCACGGTTGCTTCAGGGTGATCATGCCAGGTTATGCCCAGGATTCACGGACAAAGCTATGGCCGTCAAGATGACCACTATAAGTGTCCACGACCCTACATCGTCTTCGTGAACAAAGCCCCGCCCACCTTCGACATATTCGCGGCAGCAGCGACGTACCAGCTCAATCTTACGTCCCAATGGCGAAGACCAGCGTCAAGACGACGATGACTAAGCGCTCGAACATGAGATGGTTCTCAACAATGCGCCGTTCAAATAGTCGACAGCACATCAAGTGCAGCTGTTCCAGCGACTTCCCAATCCGGCCTTGTCTCTGGTTCCACATGTCTGAGTGGAAGCCATGAGAGCGCCCACATGTCCCATGCGTTGGCACATTTGTTGCAACACAGATGACGTCGACTCGGATATTATACGAATCGCTTTAGTCTCCATGGCCATTAGGCGTCCAAGCATCGGGCCACAGAGTGTCGTTGGCAGAGCTGGGCCGCTTCCATGGCCGCAAGCGAGACCTCTAAGGTTGTCGGATCAAGGTTCGCCATACAGCCAAAAAGCCACGCAGACGTAATTCCTCGAATCCCTGGAAGCATCAAGCAACAATATTCGAAATATCTCGCATCCAAGCACGCAGTTCTCGTCTTGAAACGCAGCATTCGCCGAAGAACACGAGACCAATATCAGTGCTCAAGGGCAGCTTCAGACATGGAAATGGCATGCACAGCGACAATGTGCCACTGGTCAGACAAGCAAGAGAGCAACAAAAGCCAAGGCTGAAGCTCTAGGGAGCGAGCAGGCGCAGCCAAGGACGGAGGAGGATGTGATCATCTGTCGAGTCGTTGAAAGCAACCACTCAGACTAGCGGACGTTCGGGCTGCACGGCTGCCGCAGGGTTCAAGCCACGCGGTCTTCGTCAGCAAGCCCTGATGCCGATCACTACCGAAGTCAGCATGAGAGGAGTTGGCTGCAATTCTCTCAGGCCATACAGATGTTGTGACCTTGTCGGTTGGCACGATGATCTGTCAGGCGTGCCATGTGTTACACATAGCTCGGAGAGGGGCCGTAGTGACGACCATCGAGCACGCTGGCATTGCGCCGCCCTTCAGCATAGATATACTGTGTTATGCTTGCAATGCCTTTTGAACTCTGCCTTCCATTGTATTGAGATATCATTGTGCTGTACTTCATGTAGCCAGCCACCCCCGGTACTGTCATAGGTGATCAACTACCGCTCCACGCTATACTCACCACAAGAAATTGTTCCACGAACGATCTGGTACTGCTTCTCACAGCAATAACCATAATGTCAGCGTTCGCACCCAACATGACCCTCCCACAGGCCTCACCTCTACACATCAGCAAGTCCAATACAAGTGACGACCGTCGTAGCTCGGTGGCCACATCGCCTTCAAGCAAGTCTTACGAAAAGCGAGCAACGAATCCCATCAAAGCTGTTGGCAAATGGGTCAAGGAGAAAGTCAAGGGCGACGGCAGCGCGAATGGTGTAGTCGGCAACGAAGAGGCTGAAGATGATAGATCACGACAACAGGAGCAGAAGAGTATGCTGAAGGTGCTTAGTGTTGGGTATGTTCCTTGCGTCCTCGATTTCATTGGTAGATGGTGCGGCTTTGACTGATTTTGTTCGCTAGGTCGGATGTGTTCGATGCTACTGTGGCGAGGAGTCCTTATCCTGGTATTGGGTTCTGAAGTCTGATCATGTGATACGACATTACACTGTAGAGCTCTGATACGATTATATGAACTGTTTTTGGAGGTTGCTACATGATCCAACTTTAGACGACCATACATACGAGCTCCCCGAACCGTGTTGAATCGGCTCTCATAGCTGCCAAGGAGCTTCGTCGCAAATATTCGGGAGCAGAGAATGTCAGTACGGACACTGCCCGCAGTAGCCACATTCGGAGTCGCAGGCTGTGAGGTCCTTGTATTGATCATCGTCTTCATTGCTGTTGTGGTAGTGTAACCCTCCACCATGATATGAAGTGCCGTACCGATCTCCATTGCTGCCGTTTTCAGAATCGTCATCAACATCGTGAGACCGAAGCAGAGACAACTGCTGCAAGGCGCGACCGTCTGGTCCGAGGGACGCATCTTCAGTCTCAGGATTCGCTTGACCTGAATTCAGTGTTGGTGATGTGTCTGTGGCTTGCTGCTCTGAAGCCTTTGGAGTTGGATCTTCCTTGTGGTCGCTTGCTGGGACTGGCCGCTCCAAGAGTGTGCGTTCGCTACGTTGAGAGATACTCGGAGACCAGCCTATCCAGTGGCTGGGACCAAGAGCCATGTGTCGGCCTTTGCCATTGTAGCCTACGCTCTGTGATAGACGGATGCGAGCCCTGGTCTCGTCTTCGATCTTCCTCCACCAAGCATCACACAGCTTGGCACGGTACACATCGCGAAGATTCGGCATCAGAGCGACATCCTGGACGCAGTAGTCGCGGACCTCTGTTGACATGGGACGTTCTGCGAAGACAGCGTAGCTACCACCACGAGCAGGGTCGAAGAGCCGACGGCCATTGTCTTTCACATTTCGCCAGTTCCGGCGGGTCTCATAGTCCACCTTAGCATCATTCTCGATGCATTTGGCCAGACCATGGACGCAGCGCTTGGAGAAGTTCCGGGATGCCAGCTCCATCAATTGAATGTCCTCAATGCCGGCCACGTTCACGCCGTAGAGACTGTAGAGAGCGTCAGAGTCGTTGCGTATGTCGAAGAAGACCTTCGCGATCCTGTCAGATTCAAGAAGCTGGCGCAACGTGTTTCCGTCCGCTGTCGAGGTGTCGAAGGCTGATCGGCCCAGTGTCGCGACATCGATGAGGTAGACTTTATGATGCGGGACGACCAGTATTGTGATGAGGGACACCGTGCCATGTCGGCAAAGGTCATCCCCTTCGAGATCGATGTAGAAGCTGGGTGGGTCGTTGGGACACGCTTTGACGCTATCGAGGAAGGTCCGCAAGAGCTCGACCGTGCCGACCAGAAGTATGTCCATACCGACTGATAACGTGCCCGCTTTTTGGATGTGAACGACTTCGGATGATTGTGATGGAAAGTAGGTTCCTTTGGGGATCGTCAAGGCTTATATGCCTCATTCTCTCCAGTGTTGACAGAGGCACATTCTCATGCGGCCATGAGCTGTATCCTTAGCTCCTACCGTGCTGGAGAAGCAAATGCTGGGCTTCTTGGAATGAGCGAGTACCCGATTGGTCTTCACAGACAGGCATGTCTCGTGGCTTCTAGACGATTGGGCAGTGCTAGCGGATGCAATATGCAGGCCAGGCATCGACCATGACAATACCAGTCTCTCATGCGGAATGGGTGCAGTGGGGGAATATGAGGCCTACCATGGGCAGCACATCCAATGACAGCACAGAGAAATCTCTCGTCGGCTTTTCTCGCACAGACAGCTTTCGCGGGGTGCAAGTCCAGCGGTCGATTAAGAAGCCATTGAATTCCTGTGATGGACGTCTTCTTTTCTCTCCAGTCGCCTTGGTGGCACGACTCACCACACTCATTCGATTTGTTTTCTGTTCCGTCGGATTCGATTGTGACTTGACTGACTTTGCCTGGACGTGTTCTCGCAGCTTTTCCTGCACCAAGCAAGTCCGGTAGAACGACCTCACCAGCAAGAAGAGACCTCTGATTCCAGGACAGTCCTCGTTAGATTCGACCAGCCCAAGCCATCAACACCATCTACTTTGTCAAGGACTTATCGAACCAGCTTGGCTGAATCCCGAAAATCCAGGGCCACTACCACCGGTCCCGTGGAGTCTACCGACAGTTGCGAATCCTGCTGGACAGGAGAGCTCGAGCTCATCAACAAATCAGTCATTGTCACATCGCGGTAATCTAGACTCGAACTCACACGATGTCTCCTCGTTGCAGCCATCACCCAGCGTCCATCCACCAATACAAAACAACGAACCAGAGCTCGGCGATAGACACATATCGCAGGACCAAGTAGGACGAGACGAATACCACTGTGACTACTGCTCCAAGACATTTGCCAAGCAGTACCTTCTCAAGTAAGCGAGACGGTTGCCAGTGCAGATATATATTGGATGTCCCGCTTACCTAACGCAGTAAACACATCAAGCGGCACACCAGGCCATTCAAGTGCGAGCACGCAGGCTGCGAATACGGTTTCGAATTTGCAAACGACCTGCGCAGGCACTGTGATACAAAACATTCCGCGGTTGTGCCTTCCCCCATCAACCTTTTTTGTCCAGTACAGGGTTGCAAGCATTCCCGTGATGAAAGTACTCGTGCTTTGCGGAAGGACAATCTCAGAAGACACATGCGATCTCAACATCCTACATTCAGTCAATAGCGCCAGTGTACCAGAGCAGAGCTCCTGTCGTTGCTTATTGTTTCGTGATATCTTTCCTCTTAATATTTAACCTATTGGCATATCGGTCGCAATGCAATCTGGTTGCAGCTGTCACTCTCCAGGAGTCTAGCTTTGCTGGATGAGGCGAGACAAATTTTAATGTCGGTCTTGTGCATAAGTTGCGTTGGGTATACTCTTAGACAGGTCTCATGCCAGCTCGATCCTCTAGCTTCTTGATGTGTTTCAGGACTTATAATCATGCCGGCGTATAGGTCTACAACAACTTGACCTTGGACTGTATGGCGGCATTGACGCCATGCTGCGCTCACGTGAGTGGCTTGATTCGGCGACTTTGGCCAACATTGAATGCTGTGTAACAGTCGCTTGGCATACCGCCACGGCTTGCATTTGCCTTGTTAGTGGCTCAAGTGCAGGAAACATCTCTCGTGATCGTCTCATTGGTCCCAGTAATGCAACTGTCGAAGAATCTTGCAAACCCCAGTCCGGCTCCTCGTTGACAGCTGCAGGCTGCTAAATCTAGCCGCTCGCGCATGTTGTGCTTTTCGTATCGGGCGAGATGCATCCACTCGTAATTTACCGGTAAGTCGCTGGTCATTCTGCCTGGTCGGGCCATAATTTTTGCTTGGACAGCTGGGCAATTTTCAAGATACCTTTTCTCGCTCTCCGCATATCGACACTGTCCGCCCTTTGTGACGGAGCTCGCGTGGACAAAACCTGCGTGCCGCCATCGCTCACCGGGCGCTGAGGACGCCTGCCAGGGTGGGATTCTTCCAGTCACACAAGGTGACGGTGTTGCATCTCTGGTCGCCCACTCTCGAAACGTCAAAGAAGGTGGAGGATCGCTGCGGGCCACGACCGTTGAGTCGAGGGGCAAATTGCTGGCTGAGCTCAGAGTGCAGTACGCAATAGAAGTGCCGTTGCCACTATTGTTCTGCACTCTGCACGTCGCCGAACATCCCAGGTCGCTACCAGAAGCGCAGGGTGTCAGTGTCGTCTTGACGGCACGTGGTATTCTCGTCGTGCGGGGCGATGTGAAGACCCTGACCACGAGAACACCTACCCTTGCCACCAACTTTCATACCTTGCGCGCCAACGCTTCTGTGACCCTTCCGTGTTGCAGTGGTCGACAGACGCACAACTAGGAGTCTAACAATGGAACATCTGCCGTAGAAGTCGGCCTCGCTTCGCCTGCTCGGGTCCGCATACCACGCGTCTCATTCGAATCCCAGTCAGCATCTGCAGCTATCCGTGGCCCAGGAGCTGAAACTACGGTTCGGACCACTAGAAGGAAGATCTTTGACACCTCTTGTGCTCGCCTTTTCAGCTTCCATTCCTTGGCTCTGGATTCCTGCACATCATCTGGCACCGCAAGCATACCCTCTGACAGCTGATGCCAGTGGACTCCCTGCATTCTAGCGCGAGGAACGCTGCACGTCGGCTGTGCACCGCAACATCGGTATGAGTAATCGCGATGGACGGCATGTTCTACTTCAACAGCCCTCAAATATCATATTCGCCACCTCGGCGGTCACCCTACTATCACAACTCAGCATTCTCGGGCAAGAAGCGGAAGTCTGAAGCCATGGACGGGTTTCGAGCGCACGCCTGTATGGCCGTACTGGACGAGCCCACTTTCTGTCCCAGCGAGATCTCTGTGCTATTTCCCGAGTATTCATGGAACTTTCATGGACTCTCAGGCGATGCTAGCTTGCCCACACCTGATCTTACAGAAGACGAGGACGAAGACGATTCCGGTGGCGTTCCCCTGTTTGACCAGGAAGACGCGGAGGTGACCACCATACAAGGCAACGTCAGCGACACCGAAGCCCAGCCAGATTCCGACCGTGCATCGCAAGATGCTACTCCACCTGCTGAACTTGGATCAGGACCTATCGCGCGAACAGATCATGACCATTTTGTACCGCTGGAGCGAGCGGTCCTTTCGAGAATACAGCCAGGCGAAAGCACAGTACTTGGCACTGCTCACCCACGCCCTCACACACAAGAACTGTGGGTTGAAGAGGACAGCCGAAGGCTACTTTTCGCACTCGATGGGTTCGACATCGATGAGGTGCCTCGATTCCTCCTCGAGACCGCAGCATTCACGCGATCCGAAGAGCCCGTGGCTGTGCGCACAGGACTGGAGGCCACATCAACTCGACCTCCTTTGACCTTAACACCCGATGTGATACTAGCTCTGACTGAGTCGCGTCTCCTACCAGCAGTACGAAACACTGGTCCGGAAGTCTCGGAGCCAGACTCGTTGCATGACCGATCTGTGGCAGCTGACCCTGTTGATATGGAGGTAGAAGAGTGGCTGCCAGTTGACGATCCACGACGCGAGTACGATGTTGCTGATTTCTTGGATCACTGGCGATTACGATCTGTGACTCGAAGAGATGTTATCCCGCATACGGTCGGTATTCAGCCATCACTACGGCTACGCAGACCTCCTGAACACCTGGCGCGCCATGATATTGCTTCTGATGACCTGGACTGGCAAGGCATACGCTGGAAGCTGATTGGCCCAGATCGACAGCATGTTTTGGCCGCCAGGATACAGATGCACCCTTCGAGTCCAGTCGCCTTAGCACGTAGTGGTAGGCCTGCAAGTCATGTTCTAGACGCGCCAAGTGCATATCGTTTCCGCGGGTTTACACCGCAACATCGCGCTCGAACATCACATTATCAGCTACGCAATGTCCTTGCCGCCACCAGTCGAGCCGACGTCTTTTATGCCACCGGGAACAAGGTCATGAGAACTTCACTTGCTTGCCCGACTATGAGAGACCCAGCAGTAGAGAGCGGCACTGCTGCCAACCTTCCTACGGACTTTCGTGTTATGTGCCTCGCGGCATACAAAGAAGCGTGCACAGCTAGCTTCATGGTGGCGGGCGGCTTCAACGGAGAATATGCTCTGCTCAAAGTCGGTGGCGCTCATGGTGCGGCTATACATGACGGGCATGTTACGCACGCCTACAACGGCCTTGTGACACATGCAAACACAGTGACTGGACGACGAGGCACACCACAGACCGTGTTTTGCTCAAACGACCATCATGTACGACTGTTAGACGTCGAGACTCTGCGAATTGCTTCCGAGTTTGTGTACCCTAGCGCGATCAACTGTTCGGCCACAGCACCAGACAAACGCTTGCGTGCCATCGTTGGTGATTGCCGGGATGCCTACATCACGAATGCTGAGCGTGGCGAGGTTCTGGTGACGTTGAGTGGTCACACCGACCATGGCTTTGCGTGCGCCTGGTCCTCGAACGGTGTTCACGTCGCTAGTGGTGCACAAGATGGCAAGACTCTGGTTTGGGATGCTCGGAACTGGAGTCAACCACTACAGAAATTGCCCAGTATGATGTCTTGTCCTAGATCCCTGCACTTTACAGACGATGGGGCTCTGGTGGTCGCTGAGAATGACGACATCATCAGCATCTACGATCCGCAGACTTTCAACAAACGGCAGGACCTGCGCTTCGTCGGGTCAGTGGCTGGTGTTGCGCTTCTAGACGGAGGCGAGGAGATTGCTGTTGCTAATACCGATAAGAGTGTTGGTGGCTTGTTGACGTTCGAGCGGCTACCTGGGCCCGTATACTCAGACTCCGGCCACACGAGTGCCGCGTACAAGTGTCGTCCGGCCTGGTATACCGGCGTCGAGAAGATCACATACAGTGTCTGAGTTGATCGTATGAGTGGAACGAGAATGAACAACGTTGATGTGGTGTGTAAATAGTGTCACTTTCCAGATACCCCACGAGTACTACTGATGGCTTTGATGTTCTCCCTTTCGCCGGACACCGTGCTAAAGTTCAACACGACCAAACGATGCGTTTAGGCAAGCTTCATCACATTTCGCCGCACTGCGCTATTGCAACATCAGGGGTTGGCTTCTCATCCCTCGTCCTGACGTTCTCGATCTTCTTGACCACATCCATGCCGTCGATGACCTTGCCGAATACCACGTGTTTGTTGTTGAGGAAAGGTGTTGGCACAGTCGTGATGAAAAATTGTGAGCCATTCGTGTTCGGTCCTGAGTTCTACATATCATCAGTATTAACAAAGATTCGAGTATGACGCCAGAACATGATACTCACGGCCATGGAAAGCAGTCCAGCGGTGTCATGTCGTAGTTTGAAGTTCTCGTCCGCGAATGACTTCGTGCCATAGATACTTATCGAACCTGTGCCATTGCCATTCAAGAAGTCGCCACCTTGGATCATGAATCTTTGCAGAAACATTAGCGTGCTGGAAGTGCGTTCGCGAAATGACTCGCGATACTCACTCCTTTATGACTCGATGGAACTTGCTCCCCTTATAGCCCTGTGGTTTGCCCAAATGATCCTTGGTCTCGCCAGTGCAGTATTGACGAAAGTTCTCAGCGGTTCGAGGCACAACATCGGCAAAGAGCTCCATTTTGATACGACCTAGTGGCTCGCCACCCAAGGTGATGTCGAAGAACGTGACGGGGTTTGGCTCTGTGGCGGCCATGGTTCTGGTTGCTGTTTCAGCCAATAGCTTCAGTGATCGTGGAAGTCCCAAGTGCTGGAGGGTTGGAGAAGTCCCGGCGATCCGCTGGCTGATTGAGAGATCGTGACGGGAGGTGGCTTGTCAAGGAGAGTATCTGTTATGGCGAGGATGAATTATACCGACAGATAGTGTTACGAGTCATGTCAAAGCTGTAGCAAAATCCAAAAGTGAAGTCAAAACTTCAGCTTGGACCATCCGCCGAGCTCGGCATAGCTTTTGGCTGTTGTTCCGTCACCACTACATTTAAGTGCTGTTACCCGTCCTCGATCTAGTGATGGGTTCATTTGCCGTCAAAGCACTCGACCATGTCGTTCTCACATGCCGAAATATCCCAAAGACTGTCGACTTTTATACAAGCCGACTGGGCATGAAGCACGAGAAGCTCACCGGCGGTGGAGTAGAAAGGTATGCCAATCTTAAGCAATATCTCGCAGCGTTGATGCGTGTCACATGGTCATCAACCTTCCGGCTCTCTTTACCCTTCGTGACCGCCACTGTCTATCTTCTCCTACGACTAGCTTCCGCCGTACACTCGCATGACTGACAACCTGCCTTTTAGGCACGCCCTCCTCTTCGGCAACCAGAAGCTCAATCTCCATCAACTAGGCAAGGAATTCGAGCCTAAAGCAAGCCAAGTTCAACCTGGTTCGGGCGACCTCTGCTTCATCACCGACCACTCTATCGACCAAGTGCTGTCCTCCTTCAATACTGCAGGTATCGAAGTCCTCGAGGGTGGCAAAGTTGTGGATCGTACGGGGGCTGTTGGCAAATTAAGGAGTGTGTACTGCCGTGATCCAGACGGAAATCTGGTTGAGTGAGTTTCCCTATTCCCGCGGTACGAGATCGACATGCCTTCGTTTGTGTGACTGACAGCATTCCACAGAGTTTCAAACTACGTCTCCTGATCTCTGTTCAGCTGGCGTGAGCTCACGACGCAGTATCCATAGCTTTGTCTCCTTCCGCACGTGCGGCCATATCCTTCCACTGTCGTCTCGTAGTGCCAGGCCTGCGTAGCCTTCGATACCATCGACAGGCTGCCATGACCCGATGATGCGTTCCGGGTGCTCTACTACCGCCCAATCGTACTCCTGCCAGAACAGCGGATCAAGCATAGTGCTCTCTTCGTACTCTGTCTTGTCGTATAACCACGCTGGGTGTAACTCTTGAAAGCGTGTTACGCCAGTCTGCAACGCAAGATTACCCAAGTACACTCTGACGCCCTCCTTTTGTCCTTGCGAGGCAGATTTGGGCGCGAGGCTGTGTAGCTTGGCCAACGCTTGTCCACCTGGATAGTTAAGGCTTGAGATATAGAGGAGGCCCATAGATGCGAGGAAAGAAGCGATCGTAGAGCCGACGAGTGTGAGCGCCACTAGACTGTAAAGCGTGCTCTTCATTCTTCGCGTCCAGATCCAGCCGGCACCAGCTGATGCCACGACTGTGAAGGCAGGTATACTATAGATGATGAAGCGCCACTCCTTATGTGGGAGCAGACTATATGCTGCGATGAACAGGATTTGAGGAGCCAGGATATCGAAGCCGATATGTTGCACAGCCTTTAAGGACAGCGTATATGGTATGAGAACAAGACTCATCGGATTCAGAAGTAGTCTCGGCAGAGCGTTGAGGAAGTAGAAGTGGAAAGGACTGGTACCCCACTCACTACTCTTGCCTAGGACAGTATTATAGTAGAAGCCAATCCATTCGGGCCAGACAGGATTGCCGCTGTAATCATTGCGCCAGAAGAATGTATCCACACTAACGGTAGTGGCCAGACCGATTGCAATTCCAGCAAGCCCAGCCGGTATAACTTCCTTTCTCAGACTTGCTCGTTGTCTTAGCAGCATCCACGCTGTCTCAGCAGCGAGTAATATGGCGATCTCGGACCGAAAGACAATGCCAGCAATCGTCAGGAGGTACAGCGCCAATCGTCTTCGTTTTGCTCCCCGAGCAGATTTTGCATTGACACTCTTGACCAAGACCAGATTACCGAGAGCCAAGTTCGTCAGAGGTAAGGCAAGCATATTGGGCAGCGTCCGAGAAGCGTAGTACATGATATGGAACTGGCTGGCTGTGAGAAGAATGAACCAGACTCCGGCTGTTTTACCAAAGGCTGTATTGACAGATAGTCGGATGTTCGATATCGACCAGACATTGAGCACACCCAGCACGGATCGTACGAGTAGTTGCACGAACGGGGGGTCCGAGATGACAAGGCGAGCTGCGCCAAGAGGCATCGTCAAGCCTGAGAGGAGCAAGGCACCGACAAACGTCCTTGGTACCGAGCCTGGGAAGTCGACATGGTCATAGTGGTTGAGTGTAGTGTTGCTCCAGGGCAGGCCGTAGCGGAGGATGTCGTGAGTCGCCTGAACGTTGAAGGACTCTTCGACTTTGGTATATGGTGAGACGAACAGATGGAGGAGCATTACTGAGGTGAGCAATGCTCCCAGAGCAATATCTGTGATGTGTTAATACGGTGACTTTTTGTCTATTCCGACTCGCAGACAGCTCGAATGTCGAGAACATGAGTCGGATGGCTTTTATCACACGACTCGAAGGATGACGCATATATCGTAAGGCCTTTCATAGTCCCCTGGTCGAAGCCAAGGGAGAAGCTGTTGAATCGATTTGTGATATGGTCAAAGACCACGCAGTCATAGCAAGTATACATACCAGTAGACATGCCCATCGTGCTCCCACCTCCTCTACTGATGGTGCCTCGAAACGCACCGATCTCTATTGCTCGCCACGTTGCATGTTGTGAGAGGGACATGAGTGATTGGCGCAGAGGCACGAAAGCTGGACCTGACAACTTTCACCCACCACAAGCCAGCACTCACCCCTCCACGACGACACAAATATCAGCGATTTGTAGCAACGACTACCTGCGTTCCAGAATCTTGGAAGGGCTCATATCAACATGGCTTCTCTGTTCTTCCCCAACTTCGGCGGCCTCTTCCAAGGTATGTGCTCGAACAACATCACAGTATATGGTCAGCATGTGACGGACCGCCATGACTGATGACTTTTGATACAGCCTCCATACTAGTCGTCAATGCCATAGCCATCCTTTCCGAAGATCGATTCCTTGCACGAAGTAAGACGCACTACCTGCATACATCCATGCCTCAATCGGAAGGCTGTCAAGGCAATCCGCAGACGAAATATCAGTGCATATGCATGAGTAGCACAGGCTAACACAACAGCTACAACAGTCGGCTGGGGCACAAGTCAACAGTCCGAGCCATCCTTTGGCGGCGGCATGCAAGACAACACCAGCGTCAAGGCCAAGATGATCAACCTGATCAGTTCTGTGCGGACGTTGATGAGGAGTACGTGGCCCTGTAGCACACACCCACCGTTATTTCATGCTGACATGAGAAATAGTACCGCTCATCTTCCTGAATCTACTCATCATAGTCTGGGCCATTGCGTTTGGTTGAAAGACAGCAAGAGGAAGATACAAATCCGAAAATACACCTACAAGCCCGACTAGACAGCCCGAGTCGCCAGTGCTGAAGAGGCCAAAGACGTCTAGACCTCACGGCATCAGGTCCAACAGGATGTGCATGCTCTGGCTCCGTCCTGTCCTCTGATATGTATCAAACAGTGCGGCGCCGCGGACGTACAACCACCAGCTCGAGATCGCGAGGAGGGTCAATCCGCCGTGCGGATCCTTACTCGGCTCACACAAGAAGCGACTCATTCGAGCGTATCACAGGAGAAAGAAAGCATAGCAGCAAGAAGATTAGATATACTACAGACAGCTTGAAAACGTGCCCAAGCATACGCAGCACTTCACCAAAAGACCACGAACATCGTGCTTTCCACTTTCCTTCCCTCCTATGCACAAACGTTCAAGGGTCGAAGACAACATTTTCTCAAGATCCGCATACGCCACAGAACGCCATCGCTCCAATGTCAAAATCCTCCCGCCTCGCGGCGAATCGTCCATATGCACGAAATCTCCACAAACACTGCCAATGCTCAAAGACTTCCCTCACGGCAGTAACTGACTCTTCTTCCTGCCCAAACTGAACCGGTTCCGCATCTTCTTCTCATCACCCAGGGCATCGCTCTCCCTCCTCCGCGCCTTCGCGCCATCACTAGCCTCGACCTCGCCACCACTCGCACCATTACCCTGTGGGATAGTCGCTAATTTCTCTCCTCCCTCTTTACCCGCGAAGAATTTCGGTTTGGCTCGCAGACTCATACTGCCATGTCTGAACCGGCTCAGCGCACCACCCTTTTCCTTCTCGGCCGCCGCCGCACTAACACCTGCAGTAGTCGAGCCCGCGGCTGCGCCATCTAGGGGAGCAGGAGCATTGGGATCGTCTGCTCTCTTCTTCGTCTCCTCCATAGCCGTCTGCTTACTCTCCTCCAACACACGCTTGTACTCAGCATCTTGCGCCTTCCACGCCTCGACTCGTTTAGCACTCGCCTCCTTCCTCCTGATCTCCTCAGCCTTCGATCTTTCTTTCTCCGCGACTTTCTTGGCTTTCTCCTCTGCCTTGAGCTCCTTCTTGCTCTTTGGCGTACCCGCGGTCGCCGGACTGTTGCTGGATAGGATGGGGTTATTCGGCATGGCTGGGAAGTATGCCCGGTTGTTGTCTGTTGTCACAGGAGGCGAGACGCCTTCGGGCGCTGTTTCGGCGTGGGCCAGGGGATCCATGAATTCCATGCGCTCGAGGATGGGTGTGGTCACTGTCTGGGTCTGGCGGAGATCGATGTGGCCTGTCGTCTTGACTGGCGAGAGTCCGCTTAGTGCTGTCTCGGCATCGCTCACACGAGTCGGGACTGGATGTAAACCTCCTTCTGTTTCCTGTTCTTTGAGCACTGCTTCGAGTGTCGTCTCTTGGTAGAACAGCACGTAGGCACAGGCCAATTGCTTCGCATCTTGAAGACCAGGCACTGGCTCGCCACCAAAGAAGTTGAGGACGTATGATTTGTCGACTGGTTCTACCAGCTCATCGTCGAAGAGCAGCCAGCCTCGATCTTGTGTCTTGATGATGGAGACGTAGTGTCCATGGTAGGGACCACCACCAATATGCACAACCACCGCATATAGCTCGTATAATCTGTCTGAGTCGTCGGCATCGTCTGTTGTGTTGAAGAGTCGCAGATGGAAAGGATAGACTACCCGATGGAACAGCTTCTGCAATCGCTGCAGATCCTCAGTATACTTGAATCTCTTCAGATGCAAAGCCAGAATCTTGGGTAGTCGCTTGATCTTCATCCTCTTCTCCGCTTCTTGCAGACCACCACATTCATCGCAATGAAACTTGTTGCGCTCGCACAACATCTCCTCTTCCGAGAACTTCCGTAGACAGGACGTGACACTTGCGTGTGCCACGAGATCGACAGAAAGATCAAGGAAAGCTTCGTCGCGCTGAGAGGTTGTTTCGCACGTGAGGCATCGTGTCTCTGATGTGAGAGTGCCTTCGAACAGGTCATTGACCCAGTGTGTATCGAGACCATTCGCAGACGTCGGATGAGCAGATGCAAGAGCCGAAGACATTGCACTCGCGAGTCCTTTCTCTGCTGGAGTCTCCTCGGGCGCGCCACCATTTGCCTGCGGGATTTTCAGATCTGGATGCTGTTTCGAAAATAGTTCAACGTTATCCACCACCTGATTGAGGAGCAGATTCAAGAACTCGTGCGCATCCTGATGCATCGCACTTCGGAACATTTCGTTCTCTCTCCGCAGTATCTCTAGGAACTTATGAGGCGACACCACACCCAGCCGACTCTGGTTGTTGATGATCGCCTCGAAGATGTCTTTCAGCGAAGTGAACAGCGACTCGTCCATGCCATACTGGTAAGCCTGGCCATTCACCATATCCAGTACAGGACCCGCAGCCAACGCCTGTTTCTTGCGATAGTCTGGGCTGTCCTTGTTCTCCTCTGGCTTTGGACCACCAGGTGATGTCGGCTGCAACACTTTCCGCGCAGGCGATGTCGGGTTCGGGTAGGGTGTCATGCTTGGTGACCGTGGTAGCGCAGGCCCACCATTAGCAAGCTTGCCGTTTGTCTGCTGCGAATTGGCGACTTCTTGATTCATCGCTTCGAGGAAAGGCTTGGATGGGAAGTTGAGGACATTGTCTCGGAAGGGCACCGAGTAGTAGAGACATTGTATTATTGAATTAGCGTAGCTGGGGCGTAGGTGTTAGCTGGTATATGTGGGAATGCTATCGCTGCTTCCATACCATGTAGATCCATAATTCTCAAACCCAAAGAACTTGTCGCTACCATCGTGCCGTACAGGTCCCGGAAAGTCAGACAAGTGCTTCTCCAGTGGTGTAGGCTGTTGTACGTCCTTCTTCGCTGCTTGCGCCGCACCAGCTGCCTGCGAAGGCGTGGAGCCGGGCTTGAACTTGCCGAAGAAAGACATGTTTGCGTGCTATGCTGGTGCTTATGATGCTATTATGTTTATGCGTAGTGATGTGCTGTAGTCCATATATCTCCACCCAAGCAATATCCCGTGACTTGGTCGAGCCCTTGCATTCATCGGACAGCCGTGATGTATTGTTGACGTCTAGGTAGTGATGTTCGCTCTAGTCACGACTGGAGATATTGCCCAGGCGCCCGGTCTTGCGTTTACGAGGGTTGGTGTGTATGCTGTCGTTCAATAAATCCCATGCATTACCCATCCATCAAATGATCTGCGAGGCGCAAATGAACCAACACTTGGCGCGAAGGAGGGGCCTGACGAAGTATCGATCCGATGTCAATATCGCCTATCACCTTTGGTGCGTATAGTGATTGCTGGGAGAGTTAGGCAAGGATGGACTCGATCTGCAGATCGAAAACAGTCCGGATAGTCGCCTCGAGTAGCCTTGTCCACCACCACTACTTCCGTGCCGCATCAGGCCAGTACCTAGAGCTACATCGATTTAATGCCAGTATGGGGTCTCGGTTGTGGAGAAGCTGTGCCCCGACCACCCACTGGATAAATAGACACGCGACGATCTACGAACCTTGCACACCAGCCAGAGAGCAGTCTTTGCCCCATCAGCTTGACCCATGATGATGACAGTGGCGTTGCCGCCCAGCCGAACATCCGACCTGAGATTGCGTGAGACAATATCGCTATGTACCTGCGTACTTCTGCGTACTGGTCCACCGGGCACACCACGAAGCTGGTTTACCACGATACCGACCACTCGGCTAAGCCTGTCACAAAGCACGAGGGACAGCAACCCACGTGGTCTAGCGGCAGTAGTGGCACAGGAAATAGGCCAAGTTGTTCTGGAACTCTATCGGGCGTCAAAATCTGCAGTCTAGACTCAATGGCCGCCAGGTGGGCCTGGTCGACGGGACGTACATAATGTTTGCAGCTAATGGTACAGCAGGTGGCATGGCGTGCCTATACCATCACGATACGAAGAGTGTGAAGCTAGAGATGCGACGTCGTAACATTCTGGCCGCGGCTCGACACGAGGATCTAACCAATCAAGCCTCAACAATGGGAAGGCAGAACGACATGGGAGCAGCGAACGAGTTGAAGGAGGAATACATAGCATTTGGTCTCGGGAAAGCAAGGCTAGAAATGTCTACCGATACCAAGAAACGCCGTCGTGGGTGTGATGAAGAATTGCAAACATGCACAGATCTACCGCTCAAGGTAGTGCGGCCATCGCGCACCTCCACACCTACGCACGATCCAGGACGATACAATTGCTCGTATTCGTCTTCCTCTTACTCACACCCAGCCCGCTGGCACCCCCACCCCCACCGCCTACACCCTGCGGCGGCGGGATCTTCTCCACATACTCCTTTCTTATCCTCTTCGCTTCCGCATCCCACCACTGCGCTTTCGTCTCATACTCCTTGCGCAATTTGTCCGCCACCTCTTGCGCCTGGCGTCCCTGCGCCACATAAGGCTCCTTCACTTCCTCAGAAGCAGCTTTCCACCATTTACCTATCGTCGAGCGGATCTGATCGCGACCAGCGCCTTCGGCAGGAGCAGTGCTCCCGGCAGAATTCTTACGTGGAGCAGGCGTGCTGTTCGCCGCGCAGTAGGTCTTACATTCTTCCCACTTTTCTTTCGTGAAGAGGAGGAATGGGTTGACGCCTGGTCGGGTAGGCTTCACGGGTTGGTCACCTATGGTTACGAGGATCGCGCCGATCACCCCGGCTTCGTAGTCGAGATCACTGGATTCGTAGGCAGCGGAGGAGACCCAGAAGGAGGTATCGGCGGCGCAGACTGACTTGCGTGGTGGGCCAGAGGGTTGTTTGATGAGTGATGCTGCCGGTGCAGCGGTCGCAGGTGGTACGGCGGCGAGAGTTGTGGTGTCCTGCTCTTGCTTGATTACTGGCTCCGTCACATCCGATGCTCCCAACGTAGCTTGACTAGTATAGTTCATCGAAACCAAGGCGTTCGTGGTGGCGCTACTGTTTGTATATGCGCGCTGTGAATAGTGATAAGGCACGGATGGATCTGCCTTGACAGGTGCGGGGCCAACAAGCGGGTTGGGCAGTGAGATCGGTCCAGTCAACGCTTCCATAACATCCGCAGCCACACGCAGTCCAGACAGGAATGCACCATGCACAGTCGCAGGATGCGTGCCACAAGTCGCCTCACCAGCAAAATGCAGATTGCCGACCGGCTCAGCCATAAGATCGTAATCACCCGGCCGTGTCTGTGGCGCCACGTAGGAATACGTGCCCCTCGTGAACGGATCCCTCTTCCATCTCGTGACAATGACCTCGATAGGCGCGGGTATGATGGCAGGCGAGAAGATCTTTCGTAGTCGGCGATTGACCTCTTCGAGGAGTGTACTACTATCCGTCTGTTCCGCCTCATGCGCCGAATGTCCCGCCAGGAGTGCCACCAGCATGGGCCGCCCGCTTGTTCTTGAAGCATTCCAAATCAAATAGAAGCGACCGCGGGTTTTGGCATAATGTGCAGGATCGAGGCTGTCTTGGTATTCGGCTTCGTTCAATAATCCGAACATGTCGCGGCTGTTGTCCCAGAATGGTTTGTCGTACAGGAGAACGAGCTGTCCACAATAATTAGCGATGCTTTAATGGTCTAAAATATGGCATACACACCTTGTTCAGTAAGCCAAACCCCATGCGATCGATAGCACCCTGCTTCCAGCCCGGTAAAGGTGGGTCGAAGTCAACCACGTCTGCCTTTAGAACGCCGAGAGGAGCGGTCAGTACGACCTCATCCGCTTCAAAGACCTCCCCATTCGTGCAGACAACTCTCGTGCTGAGCGATGGATCTTGATTCTCGTTGTAGTGTATGCTGTCCACGGTGCAGTCGAAGCGTACATCCAATTTCGTGGGCAAGTGCATTAGGCCACGAGGAAGCTGCGTGTATCCACCGATAATCTCAGAGTGCGCTCCTTCGAACTCGTTGCCCGTATCTTGGTCGTGACCAGACAAGCTCAGCCATGATACTGGTGCAGCATTCGCGTATTCCAGATTGGCATGATGCCAGTTGAGCAGCCGCATATCTTGTGGTGTAAGATCCACGATGTCCTGGTACTGCTCGATCGCTTCGTCCATGACTCTGCCAAGAGTCGGGTGTTGACTATCTTGCGCTGTGCGTCGTAGCGATATCGACTGATCTCTGGCCACACCGTCTTTTAACTGCCAGCCCATGATCTTTGCCGCTCGGGCAGCGCTTTGGGTGGCGTCACTCTCCTCTATGACTCGACTTCTGCCGGTGAGCTTCTCCGTGCCTGGTGGTGCGTTTCTTCTTCTGCCTCTCTTCAGCACGGGCTTTCGGTGTTTCGCATTGTCGACAGGGAATAGAGGTTCGAGCTGGAAACCAGAGAAGCCGCCTGCGACGGGATCACGAGCACGATCGATAAGCTCTTCATCGCCTTTGAGCGTGTTGTGCTTCTGGGGCATCGCACGGAAGTCGCCTGCTCGATCTGAAATGTCGGTGTACAGTTCTGTATTGATCTGATCCGTCTTCTCTTCCACAGGCTCGCCGTCCGTGTCGTAGATGGTGAGCGCATCGGTCATCAAATGGTATCGGAGCCCGAGTTGGCCACGAATGACAGTATTGAGTGGGTTGCCGTGATCGAATCCTGTCACGATCATGGCTCCCATCTCGGCCGTGTTGCGAAGATTGCCTGGTAAACTACCCTCAACCTGGCTCCTAAGAGGTTTGGAGTATACCCGGCCACCTACTCGTCTGCGGCCTTCGAGGACGATGACACGTGGCGGCCGCTCACCAGCGTCCGTCCAATGTTCACTGTTCTGTGCAAAGAGACCTTCTAGTTGTCTTGCGGTCGTCAAGCCAGACACGCCTGCTCCCACGACCACGATTGTTTTCTGCTTCGTGCCTTTTCGTAGTGACACAGCTTCTCGTGGTACCTCTAAACAGCCGAAATTGATGTAACCATTCCTCGCCAACCACTTGTATGCTACTTCAGCCAGACCAAAGAAGCGACCCTCACGAGCACAACCTGCTGCCTCCTCCACAGTAATAGTGCAGAGGGGATTCTGATTCCACATTCGAAGAATGGCATTGCGGATGTTGAGGTATATTGTGACCTCCGTATTCATCAGCAGATCGGAGAGTAGTTCATGCTCACCAATGTGGAGGGAATAGGGATCAAGTCTAGAGGCGTGTGTAGCCTCTATACATTCGCTTGCGAAGATGTCCTTGGGTAGTGACGCAGGGATCGAAGATCGTGGGCGCACGCGGTCCTGCAGCTGGGATATCAAGGAAGCCCTGCGAAGCTTTCCAGCAGGTATACTGGCAGTTGTCTTGTCTTTGGGTGGCCTGCCTCTTCTTTTCCGAGGTGGCGATTGCGTGTCGTTCGTAGTCACTGTCGTGGTTGCCTCAGTGCTTATTACTGGAGCGGGACTGTCCTCGGCCTTGATCTTGATAATGCTGCTAGAATGCTTTATCAACCCATCTGCCGTTCGTTTCCTTGCAGGACTGACGGTGATCGTTATATCGTCGGGTTTGTCGGCCACGATAGACGAGCACATTGATGATATGCCGGTGCTAGTGGCGGACTCAGATGAGCCATATCGGCGCCAAGCCCCATTGCTGTCCAATGTCCATTCTGCCTTCGGATGTGCATCGCTACTGTCGAATATGTCTGTTGCGGTAGAGGAAAGACTTGAGTCATCCTCATCTGCCGTTGATGAAGGCTTCATAGCCATGCCGAGGGATGATATATCAGCAGAGGGAGGCGCTGCTAAAGTGATATCGCCACCTCCCACTCCAATCTCGATCGTGTGAGCCATTGCTGCATTCACTGATCGTTCTACCGGGCGGCGTTGTGTTGCGCCATCTGCGTTTCGTACATCCGTATATCGGAGGCTTGAGGTGAATGCTCACGGCGTCTGGACCACGCAATTTGCCGAGAGCGGAGCCGAAAGGTGTGAGGCAAAAACAGGTTGTGGAGGAGATTTGCTCAAGCGGTGGGCGTGGATCATTTCATCAGTGTAGGGCACAAAAACAACGCAGAGTCTGATGGAGATATCACGATGTAGGCATCGATGCAATGGTGGAGGGCGAGGCACAGGTGGGAGAATCCGACTCCTCACGGGACACCAATTCTGCGGGTTGAGTGGAGACGTCTTCCACTTCAGCTCATTGCAGCGACACATACCATTGCCACAAACACACCGTAGCCATCGCCCTCGACCCAGCACCTCGTATACTCACATTCTGACCATATCAACGTTAAGGTGGACAACTTTCGGAGATGAAATATCAAGAGGTGGCTTGCTTGTAATCACATATCAGACCGAACCCTCTGTGTCAGCGCCGCGGTTCCACAATATTTGCGTCTTCCAAACGCTACGTACTATAATCCTCACCACGTGTAAATACCTGATGGGTGATGGTAGCGGCGAGGCTTGTAATGTATCTACGAGATATGTAGTATATCGAGAGCGGGGATGGTGTTAAGTATGCGCTTCTCATGTCTACATGCTGTTCCCCTCCTTCTAATTCTATCTTCGCGACGTGGTCGAGATAACAACCCCGAATAAAGTGAGTCCCTCTTGATATATCGGTCGGTCGCGAAGATTTGCTGACGTGCGCAGAGTTTAGTTCCACCTACCTTGGACGATGGGTCAATTACGAACCCTTGGCACAGTACCATACTCTGCACAACACCACAACAGCTCTCTATAGTGCACGCGAGTGTATCATACAACACCAATGTGGGGCCAAATATCAGTAAAGGACGGATTAGCACTCAAATGCCACTTCGCTGCTACCGGGCACAGGATGGCTCCAATCGCAAATGCCTTGAGCGGGCAAGCACCTGGAAGTAGATAGTGAGCAATAACGAGTAGGCGTTGTGGGACGTGATATTGGATAAATCGATGCTGACTGCGGAGTGCCACAGCCCAACCATCAGACTTTAGCGCAAGCTCTGTACCCCTTTGACTCTCAGACTGTTTGCCCGTTAATGAGCAGGATGAATGATACACGCCGCGTTTGGTAATATATGCATTGCAGGTTGTGCTGGACGAGAGCGCCGTGGGACTCTTCTGTGCTGAAGCAGTGACGTTATGAAGTATGCCGATGATATACGGCGGAAGCTGGAGAGGAGACAAGAGGGCATACCTATTGAGTGACGTCGGAAGTGAAGCTTTTGGTGCGCATGACATCTGGGAGCTAAGACCCACCATTCACCCATTCGCCAGATCGTGCATATAAAAGCTTGCACCTCGAGCGTGAGAACAACGCTCGCAAACTTCGGACACGAAACTGCCTCAACGTCATCGCGACCTTTGAAGTCAGGAAAGCTATAATTTCTTCACCCACAACACCTACATATCATCCTGCACACCCACTTCACATCTGATGGCGGCAAGCTCGCCAGCAACCGCCGCGATGGCAGGTATACCAAAGTCGAGATCGAACGGCCTCACATTCGAGAACAAGCGTGCAGATGAGCTTGAAGGCGAGAAGAAGTGCGACTGCGAAGGTGGAGTTGTGCAGGAGCTGACGACCTGGGTCTTCTGTGTCGACTGCGTGACGTGGCATCATGTGACCTGTCAGCTCGGGAAATCGACACAATTTGGCAAGAAGCAGGCCGAGCTGGGATTCATCTGCCGCGCTTGCAGGACCGTCAACCGCAGCGCCAATGCGCGGAAGGGCTACCATGCGAGGCTGCAGAACTCGGGTGCCGGAAAGAAGTCTTCGGCCTCGAGCATCAAGCGCCGCCATTCAGCTTTTGACGACTCAGTAGGGGGCAAACGCAAGACGGCGCCGCGTAAGGCTACTATGGCGCCCAGGAAATCCGCTCCATCCTCGTCTGACCCCGTTGAGGCAGAAGATGAAGACGACGATGACAACGATGAGATCGTGGTCAGCAGTCCGGCCATCAAGCAAGAAACATCGGGCAGACGTAGGTCATCAAGACATATCATGACCAAGCTCGAGGAGTTGGCTGCCAAGATTGGTGATCCTTTGGAGGAGTGGAGGAAAGGTATCAACTCTCCGCCCGAGGTTCTGTGTGACTGTGAGGGCAGCCCAGCTGGTAAACTCAGTGGGTATATGACGTGTGCTAGATGCGCTCGTCTGCAGCACGAGCACTGCATGCCAGTCAAGAAGGATGATCCGATTGGTGAAGGCCTACTCTGCATCGAGTGTCTTGGCGCTCGCAAAGAGGATGCCGCTCGCATCGAGCGCGAGAAAGACCGTCTGATCAGGCAGAAGCTTACTCGGCTTCACAAAGAGTGGGAGGAAGCCATCGCCACTCGCCGTACCAGTCTGCGCAACACCGTCGCCAATCGCTTCTGGATCGAGTACTGTAACTTGCCGAACAGCCAACAAGCCAACAATGCTGTCAAGGAACTCACAGCCACATACTACGACGAGGCGGTGAGCAAGCTTTTGCCCACTCATCCTGCCCCCGCCGCTTGGGTCGATCGAGTGGTGGACGACATCTACAGGCTTATCAGCAAGGAGAACAAGCAGCTTGTGAAGCAAGTCCACGGGCGCGATACGCGTGCTTTTCATTCCACGGAGCCTGAGCACTTTCGCAGAAGCTTGAATGCCCTCGCTGTTCTGACTGTGCATCATGGTTTGTACGAGGGTAGCAATGAGAAGCTGGGTTTGCTGGCTGAGGTGCTCGGGTTGGAGGAGAAGGGGAGCGTGTGGAAGGTTTGAGGTTACCACAGAAGTCGTCTACCATTGGCACTGGTGATCATTGTCACCTCAAGGCCGGTTGATCATTGTCTTTGCGTGCTTCCTGTCATCTGCTGTGACGTTGACGCTAAGATAGGCTGCAATTAGCAGCAACCAAACTCATCTCAATATCACTTCACACTGGCAGTACTTATATGTTGTCTCTTCATCTGAGGGGCTGAGTAACGTAAGCTAGTACATCGGCTGGCAGCTGTCAAAAAAGTCACACGGCATGGGGGAAGAGTTTGCAGTGATAGCCTGAGGTGCATTAGTAATAGCACTATTTCCTATCCAACGACCTCCGCGAAGCATCTTCTCTCCGTCCGAAGCCACCAAAACTGCCCACGTCTCTTCGAAAAAACTTCCCAATATTCTTCAGGTTCTCATTCAAGCTCGCTACCTTCTCTCCATCCCCGTTCATGTCCATATCACCGCCAGGAGCGGGTGGACTAGTAGCACGGCTAGCAGCAGCAGTATTGTGAGCCGATGGCGCAATCCCAGCGGCCACACCAAGATGCGGGCTAGCTATGCGATCACCGGCATCACGAGCAGCGTTCATAAGCGCAGTGCCAAAGTTGGACGGATCAAATCGTGCGGGTAATGATGGCGACGATGTCGGCAGAGTGCTGTCCTTGATGGCCTGTAAGGTTCCAGCGGCAACAGTAGGCTGGGCTGAAAGCTGCAATGAGCCGATGAGCGGATTCGTAGCCTGTAGACTTTCATTCGCTGAGCTAGATTTGTGCGCATTGAACAGTTCCATTAGATGGCTCTGTTCTGGCTTTCGTGTGATGCCTTTAAGCTCCAGTATCTTGCGGAAATTGGGCTCTGAGCGGTCGCGTATATGAATGAGGTAGGCTTGCACCAACGCTTCGGATGGCGATGATCGCACTTGTAGAGTCTTAAGCAGTGGGTCAAGCTTAGCAGTGCTTTGGTTAACACGTTTGATAAAGGCTTGGTTGGGAGGTGTGCCAGGCTCAGCATTGAGTGTAGCTAGCTCCTGGAAACCTTTCTTGAGCACGTACGAGTCCAGTAGCATTTGCTCCGCACCAGTCTCGGATATAGGCTTGCTGGCTGCGATATTATTGATATAGGTATTCGTGATGCTGTCCACAAGGTTGTCGCAGTAAGCGCGTGCATATTGCGGCTTGTGTAGGTAGCGCAGAATCTCTTTGCTGCGATCTTTCACTCGTTGCAGAAGGATGGAGACATAGCCGCTCTGGTCACCAACACTGTCCATCTTGCTCCACTGTACTGCTCGCATCTCTCGCCATGCAGGCTCGCAGTCGATCTCAGTCTTGTGCACGAGTGCTCGCACAGCAGCTGAAGCCACACCCATGAACGCATCGGCTTGTGACTGCATGTCGACTTTGTCCTGTAGGTCGTCATCAATACGGGACTTGATCTTCTCCTCGAGCTGGTTGGTAGTTTGGTAGCAGTAGTCGGCGGTGTTGAGTACAATGACTGCGCCTTCCACGGATGGGCCGCCTGTCTTCTCAGCCAGATGATAGAACAGCACTTGTTGTGAGTAGGCGTCCAGATATCTGCCAAATGTCTGTGACAACTCCAGTAGTCTAGTGCCGGTCGATAGCTTAGCGCACTGTGCGAACGTGACCCGGTAGTGATGAAAGAGCTCGGTAGAAGAAGGTATCACAAGCTGAGCATGGAACTCCTCATCTGCCGCTTTTATCGGCTGTTGTCGGTACTTGGGTATCAGCGTAGAAAGCTGCTTGTCCTGCGATTCAACCCAGATACTGAGATATGGCTCGAATGCCTCGGAAATGGCTTGACTGAAGCCATGCCTTTTTTCTTCACTGGACGTGATCGTATCGATGGATGATCTTGACTCTCCTGAGGCAAAACGCCGCTCAAGGCTGTGTTCAAAATCCAGCGTCTCCTGCAAACAGGACAGCAGTAGATTCACATCCGGTGGCTGGCCATCTGTCCTCCTCATCGACCGCTGCAGAATGCCCTTGTAGTCGTCCCTCGTAGTCTCACAGAAAGCGTTTGCAAGCATCTCATTCACTCGCCACTGTGGCGGGAATAAGATCGCATGTTCAGCATCATAAGTCTTAAGCATGCGATTGAACCAGCTGTACCTCCTAGCAATATTGTCCAGAGACCCCGCCTCATCATTGCCACGAAACACCTGCCGGTACTCTCGCAGCTGAGTATTGCAATACCACGTCACCAGTCTCGACCTCGCCTGGTCGCCCAAAGCATCCATCACCAGGCAAGCCTCAGCTAGCACACCCCTCTTCTGCTGCACCTCGCCCTTGGCAAACGTGACCTCAAAGTCTCCGCACACCTGCTCCAGAAGCTCTCGCTGCACATCTGCTACATTCTTGCTCAAAGCTGCAATCTGGTCTATACTCCTATAGCTCTTGAAGTGTGCCATAAGCTGTATGACGGCCTGTAACAGATGCGCACATTCTCGATACTGCCTAGAATGGCTCAAGCCTCGGAGCTGCTCGTACGCGGTCGTGAGCATTTGCAGCCTCTTCAATGCTGTCATTGAGAGTGTAAGGTTTTTCTTCGTGCTGTCCAGCCGCTTGATATCCGCCGTCATCTCTGTGATCGTCCGCTCCGCCTCAAGCGCTCTCGCCCGCACGCCCTCGATCTTCGCAAACAACTGTTCCAGCTCTGCTTTGGCATCTTGTATGCGTTGTATGCTGTCTGCGTCCGGGTCCGTTTGGGTCCTAACAAGCGTGGAGATGTCGTGGTCGAGTTCATCTTGGTGGCGCCGTAGTGCAGTCCCGACTTGAGGTACTGCCGAGAGGGTAGTCGGATGTGAGAAGAGAGTATTGAGGTGGTCGATGGGGTCGTAGTCCACTGCCTCAGGTCAGTATATGGCCAGGCGCAATAGCAAGGGCGCTCACGCTACCGGAGTCTAAAGCATCAAGCGGCGCTATGCCATTCGTCTGCTGCATGAGTAGTGCTCAGGTAGTCCTGCTCTGTTCGACCTCCACGATTCGTACTGGCAATGCTGTTGTGTTTCTATGGTATTGGCATTTAGATCGCATATGTCAATAGCATGTGAGCACCTCCAATAAACAGCCAATCACGGCAAAGCATCGGCGAACATTCACGTATATCAGGAACAGCTTCACGGCACGAGATATCCGAACAGATGATATGTAGCAAGGAACGGTTTGAGAACTTGAGATGATGGATCGAAGTATTGTCTGTCATCTTCTCTCAATAGCATACAATCTTGCTACCTCGTCCACTAACGACCCCACGCATTAACTTTTGTTGGGCCGTTGCTTCGTTGCAATCTATATGCTCGCCATCGTGAAAAGGAAGACATGCGAACAAGCAGGACGCCGAGAACGCCGGCTCATGCGCATGCAAGAGACATCTGGTGTGGCGGCCATGCAGAAGCAGACCAGCCTATCGTGACCCGTGCTTGGTTTTGAGCACTTAGCGGGTAGACATAGCCTTGGTGACCACGCGCTTAAGCGCCAGCTCCTTCTTCTTTAGGTCCTCCGAGGGGGCATCCTCGATCTCGAGCTGGGCCATGGCATCGGACAGTGCACTCTCGATCTTCTCCTTCTGGCCACGCTTGAGCTTCATGCTCATGGTTGGGTCAGACACGATCTCCTCGACTCTGCTGATGTACGACTCGAGCTGCTGTCTCGACTCGAATTTCTTGCTGAAAGCATCGTCGCTGGTCTTGAATTTGGCGGCATCCTCCACCATCTTCTCGATCTCAGCCGAGTTGAGCTTGCCGACGGAGTTGGAGATGGTGATGTTGGCGCTGCGGCCGGAAGTCTTCTCGGTGGCGGTGACCTTCAGGATACCGTTGACATCCACTTCGAATACAACCTCCAGTACGGCATCGCCAGCCTGAAGTAGTCAGTGAGTGTACATGTTAACAATGGGTGCGCCGGGAGGTGATACCTTCATTGGGGGGATAGGAGCCAAGGTGAACTCGCCGAGGGAGGTGTTGTCTTCGCAGTTCTATCAGAACATATCAGTGATCATGCAGTCTTGACATTCATTTTCTGAGTATGGTAGAAACTTACAGTGCGCTCGCCCTGGTAGCAAGGGAACTGGACAGTCTGCTGGTTGTCGGCAACTGTGGTGAATGTCCTACACCGTGGCGAGAAGGGTTAGCATGCGTAACAAAGTCTCGATAAAGTAGGAAACGCAATGATATGCTAAGGATGTCCGAGGGTTCGCAGGTGCCGAAGGATCCCGAGATATGGGGGGCACATTGCCGTTCTCGTCGGAAGTCCTCTTAGAATCATGTGCTGATGGCCATCCGGGAAGGTTCATGAGGTTGTGAGATGTCGGAGATGTAGCTGATAGCGATGCCGATGCCATCCAAGCAACGAATGAGATAAGATGACGATCTCGTGGCGGATGAAGCGGCTGTGCTACGTTGAAGGCCGACTCAGACGCACTAGAAGGCCATAGAATGCTTGAGATACACCACCCCGCAAGTGGCAGTGTGAAGGATCGGCTGCATACGCGCCATTATGTTCTCAGGGTCGCGAGAGTCGACATGATATGCCGAGACGTCCTCCGGTATGATCGTGCTGTGGTGGCTCGTCGGGATTCGAAGTTGTGGCGTTTGGTGAGGGACGGGCCAGCGGGAAGTCGAGGAAGTGCAAAACATATAACAAGACGATGATAACAAAGGAAACGGGACTGTTGTACCTCTTCTTCAAGCAAGGAACTGTGTTACCGCGAGGGACGACCTGATAGCATATTAGCATCGTAAATGACGGGAAAGTATTGTGACCAAAGGATACTCACTGGTGCAAAAATATTGCCCTCCATAGCCACACCAAGCGAGAGTGGGACGACATCGAGCAGGAGCATGTCCTGGGTGTCGGCGGAGGTGGCCTTGCCAGAGAGAATACCAGCCTGAACAGCCGCACCGTAGGCAACAGCCTCATCAGGATTGATGCTCTTCTCGAGCTTCTTGCCGTTGAAGAAGTCGGACAGGAGCTTCTGTATCCGAGGAATACGAGTGGAGCCACCAACCAACACGATCTCGTCGACCTTGCTCTTCTCGATGGCCGCATCCTTAAGCACCTGCTCGACTGGCTGCATGGTGCCGTTGAAAGCCTTGCCGTTGATCTCTTCGAAACGGGCACGGGTGATGTTGGCGTTGAAATCCTCGCCCTCGTAGAGAGAGTCGATCTCGATGGTGGTCTGGGTGCCGTTGGAAAGGGTACGCTTGGCACGCTCGCAGGCTGTCCGCAGACGACGAAGGGCACGAGCGTCGCCAGAGATGTCTAACAAGTACGAAGTCAGTCAGTCATGGCCTCAAAAGCTAACGAAAGCGATGGAGCAGTATTAAGCAACTCACCCTTCTTGGACTTCCTCTGGAATTCCTTCTTGAAATGGTCGAGGAGGTTGGTATCGAAGTCTTGGCCACCAAGATGGGTGTCACCGGCAGTAGCCTTGACGGTAAAGACGCCACCCTGGATATTAAGAAGCGAAACATCGAAAGTTCCACCACCGAGATCGTAGATGAGGACGTTGCGCTCCTTGTCAGACTTGCCAGCACCGAGACCGTAGGCAATGGCGGCAGCGGTAGGCTCGTTGATGATACGTAGGACGTTGAGACCAGAGATGGCACCGGCATCCTTGGTTGCTTGTCTCTGGTTGTCGTTGAAGTAAGCTGGAACTGTGATAACGGCCTTCTCCACCTTCTTGCCGAGCTTGGTCTCAGCAATCTCCTTCATCTGCGAATCGTTAGTCCATGAGCTTCCTCGAAATTCCAACATGCGACTGACCTTGCCCAAAACCATGGCGGAGATCTCCTGAGCGGAGAACTGCTTGGTCTCGTTGAGATACTGGACCTCGATCTTAGGGTTGCTGTCATCATCCACGACCTTGAATGGCCACGTCTCGATATCCTTCTTGACGGTGGGGTCGTCGAATCGTCGGCCGATAAGACGCTTGGCATCGAAGACGGTGTTCTCGGGGTTCATGGCGGCCTGGTTCTTCGCCGCCTCACCGATCAAGCGCTCCTCGGAGGTGAAAGAGACGAAGGATGGGGTGGTGAAGGAACCCTGCTCGTTGGCGACTGCGCAAGATGTATCAGTATCTATCCGAATCTTCATATATCTCGGTCGTGCTCACTGATCTCAACGCCGGCGCCCTCATAGTTGGCCACACATGAGTAGGTCGTGCCTGTACAAACATCAGCCATATATCCTCATTCTTCCGTCCAATTCCAGCTCGTACCAAGATCGATGCCAATGGCACCATCGTATACTTCGTCCGCCATATTGTGTGGTTGTGTAGGGTGATGTGGAGGTGTGTGGGAAGAATTGCAGAAATGCAATGGGAAAAAGTTCGACTTCGCTGCGATTCTGAGGCCCACCACAATTCTGCTGTTCAAAAAACTGATCAGCGCCTCGGTCCGCTTTCCGAGCCCTCTCACTCAAGCCAGCGCCAAGACAAGGATTTGAGCCTCACTGTCCGCACTCACCGCCAACAGAAGCGGATTCTGATCTTTGCCACTGTAACAGGAAATGACAAGAGCAGCACAGCACAGCACAATTCCTGAACATGACGCTACTACACTTCATGCCCGGGTTACAAGGATCTCTTGGGGCATGACAGCTATTCAATCCTACTGAAAGCCGTCACAGACTTCCTTAGTCCTACACTTCAATGGAGAATGGTATTTGACCTGATGTGGTCTGGTTCAGAGTTGTCTTGGTCTCATTCTCGTCGAATACAATTCATGATACAGTAGTTTGAATTGATGTGCTTCAGCCATACCAAAGATCCCACGAGTCATCTCTGCCTCGCTCTCCTTCATACACACCTCATCTTGGGTATTTCAACGGCGTCTTACACCTTCTCTTGCCCGTACTCGCCATGCGAGACAGACTTCTTCCTCATAGCACTGTTCTCCAAATCCGTAAGACTCTGCTTCCTCGCGCTGCCGTCAGCGCCCACATCGGCAACGTCTTGGAAGGAGACCGTGGGAACGAAGCCCTTCGATTGCCATGCCTTGCCGACCTTGGCGTAGAGCTCGTCGACTTGTTCGAGAGACAAACCCTTGGTCTCGTAGATCATGGCCCAGACGAAGAAGATACAGATGAAGCAGAATCCTACGATGAATCAGCAGTATTCATGTTCAAAGGCCGTCATATTGTTGAGACTTACCACCCCAGATGAAGAAAACCTTGCTCTGCAGGTTGGCATCGCCAGGGCCGTTATCAACCATGTATGGTGTGGCGTAGGCAATAGCCCAGTTGAGCAGCCAATTTGATGCGGTGGTCATCGAGAGCGCCTTGGCACGAATCTTCAACGGGAAGATCTCGCCGGTGACGACCCAGGCACAAGGACCCCACGAGCAGGCGAAGAAGAAGATATAGATACAGACGAAAGCGATGAGAGCCTTCTGTCCGACCTGATCTGCAACACCAATACCTGTACCAACGCCAGCGACAATGAACTGACAGGTAGCCATGCCGATGGCGCCAAAGAGAAGAAGTGGGCGGCGACCCCAGGCTTCGACCATATAGAGACCTGGGAAAGTCGAGCACACGTTCACGGCTGATGTAATCATGCTGACGATGAACGGGTTGCTGATGCCAGAGTTGGTGAAGTAGGACGTGCCGTAGTAGAAGATGAAGTTGACACCAGTAAGCTGCTGCAGAGCCTGGAGAAGACAGCCGGTGGCCAGACGCTTGCCGAGAGAGCCCTTGAAGCAATCAAGGTAGGACGACTTGCCGAGTGACATCTCATACTCGTGGTTGGCGGTGATCTCAGCAAGCTCCTCAACCAGCGCTGGGTGGTCGACATCGAGTCGGCGAAGCTTGCTCAGCGACTTGGCGGCTGATTCTGGCTTGCCACGCTTGATGTACATTCTTGGCGTCTCGGGCAGAATGATCAAGCCGCCCACCAAAATGATAGCCCAGGCAAATTGGACGGCGATCGGGATACGGTAAGACCCACTGTCTTGACGATTTCGGGTAGAGTGGTCGACGATGGATGCGAGGAGCAGACCGATGGTGATAGCAAGCTGGTATGCGCCGACGATCGAGCCACGGATCCACTTCGGTGCAGTCTCGCTCTGGTAAAGAGGAATAGATGCAGAAATCATGCCCACGCCGTATCCAGCAAAGAAGCGACCGGCGACGAAGAGCGGAATTTCAGTGGCGGCGGTTTGAAGGATGACACCGATCGTGAAGACCAAAGTAGAGATCATGAGCCCAATTCGGCGTCCAAAGAAATCACATGCCGGGGCAGCAGTCAAAGCACCGAAAAAGGTACCAGCAGAGAGGATCGAGACGATTTCGGAGGATTGAGAGGCAGTGAGGGTGTGTAGACCAGTCTTGGGATCGATGACGTTCGTAGTCGAGAATTGCTTTAGCCAGTAGGGCATCGCTGGAGAGAGAGATCAGTCGGTGTTAAACCAGAATTTTAGGTTGCTGCTCTTACCCAGGATGCCGCCAATAGTACCAGTGTCATATCCGAATAACACGCCACCAAAAGCGACGAATAAGCCGACGGCGATAGCTCTGACTTTTATTAGCAACCGTCTGCAATTGGATCGAGTGAGCAGTGCTTACGGCCAGGCCTTGCCAGGAGTACCCGGCGGCGGTCGAATAGCGATAGGCATTGTGAGTCGAGTAGCACAATACGGTGTGACAGATCAGGATCGAGCACAAAGAGTCTGCTGGATCACAGAAGTCTTCTCGAGGACAGCCGTTCTGTCTTATATGCAGTCCTTTCCAGACGCCAAAGCTCTGGGGTCCTCCAGGTAGCTCCGAACCTTAAGCCATCCGTGCCCGCGCGCCAATGTACGCTTGCCCTCCGTTGGTAACTGATCAAGTGACATTAAGGCGACTAAGGAGGCCTAGCCTCTTGTCTGTACGACAAGCCGCCTTGCCAAAAGTGCTTGACTGCAACGTGATGGCATGACTTTCGCGTGGGCTAGTACAATCCCCATTATCATAAATGACTATACCTGGTCTTTAGCGTTATGCTCGAGCGTTATGGACAGCCTGGAGAGACGAGAAGGACCTCGACTGACGATAATGGACCTTGTCTTGCAATACAACGATGCCGGTCACTGCATTGTCGATCCGGCAAGGTGCCAACAACGACGTGGGGAAGCTCTTTAGACGGCTCGTCACAACAGACTGCACTCGCTTGCTGTAGCTGTTCATGCGGTGTGTGGCGGCATGCACGGTTTGAGGCTGCATCGAAGACCTGTGCGAATCGGTGGCTGTAGGCTTTCACGGTGATGTTCGAGATTCGGTTCCGATCGAGTTTCGTCTCCACATTGGCCGACGTCCTCGCATACGTCCGCATGTGTTTCGGCCCTTCTCCTCCACACCTCTGAACATGGGTCGTCTGCATGGAGCTGCAGTAGTGCAGCAGCGGTGGCTCCTGTTCGAGCGGGGCTCACACCGGCATCAATCGGTGGGATGAGCAAACACTGTAGGCTACGTGCGATCAGCTGCCTCCTTGTGTATCGTTAAAGTTGAAAGAAAGGATGATTGAGGTCATCGCAAGACAACGGCAGATTTCAAGCCACACCCGCTCCGGTGCGGGGTGCATGCTAGCCTCCCAGATCTCTTTTCCAACGACGAGCATGAATAATGTGATGATCATATTCACAGTGTAGTAATATTCATCCTGGTACATGGCATTGCCCACATTCTCGCTAATCCGCTCATGAGACGACGTGCGTGCGCCATCAAGTCCACAAGCACTCCGCATCGTGGAGGTAGTGGTGAGATTACACCGTAGTCAGTCCGCCGCTCAAACAATCTCACCGAGAATTGTGCCGTCCCACGCGTCTGAGCTTCGGTCTCATCCAGCCATGGCGTCGAGAGTATACGGCTGTGCGGCTCTGGCCATCTTTGTTACCAATCGATATCGCTCATATCAATCCGCCTTCCATCCTCCGCCCCTAGCAGGCTTGAGCCGAAGTGCTGCATACATAGCACCGTGGAACCGACTCCTTGCCATGTGTCGACGTGGTACTCGGCGAGCATGACGAACATAAGCCTCCGTCTCATTGCAGCATTGAGGATCACCAGCGATGTAGAATCGAGACGACTGGCGATGTAGTCGGCCATGCCACGGATACGCGATCACGATCTTTGCTCGAACGATCATCCTTCGTTCCTCAATTCCAAGTACTGCTCACGGCCAGAATTATCCTCGCTACGAATCCTCAAGAGCAATGACTACGAAACCCCAGCTCAGATCAATAGTTGCATATCTTTGCTACGAGCACTACTGCCTGAGTCACATAACCTTCATAGGCATGAAAATGGGCGGGCGATGATCTTCAGGCTCAGACCTGGTATGTCAAGAAACACTCATGATCGAAGTAATGCAGGTTGTACTCCGACAGCTGGTCGCGTGGGAGCCTCCATTGACTAGCAGTGGTATGTACAATGGCATCGCTCGTGCGAGGGACGATGCTACCGCTAGTCTACGCTTTTCCTCCTGGCTCGTCGGACTTCGTTACAACTTGCCAGCTATGTTTTCGTCCAAGAGTATGGCGGCTTGATCATACCACTCCTATGACGAATCCCACACGAGCGATCTATCGCTACACCCGATTGAGCCATGTCGTCGTGGGAGCCCATGAAGAGAAGGGTCATAGCCTTCAAGCCCATCTTGCGCGATACTCTCAGCCCGTGACCTCCTGCTTGCATGTGATCAGATTCCAGAGTGCACGGGAAGAGCTGGAAGGGGATCCACAAGGGGCTGCCCACGTATCTTCCAAGGTGAAAGAGACTATCGTTGGCTTCCAGATAATGTTCCCCGTCGCTAACATCCTTGGTGGCTGCTTTCAGACGTTGAATGCGGGGATATGCCGCTCCGTGAGAAGTCGGTAGCTTTCTTCTTAGTCTCGCGGCGAAAGATGAGGTAATCATATCCCAGAGCTTATCGCCTGATCGTCATGGTGGCAAGGTGAAGGTCCAGGGACCGAATGGCAGTCTGTCTCTTGTCCCCATACCTTCCGCAATCGAGCGAAATGTCGCGGAAAGCCTTGCATATAGATGGGAGACCATCGACTACACTTCTTCATCATTAGGTATAAGTTTGGCTTGAGGGAGACGTGTGTGGTAGCGGAGTCCGGGTCCGTGCATAAATCATAATTGTAACAGGTTTGCATGTAGTGACGTTGAGCCCACGAGCTTCGGACTCCTGGAGACTCACTTTCCTTCTACTCGGGAACCATACAACAAGTACATGGCATCCGAGACTCTTTCGTGTGCGGTGCCGCCTACTCGACATGCCTCTCAACCCCAATCAACCATTGTGAACTTGCCTGCGCGCTTCGCAACGCCGTCCGTTGATGTATGCAGAGGTAGCTCTGTCATAAGTCAAGATAGCGTAGCGTACAGAGCAGCAATCACTGCTCGCACCCATTTCGTGAACCCACCTCCTCAACCCCTCCCAGCAGCCGCCCCACTAATCAACCCCTTCACCCACCCCAATCTTTCCAGCACCTCAACCCCTGCACTCCTACCCCAAACCACCGGCCCCGAACCCGCGCTATAAATCTTCTCCAACTTATCCACCACCCCTAGCACAGCATTATTCTTCGCCCACCGCTCACTATTATACCCATCAAGACACCAAGAAGATCCAATATCCATCCCGTGCTCCACACCGTAGACGAGCTGCTTGGCCAGGGCCTCGGAGTCAGCGAGTCCGAGGTTCAGACCTTGCCCGGCTAGTGGGTGAATTGTATGGGCTGCGTCGCCTATCAGGGCTACGCGGTGGCCTGTGTAGGTGCTGGCGTGGCGGAGACGGAGAGGGAAGGATGCTAAGCTGCCTTGTTGGAGACTTTGAATGCGAGGGAAGTTGGTAGGCAGGCCTGTAGAAGTTGGTGGGGTGGCGGGTTCGCGCCAGGAGAGCTCGGAGGTTGGGGTGGAGTCTGATGATGCTGAGAGCATGTGATTAATGTCTACAGGCATTAAACGGAACGCAGCGTTTACTGCTGCTGTAAATTCTTCTGGTGCGAGGGCTTTCAGGGCCGTGGCGTGAGCCGGTGAGGTGGACCATACGAGACTGGCTTTTTTGCCTGGGAGGGGTAAAAGTGCTACTGGACCAGTTGGGAGGAAGCGTTGGTAGGCCGTTCGGAGTTCGGAGGCGTTGAGGTCGCGGTCGAGGTTCAGGGTGGCGACTACGCCGTGTTGGTTGTAGTCCCAGCCGGGTGAGGGTATGTCTGCGAAGCGTCGGACAGGGCTATTTGCGCCATCTGCGCCGACCAAGAGGCGAGCAGCGAAGTTTTGGCCGGACGAGGTGGATAGTATGGGCCATTGTGAGAAGTCAGGGGAGGATTCATCTGCCGCTTCTGCGCCAAGAGCGATAGAGTCAACTTTTGTCTTGGCAAGCATATTCAGTGTCGAAGAAGACCGCTCATCCTTCAATTCCTCGATCCGCTTCAACAGCGCGCCCGTAAGGTTTCTATTCTCGCACATTGTAGCCACAACCATCTCCCCAGCCTCATACTTCCTCCTGCTCGCCTGAAACCTGTTCCCAGGGACCATTTCAGCGAGAGCATCAATCAATCCAGCACCCTGCTGCTGATCGAAATGAATCTTACTCCCGCTCACTCCATCCCACACATCCATAGCGTGATACGGCTGTATCCGTGGCTGATCGATCTTCTCCCATACTCCGATACTCTTCATGAACCGTACGGCAGCGGGAGTGAGGGAGGAACATCGGTTCGAATATGTCCCTCCGGGAGAATCCAAATGAGGCGCGGTGAGGTCTTGCGAGTCGATAAGAGCTATCCTCAGATGTCGTGTGGAATGATGAGAGTGCAAGGCCGAGACGAAAGATAATCCCACTGGTCCTCCTCCGACACAGACGACATCGTAGATTTCCGGCTCGCTGCTGCTTACTGCTGTTGAGTAGAAGCTTCGTCTGACGGCTGGAGGAAGAGCGAGTAATCGTTTGAACGTCGCTGCGGAGGACATTGTTGACCGAGGATCCGGAGACGATGATATGGTCAATGCAACTACTTATCGTCTGACAATTATTGTGTATAGTCGTTGCACAAGCATATGCATTACTCGGCTCGGCGCGCTGGTCTACCTCATTGAGCGATACGGCCGAGGCTGACTGAGCGATGAGATGACATCAGGTCATCATTCGATTGCGAAACGATAACGAGCAAAGATATCAAATTCTTCCTGCCCTGTCAGCACTCTACTTCTCTTTATTTGTATTCTATTGTCTTGAGGCGTCGGAGTATAGTAATCGTAATCGCATTTACCAACCCGCCGAAGTTCCGAATGAAGTAAGAGCAGACTGCGAAGAAAGTGTACAAAAGGCAGGAGCGTCCTCCATATATATCTTGCGGCATACAGGACGGCCTTCCACATCAACAGCCTTCACCCAAAACTAGATACAACCATGGCCTCCAACGCCTCCAAACTCATCCCCTCGGACCCGGAAAAAGTCACCATCACCCGCAACCTCGCGCCCACCATCAAAATCTTCTCCGCCCCCTTTCTCCGCGTCGGCCGCATAAAAGTCGGTGGCCGCGGCACCATCGTCCAGCTCGCCTCAGGGAATCTCGCAGTCTTCAGCCCCGTCGCCCTGACAGATGCCGTGAAATCAGAAGTCGCATCCTTCGGCAACGGCCAGATCAAATACATCACCGCTCTGGACAAGGAACACCACATCTTCCTTGAACCATGGCATAAAGCATTCCCGGACGCTGTGGTGATAGGGCCGGAGCCGTTGCTTGAGAGTAGGGCGAAGCAGGGGTATTCGAATTTCACCAAGGATGTGTGGAGGGTCTTTCCTATCAATGCTGAGGGCAAGGCAGCGTTTACGATTAGCGAGGAGTTCGATCGGGAGTTCGAGTACGAGTACGTCTCTGCCCATGCGAATCATGAACTGGTGTTCCACCACAAACCCACGCGGACGCTCATCGAGGCCGATCTCATGTTCAACTTGCCGGCCACGGAACAGTTCAGCCGTACTGGTGTGAGCGCCACCTCGGGTATCTTGACGAGGATTGTGAATGCGATTAATACCACGCACGGTTCCGCGATATGGCAGAAGCGGTTGTTGTGGTATGCGCTTAGTGCCAGTGATAGGACGGGGTTCAACCGGAGTATGGGCAAGATCGCCGGGTGGGATTTCGACAGGATTGTGCCGTGTCACGGGGATGTAATTGAGAAGGGTGGGAAGTGGGTGTTTGAGAAGGTGTTTTCGTGGCATCTGGAGGCGCTGAAGAAGGGGAAGTAGTGGGTTGTACGGTATGGTATTCTATCATTGTACTGTAATGTGTCTTGGTCTCTTGATCCGTTCACGCTGCTCAACTATACCGTGTGCATCCAACACCTGCTGGGCGCGTATTAATGAGCAGTCACTTCGTGTAGTCATGAAATTGTCCCCATCAACTTCCCCACACCCTGGCCTATCGAACAGGACTCCACCGCCATTGCGCGGTCCGGGTCCCGACGAGATATTCGCATACAGGTCCGTAGCAGGCCATACAGAGCTCTCAGGAATCTCACAGTCACAGCCAAGGGCACAGCCAGCGGCGTATCGATCCTCATCTTCACTCGATTGTCTTTGAGAGGCTCCTAGTCCATCATGACTGAAGCTGGATGTGTCGAGTTCCTCTGTCGCTTGCAAGCACAATGGCACCACGTTCCTGGGCGAGGGAATTACCAGTACTCTTTGCTTCAACCTCGATTCGATGCTGTGATCTGTAGCTGGATATGCTTCGCTCATGGCGATAGCCTCTGTTGTCGGACGCCATAGCTTATAGCTGCGCTCGTGGCAGGTCAAGACCTTTACTCCTGACACGAACCAAGTCGCTTTGTAGATCAAAGTCTCGCACCATCTTCTCCCACGCAACAGCCGCTCTTTCAGCATGTTCTGCAGGCACACTCGGCGAAGCACTAGTCAGGCTCGTGTTGAACAGCTCAGCGCTGACCCAACCTTCCCACTTGAGATCAGTCAGGATAGCTTTCAGTATAGCCTTGACGGGTAGATATGCTCCACGATCCTGTTCGCCATAGAAAAGCCTGCAATTCCTCGACCAACTCATACGAACTGGTTGGCCTTCGACATAGTATTCATGGCCCTCTGTGAGAGGTTCTGCAAGGTACTCTGCGTCCACGACTTGGACATAGACGATCTTCTTGGGGTCGATGATCTTGACTAGTCGTTCTATGGATGCCTTTGTCTCCGCGGCAGCGTTCGGCGTTCTTCGTGTGTCCGAGGCTGGATCGGCGTACATCCTCCCGGCCATGTTGAAAGTGTCCAGACAGATACCGAAATTTGGGCGATCGACTAGCTGTACAATTTCCCAGCTTTGCTCCCAGGTGTCGGCGTATGTACCCCAAGCAAGACTCTCGTATGCGAATTGGATGTCGTCCGCTGCGCCTAGGTCGGCAGCTTCTCGCAGATCTGCTACGATGAGATCGATGTCGCCGCTCGCCCTGGATGAGGAAAGGAAAGTTGACGGGATGGAGATGATCTTAGTATTGAGCACTTTCGCCACCCTGATCCACAGTTGGAGCTCATCTATCCGTTCAGCGTGCTTTCGCCTATCTCGGAGGCCTTCGTAGTGCATGAATGGCTGCAGGCAGACAATAGCAATGTCTCGCTCATCGCATAATGACCGTATGATTTGTGCTGCGGCCAACAGGTTCTGGGGTGTGGGTCCATCCGGCATAGCTTTCGCGACGTAGATAAGGTCCTCGTAGAACAGCTCAATGTCGAAACCATACTTCAAAGCCTGGTCGAGCTTGCTGGGCATGTCGTGGACCCATGCTCGACCTAAAGAATGTGAGGATATCGCCGGTCGACAAGGCATGTTGGCTAGTGTCCTGAGGTGAGTGCTGGATATGATAGTTTACGTCTCGGTCAGACTTTGAACAGATGTTCCGACTGAATGATGAGGACAGTAAGAGAGTGTATATCAAGATATCAACAGATTAGACCGTACTAACCTTGTACCACCCTTGTACCACGCCATCGTCTCATCCATAATCGAAGACGCTAGTGCGTCCAGTCCAGCTCAGAAAGACGTGAGGTTCGTCTGTTACTGAAGAACACATAACCCTGACTATCCACTGTCCACTTTTGTCCCGTAGGAGAAATGAGAAGCCTAATGGAGTGCAGAAGATTCTTCCGGATCCATTGCCACTGGCGAAACCCCGGCCGTATTGAGTCTTCTTTCAATCGCCGCCACTTGCCGCCCGCTCGGATGGATGAAGACATTCCAGCACACTCGCTCCCACGCCTAAATGTGGTGGATCAAGAGTCTACGAACCAGTTGCGTTTCATGTATACTATAACGAAGGATTCGGTGATAGTGGATGGCCTTGGTCATTCGTGAACAATGGGTATGCGTTCGTGATGGAGCAGGGAAAAGTGAACTGGATCGACATCGTCCTGCAGGATCCAGTGATACACTATGTACAAAACATGATCTTTCAGGTGCAAGAGGTCAATTCTCCCAGCCAGATCAATGATCCCATCTCAAACCTCCTCTGTCATCTCTCGGTGCTCGAGCTTCTCCTTTGCCACGGTCAATCCTGCTCCCTCTGCATCATGTCGGAAGTCCTCCTCCCTTGCTCTGTCTTCGGCATTGACTTGTCCGTGAGCTTTGCGCACTGGCCTGATCTCGAACAATCGATCCATGGATTCAAGCGGTATTCCCTTGGTCTCCGGTATCAAGAAATACACGAATGGGATCGAGAGGATCATCATGCTGGCGAAGAAGTAGTATACGCCGCATCCTGATGGACCCATGGTCGCGAACATCTGAGGGCGTGAGTTAGAGTAGCTCGTCGCTGTCAGTTTCTGGTGAGGAAGGCTTACCTGAGGTGTGAAGCGTGAAATGATGAAGTTCCAGAACCAATTATTAGCAGCAGCGCTCGCTTGACCAAGCGAGCGAGTGTTCTGATCGAAGATCTCGGAGTTCAAAACCCATGGTGTACCATTCCAAGTAGGTGTGTAGAAAGCGGTCCATAGATAGAAGAAGAAGATAGCAGCAATGCCACCAGAGCTAAGCTGGGTGCTCTTTGTCTTCGTGCCCTTGACATTGATGTAGGCACCAATAATCCACATGCATACAGATCCCCCGGCAGCGCCGATCATCAAGAGATTACGTCGACCCAGTCGGTCGATGAGGTATAGAAGCCATACAAAGGTGAGAACAGTCTTGACTACTCCGAAGATGCCGGTCGTCAAAAAGCTACTGCTGGTGCCGGTGATGCCGATGCTCTTGAACACTGTGGGACTGTAGTAGTTGATGGCATTGATGCCGCTGCCATTCTGCCACAGGAAGAGCATACCACCCAGGAAAAAGCGCCACTGGACTTGTCGGCTCTTACCAACAGCTTTGAACGGCGACCAGAAGGTATTACCGATGCTAGCACGTTGTTCTTCGAGAGCGGCGTCCATGAATGCAACCTCTTCCACAATATAGAGGTCGTCGGCCGGGAGGTTCCGAATCCACGCCAGATTCTTCAGAGCCTGCTCTCGCTTGTTCTTGGAGAACAGCCATCTTGGAGATTCCCTAAGCCAGAAAGCACCTGCTAGCAATAGCCCTGCTGGAATCAACTGCACAGCAAACGGGATGATCCACTGCTTGTGGCTAGGAGCCATAGTCTCAGTGAGACCATCTGTTTTTGTCAGCCTCCCTTCACACATATCCCCAGTAAGAATTATGCTCACAATTGATCCAGAAGCCGACCAGGCCACCAATCTGCCATCCAAGCTCGTAGAGACCGACCAGCCTCCCTCTTACGGCGGGCGGTGACAGCTCTGAGATGTAGATGGGCACAACCATGCTTGCTCCGCCGACTCCAAAACCAGCCAAGACACGACCAGCATCTGATCAGTGGTGTCAGTAATTTACGCTGGACAACGGAGTTTCTCCATTGCACACTCACAGATCAATCCAAGGCCGCGCTGCCCATTAGCGCCTAACATGAGACCAGCTCCGAGGATAAATATCGTGGCGTACACCCATAAGCTTCTCTTACGGCCAAGGTAGAACGCCGAAGCATAAGCGAAGATGGCACCGAAGAAAGCACCAGCCTGATACACAGAGACAATGTTTGCTTTAACAAGAAGCAGGTGTTCCGGGGCCATGGCGGCAAACTTGAATTCTTTTGTGAAGGACGGCAGAGCCAGCGTGGTCCCAATGAAAGCAGAGTCATATCCAATCATGCATGATGCGAAAGAGGCAATCGCAGCGCAGGCATAGACTCTCCAGTTGTAGACAGCCTTAGGCGTAGGCCTGTCTTCGACGAGGGTAAGTAGACCCATGTTCTTCGTGTGTTGGTTCCAGGCTCAGACGAAGAGCGTAGTCGCAGTGTCTGGGGTAAAAAGATGCAAGAGTGTGGGAAGAGGAAGTCGTTGCGATTGCGGAGTCCCCGCTGGGGTATCTATATATGTATTGCTCCGTGGAAGTGTGTACAGGTCGAAGTCACTCTCGGCTCAGATCTTCCAGCCCTGTCCCTTGTTCACGAGGCGCATTCCGGAATCGGCGGGGAAGAAGAGACTTCCCTGCCACGATACCTTCCCATGGCGGCTTCAATTCGGGCGGATCAACGCTCATGATCTGCAGCCCAAGGTGGAGAAGACGGCGTCGGCAACCAGCAGAAGTGAAGTCGGCTAGAGAAGTCTTGGCACCGCGTAGGTTCCACTAGCGCCCCCAGTCCTACACTAAGCCTAGGATAAATGAATGAACAAAACAGTCTTGCAATTGACTTGACAATTCTCTTGGCATTGCATATTCTTCTGGTATGGCAGAACGTAGTGATGGAAGTGAAGACAAGTGTTGTTGTTGTTCCTTTATGCCCGAGGGAGTCCGAAGGCAGCGAAGAGTTGTTCCCGAGCAGATGTGATTCCTGTGAGACCACCGGCTGTCGCCGAGAAGCCCTAAGTTCCCCGACTGTGGGACTGGGAAGAGGTTTCTTCCACTGGTACGACTTGTCACAACTTCCAGTCTGTCACCAGCATGGCGCCGAGCAAGGCAAGGGAAGACCTCCGTTGACAATGGCGGAACACGCACAACTCGTTCGTGAGACAGCGTAGCACCATAGAGGTGCCTTCTCACCTTCTCTGGTCTTGATTGCCAATTGCCCGAAGTATCAGGTCCTCAACCTTGCGCCTTCCAAGCACTGTCGTAGAGCGTCCACGATGTCAACAACCACGATTATAACGTGTCCAGATCCTCCGATAGACACTCTGGATCGCCATGGATATCTCTTCGGCTACCCGATTGCACATTCAATGAGTCCGCTATTCCATCAGACATGTTTCGATCACTTTGGACTCAATTGGAGCCAACAACTCCTGCCATCCACAGACATAAAACACTTTCTTGAGCTACTGCGGAACCCCAGATTGTATGGTTAGTTGGTCCATTGGAGAATAGCAGGTCCGCCGTTCAATATTTAGGTGCTCAAGCTAATCCAGCCCCAGGCTCATCAGTGACGATGCCACATAAATTGGCTATTATCCCATATCTGGACGAGTTAACGGCGGAAGCACGCGCGGTCGGCGCGGTTAACACCATCTTTCGGCGTGGTTCGAAGTACGTTGGCACGAACACCGATACCATCGGCGTAGCAGAGAGCTTCTTTCATAATACCCAACGACCCGTGTTCCAGGACCGGCCAGGAATGGTCATAGGTGGAGGTGGAGCAGCACGTGCTGCTGTTTATGCTCTAGTCCAGCTTATGGGTTGCTCTACTGTCTATCTCGTGAATCGCGACAAGGCTGAAGTCGATGCTGTTGTGGACTGGTGTCGAACACAAGGCTACGGGGACGGGCTGATACATGTATCGTCTGCCAATCAGGCAAAGCAACTTGAAGGCCCAGGGGCTATCGTCGCTTGCGTGCCGAACTTTCCTCCCAAGACTCCCGACGAGCAAGAAGCCAGACGAGTCACTGAAGTGTTCCTCGATAAATCGCGCAAGGGTGCGATACTGGAGATGTGCTACCACCCCTCGCCCTGGACAGCGATTGCGGAGCTCTCTCAGAAGGCAGGGTGGCAGGTCATACTCGGTACCGAAGCGGTCATATATCAAGGGCTGGAAGCACAGCGATACTGGACGGGCAAAGAGATATCCGATATGCCTGTGCAGAAAGTCAAAGACATTATTGCTGGGGAGCTGAGCAAGTCACGCTTATGAATGTATGTGTACAGGTTTGTTGTCTATGAATTGTCATTTAGCGTATCTTCCACAATACAAGGGGGCTATGTATATCTATGGTATGCTGCTTTCATCCAAACGCCGTCTCACGAGTGTTGGAAGCCTGCTCTATATCTTGGCAGACTTCGCATTGTCTACTTGTCTATGCATCTGGTCGAACATAGTCAAGATGCCTGACACGCTTCCAGACCTCACGCACTGTACGCTCTTGGCCCTGGCGAGCGGTCTCCGTCGGAGAATCGCCAGCGGGTCGTATAGCAAGATACAGTCGGCTTCCAACTTTGACTTCTTCGATTTTAGCTGTGTCAGGATCTTCTGGCGGGTTTGCTGTCGTGACCAGGCCTCCCGCCTCTTGTAATATGGCGATGCCGGCCGCAACATCCCATTCCCTAGATAAGCTATCAGCATGACTCTCCATAGTGTCTGGAAAGTAGTCACGTACCAGCATCCGCCCTCCCACCAAATATCAAACGATCCCATGGCGCAGTACGCTAGATCCAGGGTGGCAGAACCAAGACTCCGGACACCGTGGACCATACCACCCTTGCCACCTCTACCACTGATCTCGGCAGCCATATTCACGAAGCTCTCGACTTTCCGATGAAGATTGCTATCAGGTCGATCTCGTCTATCCTTGCCCCATTCACACGAGAAAACACAACCTTTTGGAGCATCTTTTGGCATGGGCGGAATGGGGTTTCTCAGTAGCGGTAGTCTCTGAGTCTCATTGAGCCAAGCGCCTTTCCCGCGACAAGCTGAAAATGTCTGGTGCATGAAAGGTGCATTGATCACACCAATGACTGGTGCACCTTCAAGCAAGAATGCTATAGACACGCAAAACATGGGGAATATGTGGGTATAGTTGACAGTCCCTGACCTTAGTCAGTACAGTGCGGTGATCGCATGGCAATACTATGGCAGACATGCTACTCACCATCTAATGGGTCTACACACCATGTAGGGTCCTGTCCAATTAGATAGTCTCTTGAGGCTCCTTTACTGTACGCCTCTTCACCCACGAAACTATGTAAAGTCAGCGCGAATCAGATCAGATCTACGCCATCGAGGGCTATGTCATATGGCAGACAAACGTACTGATGGGCGGGAAATCTGCTTTCGATCTTCATCTTGACGAAGGCCTCGACGTCTTTGAAGGTTCGTGAGTAATGACTCCCAGCACGCGCTGGAGGTGTACAGCCAGGGCAGAGAAGAAATCCCAGATTACTCACCTTCATCGGTTTGGGTGACAATGTCAACAGAGCTTTCCTTCTCGACCTGATCGACCAGACCGTCTCCATTGCATCGTGCACGCCAGGCATCATCGAGAAGCTTGCCGGCATCTTTAGCCAGCTGCAAGGCGAACGCATACACCTCTTCAAGATTGACGTCGTCCGTTTGCGGCATAGTCACCTGACATTGATTTGTGAGAAGTAAATACGGTAGAATTCAGTGGTGGTGAAGTTGAGCACTTCCATCGCTGGAAGAGCTTTCTTCCGGTCGAAGGACTGATCTCTCACTGTACACACACCACACGTTTGAAGGAGTTGTAGTACGATGTAGCTTAACGTAGACATCACAGCACCGCTGAGATACCAGGAACCATGGCCAAGACAATCCTCCTGATCAACGGCCCAAACCTCAATCTCCTTGGTACTCGGGAACCTCACATCTATGGCAGCACTACCCTATCAAACGTTCAGGACCTAGCAAAAGCCCAAACAGAAAAGCTGGGCCTCGAACTGCACGTCTTTCAATCGAACTGGGAAGGAGCTATCATCGATCGAATTCACCAGGCTCGTGGCAACTGTGACTTCATCATCATCAACCCCGGAGGCTTGACACATACTAGCGTGGCGCTTCGGGACTCTCTCCTAGGCGTCGAGATACCATTCGTGGAGGTTCATGCAAGTAACATACATGCTCGAGAGGCATTCCGCCATCATAGCTACCTGAGCGACAAGGCTGTTGGTGTAATCTGCGGCCTTGGAGTCTTTGGCTACACCGCTGCGATCGACTTCGTGGCTTCCAAGTTGGGCGCAAGTCAGACGGGAAGGACCGAAGGATGAATCGTCGACGCATCCCGTGGCTATCGTCGGAGATATGAGCTTGCGGCTGGAGTCGTGCTTGCTCATATGACGTGCGGGATGGCTGGGACGAAAGCACACCTAGCAGACTAATCCAGCTCAGCTGCGTGAGCGTCATACAGTGCTGCATCGGTTAGGAAGCCACAACTAGGACGTAGATCGTCCGATGTATATTTCTGGAAGTCTGCCACAGGTTTCAAAGACTTATAGATTGATGCAGATCCGTAAGGGTCATTTCAATGCTTTGGCAAGAATGCTTTTCGTGGCGTACCTGACAGGTATCTATATACAGCCGAATATGTACAAATTCTTATGTTCATGTCATGTACGTAGCTCCACCCTGGTGCTAACATCACGCCAAGGTCATGATCGAGGCATGCTCAAAGGTCGTCGTTCGAGCGAAAGATCTTCTTCCGACTCGCCAATCTCCGACGGAGGATTCAATGCCAGACCGCCTCTACTATACATCTCCCTTGTATCTCGTTCGTACAGCGTCGATCTCGTACTCGACTGCCGCGAAGGCGTCTTTGGTCCCGAGAACGAATTCGTCGGCGCATTATACTGCCTGTCCTGGCTAGTAGCCCGCTGGTGCGTTGTCGAAGCTGGTGTGAACCCGTCACCTCTGTTCTGGTATCCTACAGATTCGGTAGACGTTTGGCGATGATACCCTCTTCTTTGATGCTGTTCGAAGTAGTCCTGCGGTTGTTTTTGTTGTACACTAGCGCCCTGGTATGAGACCGGAGGTGGCGACGGAGCATTGAAGGCTTGCGAGACATCCGGTGTCACACTCCCGAAGTATTCTGGCGGCATCACTCCCTTTACATAGCCTCCGAGTGGCGGCGATATGCTTCGTCCCTCATTTACGTTGGTAGTACTCTCGCCATACTTCAGTGGACTCCGATATGATTCATCGGGGCTCGATAAAACAGTCGAGGGTGACTTCGAGCCCAGATCTATGTTCAATGCCTTCAGTTGAGGCTTCTGCATCTCGAAGACTGTACTTTGGTGGCCACGGACGTGGTCGTATTTCGGCGCTTCGGCTCCAGGCTGTGGCGTTGCTCGCATGTTGTCTTGTCGGGCATCAAGACTGACAAATTCCTGCCTTTCACCAGAGAACTTGTTGCGTATGAACTCGCCCCATCCTGTGATGACCGATGGACGGATCAAGAATAGGAAGACCTGGAGTCCCGTCAAAGATAGCAGGAGCAGGACGGCGATGACTGTAGGCTCGTTAACCAGCCAGTCGCTGACCAAATGTAAGCACGGTTCCTTATCTGTCGGGCTGAATGCTAGGCACTCTAGCCAGGGCTCGACCTTGGCGAAGTCATGCGTGAGCTGAGCCTGCAGGCTGTCCAAATCCACGAAGACGATCGAGAAGAAGACTACATCGACCAAAATGATAGTGACGATGCAGATACCTCGCCATTGTAACCAAAGTACTTTCTTGAGACGCTGATAAACAGCTCGCGCGGTCTGTGTGCGTACGCTGCCATTGAAGGATGGAAGCCCAGAGCTTGATCCGTGGGTGGAACCTTGCGCTTGGTCGCGCCACAGATTCTTGAGGTACACATTGATGCAGTATCCGAAAGTCGCAAGCTGCAGTATACCAGCCGCACCGGCGAAGCCCAACAAAGGTCCCCAAAAATCCTGCATTGAGGTCTCGTGGTTGACGTGACAAGCAGAGCCGAATCGAAAGCTCACGCCCGTCACGGTCATTGTGGCCGTGAAAAGTACTGCTGGTATGCCCCAGCCCAGCGCCTGCGAAATGTAGAAGAACTTCTTTCCGGGGACGATATCGAAACAGATCTGTAGGTTCATCGATAGTGCTCGAATGAAGATCCACATGGTTGCGGAAAGCCCACCAGCTACGATGAATGCTCCGCTCCACGCACACTCGGTCGAAGAGTACATGTCGTTTGGTGTGATCTGGTCATAGCATTGTTCCGGTTGCGCCGCGAGCGGTATGGTGAAGCCCAGTGCTATCATCATGACCGAGACTATCAGACATACTGATAGGTAATGGCTTCGGGTCTTCTGCGCCGGTAGTATGATATATGATACAAGCATGAACACCAGCAGTATTAGTCCAGTTACATTTAGCCAGTCTGCGACAGTGTTGAATGTGTTGAAGGAATCTGAGTAGGCCCAATCGCTCGCAGGGCATGGTAGGCAGCAGGTAGGGTTTCCGGGGAGGAGTCCTGTTAGTGGTGCGCAGAATCGTCCTTGTATGACTACGTGTGCGTCAGCAGTCTGACGTCTGAACAGCCAGTGATCCACTACTTACAGCCACCATCCTGTGGAAAAGCAGAGACATCGTAAAAGGGCGCCACGCAACCACCTCGCAACGCCGTCTCATTCGCCATGGTGAGTTCTGTCCTTCCAGCTCAGACCTCAGCACTAGAACACTCTTCCAGATGAGCCAGGTGTATGCTCGATTATAGCAGTGACCGAATTAATAGCGAGCCTGCGCTCTGTATTTGTCTTGGATGATCGTATGTACAGTGTCGACGTAGTTGACCGCTCAGGAAGACATATTTGAGGTTGCTCCAGGCACAGTGATGCGGTCTCCAGTAAAGGTTTTGCGGGTCCAGACGTTACAGTGGCGTTGATGGTGGATGGATACACAGCGGTACCATGGACCAAGCGTCCAAATTATCAAGAGTAAAAGAGTGTGTTCGTCGTCCCAGGTACGGCGCAGAGTACAGTGAATGAGAGAAGCAGTATTAGCAGTACGAAATAGAGCAGAAGAGGGATGCGACGGAAGAGGAAGAGATGTCAGCAGCCTTGTACGGTGCACAGAACATGATCGTCCACATCTCCCCCACTTGGCCACGCGAATGAAGGATGTCCTTGGCCTACCAAAGCGTGCAAACCATGTTCGCGACCTGCCCCTTCACGCCCGAACTGGTGGCATTCGCGCGGATGCAACCCAGAGTAGTGCACCAGGGCCCCAAGCCGCAGATAGTAGTGTCCTTCGCGCAGTCGCGGACAGAAACGCCCATGCAGCCGTCGCGTCAGTCGCCAACGCTTGTCGAAAGCGGAGCCGACCATGCTGAGAACCACTGGCCGGTCGCATGAACGGGATGGCGTTGGTCGCCCTGCACAGGACAGCGAAGGAAGTTCGCTACTACTGTATCGAGGCGGCTGGCCACTGCCGTGCAGTCAGTTGCTCAAAGATCCCAGCGGCCAGTAACGACGTGCATAACGCTAGCGTCCTACAAGCGTTAGCTCTAGTCTTTCGGACCTGCATATCCCCTGCATCTTGTTCTCTTGGTATCTTGCTGCACAAAATGGCCTGCGAAACGTGATTGGACCGTTGGTGATAATTGTGACCAGATGGCATTCTCTAGACTCTGGACAAGTAGGGGCGATACTTCGACTGTGTCTCTCCGTATGCGCAAGTTCACGCGAGTGACAGCCCACCACGGAAACGTGTCGTGGCGTTGCTTGATCTTCGATGATTTCCATCATGGGCTTCGGGTGTCAATTTCTGTTTCATCTCGCGTGCTCGAGGCTCGTGCAATCCTTCGCGACGGAGTCCGCCGGTCTAGGCATCAGCTCCGTGCGCCATTTCTCGTAAGACTGCATGTCATGGCGAGATGCCACAGCACTGCAGCAGTCCCACTGGAAAACTGCTGTACTGCGCCGTGCCCCAAAATACAAGCGCGCAAGAAATGGTCCACTCCCAGCCGCAACGCGCGAGCTGAGGTGAAGGCATTCAACGCTCGACGTCGGTCCAACAGCCAGTGGGAACGGCGAAGAGGCTTTACAGCAGAGAGTCATGCATGGCGTCTATCATGCCGCCGCCTCGCCGTTGAAAGTCTCACCTCGGCTCTCACTAGCTCCATCACGACTCGACCAATACAAACATAGAAGCCTCAATTTCGCTTCCGAATGGCCGTCTTCTCTAGAGCTCCTTTCGCTCTATATCGTCAGATCAGCTTGCCGTTTGCAGAAAGCACGAGTTTCCCAGTGTCATGGTATTGCTGACTACGTACCGCATCCAGCAATTTACAGAGCCAGGGGATTGGGGTACCCCTGCGTGTTGGGCGAGGTGAAGGACCGTTCTGGACGAGGGCACGCGATCAGGTAACGAATGCGTGCGGCTACTGGAGCAATGGTAAAAGACTATACCACTTCAACGATACGATGTCGGGAGTCTCGTCCCGGCAGAGACTGCTCTCTCAACAATCTCACTGGCAAGCACTTCCGCATGATCTCAGTGGCTTGGTGTCTTCTGCGGCACATGGTCTACGTGATCGTAGGCGCCGCAAACGGTTCAACGGCACGAGTCCCAGCGATACAGAATGCTAGAAGCCCAGATCGACCGTCACAACTGTTTTGCTTGCCGCGTCGACCTCGGAGAATATCTGGCTACCTTTCATTACGTGATGGGCTTGCTGTAACATATGCTACTGGTAAAGCATTGCTGGATTTCTGCCGCTTTGTGCAAGATCGAGTAACTTTCAGTCCGTGGAAGAAAGCATAGGCACTTTCGGAATGGTTCAAACTTGAGGTGAGTATCGAGTGACGAACCCGACCTTTCCGTTTCGAACGTCTTCTGCACCCTCTTCTATCTAGGACGTGCAATCCTAGCGACGGCACGGTTCTAGTTGATTGGTCGCCGGCTGACGTGCTGCGCTCTGCTGCCCAGCGGGAGCGCTCGAATATTCCCAGTCAAGTATCCTCTTTGTAGACGTCCACGGCAACATGTACGACAAAGAGACCGACAAGTATCTATCGAACATTCCCGTTAGTCCAGAGCTATCAACGAATCAAGTCGCGCCAACGTCTACAACAAACATTGCAAACAAGACCTATATAGCCCATCAGCCTGTCCGAAAGGGCAACAAGCAGTAGAGCACTGACTTACCAGCAAGATTAATAATATCACACAATAGACTTCCCAGCCACCAGCGTGTACTTTACCAACACTCATAGCATGCTGCTGACGATAAAATCTGATGGCTCCGAGGAGGATCATTAGGATCGCGGCGCATTGTAGGATACCTGCTATAGGCTTGCTGAGGATGTAGTAGCCAAAGGTCGCAGATGGGGTTGGGCTATGCTGGAGTCGGTAGAGCTGTGCGACTGTTACGCCGAGGATAGATAGGGCTACTGAGGTGCGTAGGTAGCCTAGGAAGGTACGCTCGTTCGCTACGCACTGGTCAGAATGATGTTGTACTTGAGTGAGTGGCGATCCGATGACAACATGCGCTGGAGTAGTCTCACGTGGACGCACCTACCTAGGTGATCTCGGCAGTCCACATGAGGTACTGCTATCTGTACATTGTGCATCCATAGCTTCTTTACGCCACCATACCATAAGGTCCGAGGTAGTCCAGGACTGATAATCCGAGAAAGGCGTCCTTGCTTTGTCGCTTGGAGCTGAGCCGGTGTGCGTAGTTCGCTAGCTTCTCGCTCGTCGTCCGTATCCTCTTGGACCGCGTCACCATGATCTCGAACATGAGCTGCTTCCGGCTCTGGAATTTGTTGGTCGCCAGAAGGTTGACTGGCTACTCTATCCTCGAGTGTAGGCAAAGCAACTGACATCCCAAGCTTCTAATCCTAGCATGAAGGTCTGAAAATGTCATTTGGCTACAGGCCTCTCTTCGATCAGTATCGCTGTCAATGCAAGGTATGTGAGTGTATAGTGGAGACGTGACCCCACACTTGACCTCGAGCATGTGATTCTCGAGCTTGGACGCTCGATCATCGTTCATTCATCCACGTCCATCATAAGTCTATCTCATTACATCCTCCAAGAGGCATGTTCGGAACGATGACGGACGCACAACAGCTATTCGACTACGCACGAAAACAGTTTACGGAGATTGCGGACGATGTGGAGAGGCACTTTGAGCAGGTTGCTGGGCAGCTGAGGGAATGGATGCCTGCGGACACGCCTTTCGCCAGACAATTACCTGTACCAAAGCGACTTCCTCCACCCACGACTCTCCAAATCGTACAGCGATGGATTAGTAGGCATAAAGGCCTCTCAGCCGCCGCCATCGCATTCCTTGTCACGGGATCAATAGGCACATTCATCTACATCCGGAACAATGGCAGCAAGCGGAAGCGGAGGGCGCGACGAAGTGCCAGTGGTGCGAGGACGGATGTGGTAGTCATCGCGGGTGCGGTGGCGAACCCGATTACTAGCGGGCTGTATTTGGATCTCGAACGGAGGGGTTTCGTAGTATATGTGGTGGCCAATACAAGCGAAGATGAGCAGTACATCCGGGCCCAATCGCGGATCGACTTGCTACCTCTTCAGCTTGACTTGGTCGACCCATGTACTGCCCAGGATCAAGTGGCTCGCTTCCGGGCCTTGCTCGAACGCGACCACCATGCTTTTGATGGCGCCGAGCCGCACCGCCTGCTTATGGCCGGCTTGATCATGGTGCCGGATACGCAGAGTATGCCGGCCCGAATTGAGGATATTAGCTCTGAGGAATGGAGCGACGCCTTGAATGCTAAGGTCCTGAACACCATCGCCACCACTCAGCTGTTTATGCCGTCCATCATTGAGCACAAGGCCAAAGTGCTCCTTCTCACGCCCTCTGTCACACCTGCTCTTAGACCACCTATGCACGCCATTGAGAGCACGACATACGGTGCTCTGGAGGGCTTTTCTGCATCAATGGCCGCTGAGCTGAAGCAGGACGGTGTCAGTGTCTCTCAGTTCAAGCTTGGTAACATCGAGATCCCGTCCGTCACTATCAAGCAACGACGAGAGGGCGTGCCGCAGCCTAGGCTAAAGGGTACACCTCTACGTGTACTTCACGACTCTGTCTTCGATGCGCTCGTCAGCCAGCGACCAAGCAGGACGTTCCACGTCGGTCGCGGAAGCCTTGTCTACAACATCATCGGCAGCTGGATGCCACCCACCATCATTGGATGGATGATGGGTGCCGGTAGGAAGCCGGAAGTCGTACAAAACGCGAGGGATGAAGCTATGCAGAGCAGTCAAGGAAGTTTGACGTGGGAGAGAGTCGAGCAAGAAGCATGAGTGCTTTTAATGAGTTAGTGATCGGGTAAAGGCTAAAGGCGTTGATCTACAGGCATGATACCACACTCCGTAACGCCACGAATGCAAGACTCCTCTTCACCTGCACCAACTAAACGCACTGTATAGATGCGTTATGCCATGTGCCATATGGGCGTGTTCCACTTCAGTCGGCAGGTAATGTTCTTGCCAAGGTGAGACAAAGAGTGTCGTCAAGACAAGACATTCCAGATCCTTTGTCACCATAGTCATGATTCTAGTACCCAAGCCGGCATCTCATCTCAATCGAACAAAGAGGTCACTGGTCGGGGAGCCGTGAGAGGGCTCGCAACACCCCAAGATATAAGACTCGTACAGTATTTAATCTGCTGGAACCTCCTATCCCGTGCTTACACATAGCGCTGGTCGCCATCATCGAAGAAACCGAACATTGTGAACGTACAACCCGCAGCAATGGCTCCAACTACCCGTCGCAATAGCATCCTAGCAAAGAAAATCGCAACACTCCAACTCACCCTCGCCCCTCTCGTCCCGCTACCCTCTGGCCCACCTCACCCAGCCTTTCCAAGAACCCTCTTGGCATTCCACCTCCTGACCGAAGACGAATTGGACAGCATAGCGCACCACTACCACCAATCCACCCCTGGCCCCTGGACCCAACATTACCCAGCCAAAATGAATTGGGACAAAGAGTTCCTCGCCAAGCCCACATCGATCGCGGATTTCAACAGCGTCGCCACGGCTGCCAGACGTCTGAGTCAGCAGGAAACGGACTTCTTGTCCGATGTCATGAAGACGGTGGAGGATCTGCAGAATCCCGTCTTACCTTCTCAGCCGGAGGATGAAGGCAATGGCGAAGGCAGTAGTCGGAGAGTCAACCCGTATGCAGGTCTAAGTGAGAAGGATAGGATTAGGATCAAGAGAAGGAAAGTGGGCAAGTTCATTGGGTTGGTGGGTATGGAGACGCCCGCTGAGGAGATTGCGGGCAGAATTCAGGCGAGTCTTGATATGGCGGTAGAGCGAAATCGGGAGGAGTTGAGGAGGAATGAGGAAATTATGTTGAGGCGGAAGAAGTTGGCTTGATATCTTTTAGACATGGCACAATTTGGTTAGTGCCTTCAAATGTGGAATGCTGCCAGGTATATCATGTGCTGCCATACCACTACATATAAACGTGCATGAGTGAAGCGACCTCTGCCTTCCATCTTGCCAAGTCTGATGTCGCACGCTCGATCAACCTCGCTCGCAGTTTTGCACGTGTGATCTATCCTTCTTCGACATCCAAAAGTGATCCGAGACTCGAAAACGTCCTATACTTTGACTCGTCATCTCTCACAATTCATGACTGGATCCGCATGCATAAGTGTGGAAGCCGAAATATAGGTGTGCTTTCCTTCCGAATCTGGCCTACTGTGGCGTTGCGCTCGCACGACAGTCATACGTTCCGGTCTGGAAACTTCCCACAGCGCTAGACTGACTGTCGCGAGAGCTCGTGGGACTTCACAATGACGCAGAAAGCTGTGTACGACGGGGAGGGTGCGAGAGTCGAGGACAACGTCATTGTCCATTGGTTCCTGCTTCAGCCAGCGCCAGCACCAAAAGTTTTTTGGCCTCGGAGCTCCGCCGGCCCTGTTGACCATGACCAAGACTATCCAGCACCCCCTTCGCCACCTGCACAGCCTCCTCCGGCAGACCAGCCAACTTCGCAACCTTCAAAGCATGACTCTCCCGATTCACGCCCCTCCTCAGCTTATGCACATAAGCCCAACTACCATCTGTCTCCTCAGCAACATCGGTACAATAACAAGCCAACTTCTCGAAATCTCTGGTCATATCCGCCAATGCATGGAAGTGCGTAGCAAACAACGCTCGACACCGGTTGACATGATGCAAATGATGCAAACAAGCATAGCCCACCGCGATACCATCTTCGGGCGTCGTCCCACGACCAACCTCATCCATGATGACAAAGCTGCGAGGTGTAGCTTGTTTCAGGATTTCGGCCGTTTCTAGCATTTCGACCATGAAGGTTGATTGGTCTTGGTACAGATTATCTGCCGAGCCGACACGAGAGAAGATCTTATCGACGAGGCCGATGGAAGCGTAGTCTGCGGGTACGAAGAGACCTGTCTGTGCTAGGATAGTTACCAGAGCGTTCTGGCGGAGGTAGGTGCTCTTGCCTGCCATATTGGGGCCGGTGATGAGGTAGATCTTCTCTTTGTCGCCAACTGTGCAGTCGTTCGATGTGAACGGTCGGCCCTGAGTCTTGAGCCCCAGGTCGACTGTGGGGTGGCGGCCGCCTATGATATGGTGGGTTGTGGTTTCGTTGAGGATGGGACGGACAAGATTGCGTTCTTTGGCGATTGTGGCGGAGGAACAGGCTACGTCTAGCTCGTCTAGGACAGCAGCGTTGCGGCGGAGTTTCATTAGGTTGTCGATGACTTGTGCACGCAGTTTGCCGAAGACTCGTTCTTCTTCTGTGCGAACACGTAACTTGCAGTCGTCTATGCGGACGCCGAGGTGTGTCCAATCTGCGAGGTAGAAAGATCGTGTGCTCTTTGTTGACCCGATCACGCGAGCACCAGCTAATGCTGCTAGATTGCCATTAGCATCTTTGCCTTTGATATGGCAGAAGTGGCCAAGTTGCGCGCTCCAGCGCAGCGTCAGACTCTCAGACTTCAGCTGGTTTCGCAGGCCTGCGGCCAATTCGCTTTTCATCTGTACGAGCTTGTCCAGGTCGGCATGAGCACGCTCCAGTGTTTTGGATGCATCTCTGCGCATGATCCATATTTCACTGCTGGTCTCTTCTGTTGTCTTGGGCGTAGCTTTCGAGGCACGCTTTCCACGCTTTGGCGCTTCCTCACCTGCCTCTTCAGCTTTGATCACTCCCTCGACCACGCTTTCCGCTTCTTCCTGCTGTTCAGCTTCGATGGTGTGCTGACGTGTCAGAGACTCCTCGTCGATAGCGTCTTCGATGACTCTGGCTAGCTTAGCAGGTCCTTCCAAGTCGAGACGGTGCAAGATGTCCCACAAAAAGTCCAGATCCATGGGCCGTGCGTTAGGCTCTTCGGGTGTAACCTCTAGAGGCTCCTGACGTGCTATGATATGGTCATGAAGGAGCTCTGCCACCTGACCCATCACGTCGACAGTCCTTGCGAGGTTGAGGAGATCATCCGCGTCACCTTTGCCAATCGAGAAGCGCTGCAACAGCCGTAATGTGTCTGCAGTCTGCCGCAGCAGCGCAACGATATCTTCACGCAGCGCATCGCTGCTGAGCAATTCCTGAATAAGATCGAGTCGGTCATTGATCATAGATAGGGACATAGATGGGGCTACGAGTCGCTGGCTGAGCAACCGAGCGCCACTCTTGGTCACCGTGTGCCGTACAGCATGCAGTAGACTGCCTTGGAGTGTGCCATCACGAAGCGTGCTACGTATCTCGAGACCTCGCAGGCTTTGCTTGTCAATAGACATGTACTCCTCATCCGACTTCCGCGTAGGTGGCTGCAGTCGCAGATTCGTGACCACAAGCTTCTCACGAATATAGTCCAGTACTTGACTACCGGCCGCAATTTCTTGCGATGCGAAGTCTCCGATCTTGTCGTCTGCCACGGCTCGCTCCAGCATCGGTGTCCAGTCTGAGACCTTTGTGATCCCAGTCGTAGCAGCGTGGAAGTGCATAGCGTGATTACCATCTCCGAGATGCTTCTGCAAACGTGGTTGGCCTGCATCCTCAAGGCCTGCATCGAGCACGATCTCGCGTGGGCAAATCCGCGCGATCAGGCTTGGTAGGGTGGCCAGATCGCTGATCTGTGTGTTGAATTCGCCACTCGACAAGTCAACCCAACTAAGGCCGACTTTCATGCTACGAGCATACCGCTCATACGCTCCTTTATCAGAAGCCTGGCCTGTCGGGCTTGGTAGCACGCCATCAAAGTGCACAGCCAGAAGGTAATTGTTCTCGAACGGATCCATAAAGTTCTCATCGATGAGTGTGCCCGCAGTCACCACTCTCGTGACTTTTCGATCATACATCGGTCCCTTACCAATACGCTCTCCGTCAGGCAAACGGATCTGCTCGCTAATGGCGACTTGCTTTCCGAGATCCTGGACGAACATCTTCAGGTAGCGATCTAGTTGAGTATGCTGGAAGCCAGCCATCGCCACATCACCAAGCGCTGTAGCTCGTTTGGCCCTTTTGAGGTTGACCAGAGGAGCATATTCATCGACTTGGTCGAAATACATCTCGTAGAAGTCTCCCACACGAGTGAGGACGACGCAGTCGGTGAACTTCCGGACATTGTTGAGATGTTGTTGTAGGACTGGCGGGTATGATCTGGCCTGGACTTTCTCGCTCTCATCCGGAGGTAAAGGTGGTAGTATGCCTTGTGGTAAACTGCTGGCTTTGACAGTTGTCTTGGTCTTGGCGCCTCGCTGCCATGTCGTCGGTACGGCACTCTGATGAGGTCTGAGTGGCCTTGGTTCGTGGAGTGTCGGACGAGCTGACACTGATCTTAGTCGTACAGCAGCACTACATAGCGATGTCCGCAGTCTCATGAAGGTAGAGTGATAACCACACTCAATGGCCTACTCCGAGACCATCAATAGGATCTTGACTTGTCGAAGTTCCAGGAGACGCGACTTTCGCGATCCTTGTCCGAGCTCAATCGCCCCACAAAGCTCGTGCCTTCCCTTGATGTCATCTCGATCAAATTACGACACATGCCACTTTCTTCAGGCCTCGGCATACGATTACATCGACATCCTTCTTCACCTAGCAACACCACACACCACAGTTGAACGGACGCCCCGCACGACCGCAATCATGGCACAACACAACTTCGCCCCTCTAAAAAACGACCTCCTCCTCCGCACCGCCCGCGGCCAAAAAGTCGAACGCCCTCCATGCTGGGTAATGCGTCAGGCGGGACGCTACCTCCCCGAATACCACGAAGCCAAAGGCAACAAAGACTTCTTCGAATGCTGTCGCAGCCCAGAAATAGCTTCCACTTTAACGCTCCAACCAATAGACCGCTACGAAGGATTAATAGATGCCGCGATCATATTCTCGGATATCTTGGTCATACCGCAGGCGATGGGGATGGAAGTCGTGATGGTGCCGGAGAAAGGGCCGCATTTCCCACAGCCGTTGGAGGGGCCTGAGGACCCGCAGTACAAGGAGGTCATGGAGAGGAGTGTGGATGTCAAGAAGGAACTGGACTATGTGTACAAAGCTATTACCATGACACGACAGAAATTGGAGGGCCGAGTGCCACTATACGGATTCTGCGGCGCCCCGTTCACATTGATGTGCTACATGGTCGAAGGCGGCGGCAGCAAGATCTTCCGACATACCAAGACCTGGATCTTCAAGTATGCGGACGAGGCGAAGCGGTTGTTGCAGAAGATCGCGGAGCTCTGCGTCGAATATCTGGCTGAACAAGTCGTGGCTGGAGCACAGATCATTCAGGTCTTCGACTCTTGGGCGGGCGAACTCGCACCCACGCAATTTGCGGAGTTCTCGTTGCCGTATCTGAAGCACATCTGTGATCACCTCCCCGCTCGACTCAAGGAGCTGGAGCAAGAAGTTGTGCCGATGGTGGTCTTTGCCAAGGGTGCTTGGTATGCACTGGACGATCTTTGCAAGACGAAATATGATGTCATTGGGCTGGACTGGCTACATGCTCCCGCTGAGGCGCATGCGGATGCGCAGAAGCATGGGAAGGTCTTGCAGGGAAACGCTGACCCCGGTGTTCTTTACGGAGGGCATAAGGCCATTACTAAAGTGGTGGAGGAGATGGTCAAAGGGTTCGGGGGTGGGAAGCAGGGGTGGATCGCTAATTTGGGACATGGTGAGCACAGACCTGGTTGTCTTTGGGATGAATTCTTGGAGTATGCTAACGACGTGTACAGGCATCACACCCTTCGTCAACCCGGACGATCTCAAATTCTACTTTGAAGAGATCCATAGGTTATCAGGTACATGACTCCGTGCTGTCTTGTGAGAGACTCCATACCAACCAGAAAACTTCACCAGAACTCTACCAAGAAGGCATTGTCCCGACTAAAGTCGACGTCGAAGCGGCCGAGCAGCGGATACACGATCGCAATATCATGAGTAGTGACTGGTAGTCTGTCCCACCCGGACCGCCCACCACCATAACCAGCCAACTTACTCCGTACCCTTCTTCGGCGGCTCCCCAATATCCTCATACCTACACAAACACATCAGCCAACAACTCTCTCCACACGCCAACTCACCCACGCATCAAAACCAACCAATCATCCGGATGCTCCTCGATAAACTTCTTCATCAACGCCTCACACTCGGCATTCTTCAAATTAACCAACTCCACCCCAGCCCGCTTGAGCGTCTCCTCGCCTCCGACAAGCGTGTTGTTCTCCCCCATCACCACGCGGGAGAGTTTGTACAGGATGCAGGCGCCAGTGCACATGTGGCAGGGGGAGAGGGTGGTGTACATTGTTGCTCCCTCGTAGGCGGAGGCGGGGAGGCGGCCGGCGTTTTCTAGGGTGGAGACTTCGGCCTGAATGGAGGGTGTGAGTGGAAATGGTTTGATGGTTAATGAGATGTGGCGTGGTGGCAAAATCATGGTATTTGCGAGGTACCGGGGTTTAACAAAAGCATAGATGGTATGATGGTGTGGACTTGTTTGTACGGGCATAGAGTTCTCCACGTACATGCAAAGTAGCGCTCTTCTTCTGGATTCTCATGTTATGGCCTCGTCCAAGAATCTTTCCCTCTTTCGAAACAAGGCATGCGCCGATCGGGATGCCGCCTTCGCTTGCACCTTGCTTGGCTTCTTCCAGAGCGGCCTTGAAACCTGCATCGTGTTCTGACATGCTGGGCGGTGACCAGGGTTTACAGATGGTCATAACAATCTTCACAAGGTAGGAAAGCAGTGATGGCGGAGCGAGGTGGATATTTTGTTTCATGCGTACCTGACGAATTGAGTTTTGCCGAGGACCGAGCCGCAATCGGCAAGTGACGTTGCGATGGATTTGTGGTTTCAGTACTGGGGAAGGTGATGCGACCCCTACTCTGGCGCAGACTCTCCAGCTACTCCATTAATATTCAGTACACCACCAGCACCACCAAGTCTTGCAATCTCTAACGACTAACGACACCCTCTTGGTCTTCCTTCGTTTGTCGATTGTCGTGTATGAGTAACGAGTTTGCTTGCTGTGACGAGAGATCGCGGGAGGCACGCGACGACGGGTTTGATTTGCGCGTCGAGACACCAATTGACAGAGCTGTGGGACGAGCTACTAAGCTTCTCACCGGAAGGAAAAGAGTAGAAGTGAAGTGAGCGGCAGTTTCTTGGAGCGACAAGATGGAAGGGAGCCATCGATGGCCTGGTCCACCAGGGAGCAACACACATGGTCCCAGTAACGAGTCCCAAGCTCCGCGACCTGGAGCGAGTTTTGGGTATGTCTATGTCTTTTGCCCTCATCTCATCGCTAGCGCACACACCACATCCGCCTCGGCGCTGCAGCTGTCCTCTTCACACTGCGGGTGTCCGCATATTGTAGCCGAACGAGATTGTGAAGTGGGAGGACGTACGAAGCGTCAAGCTAACACTGTCTCACAGCCCACCTCAGCATCAGACCGCACACTCGCCGCAATCGAGCCTGAGTGGGCTACCACCACCTCCTCCACCACCTGGCGCCCAGTACGCCTTCCACCAATCCTCACACCCATCACACAGCATCGCAGGTCTAGCCAACCTCAGCCAACAGTCTCCGCGACAACCACAAGAGCGTGAAAGACAACCACCCGGCTTCCCTCTCCCAGGCATCACACAAGCAACAGGCCAGCCACCCGTTCCTGAACGGGAAAGAGCACGCGAGGTAGAGATACACATCAAAGAAGAGGAGGATCGACGGCAACGCGAGCACGAACGTCAGAGGCTCGAACAAGCGCCGCCTCATCAAGCACACGCTGGACCGCCGATGCTGCATCAGCCCGTCGCTGTGGGCCCAGGCAGAGTACACGGTCCGAACGGCATTCTTGGCAATCCAGCTATTGCAGGCCCTCTGGCTCAGATACCGCTCGGTGCGCCTTCCGGACCTGGGAATGTGTTTGCGGGTGGACCGGTACAGCCTGCTCAGGGACCTCCGCCTGGGCAGCCCATGCAGGCGAGTCTGTTAATGCCTTTCGCGCCTCCACAACAGCAGCAGCAACAGCAGATGGCACAGGGTCAGGGTCAGGGACAAGGCCAGCAGCCCATCTTAAACGACGCGTTGAGCTATCTCGATCAGGTGAAGGTCCAGTTTGCAGAGGTTCCGGACGTGTACAACCGTTTTCTGGATATCATGAAGGACTTCAAGTCAGGCGCAATAGATACCCCAGGCGTCATTGGTAGGGTCAGCACGCTATTCGCAGGCAATCCGGAGCTCATACAAGGATTTAACACGTTCTTGCCACCTGGGTATCGGATCGAATGCGGTGCTGGAGATGACCCGAACGCGATTCGAGTGACGACGCCTATGGGCACAACGGTGTCATCAATGCCGCAACCTCGTCCGCTTAGCAGGCAGGATGGTCCAGATGGGCTGAGGCCTGCAAACGGCACGTTCACTCCTCAGCCTGGTGCATCGAGTAGCCAGATGATGTTTAGTCCCAGTGGTCGACCAGTTGGTCCGGCCGTTTCGGGGCAGCATCTATCGCCGTTGGAGGCTGCTAGACAACAGGAGCAGCAGGCGATGCATGCGCAGGAGCAGCGTGGGGTCAATTCTTTGCAGAGTGCTGTCTCTGCTGCTGCGGGTGTGGCCGGGATGCGCGCTGGCATCTCACCTCGGGCCACACCATTGCCTGGGCAGCAGGATGCACAAGGTCAAGGTGAGGCTGGTATGGAGAAACGTGGTCCCGTGGAGTTCAATCACGCGATCAGCTATGTGAATAAGATCAAGGTGAGTGAGCGAACTCCTTATCACACGTGAAAATGCGCACTGACATTATCTTCACGCAGAACCGCTTCGCCGCGCATCCGGATATCTACAAGCAATTCCTCGAAATCCTGCAAACATACCAACGCGAATCCAAACCCATTCAAGACGTCTACAGTCAAGTCACGCGACTCTTCAACAACGCGCCAGATCTGCTGGAGGACTTCAAGCAATTCTTACCGGAATCTGCCGCGCAAGCGAAAGCTGCAGAACGCGCCCGCCAGGCTGCTGAAGAAAGTGTGATGATGTCGAATGTACGCGATACAAGCGGTATGTATGGCAGTCCAGTGATGTCGCGTGAAGCACACATGGGCACGCCGAGTCATGGACGCGGTGGACTGCCGCCGGTCGGCAACTTTGCACCTACGCCGATCAGTAAGGACACGAAGAAGAGGAAGCCTGAACGACAGGGCACGGCGGATAGTATGGCTGGACCTTCTGGTGCTAAGGTACCGTTTGCTGGCCCGGCGGGTAAGAGACAAAAGCAGACGCATGCTGTGCCGAAGGCGCCCACCGATCTCCCACCCGTTTCACCTGCGCTTATTCCTGCTCTGCCAATGCCGCTTCCGCCGACTACGACGACTGCTGCGACGCATGACGAGCTGGCTTTCTTTGATCGCGTCAAGAAGGCTATCAGTAACAAAGGCACGTTCAACGAGTTCCTGAAGCTCTGCAACCTGTTCAGCCAAGACCTCATTGATCGCTCGACCCTCGCTCACCGCGGCCGAGCTTTCATCGGCGGACATCCGGAATTGATGAAGTACTTTGAGAATTTCCTGGGCGCCGAAGACGCAGATCTGCTCATCGAGAACAAGCCGCGCATACCGACTGGTAGAGTCAGTCTGAGCAATTGTCGCGGTCTGGGTCCCAGCTACCGTCATCTACCCAAGCGCGAAAGACTGAAGACGTGTAGTGGTCGCGACGAGCTGTGCAACTCTGTGCTTAACGACGAGTGGGCTTCGCATCCTACGTGGGCGTCGGAGGATAGTGGATTCATTGCTCATCGCAAGAATGTGCATGAGGAGGGTTTGCACCGGATTGAGGAGGAGCGACATGATTACGACTACAACATCGATGCCTGTGCGCGCACCATCCAGCTGTTGGAGCCGCTGGCGCAGCAATTGAGAAGGATGACCGAAGCGGAGCAGAAGGCTTTCACCCTTCCGCTTGGTCTTGGTGGACAGAGCGAGACGATCTACAAACGGATCATCATGAAGATCTACGGACGAGAGAAGGGCCATACGGTCGTCACCGAGCTGTCCGCGAGTCCCTACCAAGTCATCCCCGTCGTGCTCAACAGACTCAAAGAGCGTCTGGAGACGTGGAAGATGGGCCAGAGGGAATGGGAGAAGGTGTGGCGCGAACAGACGCAGAAAATGTTCTGGCGGAGTCTGGATCATCAGGCTGTGAATAATTCCAAGGGGGATAAGAGACAGTTTCAGACGAAGTCGCTGCAGAGTGAGATTGCGACTAAGCATGAGGAGATGCGACGGCAGGAGGGAGGTGCGCCGGGGACGATGAGGAGGCCGCAGTTGGCTTTTGTGGTGGAGGATGTGGAGGTCGTGGTTGATGTGGCGTTTTTGCTGTTGCAGCATGTGCATGTTACTATGGAGACGGAGCATCCGAGGCTGGGCCCGCTGATTAGGGAGTTTGTTCCTTTGTTCTTTGGACTGGATGCTGAGGTGTTTAGTGCGAAAATTCGGGAGAAGTTTGGGGAGACGCCACCGAATGAGTTGGTTGAGGAGGCGGGGTTGGTGTCTAGTGGTGAGGAGAGGGACGCAGTGATGAGAGGGAGAAAGGTGGGCAAGGGGAATAATTTGCTTCGGACTGCTCTCGATCGCGGCAGGTCTAGTAAGATGGGACGGAAGGAGAGGGAGGGGAGTGCGGTTTCTGCTTCGCGAGCGTCTACTCCCGACGTGGCGTCTAATGCCGGTGGTGACCCGGAGGATATGACGCTCGACCCACCCACCGAAGACGCTTCCGAGACTGCGAAGTCTGCGGAGAAACCGACGATGAAATGGTATGCGCATCCCGGCCAAGGCAACGAGGCAATCAACAACAACACGCCCATCGACCCCAACGAGGCGCAGAAACGAGACGTCTATCGCTTCTGGGCCAACACGAGTATCTACTGCTTCGTCCGCATGTTTTACACCATGTACGAGCGCCTGCTCAAACTCAAGCTCGCTGAGGCTGCCGTGGCGGAGACGGTCAAGCATGCGGATAAGCCGAAGCCTGCGACGGATCTGGGGATCATCGATCGACATCCTTCTGATTTCTTCCCCACCACCACTCCAGAGCAAGGAGGACCGAGTTATTACGCTCAAGTCCTTGCGAAGTTCTCCGATGTTATCAAGGGCGATCTTGAATTTAGTGAGGTGGAGGAGTGTCTGAGGCGGTTCTATCTGCAGTCCGGTTATCCGATGTATGCTTTTGAGAAGATGGTGCTTGCCACGTCGAGGTTCGCGTTGTTGGTTCTGGCGAACGAGGGGAAGGAGAAGAGTTGGGAGATTTATTGTGCGTTTCGTCGCGATAGGGTACGGGAGACGACGACGGTGGCGCAGCAGATGGAGTATAGACGAGCGGTGGAGAAGGGGATTAGGGAGGGGGATCTATATCGGATTGATTTTGTGAGTAGTACTCCTTTCTCAGAAGGAGGGATGGTGAAATGGGATCTGCGTGCTGACAAGATTGTGACACAGGACCAGAGCAAGCAAACCATCTCTTTCTTCCTCACCAGGAAGGACGATCCGGCTTACTATGACGACGCCCTCTCGCCGCTCGACCGCGATAATAAGTGGCGTGCTTATATCGCCTCCTACTCCAACATCGACGACACGGATAATGTGCCCCGCAGTGCCTTGCACCTCCCCTTCTTGCTTAGGAATGCGAGAAGTCTGGGTCTGGACCCGAAGAGCTCTTCTTTCCCGCCTTCGCCGCCGTTGCAGAGTTCGGACCCCGACGGCAGTGCTGGCGGGTCTGCGGTCGATGGTGGGATGGGTGCGGGTGGTAGCGCTGCGGCTAACGCGGCTGCATTGAATGAGCGGTTGATGAACCGTCTTCTTGGGGCCAAGAGCGAAGAGAATTTGACTTTTAGAATCGAGGTCGATCGGTATCTGGCCAAATTCGCCCCGGGGACGCATGAAGGGTGGGTTGAGCCGGAGGGGGAGAGGAGTGGGGGTATGGACGGGATTAGGGGGAGTGAGGGTGCGAGGGAGGAGAGGAGCGAGGTGATGCGGGAGAGGTTTTTGATGATGAATGGGGCTATGAAGGGGTTGTCACGCGAGGAGGTGGAGAGGAGGAATGGGAGGTTTGGGGATTTGGTGGAGAAGGGCACTGATGTTGATGGTGAGGACAGAGTTGATGGGGAGGCGGAGGCGATGGATGAGAGTTAATCGAGTTGACTTGAGAGGTATTTACTTGGGTGGAATGTGGATCTGGGACTCAAGGCGTTCAGAGGATCTTTGCTTGGGAGGTGGCTGCGCCACTATCTTGTGCTTACGGCCATGGCTAGAGCAGAAGACATCCATCAGGTTGGTCTCATGCATGATGGTACCACGGCCATATATGGAGGTAGCTTGCTTTGTGTCATGTTCTCCACACCAACCTGGATTCCTCTCGGCCGTCTCGTCCTTGTCCTTGTCCTCATATATATTTACATGATGAGACCGCGAGAACGTAAGTCAAACGAGATCGAAGCTGGTTCAAGTTATGTCTCAGTCGTGCGGTGCCGGAGAGTATAGTATTGGGAGATGCAGACCGACATGTTGCTTTCTCATCCTATATTCTAGATAACGATGCAGGCGTGAGCCCGTGGCTGTGAAGCCAGATGCGTCTTTCTCCCTGTCCCATTTGTGCCAGCGCTATGCATTTCCATATAGACCGGAAACAAAGTGGAGGATCCTCCACAGTACATGCGCGACGCTCGTTGGTATCATGAAAAGCACTGGTCGCTAGAACGCTCGAAAAGAAAGAAAGTCTCACTCTGCCCATCCATCCGTCCGTTCGTCTTATATATGTTCCCCGAAATATTCTATTAGGTCCAGCCTTCCAGTAGATGAAAGGAAAGTTTGTAAGGTAGATGACTACACACTGACTGTGCGTCGTCTTGCTTGGGCAGGTTTCTGCGCGTGACAGATGAGTAGTCGGAAGCTGGTGCCCTGCTTCTCGCACTCGCGCAGCAGAGCATGATCGTTCCAAATGCTTCTATCGTTGGAAGGCATGGCAGATTCGTAGCATGTCGAGTACCACCATCTTCCGACTTTAGCCACCATCTTCGTAATATTCTCGTCGTCGCTCTTCTTGTGTGGTTTGGTGATATTGTTGCTCCTGGCGTCCTCGAGAAGGGCTTGAAAGTTAAAGTCCTGGTCGGAACTATCACTTCGGTTCTTGTTATTATCACGTGAGGCACGGCGTTTGCTGGCTTCGTCAGAACTGCCTCGACTGCTGATGTCGCGGCTCGATGGAATGCGGCCGGCGGCTGGTACGCCAACGATACACCTCTGCACTTCTTCGAACCCACGACGACCGATCATGCGCACGAAGACATCGCTGACGTTGCGGAGACTGACATCCGGGTCACGACTCTGCATTCTTGTCTTAAGACCACGGACTAGACTTCGTGCTTTGCTGCCCATATTCACAAGATCGAGGTCGAGGGTTACGACTTCGAGATGGCCGCCTGGTCTGAGTACACGCTTGCATTCGGAGATACAGGCCTGGTATGCGCTGTCTGGGGCAGCTACAGGGAAGCGAAGCGAGACGGCCGTGAACCAGCCTTTGGGAAATGGGAAGACGGCCGATATGCTTGAGAGCGGGTAGTGTCTGTGATTAGCCGGCGGCTTCTGATAGATGCCAGGCCACGAGGTCGATCCGTTAGCACAACCGGGCCCGAGGTTGTGAACGGCAACGCCAGGGTATGTCAGAGCAACGTAATACGACCAGTCGCTCCCGAGGCCGTCCAGGATTAGCACTTTTGGCTCGTTGGCAGCATTTGAAAGCATGTTCTGAGCAGGACTGAACATGACTTGGCCGAACGAAAGCCACTTGCTCGTCATCAGAGCTGCGAAGCGCAAATTCGCGGTCCCTACTTGACTATCGCCGTCGTCCTCTGCAATGTCGAGCAGTTGTGTGTCACGCTTGAAACGTGCACTTGCAGTGAGACTGGAAACAGAGTTCCGAATGTTGTTGTTGGCATCAGGCACAGACGCTGAACGGGAATGCACGGAGAAGCGGCTATGAGTCGAAGAGCCAGTACTCGCTCGTGCAGATGGCAAGCTTGTCCGGTTTGGCTTGGTGGCCGACTCACGGAATGGCGGTGGTAGACTCGCTCTGCTTGGTACCAGCTGGGTCGTTGACTGACTGCCATACGTCTCGTATAAATCAGACAATGTATGCGGAGTGGCAAGTGGTGACATCGACGGCTGCATGAAACGTGCGATCTGCTGGGGCACACTCAGTACAGCAGGGACTGTATGAGACCGTGGCGGAGCTGGCAGCTCCGTCGATGGTGGCTGACTGTAGTACAAAGGTATTGGCAGTGCTGGACTGTTGGTGTTGTACAGCATGCTCGAGTATTGGAAAGGCGCACCGAGAGACGATCCGGTCGAAAGTGGTGTCCTTTGAGGCAGCATGTCATCAAGAAGGTCGTTGTATTCCGCCCAGTGGTCATCAAGTTGCAGCCCTGGCCGCACCAAGGACGCCATCCAGGAGGCAGTGCTCGAGCTGGTATTTGTGTAAGACACGTCAGAGTTCTTGCGCGGCGTGAAAGCGCTGAAATCCTTGCTGTGCGTCATTTCCATGCTTGTCCGGTTGGTCGACACGCTTGGTGGCTCAGTGTTCAAGCTGCTCTTCCTGTCACCCGCCAAACCATCTGACTGTGCACTGGTGCTCGAAGTGGGCTGAGAGTTGGGCTCAATCGGACTGGCCAGCTCTCGAATCTGATTGTACAATGCGCCTGGAGGCTTCACAGTCGGCCGTGGCTGCGTGTTTACAAATGGCCTGGAGAAGGATACGTCAGGTAACTTCCGATCTCGGTCGCGCCTTGAGACAACTCGCGGGATTCGTCCGACTGGTGAGAGTCGTGGTTGTCTCGGGGAGTCGTCACTTGGGTTGTCCGATGTGAGGAAGGGTGAGGCTCGCATCTCTGGAGTGATCTGTGCGGTCTCACCTTCCGATCCCTCAGGCTTCCTGAACTCCGACATGACTTCCTGATGTGGTATTGTAGTCGAGGAAGCTGCCGGTACATGGCTCGACTTGGGCGCAAAAGATTGCACGTAGGTCACCTTGTGAGGCAGAGAGGCTGACTGCGGTACGATAAGCTTTGGTGGCGACGGCTTGACCTTGATGTTGAGTCCGCTCACAGACATGCCCAGACCGGGCGGTGATGGCAGCAGGCTGGAGTGCCGATGCTCATATGGCACAACTTTGACTACACGGTGGTCCTCAGATGCAGATTCCTCCGCAAGAGAATCAGCTTGCTGAAGGATCCTTTGAACATCGGAGAGGTCGAGCGGCTCTTCTGCGTCTAGCATAGCATATGGTGCAACGTGGTCGTATGGTCGCTCGCCAGACTCAAGCATATTGTAGTCCCGGTCAAGCGCTTTACCCTTGCCTTTCGACCTTGGCGAAGCTTGTGCGCGCTGAAAGAAGTTCCACTTTCTCGATGGCTTCGTCTCTGCAGAGGGGATCTGCTTTGGTGTAGGTGATGCGTATTTCCTATTGCCGCATAGCATGCTTTCATCGCTACGCAAGTCTGTCGCCGATGTTTTAGTGTCATCGCTATCCATTGGCTGACGAGTAGTAGGGAGGTTTGTGTTGATTGGTGCAGGCATGTTCACCTGTCTGGTGTCGAAAGGCGGCAGTCGAGTGAGCGAGCGTCGCGTCGCAAGACTCGGATACCGTGCCGCCATATCGTCCTCGCTACTGTCGGACGGGAGACGCCGAGGCGGAAGTGGTCTTTTGACGGGAGAACCTCCATGAGCGCCTTGCATGGCCGACGGCAATAGCTGCAGCCGGTAGCTATCCACGGACGATGAGTTCGATGAATCGTGTCGGCTTGCTGGCATGACTTCAGAAGTCGACGTAGCAACACTGTACGTGCTGCCACTGCCACGAAGGACCATGGGCTTCTGACGTTCCCGGATGAAGTCTTCCACCTCCGAGCTATCGCCACTGCTGGCGACGCTTGACTTTCGCGGAGGATGTACGTGAGGTACGCTGACCGCCTCGCTGTCGGCACTTGGTGATCTGATGCCAGTACTACTCGCTACACTGCCGCTACGGCCGCGTGCCCCGAATCGGCCATAGCCTTCATGCCCAGTGCCAGCAACGGGTCCCTTCTTCAGCTCACGTTTGGGCTTCTCCGTCGTTCTGTTGGAGTCGGCTTTCGGCTTACGGGATAAGAAGGCGAATCGTGGTGACTTGCTAGGACTCGGCGCAGGACCAACAGCTGGTGAGTCTTGGCGGCGCAATTTATTCTCTTGCCATTGCTGCAAATCAGGCGTCGGGCCACGAGCAAAGAGTCTGGCAGATGGAGGAGGTGAGATAGCAGAGTCAATTCGTGGTGACGGCTGCCTGGACGATGACTTGGATGTCAAGCCGAAGCGTTGTCGAAAGCCTGGAGAGCTAGCGCTGACTGGTGTCTCTTGTGATGGTGTACGTTTGTGGTATGTGGTGTATAGTGTTGGCAGATCGCTCTGTACAACCCTGCTCTGCTGATATATGTCCGGAAGGCTGGGCGTACCATCCCTGCTCGGACGTAGAGGCGGGAGAGGCTTGTCTAACGAAGGCTTGCGAGGTGTGTCGACGTTCAGGTGTGCTAGTTCGGGTGGCACTTGCACCGGTGGCGTGACTTTGCGCGCAGCTGTGCTTGCTGTTGGCTTAGCATATGAAGGTGTCCTTGATGAAGCCAAAGGCCTTGCAGCCGTTGAGTGTTGATGTATCTCATTCGGCTTTGTAGACGTCAAAGCGGCCCCAGGCTTGATAGTGGAGTTCGATGAAGATGTGGAGGATTCGCGGACTGGTGGTAAGCCTAGCTGGCCGTGATCCTGTTTGCGCCCAAATGACGAGCGTTTCCGAGCAGGGCTTTCAGGTCTCATTGTGCTGCTTATATCCGAGGTTGCAAGGACGGCGGGCGAATATGTTGACGCGGAGCTTGGGGTCGGGATATGGCTGAAGGGTGAGTCCGTGTATCGTGTCGACGGTGTCGCCGACGGGGCATAGAGAGTAGCCAAGGGAGGTGTGGCAAAATTCCTCGAATCGCTCCGGCTGCGATTATTCGCGCCTCTGATATCATCGAATTTTGCACTCGGTGGCAACATGCCCAGCACGCTGCTATCAGCAACACGATGCCTGCTTTCATTCCTACTACTCATCGTCGCTCGCTCAAGCCCAAGACCATCGGCATTGAGCGGCTTCCGTATAGCTTGACCGTCAACCATCGAAGGTTTCTTTCGTAACACATTAGACCTTGGACTGTCGAAGGTCGAAGCCGAAGAGCCAGAAAAGAGTGATGGCGTGCGTACGTTGTGAGGCGGAGGAGAGTAGATGTGGCGGTGCCCTGAAGGGGCGGAAGAGCCGGGACCACCATCTTCCGAGGGCGGTGCAACCGATAATCGTCGACCTGCAGTTGAAGATTGTTGTATGGCTGGTACTGTCGTCGCAGCTCGGGAGGATGATCTTGTGCCATGTTCAGAACCCGCAATAGGTGTGATACTCCGACTGGCTCTTTTCGTCAAGACGGCCTCATTCTGGTCAGATCTCCTGGTCGCATCGACAGCAGGCGTCAATGCCGTCGATGTTCGACGATCCCGCTTCCTTTGCTCTTCAGAAACCTTTTCACTAGTTCGCTGGCTAGGTGTGCTTCGAAAATGTGATCGAAACGATGCCGACATGGCAGTTCAATGTTCTCGGATCCCTCCCACGCAGTGTAACAATGTTCCTGCAACTTCCAAGCGTGGCAACCATCAGGACATATGTTGTGCGCTTTCGTAAGATTCGTGTTCGGAGGATGCGATCATTAATATTTTGGTGTAGGCGCAGGATGACAACCGCTCTAAGATGACACAACGCCGTCAGCGACCAGCGCCAAACAACCAGCAATACAATACGAAAGATTAGGTAGCTAAGTATAGTAGAATGTAGTCGAAAGACAAGAACCTACTTTGAAGGTTTGTTCTAGCAGGCTGCCAGAATAGTCGCATGTCGGACATGTGCTGGCCTGTCGGTGTCGCAGAGCCGCTACGTCGCCCTGCAGGCACCGCCACCTCACTACCGGAGGTACCGATACGATGTCTGCGCTGCCGGCAGACGTCGATCGAGCCTGCGCCGCAGGTTTGTGCCACAGTCGTCCGGAGTCGGGCGACTCTGTGTGACGTGGCAGAAGGACACTGGTGAGAAGCAGAATAAACCAGACGATATTTTGTCTCGTGCTGACGACGAGCTGCGATCTTATCGTGCTGTGGGGTACCGCCAATCGCCCCGTCGGGCTCGCCCTCTAGCGTTCCAAATGTTGGTTTTTGCACCCTGGTGAACTTTGATTCGCGGGTTGGGCCCAGTTCATGGTAAATCAAAGTGGACGAAGTGGATGAAATTGGGAACATAACAAGCACTCAGAGTGAGGAAGAAAGCGGAGAGGGCTGTAGGTAGAGTCACTTGAGCAAGGTCCACGCCCATCATCGCAACACACACTCCGCCGATACGCGGCCGCGTGGAGCTGAGGGCGCTTCTCCATCTGGTCAGCTAGACGCCGCGAATCCTTTGACACGAGCAGGATCACTGCGTAAACACTGGTTGCGGCTCATACAGCTCAAAGTATCGTGCCATCTGCATGCTAAAGAGATTCGCAATAGGCTTGCTTGCATGATATGCGAACCAGTCACGTTGGAGATGTGGCGAAGGTCACTTCGATTCGCTGACTAGTCATGCCTTTGCATAAGTGCTTGCATGAGCGCGGAGCCAGCGTGGGCTCATGCACGGGTCCACTATTTCGAGTTTGGAAAGACAACGTGTGGACGTCGCAGCTGACGACTGCACGAGGCTGCCTGCGTATGACGATACCTGTGCTGCAGAATGCCTGCTTGAGCAGAGCATGCTTTTGGTGGAGGTGCTGAAGTCGAGATTGAGGTTGACATGCGTCGTCCCGAGTCCTCTGTTGAGTTGCGGGCCGATGTGAGACGAAGTCGCTGACATCCAGTCGAGCTCATCTCGCGAACACCCGCTCGGAGCAATCGAACTCTCGAGACATTACTCCTCCACAATGCTGACGGTCCGACGACGGATCGTGGCAGTTTCGACAGACGCGCCTCGAGCCGGCCGTTGATAGATGAGAGTGCAAGAGCCAGAGCAGAAGGATTAGACGAGGCTCTGGCCAGGTCAAAGCCAACCTCCACTGAAGTACTTGGCATGTTAGTAGGTGTGAAAACGGCTAATATCTTGATCGTCCGGTCGAGATCGAGCACACATTTGCATGGTGGAATGTGACTCTGTCCTCGCTGGCTGTACATGAGGGCCGCCATCCCTCAAGTACAGTCCGATACTGGCGGTATGCATATCGTCCTTATCATGACAGCATAGCTTGACACAGTCTGCCACGAGGTCTCCCCACGCCCAGTGCAAAGTGGACTCGTTCTGACATTGTTTACACATTCGCCATGTGCCGTGCCGCATCTAAGCGCCGAAGAACCGGAATCCTGGTCGTCACGTCTCTACGCGCCCTGAATGGTCGAGCCTAATACGCCAGCAACGGGAGACAACAGGAGCGCGCGGTCAGGTGATTTTGTGGTGCAGGGTGGGCTCCTACCGTGACTCGTTATCTCGACCTCACCCACCTTAGATGTGCCTCTTCGTTTTGGGTACCAACATCATACTCGCGCAACATACAACCGGATGCTTCCCCTGCTCGAGTAGGGGTATGGCTCGCTGACTTCTGCATGGCGCTGAATCCGGGTTGTTGCCGTTACTTTTGGGAGTCCTGAGATTGTTTCGCTATCTCAACCATCGTCAAGCGAGGTGATGTTACGAGATACACTGCCGGCTGTTCAAAGTCATCATCTCCACCGACGACATTCGAGCCGGTCATGGCTTGGCGTAGCATCCACAAGCCGATTGGAACTCGGGCGCAGAGCACGATGCTTTGTGCCCACGAACCCTCACGCAATTGCAATGCATTTCGGTTGGCAGGGCACAGATTCGACCCGCGTGATCAGTATATCTGAAAGCTCCCGGATAGGCACCGCACTAGCCTATCTACAGTATGCTGGCTAACAAAACAGTCAGCATTCCGTAGGTATGGCAAGGCCGCAATCCCCTTTGAGGGAGCATTAGCTGTGATATTAGTAACATGACACTCAACCCCAACATACCACCACTCACAATGAGAACCTTGGAAGGATGTGTTACCGTACTCAGTGCCATCAAGGCTCAACTCATTCGCCGGAACTGATACTTGGCAATGTAGCTGTTGTGGGATATCCATGAACGACATTCTTACCAGAGCTAAGAAGCTTATGCAAAACAGTGCAGATGTAATCTCATACCGCCCCAGGTGCCCAACTCTATAGGAGGTCATTTGGGGAGGCTAATGCTCCTTCATCTTGACTCTGTTTAATTTAAAGCTCTTACGCTACCTGCCCCTCTGTGGTGAATCTATGTTCCTACCAAAGCTTGTCTTCCTGTGCTCTAAGAGTTGCTTCGAAGCGTCTCCACCTGTCACCGACATGGAGAGCGCAGCGAACGTCTACTAATATTCGTGGAGACGCTGTCGGCAGGCACGCAATTCCTTCTGTAATCTTGGCCCCACCTTTGCCTCACAAATCTTCATCTCATCCCCAACACCGATATTAGATAATATTACCGCCATGGAGTCCACTACACACGATGCTTCCGTACATCTCCCAAGGATAGCAATCACATTCTGTACCCAGTGCAAATGGATGCTTCGTGCCGCATACTTTGGCCAGGAACTGCTCTCTACCTTTGGCACGAGCATAGGAGAAATCGCTCTGATACCAGCCACCGGAGGACTCTTCACTGTGCACCTGACATACAACACTACCACTGAAGGACCTGTTGAGACACGAGAAGTACTGCTCTGGGACCGCAAGGCTGAAGGAGGCTTCCCAGAGACTAAGATCCTGAAGAGGTTGGTCCGCGACCACATCCAGCCAGAGAAGGATCTGGGTCACTCTGACAGGCCCTCCTCGAAAGTTGCGAAAGCCACGGAGTCAAGTGCACCAACAAGCAGTCCGGCTCCTGGAGCCAATGACGCCTTGGTGGCGACTGCCTCCGCTGCCGAGAGTTCTAGTGCGATTATGGGTGACAACAATTCAGAACCGACGAAAGCCGACGCAAAAGAATGCGAGGACTGCACATAAGATATGGTTATCTTGTTCTGGCGGGGAGGGAAGCCGCAACGAGGTTACGACTACTACGATCACTACGAGATTGATGATGCCTCGCTTGCAGGGCTGCCCGCTTTCAGATATGAGACCAACGTTGGCGAAATACCAAGGTCCTCCCTACTTCATAAGCTCGTGATTCTATGAGTGGGATCATTTTCTCTCAGTGAAAGTACCGGGCGAGCTAAGAGTCGATATGCAATGGTGCATAGCCGAGATTTGCTCGCAGAGCAGAAACTACTAGTCCATCAAATCTCCTACAGAATACAACCATTCGTCGATCAGTACAAAGGCCTTACTGTTCTTTCACGATCGTCCACCGTCCGCTTATGATCACCACATCTATGCACCAGAAACATCACCGCTATCATAAAGACAGCTCTCGCTCGGTCCAGAACCGTTCTTCTTCGGCTCGTCACCCTTGCTGTTGCCAGTGTAGGTGACACAGATATCCTTGACACCAGATACTTTGACATTCGAGAAGGTCGCTGTATCGCCGTAGTTCGAGTTGATACCTGGCAGGGTTGTGTCAGCTTCATAAACACCTCCACGCACATTTTAGGAAACATACCAGCAAGGATCTTGCCCGAGGATGCCGTGATGCTGTCGAGGATCACATGACGCTCATACATGGTCTTGCAGTTTCCACAGCTACGGTAGAGTTTGCCGAAATTGTCGACGGTGAAGCCGGAGACGGAGACTGTCCCTGCGCCATTGTGCCTAGATATCATGATCAGAAGTCGATCAGATGGTTGAGCAAGGGTGAGGACATACTGGAGGACCTTGTCCTCAGCGCCAAAGGCTCCACCACCTTTGATGGTAGTGGTCTCGCCAGCAGCCTGCTTCTTCACAGTAAACGCATCTTCACAAACAGCAGACCTGAGCTCATACCGTCAGCTTCCACCCAAACGTGGTGCAATACCCCTGATCCAGCAGGGAAAGAAGACATACCACCAAACATTCTCAAGCTTACACCCGCCATTACAATGCACGCCCTCAATCTGCCGTGGCCCAATAATGACATTCTTCAACGTCGCTCCCTTCTCAAGGATAAAGACGGCATCGCTGTCGCCTCCCTCCGCTTGTCCAGTACAGGAGACGCCACGATCATAGACTTTCATTCCGCCGTCGAAGGTCTGGCCGGCGGCGATGGTCTTGACGGCGCTGAGAGCTGTGGTGCCGGAGGAGGCTGGCATGCCGTTGCCGGAAGAGGCGCGGGTGGCGCGGCGAGAGAGGAGTGGAGCGGCCGTTGGGAGAGGATTGGCGATGGCGCTGGCGGAGATGGTAGTGATGAGGGCCAGGAGGATGGCGGAGGTCGTGAAGTGCATGGTTGCGCAGGTTGGACTTTGTGGGTATGAGAGCGTTCGATTTGACGGGCAATGGAGAAGGGCGAATGAATATAAACTAGCGAGTGTGGTATAGCGAGCCGGCCGCTATATTCGGGCGAGTGAGAAATGATGAGGGAAGTCTATACGGTCTGTCAAATATCAGGATCGTACGACTGCTTCTAAACATATACCTGTCAGCTCACCACCAACCACGAAAGCGAGCCAGTATGCCAAGCCGAAGAAGTGTCCCGAGCAGACCATCTATTCAGAACTCATGGCAACGGACTCCAAGACTCTGTGTTTCTCCGGGTCCAGAGGGGAGCTCCAGCCAAGAACACCTGTGGCAGAGTTGAAGCGTGTCATTGAGCTTATCGCCTGTCGCCCACTCAGCTCACCGTACAGAAAAGAAAGTGGAAGTGGAAGTTGAAACTTTCAACGACACTGGCCAAGACGGAGAAGTGCACAGCCAAGATCGCGAGAGATGTGTTTCCTCATATATGTTGTGGAAGATGTTTGTAGCGAGAGGAGAATCTCCACCCGCCAAGTCGTTTCATTCGTGAAGCGACGTGAGAAAGCCAAGACGGGCGGACGGAAGTCGGAGATGGCGATGAGACAGCTCGCGAGTCAGCATGAACTTGAACTGAACTGGCTGAGCATTATTGTTGTCTTTGACGAACAAAGTGGATCCTTCTGTCCACGATGTGTATACGCTACCATTCTATATTCCCGTCACAATTTCACCCTCGTCGCAGCACTCGCTCGTGAGTCGCCTTTGTCACTGCACCCTAAGCCCATCAGCCTTATCCTCATCCTCTAATCAGACCTAGCGTGAGAGACTCACTACACCCCCAAATACTTGGCCGCATGCTCCACATGATCATCGGCAAAAGTCGAAATGAAGAAATAACTATGATCGTAATCCTCCTGATACCGCACATTGACCTTCTTCCCCTTCTCCTTCGCCACCTTCTCAAAGTTCTCCGGCAAAAGTTGTCCTTGCTTGTAGAAATTATCGCCTGTGCCGACATCGATCAGAATATCCGTGTCGCCCTTGAAATGGCTCAGGAGCTCCGTGGCATCATGATCACTCCACCGCTTCTTATCCTCCTCGCCGAAATACCCCTTGAATGCTTTCTCGCCCCAGGGACATTTCGTCGGGTTGGTGATGGGAGCGAAAGCACTAACGGACTTGTACTTCCCCGGGTTCTTCAGGAAAAGCGTCAAGGCGCCGTGGCCACCCATGCTATGTCCGGTAATAGACATCCTCTTCCCATCCAGCTCCTTGAACTCCCCGAACAACGCATGAGGTAGTTCCTCGGTAATGTAAGTGTACATCCGATACCCATGCTTGTACGGCTCCTTTGTCGCATCGACATAGAAGCCGGCTCCGGAGCCGAAATCGTATGCGTCGTCCTCACCTGCTAGGCCAAGGCCACGGGGGGAGGTGTCCGGGTAGACGATCGCGATGCCCTTTTTGGACGCCATGTGCTGGAAGAAACCCTTTTCCGCGCCGTTGTCGCCTGTGCAGGTTAGACCGGCGAGGTAGAAGAGGACGGGGGCGGGTTTGGAGGAGGAGGCGCCGGGTGGGAGATAGAGGTTGAGTTTCATTTGGCAGGCGGTTGCTCGTGACTGAGGATGATCGTGTTAGTATGACTTGTTGTACTCTGCTCCTTGTATGATGGTTAAATATGTACCTGATGTGCGAGTTTGAGCAGCTTGCCGCCGAAGCTGGCGATGGTGCCGGTGGTTTCGAACGACATGTTGTGATATGATCAGATCTGGATTACTGTCAAGACGAGTAGGAGATTATATGTCCAGATCGTGAGGTAAAGATGGTCCTTTGGCATTGGAGTGTTGGCGGGGTTTAAAGGGATCTTGGACTTTTGACTTCATTCGAGTGACGTAGAAAGCTCCGGCATTAACGTCGACAGAGCAGAGCCGCATTAATTGTTTCACATGTTTTGTGAAAGCGGCAAGAGCTTCCATTGTGCCGAAAGAGGAAGCTATGGTTGATGGGTCGAATAATGATATTTTTGATGTCCTTTCTGCTTCAGTATCGTAACAATATTGCATGCTAATCTGAGCATGATGCGCGCCAAACGCCTCGCTAGTAGCAATCACCTCTTCCTCTATGATCCTCGTGCTGGTTATCGATATCGCTGACGATGCCTGATAACGACTCAGAATAAATCGGCCGGCTCAGAAACTGCCAATTCCTAGTTGATCAGTTCTTCGCACGTCCAGTCCTCGTACCTGGGTAGTATTGTCAGCAGGCCCGCCTGAATGAAATATACAGTCATGCAACAACATACCATCCGTCAGGCAGATACCGCCGCACGACAAGCGGCACCTTCTTCTCCCGCAGCTCCTTGATAGCGATCTGCAGCGGATCTGTCTCTCCCTCGACATCGACCAAAACAGGCGCATTCATACTGTCATGACATTAGCTTCGTCCGACCACTCCCCACCTCACAGTGTCCTCCGGCTAACCTAATTTGCAACGCCCTCGTCCCCAACACCCTCGCCCGTTCATACTTGGTCATATAAGGCGTCGTCGTCCTCTTTTCCGCCGGAATCCTCTTACTCTTCACCCCCTTGACAGTATTATCCGCCGCATTCGGCGCATTGCCCTGCTCGCCCACTTCTACCACACCATTTGCGCCAAAATCAGTGCTGTCCAGGCCTTCGCCGTTCGTGGCAGGGTTGTCGGGGTCGAGAGGCTCGCCGTTCTCGTTTGTGCCGTTGCCCTCGCCATTTGGGCGGTCGTAGTCTTCGAGGAGGTCGTCTTCTTCTATGAGATTGTCGGCGTTGTCTCTGGGACTCGCTGTTAGTTTTTGCTTGGTTGTTGTTATTGCTGGGTTACTGACTCTCCGTCGCCGAAATCGTTCATGCGATCATCGTCGCCTCCTCCGCCGTAGTCGGACATGATGGCGCTCTAATCCAATCCAACGTTGCAGCGAGTGGGCAATCGGGTGCGGGAGGGTGTGTTGCTCAAATGGTGAGAGAAGATTAAGATGCACAATCGTACCTGCTTCAGTCGCGCGCACCTTCCCAAACTTTTGCTTCACATGCATCTTCTCCAGTTTCTCGGATGTTCGGCGAAACGTGAGGCCGAGCGTCGCGAAATCTTGGCGCGCTCTTAAACTTTTTGTGGTGGACTTCGAGATGAAGCTGATAGTATTGACTGGAGCCGAAGTAGATGTGAGGAGACATGTCGACAACACCGCCCCAAGTTCGGAAGCGAAAAGCTGCCATACACGAGTCTGGTACTTTGACGCCGAAAAGAGCTCGCAAAAATGCCAGCACCAACACAACCGGCAGCGACGAGGAGAAGGTATGGGAGAGCATTGTAGAGGACATGGAAGTGGACACGCCAGCACGGGAGTACAGCGTATCGGCTTCACCGGCATACTCAATCCCATCTTCTGTAGGCCAGTCTGTAGCCGAGACCACGGCGACATCGACATCAAAAAAGCCGAAAAAGTTCTTATGTGAAGTGGCTGGCTGTGAAAAGGCATTTGACAGGCCAGCGAGAGTGCAGATCCACATGCGGAGTCATACGAACGAACGACCGTTTGTATGTCATGAGGAGGGGTGTGGAAAGACGTTTCTGCGCAATGAGCATTTGACCCGGCATACTATCGACGTGCATAGCGAAGCACGAGATCACGTGTGCACGCATGTAGTCAGCACAGACGACAGTGGCAACGAGGTGACCTGTGGAAAAACTTTCACGACCGCGACGCGACTTCGAAGGCACTTGGCGGCGCATGAAGCGAAGGAGGAGACCACATGCACTCACCCAGGATGTGGCAAAGTTTTTCGCAAGCAGGAGACATTACAACGACATATTAAGACCGATCATCTCAACGAGAAGCCGTTCGAGTGTTCGCATATGGAGATGTTGAGCAATGGTGAGGTGGAAGAGTGCCACGCCTCTTTCTCCAAACCTGAGCAGCTCAAGAACCATGTCGCACGAGAGCATTCTGGTGTCCGCTACTTTTGCGAAATTTGCTCTCCTGTACCCTCAACCAGCATGCCAGATCTGGACTTTGACATGCTGCAAGCAGCCACTGAGCGAGTCGGTTTCTCCACATACACCGAACTCCAGCAACATCTTCGCCTCGCGCATCCTCCTACTTGCGCTCAGTGTAGCAAGCAATGCGAAACAAACCGTGCTTTGAAAGCCCACATGGATATCGAGCACTCCGCTCTATCAGAACGGCAAACTCATATCTGCGACTGGCCAGGCTGTGGCCGCGGCTTCACCAAATCCGGAAACCTCAAAGTGCACTACCAATCCGTGCACAAGAAATCACGGAGCTTCATCTGCGGCGAGACGAACCTTGAGAGCAGTAACAAAGTTGAAGGCTGGAACAGAGTAGGATGTGGTCATGGCTTCGGGACGAAAGCGAATCTGGAGGAGCATATCCGAACGCAGCACCTGGGTATCCCAGCAAAGATAAAGCCAGTCCGACTACGGAAGAAGGCCATCAAAGCAGAAGAGGACGCCAGTACGGCGATGACTACGCCTACCGAGTGGGACGAGGTCATGACCCCAGCTGATGATACAGTCACGGGAACTCTGGCTATGATCACTGGACACGGCTACGATTCCCTTCCGAACCGCAGCATCGCTTGTCTCGTCTCAGGCTGCCAGCATCGTTTCGCAACCGACTACCATCTCTCCGAGCATCTGGATATGACGCACGGCTGGCAAATCGACGATATCAATGATCGGATCGCTGAGCGTGACGCTCTTGCCGGAGGCGACTTCTGGGTTGGTGGTGCGGAGAATTTGTCGGATTCTGTTGTTGATGAACAGGAGGAGGCTTTGAGGATGAGTTTGACTGCGGCTTTGACAAGAGATCCGGTGCGCGAGCGGAAGTTTATGGAGGTGGAGGCGGGAGAGCAGGAGTTTTTGGGGCGGGAGGTTGAGGAGATGATGGGGCTGAGGTTGAGGGGTGTTGAGGAGGAGAACGATTTGGCTGGTTTGGTTAGGCGTGAGGATGTCTCCGAGGGTGGCAAATATGGCGGTGGGGGGATGCATGGGTTGATCATTGACCCTGCGCTGATGGAGACGTCGTAGAAGACACGACAGCTCAGATCAAATGACGGAGGTTACGTACGAAGCATGTATCATTGACTGACATGGTGTAATGACGGTGTAGTATCTTAATAGGCATCGGAAGCTCAACGAGAAGAGACGATCCACCAGGGTCGTGTGCCTAGAGCTGAATTGGCCCATGCCTCGAGTACTTGAAGACGGAAGGCGTCCAGACTTGTTTTGCCGCACTATCTATTCTGGATACGTTACTGCATTGATATATCCTTCAATGCGGACAGGAAGTCGGCGGGTCATCTCGACGACCTAGACTACATCTCGTTTATCCTTCTCGTCTGCCAACGCCTCCTGCCCATGCAATGTCGCGGCCACGGAATCAAGCATCTTGCCCTCCGTGTTCGCGGCGAAGAAGGTCGAAACGAAGCCAAGAACAGCAAAAGCAATCACAGTCAAGTAGACAGTCGAATACGCCTGCGCATTCGCCACCTTGTAAGCATGCAGACCTGTCGCAATGATCTCCGCCGAAATACCCGGCACAGCCTGGAAAGCCGCCGCCGTCCCAGCCTCAATAGCTTTCAAAAACGCCGGCACCGAGGACACCGGTAAACCTGCCCCCACCAGAGCAGTCGGGACTTCGCTCGCAACGGTCTTGGTAAGTCGATTTGTCAGGACGGCAGAGTAGACGCTCAGGCTTATGGCTGAGATGGCGCCGCGGATCGATCCTGCGACGCCGCCTGCTACGCCGATTTCCTGCTGGTCGTGGACGATGATTGTGGCGTTTGCGAGGCAGATGGTTTCGTTCCAGCCGATGAACCAGCAGCCGAGGAAGACGAGGGCAATTTCTATGTTCTTGTTGGTTGTGTTGATTACTGCTGCGGCTTTGGAGGTTGTTAGCATGATTTCAGATAGAGACGAAGCAGGCAATACTTACAACCTAAGAATGCGCCACCGCCGAGGAACTACACAAATTAGCATCAGCTCGTTGGTTTCGGAGGAATAGTGACGGGTATACCTACCATGGCCATACATTGATACCTCACCTTCCCAACCCGCTTGCCCAGCACACCGCCAAAGATCTGGCCGCAGATGATCCCACAGGCAGGGATGCACGAGAGCCACCCAACATAGATCATGTCGCCGTTGCCATACAGCACCGCCGACTGTGTTGGGAAGATGATTGCGAAAGCGTAGTAGACACCTGCACCGATGCCGAGGAGGATACTGGCGACAACCCAACCAGTGTTCCGAAACAAGTGCATTGGCATAAAGGGTGCTTTGAGAGGCATATAGATCTCGTAAAGCACGAAGCCGACAAGGACGGCGAAGCCACCGACGATCATGCCGATGACTTTGCCTGAAGTCCATGGATATACTGAGCCGCCCTATCTTGACATCAGCATGGCCTCCTCCACAACTCAATGGCACGACTTACCCAATTCAGTCCGATCAAGAACATGACGAAACCAATCGTGAAGAGAACCGTGCCAACATAGTCATAGTTCTTGATCCAGAAAGCTTTCTTGCTTGCTGTACCTTGGTCTTTGTGCTTCATGTCAAAGGTCGGTGGGAAGTAGAATAATGCCCAGAGGACGAGAGCAACGGCATTGATACCAACGAGTATCCAGTAAGGTCCACGCCAGGAGATGGATGGGTAGTGCACTGCGAAGCTGTATGATATGATTCCGCCGAAGCCGCTACCTGGGATACAGAAGACTTGTTCATGTCAGCATCGGTATGTTTTTATGTGAGAGTGGCAGACAGGAGGCGTGCTTACCGTATAGTATGGCATTGATGAGGTAACGATGTTTGATCGGGACAAGCTCGCCCATGACGACGTGGAAGGAGAGCTGTGTTGCATTTGCAAATCCACAGATGGCATTGGCGACGATGAGCATGTTGATGCTTTTGGCTGTGGCGCAGAGTATGGTTCCGACGACTCCGACGACTGCTCCGGCGATCTGTCAACAGCGAAGGCACTGTCAGTACAAGACCATGACGCGGCTCCCGTGCTCTGTGGTGGTCACACTCACAAAGAACCATCTTCGCCCGAAGATGTCACTCAGTCTACCAACGATCGGGAGGAACACAGACAACGCAACATTGTAGATGAGAGATATCCAGATGAAGTTCGGATCTGGACCTAGATCGGTGTCGATTATACCCAGGACCGGAGCGGCGTATCCAAATTGTCCTACTGCTGCTAGGAGGCCCATGCCGGTAGCGAAGAGGGATCCGAGGAAATATTTCGAACGGAAGTATCCCATCGCGGATGTTAGTGAGAGATTCATCGAACCTATGGAGGCCAATGAGTGGTGCTTACCTGGTGGTAACTCATTGGTGTCGGCGACGAAGCCAACGACTTCTGGTTCTTCGCCATGGCCTTGTGGTAGCTCTTCGATATGCTCGGAGACCATGTCCTGTGGCTTCTCCTGTGGCTCGTACATATCGACGATTGTGGAAAGGATTGTTTCGGAAGATTCGTAGTGTTGGAGTGCTGACAAGGAGGACGGAGATAGATCAGTGTTTTATCTTACTCCAAGCATCAATCGACGATACGTACGCACAGTATTCGATTGTCTGACGGATAACGCGTACCGTATCAAGATAGCCCTGGACCTGGGCAAGAGGCGCCCTTGTTCAAGACATTGGGCACCTCAAGCGACGTACGAAGCTTGTGACTCCCATGCCGTCCGATTCTGGCAACATCCACTTGATCACCTTCGACATCTCATGGTCTAGGTCTCTCCGCAAACATGCAGTGGTAGTGCAGTCAGCCCCATGGGGTGGTAGACTTTGACTTTGGTGGCGTTCAAGGTAAGCTCGGTATGTTAATAGGCCAGGAAAAGCGCACCCGGATCAGCTAAGAGTAGCGTATCCTATCATCAGCAGATTGCAATCTTTTCACCATGCACACTAGCGGTACATCATGATGCAAGTTCTAAGTCGAAGACTTGCAACCATGTGATACTCGCTTGTGTTTCTCCGCCGTCCATCAACGTCAACCCTACTCGTCACAGACCCTTTGGTTGCCTCCCCATATTGCCGACTCTAAAAGTACCTTCGCCCACGACCTCACAGTGTATGTGCGAGACTGCATCCGCGGATCAGGCACAAGCAATGCAGCCCTAGGATCCCAAGGTAGCATCGTATGTGGACCTGCTGTGTCGAGGGTAAGGAACTTGCGTACTGGGTAGCTGAGTGAGAACAATAGTCACCCAGCGGCAAGATGGCCGTGGCGCGGAGCCGATCGACCGAGTTATGATGGACAGTCTGGCTAAAAGATGCGAATGGATGCCGTCTAGGTTGTGGCGAGCCTTATTTATTTGTCCTCAAAGTCGACGACCGTACTGCCATGGACCTGCTGCCGCAGGGCTCTGATGAAATGGTCGAAGACGGGTACGTTATCGGCGTTCGAAAGTGCTATAGGACGAAGGGAGAGGAACAAACTGCCAAGTAACAAGCCAGCTTCATGGATCGAGAAGGACGAAGCACAGGCACCAGCATATGCGGTTGCAAACGGCTTTGCACGTCTTCCTATTAGTAAAAGGCTATTCACATATACCAGTCTTCACAAAGGATGCCAGCAATTGCTCAAATCATGGTGCCCTTATTCTGCTGCTTGTCCACCCGATAGTTCTTCCATACAGCTATTGCTGGAATCCCAAGCGCCAGACTAGCCACAGCGGAGACGGCGGCATACTTTTCGTACTGTCCCCAAGCATAGTCGATCGCCACGCGTGCTGGAGTGCCTGGATTGAACATTTCTTGTGTCGTGTAGCCGCCGAGATAAATAGCAGTAGCTTGACCGGCAAGATTCTCAGGTAGCGCACGAGCGAGTGCTTGTGGGAAAGTGTTGGAGAAGATGGCTCCAGTGACAGCATCGCCAATCGCACCTCCGACACTTGAAGACAAGCTGATGAGTGATAGCATCATTGGCACGCCAGATCGATCAGAGGCGGACATGACGGCCATGTCCTGACCAATGACAAGAGTGCCACCTCCGAAGGCGATGAAGATCTGGCACATAACAAGGTAGCCGATGCCGCGGTCGAAGCTTCGGAAGTATATCATGAGTCCGGCGCCAAGCATCATGAGTGGTAGACCGAAGAACAAGCAAAAGTATTTGAAGTGCTTAGCATAGCGGATATATACGCCAAAGACACATCCCCAGAAGGTAGAGCCGACGTTGTAGATCTGCGTCATGTAGCTAGCCTCTGAGATTGGCAGGGCATAGACGACCTTGACAAAGCTGTAGTAGTTGAGATCCCAAGAGTAGAAGCTGTAATATATAATGGCGGACAAGCAGCAGGCGCCAAGGACGGTCGGCTGACGGAAGAGCTCCCATCGGATGAAGTGAGCACGAGCGAGCCACTTCTCCCAGGCCGCGAAGACGAAGAAGAGAAGGAAGCCAACGACGACCATGCCAATAAAGGACCCACTGTTGTAGGCTGCTCTGCCATAAGTCTCCAAGCTGAACGGCAAGAGGAAGAGCACGAACGCGGCGATGAGGAGTATGGCGCCGATCACTACAAAGCTGTCAGAAAGGCTTGCCAAGATCATGCTGATGCACTTACCATCAAACTCGTGGATGTAGTAAAGTACAGAGGCGCCAATCGAACGTCCACTGCGTTCGTGCTTGAACAATCCCATCTTCTCAGCCTTCCTCTGATGCCACTTGAATACGATTGCTAGCGGGATGAAAAGGAAAGGCTGGATGATGGCAAAAGCACCAAGTGCCCATCGCCAGGTGCCGGTGGTCAAGAATGCTTGCGCTGCCAATGGACCTGTGAAAGCCGTGCAGATAAAAGGCGTCGAGACAAAGGCGAAAGCGAAGGCGCGATTGCGCAGACCGGAGATGTCTGCAACGAAGATGTCCATGATCAGGTAGAGTTGATCGTAGCCGATCCAGTACAGCACGTAACCAGCGGCATAGCTACTAGGGCCATTGCTAGCGGCAAGAATGATGATGCCGAGAAGGTATACCCCGAAGGAGACCAAATATCCTTCTGCTCGACCCCACAAGTTCAGTGTCTTGGCGATCGGTAGCTTGAGGACGCCTCCTATGATGTTGGCGAGGATGCTGGCTGTCGTGATTGCAGGTGCTGTAGAGAAGCTGGCGTATGCAGCGACGGTAGCAGTACCTTGAATGGATTGCTGGAAGGCAAGCATGAAGAAGCATAGCCAGATCCTAACGGGCAGTCAGCCACGATCTGATAACGGTTAGCCCGCATGTCAAGAAACATACCAAGCATAAGTTGCATATACAGTCTTCTTGCCCCAAACCAACGCTGCAGCTTCGGCTTTCTGGACACCTAGTTCTGCTTGTTGCGTGATTCGATCGGGGTGCTGCTGGACCTCCTTCTCATTCCTGGCTTCCAGGCTCAAAGTATCCGAGTCACTCGGAGTGGCGGTCTCGATGTCTGATGGCTCATCCTTTTCGTCATATTGGCTGGCTCCGCCTGTTATGTGAGGCTCCTTACGCATTCGGACTGTGTTGATGAAGCCCATCTTGAGCGCAAGTAGGGAAGCAGAGCTGCGCAAAGATCAAAGGGAGAGCACGAGGGCAAAACAGCGCGCAGAAAAAGCTTTGCACCGCTTAGATTATTGTATCAGAGCGAGGAAGCATACAAAACTTGGCGTAAAAGGTCAGCATCACGCCTTGACACTCGACCAAGGCTCGTCCGACATATAGCGATCCCACCAACGTAACCATGCGAAGAGGGTGGTCCGATATATGCGGTCATGGGTGGAGCTGGTCTTGGCCTCCCACCAAATCAAGAGATCTGATAAGCCTCTTGGCCCGTCCACTTTTCTCAACATATCGGTCAATGAGCAATTTTAGGCGCCGAGGTCGGTGGGCTTTCGATGCTACTACTTCATTTCCGAGATGCCGAGTTGGGCAAATCGACGATCTTATCTGATCGCCTTGCTTGCGCGGCCAGTCCGTAAATCGCCGAGAAAATAGCGACGGGTCCCGTTTTATATGGAGTTAGACTACCAGTCTCTTGTCGCGTCGTGCGCGGTCTCATGAACGTCCATGTCTTGGCGCAGCGACACGAGTCCGCAAGACTGGAGCAGCTGGTAGGGACGACAGAGAGAGTCCAACTTCAGCTGCAGGAAGTCCATGCTTGCAGCACGTGCGGACGGCTGTTGACGGCGAGGAAGTGCGGCATTCGGCGCTGTCGTGCTTGATGGTGAGGTTTGGCAAAGTCAGAAGTACAAGTGAGTCGAAGCAAGCTTTCACTTACTACGTGACACGACGTACAGCACTGCGAATGCGCATGAAGCTGTACTACCCATCGCTGTGGCTGCTTTGCTCTTGCATTGTAGTCATAAGTCATGGCCGACTGACTAGCATTAATCCATGCCATCATCTCATACGCTGAGTGGTATCCCACAAGCCGGCATCGTGGAAACCCTCTTTGGTGGCCGCCATCCATATGGGTCCTGCTACATGCGAACACGAAGCAGGTACCTCAAGCGAACCTGCGCCACATCGTAGCAGATGTATTCGTTGTACTGCAGATACCCGCCCACGACGTTCGTCTCGCCAGGTGCGTCGGTGGTGTCCGGCTAGTCAGCATGTCAGCAGGACTCTTGAAGACAGAAAATGGCATATCAGACTCACCATCATTACGCCCTCCAGCGATGGATGGACGCACTTCGCATCCTTCCAGCCCTTCGGAGCCATTCGACCTTGACCCCAGGTAGAATAGTGGCCTTTGCTCTTCGCAATGGAACCCGCATTGCTGTCACCACTCTGCAATAGTAGCATCGGATTACCAAGCTCGGCCTCGCACAGGAGCAGCAGCCCATAGTCGCCACTCGCATACGCGTAGCAGTAATTGGCAGACTTCGAAGACATGTCGGCGAGGTAGAGGCCTTTGTCAAAGGCATAGCCGCTGACGGGAGCTTCTGGCGGCGCGATACGCAAACCCTGACTGAGAATACCACCTGCGCAGCGAACGTCAGCATGAACATGGACACCGCAGATTCTCCGGCATCCTCACCGAAGTTAGTGGTCCTTGAACCATGCCACAGCAGTCGTTTGTCACTTGCAATGTTCGCATACGGGCTGTTCTTGAAACGGTCAAGCTCACCCTGACGCTCGATACGGAACACGCTCTCCAGCTGGTACTGCAGGTGATGGGCTTCGGTCTTGTTGAGGTACTGGCTGATCTCCGCGAACTCGGGCGTCATTCTGTCAACCACAGTCATCTCTTGCATACCAAGGCTTCGGAAGCGGAAGTTGGAAGGGTGGACCTCCTCTATATCGTCCGAGTCCTCACTGCCCTTCAGGATGTCATCGGCTTCCTTGAGGTCTGAGAGACTGTCTAGTAGCTCTGCCTCACGTTTGAGCAGATCCTTGCTGCGGATGACTGGAGGACGACCACGCCCGAAGTTATGCGGGATCAGGGAATAGTACATGTTGGACAGCTCCTCCACAGAATCAGCACTCTCCAGATCGTCGATCGCAGCAGACAGGTCCTTCAAGGCCTGGTAACCACGAGAGATGGTCGTCTTGCTGAGCTTGCCCAGAGGGAGTTTGTTTACGTCGTAGTTGTAGCTCTCCATGGCAGCCGCGAAGTAATCAGTGTTGAAGATCAAGTCCATCAGGGACTGAACGACGGGCGGCAGTGTACACTTTGCCGGACTCTTGCTTCTCGCACGTGAAGCACCAGCCGTGGTCTGCGGAACGGTGTCTGTCTCATCACTTGGCTCGTAGGACTTCTCGAGGAAGACATATTTGCCGGATTTTGGTTTGTCGAGCCGCTTCTCCCAGGTTAGGCCAGACTTATCCTTGAACTTCTTATCGAATTCCTTGCGCGCATGAGACAGGGATTCATCGCCCAGGAGCTTGCTCTGACCGCGGTCGCCTACTCTTCCCCATCTGGTCCAGGTCTGATAGTCACCGCCATGGCTCTCCAGCAGCTGGTCAACGATGTTAGTATTCTTATGGCAGTGAGCATGGCAACGCACATACCTGAATGCGGTAAAACTTGTTGTTGTTGTTCGATGCATTGGTTTGATTGAGGGAAGCATCGTAGATCATACCGTCGGAAGGATCCACAAACACACGGTAAGTCGAGAGAGGGCAGCCTTCATCCACAGGAATGGCAAGGCGTTTGTCGGAGGATGCAACTTGACCACTAGCTGCAGGCTCAGGGGTAACAGAGTCGACTTTTGTGAGCAGCTTGGGCGATGGACTTGCGGCAGCTTCTTGAACTTTGGACGTCTTCTTCGCCTTCTTCTTGCTGGTCGAGGACTTTGTCGTGGCGTATATCTGGACATCATCACCACCATCATCATCATCATCATCATCCGGCTCTGCTTGAAAAGTGTTGAGTTGATCGGATGGAATATCCGACACAAGGGTATTGCTGCCATCAGTGGTATTCTTGGCTTTGGCTTTGGCCTTGGCTCCGGTCTTCTTTTGGGGGGACTCTACTTCTTCCTTGTCTGATCCATGTGTGGCTGTTTTGGTGGCCTTGGACCTGGTTTGACGTTTGGCTTTGGGCGATTCGCCACCGCTAGTGGCGGCAGCTGCTGACCTCTTCTTTGGCGGCATGACTACTGCATGCGAGTCTGTCGCGGGTGGTTCATCGGCGTGAAGTATCGTCACAGCGTTTCTTCGCATTGGAGCATTGATTGACGTTCAGTTCCTCGTCTCGCGTCACGCTCCAGGCACCAACCAATCATAGCCGTGCTCGACGCGCTAGTCGCTAGGCTGCCGCATCTTCACGTGCACCAAAAAAGAGGTGATCTCTACCAGCAATTGATTATTGACATCAACAACGTCTGCCATGTTCAATGTCAAGCTCATCTCGCCGCAGAGAAAGAGCTTCCACATCAGAAATGCCGCCAAGCCTGGCCATGGCTACTACCACCCCTCCCATACTCGAATTGCCGCCTGAGGTCGTCGTGCACATCTCCAACTTCCTGAACACTAAGGAGCTGGGCGACTTTCGACAATCATGCAAAGCGATCGAGACCGCGACTTTCAAGGCATTTTCGAAAGACTTCTTTTCTAAACGTCAATTTATGCTCGAGCAGGTCAGCTTGCAGGCTTTGGTCGACATCTCGAAGCATCCAGTGTTATCGAAGCAGCTGTCGGAAGTCATCATCAGCACGCACAAGTTACCAAATCAGTACAGTGGCTTCAATAGGCTGTCGTCTGCTCTCATAGAATCCGGTTACGTGGACCAGGATGTTTTGATCACCACAGGCCTGGCCCGCGACATGCTTGTCCAAGCATTCTCTAATCTGACCAATCTGCGCACTGTCGGCTTACGGGACTTCGATGGCTTGGGCCGCTATCGAGATGGAATTGATGCGAGATGGAGGACTTACGGGTGGTCTTACGGAAGGGTCCCGCATGATGTGGGTCCTTACCAGCTTGAGAACCGCTCACCAGATTCGTATTTGCCCCTTATCCTCCTCGCTCTGGGGCAGGCTAGAGTGTCTGTACAAGCCATTCCGAGGGCCGTCCAGCATAGCGAATCAAGATCTCAAAACCAGGCAGACCCTTTGCAAGGTACGCGCAGTATTGTGCAACTGGATATCATTCTGCGAAGACATCACAAACTCCTGCCGCGATCATTCGATGTACTGGGAGGCTACATGGGCACGACTGTCAAGCCGATCTTGGCAGGATTGAAGCAGCTGCTCCTTGTGGTCGACAGCAACGAGCGTTATCGCTTAGTTGACCCCACGAACGATCCTCCCCCTCGAGATGCATTGGCGAACTTCTTGCACCACTGTCGACAGCTCGAAATACTGCGACTCAATTTCTGCCCAAACGACCACTATGCGGAAAGGTTCCTCCAATGGTTCGGCGCCCTCGGCACGACCGTCCTTGGTGCGACTGCCCTCGGCGCAGAGTTTGCCACAGTAATACCACTTTCGCTGCCATATTTGAAGACTTTGGACCTTGGCATGCTCGCAGCTAGTCCATCAGCACTCGTCCGAACGATCTGCAAGTTTGACTTGACCTCGTTGAATTTGTGGAAGATCACCATCGAATGTGCTCCGACGGATCCTGCATCCTTTGAAGAATTCTTGACGAATCTTGCAGACGTACTGCCCACGTCAACCGCCATTCGCAACATCAGCTTCGGGTTCATCCATCAATTACGCCACACACCTTTACATCTCTCCATGGCGGACTCGATTCGCTTCGCTAAAGACGGCGATGTCAAAAACCGCGCTGGGCATAATGTAGAGGAACGTGCTGTGTTTCAGATAGATCATGGCTTGAGTGTCGCCCAATGGCTGAGAGCGACAGCCGATCGAGTATGGCTTGAGAACGCGGAAGAGAATTACATCAGCATGGGCGACGATGGTTCGGATGAAGAAGTGGGAGACAGCGACCTCGATGAACCGGAGGACGAAGAAGGTGTCGCTATTGATGGAGCTGGGGGTGACAACGGGAATGAGGATGAAGATGATGGTGGGCACGAGGCTTAGAACACGAAGCTGTGACCGCTCCTGCTGCCCATTCGATCGTGGTCGGATAGAGTGGCCTAATGCATGCTCATGATATCTCTGCGACCAGCAATCGACCTAGAAGATGTGATTGCGAGCGTGGGTGATGGTGTGGAAGGACAATCTCTCGCACGCGGTAGTGATTAGAGTAGATAGCCGATCTATGGCATCACTGCCAACCATCAGTACATGGTACGCCTGCAGCCCAAGACATCTTTGTGTTGACAGCCAAGATCTTGATCTCATCGTCGCATTGCCGGCCAATGGCACCGTCGTCCGTCTATATTGCACTTTCAGCCGCTGACTCCATAGGCTGTATACCGTACACTAGTTAGGCGGTGGTTGGCATCGAGGCAAGTGGATAGATGGACTCGACGTGCCTATTTATCCAGCCAACGACAGCATCGCCATGATAGACTCCTCGGGCCGTGCCCAGACACATCGACAGAAGTGGCAGGTCACAACCTGTTCTTGAACAAGAGATATTCTGAGCCCGTATTCATGAGGGTTTTAGTTCTACCCCGCACCAAGCCCAAGCCTTTCTCCACAACACGAAGACTTCAGCCCTTCCTCCACTTCGACCCGCAGCAAGAGCATTCACGAGCATTTTGATACAACGACTAGTATGGTTGCCCCAGCCAACTTGCAGATCGCACGAAAGCATACTGTGCAAGCGGGCGATGTTTTTCCGCCAGTGCTGTGCGACTCCTGACGAAGATCTTGTCCTGCGGATTCCCGGCTAAAGCATAACTCTGGGCTGCCGGCGAACCATGTTGTCACCACGCAGCTCCTAGGCCGTGCGGGACGCGAGAATCGTGGAGTCGTTCCTGGAGCTAGTGCAGATGCATATGGTGGGCATGGATGAGCATGGCATAGCTTTTCTCGTGGTGAGAACGATCGGCGTTGTCTCTGAGGGCATAAGTAGGCTGAATCGCCCTCCACCATAACGTAACCTCTCGAAGGCTCGTCGGGATCTTTCTACAGTTCTGCTTCTTCTGGTGGACTGCTCCTTGTTAATCATGTTGTCCAAGGTGCTCTCCGCCACAGCATTTGCTGCTGCCGCTCAGGCCGTCAGCTTTACCGTATCGTCTTCGAACGGTAATGCTACCTCACCCTACCAGTATGGCTTCATGTTTGAAGATATCAACAATTCGGGAGATGGCGGCGTGTACGCTGAACTCATTCAGAACCGTGCCTTTCAAGGGAATGCCATCTACCCGAGCACGAGCGATTACTGGAACCCATTGAACGGTGCCAGCATCAAGCTTGCGAACTTGACGAACCCAGTCTCTACTGCCTTGCCAACCTCTTTGCAAGTATCCAAGGGCAACGCTACCGACACTGTCGGCTTCTCCAACGTGGGTTTCTGGGGATTTCCAGTCGTTGCCGGCACAACATACAAGGGCAGCTTCTGGGTACAGGGCGGTCTCAACGGCAATCTCACAGTCTGCTTGACCTCGAACGGCAACCAGCAGTGGGCTGAGGCCGAAGTGTCCGTCAAGAGCTCAGCAACCTGGTCCCAGTATAATTACACTCTTACGCCATCCCAAAGTGCTCCCAACAGTAACAACACACTCAACTTCACCTTTGCCGCTTCTGATCTTACCAACTCTGTCAACTTCAACCTGCTGAGTCTGTTCCCGCCGACGTACAACAACCGTGAGAATGGCCTTCGCGTCGATCTCATGGAAGCCATGGCTGGACTGTATCCATCTTTCTTCCGTGCTCCAGGTGGCAACAACGTCGAGGGCAATGCTCCTCCATACTGGTGGAACTGGACTCAGACTATCGGCCCTCTTGCCGACCGACCAGGTTTCCCAGGTACCTGGGGTTACGAGAACACCGACGGCCTTGGGTTGATCGAGTACATGCTCTGGGCTCAAGATCTTGGCATGGAGCCTATCCTTGCTGTCTGGTCCGGTCTGTGGCTTAACAACACTGTTCTCACCGAGGCTGAGCTTCAACCATATATCCAGTCGGCCCTTGACGAGCTGGAGTTCCTCATGGGCGATGCGTCAACTACTTGGGGTGCCAAGCGTGAAGCTCTCGGTTATGGTCCTTTCCCGATCAACTTTGTTGAAGTGTAAGCACAATCAACCACATATCTCCAAGAGGCATCGGCTAACAATTTTGCAGTGGTAACGAGGACTCTCTCCAACCTGTCGGCGGCCCAACATACCGCGACTACCGCTTCAAGGACTTCCACGACGCCATCAAGGCGAAATACCCGAACATGACCATCGTCGCCTCCTTCTTCGATGTGGCTGGTGACGCACCACCATACAATGCTGGTGGTGACTTTCACGAGTACGCCATCCCAGTGCAGATGTCGAGCCAGTTCTTCTACTTCGACAACTACACCGAGAACAACCCGATCCTGATTGGCGAGTACGCCATTATTGACTACGACTCACCAGGTGCTACCGGCCCTAAGTGGAACGCTGGTGCTGGTCGTTCGTTCACACCATTCTGGTACGGCTCCGTTGCTGAGGCGATCTTCCTCCTCGGTGCCGAGCGCAACTCGCAGAAGATGATCGGTGCTGCTTACGCTCCTTCATTCCAGAACTTGAACAAGTGGCAATGGATTCCCGATCTCGTTGAGTACGACGCGTATCCCGGCCACACAACGCTCTCCACCAGTTGGTATATGATCAACCTACTCTCGGGAACTCGCATCACGGAGAACTTGCCCGTTACCTTCACTGAGGGTGACTACAACCCGGCATACTTCGTTGCCGGCCGTAGCGAAGTCACCGGCTCTCACATTGCCAAGTTCGCCGTCTACAATAGCACCGGCGACGTGCCTTTCAGCATGTCCTTCCAGGGTGTTGGTGGGTACGCTCAGGGCAACCTGACTTACATCACCGCTCCCATGAACGCCAGCAACCCCATTGGCGGCAACGTCGTTCAGACCCACACCACGACGGTGACCGCTAGCCGCAACGGCACTTTCGCTTTCAGCTTGCCGGAGTACTCCATTGCCGTGTTCGAGGTCAGCGCCAACCAGGCTGGCCAGGGCTACGGCTATGGTAACCCAAACAACCGCAATGGCTGGAAAGGATGGAACCAGTGGGGTAACGGTCAGTGGGGACCACCACAGAACCACGGTGGGTGGAACGCTCATGGTCAGGGATGGGGATGGCACTAGATGGGAGTGTAAAAGTGAATATGATGTGATATGACTATTCATGAGATAGCTGCGCATAATGAAAACGATCGTATGCCAGACTCCATATTCGCTACAACATTGACCGTATCATGCTGTCTGGCCATGTTAGTCTTTTATTGTTGGCATCGCTTGTCGGTCTCTGACTTTTTGGCAGCCGAGTAAGGCTAGAAACCTGCATATCAAACTAATCATCACCTTGAAAACACCCATGTCCCAAACAGCGCTCATGACTTATTCACTATCAAGTCGGGAGACAGGTGGATGAAGACTCAATCGTTTCAGCGAGAACCTGCCCGGATGAGAAGGAGGTAGCTACCTCATTTGCCGCAACAATGATACGTCATGATAGAGAATCAGCACCATGAGTTCGAGGTAGGTATATCGATGGTCTTACTCCCATCCCTACTAGCCTTTCGTACTATCCCATCCCTTCAAACATGGCCCTCGTAATAGTCGGTGCATCAGGCAAACTCGGCTTCGCAACACTCAACTCCCTCCTGGACGACGGCTACATCGCCAGCGAGATCGTCTGCACCACTTCTTCGGACACCGGAGCACAAAAGCTGAGCACCTTCGAGCAGAAAGGCGGCTGTGTACGACGTGTGAACTGGGATGACGACCATGAAGCCTGGCAAGCAGCTCTCAGTGGCTGTGATAAGCTGTTCTTGATTTCTAGTGCAAGGATCAACAAGGACTTCAACGATGCTCCTCCAGGGCAGGGCAGAGAGGAAGATCACTTCAGGGCTCTTGAGGCGGCGAGTGACGCTGGTGTGAAACATGTCTACTACACCAGTCTGGCCTTTGCGAACCCGAGCAAGAGCCGTGTCATGACTGCTCATGAGCGGACGGAGGCGTGGTTGAAGGAGAAGTGGGCGGGAGGATATACTATCATCCGAGAAGGGTTGTACAATGAGAGCTGGCCATTGTACTTTGGATACTACTACGAGCTTCAAAAGGATGCACGAGATGAGGTCGTGGTGGGCGGCGACAGCGAGATAAGCTGGACCAGTATAGCGGATCTGGGACTCGCGAATGCTTTGATACTTGCTGCACCAAGCCAGGAATGGGATCAACGAACGCTTTATCTGGCTCAGAAGCGCACACGGAGTCTCAAGGATGTTGCGGCGTTGGTCTCCAAGGCCAAAGGACAGGACACAGTGCTGCAGATCTTGTCAAGGACCGAGCATGAGGCTTTCTACACTTGGGAACGAGGTATGCCGAAGAGCGATGTTACATGGTGGAGCTACACGTACGACGCACTTAGAGACAATGAGTGCGAGATCGACGATCCTACGCTTGAGCAGTTGCTGGCGAGGAAAGGTGGAAAACCAAAGCAGATGGAGGAGACGGTGGCGGAGATGATGAAGGCATAAGGCAGACTTCCGTGTTGAAGGTCTAGCTCGTCTATATCGTTAGTCGAGCGCTCTAGCTCACCCACTTCAGACCCAGCTTATGCATCTCCACCGCCAATTGGAACAGGTAATCCAGACTCTCCGCCTGCGTCTTTGCCTGCGCAACATCCTTGCCCCAGACATAGACCCCGTGGCGCTTGACAAGCACAGCACAAGTCTCCGGCCACTCCTCAATAGCCTTCTGCAGCGTGTCCTTTAGATCCTCCTCATGAGCCGTGTTCTCAATGATAGGAATCATCATCGTATCATGATACCCCAAGTTCCCCAGCTTACGACCGCCTTCTGCAACTTCGTCACTACCAGAGCCACCACGCGAGATGCCTTTGATCTGCTCGATCTCCTTGATGGAGAAGACGTTTCGTTCGCTGGGTTTTTGCAGACCAGATTCGCAGATTAGTGTTATCAGCACGGCCCATTGCGAGTGAGTGTGTATACAGCAGCCGGCATTACGATGTGTATACGCTGCGAGGAAGAGAGGTGTACAGGCTGAGGGCTTCAGAACCTACCTTGGCCGTCAGTGACGGCCCGCTACGACATCACGCACAGCGGATCATGCTGTCGGTAGCAGTCTCGTTAGCCTACCTTCGGCCGCCGGAGATATTCCTTGGTCTCATAGTCCATAACAAACATATCTGTTGGTTGCATCATCTCCTTCTGAACACCTGACGGTGCGAGATATATGTGATCGCCATGACGTATGCTCACACCACCACCTGTGCCTGTCACCCAGCCCAGTGTGTGAAATCGGCGGCAGAGGTCGCTGATGTGGTTTGCTGGGTGGAGAGGGTCGTCGGAGCGGACGAGCTCATCGGTCTCGTTGTGCTGAGAGGCTTCAGTCATAGTCCAGCAGCTTCTCGGCGTGCTTGTATCCTCAATGCTGTACTTCGATGTTGCAGAGAAAGCTTTGAGGTTGAGAGCGTTCACATGTGCGAAGCGGCACAGCCCGGCGCTAGCATTCTAGGTGCCATGGACGAACGATAGTCCAGCGATGTACTGATCTCAGTGGTAGTGAGAGGAGCATTCATTGACTAGCCAACTACTGACAGCTACACGTCGTTCGTCCAAGCTGGAGACATGTCCACACAATCCTGCACCAGCATCACTCCCATCTCATTTGTGCATTACTGGCTGACAACCTTATACACATCCCAAGCAACAGCCGGCTTCCCATCGTCGTCAATATGGAAGTGTCCATGCGAGACGAACACACTCTGCTCCATCCACTTCAACTTCTCACTACTGACCTCAAACACCGGCGTAGATACGAAATAATGATCCTCAGGCTTCGTAGTCTTGACTCCGGGCTTTCCAGCCAGGATCTTCTGGGCTATAGCATCCATCTTGATGATGCCCGTGTAGTGGGCATAGATCATGTCGCCTTCCTCGCTTCGAGCATTGATGCGGACATCGAGGTGTCCAGTTCCCGTCGTGGCATCGAGGGACAGCCAGTCGCTTCCACTTGGTAATACGTTAGCCTCGAAATCCGCACCACGAATGAAGCCGGTGGAGAGGGGGACAATGATTCGTTGGGCTCCTCCTTTGGTTTGACCAAGCTGAAGAAGGTCTTCCGTCAAGAGATAGCCACGGATGGTGAGTGCTTTCTCGAGCTTTGGCGCCATGGTTTAGGTCTATGTCAGAGCTGTTCTGAGCTGCTAGGTACGAAGCGGGATGATGCTGCTCGTAATATGTACTCCTATCTAGATAGCATCTTGCTGGCATTTATATGCTTGATAGGACTATGTGCACTGGCTCCGGATATCCTCATCCGAGTCGAATATAGCACTGACATAAGTTCGTTAGCTATGATGGCACATACGATGGCTACGGCCAATTCCATTGGTCGTGAACATACTCGTAGGGCTTCGACTAGGCCGTTGATCCAGTAATCACCTGGCGATAATCCCAATCGCCGTGCTGGAGGCAGCTAGTAGGTGGGCAGAGGCAAGTTGCAGCGATGACTCTTACGATCATCGTATATCACTCCATCTCAGCCGGGCCATTGTCGTCGTTTCATGGAGAGTCACGGCTCATCCTGACGGCGTGGACATGTTCTTCCTGTAGCATCCTCGACTAGCTCGCAAACAGGGCTGGCGCTATTCCTGAAATGGTAGCTTATATTCGTGGTAAGGCTGATTGAGGTCACCCTTACTGCCTCCGACCGTTATGAGGACCTGTCGCAGCCGTCCTTTGCTGGGTTGAGCATACTTCCACACGTGCATAGCATGGTGCCGTTGTCACTTGACGCTCTCCACGAGGAGTGTCCGGGATAGCTTTGGGCTGGGTAGCTCCGTATGCTCCCGATAATGCCTAGAAATCATCGCTGACCACACCCTTGCAACGACAGCTGTAGCGGCCACGGGTCTTCAGATCGTTGCTAATGACGCGTGGAGGATTAGCTTGTCTGGTGTCCTCCTCACGATGCGAGGGAGTTGAGAACTGTAGGCGTGTTCATGCAAGTGCGGGTGTATCTGTTGCGTTGCTAAGCGGTTGCTACGTGACTATTGACATCCGAACTCTATCGCTTTCGCGGATGATCCTGGAGAGAATGAACCACAAATCCACATACAAGACGACCGTATGCAACAGCAATGTCTTCGGTACATGCGGACCCTCCGCCACCGATAGTAGCAGAACCGGGAGGAATAAACTATGCAACTGGATCGGCACTTGGGAAGGGTGGTTTCGCCATCTGCCATCGAGCAGAACGATATGATGGCAGCAAGCCTACGGGACATCTTGTGGCGCTCAAGATTGTCAAGACAAAGATGGAACCCGCGAAGTTGGCACAGAAGGTATGGAAGAAGATCGAGAGCTTGTCGTGGTCCACGTATCTAACACACTCTAGTTCGTAACTGAACTACAGATCCACTCGAAGCTGTCGCATCGGAACATCGTCACCTTCTACCGAGCCTTCTCTTTTCAGACGAGCACTTACGTCGTGCTTGAGCTATGTCCGAATGGATCGTTGGCGGATATGCTGAAGAAGCGGAAATACTTGACACTGCCCGAGATTCGACGGCTCGTCATCCAAATATGCGGTGCTGTCAAGTACTTGCACCATCGACACATCGTTCATCGAGATCTGAAGACTGGCAACCTTTTCTTGGACGCCAACATGAACGTCAAGGTCGGCGACTTTGGTTTGGCTGCTCTGCTTGTGACGGAGAAGGAGATGGAGGTGAAGCGAAGGACGACGATGTGCGGGACACCCAACTATCTTGCACCCGAGATCCTGGAGAAAGGCAAGGGCCATGACGAGAAGGTGGATCTATGGGCTATCGGAGTGATAGCCTATACCTTGGCTGTCGGAAAAGCACCATTCCACGCCACCACGAAAGAAGAGATCTACAAGAAGTTGAAGTCTGGGACATATTCCTGGCCTGAGCTCAGCGCAACAACCAACCAAAGTGCGGACCTGCGAGATCTGGTGGCAAGTCTACTTGTGCCGGAAGACCAACGACCACTGCCCGATCAGATTGTCAGCCAAAACTTCTTCAAGATCGCGTTCGTGCCGGCCAATATACCTTCTTCTGCTCGGGAAAAGGCTCCAACCTGGACGGGACTGTCTATACCCTCGCCAGATACTATCAGCAGAGGCTATAGCTCGACGTGGTATGCTTTGTGCAAAGAGTCCGGAGTTGGCGAGTACGCAGAAGGCAAGGGCTTTGCGCTGAACGGTGGGAGGCGAGTCAAGAGTATTGTACACGATATGGCACGGGAAGCACAACTTGGGACTCAACCTACCATGCCGATACCAAAGGACGTGGTGTATATCTCGACTGTAAGTAGCTGGGACAGTCCTGATTCGAGCGAGGCTGCTTCTGGGAAAGATGAAGTCAGGCCTCCAAGCCGCAGCAGAGGGTTGAGGGAGATCGCACATAACGAAGTGGCCAGTAGCCGACCAGAGGTTGCGGCACGAAGAGCTGCGAGAGACGCTGAAATGATGCCTCCACCTCTACGACCATCATCACGAGTTGGCAGGACTGGCACTGTGCGCAAGGCGGGCCGGACCATCAGCGAAGAGACAGCCAAGTCTGCCGAGCCCGTGAGAATAGCATCGGACGAGCCTGTGCCGACTCTGCGAGTGTCAAAAACACGTCAAGCACCCACATCAGCCACTGCTGCACTGAGAGAGCTTTACTCGTCTTCCAGCTCAGGCCTACGATCAGAAAAGTCTCGACCCCCGTACGATTCTGAAAGCGAAGCACCGAAGCGCGCAGGCACGATCAAGAGGACAGCGGACGCCAGTCTTGCGAGGCGACCACGAGCCCCAAGTCGACAGATCAAGCAAGAACGGCCACTTTCACCAGACGTCCTCGGACCGCTGGCTACTTTAGACGAGCTGAAGCACGTTTCACCTATAAAGCGATCAAGGAAGAAGCAGAACGAGCCTGAAGTGATCGAGATCTTGTCGGACCAGGAGCCAGATGCGAAGCCATGCCCAGCAGAACTTGCACTGCCGCCCATACCAACAATGTCACGGAGACTGCCTATACCGCCGAAACCCAGCCATAACAGAGATTGCGTGCCGGGCACCGACCCGGATACCGTGTTGGAACGCCTGAGCATACTCCGGGACAATCTTGCCTCAGCATTACAGGACCGTGCATGCTCCTCAGTGCCAGAAGTCGAGCCACTAAGACTGCCCTTCGTTTCGCGCTGGGTAGACTACAGTCGGAAGCACGGCATTGGCTACGTAATGTCAGATGGCACAGTCGGCTGCATCATCAATGCCTCTGCCAAGAACCAGACGCCAGTAACACACACCTTTGTGCGGAATGGTCAACGATGGCTAGCGCGAGTCGGCAAGAATTTCGAGAACATTGAGCAGGTACCTTTGGAGATCCTAGAAGACCGAGGTGAAGACGGCATTGCACGAAAGGTCTACAAAGGCCTTGGTAGTGTCAAGGAGGGCCCGTTAGCTGCCGAGGCTGAGCGACGGAAGACGCTGAGTGTGCTTTGGGTCAAGTTCGGGAGGTATATGTGTCAATCGCTTGGTGGTGACGAGGAAGAGATTGGAAGAAATAATGAGAATTTCGTTCGCTTCTATCAGCGGATAGGTAGTGTGGGTGTTTGGGCGTTTGCGGATGGGAGTCTACAGGTCACTAATCTCACCCAGCGGATCTTGCAAATGCAATGCTGACAGTCGTGACAGGTGCACTTCCCCGACCACACCAAGCTCGTGCTGTCAGCAGCTGGGACACATATATCAGCCACCTGCATCTCACCAGATGCCGCATTGTATCTGGCCTCGCACGGCGACCTCCTCCCTCATCACGTTAGTAGCCGGGAGGTCTTCGCCGATAGCGTTCACTCTCTGCTCCACGAAGGAGGACGAATACGCTCGAGGATCGTGAAAGCGAATGCTTTGGGTGAGAAGCTGCGATTCGTGCTCAAGATTGTTGAGCAGTGGGTGACGAACGATGGTCTTGGAAAACTTGATGAAGATAATGGTTTTGCTGGTGAGATGGGGATGAGATGGACAGGTGCTGCTGTTGGTGAGGGAGGGAGGAAAGTCGATTTGGTTAGTGTTGGCCGGAGAGGAGGCGATGATGATCTGAAGTTGTGATGACACTTGTGTTGGATGGTGGTGGATTCTTGCATAATGCCTGGCGTATATATCTCGTAGTCTCAATTGACGATATTCGATCCATGATGCTCCAGAACTTACGACAATGAAGTGAGTTCTTGGTGGTGACAGAAGTCGTGTTTGCCGGCGCGTCAACTTTCGCTTGCTAACGTCATGTTTACAGGATATCATCACGTGCGACATCGCGATGAAGATCTATGGCATCACACAGATGCTCAAGTATCAGGCATCGCGTCAACAAGCTTTCCGCTGTCCGGAGACTGGATCGATGGCCGCACCACGACGGTAAGCCCATATGTCAGCGAGCGGGCGGATCTCATGAGGCGCAATGGCTAGACTGTATGATCGAGACCAACGACCATGTCCTTTGGCTTGCTCGTCCTAAGACACTGCACAAGCTGAACGGACTTCCCGAGCTGGAGCTCTGTCGGAGGTCTACCTGTCGATCGTGCCCGAGTATGACTTCCGAGAACATTGAGGCTACGTGTAATCATGGTATTCACGAATGGAGGGACCATCTGATAGGAAAGTGACTACTTATCATGACGTCGTGATGGCTGCCAGAACGAGCATCTTCTGAGCTGCAGCTCGTCTGCCGTCGCTGCAGGGACACGACATGGCCAGATCAGGATCGGGTCAAAGTGGCAAAAGATATGAGCAACAGGGCAGCGCAGCATATCATACATTGTCTCTGCTTAGAAACCATGTAGTGGCCATCAAGCCACCGATGGATTGGTTCTATTTATTCCTGGTTGTGCAATCTGGACTCGACCGGCCGCTGACACTCCCGGCGCATGTAGCCGATGCCAGCCTATCCGCCCGCACCATTGCTAACACTTCCGATGAAGACAACCTCGACGGCCGCGAAACTGTCCAAATTGGTCAGTAACGGCCTTTTGGGCTCTTAAGGTATGACTCACGCCGCAGTGGCAGCGAATATTTCGGACACTTTCGCCGAAGTCATCGCTAGAGCCATGCCAAAGCAACTTGTGAACCCGATCGTGACATATATGCGACGCCATGTCCCTTGCACGGCATAAAGGACGACGATGGCAATGACCGGCAGGAGTGACGCTATCGTTGTAGTAATGAGCTTGTTGAGTCTTCTCAAGCCGTCATCATCGTACTGGAACACCCCCGTCTCTTCATCAGGCTTCCTTCTGCGCTATGGCACCCGTCAGCATCTTTTCCTACGCCCTCAAGAAGTGTGTTATGTGGACCGTACACTTCCTCTACTGCCCAGGCAGCAATGTATCAGGTTGAGAGGTAGTTCCGACAAAGCCGGCAAGAGCGACTCTTCTTCTTCTGGTGGACCCTCCAGTACTGCAAGATCGCTCTCATGTCGCTTGGTCCACGTCTGTGCTTCAGTAGCCTGGAGGAAGTCTCCACCGAGATCTGAATCTTCCAGCCATGTCTGCAGATCAAATAGTCTACGGTCGTCCGCATGCCGTAGCTTGGAGACTTCGGCTACTTGAACGAGGGCAGCATCTGATGGCTTGATGAGCACTTGATCAGACAATATCAATGGTGCACATACTGTACTTCTCGAGCTTGTCTTGTATGACAAGCAACTGCTCCAATTGATCACCATTCGGACCGTCCTTCGAACTTCGTAGAGCCACCATACTTTTACAAAATTCTCGCACATCGGCTTTATTTGACACAGCGTCGTCCAGGTAGGCTGTTTCGAACTTTCTTTCCAGTTCGGACAATTCTGCTTGAAGGTACAGGAGATTCAACATGTTTAGCGCACCGAAACGACGCAGGATAGCGACTTGAGGGTTTCTGCCCATCAGGATGGCCAGCTTGTTGTATCCCTTCGGTCTGAGTACTTGCGGCGCATTGCCGCCTTGACCGTTCTGCATTATTGCCAGTATTCTGGGGTGTGTCGGCGTTGTTCGAAAGTTGATTTTGATGTGGTAGTATGCCTCACGTCACCAGACGTTTGATCGCTTTGGTAAAGGCTGCGCCGAAAGCATCATTAGGTGTACTGATGACGCAGTAGAAGGGTTCTTCATATCTTTGCTGGTTGCTGTCCACGAGCTGCGGCCTCATATGCATGGCGCCGGGTAGCCCAACGCCACTCGGCCATAGCCTCACCAGGGCTTGGCATCAACCTACTTATTGATCAGGAGACCACCAGCGATAACAATTTGGAGCTGTTCCCCACGGACGACGTCCGTCGGTAGTCCTCACCATGGCTACATTCCGAGGGAACAATCCTCGTAGCTGGAAAGATATCGCCGACGACTTGTCGTCGCTCAATGCAGCACTCCCTGGCCTCGTGGCTGCTAGTTTGCTCAACAACGCTGCACATCGGACTTGCCTCGTACGGATTACTCGACTCGGCGAGCACACCGCTGCCCTTTTAGAGAAATGGGGTTCCCAAACAGGTGGTTCTAGCTATGTTACGAGACTAGACCCAAGAGGTTGGGACGCTTTCGAGACAGCTGAGAAGAACATTGCCAGTATGCGGGAGCAGGTCGTGTTTATCTCTACGCTGGTTCAAAACGATCGACTGTCCGTATCCCAGTCCTATGATTTGATCTACGCTAAGACTTCCTAGGAACGCCATCGAGGACAAGCTTGACACTCTGTTAGGGAGGGATACCATGCTCCTGTAAGTAGAAGCCACACCACGTTCACCTGATTGTCTGCTTCGCCAAGCAACTCTGGTCCCTTCCACCATCCTCTTTTCCTGTTTGAACGGTGAGACGCATAGGATATATCCATAGCTGACAAGTTTTTAGAGAGCTTGATGCAAGACTCCGCTTACTGCAAGCCTCGCTAGATAGAGGCGGGGGCCGTGAAGCCCTCAATCTCAGCACTGAGTCTCTGATATCTCCAACCAGACATAGACCTCTATTGCGTCGTCGACGAAGCAGCGAAGATCTAGCAAGGTCAATATCGCCCTTGATAAGTGAAGCTGAAAGTGAACCAGTGATCTCTACCTTCGACAAGCTCAAAGGCGCTACCACAGTCAGCAAACTGAAAAGAAGTCATGCAACACCAAGCTGGGAGTATCAAACGAGAGATCTGCCGATTCGTCGAGCGTCAAGTCGCAGTTCTTCTGGCTCGGCTCTTGCTGGTAACACCAGACTCCTATCTACAGTTGAGGACACAATCCAGAGACTGATCCTACCCGAGCTTAATGCTATCAAGTCAGAGAAGAAAGGTTCCGAGTCCGAGTACAAGGCAGACGTGGAATTCAAGGCCAATATTCTGCGTTCTGATGTCCCTACCCTTGCAATAGCTGTTCAGGACGCCAGGGCTAGCGTCAACGCAGTCAGCTCGAGGTACCTTGATCTTCATGACTTGACGGGAGACGATGTTGAGGTGCTCAAACCAAGGCCACAGCCCGGAAGGTACGGTGAACTCATGCAGACAGATAGGGTAATCGAGTTACAATGGGCTCCTGTAGGCTCGGCCAAATGGATGAAGACAGAATTCTGCGTGATCGATGAGAACACTGACTACGACATTATGCTCGGGAGAGGATTCATGGACCTGCGTGGCATGTTTGACGATACGGATGTTGGGGTGTATGCTGCCTTCAAGCTACCTGGCCGTTCGAGAGGTATGCTCCTACTCACAAGCCGATCTGCGCATTAAAACAGACCATCGCTAATTGGTTACCAGCCCAGCGAGACCAGAGTACTATCCAGACTGAACGGAGTCGCCAACGCAACGAGCGGCTGGACGACGAGCTACGGGAGAAAGACCGGCGTGAGAGGAGCAGAGAACGACTATCTCGCAAAGTCGCTGCGAGGCTCGCTCAAACAGGCAGCGAGCCGGTCTCGAGCCTGTCGGGCACGATCGGCCAACTCACGCCCAGTACACCCGCCACAATGGAATCGACAGGCCAGGCTACACCGGTGTCTGCTGACCCAGGACCGAACGAGCTGCAATCTATGCCAGATGCTATTGTCGGTCCTGCTTCGAACGCTGGAAGGAGCGACGACTTACCTGAGCTTGCCACCCTGCAACAACAGTTTCGCCAACGTCGAGCCATGCGGTTGTTATGAGACTGTGCAAAGATGATGCCGGCCAGCCGCGTCTTCAGCGTGGATGGTATCATGTAAAGTAAGCTTATAGCCTTTTTTAATGTATCAAGCCTTTCCACCATCAAGCCCACGTATCTATGCCTCGAGATCTTGAGAGGCGTCGGCCCGATCACAACTTCTCGCTAAGCTATATATATTAAATGGCATCTTTCGCCCTCTCAATTAGCACGATTTACTCGTGCAAACCTCTCGCCGGGGTAGCTCAATCGGTAGAGGTTAGTCCTCGAGACAAATCCTTGACCTGCGCTTCCAAGCCAGGATCAAACCACCTGAAAGTTCAATCAATACTGACTGTTCTTCCAGCGTGTGGCTCTTAAACCTCACCGAAGCAATTCGGTTGGTTGACAGACACCTCAAGGTCGCGGGTTCGAGCCCCGCCTTCGGCTATTCCTATCCAGATTACCTAGTAATCGTAAACAAAGGCATAATCAAGGCTCACTGCACCTTCTTTTTTTTTCGATTCTAGGATTGAACAGGTCTTAGCTGGTGAGTGAGAGATTCTTTTGGGTGGGCGGTTGGCTGGAAATAGCGGGGTGAGTAGGAGTGGGTGACGTTTAGTGGGCAACTACAAGACTTGAAAATAGGTAGGAAACCGCTGTTACTGTTGATGGAGATGGCTTGAGGAAAAGAGTGGCTACGGTGACACAAGACATCGCCTGCTTGTCGTATGCTATGCTGAAATCCGCTATGCTCGCTAAACCGACAGAAAACAGCAATAATCTTGCCCACAAGACCGTACTCACGACAGATCCGAAAGAACGCTAAACCGCTAAGCAAACAACACCCTCTTTCCATTACCTCCATTTCAGGACCCACCCTTAGGCGCCTGATTCCACTTCTTGAAATTCCTCACCCCAGCATTCACAGCGACATATTTCCCAGCTTTGGGATCATAAGCACTCTGCACATCAAACAACATCCTCCCTCTCTGCCCTCTTATCTCGACAAGTCCTTGCACGACGAATGTGCCGCGAGGCGGTTCGGCTTTCTTCGGATTCCAGTTTTTCGAGAGGGCGTGGTTGAAGACGTGCATTGCTATGGGTAAATCTGTGGCTGTGCCGAGGGAGGAGACGTTGGGCATGGGGACGCTGAGGGTCCATGGTAACTTCTTGTCTGAAGGTGAGGCGGTAGTAGGTTTGGTGGTGTCGGGTGTGGCGGAGGAATTTGTGGTCGTGACGACGCTACCGGCAGGTGTGCTGCCGTCTGGAGTTTGGGTGTTACCCACTTCTTTCCTTTCTCGCGCTTGTTGTTGTTTGGCTAGGAGGTCCATAGCGTGCTTGTATCGTTCTTCCGGACTGAAAGGGTCCTTTCCTTCCCAGCCGAGAGCTTGCTTGGCCCGTCGGTATTGTATCCCAGCTAGAACTTTAGTAGTCGCCCACAGAGACTCTGCTGTTGCTGTAGGCCAAAGCGCTCTGGTCAACCGCCAGTGATTCTCCTGGCTGACTTTCTGTTTGCTCCATGCGATGAAGTCGTCGCCGATTTCTACGCCATACCTCTCGTACTCCTGGGGTGGACCATCCGGAAACGAAATATCCAGCCAGTATTTTCCAACTTTCATTTCTTTGCCGAGCTGCCGCGCGATCATGGGATGCTTTATACTGCCCGCGTACACGATCTGCACCAATTCGTTTTGTATTTTCTTATGCCGTGACTTGTCCTTCGCCACCTTCACAAATTCCTGCCATTCTGGATCAGAGCCTTTATAGAAGGATCTCGGTAGCTTCTTCGCCCAGGTCATAGGCACGAATGTGCTGTCATCTAACGCCCATAGTAGATCCTCTTCATCCTCCTCCGTCATCTCCCCTCCTTCTTGCCCATTCTCCTGTTTCCGCTTCTCATCGGCCTCCGACTCTGGCACTATCTCGATCTCCACGACCAGATATTGCAGAGCCAAGGTCATGTACAGGTAGATGACCCCGGCATACAGTGCTGTGACAAGCAGTCGTCTCTGTGTGAAGAAGGGTGCTTTTCGGAAGCGGACGGCCTGGTATCGTACGGGTTCGCCACTGGGTCTGTATAATGTCGCGGGATTACTTCTTCGTGGGAGGAGACTGAGGTTGCGTTGTCGTAGGGCACGTGGTCGGAACAGAGGATGCTGGCGCAGTGTGAGTGCTCGGGGCATGCGATACATGGTCGCGAGTGCTGTCGTTATCGCATCGACATGCGGGTGGTGTTATCGACAATACCTCCAACCGAGATTAATCTCTTTTCTCCAAAGTGTGTATGTTGTGACTGCAAAGAGCCTTGTACTCCCAAAAACGTGACCTGTGCAGGCAATCAATCATAAAGTGGCGTGTGGTTGGTGCACGGACCCAGGGTTTCGTTCGTAGATGCAGCTACGCCATCTATCTTGACAGCTCAGAAGCAAAAGCAGTCGCCTGCTAGATATACTCCCTTCACCCTACGGCGCCACACAATCTAAAGCGGCCACGATGAAGTTGTCGACATCAGCGTTGCTGCCAGCGCTCTGCTGGACAGTCCGATTGGCCTCCGCCGGCCAGGTCTACGTATACGATGCACCCATGGACGAGATGAGACCGGCCCAAGCCCTATCGCCAGAGGTGGCGAGATTAGTATTGGCACAGAGAGCGGGAGTAGAAGACTACCATGGTGCGGACTTGAATGGGCGAGGTGCGGTGAAGGCCATCAATGATTTCGGACGGCGGACATCGCTTCTTGATCAACCGACGGAGAGAAGACAGCAGGCTTTCATACTACTGGAAGGTGTAGAGGCATCTGAGCGTGAGTGGAAAGGATAGCATATCAGCATCTGGAATCATTGTACTAAGACATAACTCTCAGTCAACCTACCCAACCACAGCCAAACCTTCACCATCACATCGGAACCAGACGTCCGCGCCTCCCGTGGTCTCTGGGTCGACCTAGCAAAACAAGCCAGCCCCGCCACCCTCGGCAAAAAGGACGACGATAGCGTGTATGAGACAATGGCGCAGTTCAGAGAAATCCGCGAAGGAGAACCTCATTTCTCCGTCTCCAACAGCGCGGATAAGATGCAAGACTGGATCTCCGACCTCTTCGCCGCGCGCACCCACGACATCGTCATCTACTTCGCACCTTCTGAGAGCAAAGACCGCTCCGCTGGCACGATGCAGCAGTGGGGCACCTACGAGATGCCGGACACGCAATCGCCTCTACACAAACGCTCCTCGCCACAGCAGGAAGCACCGCTCGAGGAAGAGACACACACCTCCTACCTCCCCGTCCAATCCTCCACCGCCCCAATCTCATCCCTAGCCCAATCCTCACCCCTCCCAGGCATCCTCCCGGCCTGCTTCCCCTCCCAATCCGCCTGCGAAACCGCGACCCGCAACTGCACCGGCCATGGCCAGTGCCAGAAATCCTACACCGACAAATCAGCCGCCGACACCTCAAAAGCACGGAACTGTTATTCCTGCTCCTGCTCGGCCTCGGTATTGAAGGAGAACGGCAAGACCAAGACGACGTACTGGGGTGGTCCGGCGTGCCAGAAGAAGGATGTCAGTGTCGAGTTCTGGATGATTGCGCTGTTTACTGTTTTCCTCATTTTCCTGATTGGGTTTGCGATTGGGCAGGTCTGGGAAATGGGGAGTGAGGAGCTGCCGAGTGTTATCGGGGCCGGGGTCAGTGGGCCTGTTAAGAGGTCGTAGGGAGGGAGGGATATGTTGTAGTGATTATGCCAGTAGTGCTTATCATTGTGAGCTATCTAGCTGGTCGTGTGAGATATTGGGTCTTGTTTATGGGGCATTTGCGAGCGGTGCACGGAGTGTTGGCGCTTTTCAGGATAGTAGTTGTACAGCATTATGGTCTGAACTTAGTCTCCCTCGGTTAGGGCTTCTTCCCTGCTGCCTCGATGTCTCTACATCGTCTAGCAAGATCACTGATATGTTCATCCTCACTTCCCTCACTCAAGCCATTCAGCGCCGTCTCGAGCTGATACAGATAATCCTTATTCTCCCCACTTGGACCACGAGACCTGACGATATGCTCAGCCAGTGCTTGTGGATCCTGTGGGCCGAGGAACTGAGGATTATCTGGTAGGCCGATGTAGACTAGACATTGGATCTGCTTGGGCGTGTTCCCGGAGGAAGTGGAATCGTGTGCAGTGTGGACTGTCTGCATGGTGGCGGACATGTCTTGGTTAAAGGGCGTGTATCTGGAATCGCTGATTTAGCAAGAAAGCAGGCGAGGCCAATGAGGTGGCGAAGTCGTACTGGATACTATATCCATTGATCTCTCGTATATCAAGGTACTCCTTTGCCTCCTTGACGTGGTTCGCCGGTATCCGATAAGCAGCTCCCCAGACCCGTGGTGGAGCAGATGCATGTTCGTCGGTCAGAGTCTCCCAGAGCTGTCGATCGATCAAGGTGACGACTCGGCCAGGAGCTTCTGGTGTTCCGCGATGGTCTTGGCTGCATCTTGGTCAGAACTGGACCTTTCTATGATGGGGCCGCCGCATACAAGCTTACCTTGCCTGATGTGGTTCGCCACTTCAGCTCATGCTAAGGGTATGTCACGTGTGTGCACCGTACCTGCCAAAAGCGGCGAACGTAGTTTTCGATGTAGCCAGGTACTCGGAGGTCTGTTTGAATCGTATCAGGCCCGAATCGTCTCCTCGTACTTGAAATTCCATACCATAATGTGGCGGGGGCTTCCAGATCAGTGATCTGTCATATTTGCTCAGTCACGGGCACGCATACAGTCAGTCTAGATCTCGTACCCATAGCCGAACAGCCACAGGTCTCCAGTCTCTTGGTCGGCCATGACGAACACAGAATCTAGCAATGCATTCTCCGTCGTTTCGAGTTGATGTTGATAATGTGGGGGCGATTGAGTTAGTCAGCGTCGTTAAAAGTGGGTCGCCCTTTCGGCCTTGACATGAATCTGAAACACCAGACTTGTCCGCCTCGAACATCTACATAAATATGGCACAACAAGTCGCTTCTGCGAAAAAGCAGCAAGGTGACAATTGCTCAGAGATGCTACTCGTGCATTTCGTACTGACATCAATGCAGACTTGCAGGTCCAGTACTCGAACTACAAGGATACGCTCCAAGCCATTGCCGGCAAAATTGGCGATGTTGAACAAGAAGCCGAAGAACACAAGTACGTCAAACACAACGCCATTATGACTCCCACAAATGTGATGGCCTGGCTCTCGTCAGACCAACGGTGTATCACCGCTTCTTCATTTCTGGAACTTGATCGTGTGCTCGGATATCTCGCCACCAAGCCCATGACATGATTGGAGCGCAAAACCTTCACTCACCGCCATATCTGCAAACTCACCGTTTCATTTCCGCACTCTCAGGCGTGAACTACTGCAGCATTGCCGCGATCTAAGGATATTACCATGATGGTTCCTGCATAAATTACTTCACACAAGAAGCGAGGACCCGCTCTGTCTCGGTAGCTAGATGTGTATATGTCGTCGCTGACTTTGACCTTCTCTGCTCAGACTAGTGCTGGAGACTTTGACACCGCTTCCTGGAGATCGGAAGTGCTTCCGGATGATCAATGGGGTTCTGACTGAACGCACGGTGGGCGAGGTACTGCCGACGTTGCAGACGAATGCGGATGGTTTGAAGAAAGTGCTCGAGGATCTGGTCAAGCAGTATCGTGGCAAGCAGGACGAAATGGAGAAGTGGAAGAAGAAGAACAATGTTCAGGTTGTGCAGCAGTAGATGGTGGAAAGCGACAACATCTCGATCACGTGGGTATGTTGCGATTTACGGCTTTGCAGAGGATCAGGGCGAAGAAGTCACCTGCGACGCCAAGTACCCATGATACTGGCGGTGGACACCGCGCCACCACACTTGAGCTCGTCAGGAGACTGGTTGTCGTTGCAGTGTTCTGCTGACGACACCACTGTTCGAAGTCTGTGCTGTCTGATGCCCGAAATGTGGAAGTTACACCAACACCGAGCTCCTGGCTGCGATCCCAAGCTCGCGTCGCGCTACCAGTCTATGACTCTTAAGACAAAGAGTCCGTACCAGGCCGCGCAGACATACTGCTTTTGATGGATGGAGGCTCTGTCGATAAGCATGTCACGTAACAGTATGGGTGGCAGCAGATAACGAGCTACTTTATTCGCATTGCTTTTCGCATACTCGACTCTCCGTCATTTTTCCATGCAGTGCGTGGCCATACCGCAAACGCACTGGGCAGATACGCATACATCTGTATCATGTCATCGTGTTACCAACCCACTGTTACCACACCATCTCAGATCAGTTCAGTCAGGCACCATCCATGTACACAGATTCCAGGGCTGCAGTCGTGCACACAGCATCTGCATTAGCTCGGCATGAGCGTACGCCTCAAGGATTGGGCAGAACTCGACAGGCAAAATTTCATTGGATTCCAGCAAAGGCAAGGCTAACTCAGGTCCCGCTTCAAGGCCACTGGCTGTGGTCGACTTCAGTCGTTCAATGCGTAAGGCTTCAGCAATAGTTCTGTGAATGATGAGGAGGTTTACATGTGTTTTTGGCTGTCTCGAGAATACTAGGACGAAGCATGAGCTGCTTTTGAGGTCTTCGTCTGCCAGCGCACGACCTGCAGCTAGTCAGAGCGTGGGAGAAGCCATGGATCATGCGCAGCTGATTATTGAGGTACTGCGAGTACATGTAGTTGGGCGGCGATGCTTCTTGATGCATGATGACATGACGATTATTCCTTTGTCGATAGAGATATACAGGCAAAGTGGGAGTGTCGCTGGCGGCTCATCTACCCGTGCAGTCTGTCAGTGCCTCACCACCCCATCACATCACATGCTGGTCGAAATTGTGGTCACGGTCAAATGGCGGTTGAAGTGTTCGTGTCGCCTTTGTAATTGGTCGACCGTATAGACTGTAGCGTTATGGTAGCCTTGACGGCAACGTTCAGCACAACTGTAATAGAAATACGGCCCTCCGCGACCGTGAGAATTGTGATGCGTTTATCAGGATGTATTTCTCCAGCCTTGCTGTTTGTTGATGTGTTGCACGACTTTTGCCGCCCTCTCGCGCTTGGCGGCAAAAGCATAAAGCTCAGCTGACCTGGCCACTCAATTCCACGGACTTTTCTTATTCGCTCCCACACTACCCATTTATTATCCAACCACCAAACGCGGCATCAACGCATTGCGGCTATTGTTATCGCGCCAGGAAATCAATACCGCACGATTTGACCGGGACTCGAGTTGCGCGCACGCCACCTCCACTCGGTCAGATTCACCTGGGCGGGTTTGTGTGCTGGCGCGCGGGCCGCTAGAATTGCGCCTCGTCATTGGGCCTCAATCCCAGTCCTTCATCGTCAAAACAGCAGTAGAGTTGGCGAAGGAACTCACCGCCGTGCCTGAGGCGTCACCTTGCTCGAAGCCTAACAATATCGAGTGACGCGAGGAAGCGATCTATTGTTACACCGCTCCGCACCTGCTGCAGCGCACTACACTGCTTCCTTCCTGGCGTACCTGCGCCATAGGCTCCGCCCGCTAAGACTTGCTGCACCTAACTCTACTAGTCTGTACCACCATCGTCAACGCATCCTGCAGCAGGGACCGCCACCTGGGTCGGAACGTTCAAACGCCAGTGCAGTGACGTGTACCGCCAACAAATCATTGACAGCGCAGCAAGTGGCGGTGCGGTCGCGCGCAGATCCGTCGTCTGCAAGTCGCCGAGTACAAGATGTCCGACGAGAGCCCCCGAGAGACTGAGGAGCTGGACGCGGCACCTCCATCAGGTGACGAAAATGAGCCGCAACAGCAAGAATCCGAGATGAATCGAAACGATGATCCACACGACGCTGGGTACGACTTCGAGGTCAAAGAACAAGACCGCTGGTTACCTATTGCCAATGGTGAGTGAGCACCCGAACACCTTGCATATGTGCCCACAGTGTTCTGGTAGAACCCGTCACTTGGGTCAACTCCCGTTATCCTTTCCCGTTGCACAAACAGAGTGAGTGCCTTAGGTGTCACCGATGGAGGGAGCGTCGAGAACCAGTCGTGTCTTCGATTGCGTTACCATTCCACATATAACACTGCAGCGCGCGTCTCATCTGCACGTACTGTCGAATCAGAAGTCCAACGGTCAGCCTACGATCTGCGGCCTCCGACTCGTGCGGCTGTTTGCACGAATCGCAAGATGCCTTCATCCTCATCCCCGCAATCATCTGCTTCACCACCATCGCGAGGGGCTAGGAGGAGCCCTCATGCTATTTGCGACAATGACGCTAACATACACAACTTTGCTCCAGTCGCCAGAATCATGAAGATGGCATTGCCCGAGAACGCGAAGATCGCCAAGGAAGCGAAAGAATGCATGCAGGAGTGCGTTAGCGAGTTCATCTCCTTCATCACTAGCGAGGGTATGTATCTCAGAGCAACGTAACGCAGACGCTGTGTCACGGATCTGGCTAATATGTGGAACAGCATCTGAGAAATGTCAGCAGGAGAAGCGCAAGACTGTTAACGGCGAAGACATCCTATTCGCCATGACATCGCTCGGGTTCGAGAATTATGGTGAAGCTCTGAAGATCTATCTCGCACGCTATCGAGAGGTGGGTGCCGAGACCTTCCTTTCTATTGCTACCAACGCTGACTTTTGCAGAACCTACTCGCTAGAGGCGACCAGAAGCCAGCAACCACATCCGCGGCTACAGACCCGATCTATGAGAACTCGAATCACAATGTACTAGCCAACCCCATGGACCCCACCGGAGAAGTTGGCCCAGACTTCAGCTACCCAAGCGGCCATGTTGTCTCGAACGAATATTGATAGCTTGATACATCCTATCTTGCACATGCTCGCTTCGTGATGATCTGCTCGCTAATGCATGTACCAGTCCTCTAGGACGTCCTTGGGCTCTGCACTGGCCCGAGACGGCCAAAAACACTCGTCGCAAGGATATTCGCCTCAAAGCTCTCAAGGCTCCTCGCGTCAAGGCTACTGCGCGCGAAGATACTCGTCAAACTAGTGAGGCTGGACGCTGGCCACCATTCTCATACACTGAGCTTGTAAGCCTGCCGATAACGATGTCTCCACCCGAGCAGTCATCGTCTGGACTACTAGAGGCCTGGCGACTACGTCATTCTGGCGGCAGGATACGAAAATCTAGCAGATCGAGAAGATGGAGCCTGACCACCAAGTTGTGCTCGGCAAGACTTCGTCCTTGATTTGGCCAGATGACACCATTTTCTTTTGTTTATGATACTTTGGGAGGAGTGGACCATGCTACCAGGATTGTACTACGCGAAATTGGGTGGCGAAAATGGTTGCTTGTGGTAGGAATTGGGCAAGTGTGCTTTGAGCTGAAGCGACAGAGACTATGTACAGAGGGCGAAGGTGGACACATAGGCGTTCAGCGACATAGAACCATACTGCTTGCGCAGACTAATTACTGTAGAATAGCGTGGAAGCCTTTTATTCTGTGAAGCGCACTGCGCAGAATCTCCTCTGGTGCGAGTATTGAGGGACTGATTGAACCTCATCAATGCATGTGGTGCTCAAGACGCATTTCCTGTCCTTTCGTCAGCGTACCATTGGTACAAGAATTTCTCGCATAGTTGCACCTCAAGCGACCGTGATGCACGATCTCGTTCTGCTCTCGAGGTCAGGAAGTGGCATTCTACCTTACCATCTGAAGGCTCCTTTTCGCGGTGTTAAGGTGGAAGTGGGGTGGTGGACTTACTATCCGTAGGGCCGGGGTTTGGTGGATTAATTGTCGGCTTGTATTCAAAGGACGGAAAGGGGTTAGTCCCATTAGTGGCGGTAGCACTACCACCAAATCCACCACCGGTTGCTTGAACAGCGCGCGGCTGTCCAAAAAGACCATTGCTTGCAGAGAACGCAGTAGCGGGCCCAAAAATCCCACCGGTAGTGACGTGATTACTATTCTGAGAATTTGTTGGCGCTGTGTTGAAGACGCTTTGTCCTTGGTTGCCGCCAAAGACGATTGAGGGCTGAGAGAGCTCGCGGCGTGTGGGAGTGTCGTCGATGCTCAAGCTGGACAGGTTGATAACTAAAAGACACAAGCTGTAAGCGGGATCCTTCATTTTTCGCCATAGAAGCAGTCATACCTTCCAATGGTCGCTCGTATTTCTTACATGTGCTGATGACACTTTCAAGCGCCACGCGCTGGGCCCGAGCCTGGATTCGTTCCGCACGAGCTTCTTCTGGCTCCGCCGCAACTTCAGCAAGGCGAACTGGGTCCATATTCCATGCTTGCTCGGGTTCAAACACATTATTAAGATTGTTGAGGAGGCACGCCTCAACCACAAGCAGTGCACAGTTATCCACGAAAGTGTCAAGTGCGACCTTATACGGAATCAGCATTGTTCACAGAAGCTTGCTCGTGTCAACAGAATCAGCTTACCTGATAGTACGCATCAGCCTTTTCAATAGCTTCAGCGGCTGCTCGCTCCTTCTGAGGTAGACCACTGCCATGAGCCTGCAGATAATGCTGGAGGATATCGGCATTGTGCGTGGAGGATTTCCGGGATGGAGGATCCATGGCACCCAACGCTGTCATCGTATCTCTCTTGTCCTCGGCTACCTTCTGAGTGTATACTCGGCTCCAAGTCATGGGATGCGCACTTGTCAGAGGCCACATGATCTCGGTCAATTTTTTGTTCAACATCGACCACCTGTCATCCATCTCCGGGCTAAGGAGTATATTCATAAGCCTTCGGCCAGTCACCCGGTCTGCCACATGCATTACAGCTGCCTCAAGGGAGGTGCGCATGGCGGTGTGACAGTCTTTGACGTACTGTTGAGCATTGGTCTTCCAGGGAGTCGACAGCTGTCGAAATATGGACGTAATTAGCTTAGCGGGAAATAGCCCAGAAAGATATGGGCCTTGGAGGTCGTCCAGATGGGCTGCAGTTGCTTGGCAGTAGGCTCCAACTTCGATGCTCACTGTATCCAAAGCCCGCATGCCCTTCTCCAGATATGGCGGAAAGAATGTTGGAGATTTGGAGACTCCTTGCCCTCTAGAAGAAAGAAAGTCAGTCACGCTTCGGTCTTTGGGAGGGAAGTACTGACCTGACGAGTTCTGCTCCGCTCGACACGAAGCGATATTGACAACCGTTGGTCCGCAGTCTCGCAGCGAATTGATCCGTATTGCCATTGACCAGAGTCCGCAGACGCTTGCTCCTGTCATCGTCGAAGTAGTCCTTGAATTCACTTTTATCATAATCGCCATAAGAGAGGCCTCTACAAGCCGCTGCAATTTATGCAGCATCCTGGAGAGATACTGGCGGCGCTCAGTCTCGCTTTCACGTGCTGGTCCGAGTCGGTCGATACTGGCCTTACACTCTTGCGCCTTGAGCTCAAGCTCTTCCAGCAGCGTCGGCAGCTCCGTGGCGATGCAACCGAAAAGCAATTCGTTGAGCTTGTGCGCCAGTCTCTCAGCCCCAACATTAGATTTCTTGACTCGAGACCAATTACCATGCGTGAAGAAGTCCAGCTCCATCTCACGCCTCTTTGTAGCTGAGCGGTCCTCTTCTTCGTGCGACTGGTTTCGGAGAACATGCCACCCATGGGCCATGCGAACTCGATGGCCTTCCGCTAACTGGATAGCTTCTTTTTCGGCGTCAGATCCCGATCTCAGACAATCTGGTTTGGTGATCACACCGAGAGTACGTCTACGGACTGCTTCATCGGACCGGACAAGTTCGATGACTTGCTGCACACCAAGATCATACTGTGCGCTGACTACTGCGAGAACGATAGATCTTGGCTTCTCCAGGTATGATTTCACAAGCTCGAGTATCTTCGCCTTGTCTCCTTTTCGTGTGCCTACATTCGCTTGTATCAAGCCCGGTACATCAACAAGCGTCAAGTGCTCTTTCGTAGGACCAGAAAGCTCGATCCGAAGAACATCTGACCAGACGCTACCGTGAGGCTCAAAGTCGGTCAGATGATCAAGAGCAGCTTTTATGACCTCCTTGACATGTCTCGCTCCTGTGACTTCGAAGTTTGGTTTGAAAGCTTTGATACGCTCCTGGGCGTCCAGCCCACGAGATGGTCCAGGACGAAGGCTGACGCTGACACACTCGTCCTGTGCACGCCTCAAAATGATTTCCGTGGCAAAACGGGTGACTGTATTGATGCCTATTGGGAAGCTGACATCGGCAATGGCTTCCAGGACAGAGCTTTTGCCACTAGATTGATCACCACAGACCACTATCTGCGGGATCGAAACTTCGGCATCGATGTTCTCGTTGCGAAGTTTGTCAATCGCTTCCAGTAGCTCCTCCTTGCTACCAGAGTTGAGCTGACCCAGAGTAGTGTTCGAGGTGTCGTCCTCAAAGTCGCGATATTGGTGTTCGGAGCAGCTGCTCTGGGCCTCGGACGAGGCCTCGTTGCTCAACTCGTGTGATGGCTGCATTTGGGACCTGAGTAATGTACAAGGAAAATAGGGAGTGCTGAGTTGCGACTTGGTAGAGTGTAGAGAACTGGAGATAGAGTTCGGACTTGCTATACATACCTCATACTTATAGCCGCCGATGCAAGAACCTGTGGGCATGGCGAAGCAGTGCAAGCGAAGAAGCAGCACCGGGTGTCTCACTGCGACACAACTCGCTTCGTCGTTCGTACGCTCGGCACCGCCATGAGGCGTAGGGGCCCTGTATGGTTTGCGCAAGCGAGATGCATTCGAGACGTTTTCAATCAGGACCGGTCAATACGATCAGCCATCAGCCATGCCATCAAATCTCGTGCTATATCCTTCGCCAGGCCTGTCAGTACTCCACATTTGGATTAGTGCACGAGTGTATCAAGCTAGCTGCACGTGATGGCGGTGCCGTTGCTCGCCTGCGTGCCGCCTGGCGCGTTCGTGCAGTTCCCCGACGGATGAAAGGGTGTTTCGTAATTACTGTTGAGTGCGTGTCAGTGGATTCGTGAATCCTGTGCAAGGTTGTTATCGAGAGGCTGGCTGTTGAAACCGAGTAGTACGTGAGGGTATGCAGGAGCCAGGAGAAACGGGAGGAGGCAGACCACCCCGGAGGAGCCGCACCTTGGCGTGCTTAGTCAGTGGCTTTGGTGGTGCGGGAGAACGATGCGCTATGAATGTAGAGGGACTAAATGTCAGAGGGGGACGCGACATTCCTCGCCAGCCGATGAGTACAGACTGCTTTGTGAGATGTCACACTATTGAGGCTCTTCGTCCTTGAACCTCTCCCGCAACGCTCCAACATCGATCCCACACACCTCAGCTTTCGCCACAATCGCTTTAGCCTTGCCTACAACCGGCACGTCGATCATCTTCCCATCTAACGTCCATGCTCCCCGACCCTGTTCATCGGCTTTCTTGTCGCAGAGTACCACTCGCACAGCCCACTCTGCCTCTTCTGGGCTGGGACTGAAGACTTCCTGCACGGTTGCAACCTGATCAGGATGGATACATTGCTTGCCATTGAATCCGAATCGTTTGCCGTTCTCGCTCTCGTTTTGTAGATATTGTTTGCCTTCTTCGCCACGGAAAGTCGTGCTCACTAGATCCAGGGTTGATGGGAGGTTCGCTGCTCGAGCCGCTGTCACAATAGCTGATCGAGCATACATGAATTCATGTAAATCCGGTGTTCGTGTTATGCTGAGGTCGAGTGCGAAGTCCTCTGCGGCAAACGTGAGGCCAGAGAGATATGGCGATGCTTTGACTATGCTGGCAAGATCCATGACAGATCGTGCACTCTCAACCAATGCCACGATCTTGATCGGGTTTGTCGAGCCTTCTGCATGTCGTTCTGGTAGCTTTTGTCGTATCACGTCTGTCACGAAATGTAGATCGCTCGCGGCATCGACTTTAGGTACTACAAGGCAATCGAGGTTCTTGCCTTTCAAGATTTCAGTCAGGTCGTCCAGTGCGAAGCCAGATCCGACTGAGTTGATGCGGACGGCCTGCTCTCGAATACCAGGCACACGGTCTCGGTTGAGGATCTCAAGGATATTTCTTCGGCCTTCAGGTTTCTTGCTGGGTGTCACGGAGTCTTCAAGATCGTAAGCTACGCTGTCAACTGCTTTCATGCCTCGCGACTTTTCCAGAAATCTCATCGATGAGCCAGGCACTGTTTTTGTCAAATCAGGTTCGAATTCTCTTCTGTGCTTCTAGATAGGTTCGCCTACCATATAATTGAGCCCGGCGAATAACCTGCGCTGCCGTAGAACCCATTGTGGTGCAGTCCCGTGTGGTCTCCTGAATATGAGGTTGTATCCGATGAGCAATACACTCCCTACCTGATCATCATGAATATGTACAACGGGGACATTGCCGACCTACAGCAGTGCAGGAGGTAGTCGACGACTAATCTTGTTGCCGGACAATGTCAATGCTCGTGGTCGACTGCTCCAAAGATGCGGAGGTGAGGCTCTGCGGCGAAGGGACGGAGCGCGAAATGCGTCCTTTCCAGATTGGGACGAACGGGTGCGTTTCAGCATGTGCTTTGGGGCAGATGTACATAATCCTGCTGCCTCTGCTAAACACTTTTAACACTTCTTCCCGCCGCCAGAAACTGACCGACCGGCAAACTGTCAGATGGCGGATATCGAGAACCAATCCACGGGCCAGCTCAATTGGCGGCTGAGCGCTCACCCTATCACCCTTGTCACCTTTCTCTCCTTCAGAATAGGTATGCTACATAGTGATCCAGGCATGAGCTGTCCGTACTAACGATGATTTCTCAGCCTCGCTCCTCGTCTACCTTCTCGGCCTGATCTTCACCGAAAATTACGTCCTCATCTTCATCATCACCATCCTCCTCCTGGCCGCCGACTTCTACTACCTCAAAAACATCGCTGGACGACGATTAGTAGGGCTACGATGGTGGAACGAGGTCAACGCACAATCAGGTGACAGCACGTGGGTGTTCGAGAGTGCGCCTCAGCCTAATGAACCTGGGGGAAAGTTGGTCAATGCTACAGATAAGAGATTCTTCTGGTTGGCATTGTATTGCCAGCCGGCTTTGTGGGTGGCTCTAGCTATCGTGGCTATTGTGAAGTTTGCTTTCATTTGGCTGACGCTTGTTGGTGAGTATGGGAGTAGTCTTCGCTATGCTGACGAGCTGACATTGGTATATAGTCATCGCATTGGTGCTCACGATCACGAATACTCTGGCCTTCTCGCGCTGTGACAAGTTCAGTCAAGCCAGTGGACTGGTTGGAAGCGGACTGTACTCGGCATCACTGGCGCGCAACGTGGGAGGAGCGCTCATGTCTCGCTTCTTCAATCGATGATTGTCATCGTGCATTGTACTATATGTATCACCAAGTTGTTGCATCAGGATCTACAGTGCGACTCAAACATCAAAGTGTCTTTCATGCATGTCTGCTGAAGATGCAGTCGCTCACAAGAATCTTCATCTCACTGGACAGCCCTACAAAGCATGGCATTGCCTGCTTCTTCCTTTGCTTGCTAACACGGCAGGTTTCAATGTCATTGGTAGCAGGAGTACAAAGACGCGATGTCTGAGTATGATTGCGGGCCTCAGCTGATAGCTCTACTATATCTGCTCCTTCTGCTCCTTCGACCCAAAGAGACTACATCGTTACTCTTGGACCGGCATCGCCATATTACAACCCGCAATGACACCGCAATCAGTGCAAGACGCGTACGATCAGATAGATAGGACTTGGGATGCATACGACTTGCAGACCTCCTTGAGCACCTGGGTCCCAAGAAGACTACCATCAGCAAACTCCTTCCGTCTCCTCGTGATCGGGCATCTCATTGCGACTCCGCCTCCGCAACATACGGCTGATACTCTTCTTGAGGACCGATTGTGGAATGATGCATTTAATGCGACCCAGGTCTTCATGGCAACGTATGGACCCGGCATATGGAACGTCACCGATCCTACCATGCGGCTCCTCATATCGCCTTATGTTCTGGACTACGTTTGGGCCTTGCTGCAGGATCCGGCTGCAATCACAGTACAGGACCTGCACGAACGTCGCGCCATGATGCAGGTAGTAAGGGACAGGAGACAAGGGCGGAGAGGGAGTTTGCCAGATTCTGTTACCATGTTCGAGCAAATTGCTGATGGTGACTCGCCAACGTTTGGTGGCCCTGCCCTACAGCGTGGCAGATCATTGAGTGCTCCAGCGGCAGACCCAAGACCACAGCGGATGCTCAATGCGCTCGAGAACGTACATAACCTTGCGAGACAGCTGGCAGGCATGGAAGTGGAGGATGATGGCAAAATGCAGCAGCAATTCCAGAGCTTACTCGACGACTCTGTGGAGGGTACGTTGGATGAGTCTGGGACGCACGGCGAAAGACTGAATGCTGACAGTGATCCCGATGACCAGGCTACCATTCGTGCGAATTATGCCAACGATGCGAGGACTGGCAGGTACATGAGCATACCGCAGCCTCTCAATGAAGATGACTTCGATGGGGAACTTGAGGAGGGCGATTTTGACACAGATGATGAGAATGATATCTACCCCTCTGAGAACGAGGACCGGATTCCAGAGTGCTCGCCACGACCTGTTCCTGGTCAATACGTATGCGACATTCCCATCAGCCAAGACCATCAGAATGGAGATTCAGTCTTCTGCGGTCAAGTTTTTACTAGCCAAAGAAAACTGGATGAGCATCAGAAGGATGTTCATGGGATGGATGAATGACCGATGCGTGTACATTGCGATGGGGTGGGTGTAAATGTTTCGATATGTGCAGCGCTCGCTGTTGCTAGATAGCTTGTGATCGCGCCGCCATCATGCTCAACGACACATACAGTAGAAAACCAATTTTGTTCAATGTTGATGTCAGTTGTCGTCGTCTATGTTGAAGTCCAGCTCCGCTTTGGGCAGGTGCGGCGAAATGTAGAGACTCCCGACTTTCGAGACGGAGCTTGAAGTAAATGTCGTCTGGACTTCCGAAATGCTTCTTTGTATTGCACTCACCTTACACAATGTCGCCCAAGGCTGTACTATCATCGCTGAGCTCTACTCAGAGACAGTGTGTGCACCGGCAATGGCAGCAGAGTGGACAATGTGTTCGATGCTTTCATGCTTCGATTCGGAGGAGAGCAGAAGATCCTCCAGGGCAGCAGGATCAAAAGTACAACAGCAATACTGAGAAGAGAACACCTTATAATCGTAAGTTTATACTACAGATATGACTTGACCAGTGCTAAGGCTCTTGAAGAACCACAACGAGGACCATCTCGCCAGCAGCGAGCCGCTCAGATCTCCGAAGAAGTCCGTCTACTCAACCGCGATGTACCATCCCTTAGCCCATCGAAACCTCAAAACGAAGAGTCATATGCAGTCGGGCCACAAGGCTTGGCTGATCTCGAGACACCTGGAAGAATGGGCGAAAATGCATCGCCAGGACGTGAAGGACCATTCGCGCAAGGTGTGGGCAGGACGGCGTCGAGTAGAAGAAATGAAGGGATGGGCGCGGGCAATGAGGCTATCAGGGGCGTAAGGACTCCTGATCATGGCGTTGAAGATCCAGATCGAGGAGGTGAAACTGTCCTGGAGGCCTCCCAGGGGTCGACTACTGCAGATGCGAGTTCGAGATCTACCGACGGCCAGGCGACGAACAGAGCTTCACGACGGAAGCCCACCATGAAGTCGCCAGGCTCATCCTATCAGCCATCTCCGGTATCGTACAAGGATCTAGTTCAGTCTGGCAACCAATCCTCCACAATTGCTGCCGAAAACTTTGAAGGGATAATCAACGATCACGTAAGACTTGCTGCTGAGCCCGGCGAGTTCGCTGGCCGTCGAGACATCAATACGATTGCTCAGAGACAGCTCGCAGGACAGATTGTTCGTCTCGACTCTGTTGAAGAAAAGAAGGCTGTGCACGACAAGGTGAAAGAGATTAAGCGGTTCGATAGAGAGGTGACGGCACAGGCGAGTGAAGCGGAGAAGCAGGCACAAGTGGGGAAGCGAGGAGGGAAGAATCCGAACACTGAGCTTTCGCCTCTTCCAGACACTATCAAGACGATGTTGATCAATAAGCTTGTGAAAGGGGTGTATGATCAGGAGGGTGTACTTGGTGGTGCGCAAAAGCATAAGCAGCCTGTTCTGAATAGGTTGGCGAAGATGGGTATGCTCAACGGCACGTATCTTGCCAGTGACAGTGAGAGGTTCTTGAAGAAGGTGGAGAGTTTACTGCCAGCTGCTCCAGTGCAGGCGAGTAGGCAGGGAGCTGGGGGTATGAAGAGTGCTGGTGAGGGCGGGACTGGACCGACGGGCAGTGCGCAGAAGAGTGGTAGTGTGCAGCGTCAGGGTCAGCAGATGCCAGGTCAATTGGCTGGAGATCAAAAGGCTTCAAGCTCGAGGCGAGGTGCTGCTGCCTTGTAGACACAGCGATGTAATGGTGGTCGCTGACCATTTGCGTCAAATACTCTCGATCGAACTATGCTCGACCTCATTGAACTCGAAATCGAAGACTGCTTGTAGGAGAAGCTCTTATGGCAATGAAGCAAAATAAAACGCGTAGCAGGAAAGAAACATTGTTTACTTTAATGCAGACAAGGCTGTCCATAAGCCTTCGTCGACCCTGGAGGATTATTACGACTGTCTTGTCTAGTAAAAGCTAAAGGACCATCACAAGGATATAACCCATTGAGATCTGCCGCCGGAGATGTACCGCAGAATGGCTGCAGGTGCTACTTTGGCATCTGGTTGGTTGAAGCAGAGCATCAGCTCACTTGAGGATAACGCAACGTCACTACATCCACCTCGGAAAGTGCCAGCAGCACTTCGACCTTCAGCACTTCATACGCCAGAATTCTCGGCTGTTGCCCATGGACGACCTCCGCTCATCGGATTACTGCAGCATGATGGACAGCTCACCACCTCAACGGCCCGCTACCGAGCTACGGCTCGTGGTCTAAACCCGTCGACTCAAATTCGGCGAACGTCCCTGATAGACGGGTCAGAACCTTTGATAGGCGGGTCAGAATCTCTCTCAAGAATCGTTCAGATGCCTAGCGAAGACAAGCGCTGGAGGTACGGTGAAGAGCGATTCAGCAGGAGTTGATTGACGTACTTTGTACTAGCAATGGCGTTCGATCTACAAGCTTTGGTTGGAATCTATTGTTGCTCGAAGTTGTTGTCTCTTAATTATCTGGTTCCATTGGTCAACGCAAAGATGTAGCGTTAAGGCGAAGCGTTGAGGCGTCCAAATGGGTCCCCGATCACGCCAGTCTTGCCCTTGATACGAATCTCCTCAAGACTTCACGCAGACATATCATCTCACGACGATGGCGTCCGTGGTGGAACAATCGAGGGAGCCTGAGACTTGCTCATTGAGGGCATTGGCATGTGAGATGCGTGCACTTGAATTGCCAGCATCAGGAAGAAAGAGACCGAGTCGGGTCACTGATTTCAGCAGTAGCTGCTTCAGCTTACGCTCTGCTCGAAAAGTCAAGTGTACCATCGCTCGCTCTCTTCGGTGCGTCAAGCTCAGCTTGGCTGTAAATCAAGAAGGAGACTTGAGAGGTGGCTGGAGGACGGAGCTGTGGACTTCAAGCACCATCCCTTACAGCGAGCCCAACCTGGGCTAGCGCAGGGCGATCTTGAGCGTGCTAGCGCCCCGGGAACTTGGTAGAGAGCTCATTCGCTGCTCAATAGGGGGCTCAAGGCATCGCGTGGGCATGAGAGAGACAGTGATTGAGCTCCTTGCGTATCAGCACACGAAGACGAACAGGCAATCAAGAAGTACGGCTTTCTATATTAGATAACAGTACACTTGACAGGCAGGCCACAAGGACCCTTGCTCTCATTTTCCTCCCGCTCGTGCGGTGCAGTCGAAGTCTGCTGTTGTGTAGCACCATTAGACAGAGCCGTAGCCTTCGTCTCATCCCTCCCAGTGTTTGCTGCAGCACCTGTAGCCATACCGGCCGCACCAGCTGTTCCAACCGCACCCCCTGTAACACCCTCCCCCTCCTCCTTCACGGGTTCCTGCCTTCCGGCCGCGCCGCCATCTAGTCACGCGAAGTTGACCTTGGAGACAGCCTCGTAGAACGCCTTGCCCTGAGCCTCCGCGAGCTCCAACTCCTTGGCAGAAGGCATACGGCTGCCATCAGCGGCAGAGTATGTACCAGCACCCCAAGGACTACCACCACGAGCCTCGGACAAGTCGGCCAAGAGGGGGAAGGCGGTCTTGTAGCCAAGAGGGACATAAATGAAGCCGTGGTGGGCGAAAGTGCTCATGCAGGCCAAGGCGGTGCTCTCCTGTCCTCCACCCTGCGAAGCAGTGGAGATGAACACACCGGCGTACTTGCCCCAGTAGCTGCCTTGCTGCCATTGGCCACCCGTCTTGTCCCAAAAAGCCTTGAACTGAGCTGGGAAGTTGCCGTAACGGGTTGGTATACCGAAGAGTATACCATCATATTGTTCGAGGGTCTTTGGGTCGGAGAGCGTAGGGACGCTGGAGTCCTTGGCTGGGGCATACATTTTGGTCAAGACCTCTTGAGGGAGGGTTTCCTCGACTTGGTAGAGGTCGGCGTCGCCACCGGCGGCCTTGATGCCCTTGAGTTCGGCATCGGCCAAGGTCTTGATGTGGCCGTACATCGAGTACTGTCGAATATTGTGTTAGCCTGTTGGCCGCCTCATCCTCGCTTATGCTATTGTAGGAGAAGTTGACATCCCCACTGGCTGTTGGACCAATATCAAGCGTTGAAGGCCTTCGCCTCAGCTTGCGCGTGGCGGCGCACGGAGACTTACAAAGACGATTGCGATTTTGGGTGCCATCTTGACTGCTGTTTGTTGATATTACTGGTGTAGCAGAGAGTATGCTGATTGAGGTACGAGAAAGATCAAGAAGGGTTATGGTATAGATCGGGAGGTCGAGATAATATTTATGTTGTCCGGCACTGTTTATGGAGCTTCGCGGGCACTCTTCAATGCCCCGCTGATAATCGATCATTTATTAGACATTTCCTCCATATCGGGTTTAGCTCATGCAGCGGTTCGGGTCCGCGATGGTCTGCTTCACAATGCTTTCCAAGCAGTTAGCAATCATGCCTCCAAACCTTACCAACAGCCATCGCGGATTCATACCGTTGCTGTACTCCACACTATATGCACGCAGCTAGACGAGAGTCTCTTGTCAACAAGGTCGTGATCGTCCCGTCGGTAAGAGCAGAGGCAAGAGGTGGAAGGGTTCTGCCCGCTGAAGAAGAGAAACCGTATCCGCTAAATTCACTTGCCGAGCTGCATGGGACCTGCAGTAGGTAGGCTAGAGCTCTCGGCTGAACAAGATCGCTTGCATACAGTACCACTCACCATATCTGGCAAAGATTGTTGTAGTGACTAGGCCTCTTGCGCCAGGCCTCTCTGGGAAGGCACTTCTGGCCGGACATTTGTCCAATATGGCCGCTGATCTGGAAGAAGAAGAGGACTACCTATCGATGTCTTTCAGCGAGCCAACAGAATCGGTCAAAGAGACATCGCTACAACGGACAGCTCGTCTGAAAAAGGAAGCCGCAGAACGAAGCCGGCCACTTTCCAAAAAGGAACGAGCGGAAAAAGGAAAGGCTACCCGAGATGCAGCACTCGCCACCCAAATTGATGCCTCAAACAAAGGTGCACAGATGCTGGCCAAAATGGGCTTCAATGGTGGTGCGTTAGGGAAGTCCGAAAATGCCAGGACCCAGCCGATCGAGGTCCTAGTCAAGGACAATCGAGGCGGCATTGGCATGGATAGCGAGAAGAAGCGTAAGTTGAGGGATGCTGCCGAGGAGGTTGTAGGGCAGGAGAAGAAAAGGAAGGTCGGCGAGGAGGAGTTCAGGTTGAGAGCTCGAGATGAGAGAGAGGAGCGGAAGAATGAGGGCCAGATGTGGAGCGCGATGCGGACGCTTGAAAGCTTTGAGACGGGTGCGTTTGATGAGGGTGACGACGAAGATGGTGGCGAAGATGCCACGAAGACTAAAGACGCGGCAAGTTCAAGGCCGCTGAAGAGCATCAATGTGCTGTGGCGACCGCTAGTCAAGCAAAGACTCGAGAAGGAGCGCAAAAGACGTGCGCGCCATGATCTTGACCAGAGCCTCTCACGACGGGCAGACTATGATGATCCCGATGCCGATGCTGACGACAAGCTTGCTCTGGGCACGGAAGTTGAGGAGCAGCTTGACGACGAAGATGCTGAATTGGACGAGTTCGAGGCTCTGAGCTTCGTGGATAGGCTTGAGAAGATTCTGGAGGAGTTGAGGACGGAGTGGAAGTATTGCTTTTGGTGCAAGTACAGGTATCCTGACCAGGAGATGGAGGGTTGTCCAGGAACGACGGAGGATGAGCATGGCTGAACATGCTCGTTGTGCCCGTGCTCATGTCCTGCTTACATAATCTCGACTTCTCCTCAAGCTTGATAGACAGCAATATGTATAACCGTGAAAGTGCGCACATCACTGGGAAACACATATGAGCCCCCGGCCTTAGGACTCCTTAGCATTCTATTGTGAGTCCCGATGTCCATTGCTGTATCCCGAGCCCCTTTGGAGGATTTGGACTTATGCACCGATTCTCACGCAAAAGCTAAAAAGTTTGTAGCTCGACGACCACGCCCGGGACTTATGTTTTACAAGCTGGACTTGCATCTCTAATGGCTATTCTCTTGAGTCCCGCTCTACGTTTTTGTTTCCCAGGCTTGATTGCGAGACTAGACCTCACAGTATGACCTGCTAGTAAATTTGACCCAGCTCAACCACACACGAACGGCGGCATAGAAATGCGTACTGGAGGCTGTTTATACGAGTTGTCCAATGACTCTCTCGAGTCCCGGCCTCGAGTCTGGCCCAAAACAAACCCTGACTATAAGTGAGGGTCATACTCCGCCAAGGCAGATTATTCTGGACAGCTCACGTTCGTGCCTCATCTACGCATGGGACACACTGCATATACGCTGGACTCGCAGGCGATACCATCACAGCCGCGAGTCCCAGTCTCCAGCTTCTATGTCCAGGGCCTTGACAGCATGGTGGACGCATATTGTTCGTTCATAGTAATATCGACCATCGTTGCACCACCATAGTCAGGAATGAGGAATAAGGCACCGAGAGGTCAGAATGAAGTTTTGTAGCTATAGTATGCTCTTGTAGTGCCTAAAACTACAAAGGATATACGCAGCAACTTGACATTTATGCGCAATAGATCATGACTACCGGCAAACACGATAGAAGGCACAGAACTCGCTTTGAGACCCCAACGCCGCGCTCAAATCTCATATAGCATAACCATCACTACCTCTCCCCCAGTATGCCAGCCACCTGCAAACACAAATCCAGAATAGTCAAATGCTCATCACTCCCATCCACCAACCTCTTATCCACATCCGAAAAGCACAGCACAATCCTCGCCTTCTGCCAGTCCCCAGTAGTATCGTCCTTGATAACAATCTCCTCGTACATCTGCGTCACAATCTGCGTAGCTGACCAGCCTTCTGCTACCAGATCCTCCACGGCCTTGGAGACACGACCGTAGACTGTGCCTTTTGAGCTTGGCTGCATGGCTGTGAGAAGGTTATCGATCGTGTTCGTTGGGATAACGCCGGCGATGTCTTCGATACTGCGGACTGTGACGAGGTTGCTACTGCTGGGTTGGTCGACGTCCATTACATCTTCATCTTCGTCGTCATCGATCTTCGCTCTCTTCCTTTTCTTGTCTGCAGCAGGAGCGGCCTGCACGACACCTACCAATCTTGCAGCTGATTGCAAGAATGTGATCGCTTTCCTCAGATCACCCTCGCTGCATCGTAATAGCGTGTCCACGACACCATCTTCCAAGGGCACATTCTCCAGCTTCGCAATATCCTGCAGTCTCTTTCCTGCATTTACTTCGTCCAGACTCTTGAACCTGAATTTGCTGCATCGCGAAGCTAGAGGATCGATGATTCGCGTAACATAATTGCAAATCAGGCAGAATCGGGTGATTTTGCTATACGTCTCCATCGTCCTTCGCAAGGCGGATTGAGCATCTTGCGTCATACTATCGGCCTCATCTAGCACGATAATCTTGTATGGTGGACAAGGATACTTCTTCCTGTACTCCTCTCCAGCAGGTCCAGCAGGTGGGTTCGAGAGCTGCATGCGTGCAAAGTCCTTGACCTTCTCTCGCACAATTGAGATGCCGCGTTCGTCTGAGGCATTGAGTTCGAGGACACGTGATTTGATGAGCTCTGGACCGTAGAGCTGTTTGGCTAGAGCGAGGACGGTGGAGGTTTTGCCTGTTCCTGGTGGGCCGTAGAAGAGCATGTGAGGGAGGTTGGCGGACTGAAGGGTCCGACGGAGCACTGTGACGGTATGATCTTGGGCTGTGACATCATCGAGCGACTTGGGGCGGCTATGGAAGTGTTAGTGATGGTGGTGGGATTTGATATGTGAGGTCGAGTGTGATACTATTTCTCTACCCATGGCTGTAGGCGATTATCTTGTGTTGGCGTTTGTTGCTTGCTTGAGCTTGCTGTCGCCGCTGCAGCCGCCTGCCGCGCTCGGATGTCGAAGAAGCTGGCCATGTTGTCGATATGGTATAGTTCATGAATTGGTTATCCCATCTCGAGATGGAGTGACGCGATTTGAGACGCGCCTCAATTCCGAAGTTCTGCCGGTCTTGCCGAACAAGCTATCCTTACCCAACATCGTCGTTGCGCCAGAACGATGAGGTATGTAGGATCTTTCTCGGCAGACTCTCTGCAACGATGGCGGACCTCCATCCAGGCCACCATATCTATAGAAATTCCACACTGACGTCCATGTCGTCCCGAAGCAGATGAGGCGGCACCGGGACATCTTCATGACGTCCACTTTCATGCAGGTACCAGCAATTGTTCTAACCTTATCCATCCATCCTCATCGGACAACGATTCATCCTTTGTATTGAACGAGCGTGAGACCTTGAACTGTTGTAAAACATTGACTATTGCATGTAGTTGAGCGTAAGTCTGCTTTCACCTTGTCCATCATCACTCTTACTCTCCTCCACTCTCTCTACCACGCTCACCGCATCATCACCATGGGCTCCATTCAAGAGCAGAAGATCAAAATAGCCATCGTAGGCGGCGGAATAGCAGGTCTCGCTCTTGGTGCTGGTCTGGCGAAGAAGTCACACATCGATTATCACATCTATGAGTCTGTTCCAGAGTACAAGGATGTAGGCGCTGGCCTGGCATTACACATGAACGCCATCAAGGCAATGGCGCTCATAGGACCCGAAGTAAAACAAGCATACTTCGACAAAGCGCTAGAGATGGGAGAGGAGGACCAAGTGATGTCCACAGAAGTCATACTCGCACAAGGACCACATCAAGGCACACTGGTCGCAGAACTTGGCAAAGCGAAGGGCAGGAAGACGGTCAGTCGAGCCGATCTGCTGGATGGATTACTAGAGCTCGTACCCAAGGACCGCATAACCTTCAACAAACGTCTCGAAAGCATAGACAGCTCTGACTCCGGCTCAACAATCACCTTCAAAGATGGCAGTACCGCACAGGCAGACTGCATACTGGGGTCAGATGGTGTCCACAGCATAACCCGCAAATATATCCTCGGCGCCGACCATCCAGCAGCCGAACCAGTAAACCACGAAGGCTGGCAGGTTTATCGTACGATGGTCTCCGCTGACTTCGCAAAGCAACACATCAACCCGAAGTGGACTCAAACCGTCCCTATCTTGCTCGGACCAAGAGGCCACGTGAACTGCATCCCACTGAACAAAGGCACTCGATTATCTGCCGGAGTCGCAGTCCGAGGAGCTAAGTTCGCCGAAGGTGGCAAAGCTCCCGATCTCGATCCGGAGCTTTACAAAGATTACAGCGAGGATGCTCAGAAAATCGTCCGGATGGTGGCGAGAGACACCAGCGCTTCTTGGACAGCTGCAGATCATGACCATGCCGAGACGTACTTCAGAGGCCGTGTAGCAATGTTCGGCGATGCTGCGCACGCTAGTATGCCGTTCGCTGGTAATGGCGCGGCACAAGCGCTTGAAGACGCAGCAGTGTTGGATTGTTTGTTCGGGAAACTCGAATCGGTTGAGCAGCTCGAAGCTCTCTTCTCGGCCTACGACACTGTCCGACGGCCTCGATCACAGGCTGTGGTTGATCTAGCGCGGAAGTTCGGACGGGTCTATGCTTACGCGGAAGAGGGCATGCATGAGGATCCGGTCAAGATGAAGCAGTTTTTCGGTGGTGCGGCGGCGTTCACGAATAATGCCGATTTGCAGAAACAAAATGATGATGCTGTGGAATTGTTTGAAGCTGCTGTCAAGGCTGCGAAGGGGGGCGCGGATACTGGCGTCGCTGATACGAGCGTTGAGATCGTTTAATGATTGGCCTTTCTCCAACATCTAGGCCATGATGTGGTCCTCAGGTAATTGATTGAAGTCATAGACTTGCATGGATCCACTCTTGTACATCGGTCTCCAGCCGTGGAGCATACAGCCATGACATATCATCGCCCTCCCCAGCTGTGCCTTTCTTGATCTTGCCTTCTGCCACGAGCTTATTGCGTTCAGCTTCAGGTAGGCGTTGGACGTTATTTGAGTTCGTCGCCCAATCGTATATGGCATCTACACGCTTCTGCCGCATCTGCTGCCAAAAGCCTAACCCCTCGAGCACTCTCGTTTGACTCGGGTCTGGCTCTGTGCCGTTGTTCTCGCCATCGCCTTGTGAGACAGATGTCGTGCCATTGTGCTTCGAGACCGCTGCGAGAATCATGGCGAGAGAGTAGACGTCTTCAAGTGCTTGGTTGACACCTTGACCCGAGCTAGGTGGCAGAGCATGCGCACCATCTCCTACCAATACGACTCTGCCTGTCTTACTGAACCACTTCTCGAGCTTCGGCATGCGCATGTAGGGCCATACCCACAGACTCTGTTTACCCTCCGTACTGACAGCATCAATGATCTTCCTCGCGGTCTCTCCCCACTTCTCATAGTCCTTGCGATAGAAGCCCTCTAGGGCATCCTTGTCTCCATTCAGTCGCTCTAGGTCCTCACGGCTCTGCTCTGGGTACTGAACTTGTAGCCCGATCATAAGATCCTTGCCTTCGGCGTCTTCTGGTAAGAAGAAGATCGCTCCCGGTCTGTCCTGAATCGTGGCGTTCTTTTCGTAGTCCGCATATGGCCATGAGACAGAAGAGTGTGGTATATGTGCTAGAACGCCAAGAGTACCTGTATATTCTGGTTCGATGCCTGGAGCAAGATAATGTCGGATTGTGCTGTGTAGACCATCGGAGGCTATCAGTAGAGATGCTGATTGCAGACTGCCGTTGATCAGCAATGTCGCGCCTTCGTGGGTGTCAGACTCGCAGCCGGCAAACTTCGAACTGTAATTGATAGCGATGCCACATTCGGAGAGCATTTGCTTCATCTCGTTCAATAAGACCTTCCTCCACAGTCGATGGTTGTGATAGCCATAAAGCTCCTTTGCTGCGACAACGACTTTTCGCACAGTGTTGTCGTTACGGTCCTTGAACGTGCGGTGGGTGGAGATCCAACATCTATCCTTGATCCTGTCGAGGACTCCCAAACGGTCGAGGACATGAAGGCCGTTGGGCGTGAGGACAACGCCGGATGTTAGCGTATCTGCATCTGGCCCACGAGCCTCATAGATTGTGATGGGAATGTCGTGGGTTGTGAGTGCTAATGCGAGAGCGCAGCCACCTAGACCTCCGCCTATGATGGCGACATTCTCAAGGAGACCAGCCATACGTCTCGCCGCCTTCGCGGAAGGAAGCTCTCAGCCACGTCTCTGATTCAGATGTCGACTGCCGAAGGAGGATCGAGCATCCACTACAGCACAGCTTATGCCACTGTTGGCTGCAGCCGACGTTGACTTGTCAAAAAGGTGAGGATGTGCTGATGTATCTCCTCGCAGCCCCGACTACTATGTTCGAGCTCACAAGGAGTGGGACCGTCCGACCTCTTATTCCCCGTGCCTGCCTCCTCAGGCCCGAGACGCAAGTCTCAAACTCACATCGATCACGACGCTAAGCCTTCGTCCGTTCACCAAAGGATCTGGGCGGAACCGGGTTGCAGGAGACACCTTCTCAATTCAGGTTTGTGGCTCACACCATGATTACGGTGTATCTACGACTTCAGACTCCGTGCTTTAAATTTGGCAAAAGGAATACAGACGATCTTGTAAGGTCCATGGATCGCTCTTGTGTGCAGCTACAGCCGTCGACCCGTAACTCTCAGAAGCATTTGTAGGACCAATGGACAGGAAAGGGTTGCAGGATGAAAGTAGTACAGAAATTGCAAAGACGAACTCAAGCTGCGTGCGATCTACGCCGGAGGATCTGACCTCGTCAAACCTTAGGAGGCATCTCGTGAGTGACCGTCCCGCCCTCGCGCTGCTCCAGCTCCAATTCCTTCTTCTCGGCATGGAGAGCAATCTCGATATCCTGGGCCCGTTGAATAGCATCTACGTTCCCAAACAAAACGTCGATCTCTTCCAGAGATAGACGTTTCGTCTCTGGCACGAAGAACCACACGAAGATACCCATGGCCAAGCAGAAGATCCCGAACATCTAGACATAATAGTCAGCACCGATGATTGTCTTACATAAGTGTTCGATCGATTGTGAACGAACCAAGAAGGTCTTCCAGCCAATTGTTGAGACCGCAATTGGGGTAATCTTCGTTATCACAAAATTGAAAAGCCATTGGGTTGCAGCTAGACGACCGTTAGCCTCTGAATTCGACCAGGAACGATTGCTTCCACACCACTTACCAGCCAAGCCAACACCATATGCCCTCAGCCTAGTTGGAAAGATCTCGGACACAAATACCCATGGAGTCGGTCCCCAGGAAGCAGAATATCCAATGACATAGAGATAGATCATGACTACCATACCGATCGATGCCTTGCTGACATGTGGGTTCTTGACATCTGGCGGATGGGTCGACAGCACAGCAGCGATAATAAACATGCACATACTCATCCATGCCGCGCCTCCCAGCAATGCCCTCTTGCGGCCTAGCTGATCGATACCAACGAGTAAGAAAACAGCGGTGGCAACGACTTTGACCGTGCCATAGACACCGGTGGCGAAGAGAGACGAGTTAGTGCTACTGATACCAACTGTTTGAAAGATCTGAGGCGCATAGTAGCCTATACTGTTGGTTCTGGGGTCAGAAGTATAATGTCAGCAATGCGAGATCGGCGAGACTTCATAGTGAAGGATTCCCGTGGGCCGTGCCCGGACCTGGATGCTGATGGGCAAATCATCGAGTTGAAGGGAGGAACAAGGGTAGAGACGACTTACCCCGAGAACTGTTGCCAGAACATGATGCAAAATGCCAAGAAGAAACGCTTTCGGCTGCCAGGCTGAAGGCACTCCTTCCAGGTCACTCCCTCAGTAGAGTTCATCTCCTCATCGATTGACGCCCTGATCTCTGCAAGCTCCTCGAGGAGTTCGGGATCATCGATCTTGGCACAGCGCGACCATGCCAAGCTTTCTGCGGCCTTCTGATGGCGCCCCATCTTCGTCAACCAGCGAGGTGATTCCTTGAGAAAGCAAAGACCGATAAGCATTAGTCCTCCAGGGATTAGCTGGACTCCAACGGGCACCCTCCATTGTAGAGTGCTGGGCTTAATGTGAAGGCTGACACCATAGTCGAGCCTGGCTTGACTCAGCATATGGGCGTTCTAGCCGCTTCTCTGGACAGTGCAGTATGGACTCACCAGTATGCGAACGTCGAGCCAATGACCAAGAATTCCTGGAAGAGACCGGCGATACGGCCGCGCTGTCGAGCTGGTGCGTTCTCGGATACGTAGACCTGCATCGATGTATCAGAGTCCGCTAGAGCGAGCTCACTGGGCCGACATGTGACTCACCGTGACAACACTGCTCATACCGCCAACCCCAAGACCTGCGATGACTCTTCCGGCATAGATCTGACCAATTGCATGGTGGGCGGCGACCTGTATAGCTGCACCGATGAGAAACACGACGCAAAAAGCCATGAGGGTTGGACGGCGACCAATCTTCTCGTTGATGAAGGAAGAAGCGATAGCGCCGAAGAAGCAACCGGCGGTAAGGAGAGAGACGACATTTGAGCTGACTTCGGCATTTCTCTCGCTGGCGAAACCAGTCTTGCCAGGAGGAAGGCCGAAATCGTCTTTGAACGCGTTCAAGGCCAGGACGGAGCCCATAACACCCGTGTCGAATCTATAGTGAAATCAGTCACTGTACGTACTGGCGTCTCAATGGGTGTCGACCACTTACCCAAAGAGCAGCGAGCCCATGTAGGCCACTGTCGTGAGGAGATAGACATTCCTGTTCTTGAAGGCACCCATGATGCTAGAGTCAGTGCCTGTGCTCGCGCTCAATGATAGAATTGAGATCTGAGGCGACGTGGGTAGAGGAGTGCGTATCTATATAGGTCTACGCACAAGCATAGGCGCGTGGGCCGCGCTGTAGCCACGCGGATGCTTGCTCCTCCCCAGAATATCCTGCCAGTGGAGCATGCGGAGGGTCGTCGGGGATTGACACGATGCAGGTGTGGAGTGCGGTATCTGAGCTGCCATGACTAGCGACCACTCGCTAGGGTAAGGATTGGCCGACCTTAATGTCGAGCTCGTGATAACGACCTCGTCTGCGGAGACTTGATGGAGCTCCTGGTTCCAAGAGCCATGTGTTTACCATATCTCCACCACATCACTCAAATCGATCGTCGAGATGTGTTCTCCTGAAATACAGAGGCTCAAAGTGCAAGTAGAGACATTGCACGTCCAGCAGATCAGCGCTCCATGCCTCCCGAGAGTTGGCCGTTTCGCTTGGCCAAACGCCGATGTTTTCTTCTCCCACTACTTCCGACCTTTGCCAACGACTTCACACCTGGGTCACCGACACGTTCGGTCTTTGTAGTTTTGCTTGGCCAAGGTCTTCTGCAGCGTGCTAACATTTGCCACCACGGATGCCGGAAAGCTTGTTACTGTTCTACCAGGCTCCCGCACACGGCACATATTTTTCGATAACCTGGGAGGGAAATTGACCTTATACAAGAACGTACTTCCTGCAACGACAACGGTGGTGAAGCCGAAGGGCAGCACGAGGCTCGCCATCGTTTGCAATGCCGTATTTGTGGCGTTACAGCAAGGTCCAAGCGCTGGAAAAGTGGATGCTGGCAGCGAACATCTTCCTTTGCTCCGCACCCACCCATCACTTCTTGTGAGCTCCATCTCTGTCGCCGCTGAAATTGCCACCATGCTCAGATGTACAAAAGGTCATCATGGCTTCGCTGGTAGAGACTAAATCCTTAGAGCAAACGCAAAGCGGAGATTGCCATCTCGGGCTCTGCGTAGACGTATGGCCTGTGTGCGATATTTCGGTCTACATGCTAATAAGCCTCCATTTCTATCGAATACTGCTCCAGACAAGATAATGATAAGTTGCCTCCGCCTTTCTCTTGCAAGGTCAATTGCTCTATCAAGGTTTCCTTCCGCGGCCCCGATAACCCCGCAGCATCTCTTATCTTTGACCTCACATCCTCCTACTATGTCCGGGTAGAAAATCGTAGATCCTATTCGAGACCTCTTCGCTGGGAGTGATAAAACCTTGAAAACTCTTGGAACTACCATGGGAAGCGCAGTGCAGTCGAAAGGATCACTGCGCGTAGCAGTAACGCAGCATGAACCGGTATGGCTTGACTTACATGGCACTGTAGATAAGACATGCAGGATCATACGTGAAGCTGCCGAAGCAGAGGCCAAGCTGGTCGTATTTCCCGAGTGCTGGATTCCGGGATATCCAGCATGGATCTGGAGCAGACCTGTAGACTTCGATCTGGGGACAAAATATGTCGAGCAGAGTCTCGCTGTCGACGGTCCGGAAATGAAGCAGATCCAACAAGCAGCAGCCGAGCATGCAATTGCTGTAGGGCTTGGCTTCACTGAACGCGATGGGGACTCGGTCTACATAGCACAAGCACTAATTGACGGGAAGGGCGGGATCCAAATGAAGCGGAGGAAGATGAAGCCCACGCATATGGAGCGCACCATATTCGGCGATGCTTCAGGGTCATGTCTGGCTGGGGTTGTGAAGCTGGAAGATGGACCTACAGTCGGCAGTCTTTCATGCTGGGAGCATATTCAACCATTGCTGAAGTATTACACCATGTCGCAAAACGAACAGGTCCACATCGCTGCTTGGCCACCGTTGGATCCATTTGTGCAAGGCTCTCCAGGATTCTGGTCGATGTCTGCTGAAGGTGAGCGTTCACTGATCTTGAACTTTCAGTGTGAGTTTCTCACAGTCCGGTAGGCTGTCGTAACCTGTCTCAGACGTATGCTGCGGAAGCTCAGGCGTTTGTACTGCACTGCACGAGCGTACTATCACAATCAGGGATCGATGCGATGAAGACTGGTGGTGGTCCGATTATGGGTCAGCCAATTGCTGGAAGCTCTGCAATCATAGGCCCGGATGGTCGAGTGTTAAGCGCTGCAGATACGGCGGATGAGAAGCTGATCATCGCCGATCTGAAGCTTTCTGATGTTGTGAAGACCAAGACGTTTGCGGACGCTGGTGGGCATTGTATGTGTTCCCCCGAGATGGATCCTCGTCGCGTAACTGACGGCCCACACAGATAGCAGACCAGACATGTTATGGCTGGGAGCTGAGTAAGTCCAGCCCCCCTATAAGTGTAAGGTGGTAGTACTGATTGCATACCCTTTAGCCCCACGATCAAACCTGTGGTCCGATTTGCTTAATAGTATAGATGCTTAGGGCTTCGCAAAGACTCCAGACGAGTACAGCAAAGGCATTGTTCACCTCGATCTTACAAAGTCACCAGACGAGCTGGGTACGAGAATCAGCTGAATCAATAATGACTACTGTGTTAGCAACCTCGCAACGCGCGATTACGTCTCCTTCGAACACTATTGCTGTTCTCAGAACGTTGCGATTGACACAGCCTACAGTGTAAATGCCGAAGTCTGGCAGCTAGCGAAGTGGCCAATGGCATACCAGCTCGCTATTTTTTGAGGCGTTTCCGCCAAGCACAAGATCATCCTTTACCCTTGTCAAATCACACTAACTGTAATGGGAAGAGTGTCGTCCTCACCGCCAATCAAAGGTGGCCTCACCAGCAGCTGCCTGGAGACGAGCAGACGAATAATCTCAAGGAGATTCGACTTCGTCCGCAGTATGCACAGCATCAACGTCGTGGTCCTGTTGAAGGATGGACGCTTACGAATGTGCTTCGCCAATTGTTATAGCGAACTCAAGAGGCTCAGGCGCTGCTACCATTCTGACTCGTAAGTGCTGGAGCATATATATAATCCCAAGGTAAGGTGATTTTCGACAGAACCACAATCTCATACAAACCAGTTCCGTCTCATATCATCCTACCCAATCAAGACGACACACGATAGACCGTCAACAAAATGGTCGGCAGCGTAACACTCGCACTCAACGTCCTCATCACGACGACTGCAGCGAGGAGTCTACCCCCAAGAGACGCTCCATCTGCCCATAACGCAACATCACCTGCATCCTCCACGCTTGTCTGGTCAGACTGTAGCGCGATCTATGGTGCTGGCTTCACATGCGCCAATTACACTGTACCTACGGACTGGGCGGTACCTAATGGTGACCAGATCATGATTGGTATGAACCGCTTCCAGTCGAACACAACTGGTTTCGCCAAGAAAGAAAGCCTGTATCTGAACCCCGGAGGACCTGGTGGCATCGCGACTAGCGATCTTACAGTCGCTGCAGCGTCATTTAGCCACGAGGTCACTAGCAAGTATGATTTGAGTAAGTTCTATGGCGTACAGGATACAATTACTAGGTAAAGTACTGACACTTACACTCATAGTCGCCGTCGATCCTCGTGGCCTCGGCCTCTCGACACCCATCCAATGTGATACCGATCTGTGGAATGAGCGTCTTTCCTACTTCCCCAAAACCGAGGCAGAGTTCGATCGCATGGTGCAGCACAACATAGCTCTTGGTAAAAGTTGTTTGGAGCTGACCGGCAACCTCCTCTTCCACGTGGACACCCTCAGCATCGCTCGGGACTTCGAAGCTGTCCGCATTGCTAATGGTGACGACAAATTCAACTTCGTCGGCTTCTCATATGGCTCTCAGATCGCCTATCAGTATGCTCAGCTTTTCCCAGGCAGCTTTGGGAAGCTCGTTGGAGACGGCATCACAAACCATGCAGAGTCAGAGACAGGCTCTTTAGTGACTGGTGTTCAGACCTACGAGGATTCCTTTGTCAGATTTGCTACTTGGGCTGGCACGAGCAATGAGTCTGCTCTGTTTGGACAGGATGTCTTGTCTTTGTGGGATCAGCTCCTGGTCAAGTTGACTGAGACACCATTGTCCGTCGGCTCTGGCCCGGGTCATCTTGACAACATCACCAACGAGGAGTTCCTGTTCAACTTCCCGGAAGCTCTCATCTCGAAGGAAGCTGGTACTGGACCAGGCTGGGCGGCAGTCAGCGAAGCCTTGGCGCTAGCGTTTGCTGGAAACGGTAGCGGACTTGCGAGCTTTGCTCCAGCCGTAGTCGATGGCGAGATCGCGGCCAATTCTGGCCCCTTCAGCTACCTCGCCGTGGGATGTCTAGATTGGACGTACCATAGCACGACACTGGCAGATATCCTATACAAGCAAAAGCTCATGACGACATGGGCTCCACATACTCAAGGTGCGACACAGAATTACGGCTATCAAACGCAGTGTATTGGTTGGCCTGCTCCCGTCATCAATCCACCTGAGCAGATCGAGCTTCACACGGATATTCCGATCCTGCTTGTCCAATCGACTCACGATCCAGAGTGTAGCTATACCTGGGCTGTTGAGCTGCAGGCCCAGTTACCAAGCTCAGTCTTGCTGCTCAGGGAGGGAGATGGTCACACTTCTTACCTTCTTGGTGGCGAGACAGCGGCTGCTGTCAACGCATATCTGATCAACGGAACTTTGCCAGCGCATAATACTGTCTTGCAGAGCTAGCCTCGCTACGCCGAGGCCCTTACTGCTTTGTAAGATCGATGGCTATGGTTCTGGGGGCGAGAGAATATGAGATACACTCTGCGCGTGGCTCCCAAGAGCATTTTGGATCGTGTTTCACTTGCTGCTAGCAGGTAGTGTAACTGTGGGACGACTGCAGCATGTAGTAGACATCCCACCGATTGCATTTGAGGCGCGGCTCCACGATCGTGTACGCTTTTTGCAGCCTTGCACTTACTCTCGCAGCAGTTGAAGTTCAGGCCGCACCACTCAAGGCGTGGCGTTTAGCATGCTCAAGCTCAGCCTTGCTGCAAGCTGAAAGCTATAGTTCTAAGCCACCCGATACGGGCTTGATTTGCACTTACTTCGATACGGTCTTCCTGTCTCTTTTCACTATTCCGACTTGGTGCTCGCAGGATGCCGATACCTTTTGGTGTCTCGGTCGGTGACTTTATCGCTGGGATTGGATTTGTTTACAATATTGTGAAATGCCTTGGAAGACAGCTCTGGATCGCAAGCTAATTATCGTGGCCTTGTTGATGCTTTTCGGAGCCTTGGGCTGGCTCTAGACTCTGCAAAGACTGTCACCGACAACGTGGCCGAACGAGACGCTATCGCTGGTATCGTAAATGCCTGTGAAGCTTCTCTAGACCGCTTCCGGGCGAAGAACCATAAGTACGAAAGTCATCTTGGACACAACCAAGGAACACGCAGGACTGACTTCAAGACGCAATGGCGCAAGGTCCGATGGCATATGTGCGGAAAAGATGAAGCTCGGGAGCTACAGCATGGGCTGGAGATCCATGTCTCGGCATTGAATCTACTGCTTCTACGTTATGGGCAGTACGTCAACGATGATATCGATAGTGCACCGACTGACTTATCGCAGCGCGATCGATCATAAACATCATGAGACAACCATGGAAGCATTACAGCGTATGGAGGGAGCTCTTCAGCGACAGACGCAGCATGCTTGGATGCAAGCTCGCATGCTGCTTGCCATCATGGTGTTTCTACACCAACTTGGTTCCAAGTTGCAGACGGGTGTAGCGGGATTATTTCTGCTCCATGGACAACTGAAACTTATGCAGAAGAGCATTGAGGCGATCCCCGATCGCATGATATCGCAGAGTCTGGCGTGCTTCGTTGACGCGAATGGCAGGCCTTTCACTCTGGACACCCGACTGACGTGGACATGGAAGGTATGGTAACAGAACCGCATAGGGACGCTACACTTGTCGGGATGGCTGACTTGAGACCAGACCTTCCCGAGGTGTTGCGTGATAACTACAAGGACCTTCCTGGCCTCACAAGAGTACAGCAGGGTATGTTTCGTCTCCACAATCAGTATGATAGCAGCGAGGTCGACATGCGAAAACCGTTCACGATTGCTTTTCGTCTAGGCTACGTGATATACCTGGTGCACTTGAAACAGCGTTTTATAATTTGACGAGTAGCCAGCAAAGCGTTGTCACTAACGTCATCCAAACAGAAGGACGGCTCGAGAAGATTGCCAACGCCGAATGGATCCTGGCTGATGTGCACCGCTACGGGCCGACATGTTTCGGCCAGCTGGTAGACGTCACGAAAATCCGCGTGATATTGCAAAGACGGAATCGGCAAGAAGGGACGAGTGCTTGAGTGGCTGGGGAGCCAAGGGTCGCGCCGTCAGCACCGCCTAGCTGCTGCGGGCCCCTTGGTCTTCCTACTGGGTCCTGGTGCATATGAGGCTCAACTAGAAGCGCGACCATGTCTCCGCGGATGCGAGCTACACGAAGACTTCTAGAATACTGATCTTCGAGACAAGGTCGATTTGACCGAGCTTCGAAGTTACGATTAGCCTCGGACACGAAGCCACATCGGCCGGACACGAGGATCTCCTGCAGGACGAGAATGGAACGCATGGTTCCTCCTTTGGCTTCCTTGCTGTACGTCCTAGGCTCGGGTTCGTACTTCAATAGAGGCACGGTCAACTTCGAGCAGCCCGTGACCTGCCACGATCAGCTCGACCCCTCACGCTTTGCTGGACATCACCATTTTCGTGCAGGGCGACAATGCAAGCATCGTCCGCCACGATACGCTCTTCACGAATCCGCCTTCATCTGACAAGATCTCATCGAAAGTCCAGCAGCACCATGTCCCATCCGGTTTCGTCGGAAAAGTCTTTATCCCACGAATATGGTTTGCATCTCGAGTCTCACCTCCCACGTACGGCCATAGATCGGAGAGAACAGAGGATCCCGTCCGCTCTCCTGCCCTTAAGCTTCGAATCGGTAGAGTAGTAGTCAGGTCGGTGACGACTGGCGAATGCCTGCTGCTGTACGTTTTGCACTTTTTGGTTCACGGCGATGTATCAGTTGCAGATCTGGTCGTGGTTGACAGAGGGACAAGGAGCGGTGATACAGTCAAGCTTGTTGTGGAAGATGAGGTAACGGTACGTATAGCGAGAGGAGGAGGAGGATGATGATGATGATGATGATGATGAAGGGTTGCTTCTACATTTTCGTTGATGCTCGCGACGGGCGAGCGAAGAGAGGAAGGTCGACCGCTCTTGCCCGTGAATGAAGAAAGAGACTTTCATGATTGATTCGGACAGGGTGTGTGATCGACGGAACGGCAGGACTGGTCGGTGAGGTCAGTCTCGATGCTGCCCGTCTTCACATCCGTTCTCATAACCGGCTATCCCGACACCCGCCCTACGAAGACCCACTGGCACCATTAGCAGTCGCACCCGCGCCAAACCCCTCCCCAACCCTCTCAATGACAATCGCACTAGCCCCCCCACCCCCATTACAGATCCCCGCACACCCAACCTTGCCCTTCTGCTCTTGCAGCACCCCAAGCAACGTCGTCACGATCCTCGCACCCGACGCACCAAGCGGATGCCCCAGCGCCACCGCCCCACCATGAAGATTCACCTTGTCCTCCTTCAACCCCATCAATTTCATGTTTGCGAGTGCGACGACGGAGAAGGCCTCGTTGATTTCAAAGGCGTCGACGTCGGATTGCTTGAGCCCGGCGTGGGCGAGTGCTTTGGGCATAGCGAGGGCGGGCGCGGTGGTGAATTTCGAGGGATTCTGCGCGGCGTCGGCCCAGCCGAGGATTTTGGCTATGGGTTTTAGGTTGTGTTTTTGGACGTAGGCTTCGCTCGCTAAAACGAGGGCGGCGGCGCCGTCGGAGAGAGGCGAGGCGTTGGCGGCTGTGACTGTACCACCGTCTTTTTTAAAGGAGGGTTTCAGGGTTTTGGTCTTGGATTCGTTGAAGTTTTTCGGTTCTTCGTCTTTGTCGATGACGGTGTCGGGTTTGCCTCGCACGCCGGGGATGGTGAAGGGGGTGATTTCCGCGGTGAACCAGCCGCTTTCTTGTGCTTTTTGGGCTTTTTTGTAGCTCCTGATACAATACTCGTCGCTCTCTTCTCGGCCGAAACCGTGGTCGCTTGCACATTCCTCGCCCTGGAAACCCATATGCTCGTCTTTATACGCGTCCGTCAAGCCGTCTTTCCTCACTCCATCTACGAGACTCTGATCGCCGAATTTTGCTCCTTGTCGTAGGACGGGGAGGTAGTGGGGGGTATTACTCATACTCTCCGTCCCGCCCGCCACCACCACCTCGGCATTCCCGCATAATATCGTCTGCGCCCCTAAAGCAATCGCTTTGATACTACTCGCACAGACTTTGTTTATGGTGGTGGCCACGCAGCTCTCAGGCAGACCGGCGTGGATGGTGCATTGCCGGGCTGGGTTCTGGCCGAGGTTGGCCGAGAGGACGTTGCCGAAGTAGACTTCTTGGACTTCGGATGGGGAGATTGCCGCGCGTTGGACGGCGGATTTGATGGCGTGGGCGCCGAGTTGGATGGCGGTGGCGGGGTAGAGGGTGCCGAGGAAACAGCCTACGGGGGTGCGGGTAGCGGAGAGGATGTAGACGGGTTGCGGAGGGGACATGGTTGTGGTGGTGGTGGTGGTGGTGTAGCTTTACAATCAGAGTCGAGCGAGGTGGACGTGTCGCTGATTGGCATTCACTCGGCCTTTCGTTGAGACGCTCTCGTACGATCAATCAAATCGTTTCCCCAAAAAACCTCGAGCTGGCATCCCTGTCAGTGCCTGCATGAAACGAAACGGCGACGCTAGAGCAGATAAGGTTTGACAAGGCGAAAAAGATGCCTGACTCGTGTTTGCATGTCGAGAACTTGCGACTGAAGGCATATTGCTGTCGCGTGCACATATCTACCACATTCCCGCCACCTCCCACCGCTCATACATCCACCCCGCCACGATGGACGACCTCTATGACGAGTTCGGCAACTATATCGGTGAAGAGCCGTCAGACGAAGTAGAAAACGAGCAACAACCCACCAACACCTACGACCAATACCTCGACCAAGATGATGAACCAGCAGCAGCCGCCGATGACGAGCTTATGGAAGTGGACGATGGACCCTCCAATGCCGTTGTCCTTCACGAAGACAAACAGTACTACCCTTCCGCCTCTCAACTCTACGGTCCAGATGTCGAAACCCTGGTCCAAGAAGAAGATACCCAGACCCTTCAACAACCAATAGTCGAGCCCGTCAAGACTGAGCGGTTCGTGGTAGAAGAGACCGGTGACTTGCCGAGAGTAAGCTGGGAATGGTCCTTCCTGTCAGACCTCATGCGGTTTCCGGAACAAGTACGGAACATCGCGCTTGTAGGACATCTCCATCACGGCAAAACGAGTTTCATGGATATGCTCGTGAGCCAGACACATGACGTCTCTACGCTTTCGGGTCTGGAAGCACAGAAGGGACAGGGAAGAAATCGGGAAGATCAGATGCGGTATACCGATACCCACATCCTCGAGCGCGAACGAGGATTAAGCATCAAAGCGGCACCTATGAGCTTACTCATGCAGGGCACGAGCGGGAAGAGCCAATTACTTCACATCATCGACACACCTGGGCATGCGAATTTCGCGGATGAAGTGGCGGCTAGTATGAGGCTGGTAGATGGCGTCGTGGTGGTCGTAGATGTGGTGGAAGGCGTCCAGACAACAACCGAACTAGCCCTCAAACACGCCGTCCTAAACAACTTACCGATCGTTCTGGTCGTCAACAAAATGGATCGCCTTATCCTGGAACTAAAACTCCCGCCCGCAGACGCCTACTTCAAACTCAAGCACGTGGTGGAGGAGGTCAATACATTCATCGAGAACACGATCCCCGGTCGAGGCGAGAAGTTCCGCGTCAGTCCCGAAAAAGGCAACGTAGCTTTTGCATGCAGCAGTATGGGTTGGTCTTTCACGTTACCATCTTTCGCGAAGATGTACGCTGCAAACTATCCCCAAGCCGAGTTCGATGCCGGAGCATTCGCGAAGAGGTTATGGGGTGACATCTACTTCAACCCTGGCTCACGCAAATTCACTCGCAAGGCGGTGGAGGAGCGGGCGAAGAGGAGTTTTGTGCATTTCGTCCTCGAGCCGGTGTATAAACTCTACTCGCACACCCTCTCCGAGTCGCCGGAAGAATTGAAGAAGACGTTGGGAGAGCTGGGGATCTCGCTGAAGAACAGTCAGTTGAAGGCTAATGCGAAGGATTTGCTCAGGATGGTCTGTGAGCAATTTTTCGGCACCGCGGCCGGGTTCGTGGATATGTTGACCCAGCATATCCCTTCTCCGCAGCAGGGTGCGAAGAGGATGCTGGATTCTTTCTATTCTGGCCCGCAGGACTCGAAGACCGCGGAGACGATGCTGGAATGTGATGCTGAGGGGCCGCTGGTCGTGCATATTACTAAGCTTTTCAATACGGCTGATGCGCAGAACTTCAATGTTTACGGGCGTGTGATGTCCGGGACAGCGCGACCGGGGATGAAGGTCAGAGTACTGGGCGAGAATTACAGCCTGGATGATGAGGAGGACATGGTCACGGCCGTCATCGAAAGCACCAGTATTACCGAATCACGATACTCCGTCCCTGTCTCCGGTGTCCCGGCTGGGAATCTGGTGCTACTGGGTGGGATCAGCAATAGTATTGTCAAATCCGCTACAGTCGTCGCCGAAAAACTCCCGGAGGACGAGGATGCCTACATCTTCAACCCTGTGGTGCACTTCTTCGAGAGCGTGTTCAAACTCGCCATCGAACCTATCAATCCATCCGAATTACCAAAGATGTTGGATGGATTGCGGAAGATCAATAAATCTTACCCTCTCATCACGACGAAAGTGGAGGAGAGCGGGGAGCACGTCGTCCTAGGCACAGGAGAATTATACATGGACTGCGTCCTCCACGACCTCCGCAAACTCTACGGACAAATGGAAATCAAAGTCTCCGATCCCGTGACCCGCTTCGCCGAGACCTGCGTCGATCAATCCGCCATCAAATGTTTCGCCATCACCCCCAACAAGAAAAACAAAATCACCTTCGTGGCCGAACCCCTGGACGACGGCATCGCGGCCGACATTGAGACCGGCAAAGTGCTCATCTCGGACCCGGTGCGCAAGGTGGGAAAATTCTTCGAGGAGAAGTATGGCTACGACTTACTCGCATCGAGAAATATCTGGGCCTTCGGTCCCAGCGATTCAGACCCGAATCTTTTGCAAAACGATACCTTACCCGGTGATGTCGACCCGAAATTGTTGCGCTCGGTGCGGGAGAGTTTCAAGCAAGGCTTCAGCTGGGCGACGCGCGAGGGTCCGTTGTGCGAGGAGCCGATTCGGAATGTCAAGTTCAGGATTACGGATGTTAGTCTGGCGGACGAGGCGATAAGTAGGGGTGGAGGGCAGGTTATCCCGACTGTACGACGGGCGTGTTATTCGGCTTTTTTGATGGGGGGGCCGAGGTTGTTGGAGCCGGTTTATGGGTGTTCCATGTTGGGGCCGGCTACGGCTGTTTCCGCGTTGTATACTGTTCTTGCGCGGCGGCGCGGGCATGTGTTGAGCGATGCGCCGGTGCCGGGGACGCCGCTGTATAGTGTCAAGGGTCTTTTGCCTGTTATTGATTCTTTTGGGTTTGAGACGGATTTGAGGATTCATACACAGGGGCAGGCGACGGTCTCGCTTGTTTTTGAGCGGTGGAGTTTGGTGCCGGGGGATCCGTTGGATAAGGCGGTTGGGACGAGGCCGTTGGAGCAGGCGAGGGGGGGGGAGACGGCGAGGGATTTTGTTTTGAAGACGAGGAGGAGGAAGGGGTTGGTGGAGGATGTTGGGGTCGGGAGGTATTTGGAGGCGGAGGTTGTGAGGGGGTTGAGGGAGAGTGGTGTGCTTGATGGCTGAGCGTTGGAATTTCATGTGAGATGGCAACGGCAAAAGCAATGTCATGCGCTCATGCACGGTGTTGGGAGCTCACGTGCTCACGGATCCAGCGTGACGAGGGGTTTTATGTATGATCAAGGGTTATCCCATCGTTGCGTCGGCACCCTCTGCCAATTCTGGCTGTCAATCGAGCATGGAGCTGGGATCCTTGATATTCGGCTTCATCTCAGCGACCTGTGGTGTAGGAACGAGTCAGCCATCCCAAATTCCGGCTCATCCTAATTAGAACCTCTTGCTTCGATTTCGAGGCTATGAGGGCGTGACGGAGTGGGATAGGGTGAGAAAGTTGATTTGTGGTGGGCAAGAACCCACGCCAGGAACTTTCGCAATCTCCTCTGCTTGTTCAGGGGGACAAGTCACGGTGCGATACAACAGGCTGTCGAGCTTTGAGACATTCTTGTGGAATGATCCTGGGTCTGTCTCGGCTTGATGATCGTTCCTATTGCAGCCTTGACTGTGTCGATATATGCTTGAGGCATATTCATATCGAGACTTGGGAGGAATAACATGCTGTGCTGGGTTGAGCCTTGTGCGGTCTCGGTCCCATTGCGAGCCATCATTCGCTTCAGAAGACATGATGAGGCTTAGCAGCATATGGAGTTCTAGGCGAGGATCAATGATGCGCTACATTCAGATCGTACTCGGTTTGTACACAGCTGCTGTGCCTTGCACGTCAGGCATGACAGAACTACGCAACTCAGCCTGCTATTCGTCAGCGACCATCCGTGTTCCAGTGGTATCTTGCTCAGCAACCATATTGAATCATTGGATCGATTATATCTTTGTCACAGCCCGAGACCTGCGTTCGCTTTCAGCGACACATGCTTCAACCGCGCTCTATAACTCATCACCATTAGGCTCGTGAAGAGTAAAGTACGACTTACATGCTCCAGCTTCGCAATCTCCCTGGCTTGAGCAGCTGTATATACCGGTTCCCAGAACAGCAGGCCACAACTCTGGGAAACCCACTTGTGAACCTGTTCTAGACTGCTTGACTTCAGGATGATTTTGATAGCCTTTTCTGTTTGAGCGATCTGATCCTCGGTCAAGGCTGGTGGCTGCTCTGGCCAGCTCAAATATTGCCAAGGGAGACAGCAGTCGCGGGAAGATAGACAAGGCCGGCCTCAAAGACCTACTGCCGCTCCCTGTGAAAGACGCAGCTGCCAGATTTTGTTAGAGAATGAAGCGGCAACGAAGCCACTTGGCAACGAAAAGCATCCCAGGAGCATTGGTGCCTTTAAGCCACGTAGGCGAACTGCCAATGTAGCCAGTGGCGCTACCCGCTACCGCCGTGGCAAAGTTCAGGGTTCCAATCAGAACATGTTCGAGGTCAGTCCATGATATGCATTCACAGATAGGTAGACTGGGCCAGGTAGACACTGCCGCTCTGTATGATTTCGCTAGCTAGTTTAGTATTTCGGCTGGCTCCTCGGAAGGACCAGTTGATGAAAAGTGCTGGATGGTGATCATGACGCAGGTTAAAGAAAGGAACGATGTTCTCCGTGGATTGCCATAGCTTCGATCACATCACCACAATTCGCATCTTTCTACAAGACCACTGTGTACAAGATGAGGTGGGCGGAAGTGAACATCTGCACGGGTAATTTTTAGAACCACGAGCCAATCACACCTCGCTAGAGAGTCACCGTAGAAGATAATCGTCGGATGTGACGGACTGTGGGCACGCCCGGCCCAACCCTCTTACCGACACGTCCTTGGCAGCGGCTTCACCAAATCCAGTGGAGATATTGATGTGTCACTCCATGCTGCTCATTAATCGAGCGCATGTCGGTCGTGAAACGGCAAGAATGAGTTCAAAATTGGCTGACCGATTAGCCGGAAATGTTCGACCACGAGCCCACGATATCTCGACCTTTGTGAGCCAGCGAGCATGTGCAGACGTTACAACGACGGCCCTGACGTCGTAGTATTATAGCTAGTCTGATCTAATGAGCGTCGACATAAGTCGACGGCATCGTTGTCGAGAGGCAATCGGCTACCTATCTTGAGCTGATCGTTCTTGCAGTCGTCGTGGGGCGCATTTCGCTTGGTCTACAATTGACCCCATGAACACAAGAGGGAGAATACGGCGACTGCGCTTGCCCCCAGTACCTCTTCGCAGTTTAGAAAGGCGCCGTCACTCGCATAGCGAGGCTGTATACTTGCTCGAACGTTGTCCGTGACGTGGTGTCGATCACAAGCTTTTGATATGGACGCCGTTGACCATATCCGTGCCATGTGTACGCTTAGTACCGTTTGTTGAAGCCTCCGTCTCCTCCTCCGGCTTTCTGACCTGCTGCTCCTTAGCTAGTTTCGCCTGCCGTACAGTGCGCTCACTGAAACGATCACTGAACAAATCAAAATGTGATCGCATGACGATCGTATACTTCACAAACTCCTCCATACAATCCACCAGCCTGTCGCGATTCCCAGAGGGCATAAGTCGACTTCCGCCTTCGGCTTGAATGTAGTCGCTCTCGTCCGAATGTTTGGCGTTTGTGAATTGCTCGTAGGCTTTAGGGATCGAAGACTGATTCGGAATGGTGAACATCCTCATCCATCGTCCCAGGATGCGCAGGGTATTGACCGTATTGAAAGATTGTGAGCCGCCAGATACTTGTGCAATAGCCAGTGTCCGGCCTTGTGTAGGACGGACAGATCCAGTACTCAAGGGAATCCAGTCTATCTGGTTCTTGAACACGGCAGTCTGGCACACTGATCAGCGCCGCGGCCCATGGAAGTGGGTGTGAGGAGAGAGGGACGTACAACATTACCGTGCTGCTCGGGCGAGATCCAAACATGGCCGTCGCTCCATTTGCTCAGGTCGCGTAGTTCTTGCACCTTATGGTGATCATGTGATACGTCGTCCTTGACTGGCAGCCCAGTCGGATCGTAGACCCGTACATCACAGCCGAGGCGGAAAAGTATTCGAGCGCTTTCCAATGCTAGTAAACGTGAATACGAGCTGAAGAAGTCAGCTCTCTGCAGGCAAAGCAGTGTGATTGATCACCAAAAGGAGGAACCAGCTTACCGGCTACGCATACTGCCAAAGAGCATCAGGACTCGCAAGCGGTCACCTCCTGTGGCAGTCATATCACTCTCGACCATCTTCATCACCGTACTGAGTTCCAGACGTGCCACCCAGTCATTTTCTGTAATATCCTTAGGGCACAGAAAAGGCCGATACTTTTCGCGCACTTGCGCCTCATCCTCAATGCGCGGTATCGCAAGCGACCGTCTCGCGTAGGTTGGGTCCGGAACAATGTCGACCGTCTTGCGAAGCACGGTAGTATTGTTCAAGTCACCATTGACATGCATCGTAGTAGTCGCTGTGAAGGGATTGCGCAAGCTGCTCGCAAATGTGCGTGGACGTGCCGTCGTGGCAAGGTGCGAAATTCGATGGACGACGATATTTCTACGCTTGAAGCAGTTGCTGATCATGCTTATGCAGCATTCAGCAGCGACGGTACGAATACAATGGGCTGCATGAAGTACTTAAATGGGTTGCCACCCATATCCAGCATCACGGTTTGGCCCTGGCCCATTAGAGGTCATCAACAGAGCAAGTTAGAACTTTGACACGTACCGGCCGGACAAGGCTCGGGCCAAGACGATCAAAACCCGATCAGTCCAAATGTAGCAGTGACATGCCAGCGCCTGGAATACCATAATAATTGATCAGCCAAGAGTGACATATCACGGATCTTGGTATCGTGCTTTCCATGGCCGCTGAACCAGCGAATTTGCCTGGTGACCTTCTGGACTAAGTCCATAGGTCAGAAGGTTGAGTTTCACCGACGGAAGATGTGTACGAGATGAGTTTCAGGCTTGTACTGGCCTCGCCACATCTTACGAACTATCATGACCACGATATAAGAGAGATGAACTCCCAAGCAGGATATTGATACAATAAGTATTGCGTACTATATCTTTCCTCCACTCCTAGCATATTCCAGTCTTGTACCTCTCTCGCTGGCGCCGACATGATCGATTGGCGTACCTCATCTGGCGCTGACGTTCCGGGATCAGATCAAGAGAGGGCCGGCTATGACCTTGAAGAACAGTCGCAGAAGACAGAAATATCATCACCGCCCGGGGCATCGGTCTTCAGGGGCCTTGGATGGTTGGATCGTCTACTCGCCCTTTGGATCCTCCTCGCAATGACCATCGGGATCCTCCTGGGCAACTTCGTCCCAAGCGTTGGACCAGCTTTGAAAAAGGGCGAGTTCGTCGGCGTGTCTGTACCAATCGGTAAGCTCGAGATCGCATGCCAGCCATGCAGGTACGTTTTTCTGACCAGACTCATCACACAGCGGTCGGTCTGCTCGTGATGATGTACCCGATTCTCTGCAAAGTACAGTATGAAACGCTCCATCAGACCTTTCGCTCGCGAGACCTGTGGATTCAGGTCGCTTTCAGCGTCGTGTTGAACTGGATTGTCGCTCCATTGCTGATGGTAAGCTCGACCCATGTACACGCTCTACCGTTGTCGTTAGCGCACTAAGAAGACATTGTCGCAGCTTGGCCTGGCGTGGGCGTTTCTGCCTGATGAGGAAGGTTTGCGAGAAGGTCTCATCTTGGTCGGCCTTGCAAGATGCATTGCCATGGTAAGTCCTAACCGATCCTGTAAAACGCCGGCAATGCAATAGCTGATGGATAGCAAGGTCCTGATCTGGACGGGACTAGCAGGTGGCGACAGCCAATACTGCGCCATCCTCGTCGCCATCAACTCAATCCTTCAAATGGTGCTCTACGCTCCACTCGCGATTCTCTTCATCAATGTGATCTCGCGTTCGACCAGCACGATCACTGTCTCATATTCGACGGTCGCTACAAGTGTAGCAGTCTTCCTCGGCGTCCCACTTGGCGCAGCCATCATCACAAGGTTTATTGTTCGATCATGCATCAGCGCATCGTGGTACGACAAGACATTCCTGAAATGGATCTCGCCCTGGTCGCTCATCGGTTTGTTATACACCGTCATCGTCCTATTTGCAGAACAAGGCCACAAAGTCGTCCATTCAATTGTCTCTGTAAGCCCATGAACCCTCTCTTGCTCCATCATGCTATCATGCGCTAACAGCACCAATCTCTGTAGGTCGTCCGTGTGGCCGTGCCCCTGCTCGTCTACTTCATCATAATCTTCCTCTTGACACTATGGGTCACGCGCCACTTCGGCTTCGGCTACGAACTTTCAACCACGCAATCCTTCACCGCTGCAAGCAACAACTTCGAATTAGCGATAGCAGTAGCAGCAGCAACCTACGGCGTGAATAGCGACCAAGCCTTAGCGTCGACCGTTGGGCCACTTATCGAGGTGCCGGTATTGCTAGGCTTGGTGTATGTAGTGAGATGGATCGGCCGTCGGTATAGTTGGCGAGTATGACCATTGCGTATATAACACAACGATTGATTGTTCTTGCAAAGCGTGACACTCAAGCCATGGAGCACTAACCCGCGACGTCCAGCTCCGTATCAATCTGGCCAATTACATGTCCAATGTAAGGTAGAGGGTCCACATTTACATTCGCGTCACTTACCTAGTATTGTACACAACCTGGCCATGCCACTCAAGCTCTTCGCATTTACTGCTTGACACAACACCATACCCATAGCGCCGAGATTGCTGCCTCAAACAGACTAACAATATCGCCACATGATTTCAGTCCCAAAGCTCCCTCCGCCAGTGGAAAAGGCAAAGTGGGTGCAGTTCATCAACAATGATGCAGGCGATTCATAGGCCTCAAAGTTCACCCATGCCCACTCCTCGCGCTCTGGGCCCGCTACTTCTCAATTCGCAGTCGTCTCGGCAGCATCCTCCTTCTCATCAGCTGTAGGCGCAGGAAGATCTGCAGGCTTCTCGGACACAGTCTGCATGCTCACATCGCCAACCTCAGCATTCTCCTTGCTTCCTCCAGCAGCGGCTTCGGGCACCGTAGCCTTTTCTTCTGGTACCTCCACAGCAGGTTCCGCCATCGTTGTATCAGCAAGCTCCTCAGCCTTCTCATCGATCTTCTCATCTGCCTCCTCAGCGACAGTCTCTGCACCCTTTGCCTCAACCTCCTTTCCCGCCCCTTCTTTGACCTCCCCGTTCGTCTCCCCATTGGTGACAGGCGCGGCTTCCTTCTCCTTTAGCATGGCAGCCGCCGCAGCACCTTCACCTTCACTCTCCATCTTCTTATTCCACACCTCGAGCATGGCCGCGCTCCTCTTCTTGAAGCTGAACTCCTCGTCTCTCGGAATAGAGCTCAGCTTTACTATAGCCTTGAGCACTTTATGAATCTTCGTAGTACGGATTATGGCAGGCTCAAGATCGGCATAAGTCTCGAGCTGGCTCAAGAACTCAGCCATCGTCGACATCTCAGCTTCTTGCGGTGCCTGATCGCGGGCAAGGAACCCTTTCTGCAGGCGATGGCGAAGGTAGAGGATCGCCTTCTCGCGTTGCTCAAGCTTCTCGGCTTCTGTCATTTGTGGCTTCGCTACTTCTTCAGCCTCCTCGGCTTTAGGTGCGCTGACCTTCTTCTTCGGCTTGGTGGTCGGTTTCTTCGTAGACGCTTCGCTGGCAGGTGTCTTTGGTGCGTTAAGCTTAGTGACCTTCGGAGTTTTCTTAGGCTAGAAGTTAGATCAGCACGAATCGTACTAAAAGTCCGCACCACATCACATACCTTAGCACCCTCAGCATCACTCTCGGCTTCCTTCTTTCGCTTCTTAGACGACTTTGGCGCCTCAGCATCCTCCATCTCGACATCGCCATCACTACCTTTGCTCTTGCGCGGCGCCTTCTTCTTCTTCTCCTTCTTGACATCCTCACCAGCACCATTCGCGGCAGTCTCTTCAGCTTCGCGCGCCGCCTGCTCTCTCTCAGCTGCCTCTTGAGCTTCAAGCTCTGCAATTTCAGCATTGCGCTTCTGAGTCTCCTCTTGAAATTGTGTCAACAAGTTCTTGTAGTAATCTATATCGTGATTCTCGGTGGCCAGCTGATATGCGTCCTGCAAAGCCTTGGTCATCTTTGCTTTCGGCTTCTCCTTGCAATCCTCAGGGTTGAGAGGTGTGAGGTTAGTGTTGACGGTCCAGGCGCTATGATACAAGGTCAGCATGCATTATCTCATCTTCAGCACGGATACGAGACTACGCACAACTCGTTCGTGGACAAGAACATGACAGGAAAAGTCCTCTCTTTCGCGTTCTTGCCGCCCTCCTTGAAGTCGTCGCGCAGCGAGCCATCAGGACGTGCAGTAGACACGGGACGCGTGGCAAGCAGTGTCTCGGGCAGCATCTGCTCATCACAGACAACCGCCGGCCATGGTGGGTAGCCCTTCAGCCTCGCCCAGTAGTGTTCGCCCGGCTTGCACTCAAGCTGCAGCGACACCATGGACTTCTTCTTGTTGAGCTTCTTGTTCTTGTGCTCCGGCACACCCGACACGGACTTGCGCTTCTCTTTCTTGCCGGATGCTGTGGTCGCGTCATCGGCGGTCTCGGCTGCTGATGGGCCAACAGCGACTTCAGTCGTGCCACCGTCAGGTGCATTCACTTCTGTGGTGGCTTGCTTGCCGGCGATCTCCTCATCTTCCTTCGTAATCGGAGCAGTCTCTTCGACTGGTATGGGCTCGCCAGGGTCAGCACTGGTAGGCTGGGCTCGGGTTAGCGACGGCGGGACAGCTGCACCACATGTAGGATCACTTACTGGCTGCGCGTCGACAAGCGCGGTGGCTGGTACTTCATCGGCCATCTCGCTAGGCTGTTGCTTATGGGCGGGCGCGGTTAGTGCGTGCGACGTGGAGCCTAATGGGACGCGTAGCAAAACAAAAGCGCCCGGCTATCGCGCAATGAAGGGATCCGAAGTTATCCCAAGCTTGAACGCAGTTACGCGATGGGAGGGCGGTCGCGTGGTCGGTTTCGTGATGATGTTGTTGGTGGAGGGAGCAAGTTGGTGCAGGAAGAGAACAGCGGATTTGAAAAGCAACGGGACTTGCCTCTAACGCTTGGACCCGCTGTGGATGACGGCTCACCAAGAGGTTTCATACATTCTCGCTGGAAATGAGACCACGTGAAAGAGTCGACGAGGTGCTTGTGAATGCCAGCTACATTCTCCAGGTATTTATTCACCGTCTGCTATACTCCATCAGATGGTATCGTGATGGTGAAGGTAGTCTTGGCGCTCGATCGGGGGCAGACAAGCTTCAGCCCAATCAGCTGTTGGGCTGCGCCTGGCAGCCCAGACGCTGCATCGACCCTTCTTTGTTCTTCGAGAGCCGTGCGAGGTATAAGCACTCAGGTCTCATAGAGCTGGTATCAAAGATCTCGGCGCACTGGTAGGAGTCTTGCTGTTCCCCAAGGCCCGGTTTTGGCCAAGATGCGTGCCGGAGTCTCCAGATTGCGACTCTTTGCGGTCGAGCTCAGCCCCGCTCCTCGGATCCATGCAGAAGCGTATCGAGAGTGACTCGTAGCGTCTCCCTCCGAGATCCGGCTTAGAGCAGGTCTGCTTTTGCAGTGCCTGTATATCGTACAATGGTGAAAGACTTTTTGCGGGCTTGTTTTCTCGCCAAAAGTCAAGGATGGCCACACTGGAGGATCGAACAACACTGGGTACAGAAGCTGTCAGCCATCACATCTGCAGGTCGCGGTTTGTGCATGGTTTCTCGTTCTCGCGGGAAGCGAGATAATACTCATTGCGCCGCAGAGGCGCTCGTAGTGCACCTGCTATACTTCGCTTCTCGATCGTCAGTGAAGCACTCCAAGGGACTTTGGGCTTAGCGTACCGTTCAACATGAGCCATTGCCGGCTACAACAGCAAGAACACCGTTCCAAAACCTACGACTAAAGCACGCCTCGTTGTCTGACTGTCTTGGCAGAAACTTCTTCTGACCACCAGCGTGGTGTTGCTCGAGAGCATTGCCAACAAGACTTTGGTCTCTTTCTAAGTATGACAACTGGAGTCTCGTTGTTCTAGCAAAAGTAGAAGTCGGGGAACAATGAAATCCACCCCTACCTTTGAGGCGCCTCCATGCTCCCAAGGAACAAGACACAAATGTCTGTTTCTTGACCCCAGGAGCGACCAAAGAAGCATTATTGCTTATGGCAGAAAAGCCGAATGTCCGGTTTTGGTGTCGATCTTGTTATCCAGTGGCAATCGGTGCGGATGCCTAGCATTTGACGCTGAGCAACAGGCTGAGTCTGTCATTACTTGACATGTTCTTCGACCCCATGAAATCCATTAGAGGACATGCAGACGCGGGACGAGCGATGCCAGATAGATTGCCATGTCCATATCCGTGAGGTGAGCTTGCGTGACATGGTCCTGCATCGCACACTTCGGGCAGAATTGACACCATCTCGGGCAACATTATCCATATACCAGACTCGAGAGGCAAGCTTAGCGAGCCATGTCCCGACCATGGACAGCGGTGTTGCTGTTGTAGGACCTATCCTACAAGGCTTCCACCAGAGCACTCAACGTATATACCACTTCGTAGGTCAGCCATCATCCGAATGAGTTTCCTCAGGCCCAGCCACAATCAACCGGCAATGGTGAGTTGTCAATACTGTTGATATCTGAAGACAGCTCCAATGTCCAGCTCTTGGAATCGCGCCCGTGTGCAAGGTCGGCTTCGTGCGTGCGCATGAACCGTCGCGGAGTCGTTGTCCGAGATCCATCAGTATTGTCGTAACTCGCTCGATCCATGGTATGTCACGCAGATGGATGGTATAAGGCGCTACGAGCTCGTTGAGGCCGCAGGATGAGGATGTTTGTTACGAAGTCCCGAGTGCGCGAGCTGATTTGAAGTGAACGCTGCGGCAGATCCCGCTTGGCGCTCGTGCTTCGCCTTTTACCTTGACGACAACCAACAATACCTCACCATTATTATCATCATCGAACCCATATGTATACCGTGTCTTGCAGAAGCGGCTAATATCGATGTGAGAGGCCGCAGCATATTCACAATGCATGGCAGTATAGAATAATAATGTCCCTATGTATGGTTCAACCGACTCCGGCAGGCCGGGTCAACGTTGACTTGCACGACATCATCGCAGACAAAAACATCGGAGTACCGATATATAGAGATACATAGAAGCAACCGATCTCAATCACTATATTCCCAGTCCTCATCTCTCTCATTTAATATCATACGATCTGCCGGACAGCCAACTCTCGATCGTCGCCACTCTATCCAGGCAAAACGACAACCACGCAACCATGCCACCAATCCCCATCGCCCTATGTGGCAAAAGCTCCTCAATGGCCTCCTCCTTCGCCCCAACAATGCTACCCGAATATGAGATAGTTCACCATTTCCAATCCCTAGAAGCAGTCCAAAAAGAGCTCACCCACCTTCTCCGGGGTGAAAGCTTCACACCTACCTCAGACCTGGGAGCCGACGACAACGAAGCAAAGAATGCCCACACCGCCGGACCACCTCGGAAACCTCGAGCAGTAATGCTTGGCGCAGGCTTCAATCAAGAGGAACTGGACGAGATGCTCAAGGTTGAGGGAGCAGATCAAGTCAGCTGGTTATTTCCCGATGCACTGAAGAGTGTGGGAAATGTGATGACCGGTCCCTTCTTCATGACTGTGCTAGCGAAGCGTGTCAAGGCGTGTCTACAAAGTAACGGCATTGTCAAGGGTGAGGAGGGCAAGGCAAAGGGTGGCGAAGTGTACAAATTTTGATTTGAGTTCTGGAATATATCTGCGAATAACTCTGCGCTATGTTTTGCTACATGTACAATTACAGACCTTAATACTCTGTCCAATACCACGGCGTCGTCTACTCCTCCTCCTCATCATCCTCCTCATCCTCCTCCATGCCCTCAGCAACATCCACTTCGATAGTAGGTGCCTGATCGACACCAACATACGAGTCACTCATCAAGAAGACAGTCAGTTCGTGCTTCCCAGCTTCAGGAACCACCACCTCCAACTTCGTCTTCAACACCTTCGCGATCGTGACCCGCTTGATCGCAAGTAAAGTCTTGCTCTTCTCTTCCCCAACCACAACCCACCAATTCTCCGTCTTTGCAGCAGGGTAGAAGGGAGCATGGACTGTGAGGTCCGGCTCTTCGTTCTCCTCTAGTTGGCGTTCGGCTGTGATGTTCAAGGTGGAAGGAGAGCCAGCTGTGACATTGTCCGGATCCGCAAGTTCGAACGCCAAGTCGACATTCGGATAGCCGTTGGTAAACTTCGCAGCATCTGTGAGCTGCTGATTGCTGAGCCGCATAGCCTTGACCAGGGCCCTGTACCCCTTATTCTCACCCGGATCCATAGCATCCATAAAATCAAACACATCCTTGATCCCCTTACTCGTACAAGCCTCCACAACCTCCTCATCAAAATGCGGAATCTGCTTGAGCGGCGAATCCCGATCCCACATCCCCTGCACCACCATCTGACAAATCTCCATCGCATTCATCGCATTAAGATGACCTTCCGAACTCAGCACATCCACACAAGCACTCAGCAGATTCAGCACCTTCTTCAGCACAACCTCCTGATCCTTGGCAAGATCAGTAGGCAACTGCATCCGGCTGAAATGCGCCTGCAACAGGACGAAAGCCTTGAAATGCGGACTCTCCCAATTCGTCTCCGCGAGCTTGACAGGCACGCGGTCGTAGATGCGCTGCAAGACACCTTCTTCGTGCCTTCGGATCTGAATATCCTCGAATTCGGTAGCGGCCGTGACGATCTCCAGGATACCCTTGAGTTTCGTCGTTCGCTTGAGGGAAAGCATAAGCGTCTGCATCGTGATGAAGGAGATGTTGTAGTACGCCGCAATCATCGCAGCATTGAGTGGGGTGACCGTGTCCTCCTCCTCGTCAATCTCAATCAACTTCGCATCGGAGAGATCCTTCAATGTCGACTCCACCTGCTCAGATAAGAAGGCGCTCAAGCCCTCATGACTCGTATCCACCAACCCATAGAAGCTAGGGTTCGCCAACAACCGCCTGTAAAAGTAGGTATAAGTCGACCAATCAACAGCATCCTGCGTACTCTCAATCGTCTTGGTCGATATCTCCGTCACGAACGCATCATGCAAATACCCCGTCAACTGGCTCTCGATCGGTAGCGCCTCACCCAGAAACTTCTTGTAGTAATTCCTCTTGACATCCGGACACATCAGGATACCACGGCAATCTTTATCCTTGCCCGGCGTCCCAGCTTTGCCGAACATTTGCAGCACGTCCGAGATGGGGTAGTCGAGGTAGCGATGTTCGCGGCCCTCGAAGAACTGCGTGCCCATGATGATGACGAGATGAGCCGAGCTCTGGACCTCGTAGGCGCAGTCGCGGGAGACGAGCATGACCTGCACAGCTCCCTGCTGAAACAGGCTCTCCACAATCCTCTTATCCGAAGCACTCAGCCCCTCATGGAGATAAGCAATCCCATGCCTCAAACTCTCCGCCAAACTCCTCTCCTTGACCCTCCCCAAAACAGGCTCAAGCTGCTCAATCTCCGCCCGTAAAAACCTCTCCTCATTCCCATCCGCCACACACAACCCCACCAAATCCAACGCCGTACTCCTGACCTGCTTCCTCGAAGCCACAAACACCATCGCACCCCTCGCATCATCCCCAGAGCCAGCATACTGCACGACCCCCTGAAACACCGGCTTAGCCATGGCAGCCATGAGCGAAGGGAAGTGCGGAACGTTGAAACCCTGCAAATGCAGACTCAACGGCACGGGCCTCACATTCGGCGAGAAGTTGAAGATCGTGTGCTTGCTCGCACCAATCCACTCCCCAATATCCCTAGCATTTGACAGTGAAACACTGAGCCCCACGATCCTGAGGCCGTTCTCCAGCTGAGCGGTAATAGCCTGCGCTCGCGAAACAACAGCTTCATAGACATACCCACCATGCCCACCAAGCAAATGTAAATCATCCGCCACAAGCAGCTTAACTGCCTGGACGTTCTTCCTCCGCTGCCATTGCCGGGACATCATATCCCACTGTGCCGGCGTCGCAAGAACAAGATCACCTTGCTCCAGAAGTTTGAGGTCCGCCGCCGTCTCACCCGTGAGCTTCACAACACCCTTCCCTCCCATAAGCCCACCCAGCCTCTTCTCCCAATCCTTCAGCCTCGCATCGACCTGCGCCTGAAAAGGAGCAATATATACCGCCTTGCCCTCCTCACCACTACCCCAATGCCTCAAAATAGCAAACTCAGCACAAACGCTCTTCCCACTCCCTGCCGGCGCACCAACAAAGACATTGTCCTCAGCCTGGAAAAGCGACTGGAAAGTCTGCGTCTGGATCCGATTAAACTGCTGCCAGTCCGGGTAAAGCTCCACAAACTCCCGCCGTTTCAGTGCATCAACAGGCAGCGCCTGCAGGTCCAAAAGCTGTGTATGCGCCGGGAACTTCTCCGGCAGGATCAACTTCTGAAAGCTCAAGGCCAATTTACTCTCAGCGCCCATCCAGCGGTCTGAGATGACCGTGATGAAATAATTCGGTGGAAGGGGCTCCTGGATCGGGACCGTGAACTCCACCACATGCTCGTTCCCCTCGGCGAGAGTAGCATACTCTTTCCTCAGCATGAACTGATCATGAAACAAAATCTCCTCCCCATCGCAATCCTCGACCAAAATCCACCACCCCTCTGCCTTCCCATGAAGAGCATCATCCCACTCAAACCTCGGCGTCAACGTAAGTTCCACTTTAAGCAAAGACCTCGTGATCGGCTGAACCTGCGCCGCCAACTCCACCCTGGGAAACTTCCCCACCATATTACACACCTGCCTCCCCAATCTTGGCAACCCCAACAACTCCCCCATCCTCGGCGGATCGAGATCAAAATAACTAGTCCACGGAACATCGATCCTCTCGGCCTTCTTCACCACCTCGCTACCAACCTCGGGGAATTGTCTGAGCGGAGACATGGTAGGCCACATCCTCTTCTCGGCCATCTTACACAAATTCAGCGCGTCCTTCGCCACACCCGCCCAACCCTTCTTCAAACTGATCTCGAAGATTGCCCTTAGAATTCTCCCAGCGCTCTGGGTGACGTAGACCAGATCAGCCATCAAGGCCAAGCCCTCGAGCTTGAGCCGGGAGACGTAGGCTTGGAGTAACACGTTGATCTTGCAGTGCGGTTCGTCCACCGTTTCCTTCACGGGGATAGGGACCCGTTGGAGCAATTTAGCCATCTCCAACTTCTCATCCTGTCGCACAGGAATGAACCTGAACTCGTCGCTCAGAGAAAAGATCCGGAAAAGCTCGATAGGCGTGACCGAAGGCTGGATATGCGTGTTGTAGGTCAACATACTATTATGCGTGATGTAGTAGTGACTGGCAATGCGTCCCAGATCCGTGCTCTGGATCCGGCCAGTCTTCTTATCATACTTGACCAGACTCGCCTTTTCCAGCACCACAGCCGCCGAATGGATCAGATCCACTCTCTTCTGCTCCAGCGTCTCGTCGTCATCATAGTCGGCTCCCACCTGATAAAGAGCGGGACTGCGCAGCATACGGACGAAAAGGTAAGTATACCCCAACCAATCCACACCCTCGTCTCGTGTGCGTACATTACCCAGCACAACCTCGGCATTCAAATTATCCGCCAGCCTACTGACCAGCTGACTCTCGATCGGCAACTGCTGGTTCATCAGACTGAGATAGTACTGCAGCTCCGTCTGCGTCGTAATAATGATCCCCTCACCATAAGAATCATACTGTGGTCGACCAGCCCTTCCAAGCATCTGCAACACATCCTGCGGGCTCAGCTCGACCCAACTCCCCTTCTCCGGCGAGTAGATCTGTGTGCCTTTGATGATAACGGTATGAGCAGGGAGATTGACACCCCAAGCCAACGTAGCCGTGCACACAAGCACGCGTACGCTACCATCAGCGAAAAGATCTTCGACGGCCGTCCTGTCCGCTCTTGACATCCCAGCATGATGGATGCCAAAGCCATAAGGGAGGACGTCCTTCAGATCCGCATTCTGCACACTCTCACTCTCCTCCCTCAAAATCTCCTGACTCGCGGCGTCCGGCCTCAGTATCTGGCCAATCGTCTCCTCCTCGAGCGCTTTATCGCGGATGTATTTCGCCGTCTTCGCCGTCTCCTTACGCGAGTGGACGAAAATCAACATCTGCTGCCCGTTCTTGCCCACTTGCTCCAGAGTCTTGGTATAGCAGACTTCATTCATAATCCGCAATTGCTTGATGGCCTTCTTGTCCGTCACACCAATGAATTCCTGCTGGAGGGGGCAAGGGCGAAAGGAACCGTCGAAGTGGAAGAGACCTTTCTGGGGGTCGACACGGAGGAAAGACGCCACATCCTTGTAATTCGGCAACGTAGCAGACAGACCAACGATCCGAACTTCCAGACCAGTCTGTTCTTGCCGGCGCATAGTCCGACTAACAATACTCTCCAGCACAGGTCCACGATCATCATGGAGAAGATGGATCTCATCGATACAAATTAAACGCACAAGGTTAGTGTAAGAAGTATCTGTGGCCTTCCGGGTGATAACATCCCACTTCTCCGGCGTAGTAACAATGACATTCGTCTCCGCAATCTGCTGTTTCGTGAGTTGTCGATCACCCGTCAATTCCGAGACCTGGATGCCGTAGGGTTCCAGCCGCTTGCCAAAATTGCCCACTTGTTCTTGTACGAGAGCTTTTAGAGGGGCAATATACACGATCTTGAATTCGTCGAGGTTGATGTCGCCAGTCTCTGGGTTCCGATGTTTGCCGATTTCGCGGAGCATGGCTAACATAGCCACATTCGTCTTTCCGGAGCCGGTGGGGGCACAGATGAGCATGTTGCCATCATCTTCGAAGGCGGAAGGGAAGCATCGAGTTTGGATCCTGTTCAGAGACTGAGAAGTGCCAAAACCCGGTCTTGCCCAGGCAGGGAGTTGTGAAGTTGGAATAAGTGGCTCATTAGCATCGGCTCGTTTCTTCGGAGGAGGAACATGGATCTCCTCGTACCCTTTGAACGTCCTCTTGGTCGAGCCTTGTGGAAGTTTGACATTCGAGTTCGTCATCAAGTGATTGCCTTGGTCGAATTTGAGGTCATCCAGGTTGAGTGTCTTCCGCGGCTGTAGTCCGCCGACTAGACCGTCCTTCGGAGCTGGCTCCCCTTCCTTCACAGGCACTTTGGCATCCAGCTCCATCGGATCGAGCTTCACCTTCAGCTTCGGCGCGCCTTCGTTCGTCTGCGCCTCGTCTCTGCCACGAAGCTCCTTCAGTATCCGAGCGTGACCTTCATTGACCATCTCCTTCTCCACAGCCAACCGTGCACTCTCGTCCTCGGCAGCTCGCCGCCACCTCGTCACCCAGACAACCTTGTTTCGATTCTTGACCAGTTTGCCGACCAGCTTGTTGTGCTCGTAATCGAAGAGTTCCATAAGGTCATTCTCCACTTCGCGCAACGGCTTCTCCTCCCCAGACTCGTCCTTGTCGCCCATGATTTCTTCTGCTGTCTTGGTCTTCTCAGACTGCGTATGGGCATCCTCATACACTTGTCCGATCTGTCGCTGAAGCCAATATGCATCGATCTCGTGTGCTGGGACGATATCCGGGTCATCATCTTCTTGTCGAGTCTGGCGCCTTCGGTTTTCAAAGACCATGCCATCGTCCTCCAATTCGTCATCCGCGTCTGCAACCTTCGCTTCACCCTCGCCCTCTTCACCCCCCTCTTCACCCCCCTCTTCACCGCCCATAGCCATCTCGTCTTCTGACTCATCACCTTCATCCCTCACCTCAAAAGTCCTCCCGCCTTCCTCCTCTTCTTCTTCCTCATCACCAAAATCGACTGCAACACCCTGCCGCTCATCAATATCGCCTCCCTCACCACCGTCATCCCCCATCTCCTCATCTTCATCCTGAGCATCATAATCCGTAATCTTCTTGCCCAGATTCACAAGAGTATTGAACTCCTTGCTCGACAGATGCACCCCCAATATATCATCAATCTCCTTCTTCTTATCAAAGTCCTTCAGGCCGTCGTCTTTGAGATACTCCAGTATCGAGTCCGTGGCTGATGCAGTGACAGCAAGACCATAGTCCCCACCCATCTTCTGCGCCACGTTGGTTGCAATCAAATCATATGTGTCTTTTGTGCCAGCTGTCCGCGGTCGATACCTCAGGCCTTCGATGTTCAGATCTGCCTGACTCAATATACCAGCCGCACGCGAACTCTGCACCGGCTCTGTCCTCTTCCTCTTCCGAGCCTGTTCTTGCGCCGGAGCACGCGCCGGTGCAGCCTCACGTGCTGTTCTCGAGCCCATGTCGCTGAGTCTGATCTTGCCTGCCAATGATTCTGGATCGCCTGTGCTGTCGTCTCCTCGGCGCGTGACGAATCTGCGGTCCGCCTGCAGGACCAGGTTGGACATGGCGGCATATTTGTATTGGGAGAGGTTGTTATCGCCGCTACCGGCACCGCCACCCTTTCTGTCGGCCATGTTGGGTAAATGTGTGCTCGCTTGGGCGCGAGCAGACCGACTTTGGTAAGGAGAGATGGTGATGTGGCGAAGATTAATGATTGAGCATGCGACCTCTAGTAGATTTCTCCAATGTTTCGTCAGTGCTATCTCACTAGCGTCAGCTCATGACTCGCTGTGTGGAGCCGAAATATGAGTTACGGCGAGCTAGATGTGGCACTTGACAAACACCTCCTTCGTGCAAAGGGACATATCGAAATCACCTGTAGCATAGACTGGATCGAAGGAGTGTCGATGACTACCATGGATCCCCAAGCCTGTCCTCTCCCACAAGTAGCACAGGCGCTGGAACCATACATCAAATCCCGACACGAAGTCACCCGTATCAGGAATGAACTCCACGGCCACTTACATAAACATGCACAACAGGATGGAACGCCACTCACGGCCATGAATCTGACCTCACCTCGCGATGCTCTACCGCAGAAAGAAATCCCAACCACAATATCTGGAGTCCGGAGAGCATATCTCAAAGCACTCCAAGCCTATACTGCCGCACAAGGACGTTATGATTCTTTAAAAGCCGACTTAGATGCTCTGAACGATACGTCCAAATCGTCTACCCAGCTAGGACATAGCCCTAGTGCAGTGAATGAGACTCTGATCCCCCTTCTCCGCCAGAGGGAGAAGCGGCGAAGACTGGAAGTGATCGAGCAGACGTATTCTGCTGTCATTGCCTCGGGAGGAGACGTCATGACGACTCATCTAGACGATATTATCAAGAATCACGCTGGAGAAGTACCAACGCCACCGATTCAAAATCCTCCTTCTTTTGGTGAGAAGCCGGACGTGGCGAGTCGAATCCTACAGTTGAAGAAGGATGTCCTGTCCACCAAGCACGCTATCAATAGAGTCTCAGCTTCACAACCCGATCACGTGTCTAACAGGTCGACGACTGGTAACAATAGTGATGTGGCTGGTCTGCAGGAGGCACTGAATGTTCTCACGAGCTGGATGGAAACCCAACTCGCCACAATTGGGGATGCAGAAGCAGATGCTCAACACTACCAGTCGATTCCGAATGATCATGAGCAGTCGAGCACAGTCAGTATCGAGGACATAAGCACTCGGTACGACGACTACATCACCGCACGAACGAAGCTGCTCCACACGATTTCGAAGCCATCTACCCCAGCCCACGAGCCAACCTCATGGTCCACACCTTCCAACGCTGGCGATGCAACCAAGCAAGACAACAATAAAAGCGCCGCAGAGATACTGCTACCATTACTACCCGCACTCACCGGTCTCAAAACCCAAGAACAATCCCTTTTGCACCAATCCTCCCACCTCCGCAAACTTCTCCTGGCATCCGAGGCACAGACACAGCAACTTATCATGAGGTTATCAGAGGAAAGTCATCTGGTGCGTCCCGGAGCGGTGAGAGGTAAAGATTGGGCTGAAGCTGCTGCTCAGGCGGACAGCGACACGGCGTCGTATGTGCAGGGAAGAGTGGGAGAGGGGGAGAGGAGGGCGATTGAGGCAGAGGAGATGCTGGAGAGGGTGAGAGGGATGCCTGAGTTGGTGGGCCAGGTGGTGGAGGTTATGGGGAGGAAGACTCTTAATTAGGCATGATCATCGTGCGAGCCGACGATATGGTCTTTACCACATCTGAGCCCTTGAACGATCTAGTGGACGGAGCTCGTCGATTGGCATCGGTAGCCTCGCCACTGCGCCATAGGAATGACGATCTGGCCTGAACAATAGAACAATGCCCATGCATCATGTGACACAAAACGCTCGCCCTTCTTTGTTTCGATGTCTCGGTCTTTGTTCCAAGCAGAGCAGACCTTGTCCCCCCTTTAAAGAACAGCTCAGCCCTCCTGGCTGGCTGATTGCCCAAACATACAAACTGACAACCACAGAACACAAACATTGACCACCGTATACGGTACCGTTCCACCCTGACACCTTGATAAGAACAAACCTCCCCCTCTTCTCGACGAGCTATCCATTGCTGGAAGCCCAAAAATTACATACTGTATAAAATCGCCACAACACCACATTGACCAACGGCCCACCATGCACCTTTACACCACCCTCCTCGCGCTTTTCCTCTCCACCATCCCCCTACACACCATCGCAGCCCCCCACCCCCTCACCCCCCTTTACCCCCCCGAAATCCTCAAATTCGACTACCAAAACTCCATAATCTGCGGCCAAAAGAACCCCCTCGTGAATTCCCTCATCAGCGGCTTCTGCCACCCTCCCTCCACAACCCAACCCCCCAACAGCCTAACAGTAGGCTCCCACTACGCCGACTTCGGCCTCCTCTACCACGGCTACCGCGCTCGGATAGCGAATAATCACTGTCCCGCCAACTCCCTATGGGTGCCGGCGGAATATTGCACGAGCCAGTTTCATTATTTATGTGCTGTCTTAGGTGGGGAGGATGGGTCCGGGATGATAAGGTTTGGGATGGGGAATTGTCAGGAGTGGGTGGTGGAGAGGGTCAATTCGAGGGATAGTGCGACGTATGGGAGTGGAACGTGGAGTACGGATGGGGCGCTTTTGCCACATGATTGAGGGTGGCTTGGAAGGCCGGGGATGTGAGGGAGCATGTTCTTCGTTTTCTACTTTGTCTGTTTTGTTTTGGGCTGGGAGGGTTGATCGTAGTTCTATGATATTGAAAGGTTACTTTGGGAGGGTTGGCAGAGACTATAATTCATCCCTTTTCACCCTCCGCTTCTGCTGTTGCTGTTGCTGTTGTTCTTCAAACTTAGCATCCTCGACATCCGCTTCGAGAGTCTTCTTCTTGGGGTTCTTCGGCTCCTCCTCCCCTCTTTCCCTTAACACTGTCCCATCACCCCTCCTCACCGCCTTCTCCTCCCCTTCACCTCTCGCCTCCCTCTCACTCCTCTCATGCAAAGCAGCAATCTGCTCGCTCAACCTCCTCTCCGTCTCCTCATCCTTACCAACTTTCGCCCCCATCCCTCCCGCACCAGCTGGAACGCCTCGACCACTAGCCAGGGCTTCACGATCAGACATAGCTAGACTCGGTGGGCCGGCCGTCGCACTCCGCTGCACGATCAAAGGCCTCCTCGTACTCGTCTGCGTCAACGACGTGCTCGTCGCCGCTCGACTGGTGGTAATAATCCCCGTCCCCGTCAAGAACAACCAAAGCGGTTTAACCACGATCCACCTCACGGCAAAAACCACCCACCGCCACACAAAAGCCGGTAATTTGAAAAACGGTCCGTAGAGAATCCGTCTGAAAAACAACCACCCGATCGTCGCCACCAAGAGATAGAAGGCGGTTTCAAGATACCACGTATCACTCTTCTGACTCCTGAGTAACGTGCCCAGCAAATCCCGGGATTTCTCTAGCACGCCGCCGAGATCAACGTACTTCTCCCCTAGTTCCGAGAGGGCAGCGGTCGATTGATCGAAAGTCTCCTGGGCGAAACGCGAGCGGCTGAGTTCGGTAGACAGGAGATTGTGAGTTCGGCGTAACGCGGCTGTGACGTCGGTGGTGGCGGTGAGGAGTTGGTCGTCCTTGCTTAGTTGTTTCTGTTGGGCGCGGCGGGAGCGGGCGGAGAAGAGGTCCGGGGTCCCACGGCCAGAGGGACTGTCCGTATTGTTGTTGTCTGAAGATATCGCGTTTTGTTCCGGGACGGTCTGGAGACTAGCGAATACCAATTCGCGTTCCTTCTGCTTCGCCGTCTCGCTCGCTCGTTTGGCGGATAACTGGGCTTTGCGGAATTTACAATGGCTGTGTCGGAGATCCTCGCCGGTCCTTGCTACCTGCGCGCTGAAACGGAGACGTTCGGTATCCCTTGCACTATCTCTTCGCTTGTGGGAGGCGGAGATGGTACTCAGATCATCGGATTCTTGTTTGAGTAGGTCAAAGTCTTCTTCTAATTGCTTGAGGGCGTCGTGGATGTCCTGCGCGAGTTCGATGCGGACGGTGTTTTCCGCGTCGAGGGGTTCGCTGCCGGGTTGAAAGGAGAGTTTGGAGAGGTTGGTGATGAGGGTGTTGGTTTGTTTGAGCGTCTCCGTGAGTTGGTTGAGCTGGGTGGTCAGGCTGGCGAGGGACATTGTTTGCGGTGTTTCTTGTGAGGGGTGGAAATGTGGGCGATGCTATGGATTTCTTTGTTGCTTGCTGTCTACGTCACTTTTGGTACAGTACAGCTGGCCCCTGCTCTCGAAGCCTGAGGGGCACATACATATATACTGTATCACGACCGTTCAACACCGTCCATTCTACACAGTTCATCCCCTAGCCTCCAGGTTTACAAGATACACTATGAAACTGTAGACATCGTCTTGCAAAGGGCAAGCGTATGGGATGCCATATATACGAAGCATACCGGGTTCTCGGCACAAGATCCATGTTGATGAGATAGGCAGAGCGACCTCGGCACAGTAGAATATTGTGCTGAGGAGACGGGTAAAATGTACAGAGATGATGAAGTAATTGCATTGATCCAATGGTCGTCTAGAACATCGTTTCACCTACAGTACTACCAATTCCAAACTGCTGATCGCACAGCATTACTAAACCTCCAAGCATGCCACGGACACCGTACAGCCTATAACTCATCACAGCGGCGAAACCATCAGAGACTACATCAGCCGCAGATATGCGATGGAAGTCGCCTCATCCAGATCTCGATAGTATGTATCCCTCAAGTCTGCTAAGAACAATCTCAAGCTCACCATACCATAGTCCCCTCGGACGTAACAACCTTCCAATGGGCCTTCGAATCCCCTCAGCATTCCCCTCTCCACTGTTCCTCATCCGACAACCTGGGATCCTACATCGACGCCACCACCAATGAACGTCTCGACTTCGCTCAAGTCAAGGAATACGCAACTCACATCAGCACGGCATTAATCCACGACCATGGCCTCCACCCTGGTGACACCGTCTCCCTCTTCTCGACAAACACGATCTGGTATCCCGTCGTCGTATGGGCCACGATCCGAGCAGGAGGAAGGGTAAACGGGGCGAGTCCGGCGTATAATGCCGAGGAAATGGCTTATGCGCTCAAGACTGCTTCAACGAAGATCCTCTTCACCCTACCTTCATCCCTGGACGTGGCACTCGCGGCTGCCGATCTAGCCGGTCTCCCGCATAGCAAGATCTTCCTGCTCTCTGGATCCCGGTCTGGGTTTAAGAGTACATCCGACCTCATAGCCTCCGGCCGCCAACACAACCCACATCCATCCTGGTCGATCCCGAAAAGCCAAACAAACAAAACAGTATGCGGCTACCTCAACTTCTCCTCCGGCACCACCGGCCTCCCCAAAGCAGTAATGCTCTCCCACCACAACCTCATAGCCCAATGCCACCAACTCAAACAACTCCAACTCGTCTCCCCAGGCCAAAGATACAAGATCCTAGCCGTGATGCCCCTCTTCCACATCACCGGCCTCGTGCGTTTCGTCCACTACCCCGTCTTCATGAACGGCGACAGCATCATGCTCCCCTCCTTCTCCATGCCCGCCATGCTCGAAACAATCATCGCGCACGAAATCGAAGAGCTCATCCTCGTCCCACCAATCCTGATCCGTATCGTCCGAGACAAAGTCGTCGACCCCTATCTCCCCGCCCTCCGAAAAATAATAAAACGATTCTCCTCCGGCTCCGCCCCTACAAGTCCTGAGATCATCACCCTTCTGCACAAGAAGTTTCCGCATACGGGCTTCAGACAGGGCTATGGGGCTACGGAGAGTACGGCGTGTATCTCCTGTCATCCTCCCAGCCACTACGATTACAAGTATGCTTCTACGGCCGGGCTAGCGTGCGCGAATACGGAGATGAAAGTGCTTTCGCTAGACTTAAACGGGGAGGCGGGGCATGGGAGGAGGAGGGAATTGGGGATTGGGGAGACGGGGGAGATTTGTGCCAGGGGCCCGCAGATCGCGATGGGGTATCTGGGGAACGAGAGTGCGACAAGGGAGACTTTCGTGGAGGGGTGGTTGCATACGGGCGATGTGGGGAATATTGATTCCGAGGGTCTGATCCGGATCGAGGATCGGATCAAGGAGATGATCAAAGTCAAGGGCCAGCAGGTTGCGCCGGCTGAGCTCGAAGACCTGCTACTGGGCCACGAGAGCGTGGAGGATGTGGCTGTTCTTGGGATCAAGGATGATTATGCGGGGGAGAGGCCGAAGGCTTATGTGGTCCTGAAACCGGGATTTGAGCCGAGTGCCAGGCAAGGTAGGGTGTTGTTTGATCTGGTCAAGGCGAGGAAGGTTAGGTATAAATGGCTTGAGGAGGTGGAGTTCACGGATGTTATTCCTAAGTCGCCTACTGGGAAGTTGTTGAGACGGGTGTTGAAGGTTAGGGATAGAGAGGTGGGGAGGGTAAAGGGGGTTTGTGTTGTAGATGGCGCGGTGGAAAGGGCGAAGCTGTAGATTTGGTTTGGCTTCACGGTATAGTGTGTCTAGAGTGGTTGGATACCAAGCGAATCCGCGATGATCTGGGAGTGGACGAGTAGCTCTTCATCTCGCATTGGGCGGCCTATCAGTTGGATGCCGCAGGGCGCTCCTTCGATCGTGTTGGGCTCGTCTGTCATGCGACATTAGTCAATCTAGCCATTAGTCGACCCAAGACGGAGACATATACTCACATGCTGGCGTGTACTTGACGTCTCGAATGTACTCGGCATCAAGCTTCTTATCTGCTTTGAGATATGGTAGCGTGGTAGCCGGATGCTATAGCACAATCCACAATCAGCACTCTGTTCTCCATCCAGTCAGCCACGGCGTTTCGGGTCGGACTTACATCGATCAAATTCCCTAGAATGGTATAGATCGGTAGTCCGTACAGATCATGCTTCACAGCCGTAGAACAATGCACGGGCATGAGTAAGACGTCCAAGTCGTTGTTGACAAACAAGTCTCTGAACAAAGCCTGGTACTGTGCTCGCTCAACATTCAGGCGCCAGACATCCTGTAAATCAGGCTTGAATTCCTTCAACTCAGGCATCGACGCCATGGCGAAGGAAGCGACAACTGGCTCGCCAGAGGCTTTGATATGGTTGGAGGAAGTGTTGTCGGGATCCATGAGAAAGGATGTAAACCCTGATTTCATCGCGACGTTGATTGTATTTTCCGGGATTTGGGAGGAGAGGTCGAGGAGCGTGTGGGTTCCGGGTTTCTCGAGCTGAGCTATGGCGGTTTTCATTGTGCGGAGGACGGTGGGGTGGAGTGGGAGACGGGGGTCTTCGAGGAGGTAGCCGATCTTTAGGCTTTGACTTTTCTGACCGTCGATCGTGGTAGAGGTGCTCGGACTGCGCCATGGAGTTGAGATGATAGCGCTGTCGTACTTCCAGCATTCGTACTCTAGGACTGCTTTCATGAACGTCTTGATATCTCGTAGACTCCTCGCCAGTGGGCCGGCGACAGGTAGGACACCAAATGCACCTGGTCGGCCGGGACTCGTCTGCCCTCCATACGGTATCCGCCTCGCCGTCGGTCGTAGCCCGAATGTCCCGTTCACATAAGCTGGAATCCGGATGGAGCCAGCTATGTCTGTCCCTACGCCTATAGGACAGCCTTTGAACCTCACGAGCGCGCCTTCGCCGCCACTTGATCCACCGGCTCCAAGGCAGAGTTTATTGGGGTTCAGAGTGCGACCGAAGACGTTGTTCTCGGAGTCAGGTGTCATCAGGCTTTGTGGTACGTTCGTCTTGACGTAGAGTACTGCTCCGAGGTCAAGCAGGACTTTCACTAGAGCTGAGTCGTTTTGCACCGGATCACGGTCGAGGAAGGAGACGAAGCCGATGGAGCTAGCTATCCCCTTGACGTTGAAACTGTCCTTGATACTGATTGGTAGGCCGTGAAGAGGTCCGATGGGGTTCTTGTGCTCGGCGAGGTATGCATCGCAGTATCTTGCTCTCTCGATCCCTTGGTCAAAGAACGTTTCTGTCAGACAGAAGGTAAGCTGCTGGGCTATGGCGGCTCGTTTGCAGAAAGCAGTTGTGAGGTCGACGGAGCTCAGCTCGCCACTGGCTAGCTTTTCGAGGAGTGCAACGGCGTCGTAGGCTTCGGTGATGTGGAGTTCTTGGTCTGTCATGAGACGGGATTGTCCGGGTATTGCAAGGACATTTTGAGAAGATTCGGGTCCGACGTCTGCTGTCCACTTTGCATCGAGTCGCCACGCCTCGGGGATCTTCGCGGCAGCGAAATCTCGATATTGTTTACTGCGGGTTTGCCATGTTGGTTCTACTAAGGAGGACATGTTGATACGACTAACAAGTGGCGGGAAGAAAGTGGAAAGTCGGAGTACTTAAGAGGAGGGGACGTCTGCTTGGTATTCTTATCTGTTCGAGCAGCTCTAAATCGTGACCGGTTCCTGCATCGGCATCAACCCCCGCATACGTTACTGATTGTGGTCGTCTTGTCCATTCGGCTGTACTCGCTTGAATGAGCATAACCGCTTCGTAGTGCCAATTGATGTCCACAAACTGCAGACAGCACTCGCCCATCGTTTGTGAGCAGGCTCTGATTTCCTTGGTATACGGCTCTGGGCGTTGAAGGTCAGTCTGTCCGCCAGACTACCGCTCTGTGATGGCGAACATGCCGTGAACAAACTTCGGTGGCCCGAGCAGTGACACGGTGGGCCTTTTAACGCTCTAGCATGCGGATAACATGCACAATGAGTACTAAGAAGGAAGATGTCGTGACGTGGGTTTCTGGTTACCACCGCCGAAGGTAAACAGCTGGTGGTAGAAGACGCGTTTGGGATGTATAGCAAACAGTACAGATAGTTCTACATGTCCCGAGCTCCGCACGTCTGTATGGAGTTAAGATGATAGACATGTAACCTAGCTGAAGATAGCAGGTGGGAAACAAATGAATGCCGTGACGGCAACATGGGATCGTATGAAGGATCAAAGTACGATAGTAAGGTATATCTCCGTCTCGCCTCTTTCCTCCTAGCCACTCTTCCATCACCAACTCCTCTCCGCCACAGACTATCGTGATGGAGAAAACACTCCCTCTCGCGGTCGAGCACAATACCCCCAAAGCGCAACCCTACCTCCTACTACGACGTGTTCTCACTGTAGTGCCGCTCGTCGCCTTGATCTTCTACGTCAACTGGACCCATTTCAACACAGCGATCAAGCCCACCTTCACCAACAATGGAGGACAACACGAGACTTCGAAGTCACCATGCCATCAGCCAGCACCACTCTTCCCCGCCACAGACAATGATGCCTTGAATCTCATGTGGGAGCATGTCGCCAGCGAGAGCTTCAGAAACGCTTCCATCGTCAGGCACTCTGGTGCCATCAAGATCGATACTTCTTCGTACGATGACCTGGGACCGATTGGTGAGGACAAGAGATGGGAGGCAATCAAACCGTTCCACGATTACCTAGCAGATACCTTCCCACGTATACACGAGGATCTGAAGGTTGAGAAGGTCAACACATACGGTCTTTTGTACACATGGCAAGGCAGCGACGAGAAGCTGAAGCCTCTCGTCCTTATGGCCCACCAAGATGTTGTCCCAGTCCCAGCCTCAACAGTCGATGCATGGACTCATCCTCCCTTCAGCGGACACTACGATGGTCGATATATCTGGGGTCGTGGATCAAGCGATTGCAAGAATCAGCTTATTGCGGAGATGGAGACGTTGGAGCTGCTGCTTGCTGCAGACTTCAAGCCAAAGAGGACAATCATTATGTCTTTTGGTTTTGACGAAGAGATCAGCGGAAGACAAGGTGCTGGACATCTATCCAAGTTCCTGATTGACAGATATGGTGAGGACAGCATTGCCGCGATTGTTGATGAAGGTGCTGGGTTCAGTGAGCAGTGGTGAGCTTTCCTTCAGTCTCTGGGATCACGATACCTTCCTAACACTTCTAAAGGGGTCAAGTCTTCGCCCTCCCAGGCGTAGCAGAGAAAGGTTACACCGACGTCTCCATCATCGTTCGCTACCCAGGCGGCCATTCCTCGATCCCTACAGACCACACCAGTATCGGCATAGCCAGCGAGATCATCTCGAAGATCGAGAGCGTACGATACCCAACATACATTGCCGACGAGAGCCCCATGCTCGGACTCATGCAATGTGGTGCCGAACACGCCCCGACATTCCCAAAGAGACTGAAGAAACTGCTCGGCAAGCACAGCGCACCCAAGACATGCAAAGCGAAGCCCGACGAACTAGCTCTTGAGCTCGCCAAATCAGGTGGTGCGGTCCGCTACCTCATGCAGACCTCCCAGGCCGTAGACGTGATTACCGGAGGCGTCAAAGTCAACGCACTTCCCGAACGCACACAAGTGACAGTGAACCACCGCATCAATATCGGCGACACACCGGAGACAGTACACCACCACCTCACCAAGCTCGTCAAGCCTATAGCGGAGAAGTACAATCTTACCCTCCACGCTTTCGACGGCAAAACGAAAGAAGCGCCCCTTTCGATCTCCCTTTTCGCTTCGGCCACAACACTGAAAGTCGCGCCCATCACACCGACAGATACGAAAGATGTTACACCATACTCTATCCTCGCCGGCACAACTCGTGCTGTCTACGGCGAAGGTGTTGTGGTTGCACCTGGCATGATGACGGGCAACACTGACACGAGGTATTACTGGCCAATCACCAAGCATATCTTCCGCTATGGACCTGGCTATGACCCGGCAGATGGTGGCGGGTTGGGTAATATTCATACTGTGGATGAGAAGATCAGTGTGGTCAATCATATTGGGATGGTGAAGTGGTTTACGTTGTTTTTGAGGAATATGGATGTGGCCGAGCTCGAGTGAGGAGAGCTCTGGTGGTGTGTATAGCTACATGGGCATGACATGCTGCTGATGTTGCCATCATAGTGCTCTATCATAGGACGTTCCAGTCTCGATCTCAAGCACATGACTCAATATCTTCCTGGTCCATCTGCTTGCACTAACCTCTCTTATCACGGCTCCATAGCTTTGGCGATCTGAATAGTCGCCTGATCTCTTTCAACGACTACCTCAGCAGCAGTCTCACCCTCAAAATCTGCCTGGTCCCAGATATCCTGTACAACCGCTAGTCGATGTCCCGCGGCCCACTCATCTGTAGTCGACTTGGACCAGAACCACACTGCTTGGTAGCCATCCCACCGAGATTCCAGACCGTCGAAAGCAAGATCAATACGTTCTTGCATCCCGTCTCTATCGACAATCTGGTTTAGACTCTCATCCGCCCAGAGCAACATCGCCAAGTGCGCTAGCTCCGTCTGATGGCCTCTTGCCACCGCTTCTTGTATAAAATGAGTCAGTTCGTCCTCCACACACAGAACCGTATTTTGGGGAGGGGCCTGTAAGTCGCTAGTCTGGTTGGCGCGGATCGAGACGCTATCTTCCTGTGCAGCTCTAGCCAAGTCTGTTGTGGCTGCTGGGACCAGATTCAGGCTGCGTGGAATGCTCGAGACGAGTGGTGGGCACCAGTAATGATTCGCTCGGATCACAGCTCGCCAGATTATCTGAGCCGTGGTGTGGTCGAAGCGTAGGTGTGCCTGGGCGGCTTTGAGCTTGGCTGCCCAGGTCTTGAGTCCGATGATAGTCGAGCTGTGAAGAGCCGGCGTGTTGTTCGTGGTCTGGGTGAACCGATCCGAGCGAACTATCTCGTCTGCTTGCTGGATGCGTTCGAGCTCTGCACTATCGATGAGGCAAAGGAGGCGTGTGTTCACCATTGAATTGCGTATAGCGTGATGATCGAGCAATAGCACACATCGACATCAAGATGGCGATGAAAATATATCATGATATATTGAAGGCGCCATTGTGCTCGAGCAAGCCACTACATTCTACTGGACTGCTTCCATTGATGGAGTACTTTATTGCCACGCAGGTCTTGTTAACGCTGATTGTACGAAGTGAAACGACCAGTATGGACAACAAGAAGATGTCAGACATTGTTTGATCGACCTTTGCAAGAGTCGCATCATTCTTCAAGGTCCAAGGATGTTCATCGCGCGGAGTGCTTACGAAAATGCTGCAAAGGGAACGGGGTAGCGTCGCTTGTTGTGGTTGACATAATTATCTGCATTGAAACAGCACTAATGGGTGAGAACGACAGTCGAAATTGTGAGGTTCACAAGGGAGGGGCATATCCTGGGTTCTGGAACTCTTGGGCTAGAGATATCCTATGAGTAATCTAAGAGCCGTCGAAAATAGTTCTCGCGCAAGCATGTAGTCTTTGACTCCGCCCATGGCGATCATGGATCCTGCTCGAACAGCTAGGTCTGGGTCTCGACAGACAAAACCACACCGGTCGCATACCTCGTCTGCCCGGTGGTCACCGTAGCACACGTCGTCCAAGTTTTGCCATAAGCCAGGGTGTCCACTTTAGTGATCTCGTGCTGGTTGTCACGGCAAGACATGTGGTAGACCACTGCTTTCGGACCAGATGTAGGAGCGGTGATAACAGGAGCGGCCGCTTCTGGTTGGCAGCTATACTTCCCAGCAGCGTATCCCGACGCGATTTTGACCGCATGGCAGCCGCTCGGGCACTCCATACCAGCAAACTCGTGGACAGCAGCACCACAGCTCAGCGGAGTGGATGACGGAGCACCGTTGACGAAGCTGACGGTTTTGGTGAAGGTCTGGTTTGCGCCAGCGATGCTTGCTGATGCCGCGAGGGCGCTGAGGACTGATGATGTTCGCATCGTGTCTATTCAGTCGTCCACACAAGCTTCTGTTGATCGGTGAGTATGGACGCGAGCACTTTGTCGCGTCGTGGACAGTCTGGCTCAAGTCTGTCGTGAGTTTCAATTGACCTGTAGATAATGACCGGATCGATCTAGAGCACACGCAGAAGACAAAGGACACGAAGCAATGATCAAGCCGCGACTCTAACAAAGAAAATTGTCCGCCGCTTGCCTTTGGAAACGTTGTACAGGCTTAGCATATCACCAGCATCGGTCTATTCAATGCGAGGCGCAGAGCTCTTAGTTCTCGCTCACACGAGGTAACACGTAGTATGCATAACACTTCATGGTGGGTTTCGCGAATGCACCGTCTGATGAAGCAGGCGCCAAGCGATCATCATCAAAAGTCTCGGCGTGATGGTTAGGATTCTGCTATGTTGGCACAGTCGAATGGTCTTATGTCGTAGTGTAATCATTGCGCTGAGAAGGATCACGCGCATCCATTGTTATTTCGATCACTGATGATGACTTCGGCTCGCGGAGATGTCGGATCATGCCAAGCCCGATCTTGAGCGGAAAGGGGACCGCACGGCGACGAACTTTCACTCGCTTGTGCTCGCCTCTTCTCGGCTTAAGAAAATGTGTTTTGTAACAACGACAACCAGCCCACAAAGCAACGCGTACGAGCCATGAGCAGCTGACCACCGTCCTAGCGCAATGAATCACGTACAAAATTGCTGGGGAGCCGTGCCGGAACAGCCATCCTTTGTCTCTACTCCGCATCATTCGAGTTTCCTGGGGGTAAGATTTTGGTAATAGAAACCGTCAGAGTCACGCTCGCCACTGCACGTGGTCTCCGGATGCTTGGCAAACTCACGGCGTCAGTCTGTTTGCTTCCACATTCTATCAGTACTGACTAAAAGGTCGAGCCCTCGTGGAGCGAGACACGAATGTAAGAGTTTTCACGATCTCTCAGTGACTGCGGAGGCGGAGCCAGCAAGGCCCTTCCTTGAATGGACTTTCCCTTTGTCATATAAAAGTCACCCGCCACTCAAAGACGTCGGTAGGTCGGACTTTTATTGTTCTATCGACAGCGACATAATTCGCTGGGTCTCGAGTATCCTACGTACACCTACACACACTACTAACACCCGTGGGGATGCCCATCAACGACCTACCACGCGAGATTCTCTCTGACATTCTCCTAAGAGCGACCCAGCTCAACGAAGCTGATGGTGAAAGCTACACTTACGGATTGACCCAGGCACCTCTACCACTACAGAAAGCAAAGCTCACAAAGTATGTGCGTGGACCACTTAGTGCAGAGTGTCTACGCTGGGATTCGACCTGCTCCATTCGACAAGTCTGCTCACAGTGGCATGATTGGGTGCTGAGCTACAATTTCGAGCACGTCTTCGAGCGCAAATGGCGAGGAGCCGAGCGATGGGCGGAGCTCACCTTGAAGAGGCCAAAGTATAGCATCTACGAGCTGATCGACAAGCCATCTGGATATGCGGTATACCGGGACCCGTACGGCTCTCTGAAACTCACCAATGAACTATTCGCGACTGTACCATCCACAGCGAGTCACGTGCGGCGTCTGTGGTTCAATGGCTTTTACGAGGCCGAGTCAGACAAGCTCATCCTAAGTGTCATTTCGAGCTGCACGAAGCTGCAATATTTGAGTGTACCATGGACTATCTTGCGACGGGCGACTGCAAAAGACTGGGTCAACCTCCTCAACGGTAATACCGGTCGTGGGCGACCACTTCACTCGCTGGAGCTGACCGCTGTTTGCCTTCCCGAAGCACAAGCTTGCTCTCTGGAGGACGACCATACTCCAAATCCTCTTGAGGACTCTAGTGTTGACTTCAGCTCCCTCAAACGCCTGAAAATCTTCGGCAACACGTTGCACAAGCCAGTTTCTGATGATGATTTGCATCACATCGCCAAGACTGCGACCAACCTCGAGTGTCTCGACTTCACGAATCTTTCGACGATTTCAGTAGCAGGAATGCTAGCTCTAGTCAAGGCGTCCCGCAACACTCTGCAAGTACTCGAGCATTCACCAAGGTCTAGCGATGGGTTCTATCATCCTTATCCCGGCGATCTAGAGTCTGGCGAGCACATCTGCGAGCTTCTCGCCAATTTGCCACAGATGCGCGACTTGTCCATTAGCATACCATACATGTGTGCCGATCTCTTCGCCAACCACGATGTCAAATGGGTGGGAGAGCTGCAAGTCCGAGCTACCGACGTCTGTGGCTGCGACAGCAACACTAGTCCGGCCACGAGAGTCGAAAAATTGAGCACCACCCTCGAGTCCGTGCGCAAATTGATCGCAGCACGACGACGAATGCACAGTAAACTTTCAGCAGAACTCTTTTTCGCGGGCTGTATCTTCGAGCCCGAGAAGAAGATAGTGCACGGCGACTTCGCACTCGCCGAAATCAGCTCTGGAGGTCGCTGGCCGGAGGACAAGCAGCCGAGCACTTTGGGCCCGTACGGACAGACCGGTACCTACGGCAAGGAGGAAGGTTTTTGGGATGCTATTAGCGAGGAGGAGTATTTGTATGCGGTCAGCCGGCAATGGGTTCAGCTTTAATGGTTGCGTGCTTGGAAATATGATTACGACATAACGGCCTTGGATTCCCTCATCGACGGACGGCAGGCAGCAAAAGTGTTTCAGCGTTGGTGTTGGGTGGTGGAGATTTCTGGTTCAGCGACCTAAGCGATTTTTCTATCTTCCATCTTCGAGGCATCCAGCATTTTGTACAGTAGCGTATTGGGATTGTCAACAGTACATGCCTATCCAGCATTGACATCGTATCCAATTTCATCTCTCGCATCATCCGTCAGTCGACCCCACTCCAGCAGCAGTCTGAAGAAGTAGATCTCCATGTCCTCTTTCCTCAGAACTTGATTCGCCCAGGTCCGCCCGCGTTCAGCAATCCGCTCACCCTCATCCAGATGGGCGCCGACGGCGACATGTCTTCCGTTGATTGTGCCATTGACGCCAGCGAAGTAAGCGAGGGTGGCCCACATGCCATGGCCTCGTACGTCAAGAGGCACGAAATGTTGCCATGCCGTCACACGGTCGTCCCACCATTCGCGGAAGATACCTGCTTTGAATGGTAGACTATGTGATTGGAGGAATGGCAGGAAACGGCCACTGAAACCTGCTCCGTCTAGATCAAGGAGGAACTTGTACTGCCAATGGTCTTGAAAGTCGGTAGGTGCGACGAGTGGTCCGAATTCGGTCTCTTGCTGAGGACAGTCGCGGCCACCACAGCGTGCGATGAACTCCACGACATGAACATCTGTCGACAGCGCATCCGCCAGATCCGCGATTGGCACGTTTGAGTACGCGAGCTGCGAGTGCGTATGTCGTCCTTCCACGAACGGAGCCTGTGGGATCAAAAGTGGCTGTGCAGCTCCACTACCATTGATATTATTTGCCAGATGCACGAAGCGCTGGCGTGTCATACCACGCCACTGACCCATGCCATGACTGACGCCTTCTGATGTCGCGCCACGCCAGAAAAGTGTCGTATTCTTGTCCATGTACGATGGGTCTGGGCGCTCTTCGGGAGGAGCGTATTTGGCTTTGTCGATATAGTTCCATGCTGATGGGTATAGGATGTCGTTGAATCCATGGACTTTTGATTGTGAGAATATCGGATACAGTTCGTGCGAAGCTTTGAAGGCGGCTGGGGAGAGGTAGATACCATGCATGTTCGCAAGGTCGGACTGGTGGCAGACGTTGCCCGCTAATGACCAGTTGCCCAGGAAAGCTCCGAGGGATTGAGGCTGTGTGCAGGAAGTGCAAGTGTCGCCCACCTGCCAGTGTCTGTCACTGCGCGCTGGAGAACTTTTCGGGCAGCCAACACTGCCAAAGTCATAGAATGTGCGCTGCCAGGAGAGTTCGTGAAGTGGCGTCTCGGAGGTTGGTTCCTGGGGTATTGGCGTCCACTGCTCCGCTCGGCCTTGGCTGAACTCGTTTCTCTCAGTGTCGGCAGACGTAGTAGGTAATGTCACGGCGCGCATACTTTCAACATCCTCATATGGGACTGCGATCCTGCACTCATCGTTGAGATTGAATGCCAAGTCCATATCGGGTAGGAACTCGGCGAACTTGCTAATCATCTCCACAAGCCCATCCAGCATCCATCGATGTGTTGGCACCACATTAGGACTTATGGATGCCTGTCCGCCACGAATGCTGATTCCTGCTGCATCGTTCCACGGGTTGGCTATCAGCGCCCACGTCCGATCACGGACTTCTACCGGTGGCAGCGCGAAGAATGGTCGAATGTCGCGATCTATGCTGTCGAAGTCGTCGATGACGACCGAGTTGCGCGCCGTGGCATAAGCATACCAATGATCGAAGCCAGGTGGAGGGCGTCTACCGTACCTTAGACGATAAGTAGCGACTGCTTCAAGGACATTCTTGCTGGAAGACGTCTGGTTGATATAATGCTCATGTCGAGTTTGTGCATCGTAAATGAGCATATCGATTGGATGATAGGCCACCGTAGTCTTGTATGAGGCCCACGAGCCTATACGGATACAGAAGATGGCAAGGAGGCAGACGTATAGCCACGATGGTACACGTGTGAAGACTCGTGAGCCGGTATCACGGGGTTTGCTCTCCAGAGAGTCCACGTGGAAGTACGCTGCAGCCCCAAGGATGACTATGCAGATCATGGTGAAAGATAAACTGGGACTCGACGGCGGCCAGGGATGGGAGTTGTTCCAGGCATAGGAGGTTGTGATCATTGTAGTTGCTACAAAGGTAGCTATTGCAGAGGTCGACAGGATATCAACATGGTAGATCTATGCTTGAAGATCAGCTTGAAGGCAGAAGTTTTCTGGGCGAGAGATGTGGACGTACGCAAAAGACTGTACAAACAGAAGTGAAGCAGATCAAAAGGTCCAGCCTGAACGTGCTCCAGAAGTACCAAGTGGTTATCGTCGCAATCCATTGCCGATCCTGCTCGGTCACGATATAATACGCAACGCCAATCGCAGCCAATAAAACAGAAGAAAACAGAAAGGACCAGCCAACAGATGTAATGCGTAGCGCCAAGCTGCGTTGTCCACGGCCTTCTCGCTGATGAATGAGCTGTCCAATGCAGTAAATGACAACGACGTCCAAGCCCATACCAGCATGCTGCAAAGCTGGAACGATCCAGCGATGTGGTAAAGAGGCGGCGCATATATATGTCGACTGCGGGCTCCCAGTAGTGTTCAACGCAAAATAGCTCCCGAGAGCCAAAACTGCCGTAGCCAGGACGTAACGATGTTTCGCTCGAGTCCAGTACTCTTCGAACGCATCATATATGCTCCCTTCCGGATCATCGTTGGTGTAGGGCTTTTCATGGCGTCTCACCTTCCAGTAGTCGAATATAGCCAGGATGAAAGGTACGAAAGGCTCCCAACTAGTGGTCGCGCATTGTACATCAGCCAGGATCTCCCGAAATAAGTCCACTCTCAAGCACAATGCGCCAACCAGTATCATAAATAGTATCCGTAGCTTTCGAAGGCTGGAAGGGTAGCCTACATCCTGCCCAGCTGGCGATGTCTCCCTCGATGAATGTTGCGCCGCAAGGTCGCCAAGAGGAACGGCATCGTATTGCTGACCCTTGTGCGACCGTCCTCCATCTCTTGGTAGTAGTCGGCTACTTGCAATGATCGCGCCCGCGCACGACGCTAGTACAACGATTCCGGTATGTATTGGCTTGTCGAATGCGAATGTCGTAGGGATATTTCGGCATAATAACGTGATTCCAGCGACCAGGCCGGTGATCGCAGGCCATTTCGTCCGGTCCATAGCATCATGGTCGGTACTAGGTCATATTTCTGTGCTCATATTTTATGCCTATCCGCAATCACTGACATATCGGTGTGACTCTGGCTGTTAGACCTGCTCCTCGATGTGTTCGTATATCCTCGATGTCAAGCTTTCGGCCGCTGTCAACGGTCCGCGCGGTCCGCCGCCTCGGAGGCGCCGTTGTGTGGGGTGCATATCATAGTTCCACATCTTCACTTTTTTAAGCAAGAAGCTTTTCAAAGTACATGTGAAAGACCATCCTTAAGCAGGTTGCGCTCACACTGCTTGAGCTTACGTGCACCTGGTCACTCAAGAAGCGTTATGAGTGTGTATCGGGCGTGTGAGTGACTATCGATAACGAAAGACCGCGACGATGGGAAAGAAGGCGATTGACGCACGAATACCAGCGCTCCTGCGCAATGGCATGCTGGAGAAGAAAAGGTCATTCTTCGTAGTCGTGGGTGATCGCCAGAAAGATGTGATCGTCAATTTATACCACATCCTCTTGAACCTCGACATCAAGCTCAACAAGTCTGTCTTATGGGCGTACAAGAACAAGCTCCTAGGCTTCACATCGCATCGCAAAAAGCGAGAGCAGAAGATCAAGAAGGAGATCAAGCGTGGAGTGCGAGACGTGGATACAGAGGACCCGTTCGAGCTGTTCGTCAGTACACAGAACATACGATATGTGTACTATAAGGAAACGGAGAAGATTCTGGGAAATACATACGGCATGTGCATATTGCAGGATTTCGAGGCGATAACACCGAACTTGCTGGCACGGACAATGGAGACGGTGGAAGGAGGTGGAATTGTGCTGCTGTTGCTCAAGGGTATGAGCAGTCTGAAGCAGCTGTACACATTGAGCATGGACATCCACTCTCGATATCGGACAGAAGCACATGGCGACGTTGTGGCGCGATTCAACGAGCGCTTTATATTATCTTTGGGCAGCTGCGAGTCATGTCTGGTCATCGATGACGAGATGAATGTGTTACCCATCTCTGGTGGCAAGTCTGTTGTGGAGAAGAAGCTGTCAGACGAGGAGCAGGGCAAGACGAAATCGCAACTAGAACTGGAACAGGTCAAGGAAGACTTGGCAGATACGCAACCAGTTGGGTCGCTAGTGCAGTTGGCGAAGACGGTCGACCAGGCGCAAGCACTTCTCACGTTTGTTGAGGCGATCAAGGAGAAGACTTTGGCGAGCACAGTTACGCTCACAGCCGCGCGAGGTCGTGGCAAGAGTGCGGCGCTCGGAGTTGCGATCGCTGCAGCAATTGCACATGGTTACAGTAACATCTTCATCACATCACCATCACCAGAGAATTTGAAGACTCTGTTCGAATTCATATTCAAGGGCTTCGATGCACTCGGTTACCTCGACCACCAAGACTACACCATCATTCAATCTACCAACCCCGACTTCAACAAGGCCATCGTTCGTGTCAACGTGCACCGACAACATCGTCAGACGATACAATATATTCAACCACAGGATGCATATACTCTTGGTCAAGCGGAGCTTCTTGTGATCGATGAAGCAGCCGCTATACCACTACCGCTTGTACGAAAACTCATGGGCCCTTATTTGGTATTCATGGCGTCCACGATCAATGGCTATGAGGGCACTGGTCGCTCGCTCTCTCTTAAGCTGATACAGCAGCTGCGTGAGCAGTCTCGTGGTGGAAAGAAGGCGAACAGTGATCAATACATTACGAGTCGATCGAATAGCAAATCCAACGACGGCGCATATGCCCCCATGTCTTCGCGCTCACTACGCGAGATCACACTTTCAGAACCTATCCGATACGCACAAGGAGATGCAGTCGAGAAATGGCTCAACCGCATACTTTGTCTCGATGCGACACTTCCGCGCTCGTCAAGTATGCATGGCACACCGCACCCATCGCAATGTCAGCTTCTTCAGGTCAATCGAGATACTCTATTCTCCTTCCATCCTGTCAGCGAAAAGTTTCTGCAGAACATGATGGCATTATACGTAGCCTCGCACTACAAAAACACGCCAAACGATCTGCAACTCATGTCTGATGCACCAGCACATCAGCTTTTTGTGCTTGTCCCGCCTGTTCAAGAAGATGCCACACGACTACCAGAGATTCTGTGTGTGCTACAGATAGCGCTCGAAGGACAAATCAGCAAGGAGAGTGTGCGAAGCGGACTGGAGCGAGGACAACGAGCTGGTGGTGATCTTATCCCGTGGCTAGTCAGTCAACAATTCCAAGACGATGACTTTGCAGGTCTGAGCGGCGCACGAGTAGTCAGGATAGCAGTCAATCCCGACTACGGCAGCATGGGCTATGGTTCGCGAGCACTTCAGCTTCTGACCGAGTTCTACGAAGGCAAGCACATCAGTCTGGACGAAGGTGATGAGAAGGTCTCAGCACACGAGCAGGAGATGGTGCGTGTGACTGATGCTGAGCTGGAAGAATCAACACTGCTGAAGGACGACGTGAAAGTTCGAGACATTCGAGCCATGCCACCGCTATTTGCACGGTTATCAGAAAGGAGACCTTCACCTCTCGACTATCTCGGTGTCTCGTATGGCCTCACACAGCCCCTGCACAAGTTCTGGAAACGTGCAGGATTCGTGCCTGTATACTTACGACAGACTGCGAACGACCTCACCGGCGAGCACACAACTGTCATGCTTCGGACACTCGAAACTGGCAGCAGTGATCCAGGCTGGCTTGGCGCATATGCAAAGGACTTCCACAAGCGTTTCCTCTCGCTTCTTAGCTACCAGTTCCGTGCTTTCGGCAGTGTACAAGCACTGGCTCTGGACGAGAGTGCTAACGCTGGCGTGTCATTACTCGAGACATCTGACAAAGCCCGAGCTCTGACCAAGGCAGATCTAGATCATGCATTCACACCTTTCGATTTGAAGCGGCTGGACTCGTATGCGAACAGCATGATTGACTATCATGCTATCTTGGATCTGATGCCTGGTATCGCTTTGCTGTACTTCACTGGTCGTATGAGGAACGAAAATGGGATCAGTCTGTCTGGTGTACAGCAGGCACTTCTATGTGCTATCGGACTGCAAAGGAAAGTCTTGGAGGATGTAGAGAAGGAACTCGGTCTTGGTACGAGCCAGCTTCTTGCTATGTTCAACAAAGTGATCCGTAAGGTCAGCATGTATTTCCGCCAGCTACAAGAAGGTGCAGTGGCCAAGGACATGCCCGTTTCCAAGGCAACGACAAATGGCGACGCACATGAGCCTAATGAATCCGCTATCGATCCCGAAAATGTGGCGAAAGAGCTTGAACACGAGCTAGCGACTGGCGGAGCAGAATTCGATGCTCAAGAACGTGAGAAGCAACGGAAAATGATCGATTCGCTGCCTCTGGAAAACTACGCGACCGCCAATGGTGAAGCTAGCTGGGAGGATGCTGAGAAGGCGGTCAAGGCTGGTAAGAAGTCGGGTACCTTTGGCGTGAAGCGGAAGGATGAGAAGCACAAGCGGAAGGCTGGTGAGGCATTGGCTGAGGTGCAGAAGGAGGCGGAGGGATTAGGAAAGAAGAGTAAGAAGGTGAAGAGTCGGTGAGATTCTATCGTCCTTGGTCGAGGGCGAATGCATAGCGTTGGCGTTCGGTGACTAGTGTGCTGTGGTAAGTAAATACCCTTTAGACTGTACTATACATGATCATGGCCATCATAACGACATATGACTTCTCACCTTCGCAACGGTCGCTTGCCGGTCATGCCGGTCGCAAGGCCTGACATCGTGGCAGCCACATTAGCTTTCCCTGCTTACTGTTCATTGAAGTCTTGCTTTTGGCTCAGCCTCCCGCTATTGCCGACCGCTAGGCCTTCCTTCAGGCATATATGCGGCGTTCTCGTGCAGTAAGAGGAGTTATCTTCCTGGAAGCTCTCGCCTCCGGCCTGCTAGCTCTATACCATGACGTATGGAGACCCCGCTACCAAGCATCAACACCAACGACCAAGCCGTTGGTTCCAGGCTTGCAGCTCGCATGTGATGAGCACGAGGGCGAAGAAGCGTCGTCATAACCTTCCGCTCCACAAGTCAAGGTAGATAAGTTCTCTTGGTTCTGTTGCTTGAAGGCTTTGTCATTACGCAAGCAGACACTTATTTGAGACAACAGCAACGATGACTGATCAAACCAATCTTACGGGAAGTTCGCAGCAGGGCGTGCACGAGGAAGGCATCGACCATATTAAGTCCAATGTCGGCGGTAATTCCAACACTTCTGGTGGCCTGACAGGTGGAAGCGATAGCTTGGACAGCACCTATGGAACCACCGGCACACATGGCTCGGGGGTAGGCAGTGGGACGACGAGTGGCATCGAGCCTACACAGTCAAACACGAGTGCAAACAGCGGTATCTTAGGCACTGTGAAGAACTATCTAGGCATGGGAGGCAACAGTGCTACGGACTCGTCTACGACTGGTACACACACTGGTGCTCATGACGGAACTTCGACAGGCTTGGGAAGCAGCGGCACTACCGCACACGACTCCTCCACTACTGGACTCGGCAACAGCGCTACTGGCCTTGGCAGCAGTACTGGGCTAGGAAGCTCAACCACTGGCACATACGACTCCTCCACGACTGGGCTCGGCAGCAGTGGTACCGGCCTCGGGTCCCAGACCTCTGAGTACTTGCCACAAGGCTCAGGCCCTCATCCCACCTACGCAGGCAATAGGTACGATCCCAATGTCGGTGGCGAGGCTCTGTCTGGATCATCTGGTGTCACCGGCGGCTCAGGACTTACTGGTAGCAATACCGGTCTGGGCAGCTCACAAACAGGCACCGGCTTCACGAGCGGCGGCCCGCTCTCTGGAGATGGTCTGCGTGGCAGCGAAGCGAGAAGCCTGGGGAATGACGTTCCATCTTCGCACCACGGATCCAGTATTGGTCAGACTGCCGCTGGTGCCGCGACCGGGGCTGCTGCTGGCTCTGCACTGTCCGGCCGCGATCACTCTGAGAGGACTGTTTCAAACACCCTCGACAGGGACACCGAAGGCACACGCGCACCCACTAGCACAGGCACTTCGATCGCAAAAGATCCAGCCAACGAGGTCGCACCAAACAAGCTACCAACGGACAGCGACGTTACAACTGGTGCCCGTCCCACCGAGTCCGCAGATCCTACAACTGGCGACCGTGCAATGAGTGGCAAGGAGGAGGCTGAAGAGGGCGGTGATTCAGTCCGCGCGCACGAGAAGGGCAAGTCTGATGCGGAGCTCGGCTCGAAGAGAATGAATGAGGATTCTATTCCAACCGCAGGTGGCGAAAAGCTCGGCCAGAAGCACTGGGGCGAGAGCAAGATCGTTCCAGACAACCCGAAGCCTCAAGGCGAGGCGAATGTGTCTAGCTCGGATGGCCAGCCAGATTGTAAGTGATGCTACCCTCTAATTGCGAGTACACAGATACTGACTGTGTTGTTCCTCCAGCCAAGACTCGCGATAATACCTCTGCCAACACTGGCGGTGCGCACCCAGTAGGCCACAACGCTGCTCATGACAAAGGTGATGGACAGAAGGAAGGGCTGGTAGATAAGCTCAAGGACAAGCTCCACATGGCTCACAAGGACAAGGCCGCGAGCTGAAGTGTGTGACCACCGGCACGTGGTGTTGAGCATGCAAGAAGTCATTCATGATGATCATGATGTGTATGAAATCAAGCAGTGCTGTAAGCAAGGTACTTGCAAATTTGCATGGCCGGAAATGCCAATATCTTGATGCTCATATCGTGTCATGTCTTTGTAGTCCAATTTCGTATGAGCCTGTATCAGAGCAACGTGTTGAACGCATCACCAAACCGTGAGGCCAATAAGATACGTTATTGGGCCATGGCAGAACGTGAATGCTCCTTTTTGCTCTGGTCCACCTTACGCGTATGACTAAGCGAAGCCGCACGCGTTGTGGCGCGTACTCTTAACCAGCACATAGCCATCACAAGCGAATTTCGTTGGACGCAAGAATGGAGTACGAGAAGGCATATGTACTTGGCACAGACGATGATCGCCCTGCGAAGCGGCGGCGCATTGAAGCTAAAGGCTTGCACACCTCCTGGCCACATCGACGCCAAGCTTATCAGACCGCATGGAAGCAGCAGAGGGACGCCATAGAGACCCGTCTAGCCGATGTGGATGCTGCTACTGTCGAAGATGTCTCAACATTCCTGGACGAAGCCGTCGTGAACACTCGATCCGAGCGCATACCCACAGGCATCATTCTCCAGGGTGCTGATGGCGGATCTACTGCTCTGAATCAGATTAGGAAGCATGTCACAAGCATGCAGAGAGCACGGCGGCGCATGGTCGTTTTGTCGGCGAACGCTGGGTCAAATCTCAAAGCCCTGCTTAAGGCACTCATCATCAGAGCTACACTCCAGCAGAGCGGGATAGATGAAGACGAGGAGGACGACGTACAGTCGACTCGCAGCAAGGGTCCCAGATTACTCAACTATGATCTCCAGATCTTATGCGACCATGTATGCGACCGCAAACTGGAACAAATCGTCATTGCCTTCGAAGACACAGAAGCCTTTGACCTGGATCTCTTGTCAGAGCTGATCGAATTGCTTGGGTATTGGAAGGATCGCATACCTTTCGTGTGCTTGTTCAACATCGCCACGGATGTCGATGCGCTCCAACGATTGTCAAGATCAGCTATGAAGTGTCTTGATGGGAAACTCTTTGACGTAGCACCGTCCGGCGAGGCGGTCGAGCAAGTTCTGGAAACTATTATCACTTCCAAATCATCGCTATGGCTAGGTGCCGGTCTGATAAGTATGGTGCTCGAACGACAGAGCGACTACATCCAGAGCATTGGCACACTAGTGGACAGTGTGCAGTACGCGTATATGTCAGCGTACTACGCCAATGCTCTCAGTGTCTTTATGGCCTCGCCACATACTCGAGAATTATCCACTACTCACTTCGAAGCAGCACGCAGTCTGCCGTCCTTTCGAACCTGGGTACTCAGAATCTTAGGAGAGCGAGGGCCTGAGGACATCAAAGATCTTTTGCACAATGACAAGGGAATTCTTGATTTCGTGGTCGGGGGGATTGAGGCTGGGCAAGGGGTATTGAACAAGATGATCGTCGCTCTGAAAGTGATCAGAAAGCTGCAGGAAGCGCTGCCGAACACGACAAAATCAGCATTGTCGACTCTTTACGTCCAAGCAATGTCAGGTAAATTGCTTGGAACGCCGGCGTTGAGATCTCAACTCTTGTTAGTCAAGAAAGTGCCATCAGACATTGCAGTAGCGCTGCTCGAATCTGCCCTTTCAATTGAAGGCTTCGAGAGCGCAGCGCGAGCCTCGGACTCAGTGCAACAAGAACTCAAGACTCTACTGAGCAAGCAGAAGGACTCTACCCAGCCTCTCCGCAGCGAGGACGATATCAAAAACGCCACACTCCGAACGACCGTGGTTGCCCAGAAAGTGGAGCTCAGCAAGCAGAAATCCGCGCTCTCTGAGCAAGACAAAGCATATACTGCACTACTCGGTCGAATCTCGAATATGTTTCAGGACTACTTCGCGGACACGCTCATCAACCCAAAGGACTTACTGTTCAACGAGATCTTCATCTACGACCATAAATCACCCTACCGTGAAGTCTTCACCCCGAGACCACGACATGCCATAGAAAGAGCACTGGCTTCACCCCACGACTATCTAGACTGTGACTGTTGTGCGCCGGGTCATGATGGCGAGGAGGCGACATTAGCGTCCACACAGCCACCGAGTGCAGTACTATATCAGCTATACCTCGAGTCTGGCAACCTCATCAATGCCAGTGACCTGTGGCAAGCTTTCCAAGCGGTGATGGGTGATGATAAGGACGAAGCTGAGACGATGGCTTTGTTTCAGCGTGGGCTGGCTGAGCTGAGGAGTCTTGGGATGATGAAACCTACTCGAAAACGAGCTGATCATGTCGCAAAAGTCATGTGGCGAGGTCTGTAGGGGTATCCAGTGAAGGTGATCTAATGACTTGTCTATTCAATGGCAAGCAGCGCTCTTCTGTATGCTCCCGCCACCAAATATCAGATAGCCCAAGAAAGCCCCCACACCAACCGCGATCATGATCCAGCCGTTGTATGTCATGAATAGTAGCCTGTTCTTGTCAGCATGACCAGAATTGTACCGAATCGTGGCGGTAGACTCACATGATGAAGAACGAGTAGAATACCTGAATCCCATACAGCGCCGCCTTAACCACCTTCCCCTTCTGCTCTTCCGCCTGCACCGCACTGCCTGAGAATCCCAATAGTGAGCCGCGTTCGCCAGCGAGGTTGAGGGTGCCGTTGCCTTTATGCACGATCGCATAAGCCACCGAACCCCCACATAAAACCAAGGCATGGAATAGCAGTTCAGGGAAGGGTAGATAGAGACTTACGAGGCACCCCTTCCATCTTCGACGCCAAACGCTCCTCATACCGTCTAGACATCTCTCGTACCGCTTCGTAGCCCGCTGTCAGAGCCATGACGGCTAGGAGGGAGAGGACGAGGGTGAAGGTCGAGGTTACGCGCCAGGAGGGGAAGACGATGCAGAGGTTTGTTGTGTCCCATGTGAAGAGCATCTGGTGGAAATCAGCTTCCTGTCATCTGTGCTCGAGTCGATTTTGACGTCTGCGGTCGTACATTCATGCTACACATTGGTGCTCCGCTACCGTCACCCATGTCCATGTCGCCGTGGTCGCTGTGGCCGTGGTCCATGTGGGAGTGGTCCATGGTGTCTAGCCGTCAGCGCTGAAAGAAAGGTGTCCAGTCTATCTATGACGGAAGTCTCTCGAGTAATTATGTCTTCGAGTCGTGATCAGAGACGATCGATGTCTGGTGAGGTGTGTACTCACACGCGGAAATCTTCCGCTACACAATGGTTTGCGGCAAGGAAGAGAGAAGATATATGGACGAGACGTAATTCAAAGACGAGCCGTATAGCAGACAGTCAAGGGAATCTCAGTCATGGTGATAGAGAGATACAGCTTTTCAGTAGGTCGGGTATATACAGTAAGCGCACATGGTCTTTTGCCAGATCTATCGCGAGATGATAGCTTCTCTTTTTCTTCGACTCTTATACTCCAGTTCGAGACTGTTGCCGCTTTTTCCTTTCCGTTCCCTGGCATCAGCATCATAATCAACAGTAGCTCCTCTCGAGTGGCTGACGAACCTCCAGCACCTTGTCGTGTCTGAGCCCATCCGTCCGGCACAGCATCGTGAGCCGCTCTGAACCTCTGCAGCTCGGAGCTCCTTCGCGGCGTCCTGATCTGGATGAATGACGACCTGCTTGCACAACATCCGAGTGTCCGTCCTCATGCCTCGCTTCTCGCACCTGCTAACTGAGATTCTCAACTCCACCTCTCGTCCCCTTCCCACCCCTTCCTCCTCCGACAAACAGCCGCAACAACAGAAATATCATCCAACTTCCCCCCCTCAACCGCCAACCCCTCATCAACCGCCCTCTCCATAAACGGACTCGCAGCAAAAGGATCCTCCGCCACTTTCCGGGCAGCCAACACCAACTCCTGCGCCACGAACCTCATGCCCTCGGCCAAACTCTCCTTCTGCTCCCCCACCTCGCCCCTCCACTTCTCCAGTGCCTCGACGGCGAATTCCGCGATTTCTTCCTGCCAGAGATTATCCGTCACGCCGTCTGTGAGCGCGAGGACGATGTCTTCTTCTTCCACCACTTCGATGATGTCGAGGACGGCGTTCTTCTCGGGTGTGTCTGGGGAGTTGGTGCCGAGTTGTCGCGGGCAGTCGAAGTAATGCCATTGCTCTTCCGTTTCGAAGATGACGTCTTTGTCCTTGGGACGCACAACCATGACTTTGCTGTCTCCCAATTGCGTGACGTATACTCGCGGTTTCTGAGCTCCTCCGTCCGGGTCTTGTGTATAATGTAGCAGAGCGGCAGACACCGTCGTAGTCCCCAGCCACTCATTAGGCTCACTAAGCGCCTCCTTCGTCTGCTCATACGCCTGGCTCAGATACCTCACGGGATCGGGCAGCCCTGCTTCAGTATCCCGACCATATGCGTCCTTCTCCGCCGCCAAAGCCCAGAAATGCAAAATAAACCGACTCCATAATGGCGCATGCCCTCGTTCCCTCTGTGCCCACGCGCCTACACCGTCATTCGTCCCAATCATGTTGTCGCTAACGAGCAGAGCATCGTCGCCATTCGTGACACCTCGGATCAACTGCCCATTGACCTGTGGTCTGCGATCCGAAGCCCGGTTATGTGTGCTCAAGGGATCACTGAACGATCCGGACGGAGGGGAGAAGAAGGGCGGTGGGAAGGGTCGCGAGGGACGTTTGGCCCAACCAGCATATCCGGCTTCGAAGTAGAAGGGCGAGGGCGAGCTACGCTTCGGCGCATCCTCTGGTACAGGCGTAGACAACCCTACTTGTGGGTCTCGTGATCGGCCTCCATGGCGGCATCGTAGCTGCTGCAGTGCCAGAAAGGTAGTGGCAGTAGGTCGACGACCAGCAGGGCACACTCGCAACGTCAGCATGCCGCCGTAAAGGCAGCGATGAGCTCGCGTAGCTCGTCGCTCGGTAGTCGAAGATACATGCCCGGTCTTGTCCCCACGAACGAGACAACGTTTGCAGCGCTACCAAACAGTAATCCGTCTGACGAGTATTGGAACGATCGCAAGTGCTGAGGAACAAGCTTTGGCCGATGCAGGCCCGGACCCATGCGGCTCGAAGGGGAAGTTGTGGAGGACGATCTCAAACAGACGAATATCACAATGCCCCCACAGCATTACGATTCGTCTCCCGTCATAAAGGGTATCTACAGCTACTGTACAGTGCTCTCTGCGAGCAACATAGCGCTTGCTGCCATCTGTCACCCTTCCAAATCCAATACTCAAGGTCTCCCCCGTTTCCACTCGCCTCCAGCGCGCTACACAATCCCATGGGCGAATGCGAGGAAAACCACCCATACATAGATGGCCGTTCAGATCAACATTAACATTAAATCATCCAGACAGTAAATCCACAAGGTCGTGTCACACCTTATCCTTATTCTTCCTCCTCGACCATATCGATCGGCCTCGCGACCGCGTCTGCATGGTATCAGGGGTCTCAGACCTCGCATCCAGCCTCAACTTCACCGGACTACTACTACTACCATTCTTCGCCGCGGTCGCGGCCGAATCATCCATATACTTCGATTTATAAATCCTGCATAAACCCGTTAGCAAGCCACAACCCCACAAACCCAACATCTACGCAAAAACTGGGTGGTGAAAGTCAACTCACCAACTATTCCCCGCCATACTCATCCCCATCTCCGCCGCCCGCCTATACAACCCCGCCGCCCGCTTCAAATCCTTCCGGCACCCCTGGCCCTGCGTATAACAAAACCCGGCCTCGGCCAGGGCATCCGCATCGCCCCAACTCCCCGCAACCTCGTAACACCTCACCGCTAACCCCTTATCCTTCGGACAGCCCCACCCATTCATATAAGAAATCCCCAACTCATAAATCGCCAATGCAAACTGCGCCTTCCTCTTCTTCCTCTCGGCCGCTTCAGCAATGGGATCGGCTTTGGGCGATCGGGCGGAAGCGTGGGAGATGGTGGTCTCCACTTCGCTGATCTCGAGGCCCGCGGAATCGATTGCGAGGCGCAGCCATTTGACGCCTTCGGACTGGTTGGGCCGGGTGCCCCAGCCGTGGCGGCAGGCGAGTGCGTAGAGGAGCATGGCGGTTGGTAAGCCGGCGTTGGCAGCGAGGCGGAGGTGGTAGGTTGATTTGTTTAGGTGGCCGGCGGAGTGGGCTTGGATGCCGATCTCGAGGTGTTCGTCTGGAGTGAGTTCGGCGGAGGGGGAGCGTTGGTGCAGAGGGGGGGTGGGGCGGATGGTGGTTTTGTCGGTGCTTGAGGTGAGGATGGAGGGGGTGGCTTGGTGGAGGGGGGAGCGCTCGAAGTTGGTTTCCGGGTGCGCGGAGCGGCTTCGGGGGAGGCTTGAGGTGGAGAGGTCTCTTCTGCTTAGGCGGTTGCCGGATATTCGTTCTGATCTTGCTGGTGAGGGTGGACAGACTGGTGGATCTGGTCGTGCGGGTGGTGAAGGGTATGAAGCATCGCTGGTGTCCCGCGGATGCACTGGGACCACCTTCGCTGGTGCAGGTACGGGTGCAGACGCCGGCGCCGTGTCCTTAGCAATTGACTTGTTCTCGTCCCAGGTCCATTGATGCTGGCCCCATGATTCCGTCAAACCAATAGAATTTCGATCCACGGCCCTGCCGCGCGGAAGAGCGTACTTTGCATATGTATACGAAGTTGCGCCACTGTTACTGTTGAAATAATCTACTGTGCTACCATTCTCAGGCGTCACAGTCTTTTCTGGTATATATGGTGTTTGCGCGTCATCCTGTGACGGCTGTCTCTGATGTGCCGAAGGCGCGGTGGAAAGTGTGGTCGCTTGCGTACTGTTACTCGCTTCCGAAGCATGCCTGTGCGGATGCTCAAGAGATGTGCGCAGCGAATTCTTGCTGTCGAAAGATGGATGTTGGTGTATTGAGGAGATGCTCTGCGTACTCCGCGGTCGTGAAAAGTTATATGGTTTCGCTTGTTGCGATCTAGGCTGCGCCTGTTGGGTAGAGTAATCCGAGGTCATAGATGGTGTGCGATGTATATGTGGTGGAGGGTATGAAGAAATGGGTGAATGTGGCCGGGACATGCCACTGCTGCCAGAGAACTTTCGTGAAGAAGACGTCGCATACGCTCCGCCCCACGACGATGCATCTTCGTCTCCGCTGTCAGGGGGTACGGATCGTATGCTCTGCATACTTCGCGGCGACTTTGGAAACGCAGGCGATCTAGGCGCCAATAGTCCATGCTCTGATCGTAGTGATCGTTGCGAGGCTGTGGAGCCATTTGTCCATGTCCTCGGTCCTTGCGATTGTACAGAATCCACGCTGCTGGTCAAGCTAGGTATCATAGGCGAAGGCGCCTCGACATTCAACTTTGCGTCGAACGCCTCCGGTGACGCCGCCCGCGGTATCCCGAAGTAGTCCGGCTGCGCACTCGGCTGGCTCTCCTCTGCATCATAGTATGGTGTACGCGTCGGACTGCTCCTGCTCAATTTACTCGCATGCCCAAGCATAGGATAATGACTAATCGGCCTATCCTTGTCATAACTCTGGGAATGCACAGTCAATCCTTGTGGTGGACTGACAGGACTCTCCTCCTGCACGGAAGGGATATCACGTGTCGCATCATCTATCCCACCGCTGAAGCTGCGAAAGAAGTCCGGTCTGCTCGCCAACTCCTTCTGCACCATAATCGGCGGTAGTCTGCTCAGCCGCCGTCCATTCTGCTGCTCCTGCTCGAACTGCTTGGCCAGCATGCGTGACTGCAGCGCGAATGCGTCCAGTGGTGAGAGGGCGGGCGGTACTTCGCCGGTCCGCGGCGAGGGGAGATCCATGTGAAAGCCCATTTTAGGTGGTCGCGGCAAGTCATTATCATCGTCGTTCAGACGTAAGTGAGCGGGTCGCGGACCCATGGTTCAGATGCGGCGGCAGTGGTCATGTGATTCCTTGACATGCGACTGCTTTTGTTGTTGCTTCGGCTTTGGATGTAATGCTCGAGTGACTCGACACCGAGATTGGCGAAGTGGTGCGCAATATCTCCAGCGGTCGACCGTTGGTGGGTACGCGCTGTGAGTTCGTATTAACTGAGACTAAGGCGGAGGCTGTGTAGGATGCGGCGGCGCTTGTGTGACGATGTCGCTAATGGATGTCGTCCCGGGCGTTGGTATCGATATATTATTGTCGTAATGAGTGGACGACAATGCTACTATCGAAGTATTGTCTGTAAGACGAAGGCACTGCCACATGCGACCAGGCGAAAGGATGTTTTCCCAGGGCAGACAGACGACATGTAACTCTAACCAGGCACAGGCACAGGCACAGTCTCGTGTCGATCTCCTGCATACAGCCACGCTAGACCCCTGGCAGACGTCTGTGCACCATCCACCAACGAAGGCCTATTGGTTCGACCCAAGAAATGATTTACTTTTTAACCTTTGCTGTTTTCGCCATCGCAATCAAGGAAAAGATACCCAGACGGTCGGTAGGTAGAGTGTTCACGTGCTCATATTAAACTGACGTCGTTCGATCAACCAATATATCGCTGACGAATGGAGGGAGGGTGTGACGAGATGAGATACAACCCTGCGACAGAGATGCCGACGCTGCGAAACACTCGCCCTGCATGTTCCGAGAGATAAAGGCACTAGTGCCTGCATTGCCAAACACAGTCTCTGCGGGGTTTCGCCGAGACTTGCCTTTTGTTGTTTCTCTAATTCTCCGTAATAGCCACACTAAAAGCAGGCATCGCCACCACTTACCTACACACTATCAGATTCTAAAGGCACCGCGATAGCCGAATACGATGGGATCCGCGGGAGACGAGTGGCGCTCGCGATACATGTGCCGGTCGACCTGGGTATACATCCCAAAGACCTATACATACAGCTCCGACAGATATCTCGCATGCCACGCTAGCATATACATACAACCCTCTACCCTGTACCCGCTACTAAACTCCGCCCTCACGTCCACCCAAAAGCACTAAGTCTCCTCCCCATCATACCGGGCCTCACCTCTCCCTGCCCCTCCCTGTCCCCTACCCCCTTCTCCTTCACTACCTCCCCACCACCACCACCACCACCACCACCACCATCATGACCATCAACAACAACCCTAATCCTCCCCTTCAGCTCCCTCCGCCTCTTCTCCGCCTTCCCCTCCCTCCACGACTCCATCCGTCCAATCCCAGCAAAAATACTCGATTTCCGGCCCGGACTCTCCGGCTCATGCTTCTGAGTAGATGAAACCTCGTACCTGCTATCCGCTGATGTGCGTCCGGAGCCTGGGAGGGAGATATATGTCGTTCGAATGGAGGACTGAATGGAGGAATTGGTTGGTTTGCGCATGGCTTGGCTGCTGCTCCCAGGGAAGGTGGTAGAGGGGTGCAGGGTTTGTGTAGCAGGTGGGTACGACGACCGCGGGAACGACGACCGCGATTCATCGAAGGCCGTCTTCGCCGTCTCAGACCATCCGAGATGGATTGGGGAAGTAGGCGAGGCGAGGGCGAAAGGTGGCGAGGTCGGGGAGGCGAGGGAGCCGTAGGAGCGCTGGCTTTCTTCGCTGCTGCGCGGTTGGGTGGTGTCGAGGGCTAGTGGTTTATTGTACTTCGCTCCACCATCCATCACGCGTTGTTGGAAAGGATTTCCCGGCCTGATGTCGTGTCCCGACTCCACGTCATCGCGCGCAGGAGGATTACTAGCGAGTGGATTTTTAAAAGGTGAGCCGGCTGGTGATCTTGGCCTCTCGCGCACTTTACTACTACCTTTCCTTCCGAACGGTGAGCCACCCGGCGACCGATCTCTCTCCCTCTCTTGCCCTTTACCACTTTTCTTCCGCCTAGGCATCACATGCGGATAATGACTCGACACCCTCTTGTCATCCTCACTACCCCTCCGCCTTCTCCCCCCCATTTCCTCCCGCTGCCTCACCCACTGCGTCTCCCCCGTCACCTCAACAGGACTTATCACAAACGGATTACTCGCCAACGGCAACGCCGCAGTAGTAGGTGTCGGCGGCGAGATAGGGATCATCCCACTGGTACTCCGCCTCCTATGCGCTGTCGTCGGACCCTGCGAGAACGATAAACGTAGTGGAAACGAGCCCTGACTTCCCATTGATTGTGTCGATGCAACGCTTTCATTCCGGATATGACCAGGTGATACAGACGTCTGGCTCCGTTGCAAGATCCTCCCCCCACCACCACTTCCACCACTGCCGCCGCCACCAGATTGAGGAGCGCTTTTATCACCAAAAAGCGGCTGCGGCACCATCTTCATATGCGCCCCAACATCCATCTCCGAACTCCCTTCCGTCACCGCCGAGCCCGTGGAAGTAGAGCGATATTGCGCAGACAGCATGGCATGATACTCCCTCGCAATCTTCTGCGCATCACTCTTTCCCTCTCCCGAGCCATCACTATCACTACCACCAGACTCCCGCTTCGTGGTGGTAGTAGAAGGAAGATAATGATCATAACACAAATTCCTCGGTCCTCTCGTCTTCGTCCTGCCACGAGGCTCATCTGCATCCGCTAGACCAAGCGCTTGTGCGGCTTTGGCGCGTGAGGCTTCACGGGTTTGCGAGCTGAGGGGTGCCATGTCTTTCGCTGGACCGGTACCGACGCGAATGTAGGTTGGTGGGTGGGAGGAGATAGTGTTTAGGGTTGCGAAGGTTGAGGGGGTCGTGGGGGGTGGGGAGATGGGTTGGAGGACTATGCGGGGAATACTGACCACGCGCTCGCGGCCTTGGAGGTCGATTAGGGTCGAGATGGTTGGGTTTTGGGCGAGGTCGTCGGCGAGGCCGATCATGGCGGAGGAGCTTTTGCGGAGGGGTTCTTGGGATCGAGACTTGGTCAGAGCTGGAGGGGCTTGTGCGGGCGTTGCCTGTGCTTGCTGCTGCGCTCGGAGTTCTTCTGGTAGAAGCCGTAGAGCCCCGGGTGCCTGTAACATTTCTTTTGCTTTTTCTAGTGATACGGTCCGGAGGTGCTTCTTTGGCACTTGCATGAACCCTGCAGGTGGAGGCAGGAGGACATTCTCCTGAGGCTCTGATGGGGCAGGAGAAGGTGTTGTGTTCCGACTTGCTGTGGGCGATGGAGTGACTATCAGCGGGCTGTAAGCTCGTGGTTCGAGTGTTTGTTGCTGCGTCGAGGGTTTGGTCACAAGCTGCGATGTACTCGCACTGTACGCTATGGGCCGGAGTAGCAAGTTCTGGTCTGCTAGGTCTTCCAGCCGCCATGTTGGCACGGCGGGTATATCCTCTGGACTGTCCAAGGGGATACTCCACTCGCTTTGCCTGCGGCTGTAGACACTGGATGAGCGTCTGGTGAACCGGGAAGAAGGTCTGGAGTCTATGCTCTTGAATGATGAGGGCCGCCGGGTCCGGAGTGGCGTGGGCGGAAGTGGCTTGTGTGCTTCTGGTGTCGGCGTGCGCTTTACGAAGCTCTGGAAAGATGGTATAGACTGCTCCATGCCGGCCAGAGATGAGGACGAGGAGGAGCCACCTGCCCGGCGTACTGGCGGCCGGAGACTGTCGTGAGATCGGCTGGCCTGCATTATTCAGGACTGTGGCTTTAATCAGCCAGGCCGAAGTCTGCAAGGTTAGCTTCTATCGAGAGATGCTCACTTCCCTGCAAGCAGTACGCATGACGTTAGTGGTTCTCGATATTTCAGACAAAGGAGTTGCTGACAATGGTGACCCGACACCATGGCTGCAAGACAGAACGCCGAAGTAAGACAAAGGAAAGTGCTCACTTAGCTTCCATATGCGGTGAAAGGATACATAGCCTGACATTCCTCCCATATAACCATCATACATACGTATGCACCGTCGTCAGTAAGGCAGATGAATGGAGGAAGAAGTTGTGCATGAGGCGTGCCAAGCTGTAGTCGATCGCATCGTGTAAGCATCTTCTACACAACTCTCGCCTTACTGCTTAACTACGGCTTATCGTCCGTGGTGACAGCCTCTGCTTGCTCGAACTCATCCGCGTCCGGCGTCTGGGGAATATCGACCAGGACAGCCATATCGCCCTGTCGCTCAGAAATGAGTTGCTGCCTCTTCTGTACCAGCAAATCGCAGTCAGCTCTTTCCCTCAAACCTCTACAGTAATCGCATTTACCTCCTTATCGTGAGGACTCATCTCCTCTAGCACTTGTCCACGAGACCCGCGTCGCTGATCGATGGCTGTAGCCTTGGCATCGAGCTCCACGGGCACGTTGTTGATCGCAGCGGCAGAGATCGTAAGTTCAGGCTTCGACTGGCCTACTGGCGAGATTGGGTCTTCCGCGCCGCCAGCAGTGGTCGTCATGATGTAGAAGTTGTGGTAAGGTAGTGTTGCTTTGATGATGGTCTTCAAGGTTATGCTTCGGCCCTGCGCCACACAATATTCGGCGTGGCTACTGGATTGAACACCCTGGTGACCAATGCGATTTCTTTCTCAACTTGCGAGCGTGTCGATAACAGAGGTATAGTGTTGCAGGCCAACTAATGGATGATAATTGTGCTATAGAAATGTGCGAGGTCTAGAAGCTGGAACAGAGCTCCACGAGGTGAGGCGGTTCAATGCCTCGCCAAGTCTGACAAGGCTGACATTGCCCTAAAACAGGTTACGTGTGACACGAGACAGAGACATGGCAGGTGATAGCGATTCAAACCATCTTGTGACTTGTCTATACAATTGCACTGCCGTTCACTTCCTTCAAAGACATCTGCAAATCGACTCCAATGGATGCGTATCGTGTACTATGAACAAATACAGAAATTACGTCTTCACTACTTCGTCCTCGACCACAACCGCAGCAGAGGTCTCAGGCGGACCCTCAGGTTTCGGACCTGACAACTCGGAGGTGGAAATAGCACTCTGCAAAGCACTCGTAAGGTCGATGTGGAAGAAAGGACGGTTCAGCCCTTGTACCACAGCAATCCTGGCGCTCTGACCGGACTTGTATGTCCGCAATTGCTTTTCGAAGCTGGCGCGGCTTTGATCGCTGTCCTCACCAATGCTGTCCACATCGCGCTGGCTGACACCGTTTCGTCCGGTTTCGACGTCGCGCTGTTGGTGTAGCTTCATCTCTCTACGGTTAGCAGCGGCTTCTGCGTCGGCTGCGGCGCCACCGATGTTGGCCACGCTGAAGACTGGTTTCCAGGCATGGAAGCCTGTGTCTTGATCATCGGGCGACGGATAGCCAAAACCAGCGGAGACAAGGGCTCGTTTGGTCCAGCGGTTGTTGATGCAGGCAAAGTGCCACTGTACTCGCTCGGGTTGACTGTAGCGATCGAGCTGGTTGCGAACATCGATCAAGTGCTGCACCGAAGTGATATCCACATTATTGACGGAAGAGAAGTCGAGAATGATGGCTTTAAGCGTTGGTCTGTGATCCTCTGCTCTCTCCTCTTTACCCGACCTGCTTGTACCAGGGTTATTCCACGGTCGGTCACCAAGTCTTGGAAAACTAGCTGCGTTAGTCCGCTTGCACACCCGCATGACCTCTTCAACCATTGTATCGAGATAGTGGTTGGCATTGGGATAGTTGTAGCCTTCCGAGAATCTGTAGATAAAGACGCCAGGATATGGGTGTTCTGCTTGAACCTCGGGATTTGAGCCGTCTTCGTGCTCGATGGGAATGTAGATGTTCCTGTATGAGGTATCCGGGTCATTGTCAGGTGCAGGTGCGTGCTTAGGGTCACCGCCCTGCAAAACATGATCACCTACTACCGAGTGCACCTTGACTCTGCCAAGGAAGCGTCCCTTAGCCTTGAACACACGCCACAAGAAAAGTGCCAGGGAAGTGCAGATCGTCGTGTAGATACCATCCTCGATGGAGGAGAAGACGGTGACGAAGACACCCGCAAAGAAGATGATGACCTCAAGCGGCGAGATTCTCCAGAACTGGTAGACGACGTTTGGTGGTGTAATCAGATCACCCACAGCGTGGATAATGACTGCTGCGAGTGCTGCCTTGGGGATGTAGTAGAAGACAGCCGGAAGAGCATAGATGGCAATCAGGACCACGATCGCAGTGATGAGACCAGCCAGAGGCGTGCGAACACCAGCTTTGGACTTGATCGCAGTGCGGGAGAAAGAACCAGTCGCTGGATAACCGCCGAGGAAAGGCGCCAGCAAATTCGTGACGCCGATAGCGATCAATTCCTGAGATGGGTTGATGGTGTAGTTATTAACACGCCCAAAGGACTTGGCGATCGAGATATGTTCGATGAGCACAACAATGACCGAGACGGGTATTTGGCTGACGAAGAGATCGATCACTCGCTTGTTCATGACTGGCACGCCGGCGTCCTGAAAACCGCGAGGCACGTGTCCAAGGATGGCGAAATGCGATAGTTTCGATGCCACTTTCTTGTTCAGGTGTCGGTTGACCGCCCAAGCAATAAGGGTATACAGTAGGATGACGAATGCGGTTCGGAGCGTGTTCAAGAAGAACCAAAGCTTCCTGCGGGCGGGTTGCCGTTTTACAAGCGTGTTGAAGACGAATCGGATGATGTAGAGCATAGCCAGAGCAGTCAAGCCCAGCGCAGCATCGATCCTGGTATCCGGCAGATATTTCAGTGTGTTGATTATCACTTTGTACGTTGGTGCCCGGGTGTCGAAGGGTGTCTTGCCCTTCACTCTTTGTCCTAGCATTGTTGGAACCTGGCCGGCGGCGATGCTGATGGCTGACCCAGTCATGTAAGCGGAGATCGATGCGAGAGAGATGAAGTCGGTCAGCCATCCCAGACGCAGAAGCCCAAGACCACATGTGACGCCGCCTACGATGACTGCCAGTGCCGAAGCAATGACGTGTCCTGGTACGCTGGGATCAGCTTTTGCTGCGGCGAGGACGATGTTGCCAGTAACAGTAGACATGACGGCGACGGGCTGGGGGATGTATTAGTCACGTTCCGTCCCAACAGTGCGGATCACAAGACTTACCCCGATTGTAATGTCCTTGGAAGTCGCAAAGAACCAGTAGATCAACACGCCCATGAAGGAGGAGTACAAGCCGAATTCAACGGGAAGCGCAGCGAGTTGTGCGTAAGCCATGCCCTGCGGGACGACCACAGCGCCGATGGTGATACCTAGTAGTACTGTCAGAATACGATCGCAAGCTAGGTAGACCGCTCCTACCAGCGACAAGATCTCCTGCGAGCCATGTTGTGTTGTAGAAAGGCAGCCAGTGCACGAATGGGAAAAGGCTCTTCACGTAGTGCAAGCAGTCACTCCCGGTTGGCGTGATGGATTGGAGCCATTCCAGAGATGTAGGCTCGGCTTCTGTGTAGCTGTCGGCGGTTTCGATTGAGTACGTCGACTCTCCGCGAGTGACAGGGTCGGCGCCAGTAGGATTGCGATAGTCAAGCTTGATGCCGAGCACCTTGGCCAAACCATGGCCGACTTTCGTCGACATCGGCACGCTTGAGGCCATGCTGTAGATGAAGGATCGTAACTCGAAAGTAAGATTCCGAGGTCTTGGGTCTCACCACGCGAATATCCTTGTCTTTAACTCAAGGAAGTCAAGGTGTGCCGGAGATGGCTGCTCGCAGGCGATGTGCGGCTAGAGCGCCACAAACGAGCGACGCACGTCTGGGAGGTCGAGCCTGTGAGCGAGAACAAGATAGACTATGGCGTGACAAGGGTCGTGTGCAGCAAGGCTTTGAGCTACGCCGTCCGGTCCGGAAGTGAACGAGCACGCAACCAAAAGCAAACGTCGCGAGCCTTTCGGGAGACTAGATCAGTCCAGCACTCAGATCAAGAGGCCAGAGGGGCGGTTGTTCGGTAGGATCTCACTTATTGGTGTGTAGCTGCGTTGTCGATCATGGGGACGGTAAGTTGGAGTGGCCATGCATATGGCTTGCAGGAATACTCAACAGGATGACCGAAGGTGTCAATCAAGGCGTGACGGGTGTGTAGCGGCGTGGAAAGGTCTCGATTACAGCCTCGCAACTATCTCATATTCGTTGAGGCTAATCTGCCACGTTCTGCAGAATATGTGATAATTACGTGGTGGTGGAGCAAGCGGCATCGTCGTCGGCGGGTGTAGCACGATGCCCAGTCCCGGACCATGCTACTTGCGTCTCGCTAAGAATCACGACATCGCAGGGGTCTGGGACTACGGAGGGAGTTGTGTGGGACCATTTGTTTTCGGCCGCATTTTTGGGGTGACGTTCGGCATGCATCTGAAGCCAATCAGCGCGGTTTCTGAAGACGTGCTTTGCGAGCCCTATTTCGACTTCGCACACACCACTCAGTACACGACCCGTCTGTTCTGCGGTAACAACAAGACACAGCGTCTTCCAGTACGATTGATTTGGTTGCGGGTACTAGAGCGATGCTCGGCGCTACCGTTCGTGGTACGCTGCGTCATTCCCGGTCACATATAATCGCGCTTGCCCCGCCAGAGTACAGTGTTCTGTTGGTGAGAAAGTGAAAAGTTGCGTCGCAGCCCGTCAGAGCGTCAGAAGAGTAGTAAGTTTTGCCGTGTTCGCTCCGTAAAGTGCCATGATCGACGTTACGGACCGACCTCCGGCCAGATGCTCAAAGACAGCATCGAGAAGACGTTTGGTACGCATGATATCGCTGTAGTATGAATTCAATAGAGATTTGTGGAGTGAGACGAGGCTTTATGGCAGCCAAAAATGCTGATGCCTGAGGCAAGTCAACATCACGTGACGAGCATGACTTGACTGCACAACAACATAAACACTTGTCTACGTACATCAGTCTTTTCTCGATGCACATTAGGAAGTGATACGAACTATCAGAGATGCTCTTCCTCCTCAAATGATGACACATCTTGATCTCTTCCTGCAAAAGGGGCCCGCAAATGGCAACCTTGTTGCTGGGCTAGAGGAGCTGCGCCGAGTGGTACTGCTGGATGGCATACCGTCGAATAGCGATGGCATGGTGAGAAGCACGTATCTTCGCACCTGTTTGCTATCAGTGTTAATATCCTTCACAGTCAGAGCTGCGAATCCATGTATGGCTAATCCTCCTCAATGCACCACCAATGCGAACAGACACATATCTGGACCTCGTCCGCCAAGGCGCCTCACCAGCCTACGCCAAAATCCGCAATGACACTTTTCGAACTTTGACAACAGATCCTCTCTTCCGCAGACGCGTGACGGAGAACAGTCTCACACGCGTTCTCAACGCCATAGCATGGAAGCTTCAGGACGCACACGAATCACGCGTCAATGGCTGGATGTCGCCGCCAACTCTCGGCATACCCAAGAGTCTCGACGGAACTGATAACATGTTCCACTCGCCTGCTTCGGTCAGCACACGACATACCCGTGGCTCCGTCACAGGGACCGAAGGCTCAGAGGCTGGTGGCGAGAGCTCGGGCTCCGTAGGCTACGTTCAAGGCATGAACGTCCTAGCTGCTCCATTCCTCTACACGGCACGGAGCGAGGCAGAAGCCTTCGCTGCTTTCGACCGCTTCATTACTCACGAATGCCCAGGCTACGTTCGAGGTAGCATGGAAGGTGTGCATAAAGGTCTAGCGCTCGTAGATCAGATCCTGGCCCTGGTTGATCCCAAGCTGTCCTCACATCTGCTGAGCAAGGGCATGAAAGCCGAGATCTATGCTTTTCCGAGTGTGCTAACACTTTGTGCATGCACGCCACCACTACCCGAGGTACTGCTACTTTGGGACTTCTTGCTTGCTTACGGGCCCCACTTGAATCTGCTGTGTATTGTGGCGCAATTGGTTTTGGTCCGAGACACGCTATTGAACAGTTCGAGGTAGGTCTGGTGCGGAAGGCTCATGCCATGTTTCACCCCACTGACCATGCAACACAGCCCGAAGCCCGACTTCAAGCCGCTGCGCGCACGCAAGGTGATCGACTATACTGTCAACTTTGCCCGCAAGATCCCTAGCGATCTGTATGAGCAGATGATACAGCATGCCAAGTGAGGGATTGTATGAGCCTTAGCGAACTTGACAGTTCACGATGAAAACTAAGCCGTCAGCATCTGAACACTCGATGCTCTGACCTATTCGCCCGCGCTAACAAGTGTATTGTGCATCGAGCATTGCCGCCGAGGCCGAGCTGATGGCGAGCCAAGGGGTAAGAGTGCGAGGGAGTCGAGCCAGCCGAGCACGCCATTACTAGCGCGCAAGCATGCCATGGCCCATGCGCGCAAAAAGAAATGCGATACAGCAGGACTGAACAGGCTGGACCTGTATGCCACACAAAGAAGAATTGGTGAAGCAACGATCAATGATGACCCAGAATCGCAATGTCTCGAGTCGACTTTTGCATCATGTACCTCGTTACAGCGCTAAGCAGAAAGCACCACCAGCACATCCTGTCCTCGTTTGCACACGGTAAACTTGCTCCCTACAAGACAGAGCACCTCTCAATCTTGACCTCGTTGACGGGCCTATCTCCAGCACCAACCCTGACCGCACCAAGCTTATCTACAACATCCATACCCTGCGCCACATGTCCGAAAACAGTGTGCTTTCCGTTCAAGTGTGGTGTAGGACCCAGCGTGATAAAGAACTGCGAGCCGTTGGTTCGGGGACCGCTGTTGGCCATAGATAGAGTACCCTTGTCCTCGTGGCGGAGCGAGGGCACGAACTCGTCCTCGAACTTGGAGCCGTAAATTGAGCTGCCGCCGCGCCCGGTGCCAGTGGGGTCACCGCCCTGGATCATGAAGCCGGAGATGATGCGGTGGAAGATGACGTTATCGTACTTGCCTGTGCGGGCGAGCTCGGCGAAGTTCTTGCAGGTCTGTGGGTTGGGACGTTAGCTCTGTCCCGGGAGTCAATGGTATACTGGTCAGTTCTTACCCTTGGGGTCTGGTCCTTGAACAAGGCGATGGTGATGTCGCCGAGAGTGGTGTGGAGGACCACACCCTCTGGGATAGCACCGCTGCCGCTGCCGCCTGTTGCAGGCGCTGCTGAGCTACCACCGCCTATTGGCTGCTGGTGGGAGGCCTGTTGACCGTGAGAAGACTCCTCACCGCCCTTGTCGCCCTTGAACATGCTCTTGAGTTTGTCCATTGTGAATTTGGTGATTTGTTGTGTTAAATGTGGGATGCTCTGCAATATGTACAGCAGAGAGAAGAATTGTTTTGTTGAACGTGCTCAATTCAAGCTGTAGCTAGGATTCATGTACGTCAGTAGCGGGGCCTTGGCTAGACCGCGGACAGCTCTACTGCAATCTTCAACCGGAGTGTGCCCGATGCCACACAGATGGTAAAGGTTTTATCATATCATGGAATAGGGTTCTGATACACTAGCATACCGTACAGCGACGTAGCACACAGATTGTAGGCTGCATTGGCTAGTGCTTACTTGAACGCCGCCATTATCGTGAGCTGATTTGCCAATCGCTGAGATACATTAACCTGGCTACCATTCACTTCGTACGTACCCATATCCTACTGCCTACTACCGCTCCATTCCATACGTCAAACGTGCCATGCGCTGGCGTAGAAACAATCGGAATTCATGACTTACCAGCAGACGAAATGACACTATCCCGACGTCTCTTCTCGAGGAGAAATGAACTGTTCAGCAGCTTAGCGCGGAGCACATTGGCTTTTGCCAAGTTCGCAAGATCCGAAGTGTTTTGCTCCTGTCGTTGAGCAGGAGCAGCTGAAGTTCGCTGTGCGTGTTGGATCGCGGCACCAAGAAAGGAGAAATGGCACTGATATGGTCAGCGAAGTGTTTTACATGTAGTATATACTCTACGTAGTGGTATTAGTCAGAACCCACCTCTTCAGCACCGCCATTTGTCGGCTCGGCCTCTAACGGCTCGCGACTCAGCCTTGGCTCATCACGCTTGGTCTTGGCGAGCAGATCGCGGCCATCAGTGGAGACACGCTTCTTGCGTGAAGACGAATGCGAGCGGGAGCGGGAGGAACGTCGGTGACGTTTCGGAGGAGGAGAGCGGCTTCGGCCGGCAGGACTCGAGGATCTACGGCGACGGTGGTGACGTCTAGGCGAACGTGAGCGGCGTCTGTGAGGTGAACGCGATCTGCGGTCTGTATCACCGCGCTTAGCTTTGCTACTCTTCTCGCCACGGTCTCGGGACCTCGATCGATCCTCTCCGCTGTCACGTCGCTTACGTCTTGGCGGTGATCGTGAGGGTGAAGAGGTGCTACGACGCTTACGTCGTGGTGGTGGAGAGCGGGTGCGATCGCGGGAGGGAGAGCGGCGGCGGCGGGGAGGTCTATCGGTATCGCGGCGGTCTCGGCTGGGGACGTAGGAGTCGATTCGAGGAGGAGGGTCTCTGTAATAGTCGTCACCGTCACGGCGTCTGGGAGGTGGTGATCGTGAGTCTCTGCGTGGCGGACGGCGGTCGGAGTCGCGACCGTAGCGTCCACCTCTACCTCTGCTGCGCTCATCACGCTCTCTGCGCTCTCGGTCTCGGGCACGTGCTATGTCTCGGTCGCGTTCGCGGTCCTCTTCCTGGCGCCTGCGAGCTTCTTCCCGTGCTCTGTCTTCTTCGAGCTGCAGCATAGTTAGTACCACTGCCAACTGAGATCTTGACTGCCGAACTCACCCTCTCCTGTATGAGCTCCATCTTCTTCGCTTCTAGCAGCTCTTTCGGTATGCCTGCTGGATTGTCCTGGGCGCTGATGCACAACTTCCACAAACACTCGCAGAACTTCGGTGCCTCCTTGTCGAGGAAGCCATTGAGACTGATCTGCAGCTCTTTGATATTTGGCTGATGTATGGTCAGCGTCTCTGTACATACGAGCTGTCTGGAGGCTATAGGCTTACATATTTAGGACCTTCTACAAGGTTGAAGATTGTGTCCGTTACCACGTCGTCCTCGCTACCCAGTATCCGCTCAATCTCATCGCTGACCCACTTCTTGATCACCGGTATATTGACCTTGCTCATGTCAACCTTCATATTGAATTCGGGCGGGAACTTTGTCGTACGAAGCAGCCGCTTATCGACATCTGTTGTGAGCTTGCCTGACATGGCGTCGACTGGTGTGCCAATGGCACAATGTAGTATCGACCGGTGAAGGGTCCTTTAGTCAGTGTAGTGGAAGAAGGTCGCGTGAGCTTGAGCTCGAAGTCGCGAGCTTGCACAAACCTGAGGCATGTACGGAATGCGGCGTTGGCGATGCAACCTCAAACTATGCTCTCTCGTCTACATGTAAATCGATCAGGGAGGCACAGCACCGTTCAAGTTCTCATCATCACCTAGATAGACTGTTCATGGCCATCATGAAGGTCACAGAGATGTTGTCAGATTTGACAACGCTGTACATCGCAGTGAGTATGCCTCTATAACACCGCAAACTCAGTGCTGATCAAACCTTGCAGGATCCTAAATCTGCACTTGCATTAGTCAACGCACAAAGGAGTGGCGGCGATCCTACTGCTGAAGCGGGCACGACTCTACAAGAAGATGATGCCGACCTCAAACGAGCCAAGGATCTTGTGGAACTGCATGCTGAAGTCAAGGTGGCGCACGCCGATGGCACTGATGAACAGCTAGAAGATGCTCGACATGCCGTGGCTATGGTCTTGCGAGATCTATGATGCTTTGTGGCCATGAGTTGCCTTGCCTGCATGCAGGACGCGGAAACCAGGCATTGATCCGCACCAACTGTCCTGCCGCGCCAACACAGTCATCTCAGGCGCGTATAGGTTGCGACGTATCTAGCACAAAGACGCCCTTCAGACCCTGTCAATTGGCCCCACGATAAAAGCTCGCTATCTTGCTTGATGGCAGCAGGAATGCGGGCCAAGGTTGCTAAGCTGTCTTTATCTTCCAGCATGGCACTACCCAAGTTTGTTTGGCCACTTTATCAATCTTATACGGCAGGTCTCACGCTGAGACCATCGATACAATAGACGAGAGGCATCAAACAGTGGCTCTCCGCAGTGCCTTGTCTTGGGACTTCCGTGGTGCTCAGATGTAGACGCACTGCGATGCTGTAGCAAACCATGAGCTGGACGAATAAATGTCAGCGAAATCAACATGTTGATACACGGAATACCAATGCAGGATCACCAAGAGATTCTTCGAGCTCCGACGGGACCCAAAAGCCAACCAACAGGGAATACATTGAAGACGTTGCAAAAGAGGACGAAGTATAGCAGCATGGCCAACAGCGTTGAGACCGGAGTTGGAAGCGTCAGAAATGCTGATACTGGCCCAGGGTCTGTCGATGAACGTCCTGAGACTGAGCAGACGGCTGGAGATGATACAGCCTCGAAGCGGCAGCCTGCATCCTGGGAGGGATGGTTCGGCAATCCTGTTCGCACGGACATCTCGGAGCTGAGCAAAGCGCTTCAGAGTATCGGCAAGAATATCGATAGCATCTGCATCGATCAGTCAAGGATCCTGAAGAAGCTTGACCAGTCCAAGAAAGTTTCTACCGCCCATACACAAACCATCAACGGCAACGAAATCGAGCTTGAAAAGTTGAACACCCGCACCGCAACGATGAATGGAGTGCCTAGAGGTATTGTTAAGGAGGTCAAGGCTTTAGGGCGCGGCCCTCAAGTGATAAGACACAAGATTGATGTTTTCAAGCAAGAGACCGCGTCACTTGCTCAGTAAGCCACCACACAGGGGATGAGTGTGGCTTCACCTACCGAGGAGAATCCATAACATTGTTGGAGTAGAAGGAGAACACCTTGCTGGTACCAAAGGAGCACCAGAAGATGCGTAGTGACTGGCTCAAACACGTGCATGCCAAGTGGCTAGATTTTGAGCAATCATAGCTTTGTTGTCGTTATTGTCAAGGATATTATGGCACATAAGAGCGGCTGATTTCAAGGGATAGTGTGGGCGTTGATGCACTGTCCGCTGCTGCACTGTTGCGTTAAGAGCAACATGGTTTCTGGGCTTTCGGTTGATGTAATGTAGTACTGTGTGCGCGCACGGAGATTGGGACTGGGTTAATGTAGAAAGTTGGAATAGTCTTGAGCAAGCAACTACCCTCATCCTTGCTCGCTCAAAATGTACTGGCTGCATACAAGTCTCAACGTATGGACACTTACACCTGATGCTTCAGTAGGCCTCGCTAGTATGTAGCGAGGCCATGCCCCATTCGTAATTGCTACTGATCCTCAATGTGCATGCTGAGGCAAAATTTCGTGTTTGTAAGTGCTGCACAACAACACATCGCCACAACATACCAAATTAACCTTTAGTGAAGGGCTGGTAAGATGTAGCATAGGGACGAATTAGAGCCTATCTTGGGTCATAGAAGGCCCGTGCAGAGTGCTCCACATTTCATCACCTTCACTCTTCGCTTCGCACACTTGCTTTGCACTACGATCTTGCCGAGCCAGCGGAACAACAGATCTCTCGGACGACACAGCCAAGTCACATCCACGAGGATCGAGCATGCCGAAGGCTCGCAATGAGCACCAGAATGATGACGTGTTCCTTGCGGAAGAAGTCGAGTGCATTTCTCAAACTCAGTCTTTGACAGGTACGACTTCCCGGGAGGCTGTGGACGATGTTACGTACTTCACACACAGCCATGGTCTACAGCAGTACGACGACGTCTTCCAAAAAGCAGCAGCGCTCGTTCAAGGCGATCGCCAAAGTGCTCATCTGACGGACGAGGATGTGGAGGCTTTGAATCGAGAGACGTCTCACAAATGGTCGCAACCTCGAGCACTTTACTTCACCATTTTCGTTTGCGCGCTCGGTGCCATTGAGCAAGGATGGGCACAGACTGGCATGAACGGAGCGAACCTGTACCTACCCAAAGCGCTCGGCCTTGATCCCGCAAGTAATCGTGGCACACTTGTGCTTGGACTCATCAATTGCGGACTCTTTCTTGGTCAGGCTGTTTTCGGCGCGTGGCTTGCCGGTCCTCTATGTGAGACTCTCGGCCGTCGTGGCGCTATATTTTCGGCCACTGTGCTATGCCTGGTCGGAAACGTTGGTTCTGCAAGCAGTACTTCCTGGCAATGGCTTCTCTTCTTCAGGATAGTACTCGGTACAGGGACTGGACTGAACGGAGTAGTGGTGAATGTGTTTACAGTAGAGTCTGCTCCTACCTATGTCCGTGGTGGCCTGGCCGTCACCTGGCAGATGTTTGTAGCCTTCGGAATCCTAGATGGTTTCTTGGTATGTCACGATGATATGGGCCCATATAAGAAATTCCGGACGTTCAGACTAATACAATTGGCAGGCGAATGTAGCCTTCTATAACTACGACGACGGGATCATCTGGCGGTTGCAGCTGATTGCGCCTCTTGTGCCAATTATACCACTACTGTTATGCATATACGCATGTCCAGAATCTGCTGCCTACCAGATGAAGCAGTCGCGATATCTTGCAGCTTTCAGATCCTTGAGTCGACTGCGCAACACCGAACTTCAAGCGGCAATTGAGACATACTCCGGCTACGTCTCGCATCGCCTCAACAATAAGCTTGACGAAGGTGGTACGCAGTCATTTTCTGGCAGTATCAAAGCTCTGCTGACCATAGCTCGCAATCGACATGCTCTATACGCAGCGTACTTTGTCCAGGTGTGCCAACAAATCTGTGGTATCAACATCATCGCCTTTTACTCGAGTACAATATTCTCATCTTCGGGATTTTCTCCACTGGCAGCGTTGTGGGCATCGGTCATATTTGGTGCCGTCAATTGGCTAGGAGCGCTACCAGCCGTGTACGCCATGGACACTTTCGGACGACGTAGCCTGCTTCTCTGGTCTTTGCCACCAATGGCGTTGACCATGCTGCTTGCGAGCTTGAGCTTCAATCTGCCTAATGGACTCGGACGACTGATTGCACTTGCCAGTACTGTATACATCTTCTGTGCGCTGTACAGCCCTGGAATGGGACCAGTGCCTTGCGCGTACGGTGCAGAAGTCTTTGGCGTCCAAGTCCGTGACGTTGGCATGAGCGTCAGCGTCTTCACCGCCAGCATCTGGGCAACCGCTCTGAGTCTGACGTTTCCTACTCTGCTACAATATCTTGGTGAACGAGGAAGCTTTGGACTGTACGCTGGGTTGAATCTGGTTGCTTGGATGTTGTGCTTCGTGTTCGTGCGCGAGACCAAAGGTAAAGGCTTGGAGGATCTGGACGAAGTCTTCGAGGAGGGGGTTGTTGCGTATGTTGTCCGTGAATCGAACGGTTGTATCGGCATCAGGCGTAAGCTTTGGCGGTCAGAGCACAGCTGGACGGCAGTCCGTACCCACGACGACCTGGACTAACCGCGGGATGGAAATACAGCACGACCATGTATACGCGTGTGCATGCGCCATGTCTCATGCGATCAGACTGCTCTTGAGTGACCCTGATTGGACTGAGCGAGTGAAGCACAGTCGGCACAAGTGTGGAAGGCGAATCGCCGTTGTCGATATTCTGTTCCGAGACCAGACGCCACTGATGAGCTTTCTCTGTACGAAACATCGCCGCGCTCGATCAATTGGATAAGGGATCGTCGTGATTCGTCACTTGCGAGGCGCCAAGCTACGCCTTGTCTTCTTGCTACTTGAAGCAGTGCAATTCGGTTGGAGCAAGCCCAAGTCGACTAGCCACGCGCCACTGTTGAACTCCGAATACGTCCTCGATATAAGCCAGGGAAAAGGTGCCCCAGCCTCAGCACGGACGGCGGATATAATGATCACACCAGCAAGTAGCTCTGGCTGCATCGGTGTCTGCCATCGAAGTGCCACCGTGTCGCAGTTATACCACATCCTTGTTGCGTGAAAAGGAAGCTGTGGCTGACTGCCTTGGCCGGCCATGAACGCGACTCTTGAATCGAATGTCGCGGTTCCAAGCTGGGTGTTTCGTCAGCCCCGATGAGCAATCGATCCTAGCCGTGACACTCACAGGCACAGGCCCTTCGCATCCGCCGTTTATCAATGTTGCCAAGGAGTCGGAATAAGTCGTGATGTCGCTGGTCAGCGCTGCTCGAGCAAGTGTGTCGCTATACTCGGAATTGAGGTTCATGTAGTTGCCGGTAACCTGTTGAGCATCCTGTCGACTCATGCAGCGGATACTGTTCGTGCTATTGCTTGGAACACACGAGACGAATCCTGTCCACAGCATGAAGAGGGTACATACGATGCGAAGCACCATATCGTCTCCCATGTTCATCAAGTTCATGCCACTATGAGCGTCGTTCTACCATCGGAACAGCAGGGCGACAGTTGACCATTATAAAGGTGTCTAGGTCTCTAGCCTCGTATTGCGGAGTACATAGAACTCCTTTAAAGCATGCGACGATCGTGCCGTGCGAACAAGCTCGTCCGTATTTAGCTTTCTTAGCGTATGATTTAGTTGGTGAGGCTGAGGTCGAAAGTTGACCCTGTATTATTGTAGGGCAAACTGAGCACTTGATATGAAATGATGAGTGCAACATTTCAACCAGCGGCAAGATATCTTAGCTACACAGGCATGACGAGTCCCGCTGGTCAGTATTATGTCGAGCGTAGGATACTCTCCGTCCAGGAGGCGATTCGAGAAGCACCGCAGACGTGAGCTACAGTTAATTCCTTTGAGGCGACGCCATTCATTTAAGCTCCAGGAAGCATTGGGGCCAGCCTTGTTGAAGGTCCCGCACATTAATTGGCAGCACACGGACCAAAGCATCTCAATCTCGACGATCTCTGACCGAAGATAATAGAACTAAGCGGCGTCTTCGCGGTTGGGATTCGACGAAATTAACAATGCGGTGATGAGGAGCGTTCCAGCATTTGTACTACTTACAGCCTCTGGACCTTGTACAGTTTGTGCCTTCTGACACCATAGATTCTGGATCTCGATACATACCGTGGGGATCAGCCGGCTGCACTGGATGGCGCCTACGGGCATGGTTCTTGGACTGGTGGTTGGCATCTTGCTAGCAGCTGGTCACCATCTGTTCTATGCCAGCCTTTCCGGAACAGAGGCACCAACGGGCACACTATTCAGTGTGATTGGTGCTGATGTCTCTCGTCGACAACTGAACACGGCTGTTGGCACAGCATTCGCCTTCTTGGTCAAATCCGCCCTCATGATCACTGTGTCAATCGCTTTCGCCCAGGCCTTTTGGCGAGCTATCAGAACATCTAAGCGAGGACCGACGCTGGGTAGCCTCGACAAGACCTACTCTCTGCTCGGCAACTTCTTAGGAATGTTCGCACTTGGCGTCTGGAGGGAGTTTACAACGCCAGCGCTAATTGCCCTGATCGCGTGGTACGCACGTCGCCGCGGAGTTGTGGGAGACTTTCTGACAGCCATGCAGGTGTATTCCGATCGCATCGATCATAACTCCAGCCACTTTGTCTGTCCAGACTGCTTCGGTAACACCAACCCCCACAAACATGTCGACGGTACGCACCCTCGATTTCACCACCCTCGACTTCGCGGCACAGATCCCCGAGAGTCCAAGCGGCTTTTGTTTTAACGGTCCGAGCCAACCTGTGCAGCGCATAGCAGCTGCAGTCTCAGCACAGGGCCAGATTTTGTCGATTCCTGCGCCCAGCAGCGCCACGAATGCTTCGTACAAGCTGGACTTCTGGGCGCCCTCTTTGCAATGCAACAATATCACAGGACCGGAGCTTGATGGCATATGGAACAATATCCACAACAACTGGGGCAATGTCTCCGACTGGACTTATGCTCCTGGCTACCTTGCATGGACCGGTGGGAGCAATAGCTCACTGCCCTTTGTCCCAAGTGGCCCAGCCAACGCAAGCAACCTCACCATGCAGCTGAGCTCCCAGCCTCTGAGCTATACGTTCATCCATCTATGTAGTAACGCTGCCTCAGATGTTCAACTTCCAGTTCCAGCCCGCTAGGTCAGTCCCCGGCGAGACATGTACCTTCTTCGGCTCCGACTCGCTTATCTACAGCTATCTGGTAGCTGATGACGTCTGTATACCTGGTCTCCAGCCGCCAGAGTGCCTTGGGCGACAGGCATGGCTCACCGGATCGACGTTGTTAAAATGCGATCTGCTCAATTCGTCCTACTCCGCCGAGTTCACTTACACCAACGGCATACAAAGTTTCAACGTCTTTGTTGGCCCTCTGACTTCTACGGCGATCACGCTCGAGGAATGTTTCAATGTTGATGGCCAAGAGTCTGATACCGCACATACAGTAAAAGTGGCACGCCGCGACCAACGCTCCGAGCTAGGTCCTGACCTGATTCGATTGCTCTCCTACCAAAGCATTGCCCAAGCATTCAATCAGCTCCTCTTGGGGTCTGTCACAATGGGCGGCTACTCTTATCTCCTCGGCAATCCATATGGCGACGATATCGCGGTCAAGACTCCAGGTGTCCAGATAAACTCAAGCATAACGAAAACGGTACTCATGGACACGCGAGATCTGGCATTTGTGTCTCAGTTCAATGGTGTCAACGAAACGTTCACGAGTCTGCAAACCCGACTCAACGCACCCAACGAGACGCAGCATCGAGGCGTTGCCAACCAAATTCAGACAGGAACGCGAGGAAGCCTCAAGGATACTCTAGAGGGCCTGTTCCAGAAAGTTAACATCAGTTTACTTGCCGACGACTATCTGCAACCTAACTATACCTCATCGTTCGCACCAGCCAATCAAGGCAAAGCTCTGGTTACCTACGTGCAGTACCACAACATTTACATCTACTCAGCCAAGACTCTCTGGGCAGCATATGCTGCCGCGGTAGCGCTTGCTATCGTCGTGCTCGGCATCGGTCTGCTGTCACTAGCCCTGAACGACGGGTCTTTCGCGAACGACTTCTCAACAGTCTTGCGAGTAGCCAGAAGTGCTCCCATGAGCGACGAGATCCTACCCCAGGATAGCGACGGACGGCAGCCTCTACCAAAGCATCTGACAAAGGCACGGGTCATGCTGAGTGTGAAAGGTGTACCATTGACCGACAAAGGAAGCATGGCGGCATCAGATGAAACTAGAAATCCCACTGCAGAAACTCATCTCCTTCCCCAAGACGAAGCTGCGACATGATCGCCTGACCACCTATAAGCTTGCGGCTGCCGGATAATGATGCAGGTAGCACGATAGTATCAAGTACTGACAAAAGGAGGGCACAGCATACTATATGGCACAATGGTACGGGCCGGCCAGATCAGGCTCCGACACTCTAACAAGAAAGATCCAACATCATCATGCCTGAAATTTCCTCCGCCCATCCACCGCAGCAAACACGTCCTGCGTATGCTGCCAGACCTTTGCCTCGAACCCTTGCTTCCGAAGCTCCACGTACGACTTGGAAACATCGTAGACCTCGTCTTTGTGACTGCAGCTATACGCACCACCACCTGGGACCTGGTCTGTGCTGGTTACACCACCAGATACCTTGTCCTCACCACTCCCTCGAGCAGGAAATCTTTCCGAGTCGATGAAGAACAATGTCCGCTGTCCACTTTCCTCAGGTTTGGTGTTCAGGAAAGCGTTTGCGAAGGGATACATGAGAAACCAGACCCATTTAAACCAGGTCGGTAACGAGGGATCCCAGAATTTCGGACTTATCACCAGTCCAGGGTAGACGTGGACGAGGCTTAGCTTTCCCATATGTTGCTTGGCTAGGGACTCGAAGTACATGGTCATCATGTGTACGCAATGTGCGCGGCAATTGGCGAAGCTGTAGTGCGCCTTTGGGTCTTTGGAGAGGGAGAGGTCGTCCGGGAAGAATTTGCCTGATTTCTCCATGCCGGCTGCGTAGACGGAGATGATGTGGGCTGGGTGCCCCGACGTGCCCGTGAGGAGCGGAAGGAGGGCCGTGATGGCGCGCATGCGGGAGTAGTAGAGGAGAGACATGGAGACTTCGATGCCTTCGTCCGTGTCTGTTGGAAAGTATTAGTCGACTCTCTCTGCGTGCCATATCCCGTAATGGATTCATGGTCAGTGCTAAAGGGGGTGACCTCACACAGTGGGTCTTCGAACCTCACAAACCCTTGCGTCAGAACCAAAAGATCGATTCTTCCCTCTACATCTCCTAGCCCACCACTCCCTCTTTCCATCTTGATCAAACTCTCACACGCAGCGTCCACATCCCTCAACAACGTCAAATCGCCTACTTTGACGAACCTAAAGTCTCCGTTAGGGCAATCCTGTCGACACTCATCCAGGATAAGTTCCGCCACAGATTCGTTTCGAGCTACAAGGTAGATGCGTAGTCCTCTGCCATTCTTCCCATGGGCTTTGCATAGTTGCCGAAGGGTAGCTTCGCCTATACCTGAGGTGGCGGATATGAACACGGCAGTGATTGGTCGGGAGGTGAGGTTCTTGATGTTGGTGGAGCGGACAATGGGTAGAGGCGCCATGGCCACCGAAAGCTTCTCAGATATAAGCCAGGTGCTTTTCGACGCAGAGTGATATGTGGGGTAAGGTCAAGAAGTATGTCTTGGATCGAGATGTAGAGCGAGGCAAGAGGATCAATTGATGATGGGACGACGTGTTGCTGGAGGAGAGGGAGTTGTCACATTCTGTTCTGGGGTTATTGGTAGACTTATATATCCCACCAATTTTCCAGCCCGCCTGAAGACACCATACCACACCTCGTACTGACATATGACAGTTATCCTAACAAGATGGTGGCTCCAGACATAAAAGCTCGATGTCGTGCATGACGCTAAACCTCACCTCGTTTACGCGCACACTAACCACAATGGGAAGCCCCGATCTTCTCGCAGACGGTCTGACTTTACGCCGCTTGTATGATGATGATTCTAGCCTTCTGTCCATGATCGTGCTTCCCGTGTATCCAGATTTGTACTCTGTTCCTTGCTCACGAGGAAGATACGAATGATCCCATAGCTTGACAATGCGTCAGAAGCAGTCGCTTCGTGCGTCTGCGATGGCTGCGACGCCGGGATCTTGAGTGTTCGCCGCCAAGTCAGGTCGCCGTGTCGAGGTCGAAGTGACGGCCGTGGTATTATATGTACAAGCCACGAAGACTAAGAGTTGGTCGACAACAAGTGCGACCGATGATCCCTCTAATCAGAATCGGATGTGGGAGAGCTAGTAGCGGAGCAAGACACAAGCCATTCTCCAGTAATGTGCAAGGACGGCGCGGGTGACTTGAGGAGGCAAGACACGAACGGACTCATACAACTCACTACCTACAAGCAAGCATCGAAGAGCTGCATCTCACCCCCCGAAGCCACGCCATCAACCAAACTCCCCCTCTTCCTCGCCCGCCTCTCCCTCGCCCTCGCCCTCAAAGCATCCTCCGTGACATACTCTCCGGGCAACTCAAACCACCCCTCTTGCACCTCGGGGACCGGCAAACCAAAAGCCGTGACATTCCTCCCCGCATGCCGCTGTCGAGATTTATTCAGCGCGGCGTCGCGGAGATGGCGTTTGATGTAGAAACTTGTTATAGGCTCTGGTGGGATGTAGGGTATATAGCTCGGTAGTTGAGGAGGAGGGGGAGGCGGCATGGAGGAGCTGTGGCTTGTGTGGGTTGGAGTTGAAGGTTGACTGGGTCTTTTGCCGAGTTTGATTTTGAAGCCTGAGCGTTGAACGGCATGGTTTGTTTCTTGCTGTAGTTGCCTTGCAGCACTGGCATTCTTCTCGCTGCTCGGCGGCTCCTCCTCCTCCTCCTCACTCTCTTCACCTTCCTCCTCACTGCTCTCCTCCTCCTCAGCTTCCCTCGCCGCCGCCTCCCTCTCCAACCTCTGCTTCTTCTCCAAATCCTTCCACTGCTTGAACTTGTCCACTAACGCCCGCACCTCGGCAACGAAGTACTCGCGCTTCGGCTCGTACTTTTTCGCTTCGCCGTCCGTGATGCCTGTTATCCCTAGCACTTTCAGCCAGTCGTGGCCGAGAAGTCCTTCGAGCAGACGCTCGAGCTGGACCTTCTCATGCATCGCTCGTTCTTTCTCGATATTGCGCAGCTGCTTCTCTCGTCGCTCGGCTCGGGTGTGGGATTTGAGGTAGTATGCGTCGTCCAGCGGATCGGTGGGATGGGGTGGGATGTTGCGGGCTAGCATGTCCAGGTCTATGGGCGAACAGCCGTTGTACTGGCTCGTCGTAGTGCGGCGTGGTGTGGCTGGCGTGCTTCCGTTCACTGTGCCGTTGGAATTATGCGAAGCAGTAGCTTTGCCTTTCGATGGGCTGGCGGACTGCTGTTGCTTGGGTGTATCGTCCGTGACATACAGCACCGTATTCGTCGTAATGAACTCCGGCTCCTTCTGCACGTCAAACACCACATCCTCATAGTTCGGAAAGTACACGGCCAGCTCGCTCTTCAATCGTGGTCCATCATCGTGCGAGCGCAGACTCCGCCGATCCTCTTTCTTCCTCAGCTCTTTATTGTCTGATGCAGGTTTCGCCGTGGTAGCAGCAGCAGCAGCAGCAGGTGGTGATCTGTTCGGCACGGGCGTGACATTCCTCGCCGCTGCCTGGACCTCGACGGCATCGTCAAGCGTGGCATCGAGTGCAGTCGTCACCCCATTCACCGTCTCCACCAGCTGGCCGTGAGGCGCGATGGCGGTCACGGCATTCGGTGGCTTCGCAACGCCATCTGATTGGTTGTGCCATTGATCGAGTGTCGTCTGTCTATATCGCAGCGACAATTTCCTCTTCTTCGCCGGCCGTCCGTCTCCGTCGTCCGCGAAGTCATCTTCATCGTCTGTCGCCAGTGTATTGTTGTGTTGTGGGTGTGGTGGTCGGGTGTTGTTGCTGGCGTGAGATCGACTGTCATGAGGTCGCGTTTGCGGTCGCGATGAGGGGGTTTTGCCGCTCGCATTCGGCGCGTGTTGTCTCTGCGGTGCACGCGGTTGACCGGCCATTGCGCGTGCCGGATGGCATTAGAAGGCGTGGTGAGTATTTTCCGAACTTGTCCGTGGATGATATGTTATGTTATGAGTGTGTGGCAAGCATTATTATCGTGCTATCCCCTGCTCTGGCCTGAGCTTGTTGCTTGCTCTTCTTCTCCAGGAAAGCGCGGCCGGCACCTTGTTAACATCGCAAGGCAAGAACTCATATGCAGACCGATATACCGTCGGACAGAAGGGCAATGTGAGAAACACGGTAGATATGTCCGAGCATGTGAAGGTCACGTCAATGGCTGCATTACGACGCCTATCATAGCTACCTCATGACGGTAACTGCGGAGACAGACAACTTGTCCTGACCCATGATAGCCTTGAATCAATTCGACGAGACAGCTCACCCCTAAAGGCCCATCCCATTCTGACCCCCATGCTGACCATCCATTCCATATGGCATCATCTGCGCCTGGTGACCCTGCGGCATCATCGGATACTGACCATGCTGATGCATCATCCCATTCCCATACGGCCCTCCCAGATGCTGTGCCTGACCATGCATACCCGCATGCTCCGGCGGAAGCTCATACTGCAAATGCTGATGATCATGCTGATCTAGATCCTGCTGATGCTGCGACAACTGCTGCTGCTGTGGCTCGTCATCAAGACCCTGATGCTCGTGTTGCTGAGCGCCGAGATCGACATCAGCTTCCTCCCCACCGCCTTCCTCGTCGTCTTCGCCAGCTGCTTGGCCGGTGAAATTTTCCACGCGCTGAAAAGCCGTGGTACCGGATCCAGAAGTGAAACCATCACCGGTACTGCCGCCACGACCAACACTCACACTAACAATCTCGCCCGTCTTGAGCATCTTGGTCCTCAGCTGGCCCATCTTCCGCTTCATGCGATCTCGAAGCTGATCATCGTGGATTTCGGGGCTCCAGTCACCTTTGGTCAGATCCACGAGGTCGTACAGATCATGATACATCTGGCCGAAGACCTGCTCGTTGCTGGGACTGTAGGCATAGCAGCCGTATTGGTGCATGAGATTCGCCAGCAGGCCCTGTGCCCGAAGCGGCCAGATGTCTTTGCTCGTCACCCACTCTGCTGTTAGATGATCGCGTCGTCTAAGAGAATGCGTCAGCACACTAATGGATGAACTTCGTCGAAGGCATGAAATAGTGACATACCGGCTTCTCCTCTCCAACTCCCTCAACATCCTTTCCTGCCTCTCGGCAGTCCTCAGCTTCGACTCCTGGATCTTCTTCTTGGACCTCGAATCCCTCTTCGGTGGCGTGGGCGCAGCAACAGCGGTCCGCGGGTTATATAGCGTTGACGGCGTAGACGGGGGCGCAGACAGAGGTGTAGTGGCAGCGGCAGCGGTCTTTCGACTCGTCGAAGCAGCAGGAGAGCCCTTAGCAGCCTGCATTCGACGCATTTTGAGCTTCAACTCAACTTCACGTTTCTGTAGCGCGATCTGCTGCAATTCCAGCTGCATCATTTCTTCGTCGTCTTCAATGTCGACAGGTGGGGGCGGTGGCGCTGGAGCTGCTTTGGCCGGCACAGGTATCCGCTTTGTTGGAGCTTGAGGTGCCTGCTGAAGCTGATTGCCAGGCATCATAGGCGCATATGGAGACTGATACTGCTGTCCCTGCCTTCCTCGCGGTGCAGGTGGCAAGCTCGGCTCCTCATCCTCCTCCTCCTCTTCATCCTCCTCCTCAGGACCATGATCCAACCCACCCTTCCTCCCCTTCCCCCTAACCTTATCCCCCTTCCTCTCAAACACTCGCCGAATCGTCCTCGTGCCCACAACAATCGAATACCGATCATACAACCACCACAACATATCATCCACACTCAACTCCGGATTGCCCCTCACATGCTCAAACAGCGCGGCCTCGACCTCCGGCGTCAACACCCGATGCCTCCCCGTCCGACTCTCCGGCGGTTTGCCTATGCGCCCGGTACGTTCGAGCTCGACTTTCCATCTTCGGATCGTTCGATCCGAGACGCCTGTCTCCTTCTCGATGGCCTCTTCGTCGCGTCCAGATTCGAGGAGTGAACGGACGTGTTCGCGTTGAGAGGGCGAGTAGGCTTTCCCCATCATGTAGGCGTGAAGCTCGGCTATTGAAGGTGGTGCATAGGCTCGGTGGCCGTATTGTGAGGTTCATGACAACAATTGTGTCAGCCACGACTTTCGTGACGCTGCCCGTTGCGACGCTTAGCGGAACTGCGCCGCTTCTTGCTCGCTCTTCCTTGATTCGTTGAAGCATGCAATATCAGGTTCGTGTTCGATATCACGTCAGATTACGGCAATATGCGCTGCATGCTACATTGCTAACATTATACAGTAGTCACGCGGCAGACGACCCGTATCGGGAGATGATGATCTATCTATGGCCAAGTAATTGCGAGATCAACTTCACAGGCGAGTAGGTAATTCAAGGTACAGTATTCCGCCATTGCTAAGCAAGATGCTGGCTCAGTCGACACTACCATCATGCATCTGGCGTCCATCCCTTTGTTCGGGTTGTGGTACAGGAAACGCCTGCTCAGCACACAATCCCTCTCCTGGAACTTGCTGTTTCGAGTGTCTCCGCTCAAAGAGAAGAGCCGCAACCTTTAGCGTGATTCCGTCCATCGCTAAACAACCACGCCGGTCAGGAAGTATGTTCTCTACGGACTCTGATATAGCCCGCAAATACTTCACATCTCTCCTTCCCAGCACGGCTGTTTATAGATCTTCCAGGCAAAGTTCACAGCCACGTGGACTCGGCTCGGCCGTTATAGGGTCACTGATGGAGCAGTCCGGCTTGGCATAGCCGATATGCCACCCTTAAAGCAAGCCACATCCGCGCTTTAATCCGCTCTCACCGAACACCTCATCTCGTTAGAGCAGAGACCGCACTCCGGCGTCCAACCGCTAAACGGCACACCCAATAAGAAGCTTTGTAAGGCTGAGTCGGCGTGGTACAGTGGCTGACTGTGCATGATTGCGAAAGGGATGCAAATCCCTGTCTATCGGCCTTATCAGGAACAGAGTCTTGCTTGTCAGCTCGTACACGGGCCCGCTAAGAGAGATCATATCTGCCATGTCGACCACAAGCCGTTAGATATGAACGGCGACAAGCGAATCCGACCGCGGTCGAGAGCAGATGCGGCGTCGTGGCGTCATTCGATCCTGTTTCGAGGAATGGAGGGGGTGAGTACCGGCGTTGGCGCTGGCTGTGCCGTCGTGGTTGAGAGTGTTCATATAATCATATGACACTCCTTACCTCGCTGTTCCCTGGCCCTCTCTAATCTCCTGCGATCTGGTTTCCCATCTGTTCTGTTCTGTTTCGACGACCTTCACGTTCCTTACGACAACTACGATGATCAATCCTCGAGCCTCCATCGCCGGGATTGGCGGCTTGATAATTCTACTATTGCTGGTGTTTGGTTTCCACAGCGGAGCTGGTTCAGATCTACATATGAAAGGTCTCTCTTCGCGGCGGCAGCATAACGATGGAGACCTTGACAACATACAGAACACGACGATGGGAGTACGTGCCGAGATGCACTGAACACACAAGTGGAAGAGTCGAAGGGCTGACAAGAAGCAGTTCGAGAAGATATTCGTGATCAACCTCCCGAAACGAACCGACCATCGTGACGCTGCATCCCTCGCTGCGTATCTCACAGACCTCGAGATCGAATACGTCGACGGCGTTACCGAGATCGAGGAGAATACGCTCCCGCTTGGTGGCGATACTATCACCAACAAAGGAGCGATAGGCGCATGGCGAGCTCATATGAATGTTTTCAGAACGTGAGTGACCGGGCCTCGTGGCTGTTCTTTGGGTTGGTGAGACTAACATGATCTAGTATTGTCGAGCGAAACATCAGCACGGCACTAGTCATGGAAGACGATTCTGACTGGGACATCCGCATCAAGTCTCAAATGCGACGCTTCGCCGAATCCTCCCGCCTTCTCGTCCAGCCACTCCCAGGTACTACAGATGAGTTCCTCGATCCAACCTACTACTCCTTCGATTCCCCGAGCCAACGCGACTTCTACGTCGGCGAACATCAAGTGACCGAGCCTACGACCTCCCCCTACGGCGATGTTTCCAGATGGGACTTCTTTTGGCTTGGCCACTGCGGCGCCAAATTCCCTCTTCCCAAAGACGCACCCCTCCCGCAAGGCCGAGCGGTAATGCTCGACGACGAGACCGTCCCCGAGAAACAACACATTGACGCTCAATTCGGCGACGGCCTCCTCGCCCAAGAGTACCCACAACACACGCGCGTCGTAAGCCGCACCCACGACAATGTCTGCACTTCCGTCTACGCCATCACCCTTGCAGGCGCCAAACGCTACCTCTACGAACTCGCCCTGCACAAATTCAATAAGGGTGTCGATCTCCTCATGAACGATATGTGTGATGGTCGCGACGGCCGACCCATGCGGACATGCTTGACCGTTCACCCGCAGCTGTTTCAACATCATCGCCCCATTGCGAAGAAGACGAGTTTCTCGGATATTGGCGATTTGTCGGGCGATGGGTACAGTGATCAGGCTTTCACGAGGAATATAAGGTGGGCTACACGGGTGAATTTTAGGCAGTTGGTTTATGGGCAGACGAATTATACGGATCTGTTTCCTGACGGGGAGGAGAGGCCGGATTTGCATACTTGATATTTCTTCTTATTCGTTTGTGCTTGACTTGTGAGCGATTTTAAGCAAGGCGCTGGCGGAGCATCTGGTTATTATCGTAGTTGGTGGAGACCATAATGTATGGACATAGTCTGCATTATATCACATATATGCGAGCGAGCATTGCTGTCATGATGAGCTTTTCATCTGTCGAGATCATGTTCACTATTCTGAGGGGGCAGGTGTTGACAATGGAGCGAAAACTAATATAGCCTACTGTTCTGCAGGCCATAGCTGCCACAGATAGCTTTAGGGAGGCTATCCAATCGCGGAGCCTTCTCCCCTCACCTTACGCACTTATGAGAGTATCGGGCTCTCTCTGAAACCATGTAGATCCTGTCATACGCATGGGATGTTGTATATAACAGTATTCGGAGTACAGGTCCATGCATTACAGAAGGCCTTTCTTCTCTCGTCTTCTCGTGACTAGGCCCGTGCATCTGACTAATCCATCTGATGCGGAAGGTGAAGTCAAGGAGCTCGTCATCGTTCGGCCCAAGTACGTTCTCAGTTCAAGAACCGATCAGAACGTCCTGTAAGCAGTTCACCATTGTAAGTGTCGTTTTCTACTCCTACGAGCACTCAGGCAGCCTCATATCCACATTTCACGGCTTTCAGCCTTCTCACAGTCATGGGAGGAGGACCAGCGAAAGAGCATCTGCTCTGCGTGTTACCACAACCCGAGCCAACGGAGATCCTTAAAACACTACGAAAGAAGTTCCCACATATCGACATAGAGTACAAGCAAGTCAGCTTCACTCACGACAAGGATAAGCTACGCGAAGAGCTGCCCTCCAAGATCTGGCGAGATGTAACAATATTATACACACTATTCGCGTTTCCGGAGAAGCTATCAGATGCGCCCAATTTACGTCTCGTACAACTGGCAAGTGCCGGCAGCAACCAGTTACAAGATCATCCCATATACACTGATAGCGATATCACCATCACAACATCGTCAGGCATCCACGGCCCTCAGATAGCCGAATGGTGCGTCATGACAGCTCTAGTACAAAGCCATAAGTACAATACCCTTCATGACCTTCAGAAAGAGCACCAGTGGGGTCAGACTAAGGGCGACTTTCATACGGTGCGTGACATGGTAGGGCGGCGGCTAGGTGTCCTGGGGTATGGTAGCATTGGTAGGCAAGTCGGAAGAGTTGCGAAAGCACTTGGTATGGATGTCATTGCATATACTGCCTCCCCGAAGGATACAGCAGAGAAGAAGAAGGACCAAGGATTCATCGTGCCACACACTGGCGACCCAGATGGCGACATACCTTCGGCGTGGTACTCAGGCCTAGACAAGAAGAGTCTGCGACATTTCCTGGCCCAAAACATAGACTGGCTTATCGTGTCCGTGCCCTTGACAGATCAAACAAGACACTTCTTGTCTACTCCAGAATTCAAGGCACTGAGCCAGGACGGCAAGAGTCCAGCTTTCGTGCAGAATATCGCTCGTGGCCCGATCATCGATCAGCCAGCGCTGATCCAGGCGCTCAAAGACGGCACAGTCGCAAGCGCAGCGCTGGACGTGACAGATCCGGAACCATTACCCGAGGATAGCGAGCTATGGGATATGAAGAACGTTACTATTACACCACATGTCAGCGGCACAGGCGCAGCATACGAGGAGCGATCCTTCAAGCTCTTTCAGACAAATCTTGATAGGAGAGAAAAGGGCGAGAAGCTGCTGAATGTTGTGCGGAGAGATAGAGGCTACTGAGGCCAAATTCAAAGTGGCTGGCTCACAAGCTCGCTTTCAACACCATCCCAGCGCCATGCATGTGGTCAGGTCCAGCGCTTGGTTTCCTGCCGCATACTACCGTCGAGTGCTCATGGACTTAAAACAAGCCCGCGTTCTATTCGTCTTTCGCAGCCCACGGTGGAGCTCATACACCCAATGTTGACACTTGCTCGGGTACGCTTGCCGGCCCACTCTTGCGGGCAATGTCTGGCGGCATGTCGAGCTGCGCCATCTCTGCACTGCGTTTGATACCTGCAGCCGTCTTCGTAAGCGGTTCGCGCTGAGGTGTTGTCTCTACTTCCTCGACCTTCTTGGCAGCCTTGTTTGTAGCCTTTCGCTCTGCCTTCGTCATCTTTGCCTTCTCATACTCTCCAATCTCAAGACCTTTGTCCACTCGACGAGCCAAAGCTTGGGACCCATCATCATAGCCTAGAGCATTGACCAGCTCACTGTAGCTTTTCGTGAGCTGCATTTTTTTGTATGTGTTATTCTTGCCAGGTATCATTTGACCTAGCAGGTACTTCGTGTTGCCCCAACGATTTTCCACTTCCAGAGACGTCTTCACGTATTCCTTGACCACTTCCTCCCATGGCGCCATGCCGCCTTCCGCTGTCGGTCGGAAGACTGATGGGTTGGTCTCCGCTGCCGTGGCAATCATGGCACCGTCGCATCCGAATTCCGACACGAGATTGAGAGCCTCGTCGCGTGAAATCACGTCGCCGTTCATGAGGCAGGCAACTCCTGCTTCTCGACACACATTGGCAACCATCTTCAGCTGGTCTCTGATAGCACGTTCTCGTGGACGCATGGGTGTGGTGCGGCAATGTACAGTCAGGCCAGTAATTCCTGTTGCGCACAAGTTGCGGACAAGCTTCTCCGTCTCGTCTGGAGTGTCCAGGATACGTATCTTGACACTGATGCCAATCTCGTTCGGTATGCCGACTTCGCTGACGAGTGCACGCAAAATCACGCACAACTTGTCGGGTGTCTTGAGCAGAGCTGCGCCCATTCCACCACTTGTGCTGAAGGGCTTGGGACATCCAGCGTTCACGTCGATGCCGGCGACATCCTGAGCCACAAGTTTCGCGGCCTGGACGGCAGTTTCAGGGTTCGCAGTGCCGATTTGGTAGATCAGGCGCTTCCCTTCACGTGAGGGATGGAGTCGATAGATGACACTTTCTCGCTGCTCAGAATTTATGGCTGGATTCTTCGCACCATTCGAAGATAGTCGTGTGAAGTCCACGGTACCAGTGACAGCGTTGAAGTGTCTCGTCGTGCCAATTAGGGCCTTGTCAATGGTTTCTGGACCCCAAACAAGATCTGCACCATATTTCAGTGCCAGTAGCCTCGAAGGACATTCACCGCTCCGCACCATTGGCGCCAAGACAATTTTGCCTCTGTAATCGACGCCATGACGAGGGATAGGCACTTTGTGCGGTGGTGATGCTGTCATCTTGGAAACGCTGTGAAGTGCATGCCTGAGCATGAGGCTTGGCCAGATCGCTTATCCTGGATGTATCGACTCCACTGCAGCTGGGTAGCGCGAGGATGACCAGTTCCCGTAGGAGGCGTCAGGCCACGTGGACAAATCAAAGTGTCCTTCAATTATACCAGCACTTGCACCGAAAACTGATGGGTGCTGCAAGCTAACGTACTGGGATTGGTTTTTGCCACTTTCCGAGATCTAATGGTTGCCCCATGTTCGAAAAGAGATTCGAGAAGTTGGAACAATCTTTAGCGTGCGGCTGTATCAGGCCTCGCTCGCGGGAGGCGGGACAGTAGCTCCCGTCAAAATGACTTCGGGAACATTGGAAGGTCACCTCACACGCGGCAACGCACTTGGGCGGCAAAAAGCAATCGTGCTACTTGGCATCAGTGCCGCTCGATATTTGACTACGAAGCGATTCAGTCATTGCGATCTATGATATTGATGGAAGACGTGCCTACGTCAGCCCCTGCACTTCCTCCAGCGACGACGACCAAGCCTTTCTGTCTGCTTCCTCTATAACCTGTAGACACATGACGCATCATGATGGCCATCGATATCCCAGGGTGCAGTCTGTCTTGTTGAAAGCACCGATGCTGAAATGGCCACGGTCCAAAGCATTCCTTCATGATCGCGATTGCTGTAGAAGGGAGATTCCGGTAGCAAAAGCTTCGCATCTGATTGGTCGGAGCAATGAACCTCATTGTCAGGTCGAAGCGACACATGATTCCCAATATCGTGTAGCGCGTGGAAAATAGCGATACAGCGCCCTAGCTTCATGACAAACTTATATAGTATACGCTACTCAGATCATCTGCATGCCCATCACCTGGACACATGGAATATCGCATCGTATACTGAGGAAAGTGAGGTAGCGCGGTCCAGAATATGTCGTGTGGTCGTAATATTCTTAGGCTCGGGCCTTACTTGCCGAGTGTGATTCAAACCTCCAACGTTCGCGCGCCGCCTCAGATCGGTCTTCCTTTCTTCCCGCCGCGTTCGCTCTGCTACGCTTCCTACATCCACCTCACGAAACTTGATCCGTTGCATCTGGCCGGCGTCTGACATTGATCATCCCACTCCCGCACCACTATCTCCTGCTATTGACGGACTTTATGATCGCTTAGGCATTTGTCTCTACATTTGTATGTGACAAACCTGACTGCTGGCTACGAGTTCCTTGAACCGTGACTGGCCATCCTCGCCACGTTGCCGACCACGAATCTCGCAACTACTCTGGTGCGCAATTGCAAAGTCATCGAAGGCTCAGTCGAGGAGTGCCTGCACATGAACGCATCTACTGATGGCGACCGTCGGCCTTCTGGATGGCCAAAGTCGTGACCGAGATGACAGTCCACTCGTGACCGGCGATGGCGCGACTTCTGTTTCTACGACTACGATGTCGTTACCGGAGCCTGGCAAAGCAGAAGCACGAGCGACAGCCGACATTGTGACTGGGCCTGCCTATCAGCCCGCGCCTGAGACTGCAGCAGCCTCATCTCACAACAGCGGCGCTCCCGTCGCTGCACAAGCCGAATCGCAAACTTCACAAACCGTATCTGACGTGCAAACCTCATCAATACACATGGATGCGGCTGATCTTGCTATGGCTGATAGCGCAACATACGGTACTCGGTCACGCAACCGCACCGGAAATGCTCGTGTCAATTATGCGGAAGACCAGGACATGGATTTTGACTACGCAACGGCGATGACGACCAATAAGAAGAAACAGCCAGCAGAACAGCCCGAGCTTCCAGAGGTCGAACGCACTATGCTGCTGTCGAGACTGAACGTCGTAAGCTCGAAGGAATCCACTCCCGCAACCAGTACAGCTGCGGCGACAACTTCGAAAAAGCGGAAGGCGGCCAGCGCAGTCCCCCAGCATTCTCACGCACCAACGCCACCAGTCACGCTTCCGCCTGTACCCGCGGCCATGTCTCGCAAGCCCATTACCAATGGTACCACGACGACGTATCGAGAGACTAATATCATGACTTTCCACAAGCACAAGAACTGTTTGAGCAAGAAAGGCGAGCTCATTGCTGACGATGGCATGAAGCTTGCAATCAACGGTAAGCCTAACCAAAAAAGCCTCCTTTTTTTGAGGTCGCGGCCTACCCCGCTTCGCAACTATATCGGAGATTCTGAGCCAAGCTAACACGAGCCAATAGATCACGTGTATCTTGTATGCGAGCCTCCCGGCGATCCGTACTATCTATGTCGTGTCATGGAATTCTTGCACGTCAGCAACGATGATCCGAATTCGCCTGTTGAGGCGCTGCGTGTGAACTGGTATTACCGTCCTCGCGACGTGCAACGCTTCAATAGCGACACACGACTCGTCTACGGCACTATGCATTCGGACATCTGCCCGCTGGCATCGTTGCGTGGCAAATGCACAATCAAGCATCGATCCGAGATCGAGGATCTCGACGTCTATCGTAAAGAGCGCGACTCGTTCTACTTCGTGCAAGTGTTCGATCGGTTCATCCGACGCTGGTACGAATGTATACCAGTCTCTCAGATCATCAACGTTCCGGACAAAGTCAAGAAAGCATTGGACGAACGCTGGAAATTTGTCGTCGTCGAGATTGGCCGTGTCAAGGAGCTCACCAGCGCTGTCAAGACATGCAAGCGATGTGCTAGATACTGCGCTTCGCATGACTCTGTTGACTGTGCTATCTGCAAGAACTCGTATCACATGAATTGCGTACAGCCACCATTACCGAAGAAGCCGTCACGTGGCTTCGCGTGGGCATGTGGGCCTTGTGGCAGAGCATCAGAGCGGAAGCTGGAGACGCGCAACACTCCCACCCTTAGCGGCGACGTAACGGAGGCGGAAGAAGAAGTCGTCGAGGAGGAAGAGCAGCCTGGAGAATCGAACGAGAGCACTAGAGCGCCGAGCCCAACCAACGATGATATGGCTATAGATCCGCACCCGGTCACTGCTGCGGAAGTCGCATTGGCCAAGATGTGGCCGATGCGATATCTGGGTATCCACTGTAGAGTGGAGGATGCTTTGCAGTACGACGACCGTGCTATCTACCCTCGAGCCAGCTCTCGACTAGGGCCGCGACATCAGGCCAACACCAACGTATGGCACGGCCGACCTGTCGAGCTCGTCAAAGCAGCCGAGATCAAGAAGCGCTATAATAAAAACCAAAGTGGTAAGAAAGAAGGCAAGATGACAAAGGAAACAATTGCAGCTCTGGAAGCAGATCGCGAGGAGAAAGCACGCCGTCCAAAGTGGGTGCAAGATGAGCCTGCTGGTTATGTCGAACGAGGAGAAGACTACCCCGAGGATGATCCACGATGTACCTCCAAGCTCATCTTCAAGATGCCGGAGCAAAGATCAGCTGCTGAAGAAGTCGCTATGGTGGACGACTATGTTAAGAAGGCCAGATTCCACTCTCGTGCTATTGGTGTTCCGCCTTTCGGTGTCAACTTTCTGGACAAGGCTATGGAGCTTTTCACAAAGTACAAGTACGACGCAAACGCTTCCCTGAAGAGACTGCAAACGATGGACCGCAAGAAAGATATCCATGAGCCAATCCTTACCAAGCAGGAACTTGCCAAGTTTGAGGAGGGCGTTGCGAAGTTTGGCTCGGAGCATAGGCTTATCCGCCTGCACATGAAGACGCAGCTACCAAACTCCGACATCGTACGCTTCTATTACCTGTGGAAGAAAACGCCGAAAGGAAGAGAAGTCTGGGGCAACTACGGTGGCCGGAAGGGCAGCAAGCGAAAGGTTGAGAGCGATGCAGGGGCCAAATTGCAAGCTGAAGTTTCGAACGATGCCGATGACTCTGCGTTTGACAACGATAAGGCAATGCGGCGAAGCCGTGGTTTCATCTGTAAGTTCTGCAACATAACACATGCCCGCCAGTGGCGAAAGGCTCCTGGTGTGTCGGCCGGTCAGACAGTTCTTGCAGATGCCAAGCATGGAGCCAAGGACAAGAAGGACCGCCTGATGCTCGCGCTTTGTCTAAGATGTGCTGGTTTATGGCGCAAATATTCTATTCAGTGGGAGGATGTCGACGAAATCCAGAAGAAGGTCGCACAAGGTGGAGGTCGTGCTGTGAAGCGGCGTATTGATGAAGAGCTGCTTCGTGAGTTGATTGCTGCCAACGAAGCAGCCAGCATGGCTGCGCAGGAGCCCACTCCTCCGTTGCAGTCAATTGAGACTCTCGGCGAGCCACCCAAGAAGAAGACGAAAATGGATGCTACTGTGCTCCCTGTTGAGCCACCGAAGAAGAAAGAGAAGCCTCCGCCACCACCAAAAGAGCCTACACCTCCGCCACCACCGATCATTCCTACGCAGCCAACTTGGAAAGTGCTTCCCTGTGCGGTCTGCAAGGGTGTGGATGACACTGTATCCTGCTCTCACTGCAGACTAACTGTGCATCGACGTTGCTTCGGGGTTGCTGATACCGACGGCATCCGGCCCGATGGCTCCATCCACTGGGTGTGTGAGCAGTGCCAAAACGATCGTCATCCCGAGGTGTCAACGGAGTACGCTTGCTGTTTGTGCTTGACAGAGGAAACGTTGGTCGATCTGGTCGAGCCGCCGAAGGTCTCGCACAAGAAGAAGACCGACCGCGAGCGCGAAAAGGAGCGGATGGAAAAGGAGCTCGCAGACAATATGCGGATGGAGTATCGCAACAAACAACTTACCCTCAACCGACCGCTTATACCAAGAGAACCTCTCAAGCGGACTTCCGGCAACAATTGGGTTCATGTACATTGTTCGGTCTGGACACCCGAGATGCGCTACAGCAACGCTCAGAAGCTTGAGATAGCCGAGGGTTTCCAGCAGATACCGGCTGCACGCTATGAAGCTGTCTGCAAATTCTGCAAGAACAAGGGTCATGACGGGAAGGTCAGAGAAGATGCTGGCGCTTGTGTGTCGTGTTTCCAATGCAATGCGAGCTTCCACGCTTCATGCGCCTACGAATTTGGCTGCCAGTTCGGCTTTGATGTCACGCCTGTCAAGGGTTCACGCAAGGATCAGATTACAACCGCACGGCTTGGTGAAGAAGCTGGATCCTTGACGGCAGCGATCTGGTGCAAAGATCATGCTGTCAAGTCCATAATTCACACGATCGACGAGGTTGTTGATGATAGCGGTCGGACCGCACTTCAGGTGTTCGTTGAGAACTACAAGCAAGCAGACTTGACACTTACTGGCACCGTGCGGAAGGCGAATATGGTGCAACTGACGAAAGATAAAGGCCAGCAATCGCTCCAGATGACTGCTGCTAACATTCGACGCGAGTCTGGGGCTCACAGTATTGCTGCCGCTGTACGTCGCGGTGCCCGCAACTCTTCCGTCGCAGAAGCCAAGGCAGCAGCAGCAGCAGAAGACAATGCCACTCAGATCTCAGATGGGCCAGCAAGCGAGCCCGAGAGGCGATGTGCAAAGTGCAAGATCGACGTCACACCACGATGGCACGCACTCGTCAAGTCAGCACCACCGACCCCACCCAAGTCGCCCGTGCCGAGAAGGCTGTCCATGACATTAGGCGAGTATGCTGATATGCAGCGCGAGAAGAGTTCGAAAGAACGAGACTCGGAACCCCGGCACAGCTTAGGACCAGTCGTTACAGGACCTGCGGACATTACTGGAGCACCTGCCAGTGTCGTCCCACAACCAGAAGGCCGACCTCAGCAGAATATCAGATTCATGGCTCCTGGCGCGAATGGTCGAGCTTGGGATGGTATGCCCAGCCGGTATGGCTCACAGTCGCATGCTCAGGATGAAGTGCGAACAAGTGAGCAGCAACATATGCCTATGAACGGGGTTGTCCCGTCTCGCGAGTCGGTGCCTGCGCTGCCTAATGGTGACTCTGCGACATCCCACGAGCAGAATAGACCAGACGAAGGTCATCACAACCACAGTCTGCCACTCTATCACAACGCAGCTGCAGAACACACCCCACCAGCAGGTCAACCTGACTCCAAGCCTGTCGACAGTGGCCCAAAGTTTTTGTGTCACAAATGCTTCGTCAAGAAGAAGATCGACCCAACTCCTTCGCCTGTGCCGCAGCCAGTAGCACCGGCCGTATTGTCACCTCCACGACAATTCCCTCTGCAATTGGACTGGAGCAGACCACCTGGACCGCCCACTCAGCCGACGCACGATGGACCAGTAAGATTGCCATGGGATGAGCCACAGGGGACGGGTCAGCCGCCGCCGCCGCCGCAGCACCCCAATGGTAACGGTAACGGCAGTGGGCCGCCACCTAACATGTACGGCCCACCACCACCTCCAATGCATGGCTCTGGCTATCCTCCTTATGGTCAACCACCTAATGGCTACCATCAGCCGCCTCTACCACAGGCACACCACGGCCCGCCGCCCCCACCACATATGCACCAGCGCCAACCAAGCTATGGGTACGGTCCTCCACCGCATTCTCAGCATGGATATCCGGCCCCACCTCGTCCGGCTCAGATGCCGAACTACCCGCCAACGAACGGAGCCATACCGAATGGTGTGAATCATCCAGGTCATGGTGTACCACCACCCCTTCCATCACCCACGCATCCTTACCATGGGCCACCGCAGCAGTACCAATACCCGCAGCGGAGGACAGAGTCGCCTTTTAGTGCACAGCTACCGCCACTTGGCCAACCCCTGCACGCTAGCCCGCCGAACGCCTTCGCACGACCAGATGCGCCGAGCGGACCGCCAGGACAAGGCCAGCACGTGCACTACCCTTCGCAGCAAGGAGTGTATGGTCAAGCACCGCCTGCCCACCAGCCCCCTCCGATGCAACAAGGCCTCCCGCCTCAGCAAACTCCTACCTCTCAACCTCCAATGTCTCAGCCAACAGCTCAGCAGGCGGGTAATCAGACGCAGCCTGCAGGGCTAATTGGTCCACCAAGCCAGCACTTCCAGCAGCCATCACAAGCACAGGTTCTCCCGCCTCCAACAGCGCCAGAGACGCCACAGCCTGGGCAAGGAGTGCAGCCGTTGCAAGGAGGGCCATTGACTCCGCAAGTTGGCGAACAACCGCCTGGTATCAATGGTGCCAGCGCTAGTCCGAACCTGCGACATCTCCTGCACTGAGTTTGTAGGGATTGGGTATGTTAGATGAACTTGTTGATTGGAAAAGGTGTCGGACTGTACATGACAAGCCATGGCATGGGGGAAATTGTGTTGAACCATTGTTGGGTTGACTGTGGTTAGTACTATGTATTATGAAGGTCATGTTCTCTGTGTATGCTAGTACTGTTGTTCTACTTGATTCTCGATAAGCCTTCAATGGTAATAGGAGTGACTTGTATCCATGACAGCAGCGGATCGTATGTGTGATAGGCAGTCAATGGAGTGGTGCTCGTTCGAGCTCGTCCGGGGGCGAGTCAAAACGGGCTAACCGGATCTCCGGCTGAACATCCGCTCCAAGTCAATGTTCTTGATCGCCCGAGTCGCCTCTTACATTCGCAGCGATACCCTCGTCGACCACACAGCAATCTTACATTGTGCCATGCATCCCCATCTTCACACCAAAGATAATCGAGGTATGATTTCTTCTTGTTCACCATGTCCCACGCTGCCACCTGACAGGTTGCAGGTTGTGAGGAAGTCATGAACGCTCTGGAAGAATGCCATGCTCGAGGATTTCTCTGGAAGGCAGCCGGCATGTGCAATGGTTTGAAACGCGACGTCAACAAGTGTTTGAGGGCGGAGAGGTTGGATAGGACGGCGTCGAATCGGGACGAGGCGAGGGAGAAGAGGCAGAAGATGAAAGCTGTGTGGGCGGAGATTGATGCCAATTCTTGAGAGGGTCATCGATGCATACACTTGGTTTCATCGGCAATTATTTGTACGATGCTGCCAACAGACCCGAACGGACAAGAGGCTGGTGGTTGGTGCAGACCACAATATTGCGAGAGGACGTACTGGCCCTTTCAGCAGGATGTCAAGGTGAAGCGCGTTGGCAGTTCGAGTCCTGATTGGAGATTACTACAGGCGGAGGTCAGATTGTAGCGGCAAGAAGCACAACTCGTGACTCTGACGCGAGAGTCAAAGGCGGCACCAGGAGGCAAGAGCAGTGCAACGAAGCCACTCAGACATCACCAGCGACCGCACACGACACATCATTAGGCAAGTCGTCACCAGCCGTCAACACAGCAGTCTGCCACATATCTGGTCTCCTGCTCAATGACGTAGATCAAAGCTCCCAAAGCCTGGTATTAGGAGACGCACCAGATGATCGATGTTGACCGCATTGGCTGCTGGATGGAAGAAAATTCATGTAGTCACATCTATATTGTACACATATATGATTCTACACATCATGCCGAACTTCGCGCGACTTTCTCCTTCTGCCGCAGGCCCTGCTCAGTCTCCAGCTCGCGATTGAGATCGATATGCTGCGTCCATAGACTGGAGATCAGGCCGATTACGCTCAGCCCCGTCATCACCAACCATACCGTTATCAGTGCCTGTGCAAAGCAATCCAGCAACGCATCTTTGGCAGGACTGGCGGCCATCCTTTTCAGCACCTCCACGAGTGCGCTAGCATCTGCTGCCCACTCCTGAGCATGCTCAGCGATCAAAGGATGACGGAGGATCTGGCGCTTGATACTGTTCTGGAAGATTGTGCCGCCGACTGCCACTCCGACACACTGACCAGCTGCTCTGAAGAAGGTGAATAAGCTCACGCCGTAAGCTTGGTCTTTGTTGGGTACAGCAGCCTGGACTGCGTAGGTCATTGATGGATAGAGCATTCCAAGTCCAATACCTGCGGTGAAATGTGTTAGGAGGATGTTTTTGAATCTCCTGGACGCCTTACTCACCAGAGATCAGATTGATTGTCACCCATACAGCGACTGGGGTATGGACATGCATGACCACGCGGGTCGCGGTACCAATCGTTACCAGGACCCAGCCGCCCCAGATGGCCCATCTGTATGTGCCAAGTTTCGAAATGGTGGCACCGACGATGATTGCGGTAGGTGCCACCGTAAGTGTCCCCGGAAAGAGGTCGATAGCTGATGTGATGGGAGATGCGCCTTTCACAGCTTGGAAATATATTGCTGAGAAAAGCGTTAGTATAGAGTTGTCCATGTCTGAGACGTGGGCCCATGTTATCGCACTTACGCATGTAGTAGAGGTTCGCCCACAGCAACAGGCCTTGCAAGAAGTCGCCGAGGTACGTCACAGCCGTGGTCCTGGTCTTCATCACGGAGATCCGAATCAATGGCTCCACGGCATACAGCTCTTCCCAAATTACGAAAGCTATCATGCCTGCGGCGCTTATCAGGAGTGGCACCAAGGTCCGCCATGACGACCAGCTGTACATTACGCCGCCCCTAGAATTTGTCAGCATGCGGCAGCTCAGAAGACGTAGCGAGACTGTATACGCACCATGAGAGGGGAATCAGAAAGCCGGTCGTGGAAGCAATGAACAGGAAACCGCCCACCCAGTCGACTCTTCGTAGCTGCTGCACCAAGGTCGTATTCTTGAAGTGTAGATTCAAGAAGAATACAACCAAAGGCGCACCAATCGCGATGAATGGTAGATTGATCCAAAAAATGTACCTCCAGAGTTCACGACCCGTAGCGAAAGCACCACCGACAAGAGGTCCAGACACACTTCCGATTGCCCACATGGCGCCGAGCAAGCTGTAGAAATTACCACGGAAGCGAAGAGGGACCAGATCCGTGACGATGATTTCGCCCAGTACCAGTATCCCACCACCGCCTATACCTTGGATGGATCTTCCCACCAGCATCAACGTCATGGAGCCGTGTGTGACAGCCGCTAGGATTGCTCCAAGGCCGAAGTAGACCAGGGAGATATAGACCATTAGTTTCCGACCGAAGATATCTGATAGAGAGCCGAAGACAGGCTGGAACACGGTGCTACAAAGAAGGAAGGATGTTCCAGACCAGAAGCCTTCGATCGCCGTGCCATGGAGGGCTGTGACGATCCTAGGGATTGCGACTGCGAGGGATGTGGCGTCGAGAGCGGCCATGAGGGTGATGACGCAGATGGAGGCGAAGGCCATGTAGAAGCGCCAATCTGGGTGAAATGACGTTGCTGTAGCATTGACATCGCCTTGGCCTTCGGGTATTTGTTCTTGTATGCTTGGTGTCGAGGAGGCGGACGCGGCATCGATGGTCTTTTCGTCCTTTTCCATCATTGCCATTTCTGCGGTTGCGTTTGTTTCTACCAGATCGTACTAGGTAAGAAGAGATGTGTTGATATTATGAGGTTAGCTCACCTGAAACAGTGATGAGACATTGCGTTGTCTTTACTTATCCCTTGTGTCGTGACTATATACTGGCTTCAAGCCCGTCTACAATGTTCAACCGCGGCGCGGACGTATCGCATGAAGTCCGACATCACAAGATTCGTGCGCATTGTATACCGTAGGATACATGGGTGCCTCAGAGGCTAGATTCCACCGTCGGATCGCAAAGCAGTACTACGGAACAATGTTCAGATCGATATTGTCCCATGCAGGCTATTACGGCCGTATCAGTCGATCAATGAAAGTCCTCGAATTTCGAGTCCCAGCTCTGTTACGCCCGCACCAGCTCATCAACTTTCGCCGTAAAGAGAAACCATCGCGCGCAAACAAGCCATCAACCTGTGTGGCTGCGACTGCAGGGAAATGTTGACTGATCATAAAATCTCCATTTGTTATACCTGCACGCCAAGCTCGCGTTTGCGAGGCCCTGGCCAAAACACCTCGCATACCCAAACGCTGAGACATTCGAGCTGCTGCGCTTACCAATCCCCTCCCTCATCATCCCTCTGATGCATGGCCTTCTGCCTCGCTCTCAAAGCCTCGGCCAGACCACCTGCAATCCCGGCCCCGCCACCGCCATTGGGTGTCGCAGCGCCACTGCCTCCATCCGGTGTGTTACCGCCTGAGTAACCACTATCCCTTGGCGTGTTTCCAGCAGCAGGCTTTCTGCCCACAGGACGTTTCGCCGGCGGAGCAGGAGGTGTGGGCTTTGCTTTCGCGGCGGGCGCGCCGTTCGAGATACCGTTTGCTCGGGCTGCTGCAGGCGCAGGAGGAGGCGGTGGGCGTGATACAGCGGCTGGCGGTGGTGGGGGTGGAAGAGCTTGCTTGACTTCCTCTAGGTAGGCTGCTGGTGCCCAGCCGGACGCTGAGTGATCTGATCGTCTGCCTAGCCACCATCCTGCACATATCATGTTAGTCATGGTGTAATAAAGCAAAGGATATGAGGAATGCTTACCATTATTCTCCTTTTGCGTGATGACAATGATCTCGCCCTTCTTCAGACTCAGTTCACCACCAGTCTGGCCCGTGAAGTCGTATAGAGCCTTGTATTCAGGATCCTTCGGTGGCTGAGTCGCGGCAGCAGGCGGTGGAGGGGGCGGTGGCATTCTCGAGGAAGCAGTCGAGACATTCCTTGCATGACCATTGGACATCGCCGCAACAGGTTGCGACTGTATCGGCTGTGCTTGGACTGGTCGCTCTTGCACAGGCTGCGGTACAATTCTCTCAGTCGCCCGCATAGCATTCGTCGTGTTTTGTCCTGGTAGTGGTTGCGCCTGAGGTATAGGCCGTCGATTTTGCGCTTGCTGTGATAGCTTACCACCTGCACTCTTCTTGAGCAGTCCTCCAGTCGTGATGGCCTTCGCAGCAACAGGCTTGCCCTTGGGTGTCTGCCTGCTGACCGAGTTTGGAGGCTCTCCAGCACCTGTATGTACTTGTCCAGACTTATACATGTCGTCTCGTCGGACTTGTGGATCCTTGACTGCCTTTACACTGGCAATCTTACCGGGCTTCTTGTTGTATTGTATCGCGTCACCGATCTGAAGTTGTACTGCTCCTCTTGTTGCAGTCCGAAGTTGTGTGAAAAACTCGTTCTTGAAGATACAGTTGATGAGAGGGTCAGGTTCCTGCGGGCTTCCGACACCCAGGGCAAACCAGTCATCCTTAAGATTGCTGGCACTCACAAACTTGATGGCGCCAAGTGCTATGGTTCGTTCCGAGAAGATCTGCAACTGCTTGTTGACCAGAGCCTGCTTGACCAGATAAACAGCCTTGCTCGTAAGCACAATAAATCGAGGTTCCGGCTTCGACGATCGTCCAAGTTTCGACACCAGTAGTTCACACCGACAACTGAAGAAAGTCTTTTCGCCAGATCCAATTCCAGCATTGTTGCGAAGTAGCTCGCCTGACCCACCTTTGTTGTCAATACCAAGGTAGTCTCCCAAGTACCGTCGGTAGCCAATGAGTGAGAACCTGCGACGCTCTTTCCGACCAGCGAGCAACTTCGTGCCTTCGTCTCGTAAGACAAGGAAAGGCTCGCCACCGCTCTTCTTGCGCCAGAACTTCTGGATCCTCGTCGCGCACTCGATTCGGTAGCGCAAGTAGTTTCTCCATGCACGCTGGATACGAATGGCCATGTTGTGCCAGTATCGGTCACGCATGGTTTCGAGCGCGAAGAAGGTCTCTGGCGTCTTAATAAAGGCCTTCGTGACACCCATCTGCCACTCCTCCTTAGGTATACTCGTGTCCTTTAAGATCTGCATGACACCAGTACGCGCATCGCCAGTCCACGTATACTCGCCTGCGTAGCTACACTTCGGCGACAAGAGGTAGAAGCGCTCCACGAACTTCTCGTATGTCTGACGGTAAGCAAAGCCAGCCCGGCGGATTCGGACGTTCTCCTGTAGACCAAGATACTTGATCTGATGCATGACATTCTGGTTGTTGTACTCCGATGGACTCTTGTTCTCGTTCGGTTTGATCGTGCGGATGTAGGATGGTGTACACTTCATCAAAGTAGCAACCAAATCATTTGCGGAAGCCTTGATCTTATCACCAGCCGTGGGCGGTCGCCGTCGGTTGTCCTGATCGACTTCATTTGGAAATAGCGTATGTGCGAACTGATTGCTCGACTGCGCGACTAGATTTAAAATGTCCTTGAGTAGCTGGTCTTTGTTCTTGTCCGTCATGCCTGCGATGTCGTAGTTCACATCACCGGCGTAATGCTTGATCACGAACTGACCTTGCCTTGGCGCAAAGTTAGGGTTTCCAGAGAGTGCATTGAGTCTTGATACGAATGTCTGATCGGCCGCGCCAGGGTCTGCATGCGCCGTTGCACACGCATCGTTCAGTGCCGCGAAAACTCCCGGTGGTCGCTTCTCCTCGATTAACTCGCAGACGACTTTATTGTCGAAGTATTTGATCGGCGTCCATTGGATTTGCTCGCGCTCATACTCATCCTGCTCGGCCTTGAGCGTGAGCTGAATGAAGATCTGCTGCAGTTTCTCGTTCACGTAGTTGATGCACAATTGTTCGAAACTGTTCTTCTCGAAGATCTCGAAACCATAGATATCCAGAATACCGATGCTGTGCGCTGGAACGCCGCGCGCAGCCAACGACACGTTCACTCGCTGCACAATCCAATCAAACATCCTGGTGTATATGCCCATAGCCAGAGCATCACGTGCAGCGCCTGCTTGCGCAATATTCATTGGACTGTCGTAGACGGACCCTCTTCGTCCACCTCGCGAAGTCTCAATGACACGAATCGTGAGTGCCTTGTTGACATGCGACGAGTCGACCTCGAGCAAGTATGCCACAAAATCAACCACGCTCTGATCCCTTATCGCAGCGTTCCCCTGATCGTCCTCCACGTATGAAACGTTGCCGATCCACAGGACAGCGGCTAGCATTCGGAAAATATTGTCTTGCTCGGCTTGTGGTATACCAATCACTTTCATAGCATTCAGGGTATCCTTAAAGTCCGCAACATCATCTATACCTGCTACATCGTAACACTTGCTCTTGCTCGTATATTGGTACGTCGCCGGCTGTTGGATCCCAAAGTTCGTGCGATGCTCCTGGCTGGCGGCTTTCGTGAACTGGTAGAAAATATGGAAGTTCCGTTCATCCTTCGTCTGACCGACAACTCGGCTCTTCTCTAGCAAGTAGTTGTTGATGTTCGCTCCCACAGGCTCACCCTGCGCATTGAATTGGATCTCGAGGTACTTGCCGAAACGACTTGAGTTGTTGTTCCGCAGTGTCTTCGCATTGCCAAAGCTTTCCAATAAAGGATTGGTGGCGAGCACCATGTCTTTGATCTGCTGAATGCTGCTGTCCGTGCCGCCGGATACACTGGCAATGTACTGCATGATGCGCTTCGCTGCCTCTGTCTTTCCAGCTCCGGATTCGCCGGAAATGATCACACACTGGTTCTCGTTGTAGGCCTTCATGTTGTAGTATGCACTCTCGGCGATCGCGAACACATGTGGCGGTACTTCCAGCCTGTTCTTTCCTCTGTAGCTATCCAACACCTTATCGGTATATATGCCCAGATCCCGGAATGGATTAACGGACACCAGTACGTGGCCAATGTATGTATAGATCTCGGCATTCTCGAATCGCTTCTTCAGGTTGTCGTTGATCGCCTCGTTGGAGATCTTGCTGATCAATGTCAGATCTGACACACCTACCTCCTTCTTCTTCGTGGTCTCATAGGCGGCCTTGCGAATCGCTGGCTGTGCCCCTCCAGTAGCTCCTTGCCGACCTTGCGCAGGTGCCTGTGTCGCATCCTTCTTACGACCTGCACGTTTCGTGACCGCCATTCTGGTGGTAGTCTCACTGTCCTAGGCCCGCTCACTGGGCTCGAATGTGTCGACCCGCCAGTATATTGGTCACCGCTCGAGTGCTTGAATCCTGTCGGTGGAAAATGTGACTGTCCAGATTCTGAGCGTCGAAGCTGCTGGAGAGAGATGTGCCACAGCAGTAAAGGTGTGAGAAGAGGAAGACTCGAGCAGACCCAGGCACACACAATTGACAATATCCAGAATGGCTGACTGGCTGCACGCACTGCGCCTGATGTCGGATGACGTTTCGCAACACTTCGTTCAGCGCGACGCCACAAGGGTTGCCGATTGTTTCCGCTCAGCCACAATTAAGCAAATAGCGATCCCTTGAAGGACTCGTAAGCATACACGCAAACACTCTCATTAGTGGTAGGCGACAGCATCCTTGGTTTCACTCAATGCAAGAAACTGCTGGTTGTCAGACAACAGCACCGCTGTGTTCATCATTACAGCCATATCGAGGCAACGTCCATGCATACATGTACTGAGCTTCAATACCACATATGGTTGAGCAGACATAGGATGACTGCCTTTGATAGTGATTGATTCAAAATAAGCACAGGGCCTAATGGCTCCTCTCGTCCTTAGCCAAGCATCACCACCGTGCCCAGCTGTCGTGAGTCGAGACAATACCGTGGTCCAGCTTGTATCCCGACAGTAAGCATGCGATGCCGATCATATCAGCAAGGAATGATTGCATATCGGTCCCTTCAGACCTTAATGTGACTGCTGTTACATGTCGTCTATCGAGATACTCAGTAAGAAGCTTTTCATTGTCACCCTCCACTGCTACCCTGAACTATCCTGAACTATCCTGAACTCCTCCCACGCTATTACCCAACGCTTTAAAAAAAATGCTCACAAGTAAGGTCCGCTCAAACGCTTTGCAATGTACAAGAACGCATTCTTCCCAACCAGATCCAACATCTCAGCACCCCCTTAGAGCAGGATGGCGAAGCCGCCAAAAAGAACGCCAGCGACACCGAGCAGACCAAAGGTCTGACCGACATTGAGCGCAGCAGCACGAATGCTAGCAGCACCAGCCTTGCTCGTGGCAGCGGCAGCAGCAGCAGTAGCAGAGCTACCACCCGATCCGCCACCAGTGCTAGAAGCCGCACTGCCACCACCGAAACCACTGTATACACCGTTGCTAGGCGTTGTACTCGCACCCGCACCCGTCGCGCTGCCAGTCTGGCTCATGGTGCTGCTCAACGTGCTCGTGTTCTGCCTGACCGGGTTCTGAGCACCACATGGATGCTGAGAGCGGCAGTTGCTCTGGCAGATGCTGTCACCGTTGCAGTTGGAGACGCACTGGTTACCCCACTCTTGGCAGATGAAGAATGGGAGGGTCTGAGTGTATTCGGAGATGTTGGGTGACATGCCGTTGCTGCAGACGCAGGAGTAGGTCAGGCTGGTCGGGTTGCAGTCATTGGCGATTGTGTCGGCTTGGCTGTTGGTTTGGAGGCAGATGAGTGGGCATTGTGCTGTGGAAACGTTAGTCGATGGACATGGGATCATGTGTGTGATGGATTTGGTAAGACGTACCCTGCTCCTGTGTGCACCAGTATGCTCTTGTGGTGTTCACGACCGAGTTGGGATCGATCGTGTACTGTGACTGAGCAACAGCAGTCGACAGTAGGAAGGCGGAAGCCGTGGCGAATGTGGTAGATGCCTTCATGGTGACGAAGAGAATCGATGTATGCTCGTGAAGACGTCTCCAAGTCGATGAAGAGTATTATATGCTGGCCACGTTGTCAGTTTCAGTGTCCGCGGGCTAGACATCCCGTTTGCCATCGGGATCTCGGCAGCACATGATAGCTGAGTAGCTCCTACCTTTTCTTCTAAATCCCGAGATACGATGCACCCGATGCTAAATGTAGCGACAGCAATGAAGCAACGACAAATGGTGTATGTGCTGAGAAGGGGAACTGTGTATGTGTATGCGTAAGGTTTGAGACGAGCAACGAAGATAGACCAGACGACGACCACGGGGGACGTTGATATGTATACAAACCCACGTCCGAAGAGCGAGAGCTCGATCCATGTGAGGGCTGGGGCCAACCGTTGGGAGGTGATCAGTTCAAAACACGCCCATATCTGCTTGCCGAGAAGCTATGACCGCTACTCCATTGGGTCAAGAGCCAAAGGGATAGATAAAGCAAGCAGCCGATAGCATTGCCCGCCACACCGCGGTGTACTTGCATGTACCAGCGTTTGAAAATCGAGTGAAGCCGTACAGGCGTGCATATTGTAGAGTCTGGAGTTGGTGCTTGGACAAATTTAGGCCTTGTCCTGCAGGGCGAGCAGGGTTCAGGACGCGATCTTAGCTCCTTTGATGCAAGGATGGCGAGATGATGAGAGCGTGGATCTCCACTTCACTGTATCTTTGCCTGGAGCTAGAGTATATGTATCTGCGAGAGCTGCTCGCGGACGCGCGTATTACCGGCTCGATGGTAGGTGTACAAGATACGAAACTACTGCTGGCTGAATCGATCTAGTCATAATGTTTTAGGTGTTGTTGCTCGAAGTTGGATCGAGTGTGTGGTTTGCCGCTGGATGCGTGCGGCTCAATGTATGCCGCCACCACCCAGCCATCATGCCGAGCTAAGCTTCCCAGCGACTCGCGGCCATGAACACGACAAGTCCACCACGGCGCCTCGATTAGCTGACCCGATCGATACAACTACTGCTGCAGTGGCTAGAGTGCATATGCAAGACAAACAGCAGAAGCAGCAGCTGGACGCCGTGTTGGGCGATGGCTCGGCCAATGTTCCAGATGCTCCACCTTACTGGACCTCTCGCAACGGACGCACCTTGAGCTATCACTCTATCACTGGCCATCAACCACATGCTATACTCCTTGAGGACCATTCTGAGGATCATCACGAGGCATCACAAGGCTGCTGGGCACGATCTGTGTCTGTTGACGACTACACCATTATTGCCGGACCGAGTGGCGTTGGCGCTTATGTGGTATGGCACTGCACAGTGGGCACGCTGAAGGGCGGCGATATGGAGATCAGAAAACGTTACTCAGAATTCGATCAATTACGCACGAATTTGGTCGAGTCATTCCCGTATGCTGAAGCCATGATACCGAAGTTGCCACGCAAGAGTGTGGTCAGCCGCTTTCGACCAAAGTTTCTGGAGCAGAGAAAGACCGGACTGGGCGAGTTCATGAACTGCATCCTGCTCAATCCAGAGTTTGCTGCCAGTCCAGTGTTGAAAGGCTTCATATTCGCAACATGAAAGGACGACAATTGTCAGCACAATCAATCATCATGCCGAAGATGACCTTAGCAGAAGACTTTGCTCTTCATCTGGAGCGCAAGACGCCAGACACACGCCCAGAGGGCATGACGCGTGCTCACGACCAGCTATTTTCGCCACTGGATGCGCATCAAATTCATGATGCAGCGCTTCTGCCATAACCTGCTCCAGTTTGACATGGAGGATCCCTCAGCACTCCTAGGCCGAGCAGCCAGAACGCTGTTATAGCGATCAGCTACAGAAGCGTGACGACACATATACTCCTGTCATCTCTAAGCTTGCTATCTCTGAAAATCATGAGAAAGAGTATCTCGCACGATTCGACAGTTGTGCTTCGACCCGAGTGGGGACGTCATCTGATATTGCATTCGCTCGCCATTTGGTCTGGACTTGGATTTGGTTACCGTCCAGACTACGATGTCAAGAGACGTCCAGCAACAACACTGGCCACAACGCCTCGCCGATATGGCCACTGGCTCAGACAATCGCATCTGCGGCTTCCCAAGTCTGGTATATGAGCTACGCTGCGCTGCTCACAATAGGAAGAGCATGCCTACAGCCTAATGCTCGTCAAAATGTGCCCGATATGGGCACCAGTCTCTGTTCTGCGATCCACTTTTCGGCTTCACGTTACGCCTCTACACTGGCTTTTCGAGGCATCATGTCTTTTACAAAGCTCTCCACGCTTCCGATGTCCCACCCGAATGTAACTCATGACCAGGATGGGATTCCGCTCGAGTCGTGGGGAAGTCTGTATGTGCGGGGTGAGGCTCGTCTCACTGCAGGCAGCTGTATTTACCCGCACCCAAGCTCGAAGAAATTCCTCGTCCAGATGACGTCGAGAATGCTTAGTATGCCGATCAACGACAGAAGAACGATGGCACCGTATACCGCTCGTCAGTATGTCCTGGACTGCAATTGCACTACGGCATGTTGTTGCCGGCCGTGTATCTGATCATAGGCGGGGTCGGAGTGGATAGGCTAACGAAGAGGACGGTGGGTATAAGTAGCCGGACGAAGAGCTTAATGAGATGTAGGCACATACATTTGTCCACTATATGACCTTACTTCACACGATGGTGCATATTCGTTCTCTGCTAGCCCTTGCGGCGCTTGAGGCCTTCTCGACCGCAGCCCCTACTTCTTCTCCCACTGTTGTTCGAGCATCGACAGGCTACTATCAAGGCCAGATCGACGCGAACTTCACCAATGTGCGAGAATTCCTGAGTGTACCATTTGGTCAAACCACAGCCGGCTCCAATCGATGGATGCCACCAAAGGCTGTGCCTATGTCCAGTAACACCTTCAATGCTACTGCATATCCGCCAGCTTGCCCACAATACGTCTCTGCTATCCCTACGATCTGGAACCAGCAGATCCCGCAGTACTTGCAATACTGGGGTAATGCCAACAACTCTGCTGGAGAGTCGGCAGTATTCGCCTCTGAAGACTGCTTAAAGCTTGCGATCTGGACGCCGGCAAATGCTACTGCTGGCTCGAACCTACCGGTGGCTTTGTTTTGGACTGGCGGTGGCTTCCAGACCAATGGTATCTTGGTACCTGGTCAACTTCCTCAGCGATGGGTCTCGCTATCTCAGAGCCACATTGTCGTCACGATCAATTACCGCATGAATATTATGGGTTTCCCGAACGCAGCAGGTCTGTACGACCAGAACCTAGGCCTGCTTGACCAGCGTTTGTCACTGGAGTGGGTCAGAGATAACATCCCGTACTTTGGTGGTAAGCAGTATCGCTAAACCCACATTCAGGTCTCAAGCTAATCAGTATGTTAGGTGACGCATCGAAGATCATGATTTGGGGCCAAAGTGCAGGCGCCGCATCGGTCGACTACCACAACTACGCTTTCTGGGATGACCCGATCGCTCATGGCATCTTTGCCGAGTCCGGTAACGCTATTATGGGTTCTCCATGGCGCGATAACAGCAATTTCACCTTCGTTGCCCAAAACCTCGGCTGCAACTATTCAAACAATGCTTCGCAAGAACTCGCTTGCATGCAACAGGTCGACTACAACAAGATTATCAATTTCATGGGCCAATATCAAGACAACTCGACCTTGGTCAACCCAAAGCAGCCAAGTATCACCTTCAGCACTGTCGCAGATGAGCGAGTAGTCTTCCACAACAACACCGTCCGGTACGAAGAAGGCTTCGTCAGCAAGATCCCCATCATATACTCCAGCGTAGCGAATGAAGGTGGAAGCCTCCAACCCTATCCAGTGAACAACCCATACAACGGCACCAACCAATCCCTCGCCAATTCCATCACAGAATCCCTCAGTCTCTGCACAGGCGCCACCTCCACCCAACTCCGCCACAGCATCGGCCTCCCCACCTTCCGCTACCAATACGCCGGCAATTGGTCCAACCAAGACCCTCTGCCCTGGATGGGAGCCTTCCACAGCTCCGATCTCGTCATGCTATTCGGCGCTTACACCGACGGTGAAGGTCCCTGCTGCGAGCCGCTGGAGGCCGAGACGAGTAAGACGATGGGTGAGTATATCCTGGCTTTCATGCGGGATCCGTGGAATGGGCCGCAGACGAAGGGATGGTATCCTATGGATCCTACGGCGGATAACGGAGGGACGATGTTGAGGTTTGGGGCTGATGGGAAGGCGGTGCAGAATGTTACGGGCTATGAGGTCGAGGGGGTGTGCTTTGGGACGAACACGTATAACCCTTTCCCGTAGGTGGATGGGATAAAAGCGGTCGGGGAAGTTTCGGTCACCAACACAAGCATAATCTCGAAGTTAATGCACTCATGGCCAAGTCTGCACGACATTGGCACGAATGATTTTACGAGTTTATGAGAGACGATCAAGATCTACGTAGGTAGTGTAAAATGAGAGTCAAGGATGAGATTGCAGTTAGTACATAATACAACTACTCATGTTTGTATATCCAAGGGCCAATCGTGCTTCACTCAAGTCTTCTGCGGATCATGTCCCCAGTTGCGCCTACAAGATCAATATCAGTATAAGGCTATTTCTCAATATAAAGATAAGATGGGTACTCACAACGACCTCGCACTCTTACTTTCCGGATCCTGCTTCGCCTTACCCTCCTGTGCCAAATGGCGCTTGCAATACGCCACAACTCGACGCATATGCTGAATATCTTCTTCGTCATACTTACTCGGATCTTTCTTGGGGTTCTTCTCGAGGATCTCTATGATCTTACGGCCACTGCATGATGTGAGCACGCTCTGTAGCATGGGTGGATGGATTATATGTCTGTGAGAGGGACTATCAAACAGGGTCGTGGCTACTGACCTTTCATGACCTATCGTCTCCCCAGAGCCGTCGTCTTTGTCCCAGCCGGCGCCGGCGGACTCTTCTTTACCTAGCCAGTCTTGCAGTTCTTTTGCTGACATGTTGACTATGTCATTGAACTCCCTGATGGAGATGTCAATGGAGGTCATGCTGAGATGATATGTTGGTGGTTGGGGGACGTACTCAATGACAGTCTCGTCATTTTTAACCATCTTGTTTGGCCTTGAACTTCTAAGTCTCGTGAGATCCTGCTGTGGTGTTGTTGATACTGCGAGCTAGATCGTTGGTGTAGAGGGATAACATGAGACATCAAGCCACACCTCGAAGTCATTGTATGGTGGTGATGACGACATCGATCGTTCGATATTATGAGACCTATAGATGGTACCTACCTCGCCTGTTGGTAAAGTGGACATCATACGCAAGTTGATACAATATCGCCACCATAGTATGGAGAAACACGCACATCGTCAGCTTCCGCTCACGCTGCGGCTCGATAGGCCGTCTTCGAGCATAGCACAATGTCCAGTAATAGGGAAGTTGACGATACACCACAGTGAGAATCTGACTTCGACCTTCTCTGCTTATAAGTAGAGTCGCTATAGGCGTCGCATTGTGGTGGCGGGTTTGCATATATGAATGTCACCTATCGGCGAATATAGATCAAGATTGTCGCGTCGCTCACGGCTACATAAACCGTCGCCGGCTCTTTATTGGTGAAGGTTTGATTGCGATGCCACCCCCGTTAATCCTCATACTGCCTTGCCGCTTGGGTGTAGTGGACGAGATTGCCATGTGCGCGGTGGCATGATTTGCAGTGGCGGTCGTAAGAGGGCCGCGTGCTCGAAGGAATCTACAATGTCTTGCTTGTAGAGGAGGAGGAATTAATATATGAAAGTGCCTACAATAGATTTCAGGTGTCACAATCCCGGTCCCCGCGCTAGCGAGCTACCAATGCCGAGAAGGAAGGGGTCCCGAAGTAAAATCATTGCGCATGTTTACCGTACCGAGTATCACTCTGGGACAAACGATGGTACGGGAAGAGGTTTCTTGTCTCACCCTGATGCCATGTGGTGAGCTCATGGGATGGAGCTCAATATGACATGTTCCTGTCATTCATGCCAGCACAGCACTGATACGAGCCATTGGCGGAAAACATCAACAGGCCATTCATGTCGAATTAACGTGGAAGACCGTGCATCGGAAGTAAGTTCGAAGCATCCGACTGGGAATTGGAACGCTTGTTTTCAGTGACCCTGTCTATCGCTTCTTTGGTGGAAGAGAGGAGCCCCCTTCGATTGCCTTCAAGATATCGTGGGCGCGGGACGTCTCCCTCCATCACACAGTCTACCAGTCCCTCATTACTTTCTGCGTTTGTTGCTTACGCTGGTTCAGCCATTGTTGTGTGAGCGGCATCGTTGTGGTTAATGACCAGCAAGCGTTTCACTATAGTTCACGGCTGTTATTGACAGGAATCATCGGCTCTGCCGCTGCAGACGCGCCTACGACGCGCATTCAGTGGTGGATCGTTTATTCGGGGATTACAACACATCACATCGCATTGCCGGCATCATCGACCAGACAGCTCTTACCTCATCTACCTTGCCATCAATCCCTTCAAACTCATCGACTGTTTCATGTATAGTACCGGTTCTTCAATTCTACTGCAATCCTAGGTCGCAGCTTCCTTTTCAATACGAGCACGCAGAGTGCAGCTCGCCAGACAATGCCGCTGTTCTCCAGGCTTAAGAACAAAGGAGCGCAACCGGCGGCGAAGAGCAAGGGACAGACTGAGGCCACTCCTGCTGCTGCCCCTGTCAAACCACGGTATCAGGCGACATGGAACAGCAAAGCGGTCGATCCGAGCGAGGTGGAGGAGCTCGTACATGCGTGCACGAGGGAGATGAAGTCAAGAGGTGAGTGAGGGAGGCCGTGGTGCACTCCTGGCAATATATGCTCATACATCTACAGCCGAGGCGCTCAATGCCCCTTTTATGCTTCTACCATTCCGACCAGATACAGACCCGAGCGGTGCACGCACATTCGTCCGCAACTTCTACAAGAGCAACTCTGAAGGTCTATCACAATACCGAGGGAGCAACCTGGCACAGGAACTGCGGTTGACTGAGGCGATTGTGCTGTGCAGCATACTGAAATGGTGCTGGAGTCGCATCCCTGGTGGCGTGGTGTCATGGCCAGTGTATGAAGGCTTTCAGATCGGAGAGAAGGAGTCGAACCTGGCACGCAACGCTTTCGACACTTTTGTGCCCATGTGCGCCGACACCGTATCGAGGAGGAATATTATCTTCGACTTCTTCGACCTGTTGGCAGCGATCGCGGCGCATGGCAAACTCAACGGACTGGGTGGACGCAAGCTCTCACGATTAGCAGGTTGGTGGGCATTCGAGCACTCAGACGATGGCAAGGGCTTCGAGGGCGGCTACAAATCTTGGGCGAGCGCGGCTGATGCATCGAGCCATCTGTTCTTCGCATATCTGCGGTCATTGTCGCCAGACACAGACCCGTCGCTCACAGTCATCGAGAGGATACCGCGATCGCTACAAGCACTTCTGGCCCAGACTGAGTACCCGCCAGAGACGCCCTCCTTACTTCAACGATCGACGCCACGAGTGGTGATGATGGTCGATTCTGTGTCACCCACACCATTCGCATTACTACGAAGAGCGGCGCATTTTGAGTATCGCGAGGATGACCGTGTTCTGCGCGCCTACTCGGAGTTCGACGATCCGGTCGAAGGGTTGACAGATGAGTGCAGGCGAGTACTATACGCCATTTCTTCGGTCAACTCAGCAGCTGCAGTGTCCCGTCACGGTAATGCTATCAAAACTGGCCAGGAGTCGTGGTCTGCTTTTCAGAACATGGGCTTCTCGGATCTCGATGCAGACGCATTGTCTAAAAAGTCCACGAGTAATGTAAACGGTCACGCAAAGCCGACCGAACAGGGTCTGCGCTCGCAGCCTCGCTCGCGAAATGATATCGACAGGCCAACGACACCTTCGTGGGCCGACTTTATGTCGTCTGGATTTGTGGATGAGGATGGTGGACAGACGCCCACAACTTTAAGCCTGCCACACGACAAAGTTCTGCCACTCCTCGGCAGCAGAGCACCAACACCATCAGGTCAGAGTCATGCCGGTGATGAGCGCTTGGCTCCAGGCGAGATGGCTGCCATCACGAATGTTGAGCTTGATGATGCATTTTGGTGGGTGTGGATGACTAGTCTGTCGAGTGAGGAGCCCGCAGGTCGGAAAGGAGTCTTTGGACGATGCGCATTGATTGAGACGACTGTTATGCACGGCCGATGGTTGATCATGGAGGAGCAAGTCAAGGGCGCTTCGCCTGATCCGACTGAGGGTGTTTTTATTGCGCCAAAGAAAAGCTTGTTTAGCTTCACGAAGCGTGGTAGGAACAAGCGCACGAAGAGCGACAAAGCACCGCCTATGCCAGTGGAGCCATCATTGAACCGCATGGTTTCCTCGACTCCGAGCAAAAGTAGTCTTGCGCCCGCGCAAGCGTCAAAGATCAAGGAGGCCGCGGCAGTCTTGGCACGGAATCAGAGCTCGCAAGGGAGTGGCGACGCGCAGAGGAGAGGACGACATGATGATACGGTTTCGACAAAGACTAACAGTATGTTAACGCTGGGCATGATGAACGATGCTAGCCCAGCAATGAAGTGGGCGACGGCTTATGACAAGAAGGCTATACGTGCGCAATATCTTGGACAGGAGTTTCCAGCCAAGGACAGCAATGACGATCTGTTGAGCAAGAGGTCTTCTGTCAATTATTTGAATGACGGTGCAAGTACCGCTGGACAAGCTGCACCAGCTCTTACGGCTGGCACCTCCGTCTTCCCAGCTGACAACACACACGAGCGTGATTTGCCAGCTCTTCCGCAGGAACAGGAAGTTGCCAAGCAAGAGCTACCAGCTTCTACAATCGAACATCAGCCGCCGATGCAAGAGATCTCGCATGCTCCTGAGCCTGAGCTAGCACCGGCAGCAACATTGGATTCGCCAACTGTGAACATCACCCCAGCTGAAGCTGAAGTGCCAGCGCCCACGGCTGAGGGTATCGCATTGCCCGAGACTACCCAGACCGAGTATAACGATCCACTCGAGAAGGAATTGGCGGTCGAGCCACCTCTGCCATCTCCCAAGATCGGCCGAAAGCCAGTTGGAAGCTCAGGCAACATGCCAGAGCACCCAGCTTTCCGTTCAAAGCAGACGATCGATCCTACTCCTGAAGCACTCCCAGCTGTGCAGACAACTACTCGCGCGCCCGAGAGCTCGCAAAGCCCCAAAAGTGCTGCAGCAATCGCGGCACAACGAGCTATGCAGGCGCCATCGGTTACCGCCACAGTCACCAGCCAGGATCCGGCTAAGCTTAAGAAGCAAGGTGGTGCTCCTGGTGGTTTCAAGAAGCTATTTGGGCGTAAGAAGGATAATCCGAGCAGGCAGTCTATGGACGTCAACGGCAACAACGGTAATCTAGCCCTGCCTTCTGATGCCAACTTCGGCCGAAGGCACTCTTTCATGCGCCGCAAGCCAGCGAGAAACACGGCTGAGGTTCCTCGGACTGCCGAGCCGGATTCTATCAAGGGGTCTGCGATGTCTTCACCAAGTATACAGCATGACGCCGGCTCGATGGCTGACGTATCACACGTCGACTCTCGCTCCGACGCGAACGCCGACGAGGAGTTCAGCCGTTTCGACCAAGGTCCCGTTCACGAAATGTCTTCTACTTCACCGCAAGACGCCCCAGTCGACTACGAGACTCTACACGCTCCAGCACCCCAACGCCACTTCAACACCCAGTTAGCTGACCGCATCGCACCTGGCGCCCGCCCAGACCCCGCCGCACGCGAGGACCGCGATGAATCCCCCGCCCCGGCCTTCGTCACACCGATGGAGATGCCATCGCATCAACTCCAGCACAAAGACAGTATCCCCCAATCCGAAACCACCCTCTACGACGACGCCGACGACGACGAGGAACCGACGCGCACGAGAACCCAGCACTCGGCTTCGGCTTCGGAAACTGTCCCCGCCGTTCCGGATCCAGAGGCTACGCAGGATCGCTGGGCCAAGATCCGAGAGAATGCTGCTAGGAGAGCGGCGAGGGCGAGCGAAGAGGGTCAGAGTCGCGAGGGCACGCGGCCGACGATGAGTACACGGGCTACGACGGAGGATGGGGAGACTAGTGGGGAGGAGAGTAAGTTTTATCTCTTGAAACCCAAATTGGAAGCTCGTTGGCAACGTGTATTGACTTGTGTGTTTCTTAGCTATCGAGTCCCGTGTCGCTCGGATCAAGGCACGCGTTGCGGAGCTGACGGGGAATATTGATGGGCCGCAGGCGAGTCGGGTGCATCGGTAGAGGAGATGGCCCGCGTCTGTCGCCTGTCGTTCGTTTGGAGGGTATTACCACAGGGACGCGATCATGATGGCACAGCCGCGATGAACCACGAGCACGTGCCGGCGCAGAGGAAGCAAGGCCCACGCTGGCTAGCTCGCGCCACACCCAACCAACCCCTTTCTCTTCTGTTCTGATCTTTGAGAATTTTTTTTTTTTGGGCCGGTTCCTTGTGCGGCGAAGATACCACCGGCGTTCAGTTTTTGTTTTCTTGCGGGTTAATTTTTTTATTTGTTGCGTAATGCTTATTGTGAGATGTTGATTTATTGCTTTATACCACGGACTTTGCGAGCGAAGAGGCATGCACAGCACAATTATGTATTATTGGGCGGGAGCGAGATAAGGACAAATTTTTGGAAGTATTTAGATTGAGAAGAAAGATCTGGAGGGGATATTTTGACCCATTTATGGCCCATATACGTGGTTTCATATTGTGTACATTGTTTTGTTATTACGTACAAGTAAGTGGGTATATGTCTGTCAACGCACTCGATGTTTCCCACTCTCCGCCAACATCGTTGCATGAGGTGGGTTTTTGACCTAGTCATTAAGGCCTGGCGCCGACATACATGATTCCGGTCCAAAGCTGATGGCATCTGGTTTGACCGTGACGTTGGGGATTTGGCATGGCCTTGGATCTACACCACGGAAGTTTCCCATGCTGACTGCCCGTCCTTTGCCATCGTGGCACGCGTGCTCAGTGTCTGCCTTTCTCGACGAGGTCCGTGGCACAATATTGACGCCATCCGATCGTCGGGTTCGCTCATCGTGGCGGGCTCAGCGCGTTGGACCCCGATTCTAGACCCGGATTTCTTGCCTCCTACAAGCGAGAGTCTGTGGCGTGGATGCAGTCCAGGATTCCTGAGCCTTGTCCTGGCTGCCGTTGGGGTGGCATACGTCGTCCTTCAGCCTTGGCCACTGCATGTTATTCCAGTGTAGGTTTTTTAGAGAGTCTTGCTGTTCATCTCAGTGCCGAATTTTCAGCTCGCGCCCAGTGCACCGAGTGCAATCCGCAACTCCTTAACTGCCGTCTCGACATCCTCGAAATTGAGCGCCGAGATAGCCCACTTGGCATGTTTCTGCGCCACCAGCACCGCTTCGTCGTCGGTGTTGTACCCGCCTGCTGGTCTTGGCACTGCTGGCGGAGGAGGAGCGACGGGAGTGCGAATGTGTTGTTGACTTGGGTGGAAATTACCTGGTGTGGTAGTAGGTATCGACGTTTGTGGTGTTTGGACAGCAGGCGGGGCGGCACTGAAGGGTGTTGTGGCTGCTGGGGTCGGGACGGAGGATGTGAAGGGTGGGGTTGGTGTGGTTCCTCCTTGTCCTCCTAGATCGGTTGTGGTTGAGGTGCTGGCGTTCAGCTGGTCTGAGGGTGAGAGGGTTTTTGGCACAGCGTCGGAATGGGAGCTGTAGAAGTCCTCGGCTGCGCTGCTCATGCTGTCTTGTTGGTGTGGAATATGCTGTTCTGGAGGATCTGGGGCGGTACTGAAATCGGGCATTGAGATTTCATTTTGTGTTGTGTTTGATGTTCCGTTTGGGACAGATGGGAAGTAGCCACCGCCTATCGAAGCTTGTCTCGCTACATGATTGTCGTGGTCGGGCTCAATGGGTGAGATGTCCGGGTTGTTGCCACTATGATGTGGCGGGTGCTGAACGTGACTTGTATCCATCTGGTGGTGTGCACCAACGCCATCAACCTCATCCTGCACAGCAGGCGCTCTATACCCAACCATCTCGTCCAACTCCCTCTCCACCTCCCTCTCATCCGCCACCTGGCCCTGCACAGCCTCCACTTCCTCCTCAACAATCGGGTTCGTCTCATTCGGATCCTCTCCGGCCTTGATAGCCTTGGCTATCCTCACAGCATGAAACTTGGCAAACCTGCCCTTCTTCCCCAGCTCCTCGTCCACCGCGCCCCAAATCCCCAGGACGTCAATGAATGTCGCAGCAGCGGTGAAAGTATCCACCGTCCCCTTCCCCACCTTCCCGTCCCTTTGCTGAGCATCAGCTTTATTGAATGTTTCCAAGGCGAAATTCTCCATGTATGCTTTCGCCGCGACGTCGTCAACGATGGCGTCGTTGTGGGAGTTGTTGGTTTTGTACGTTTCCAGTGTGTCCATGAGCTTTAGGGCGTAGGTCTGGCTGGCTTCGTCGCCGAGGTGGAGTTGGCGGGAGAGGATGGTCTGGAGGGTGTGGTAGGAGATCCAGTACCAGGCGATTGGCCGGTACTTTTCTAGTTGGCCGGCGCGGCTTGCGAAGGGTTGAAGGCCCGCCGCTTTGAGCTTTGTGGGGAGTGGGGAGGCCATGGTCGTGGTTGGGACGGGTGAGGCTGGAGGAGGTGTGGTGGAAGTTGTCGAGTTTTATGTTGCTGCCTCTCGCGACAAGCGATTGCCTATCTGATGACGATGATTGAGTTGCGGGCGCATGCACAAGGAAGGCACGAGCCGATGCATAAGCATGGCAGGTGGGGCTTGTGCCTGTGGCTACTGTAGTTCTAAAACGCGGGGAAAGCTATTGGACCCTTGTCATGTGCATTGGATATCTATAAATGAAGCACAAGCAAAGGACAACTTGCCTGTTAGATGAAAGTGAGCACATATATCGAGTGACCCCCTCACCCCCTCACACATTCCTCGATCATCCACTCCACTATCACACCCAATACCGCCTCCCACAATGCTCTCCCCCACCACCCTCGCCCTCCTCGCCCTCCTCCCCACCACCCTGCTAGCAGAAGGCCTCTACAGCAAAAACAGCCCCGTCCTCCAAATCGACGGTCGTTCCTTCCGCGACCAAATCGAGAAATCGAACCACACCTCCCTCATAGAATTCTACGCCCCCTGGTGCGGCCACTGCAAAAGCCTCCAGCCCGCCTTCGAAAAAGCCGCCAAATCCCTCTCCGGTCTAGCGAAAGTGGGAGCCGTGAATTGCGATGCCGAGGAGAATAAAGCCTTCTGCGGCACGATGGGGGTGAAGGGGTTTCCTACGCTGAAGATTGTCCGGCCTGGGAAGAAGGTGGGGAGGCCGAGTGTGGAGGAGTATCAGGGGGGACGGACGGCGAAGGCGATGGTTGATGCGATTGTGGAGAGGATTCCTAATCATGTGGCGCGGTTGAAGGGGGCGGAGTACCTGGATTGGTTAGAGGGGGATAGGAGTAAGGCTATTCTATTCAGTGAGAAGGGGACGATTAGTGCGTTGCTTAAGGCTTTGGCGGTAGACTTTTTGGGTGTGATAGATGTTGCGCAGGTTGGGAAGAAGGAGAAAGAAGCACTGGAGGTGTTTGATGTGGGCAAGTTTCCTACTTTGGTTTTGATTCCTGCGGATGGTGGTGATCCGGTGAAGTACGAGGGGGACATGAAGAAGTCTGCGCTGGTGGAGTTCTTGTCCAGGGCTGGGACGCCAAATCCGGACCCGGCGCCTGCTCAGAAGAACGCGGCGAAGAGTTCGACGAAGAGTGATAAGTCGAAAGCGACCAAGTCTTCTTCCGCTTTCTCCAAGGCTTCGGCTTCACATAGATCCCAGGACTCGCAATCAGCAAAAGCTAGCCAGACGAGTGAGACCCTGGAGGATGCCAGCAATCCAACCGAGTCACCGAGTCCGAACGTGGTGGACGACGAAACTCAAGTCCCCGTTAAACTCCCCGAGCCCGCCATTCCGATCTCCTCGCTCCCAGACGGCCTCTCCCTTCAGCAGAAATGCCTCAATACGAAAGCCGGAACATGTATCCTCGCCCTCTTACCCTCATCGCTAGAAGATCCTAATGTCGCACGCGTTGTGGCTAGTCTAAGTGAAATCCACCATAAGCACGAACAAGCGAAGCGGAATCTCTTCCCTTTCTACCAGCTCCCAGCCAGTAACAGCCAAGCCGCTGCTCTCCGGTCGAAACTCGCTTTACGACCAGAAGGCGTGGAAATGATAGCCGTGAATGGCAAACAAGGCTGGTATAGACACTACCCCAAAATCTCCTTCACCCAAGCTGAAGTCGAAGATTGGATCGACGCCATCCGCATGGGCGACGTCGCGAAATCTTCTTTACCGGATGCTCTGGTCGTGCCGCTGGAATCACTCCCTGCTGAGCCGGTGGTGCTTGAGGAGCCCTCTGCACCTCCTATTCCTGTCGCGAGTGGGACGCCTTTGACAGAGGACGAGGAAGCGAATGAGCAGCTCAAGAAGAAATTGAAGGGTCAGTTGCCGGAGGGCATGGGGTTTGAGATGGAGGAGATTAGTGATGAGGATTATGAGCGGTTGCTGCGGCATCCGGGGAGATTGAACCCGGAGGATGGAGGGGAGGGAGGGGGAGAGGGAGAGGGTGGGGAGCAGTTCGTGCAGGAAGGGGGGCATGAGGAGCTGTAGTCCACTGTTGTACGTTCTCGTGAGCCTTCTTCTGAAGTAGTGCGGGGGAAGGGGTGGAGTGGATTCATATAAGGCTATATACCATCCATGCCATCAGCTTCTTGCATTCTGGAAGCTTGATAGGTCGTCCGTCTAGACCAGGGCGTCGTGCGGTAGTGTGACTGTACTGGGCCAGCTTCGCCCGGTCATTCGTAGTAAGACTTCACCGAGTTGTTCTGGCGCACAAAGCCAGCAGAGAGTGTGGGGGGCAATGCAATCTACAAGCATTCGACGAATCTCGAGGGAGCGCTCGAGGGCAATGTATTAGGGACTGCTGGCTATACGTGAGCGTTACCGACGGGCTGTCTTGACGGCGAGATGATGAGTATTATGAGTCGTGCTTGTGTAGAAGGGAAGAAGTGAAGGCGAGCTGGCAAGAGAATCTCCCATCTCCAAGCACTGCCCCGCAATTTGCCTTGCGATTGGGTAAACATCCATCAATACACCTTCACGACCACTCACCAAGACCAAGCTCCCAAGCCTTTACACATAACCATGGCAGACCCCTTCGACGCAGCCCTGTAAGCCAAACAGATCCCCCCCAAAACAAACCCCCGGACAAAACCTAACAACCAGCCCAGCGACCTCCTCCGCCGCCTCCCCCCCTCCAGCACCCAACAAAACCTCTCCAACCTCATCTCCCTCCGCCCAGACCTAGAAGAAGACCTCCTCTCCTCCGTCGACGTGGCCCTAACATCCAAACGCTGCAAGAAAACCGGCCGCGACTTCCTCTGCTGCGACTACAATCGCGACGGCACCTCGTACCGCTCCCCCTGGAGCAACGAGTTCGAGCCCCCGATAGAACCCGAGGATGCGGCGGATTTGATCCCGGGGGGAAGGGTGAGGAGGATGGAGGAGGCGGTCAATGCGGGGGTGGATGTTTATCGCGAGTTGTATTATGAGGGCGGGGTGAGCTCGGCGTATTTGTGGGCGTTGGATGAGGGGTTTGCTGGGGTGGTGTTGTTTAAGAAGACGGCGGCGGGGGTGGGGAAGGGGGGGTGGGATAGTATTCATGTTCTTGAGGTTACGGAGGCGGCGGGGAAGCGGTCGGCGCATTATAAGCTTACGTCTACGGTTATATTGGATTTGGGCTTGTCGTCGGCTGCGGTGGACAGTCTGGAATTGGCGGGCAACCTCACACGGCAGACGCAGTCGGATCTGCAGCTGGGACTGCGGGATTCAGAGGTCGAGCAGTCGCATGTGGTGAATATTGGCCGCATGGTGGAGGATATGGAGACGCGGATGCGGAATCTGCTGCAGGAGGTTTACTTTGGCAAGGCCAAGGATGTCGTGGGGGATCTGAGGAGTATACAGCCTTTGAGTGAGGTGGGGAGGGAGAGGGAGGCGCACAAGGATGTTATTAATAAGATGGGTCGATGAGGGAGGATTATAGATGAGTGGCTATCGATGCGTAATGCCGTCTATCCTCTGTTCCTTATGTCCTTTGAAGTTCATGGCCAACCTAAGGCGATGATGCACGATGCACGATGTACGGAGCACAGGTCTACTGTAGTCATTCGCGATGCTATGGGAGCTTCAGAAATTCCACCACGCATCGACTTCGGCCAAGCTCCTTTCGCAATGGCATTCATGACGAGTTCCATATTGTTGTTGTCGCTGACAAGTTGTCGCGATGGAAGCATAGTACTATGCGAATAAATAGAATCAACCTAAACATGATCGCAGTTGAAACGTTCAAGAGAAGACGTCTGGAACCCTCACCAAGTCTCCACTTCTTCTGCCAAGACATCTCGATCAACAGTTCTCACCATCAAAAAGTTATGTTTCAACACAACCATCACTTTTATGTAAGAAATCTGCAATGGCAGCACAAGACCAGCCATGGCACGCCGCCTTCCCAGAACCCAAGATGACGGCGGATTTGATGCCCCAGCGGCGAGCAATGATGATTCTGTCCATGAAGATTGCCAGCATGCTTATCGTTGATGTTCGACGAACAGACTACGAAGGCGGAGCAATTAGAGGTAGTCTTAACATCCCAGCTCAAGGCTTCTGGTGGAATCGAGGTAAGGAGATCTCTGCTCGAACAGCCCGAATTTCTTTACTCATATTTCGCCTCAGGTATGCTCTACGAACTGTGCTACAAAGCCGATATCGAATGGGTGGTCTTCACCTGCGGCTCTTCTAATGGACGTGGACCTCGCTGTGCTGGATGGTTCCTGGAACATGTCCGGAATACTGCTGAAGACACTGATATGCAAGTCATGGTGCTTGAAGGCGGTGTGAAGGGCTGGGTCAAGGCTGGCCAGCAGTTCACGCAGCTTATGGATGGCTATGAGCCTAGATACTGGGAGCAGCTGTTCGTGGACGAAGAGCGTTCTAAGGACGGTAAACCTAACACTGGTGGCGATTCTGCGACACAGACTACTGTTGCTTCAGAGTCGTCGGCATGAATGACTATGACTCGGGACAGGACGAGGACTCATACCCCGATATCTACCCGGAGATTAAGTATGGACACCCGACGGACTGGTCTCAATTTGTCAACCACACTACCGCTGCCACACGCGTGGGTGGTCTCCGGAATCGAAATGGTCTTTAACCACTTGGGAGGCTCCGTTGCTGTGCTATCTCTTCGCTTACCGCCAAGATCAGGAACGTCTGAAATTGACGTCAGTCAAGCAATCGATTGGCGCTTTCAAGCATGCGGGTTTCATTCCCAAGAAGGACGATCTTGCTACGCAATAAGCTCAGACACAAGTACCTCCAGCGTTCTAGATGCCAGTGCACTGTCACGACAGGCGCCATGTCCTCGATGGAAGGTTTATCAGAGTACGACGCCGATATACTTTGGTCTGCTTGTGGTCTGCCCGAATCCGTAAACGTCACCGACCGAGCTATTCAGCCAGCGGAAAATGGCGAAGGCCCAGTCGTCTCAGCAGCCGGCCTTGCGAGCTCGTCATTCCTTGAGGCCCGCTTGACAAGACCAAATCCACAATCACAAGCAAAGCGATCGGAGTGGCTCGTCAACCAAGTCCGTGGTGAAAACTACAATGGCGAATGGATCACTCCGATCCTCCGCGCCATCGAAATGCATCGGTCGGAGAACATACGACTCCTGCTACGACACGGCGCGCATGTCAACGGAATCGATACGGAGTCCTTGAAAGAGCACGCTCGACGCTATCGCCGAGTCTGTATCAACATCGAGCACACTGATCTATGTAACCACTTCACGCCAGTAGACAAAGAAGATGTCGGCACTGTGCCTTCTCAGACAGACCCTCCATATCTGACTTCTGCTGAACTTGCGAGACGGCGGCAGTTCAGATCACGCTTCTGGGCGGAACCCCACAGCACATACCTCAGTTACTCGCACTTTGGAGCGGTCATGCACTCGGTCACCATGGCTACGAGGACGACGCCTGCGATCCTCGATCAAGTTTTGGAAGCTGGAGCGGACTGTACTTTCTGGAAGGAGGGACGTATGGCGACTTCGCTTCCTGAGGAGAGTACTTTATCGCCTCCTCAGCTAAGCACGGCGACACCACTTCACACAGCCATTGCGGCGGGAAAGATGGACATTGTCCGCGCCTTGCTGGACCGCGGGTTCGATGTCAACGCGAGGGCAATCGTGATAGGATCTCACGCTCTGACACCGATCCAATGTGCGGTCTTGCTAGGAATCCCAGAGGCTTGTGCACTTTTGAAGTCCCATCCAGGCACTGACCTGTCAGTCACCACTCCTATCCTTGGTATCCATACACTGCACTTTGCAGCAGCTCGGTACCGGCTCGATCTACTACAATCCTTCGGCATTCCTATGTCAATGGTGCCTACGACCGCCATATGACACACCTTGTTACACATCGCCTGTCTCCCACAAGATGTCTGGCGCATCCAGCTCCTCAGCCCCAAAATCCTCGCCTCCATCCACGATGTCTGCCAGCTTCTCCCTGCCGGCCCTTTTGAAATGCTGCTAGGTCAAGACCCAAACCTATTCGAGGAGTCCGCCAAGCAAAAAGCGATGTGCATGTATCTCATACAAGAACTAGGGCCCCAGCAAATCGCTGCTACAGATATCTACGGAAACACACCCCTGCACTACCTAGCTAGCGTCACAGCCACAAATATCGAGCTCGTAGCCTGGATGCGGGAGCAAGAAGGTGGCGATTATATCTGGCATTTATCCCTCAACGACTGGGGCCATACGCCAAAAGATCTGCAGGAAGACGCCGAAGCCGCTACAAGAAGGGCTTGAGCTGGGCCTCCTCCTCGGGGCGGTGGTCGTAGATACCCTGATATGTTCAATCGAGGGGTTTGACGTGATGACGAGAAGGAAGAAGCCGAGCTCTGCTTCCAACGGCTGTGCGAGAGGCGTTGCCTCGCGATACGTCTGCGAAGCCAATGCTACCTAAAGCTTCGATTCTGCCATCAAATCTCGAGACTGGCCTCTCAGTCTGACTACATTCGAACCAGCGCTCGGTACTGTCTGCGAACCGCCCCACCAGCATCACCACCATACGAACCCCAGGTATTTTAGTTATCGCGAACACTGCTTCGCGATCCATGGCGACTCTTACAAGTCCTTGAGATAAGTACAGCGTGAACGAGACGAACGCCACTACTGGCCAAAAGTGGTGAGTAGATACTGTACAGATTCACGACTAGATCCAAGCTACCTAGAAGTCGTCCCACACGGCCAGTAAATGGCGCATGCAAACTTTTACCCAAAACATGGCTCGACCAAAAAAACGGCTCTGCCAGGGAGTTCCAGGCCGCAGTCAATGCAATGCAATATAACACCAACCCAATCGAAGCCACCAGAACACAAGAACACCTTGCCAAAAAAGCGCAGACTTTCGAAATTGCTGTCTCTCCCAGATGCAGTCCTCCAAATGCGCACCTCCAGATGCAATCCTCCAAAGGCCCTCCCAATAAATCTCCCTTTAGAATATCCCCAAAATCTTCTTCTTCTTCCCACCCAACTCATCGACCTTAGCATCGGCTTTGCTCATAGGCACGCCCGAGTCCCCCGACGCCGCCGCTCGAATAATCGCTATCCGCTGCTTCGCCGGCTCATAACCTTTGTCCGCCGCACTGACATACAACATATTCGCCTCGAGCGGATCGCGTCGACAGCCGATGCCCATTTCGGTGAAGTAGCCGACGGCGTATTCGGCTTTGGCGTAGCCTACACGAGCAAGAAAGAGCCACGTCAGCCTGACGGAGAACAAACCCACCACAGTTCGGTGTGGAAGGAGATGGGGGTGGGAAAACGCTTACCAGTATCAGCCGCCTGCCTCGCCCAGGCCCATGCCTCCGCCTCGTCCTTCTCCATCACCGGCTCCGCACCAACCATATACCAAGCACACAGCGCCATCATCGCATCCGGATGCCCCCGTGTCGCCGCCCCATTATAAAAATGCACGCTCAACGCCGCATCCTTGGGACAATTATACAACGCATTCTCATACGCCTGGCCCATCATGTAATTCGCCTGGACATGCCCTAACTCGGCGGACTGCGTGAGGAGCTGTGCGGCGTAGGTTTCATCCTTGAAGATGTCGGAGCCGAAGCCCTGGAGGTGCAGGAGGCCGAGTTCGTAGGGGGCGGTGTTGTATTGGAAGTCGGCGGATTCCTGGGCGCGTTTGAGCCATTTGACACCTTCTCTGTATTTGTCCTTGGAAAGACCCATGTCGCCTTTTAAGCAGGCGAGGCCTAGTCGGGTGGCGGCGCCCGGGTGATTTTTCGAGGCCGCGTTGCGGTAGAATTGCACGGCTTTGGGGTAGGATTTGGTGGTGCCCCAGCCGAATTCGTAGCAGAGGGCTGCGCGGTAGCCGGCTTCGGCGTGGCCGTGTTTGGAGGCGGCGATGAAGAGGGGGAAGGCTTTGTCGTGGTCCGGTTTGTCTTTGTTGAAGAGGCCGGAGAAGTAGCCGTCGCCTAGGTAGTATTGGGCGAAGGGGTAGGCGCGGTCGGCGAGTTTCTGGAGGATTTGTTTCGCTTCTTGGATTAGTTGGCTTGGGTCCAGCCCGTTGCCTGGCATGCATTCTTTGGCGGCGTTGATCATGAAAATGGCGAATTCGTATTGGACGGAGGCGTCGTTGGTTTTCTTAACATTGGCGCGGTACATTTCTAGGGTCTTCTTCGTGTCGACTAGACTTGCTGCATTACCGATGAGGTTCTGAAGGGAGGCATTGTTCATCTGTGGTCCGGGTGCGATTTGCTGGTTGTATGGAACGTTGCTAAGCAGGTCGATATAGCTCATTGGTCTACTGCTGGGTGACCTTCTTGAATTGGACACGTCCCTTGCGTAGCTTCTGGGTGAGCCTTGATCTGAGCCATTTGCGCTTAGAGGAGACAACGTGCGGCCTCGTAGCTCCGAGCCAAGGGTGTATGCTGATGCTGGCCGCTGCAGACCATGTCCTTGTGGTTGCAGTAGCTGGGAATTCCTGTTACCACCGCTCGAACTTGACCCCACCGACCGCACAGTCATCTGCGACTGTCTGTTCTGCGGCTGCTTCTTCCTCGGCGCATCGTCAAAGCCGTGGTAGTGCAAGCCGGGTGACTGCGGTGTCTCTTCCTCAACCGGAGGCGGTAACTCTGGTCCGAACTCTTCAATCCTGGGTGGTCCACTTGCTGAAGATGCTCGACTGTGCGGCTGGACGTCATGGTACTGTATATGTCCACTCGACTCTCGACTCCTCACAGGCAGCGAAATGGAACCATTATCCCTCACATGACTCGAATCTGGTGTTCCAACATGCCGAGCAGACGGACTGCCCTCGTTATACCCAACATACCCGCGTATAGACGCAGTCTCGGGCTCTTGTATTCCTCTCCGTGGTGGACTGATGCTGACGGGGCTCGCTGGTGCCTCCTGTAGCCGTACCTCGGGATGCTGTAAAGTTGGTACTGGTACTGGCTTCCGCCCCATCCTTCCAGCGCTCGGCGGTGAGCCATCCTCCACCACTTGCCGTATACTCGACGTCCTTTGTGCGGGTGACACGGGAGTCGGCAACTGCCTGGCTTCTGCCATTTGCGCCATCTAGGCGCCTCAAGCACCTTTTCCCCTCTCCACTGTCACAACACGTTTCGTCGACCCTCGTAGAATCCCTCGTCCGATGTGTAAGGATAGGTGTATCGTAGGGCCCGATTTAATGGTTAATGAATGAAAGGCAATGGTCGAGGGTGCTCTGTATGTGTTTCTTGCTGCTTATGCGATCCTAAAGTGATGCCGCGGTCTTCTTTGTCTCTCATTAGCACTCACTCGGACCTTCCAGATATAAGTGCCTCGGAGGGATATTGATGCTTAAAGAAGACACATGGCAATCTGACTTACTTGAACTGTAGTATGGACTCAAGCAAGATTTACACAACCTTCAAGGCGCCACGATCAAGATGGCTCGGAGTCAAAAAGGCTGCCACTACGGAATCCACGGATGACTGTTAAGAACGATGATAGTAATGATGGAGCAGGATGTCGTAAACCGTGTATACTGCAAATATAATACTAAGAAGAAGAAGAAGAAGAAGAAGAAGGCGACGATGTGGTTAGCTGTCGCGACATCCGAGCTACAGCATCGTATAGGAGGACTAGTTTCTTTGCTCTCGATCTATTTACTGTGTCATGCAGGGTCAGAGTCCCATCTGCCTTTCTGAAGAACACGCGCCGCGCATGGAAGTATGTACTCCCCTTGCCCGCCGGCTCCCGGATCAAAGCAAAGACGATTCTCTTCTCCATCGACAGGGGCGTTTCGACACTGGGTGTGCGTTGAGCAGACCAGGCCCATGTGCATCCGAACAACTACAAGGAAGCATGTACAGATGCCCATCCTGCTCACATCATAGACACAACCACTCGTATGTTTGACCTGCCTCACGAACGAATGACGTGAGACTCGTGGACACGTTCGTTCCTGATCCCTCAGCCTTGGCGATGGCGTGTACGGTAAGAAGAAGACTGCACAGACACAGCAGCAATCAATGCGCTTGCTGTTCAAGGATACTGCGGCTTCCTTCCTTTTCGTTGCCACAGTCTACAGAGCATCGATGGGTGGCTCAAACGGGGCGGTCGGCCGGGCGCGGAGACTTGTGTAGAATCGGATTCAAGATGGAGGTCGAGAGAGATGGTAGGGAGAACTCTTTCCAAGACCAGCAAGGCTCGCACACACACACACGCACACACTCAGATTGGTATAGCGAGATGGTGGCCTCATCGCCTGAGCAAGAATAGCAACAATGTCGCCACCATCTCGTGATTATTCTCGTCTGATCTCGTCTGTTGTGCATGGCGGGGTCCATCGTTTTTGGTTCTAGGGTAGAGCGGGTAGATGCACGTTGCCGGTTGAACTAGCCTCTATTTCCAGGAGTCGATTTTGACTTTGTCCCGTAGCAACCACTATTATTTGCCTCACACTACCCGTCCTGTCTTTGTTCTCACGAGGGTGTATCGACCAACCTCATCGGTCTCACATTCGTTATCCCAACTGCCCCTGCCATCACGTCGTTCGCTTGTCAGGGAGAGTGGTGTATACACGATATTCTGTTGTGGTTGTGGTTGATCTGGACTAAAGGCCCGCGACGCCGCGCGTTCTTGGTTTTTGCTGCATTGGGAAACTGTAAGGTACCGATTTCAACAGCATTGGGGCGACTCCTGAGACGATCTTACGGCCAGTACAACCAAGGCTGTAGTGCTGTTGTGAGGAGGACAGAAACGAAGAGAAGAAGGAAAGAGGACGCAGCCTCGTGACACGGCCCGGCCTGGAATGCAGCCTTAGCCTCGTACAATCGCGTTCATCATGGAGTACGATCCCTACAGGGTGGATCCCACCTCGCCAACATCAGCACGCCGGCATAGAGACTCACGACAGTCTGGAACACATCGCAGAACATCACAGACTGGCGCACGCCGAGAATCAACAACACGACGCCACTCCAGCACTCGCCGCACTTCCGGTGCAGCCATCGATGACTCGCGCGACGGCTATGAACCACGTCCGCATCGTCGCAGCAGCAACGGTGGTGGTCATCGAACACGGCATTACAGTGAAGAGCGACGAGAATCGCATGGGGAAGGGCGAAGGAGGAGTTCTGCCGCATACAACACTGCTTCTCGCCCGACGCCAGAGAAGTCACGCGGTATCGAGCGACGTGTCATATTAGATCCTGCGCCGACAACACCAGGCAGCCTTGCATCGCCTGGCGGTATGCTCGGCGATCGGGACCCGATGCTCGAGGCGGGTACCCCAACCCACAAGCACCATACCGATATCTCGCGGAAGAAGAGTCTGGTGCGGCCAGAGAGGCGACATGATGGACCTGATGCACCGGACTTCTACTACCGAAAGCATACCCAGGCGCAGAACCTCAATGTCATGCCATCTAGCACCGGCCGTGATCCGCAGCTCGAGGAGGACATGTCCACGTTGAGCTCCGGCTCGACCGCGGTCAAGGATGCTTCGCCACCACAGGTTGAGAAGACATTATCGAGAGGCAATACAGCTGCCACAAGGACCAAGAGCAAGAGGCAGCCGAACAAGCTGACGAGGCGGACTACAGAGAAAGAGCGTGAAGAGAATGCTAAGGAGAGGAAGCGGCAAAAGATACAGGAGGCCTCGGGTACTCCAACGCTATGGGGCACCTACTGTCATCTGGTCACTTTCTGGTGTCCGGGTGCGTTACTGCGCTGCTTCGGGAAGAAAGAGCGATCACAGCAGCGAGCATGGCGAGAGAAGATGGGCCTGATCAGCATCATCCTCATGATCATGTTGTTTGTTGGCTACCTGACCTTCGGCTTCACCGAAACAGTCTGCCCGGCTGGAGGACCTCTTCGACTACGGAACAACAAAGTCGGTGCCGGGTACATGATTTTCAATGGCCGAGCATATGACCTGACTCGATCTCATCACCCTCTGGCTCGAGGCATTGCTGCTGGCGGCAATGTTCTTTGGGACATGGATGAGCAGCACGGTGGGCAGGATGGCAGCTTCCTGTTCCAGAATGTCAACGGTGCTTGTAAAGGGCTTATCACGCCTGCGCAAGGGTCAGATGTGCCGACCGACAACGATGGGAACATGGCGTGGTATTTCCCGTGCAACACCTTCAACCAGGATGGTTCGACCAAGCCGAATGATACGATTCCTTATTACTTCGGCTACGGATGCCATACCTCGAAGAATGCGAGACAGAACTTCTACGATCTGAAGAGTTCTGGTGAGGTGTTCTTTACTTGGGACGATGTGAAGAATAGCTCCCGCAATCTGATGGTTTATAATGGTGATGTGCTGGATCTGGATCTGCTGGAATGGTTCAACAAGACTCAAGTGCAATGGCCGAGTCAGTTTGACGACATCAGGACCAATCCTGCTGTCAAGGGCATCGATACTACTCTGGCTTTCTCCACTGGAAACAACAAGCAGGTGGCGGAGTGCTTCCAAGAGATTGTCAAGGTCGGCTCCATCGATACCATGACCATCGGCTGCATCGCATCCAAGGTCGTGCTCTACGTGTCCCTGATCTTCATTCTTGGCGTGGTTGCTATCAAGTTCATCCTGGCGCTGGTCTTTCAATGGTTCTTGTCCCGCAAGTTTGCAGCCAACAAGACTAGCATGACTAGCGACAAGAGGAAGCGGCAGCAGCAGATCGAGGACTGGACAGACGATATCTATCGTGCTCCACCCAAGATGACGGATCCGGGATCTAATGCTGGTGTTAGCGATCGTGGCTTCAACAATAAGCGTACGAGCTTTCTGCCGACGACGTCCAGATTTACGAGCCCCTATGCTATTGAGCGAAGCGAGGGCAAAAATCGACCAAAGCCTACGACTATGGCGAGTCAGCAAAGCACTGCTAGGTTGCTGCCTGCCGCTGCGCCACCAGCCATGTACTCCGGCAGCAATCGATCGGAGATGACACTGCAAGGCGGGTACAGCGATAGCGGACCAGGAAAGGGTAGTGTGTCCGACAGGCAAAACAGCATGCTCGACTCGCAGCCTGTAAGCTCAACCCAGCGCTACAACAGCGTCATGCAACCCGAGACCGACATAAGCGGGCCATCTGGCTTCATCCATGAAGCAGTTGTCCCACAGCCTCCACCAGAATGGCAACCATTCGGCTACCCACTAGCCCACGCCATCTGTCTCGTGACAGCCTATTCCGAAGGCCCCGACGGTATCCGCACCACCCTCGACTCCATCGCCATGACCGACTACCCCAACAGCCACAAACTCATCCTCCTAATCTGCGACGGCTTGATAAAAGGCAAAGGCGAATCCATGAGCACCCCCGAAGCCTGTCTCGGCATGATGAAAGACCACGCCGTCGCCCCCTCCGACGTCCAACCCTTCTCCTACGTCGCCGTGGCGAGCGGCAGCAAACGCCACAACATGGCCAAGATCTACTCCGGCTTCTACGACTACGGCCACGATAGCATCATCCCTCTGGAAAAACAACAGCGGGTCCCCATGATGGTGGTGGTGAAATGCGGCACCCCCGCCGAGGCCACCGCCGCCAAACCCGGCAACAGAGGCAAACGCGACTCCCAAATTATCCTCATGTCCTTCCTCCAGAAAGTCATGTTCGACGAGCGCATGACGGAGCTGGAGTATGAGATGTTCAACGGGATTTGGAACATCACGGGGATCTCGCCGGATTTCTACGAAATCTGTCTCATGGTCGACGCCGATACGAAAGTCTTCCCGGACTCGATGACGCATATGGTCAGCGCCATGGTCAAGGATCCGGAGATCATGGGGTTGTGCGGCGAGACGAAGATCGCTAACAAGACTGCCAGCTGGGTGTCCATGATCCAGGTGTTCGAGTACTTCATCTCCCACCACCAAGAGAAATCTTTCGAGTCTGTATTTGGTGGTGTCACGTGTCTGCCCGGTTGCTTTTGCATGTACCGCATCAAGACGCCCAAGGGAGGCCAGAACTACTGGGTCCCCATCCTCGCGAACCCGGATATCGTGGAGCATTACTCGGAGAACGTGGTGGATACGTTGCATAAGAAGAACTTGCTGCTGTTGGGCGAGGATCGGTATCTGACCACGCTCATGCTGAAGACGTTCCCGAAGCGCAAGCAGGTTTTTGTTCCCCAGGCGGTTTGCAAGACCACGGTTCCGGATGAGTTTAGGGTGTTGTTGAGTCAGAGGCGGCGGTGGATCAATTCTACTGTGCACAATCTTATGGAGCTGGTTCTGGTTAGGGATCTTTGTGGAACTTTCTGCTTCTCGATGCAGTTTGTTATTTTCATTCAGTTGGTTGGGACGTTGGTTTTGCCGGCTGCTATCGCTTTTACGATCTACTTGAGTAAGTTTGAACCGTCAACAAACCGGATCCAAATCAGTTACTAATAGACCCGTCTAGTCATCCGAGCAATCTACGCAGCCATCACCCACACCGTCGTCCCCGTCATCCCCTTGGTCCTCCTCGCACTCATCCTCGGTCTCCCCGCCGTCCTCATCGTCGTCACCGCTCACCGGGTATCTTACGTCCTCTGGATGTTCATCTACCTCCTCTCCTTACCAATCTGGAACTTCGTCTTACCGACCTATGCCTATTGGCACTTTGACGATTTCAGCTGGGGCGACACGCGACAGACGGCTGGCACCGTGGCGAGCGAGGTTAAGAAGGATAAGAGTGGGCATGGGGGCGAGGGAGAGTTTGATAGTAGTCAGATTACTATGAAGAGATGGGGCGATTTTGAGCAGGAGAGGAGGTTGAGAGGCGGGAATGTTGGGGGTGGTGGTGGGAGTGGGGGCGTGGGGACGTATAGGTCTTCCAGTCCGTCCCAGATGGCTAGTACGTATGGGGGTGGGCATGAGAGGAAGCCGAGTAATCTTGGGTATTCGGTGATGGAGTATCAGGATTATCCTTGAAGGAAGCGCGTGTGGTGGGAGTCGAGACTGAATGGATGTTGGCCAAGAGTAGAAGCGAGACGATGGTGTATAGCGATTTCTGCTTGCGAGCGTATGTCGCTTGAAAAAAAAGGGCTGGGCACTGTGGGTGGCTTCTGGCGTTTTCGGGGTCCAGATGCATTGCGAGGATTTGGGGGTTTGCAGATGTGTTCCATAGCGGTTGCTTTCCCTTGCGTAATGGTAATCACGACTTCAATGCGGTCGTCTCATCTTGGCCGAGGTCTCTCCTATGAATGTCCAGTCTGCGGTGCATGTCAGTCTCGTACCTATGTCTGAAGGGGGCAGTCAGTACATCCTCATCATGTAGGGCAGTGTTTAGCTAGCTCCACCCGCTTACCTCACCTTCCTATTCAGGAAAGTCATGCTTAGAGTATATGCTTCCCACTCTTGTCCCTGCTGCCATTGCTCCCAACATCAGGATCTTTGAGTCTTTCCACTCTCCACGAATCTTACAATGGTTATCAGAGGAATGAAGTTCACACCAGAGGTGCTACTCTCAGCGCCTCGCCGCTCAGCTGGAGTCCCCAATCCTTCGGGCACGAAAGTACTCTACTCCCAATCGTCCTACGACTTCTCCACGCACAAAAAGGCGGTTGTAGTTCAATTACTCGAAGTAGCTACTGGAGAGGCGCAGACCGTTGCCGAAGACGACAACCTTTCAGACTTCAATTGGCTCGATGACGAGAGCTTCGTTTGTCTGCAGGCTGGAAAGGATGGCACCACTAAAGTCTGCGTGTTGAGCGTGAAGGCTGATAGCTTGGTCACTTCTGTCCGTCAGCACGAAGCCGGAACAATCCAGGCAGCGGCTAGTAACCTCAAGATCACGCCAATCGAGGGTTCGCATGATGTGGCGATTGTGGTTAGTGCTCCTACAGGTCCGGATGGTTGTCTCTGGACTTCTGAGCAGCCTAGCAAGAAGACGCAGTCCACGGGGCGATTGTACTCGAGCTTGTATGTGAGACACTGGGATCAGTGGAAAGGGAAGGACAAGAACTCGTTATGGTATGGCAAGCTCAGCCGTGGATCCGGCGGGAAGTACGCACTTTCCGAACTTCATAACGCACTGAAAGATACAGGCTTGGAGTGTCCCATCCCGCCGTTCGGAGGTGGCGATCACTTCGATGTAGGACGACAGGGCATCATTTTCGTGGCGAAAGACCCGGAGCTTAACCCTGCTCTGAACACGAAATGTAATGTTTACATTCTGAAGATCACATCGTGGACTGGGTCGAATTCGCTGGAACTGGAGAAGATCCCGGTAGATGATTTCCATGGCGCGGCTAGCTCGCCTGTTTGGAACCCTGATGGCAGTGGTGCTGCCTTCCTGATGATGCACGGCGCGGGCTATGAGGCTGATCAGAACTGGGTGTTCGTGATGCGAGACATACAGACTGGAACCACTGGGACTCGTGTGCAAAGACTTGGAGGGGAAGATCTTGACGCGCAAAGCAAAGACAGCTTCTGGTCACGTAGTCCCAGCGCCATTGCGTTTTCGGCCGATAGCAGATCGATACTCGCGACCGCGGAGGACACGGGTCATGGCAAGCTTTTCGAGATCAGCCTAGAGAACACAGGCGTCAGAAAGTTAACGGATACCGGCTACGTGGGAGACTTCAAGCGGCTTGCGGATGGCAAGATCTTCATCTCAGGCAGCTCTATTGTGGAGAGCAGCTGGTACAAGATCGTAGATGCTACACAGACAGGCAGTGCAGTGTCTGAGGTCTGGTCTCACTCGCATCTGGCGAGCCGCAACGGACTTGGCCTAGACTCAAGGCAAGTGTCCACTATCTGGACACCCGCCAGCAACCCAAAGATTAACAAGGAAGTACACTCCATCGTGGTGAAGCCCAGCACATTCAAGTCTGGCAAGAAGTATCCCGTCGCATATCTAATTCATGGAGGACCTCAGGGCAGCTGGGGAGACAGCTGGTCAACACGATGAAATCCTGCAGTGTTTGCAGAGCAGGGCTATATTGTGGTTGCGCCGAATCCTACTGGCAGTACAGGGTATGGACAAAAGTTTTGTGATGCTATCCGTGGCAATTGGGGTGGTGACCCGTACCAAGATATCGTGAATTGCTTTGAGTGGGTGGGAAAGAACATGCCCGAAGCAGATAATGAGAACGCGGTAGCGCTTGGAGCGAGCTACGGTGGTTATATGGTATGTCTACACAGACAAGATCGCTCGAATGGTGCTAATATTGTTCCAGATGAACTGGATTCAGGGTCACGACCTTGGTCGCAAGTTCAAAGCACTCGTCTGCCACGACGGCATTACCACGTTCGCCGGTGGTATGCTCGCGACCGAAGAGCTATACTTCCCCTTCCACGATCTCGGAGGCACGCCATGGTATGACCCCGGCTTCTCAGCTGCCAGCAAAGAAGCAAAGAACAACTTTGGATCCTCGACGCTGTCAGACTGGAAGAAGTGGGATCCTAGCGAGCACTTTGATCAATGGTCGACGCCCGAGCTAGTCATTCACAGCGAGCTCGACTATCGACTTACTGTCTCGGAAGGCTTGACTGCCTTCAATGTGTTACAAGCTCGAGGCGTGGAGAGCGAGTTCTTGACATTTCCAGATGAGAATCACTGGGTTTTGAAGCCAGAGAATAGTCTTGTGTGGCATAAAGTCGTGCTCAATTGGATCAACAAGCATGTTGGGTTGCCGCCGTATACGAAAGAAGATCGAGATGGTGAGGAATTCTGGGGAGGTGTCAGAGATGCGAAGGAAAGTCTAGCAGAACTGCCTGGAGCTGGGAAGCCGGAGACTTGAGTCGCTGCTTCGAAAAGTAGGGATCGAATCGAATCTGTCTCGCTTGTTTGTCTCTTGTGTCATCTGAGTATCGCTGGGCTACTACTGTGACATCCTACGACATGGCTTGTGAAGACAAGTAGTCTAGAGCTAGCCCGTCCACGGTCTTCTCTATCGAATCAGAAAGGCTGCTCTTGGTCGACGGTCGATTCAGCTCCTTCTGACCGTGTTGAGTGTTATCCCATGTTGATGGCGAGTCGTTGATATGCAGTTGCACCAGTGCGTGCTACAGGCAGCTGTTGTCCTTAGGGTTAGGGTTTGGGTAAGAAGCACATACCTGCAACGATAGCGACACTATGACCGTGACTGTCGAGACACGATACTCAATGTATTAATCAGTGGTCTGCGGGAAATCGAATATGATTGCGCTTGCCTAAGCTCATAGCAAGTCTAATTCACTATCGGTCCGCATCAAAGCATGTGTGACGGATGGAATTGTTGAAGCTGATGATCGAATGGGCAGCCCCAGCACTTCTACTTGACGTGCAGCCCACACAGCAAGTCACGGTGCCGTCCAGTAGACCGGCAGGTTCACAGGAGCACGTTACTCATACACAAGATGCACATGGAGCTGACCACTCATATGACAATCTATGAACAGATATGCTTATACAGTGACCATTACACTAGCATTCTTGTACCACCCCAGCATGGCGTTCTCCCCACTCAACATCTCCGTCCCCTCAACATCCGCCCACCGCTGGAAGAAGTCCTCATGCGTCATCACCCTCGTCAATCGTCCAGTGATGGCACGATATATATCCTCCATAACACCAAAGTCGGTCGGAAACAGGATATCGAAGTAGCCTTGTTGCACCAGCGGCGTTGTCACCAGGACCGTGCGTCTTTGATAACGAGTTTGTACGACGGGTGCATTGTAGCCTGGGGTCGCTTGAGGTAAGCTGTGGAAGTCTGAAGTGATGAGGCGATGCGCTGGGAATTTGGTCCCAAGGATGTGGAAGAACTGCATGAGTCTTGTAGGCAGATACTCGGGTAACGTCAAGTTCGGTGCGAATGGTAGACTGTGCCGTAGCTTTCTCAGCCATGGTGGTGACCGTAGTGGGCCAGCATACTGTCGGTCTTGGCATGCTGCGTCTCGAACGCGTAGATATCGTGCTGCAACTGGATCCAGGTTGCGATCGTAGAACTCGTAAAAGTCGCCGTCGGCATCGATGAGCACAGACCCTTGCATTGGCTGTTCTGTATCAGGGTCGTATCGAACGACATCATGCGCGAAGTTGTCGAAGACTTCCATGGCCAAGAAGAAGCATGGTTCCGGAACATATGTATCCCAGTCGAAGACCGATTTGTTGATGATCTCAACCTTGTCACTGTGGCCTCTACTCGCAGCAGAAGCATATAGTCCATGGTCCTGAAGCTTTGCAAGCGCCGAGCTGACCTCGATGATGCGATACCTTGTTCTCGCGTACACCTCGGGGTCTACTCGTCGAATATAATCCAGAATATTGAGCATCAGGGTGCCGTTGCCAGCTCCCACTTCGTAGATCACGAGATCATGATATGGATATAGCGTAAGCTTGTAATTCGCAACCATATACCGTGCTATTGCTTCACCGTAGAACGGTCGAAACAGCTCAGTGGGAGTGTGCCAGAGCTGTCTATCCTCCCTGAATTGTTCCTTGTCTAGCTCATCTTCAAACTGGCTGTAACGCTCGCCCAGCAAGCGGTTGAATTCTGGTTCGTCTGGTATGCGGTTAAAGTCGAAAGGTGCGCCAGGTGAGAAGATGGTCACATTCTTGCTGAAGTAGCCATAGTGCGGATTGTACAAGCTGTCCTCGATGAAGTCACGCATCAACATCTTTGCCCGCCTCGGCCGTTCTTTCCTACTGCGCAATCCATCTGATGTTACGGTTGGGTACCGCTTGAAGTCTTCGGACTTGTTGAGAGGGAAGTGATCGGTCCGTTGCTGCCAATTGCTCTCTACAGTTGTCTTTGGCTTCTTCTCCGGCTGCTGGCGTGTATATCGTTGCCCACTCTGCTGGCGGCATTGCTCCACCGCAACTGACACAGCTGCATGTTTAGGAGAAGTGCAGAACCGATGAGATGCGAGTTGTCGGAAAAGTCTGGTCACAGCCCGAGAGTCCATGTAGCTGACGGCCAGACTGGCATGCGCACGATATACACAAACTACTTACCACTACGCGAGCACATATGCGGAGCTTACGGAGGTGAAGCTCAATGCAGAAGCTTGACGCACAGACCAGCCATATGGACTCGTCGATCACGAATTGCCATCAACACCACGCTTCTAGATGTCTAGGACCAGTAGCTCCATGTTAATGCAGCGAGCATGCCGCACACATCATCGCAACTAGATAGACGATGCATTCGGTAACGACTTAGAATGGGTATCTTCTCCGACTCCTTCACCTCAATATGGACCCGCATACTCGATAACAAAGGCAAAGTCACTTCGACTGGTGGTTTCCTGCTCGGTATATTGCTCACTCTTACCTTCAAGGACCTCTACCCGGACCTCGAAGCATCTTATCTGCGTCGCTTGAGACAGCTTCGTGGCAAGAACATCCCATACCCTCCGCCTGGCCACCCAGATTTCGTCCATCTGGAAGACCATACCAAGGATAAGTCACACGTCATAGCTGACAAGGACGACAGTCGAAGGACTCGCGATTTGGATGGCGGAAAAATCGCCGTAGGCATCGAAGGTCTCATTGGCAACACGCCACTGATCAAGCTCAAGTTTTTAAGCGATGCCACAGGCTGCGAGATTTTGGCCAAAGCCGAACTTCTCAATGGTGCTGGGAACTCGCCGAAAGATCGAGTGGCTTTGTCGATGATCAAGTTGGCTGAGGAGGAGGGTCTGCTCGTGCCTGACAGAGGCGACACCATCTACGAGGGGACGGTCGGCTCTACCGGTATCTCGCTAGCTGCGGTATGCAGAGCACGGGGATATAAAGCTTATATGTGCGTATCAAATCTTAATCCGACCATACTAATAAGCTGACATGGAAAAGCTGCATGCCCAACGACCAGGCAGCTGAGAAATCGGATCTACTTCTGAAGCTCGGCGCAACTGTTGAACGAGTGAAGCCAGCTTCGATAGTAGACCAAGAGCAATTCGTCAATCTTGCGCGACGACGTGCACAAGAGCACACCGACGACCCTGACCGACCCGGACGAGGCTTCTTCGCAGATCAATTCGAGAACACCGCAAACTACATGGCTCACCAAAACACCACTGGCCCAGAAATCTACGCCCAGACCAATGGGCGTGTAGATGCTTTCGTCGCGGGAGCCGGGACAGGTGGAACCATTTCTGGAGTCGCACTAGCACTGAAACCTCTCATGCCCGATATGCAGGTCATCCTGGCTGATCCGCAAGGTTCAGGGCTCTACAATAAGATCAAGTATGGTGTTATGTTCTCCTCGACCGAAGCAGAGGGCACAAGACGTCGCCACCAGGTGGACAGCATTGTCGAAGGCATCGGCATCAATCGAGTGACGCAGAACTTCTCGGCTGGGATGGAGTTGATCGACGATGCGGTCAAAGTTACTGACGAGCAAGCTATGAAAATGGCTCGCTGGCTAGTGGAGAAAGAAGGGTTGTTCGTCGGTGCTAGCAGTGCTGTGAATTGTGTCGCTGCTGCAGTAACTGCTCGTAGCATGGGGAAGGGTGAACGTGTTGTAACTGTGCTTTGTGATAGTGGGACTCGTCATCTGAGCAAGTTCTGGAAGGAGGCTGGCAATATCGGAGATGCGGACGTCGAGTATACCCTTGACGATATACTTGGTGCTCAAACATAGTGAATGAAAACAGTACCTCAATCCCAGATCGCGCTCGCACCGATATAAAGTGACCAATGCAAGGGACAACTCCAAAATTTGTTGGGGCATGGCAGACAGCGGAAGATATGGGCTTGCTCCCACGCACTCGCACAGAGGGGGATCACGTGACTCAGCTCTATCTAACATACCAAGAAAGCTCCATATCAATTTGTATGTTTTGGCATAGCTCAAGTCGTAGCGATATACGAAGGCGCGGAACAGATAGTTTTGGTCGAGATGAATTAAGAGACCCACCTCTCGTGCTGGAGACAAGGGTCTTGTCATCGTACTAGTACCGACAATGCTATCTCTGGTCAACAGACACTATTCGTCATCGTCAAACAATCAATTCCATCGATCGTGGGAATCGGCCCCATGTCTTTCGATGAAGAAGAGGGTGTGGTGATGATGTCGATGACGTAAACTGTACAACCTGAGGCACGTTTTGCCATGATGCTGACGAGAATGTAAAGTGTAGCACAAGCGAGATAGGACAAGAGCCTCACCGCCAACCACGGATTATGGGCACGTATAACGGAACAAGAAGTGGTCCCCCGACGGCGACCCTGAGACAAAAAGTACCACTGCCGTATAGCCGATCACCTTCCCAAATTTGACCTGACGTTGCAATGCTAACGAAGCGACTTGTCGTGAACTCAGGGTCCTCGCTCCCGGATGTAACATCACCCTGCGTGAAAAGTCCCGGATATGAGGCTGAAGCGGTGATTGGCGGACAAGCTCGTCATGCCAGATTCTGCTGATCAGGGACCTCGGATCCTTGTAAGCCACTGACGAGAGTTTGCGGACGACTTGGGGATTGGGCGTCTTTTGGGCTCCTGAGCGTATGGCGGTTGGCTTGAGTGGTGTGTGTGACTACTACGACAAAAGTGCCTCGGCCTGTGTTGTTCGTGATGCTGGAAGCCATGAAGTCAAGCAGTAATGAGTTGTAAGTAGAAAGGATGAAGTGTGGAGTGGAAATGGGGATTTGGCTCAGATTCGTTAACTGTGGTAGACTACTTCACATAGCGAGAGTAGATGGTTTACAGGTCATACTGCCTATTTTCTAGCAGACCCAGCTTTTAGACTATCAAGTTCTCTATGCCATATCATACAATGTCTCCTCGCACGCAAGTCTAGCGCTCTTGCCACTGGAGTGAATAGCAACGCCTGAAACGCCTTGCAAATCATCCCGTTTGCCTTCCGAAAAGCCGTCGCATAAATTGGGGTATCAAGTGAAGTAGCGATCGAGTGTCGAATGTTTATAATGTCCCAGACGCCGGCGTAAGAAGAAGTGGTCATCCATACATCTTGTGAAAGAAGATGCTGTAGTGTCATATCGTTGTCGATCTGTTTGTCGATCTGTTTGACGATCTGTTTACTCATCATCGTCTGGAGAAGGATGGTCTGAACCTTCTCCACGGTGGACCTTTCGGTGTCGTCGCAGGTTCGAGACAACCGAGAAGTGACGGCCACAGCCATCAACGTCGCAGGCGAATGCTGAAAAATTTGTTAGTCGCTGTAAAACGTCAAATACTCGAAGACCCAACTTACGCTTCTCACCCGTGTGGCTGTACATGTGTGTCTGGAGCGAGCTTGGTCGTGTAAACCTCTTGTCGCAAATCTTGCACTTGTGCTTCTTCTGCGAGCTCGAAGAGACCTTGGAGCTGAACTGGCCCATCATCGACTGCGGTGCAGGTGGAAGTGTACCGCCAAGCAGGCCGTTTGGTCGTGGTAATGTCCGCGAGCTGGGCATGTCGATGGACTCGCTAGCTGAACTATAATCGGCGACCGATGCAGCATCGCTGACCGAGCTGGCATAGCCATAGTAGCTTCCGGGTGTCGAGATCGAGGAATGTGCCGAGTGCGATGATGGAAAGCCGTATGAGTCGATGGAGCTGGTGCGGCTAGATGTCGAGCCATTTATGGGACCATAAATGTTTCGTGGGGTTATGTCGGACTGGCTCATTGCCACCATACCGCGACTGGCCTCTACAGCATCGCTGAAACCTTGACGGTCTGCCTCAGTAACGTGATGCATCCTGTCGGTATAGTCAATATGCGAGCTCTGGCGTTGTCGCTGAACATCAAAGTTGTCCAGGAGCATATTGGAGGCTACTGACGGATGCGATGTTCGTCGGTCAAGTTGATAGCCATACGATGGAGTGTACTGAGGTGCTGACGTAGGTGCGTAAGTACTGGTTGGTGGCGCAGCTGATGTAGCGTAAGGTGCACCGTATGGTCTTGGAGCGCTCATGTCTTGTGCAAACTGTAAGCCCGAGTGGTCCATGAGGTCCGGGTCCAAGGGAAGCATACCTGTTGCCAGAGACGGCGCAGTAAGACCACTGCTGGTGTAGGCGTTTGAAACATTGGGTGTCGGCGAGGCGTAATGCTTTACGTCTGATGGCATTGCCGATGCTGGCAACGATGTGGCGTACATCTGGCCGTGTGTAGAAGCAGGCGCGGACACCCAAGGGTTCGTAAAGGCAGGCGGTTGGTATCGCATTGCGCTGTCATAGCCCATGCTGTGGAATGGTGCCTGTTGTTGTCTAGTGTCGACGGCCATGGCTGCCATTGTGAATGATGAGAACGAGTTTCGGTATTGTGGGTCTCAAGGTATGATGTTCCAGTATCAGACTCTGACACGTTGTTTGACAGTGATCAACAACAATGGCAAGAGCTTGTGAACGTGGAGAGACGATCTATCGTGGAGGATAGGCGGGATCAGCGAGCTTAAGTGTGCCTTCAGGTTGTGCCTGGGTGTGCCCGTGCTGTGTAGACCAAATAGAGCTCGTCGAATGTCGATCCTGGAGTTCGCTAGTACCTGGAGGAAAGAGATGTGCTGCGACCGGATAGCGAAATGATCGGTATGCAACTAGAGCACCGGTTCGTGGGCCGAAGTCAAAGATGGCAGGTCGACAAGGCGTTTCAAAGGTAGGCCAGGGACCGGTGGTTTGCCGGTACACGTCGAAGCGGCTGTGCTGCTGCGCTTGTGTCGGAATGGAGGTGATGTGCAGTACTTTCGACAGAGAAAGCAATGATGTGCGGTCTCCGGAAACGCAACTTCAGGACTGTGTCTGAGGGCCGAGATAGCGTGCACTCTGTGTGGATGGAGAGTGAATATCTTATGTGGATCAGAATGCAGATCTTTGAACATGAAGGGGATTGCTTTCCATATAAAATAAGTAGGCAAGTCGACGTATGCAGGGTAATGGGAGGTCGATGAGCATTTGCATCTCCACTTGACACTGACGTCGATTGTGTGCAGCTCGTGCAGCGGGTGGCGCTTCCTGCCTGAACCCTGCGTCGTCACTGGCTTTCTCCGGTCGACGCCATCCCGGGCCTTGTCATGAAACATAGCAGATGTGGGGGAGTGGACATCGAGCGGCATCCCTACCTCTTTTCGTGACTAACCCGATGTGACGATGTCGTCTCTCTCCGTCTCGACGCCCCTCTGTCATAGTGCCGGCGCCGGCCCAAAACTGCTAGCGACTGATGGAAGCGCACGAGAACACTCCTCTTTCCTCCTCAGGGTCAGCGGTTAGGCTGATGTCGTGTCCCGTTAAGCCATCGAAATGTGCGCCACTATCGAGACAAACGCTAACTTTTGCTTCTTATCCATTGGAGTGCCTTGCTCCCGAACCACAATACTACACTCAGTAAGAGTTAGCGCAACGACCAGTGCACCACAGCGTCCTCAACCAGCTCCATCATCACATACGCCTTCACGAGTGCCGAGTCTAAGCAGGCAACGGCGCCTCCATGTCTCGAATGCTCATTTCATACTGTACCACACGTATAGCAGCGCAGTACGTGCAGGAGATGAGCGTATGTCGGCAGAGGGATTGCCTTGATCAAGCACTGCACCGTCCGTCGCTCAGCCTCCTGCCTCCGTAAACGTCTCTGCAAATTTACTGCACACTCCGACAGCTCAATGGTAAGCATAAACTAGTGCCGGGACGAGAAGTTGCACCAAGTCACGACCGAGTATCTACGAAATTAGTGCAAGAAAGTGGTCGTGTGTTCACTTCTCCATCGACCAACCCTGTGCTTGCCGTGGCATTGCTCTGGCGTTATCGTTGCGGTGAGCTTCTGCCCGCATGTTTCCAACCACACCCTCCACTTCGAGGACGAAGCACAAGTCTTGAGATCCTAGCATTTGCCTCGGATTTCGCAAGCAGTTCTGTGACTGGCTGCTCATGAAAGGAGGCGTCAGGAGGCGCACTCTGAGTTTGATCGTTTTCGACTGTCTCCGGCAACGAGCAGCCGACTGCCAAGGGTGGCTTTCTGTTGGCTTTCTGCTTTGCAGCGAGACGACCACAAGCAGGTTATGCTTGAAGATAGCGCCGAAGCCTATACCTACTGTCGACGACTTATGATCAGCGTTACATGCGCTACAGAAGGCTAGCGACATTGTGCCACTCGGCACACTGCTACCTCCTCCACTTTTTGTAGTCGTTGCTTCGAAGCGATTTGTTCCATTTGACGGCTACGTTCACACTCTTTGGTCGACCAGGAAGGCGAGTAAGTGCAGCTTTGTGGACAATCTTCGCGACGACGTAGCCTATAACCTAACTTCCTCGGCTCTCTCTCTACTGGATCGACGTTTTTCATGGAGAACTACTTCGAGCAATTTTGTTGTGGATTTATGAAGATGACATCAAACTTACCAAGTGCACCAGTAGTGCGCAAGATCATCCCAAAGCACTGGGATAACTACCAATCTTCTGGTTCAAGCCTGGTATGCACATGTTTGTGATCTACGCTGTGCGTGACAGAACATCCTAGATACACTTGACACTTTCCTCATGCCATGCCTTCGGTATTCGGACTGCGATCGGCGACAAGGCGGGGCAGTAGGCCATAAGCTCTTCCTCCTCATCAGGACTTACTCCATTCAATCCCCCCAGTCATCTGCCGAGTGGCCAGGCACTCTGAGTTCGCTCTATGTACAGCATACGCCGAGGTCCTTTCTGATCATTGCAGGCGTTTGGGGCTTGGAAATCGCCATGCTTTCCTTTGCTGCGCCGTACCACAGACATGGTTAGGCCGCAACTCTCAGACCAGAATAGCGGCGCTATGCCTTGTGCATGCACGGCTGGCGTAAGGTTTGCACGATGAAACACTGACAGGAACAGGTGATCATGTTCATGGTGGGGAAGCATCCGTGCCCTTCACTCCAAATACACGAGCCCACGGACCATTCGATATGGTTGACGACCACGACGACTCGTGTGCTTGTGCAAAGCGACCAAACCGATCGTGCAAACCATCAACGACTCAGTGCAACTGCGACGTTGAGCCGTGTACTAAGGGAAGTCGTCCTCGTGATCGTGCCGACTCGAAAGGATTTCCGGCGATTACGGTTTTTATTAGTCTTTGCACAGGTCGGATTACTACCGCACCTAGTGCTCGTCACCAGTATGCACAAATATATATATTTGGTAGGGTATACGCCAGCCCATGACTGGAAGTCTAGGGTGGTGAAGCACAGGTGGACTTCGTGTTGTCTCGGCATGTGGAGGTTCCCACTCACGACTACCTAAAGCCTAACTAGGCACTGCTACCACAACAGACAATCCTGTCTCTCAGCGGCTGGCTCGCATCGTCACTATCGAGTACCTGCGAGAGCGTTAGCCCACCGAATATATCACCTGCTGTTCTTACGCCCTTGCTACTCACGCGATGATCCCACCAAGCGCAAGGAGTATACCGACCATACTGCCATCCTGTAAAGACCGTCGACTGTGAATCCATCCTATAGCAATGATCAAGCAAATTTTGGCATGTCCAACGACTGTACTAGCCACTGGACCCGCTCCGTCGACGATCTGGAATTGCGTGATGTGGAGGCCACAGGCTAGGAAACCACTCTGCGTTGTCTGTCAGCTTAACAATCATGGACTAGGTGCATGCTGTCGAACACATACTAGCAGTATAATAGCCCAGATCGAAACCCCGACACTTCGCCACACGGTAATGTCGTCGGAGATGGGGATGATGTAGAGCATGACCAGCACACTGACAGGCGATTGGTTCAGCAATAGCTGTGCACTGCCGCAGCCGGTGGAGTCATGATACTTCTTGATCATGACCGTGTACGTCGCGCTTGCCACCAGACTGATGAGCGCGAAGCAGATCCCCAACAGCGACGTCCGACTACCATCCGTGGACACCCCGTCGACATCCGCAGTTGCGGCAGTATCGAAGTACGACACCACTCCCACACCAGCACAAACCGGTATCAACGTCACAGCTGCAAGCACTGGTATCCTCTTCTTCAAGATGATGAACTCCATGTCCGCGACTATAGGCGTCACCAGGACTCGCGCGATCTGGTAGAAATGGATACTCGAGTACGCCAAACTGGCATTCGTAAGCACAACGGCAGCTATCATGGCTACTGCCAACGGTAGGATCTTGAGAACACTGAGGGCCTTGCGCTCAAAGAGGTGGAGTGGTGGTAGTGAGACGGAGTAGAGTGCTAGCGCTGTGATGGCGAAGTGGATAGCTGCGAACGTGACTAGTGCGTGTCGGAGGTTGGTGTCGGAGAAGATGAGTTTATTGACGAAGACCTGTGATTGATATTTGTCAGCACGCACGCTCCAGTTCAGCATGTGAAGAGACTAGACTGACGAGGCCGGCGGCTGATCCTATGTTCACTGCGATGGCGAGGCAGGAGTTCATGGTGAGGGCTTTGCTTTTGACTTGTCCTGGTATGAGCTCCGGACGTGGCTCTGGTGGCAGGAAGGCTTCGAGCTCATGAGCGTCCGTTTCACCATCTCCAATCACACCGTCATGCTCCTCGACTTCTGCAATCATAGTCAACGATGTCATAAACATTCAGACATGAGAGGAGTGATCTGGGCCTGCAACGTGTGAAGTGTGAGACGCGTTCTTGTGGCGCACATTCTTGAAGTCCTTGCATGATGCATTGCCACGTGACAAGTTTACAACTACGCTGCTACGTCTTCATGTGCAGGTCGTTCACCTGCGTTCTCTTCTGCGGCTTCACCATCTCCATCGCCTGCTTCTGCCCAACCTCTGCGCTTTCGAAGACTACCGACGTTGTATAGCAAGTCGTCGAGTAGCTTGGCGTCAACCGTCGCCTCTTCTGCTGCATCACCCAAGCACTTCAGTCTCGTCTCCAAGTTGTGCTTTTGTTCGCTATGCACATTCCAATTCGCACCAGCGCCATCTTCACAATGCAGCCGGAACGCCTGCAAACGACTCTGGCCAGTCTCGCGCGCGTCGAGCGACAAAACCATGCTATCACCGACACTAGCAACGTCCAGGACAGGATGATCTAGGGGGATGTGCGTGAGAACGGACTCTCCGTCACTCTTGAGACGAAGGCGCTCTGTCGGCACGACCAGTAGTCCAGCATATCGCTCCAAAGCAATGGCAAGCGCGGTTCCTGCTCCAGTATCGGTAACACACGGCACCGTCCATAGACCAGACACCACAATCTTCAGTGCGGCATTATTAGGCGCCACATCACTACCAGAGCCATCAGGTATGCCAGAAATACTAGGCAGACAATCATTGTTAAGAGGCACTTTCCGATGAAGCCTTCCAGCATGCCAGTCCCAAACACCAAGCCAGTCGTCACCACCACCGCTGACAAGGTACTTGGTGCCAGCGATAAGACATAACTTGCTAATGAACTCCTTATGGCCTAGACAGAAGTTCTCGATGATATGAGCCTGCGGTGGCCCGCGCGAGACCCGTATATGTTCATCTCGATCGGCCGTGATGATGTACCCTCGACCTTTGACGTCAGCTCTGTGTGTGGCGAAGATGATGTCTGTTAGCATTGAGACATGGCCGAGCAGTAGTTGGTGTTCGAATTTGAGGGGTTCTTTCTTGGTCGAGAATTTCTTCTGCTGCATTTGCGCTTCTAGCGTTTTGCGATTCCGTACGGTATGTACGGTCAGATTGGTTGCCGAGGGCTTGAATGATGGCTTCTCTGGATCCGGTGTAGGTTCTTCTGTTGCTCCTGTGGTCACATCTGGTTCTGCGGGCTCGGATGGTATGAGAGGCAACGAGTACACGTCGCCGAATTTGTCGCCGCAGATGATAGTCGTATTGTCAGGTAGCACTTCGAGAGCACATGGTCGCTTCGGCATAGATCGCTGGCTGAGCTCTTGTAGCTGGCCTCCTGCAATACTGAAGACTCGGACGTGCTTGTCGTCGGTGACTGCTACGACGTATTCATTGTCTGGAGATATGGCAAGCTTGATAACCACAGGCCGATTCTGTACCATGACCTTGTTTGTCTTTTGTTTCTTCTTTGGTCGCTCATCTTCAGCGTCTTCTCGTTGTGGTGCTGCTTGCGTCTGCAATGTCATCAGTTGAGTCTGAGGTATTATTCTTTGACGTGTCTGACTCACATCTTCGCCAGCAGACCATGTCGAAAGCACTTTACCATTCGCTGCATCAACAACACTTAACTGTGAGCCACAGGCCACCACGAGTTGGCTGTATTCGCCACCTGCACTCTGTAATGCGGCAATACACTGGTACGGATGCTGCATTGCAATGAACAATTCTCATATCATGGCTTATCTCGCGATGGTAGCATGCTCAGTGCCAGGAAAGTGGCCAATGACAGCTGCACTCTGCATCTTTAAAATCTCATATCAGAGCCCTGAAAGCTTCGGATCGGCGGAGCGGCCGATTGTTGCTATTTCCGCTCAGCCCTACGAATGAAATGGTCCTGGTTTTCGACAATGTAAATGTAGTTCACTTGCTGGAGGATCTTGGGTTGTATGGACCATAGGCACGGAAGTGACATTGACATGGCTCGGCCCAACGTTATCTTAGTTCTATACGATGGTCGTTCCGTCAGTGAGACAAAGTGAGAGTGACGTCCATCTCGTTGCAACAACAAAAGCGCCGGATGGAATCTCAGCGAAGACATTAGATCATCTAAAGAGCACACAGTCTGCTGCTAATGATTGGCCTCCATGAACTCCACTCTCGTGGCGGGGTTTTCTTTTTTGTTGAGACGGATGGCTGTGCTTACAGAATCTGATGGTGCTCCGTAGAAAGATCTCATCGGCCGGTCCCGAGCTGCAGCGGGCGATGAACCTTCGCATGAAATGTGGTGAAGACGAAAGCAAACTGCAGATCACTTTACAGCGTTTTAACGCCGCGTCACAGACGACACTCTGTTGCCATCTCTCCACTCCTCGACGACCTCATTCACCATAGTGAGGGAGACAAATATTACAATCCTCCTATACGGTAAGCGCCGCCACTCTTCGCCCTTCAGAAGGTGCATGGAAGGATCTGGCAGCTTGCCTTGCCTGGCTACTGCCTCTCCACTGCATTCTCCTGCTGACAAAACTCTCCAGCACTTTTCACACCTGTTCCCAGTAGTTCACGTGGTACACTATCTTCTTCGCGTCTTGTTCTAGACAGCAGTCCAACCCCGCCTGTTATCAGGTTCACTATCTACCCGACCCCACCACACCAATAGTCGGTTGCCAAGATGGTCAAAGAAACAGCGCTATACGACACCCTCGGGGTATCTCCCGATGCCAACGAGGATCAGCTCAAGAGGGCGTATAAGAAGCTTGCCATGAAATGGCATCCCGATAAGCACGGTGGCTCAGATGAAGCCAAGATCAAGTTCCAGGAAATCAGCTCCGCCTTCGACACAGTCAGCGACCCGGAAAAGCGCCAGGTCTATGATCAGTACGGAAAGGAGGGCCTGGAGCAAGGCGGAGGCGGTGGACATGGCATGGCTGCTGAGGACATCTTCGCCCAATTCTTTGGTGGTGGTGGTGGAGGTGGCTTCGGCGGCATGTTCGGCGGCATGGGCGGTGGGATGCGAGAGCAGGGACCCAAGAAGGCGCGAACGATTCACCACGTGCACAAAGTCGGCCTCGAAGATATCTACCGTGGCAAGGTCAGCAAGTTGGCTCTGCAGAAGAGCGTCATCTGTTCCAAGTGCGATGGTCGTGGTGGTAAGGAGGGCGCGGTCAAAACATGTACTGGCTGCAATGGTCAGGGTATGAAGACGATGATGAGGCAGATGGGTCCTATGATTCAGCGATTCCAGACTGTCTGCCCGGATTGTAATGGTGAGGGTGAGACGGTACGAGAGAAGGACAAGTGCAAGCAGTGTCTTGGCAAGAAAACCGTGGTGGAGCGGAAAGTGCTGCACGTGCACGTCGACAAGGGTGTGCAGACGGGTCACAAGATCGCTTTCAATGGCGAGGGTGACCAAATGCCTGGTGTGCAGCCAGGTGACGTCGTGTTTGAGATCGAGCAGAAGCCACACCCACGCTTCCAGCGCAAGGGTGACGACCTCTTCTACCACGCCGAAATCGACCTTCTCACAGCTCTGGCCGGTGGTGCCATCTACGTGGAGCATCTCGACGACCGGTGGCTGACTGTAGAGATCATGCCTGGCGAGGTTATCGCACCTGGTGAGTAATGAAGTCTGAGGCGATCAAGCCGAGTCAATGCTAACAGTGTCATAGGTGAGGTCAAGGTTATCCGCGGCCAAGGTATGCCATCACACCGACACCACGACCACGGCAACCTCTACATCCAGTTCGAAGTCAAATTCCCAGAGCGTCTTCACGGACCCAAGGACGAGGATGGCTACCCAACAGCAATGACCCCGCAACAAGTCAAGGCTCTCGAATCTGTACTCCCACCAAGACAACCACAGCATGTCCCACCTCCGGACGCCATGACCGAAGACTACTCGCTTGAGAAGGTCGATCCGATGCAGGAGGGTGGCCGTGCTCGCGGCGCCACGGGTGAAGATGACGATGATGAGATGCATGCGGGTGGTGAGCGTGTGCAGTGCGCCAGTCAGTAGAGTGACTATGGCATCCCTTACAATGTCCACGAGCATCTCAGCCGGCATCGGGACCGATGGACCAGGCGGACGAACCAGCTCGCACATACGCTTGGCACAAGCCGTGGGAGTACGAGTATAACGATTGCCAACAGTGAACGTGTGCGTGCTCGTCCACCTACAGCCGCACTGGAAGCTGAGGCAGCGGGATAGATGGTGTTCATGTTTTTTATGACGAGCTGAGCATGAGAGCATGGATTTTGGCGTTGGGTTTTGCTAGCGTGCATCGTCTGCTTGTTGCTGGGTGAGTTGGAAGGCGGCGGTGTGTAGATCTGCTGTGTTCTCATAGATACCTTGCCCAATTGATGTTTGTCTGAAGTTGTAAACTCGCGTTTCTTCGCGAGGTTTATTATTTGGTCGAAGGTCTGTGCGCTTTACGTCCTTCTTCGTTCGGTCAGCGCTGAGGGAAGATGCGCGGGAGGATGAGTATATGCATATCGCAGTCAATGTTGTCTGTCCTGCACTAGTGTGAACACCTGGCCAACATCGTGCGCTGCTCATGGCCGAAGGATGCATCATCGTGATCGCCAATGCATGAGGTGATCGGAATTTCGAACCATTTCACCTCTGCCCAGAGCTCTGAATTAGTCATGCACAGATATATTTCTTACCAAAGGGTGTAGGCACTGTCGGTGAGCTAGTATACGCCCCCTTCCTGGAGTCGAGGGAACACGGCACTGATCTTGAGGACCCAGGGCTGCCACGAAGACCTGGCGAAGGAGTTGATGTCGCAGCAATAGACGATATATGCCATTGCTGGCGGAGACAAGGTCGAATCAGACGGTGTAGTGAATTGCTTCTGGAAATATAAGCCATGTTTCCAGGAATGTCTCCGAATGGAGAAGAGATAGGTACGCCTTTTTTGTCGTCCTCAAGACCATGCACACCATACCCTTAGGACCTATGAACCACACCATCAAGACACCCAACCGCCACCTTCCACATGTTCGCCCTCAGGCAAAAATGACACACCGCAATAGAGATCCCAGCGCACCGTAGAAGGCACCTACCCTGAACAAGTCCTGACAGCCCAATGACCCCAGTAGATATCATCCACGCCTTCCCCCTAACCGAACAACCCGGCTACCAAGTCATCCTCTCCTGCCTCGACATCCTCCGCCCCCACCTCCCATACTCGCTCCCCCTCTACCGCCGTCTCCAACTCGGCCGCTTCTTCGAATCCTCCGTCATCCTCTCCAATCTCCGGAAAGAAGACATACGCCTGAACGTCTTGCCACCGGGTCAAGGCGAGAGACCCGGAGTCGACGTGAAAGGCAACGAAGGCTGGCGAAGCCAGAGTGGGAGAGACGATGCTTTGCTTAAGCATTGGGTCATTGCGTTCGTAGATCGAAGTTCCCGGCCTGAAACCGAAGCGTGGATGTTTGGGACGTGGGAGGCGGGGAGTGTCACGAACCAGAGTGGCGAAGAGGAAGAGAAGATCAAAGCACTAGTCGAAGGCGTCGTGCGTGCTACTGCACGCCTTCCCCTACCACCTAGTATCCATCAACAGGGACCCACCACCGCTTTCAAACAAGATAGCCACGGTAGAGACGACAAAGACTCCATAGGCTTCACCCGCACGGACTACGCCTCCCACACCACCAACAAGAACATAACCCTCTGGGGCGCCATCCACACCCAAACCGCCCACCTCCTCCAAACCCTCGGCGTCGTGCCCCCGGAATTCAAGGCCGGTGCAGTAGCAAACCACACCTTCATCTTCGACGTCGCCAGCATGCCCACTCCCCCAGACCTCCCAAAGGATCTCTACTGGGGTACTCTCTCACCCACCCACTTTCCCCTCGTGCGCTCCCGGACTCCGATCCCACGACAGGAGAAGACGATGGCCGTGCTGCCGAACCTGGCAATCTTCCCCATCCAACCCAGCAGCCCCAGCAAAGCGTCGCCCGAGCACGACCCAGTACCAAGACCAATAGCCTGGGCCTTCATAGGCCTAGACGGCAGCCTAACAACCCTACACGTCGAACCCTCGTACCGAAACCGCGGTCTCGCCAAAGCACTGACGACGAAACTTTTCCGGGAAAACATGTCCGGGTTCTGGGAAGGAGGGGCGGAGGAGACGAAATGGGCGCTTGGGTATGTGGCCGTGGGGAACGAGGCGAGTAGTGGGATGTGTAGGAGTTTGGGCGGGAGGAGCGAGTGGGAATGCTATTGGGTGAGGGTGGATTTGGGGGCATTGGCTTTGTGAAAGAGGTAAAGGGGAGAGGTCGGAAGAGAGAGAGAGCAGAAGCAGGGACGGTGGCCACGAGACGGCCTTGATGATGTTATGACGAAGGATTCTGGAAGCAGACGCCAGGCAAGAACCGATCACGATAAGACAGAATAGCCCCGTGGCGTCTCACAATCGTCCACCATGTCACTCTCGCGGCTACAGGCCGAGTCTGAGGATATGCTGTAGCACAGATGGTAGACCAATCCACGCAATGAGCTCGCAGTGATTAGGCAGGCAGGCAGGCAGACGAAACCACTCATCCAGGCAGATCTAGTCGACTAGGCGAGGCCGTGGGTAAGACTGGGCATGACAACCCTCCCGAGGGCGAACAGGGCAGGACTAGCAGAAATGTTCTTCAAGAAGGGCAAAGTCGGGAGATCACCGGCGTGAGTGGAGACGCATCGAGGAGGGAGCGAACATCCCAATCAAAAATCTGTGTAGAACGCCGAATCAGTTTACTGATCGTCTCCCGAGAAGTCCGAGAAAGGGCATGAAAGATGATCGAACGGCAATGTATGTGTATCATGAAAAAATTAGAGTTAAGTTGTGTTGCTTTGTTTTTGCAGCCATCGACCCTTTATGAGGATCTGACTTGTTAAAATGGTTTAATCATTCTGGGTTGCCGGAGGATGGTTTGGTTTGAGATAGAGGGGAGGTGAGAGATAGAAAAATGAGTGGGAACGTACCTTAGCGAAAGTATTGGGTGGTGGTTTCGTGAGCTATGTTAGTTTTCACGCGATGCGATCAGGGGCGCTGCAGAAGAGCTGAGCCGAAGGTCGTAGACACTGCGTGCATGCATTTTGATTCAATGTCGAAGTGTTGTTTTTGATGGGATAGCATTCCGCGCATCGTACCGTAGTCTTACCTACAGACAACGCTGCAGGAAAATGTCTCCCTTACTCACACTCACACGCTTAGTCGAAGAGACCAAATCCCATGTCCTCATCCTCCTCCTCTTCCTCCTCCTTCTTCTCCTCAGCCTTGGGTGCCTCCTCCTTCGCGGCCTCAGTAGCAGCCTCAGGAGCAGCGGCGCTCTGGGCGAGAGAGGGGTCCTTGGCAATGGCCTTCATCTGGGAGATGGCGGGCCACTCGTACTCGGTCTCGAGGGCGATGGCTAGCAAGTTCTTGTAGCTGTTCAGGAGGCTGTGCTTGACGGATGGGGTGGTCGGGTAGCCGGCGGCGAGGGAGATTTTCGTAATGTTCATGATCGAGGTGCGCATGCCGATGGCCACGCTGTGGTTGATGGAGGCGATGGTCGGGTAGTTGGCGGCCAAGGAGATGGCGGTGACGGCCGCGATGGCGGAGCTCAAGGCCTTGAGCAGCTGCTCCTCCTCGATATCCAAGACATCGGGGGCAAAGGTCTGGCCGTCGTCGTAGATCTGCGAGATTCCCATGCCGTAGGTGAAGGGCGAGATGTTCAGCATGTTCAGCAGGGTGGCCTCGGAGGCACCGACTTTGGTGCCCGCTTGGACGAGCTTCAGGTCGGTCGTGATTTCAATGGTACCACGGGCGATCTTGGTGGGGACACCGAGGGCCTGGAAGAAGGAGGTCTTGCCGGGCTCCATACCGGTGTTGCCGGCTGGGACGAAGACATCACCGGGCGCGACGGCACCAGCACGGGCGGGAGCGGCGACGCGGTTGGACAGGATCTTCTCGCGGGTCTCCTTCAAATCCTCGTTGGTGAAGACGAAGCCGACGTTGCCCCTGACGTGGGGGAGGAGACGCTCGTACTCGGGGTTGTCGTTTTGGAAGGTCTTGATGGCTCGGCGGACCTGACATAATCATTTAGTATCCGAATTACGCTATATCCTGCTCGTTTGGTATCCATACCATAGTGTTCTTGCCCATCAAAACGACACTCTTGCCGCGGAGAGACTGGCGGATCTCGTGCATCTGCTGGGAGGCGACATTGTCGACGGTGACGATGAAGATGGACTTGTACTCCTCCAACAAGCCCTTGAGCTTGTCGAAGTAGCCGGCCTTGGTGGTAGACTTGCCCCCCATAGTGTCGATGCAGTATAGGGTAAGGATTTAAGGCGAAGTCGAGGGTGGTGGTGGTGGTGTTGGATGTGGTTGGGTGAGCGAGTTGTTGGTTGTGATAATGCTCGTTACGGCGTTTTGGGGGTCGCAAATCTGGAATGTGCGCTGGGAACCGGAGTGCCAAGACTTGATGCCTGAGGCACACATTCTCCTGTACCATGAACTATAGAGGAAGGACAACCAGGAATCGACTGCAACAGCAAGAAACGCTGGTGTCGATGGTGGAAGAAGTAGTTGAGATTGATTACCTGGGTTGTTCAGGTAGTCGCCTTCATCATTGCCCTTGGGAAGTGGCCGGCGGGCAGCGGCTGGTGGAGGATAGTGGAATTTGGATGAGCCTCGCCATATGAACGAAGCAGTTGAAGGTGGCCATGAATTCTTTACTGCGGCGATGGCATCAGCGTACTCAGACATCACCTCGCTGGCCATGTAGATAGGACGGAGTGCTCGGTTGTATTCCAGGGGAAGCATGACGATGCGGCTCTGCTGGTCCGATCTCCGTGGGGGCAGATGTGTGGGGAGAGCTGTGGTCAGCTTAAGCTCTAACAGACCAACAGCAGTCGCAGCTGGCGTGTTGAGAAGGAAACAACGACTGCCAGACCTACACAACACTCGCTATTCAACATGGGAGGCGATGCACCCCGCCAGATGATGTCTTCCTCCTCCGCTCAATACCCACAACTCGCCCAACGACCCAAGGGCAAGCAGATCCACCACATCTACCGCGACCGTCTCGGCCAATTCACCAATGGCGGCCAATACAAGCAACAATCGCTCATGGCCAAGCTCTACGACGCCCGCCTCTCCGACTCACCTCACGTGACGCTCGAAGTCTGGTCCGCGCCTGACCAGACCCGTCCAACCTTCGCCGAGGCGACCAAGAAGAGCAACGAGTATAGCAAGGCCAAGAAAGGCGATGTCTTCGGCCCGAGCTGGACGACTCATTGGTTCCGCCTTCGGTTCACGCTGCCGCATGAGTGGATATACAAGCCTTGTGTTGAACTGCATTGGGATTCGAACAGCGAGGCTATGGTCTGGAGCGAGGACGGGAATCCCTTGCAAGGCTTGACCGGGGGTGGGGAGAGGAACGAGTGGGTCATCCCTAACCACTTCCGCGACTTTGATCAGGAGCATACCATCTATATCGAGATGGCGTGTAACGGCATGTTTGGGAACCCCACAGGTGGTGATACGATCCAGCCTCCCGACCCGAATCGCTACTTCCAGCTCGTAGAAGCGGATCTGGTGGTGGTGAATTTGGATGCGAGAGCGCTATTCTACGACTTCTGGATTATTGGTGATGCTGCGAGAGAGTTTCCCGAGGATAGTTGGCAGGAGCATCAGGCGCTGCAAGTCTGCAACGAAATCATCGACTGTTTCATCGCTGGCGAAGGGTCGAGAAGCTGTATCGAGGACTGCCGGGAGATTGCACAAAAGTACCTCGGTCCTCACGTCGACTCGGAAAAAGTATACGAGCAGGACAAATCGGACGACATCGTCAACGCCATCGGCAACTGCCACATCGACACCTGCTGGCTCTGGCCCTGGGCCGAGACAAAACGAAAAGTCGCCCGTTCCTGGTCCAACCAATGCGATCTCCTCGACCGCTACCCCGAACATCGCTTCGTCGCCTCCCAAGCCCAGCAATACAAATGGCTCGAGCAACTCTACCCTTACGCATGGGACCGCGTGAAATCGCACATCAAAAAGGGCAACTTCCAGACCATCGGTGGCAGCTGGGTCGAACACGACACCAATATGCCTTCAGGCGAAAGTCTAGTCCGGCAATTCCTCTACGGCCAACGCTTCTTCGAGTCCCGTTTCGGGGAGCGCTGTAAGACGTTCTGGCTTCCGGACACTTTCGGCTATTCCACACAACTACCGCAACTCTGTCGGTCGGCGGGCATGACACGCTTCTTCACCCAGAAACTGAGCTGGAATAACATCAATAATTTCCCGCATACGACTTTTAACTGGGTGAGTTTGGATGGGAGCCAGGTGATTTGTCATATGGCGCCTTGCGAGACGTATACCGCCGAGGCGCATTTCGGGGACGTGAAGAGGAGTGTTTCGCAGCATAAGAGTTTGGATCAGGATGTCACTAGTCTTTTGCCTTTTGGGAAGGGCGATGGTGGAGGTGGACCTACATTCGGCATGCTGGAGAAGTTGAGGAGGTGTAGGGGGTTGAGCAATAAAGTTGGCTTGTTGCCAAAGGTCAAGATCGCGGATAGTGTGGATGAGTTCTTCGATCGCATTGAGCGCAAGGTTGCGAATGGGGAGACGGAGCTCGTGACGTGGTATGGTGAGCTGTATTTCGAGCTTCATCGTGGCACGTATACGACACAAGCGAACAACAAGCGCGGGAATCGGAAATCCGAGGCGCTGTTGCATGATATTGAGTACCTTGCCACTCTGGCCACGATTCAGGGGAGGAAGGGGTACAAGTACCCGAAGAAAGGACTGGATAGTATGTGGGAGGACGTGCTGCTGTGTCAGTTTCACGACTGTTTGCCTGGCAGTGCGATCGAGATGTGCTATCGTGATTCGGACGAGGCATACGAGAGGGTGTTCAAGACGGGCAAGAAGATTCTCAAAGACGCTTTAGTTGCGTTGGGCTTTGATACCGATCATGAGAAAGCTAGTGATGACAAGCAGAAGCCCATCAAAGCCGAGTCTGTGACTCTACAGACTCTAAGCTGGCACCGCGAAACCCCGAAACACCTCACGAGCTACGATGATGACTCTGCGGCAAACGTAACCCAACTCGACGACGACATCTTCGAGCTCTCCAACGCCGACCTCAAAGTCACCGTCAAGCAAGGCGCCATCACCTCCCTCTACGACAAGAAAGCTCGTCGGGAATTGGTGCCCGAAGGCGCGACGTCGAATCAGCTCGTCATTTTCGATGATAAACCCCTTTACTGGCAAGCCTGGGACGTCGAAGTCTACCATCTCCAATCTCGGAAAGAGCTGAAACCGGAGACGAATTCGCACATTTCCGCCTCTGGGCCGGATCGAGTGGCTATCCAGACCACGACCAAGATCTCGGACAAATCCTGGATCAAAACCACCATCTCCCTCGCCGCCGCCGCCTCCGCCGCCTCCTCCGCCTCCTCAAGACTCTCGCAGGTCGAGGTCGAAGCCGAAGTCGAATGGCGCGAAACAATGAAATTCCTCAAAGTCGAATTCCCCACCACCCTCACCAACACCGAGGCCTCCTACGAAACCCAATACGGCATCGTCCGCCGCCCCACCCACTACAACACCTCCTGGGACATGGCGAAATTCGAAGTCTGCTGTCATAAATGGGCCGATTTGTCCGAGCATGGGTATGGGATTAGTGTGTTGAATGAGAGTAAGTATGGTTTTGCTACTGCGGGGAAGGTTATGAGGTTGAGTTTGCTCCGGGCGCCTAAGGCTCCCGATGCGCATGCGGATATGGGGAGGCATCATATGCGGTGGGCGATTCTGCCGCATAAGGGGGCGTTGGATGAGAGGACTGTGAGGGCGGGGTATGAGTTTAATTACCCGCTTCGCTCACTCCCGCACTCCGAGCCTAGGAAGATCAAAGACCTGATGGGTGCGTTCAAGCTTTCGGAGGACTCGGATAAGAGTCTCATCGTCGACTGCGTTAAGCGGGGTGAGGATGACGAGGACGCTAGTAATGGCGATATGCCCGCCAAAAAAGGCCGGCACGTTATCCTTAGGATCTTTGATAGTTTGGGCGGGTTTAGTAGGGGGAGGGTGTTGTTCGGGCCGGTGAAGGTGGGGAGGGTGTGGAGGTGTAATTTACTGGAGGATGTGATTGGGGAGGTGGAGGTTGGGGAGAAAGGGTTTGAGGTGCAGTTGAGGGCGTTTGAGGTGGTGAGTTTTAAGGTGGAGTTGACGTAGATGATGGGGAGGTGGTGGAGGTGGTGGGGGTGGTGGAGGAGTGCGTGCGCGCGTGCGTGTGGGTGCGGTGAGGGAGGAGGGACGAGGACGGTGGATATGGAGGGGGGCGTAAAGTGTGCAGAATGACAGGGTGATGGGGAGTATGTAAATGAGCATGTAGACTTATGTAGGAAATGACAAACACATTGATAAATTTGACTCGAATGGGAGGCCGCCGATGATATTGCGAGTCACTCACGGTATCAGCTGAACATCGCCGGCATTGGACATTCTTGTTGTCGTGTCTTGCTACTGTCCAAAGACTACACACGCTACATTCAAGATACCCATCCAATACCTATCCAATACCATCTGCACAACTTGCCCTTCATTCAAGCCAACTCGTCCTCCGAACCATCCAAACCACCAACTTTCTGCATACTCTGCCGCGCACTACTATCAGCCTTCACCTTCACGCTCTCTGATCTCAACCCTCGCCCTCCTGCCAGGGCCGGTGTTGCGGATCTTTCCCCGACTAGACTCCGTTGCTTAAGCTTCTCCACTACTGACGATGCTGCCTTTGCCGGGGTACCGGATCTTCTGCCTGCTGATGGCCGTGGCTTGGGTTTCTCTGATGCTGTTGATAATGAAATCGCGGGTGTCACGGGCCTCGCCACGACTAGATCTCGTTGCTTGAGCTTCTCCACCACTGACGACGCTGGCTTGGCTGGTGGGGTTCTAGCGGACTTTTTGCCTGCTAATGGCCGTTGTTCAGCTTTCTCCGATGCCGTTGGCACTGACTTCGCTGATGTTGCAGCTCTAGTATTTATTTTTGCCGGCGTAGTGGACTGCGTTGTAGCGAGAGTCTTCTGCTTTGCATTTTCTACTATTGCTGAGTCCGCTTGCGCTGGCGTACCAGCTCTGCTGTAGCCTAGCACTGGTGTGCGCTCGATTCGCTGCATGAACGACGGACTCGAAGACCTGGTCGCCGAATTGTTCACGCTTGTCTGATTCGGCGCCTTCTCGTGTACGGCAGATGAGTCCTGTTGCTGCGCTACAGCCCGCTCTGCTTCAGCGACCTGGGCGATGCCATGATCCCTCGCTGGAGAACTCTCCGGCTCACGGTTCACATCAGAAATGATGCTCGCATGAGCTTCGATCGGCGGCGCAGTGTCGCCAACCGTCTTCGGATCTTTCCGTGACTTGGGTCGAGTGATCTTCGGACCCATCAACTGACGCTGGAGGATGTCTCCGCTTGTAGACGGTACCTCATACTGGGGTGCTGCAATTTCCTGATTGTTTTCTAAGAAGCTCGACGGCAACGCATACTCTGTGATGCCTTGAGGCCCCTTTGGCTTGTTCCTGGCGCCTGGAGGACGTCCAGGTGGCCGTCTCGGCCCCAGTGCACGTTGGTCCGCCTGCGAAATGATGCCATTCTTCGGTGGGCGACCAGGCTTGCGTCTCAGTGAGATTTCCCTTTGCGCCATGAGCAGATCCGGTATCCAGGTGTCTGTGACTGCAGCCAGTTGACTGTTCGGCATCCGAGCGGACTCGTGCTCAAGGGCAGGTGTTGCAATATCTGGCGTGTTGCTAGCAGTGGCTGTAGTGTCATCGTCTGCTGCCATAAGACGAGGGTCAATTGCAGCCGAGGAGCTCGTACTCCTGTCTGTTCCTGGCTGTTCTGCCGCGTCGTGTGCAGTTCCTGCCAACAGCGCAGGCTCACTAGCCATACCACCCTCAGGAGCGGTCAACTCTACATTAACTGTGGTCTGCGGCTCATTAGAATTGCTTGTTCGATCCTTCAGCGTCATAACGGCTTCCTTCGTACGGAACGTCCATATGTCCCTGCGACCCGGCATTTTTTGGAACTCACTACTTGTGGCAAGATGTGCCCGCAATGTGCGCTTCCATCCTTCACCGCGGGACTTGAAGTATGGAAATTTGTCTTTGAGATACGCTTGCATCTCTCGGACTTCCAGGTGCTGCGACTGGCTCGACTTAAGTGCCATCGTGATCAGATCGGTCCAGGAGAATGGAGGGGCTTCAGCACTCCTGCCAGCTGTAGACGGGATGCTTACAAGTCGATCCTTGATGGTCGCACCCGGAGGCGACAGGCTTCGAGCTGTGAGATTTGGATATGCAAAAGAGGTAGGCGCTACTGTTCGAATTACAGGCTTCGAATCATCCTCCGAGCTGACCACAGTCATGTCGTCCTCCACCATATCGTCTGGCATGTCGAGAAGCTCTTCCACCTGTGCTGGTGATGCTGCCATGAGAGTAGACCTAGGCATATTGAAGTACGGCATCTTCTGTTGACTGTATCGTGCTGGTGTGCTGTACATAGCAGGCGCTGGGGCAGCCATGAAAGGTGAAGAAGCTGGTAGCGGAGTCTTGAATGGTGTCGCTGCTTCCACAGGCGTGGCTGGTGGACGAGAGGTGGACGCACGGGCAGGAGTCGTGGCTGAAAGATGAAATGTGCGCCCCGGCTGCTTGACATACCGTGTTGGATCTCTTGGCCGCCATTCTTCCGTGGTTTGTTGCGCCTCGACGGCGGAAGGAGGCGGGTTCAGCAGCTCTGGTATCTCGCTAAGTGTCGGTCTTCGTGACAGCTCTCCATGCACTGGTGTGTGGGTAGGTAGGCCATGGATGATCGGGAGTAATGCTGCTGCTGGCTCGATGTTGCTGTGCAGGGCCCTACTGATGGAAGGTCTCACATCAGAAGCATGACTCAATGGCTTTACAGGACTAGATAGTAAGGTCGATGTGCCAACACCGTAGTCCACCAGTCCGGAGTTCCTGATCATGTCTGGTGAGCTAGCCATTTGAGCTTGGAAAGCGTTGGCCGACATCATAGAGTCTTTGACAGGAGTTGTAGATGCCGAAATCCGATCGAGTGGACCCTGACCCAGCTTCGCGAAATCAAAGTCCACCTCCTCGTCCGATATTTCCTTGTCTTGTGCTGGTTCCTTCGGCGAGCTTCTGACTTGATCAGTGCTGACGTTGGCAAAATCCAGATCGACTTCTTCATCAACCTCGTTGTGACCGTCCTCCTTCTCGTGTGCATTGCGTAGCAGGCTGGTGAAGAGGTTCATCGGCCCAGGGTGGCCATCGACTACTACGCTTGGTAGCTCGATAGCCCTTTTGCCACCGTTCGGTATACGCCGCATGCCATTATCCATCGCTTGGCGCAGCAAAGCCCTAGACTGCTTCGATCCGCGCTTCTTCTTTCCAGACAGTGGTGAAGACCAGGTGGCTTTGTGTTTGCAATATTGCGCCCAGTAGCTGGCAATTGATGCAGGCGTACGGTCAGGTAGCTCTGCCGCGATCGTTTTCCAGTCAAGATTGACGTTCCGGAGCTCAGCAATGCGTGCATGTTCTGATTTGGTGTACTTTCTGATTGCCATCGAGCGGGCTTGATGGCTGCTCGGAGGTGTGACGGCAGTTGTCATACCGCTCGGAGACCCAGTGATGGTAGGATGTTCTGTGTCACTGTTGATCTTGCTCACCTCGCCATGGGCATCCGGGTCCTGCTCAGCTGTCCTTGAAGTCCGCTCCGAGCCAGTGCCTCCTGTTAGGGCTGGGTCGATTATGCAAACATTGTCCTCCGCAGCTTGATCATCATCCTCAAGGGCCTCGTGAATATTTATCTCATGGTCTTCGTCTTGTGTTGATGTAGGGACAGGTACATTCATCATATTTTTAACCTCCGTGAGATGTTCGTACCGATTGTTCAGTGACTCCACAGTCCGGCCGGGCAATGCTTCGGCAATCTCTTCGAAGGTCAATCCTTCCTCGTCCTTCATCCTCATCAGAGCAAGATCTTCCTCGCGGCGCTGCCTTAAAAGACCTCCCATACTGTTTCTGCCTGCAGGACCTAGTCGGACTTCATCCTCTGGATGGCATTCCAAGAAAAGATACGTGTATGGATCGTCCTCGCCGTCGCGCATAGCCTGATGCCGGTGCGCAAGGGTACGGACATAGCGCTTCTGAAGGGCAAGCCATGTCCGTTGTGGAAATTCCTGAGCCAAAAGCTCCCAGGGTAGTTTGTCGATTTCCCGTAGCTTGATAATCAGCTCGTCTTCTTCCTTCGTGTATGGTCTTTGATGGTTCCCCGGTGCCTTCAACGCCGCACGCCGCTTTCTGGGTTTCGCCGGCAATGCGACAATGCCAATGAGAGTATTGTAATGGAACTCCACAGACTCGTCCGTCTTGCCCGGGAAGTGCTCAGCAATGCGGCCCCAGGTGAACTCGTGGTCTTCTCGTAATTGAACAAGCAAATCACCCTGTTCTTCTGTGAAGATGTCGGATATGTCAGCCTCCGGAGGCTCCTCGAATGTAAAGCCCTGCTCGACCAGTGCACTGCGGCCTTCGCTCGACTGATTGTTCAGTCGTTTGGAGTATCTACATTGCACGCCATAGTGAGACCGTCCAGGAAAGAATCGACCTATCCGCTCCCATGGTAGACAATCGATCTCTTTCAATTTAATGATAAGTGCATCTTCCTCTGTCGTGAATGCGCCAGATCGAAACCCAGGATAGGAGACAGTCCGAGATGTGTTCGCTGGGTACGGGTCACCTCGAACAACATCGTCTTCCACCGCTTCATCTTCCGACAACGGGTCAGGTGTGGGTGGTAGTAGCGGCCTCATTAGGTCATAGCGGTACCAGTACATCCCGCAGGCATTGCATAAATTCTCGCGATCTGGACCGAGGCGCCAGGCAGTGGTCACCTTGATGAGGCAATGCGCGCACTCGCGTATTGCTGCAGTTTGGTCAGGGGTATTTTCTGCTCCAGACAGTCCTTCGCCCGAGACAGCAGTATCAGTGTACAATGCTGTTCGATTCCCGATGACAGCTTTGTCTTTCCTACGTGTGCGCACCCCCGGCTGCTTTGGATGATGCACCGGGGCCCATATGGACTCTCGTGGTCCTCTCCGGCCTTTTGGTGGCGATAGTATGTCCGACAGCTGGACTAGCTGCGGTCTTGGTTGAGGATCTGCAAGACGTCTTCTCTTGAAGGCAGGCAGCTCAGGGTAGTCCCAGGATGAATCACCTCGCGACACTTTCGATTTACGTTTCGTCCTGTTCTTGTTCTTCTGACCGACATATCTCGCGAGCTGGTCGGCAATGTCTTTGCCAAGTTTCTCTATCGCGTTCGAGTCGATATCGCGGCCAAGTCCAGTAGCGTGACTCAGCTCCTGCAAGCTCTCTTGCAACGCCGGCAGGCTTATGACATTCGAAGACAACGTACGATCTGGATCCTGCGAGTCCCGGACATGCCAGTCTTGCTCAGCAGGTGTAGCTAGAGGCTTTGGTAAAGCCGTGTTGGACGTTGCATGGATCAGCTTCCGCAACTCGGGGTCTACATTAGAGAGATCCACGTTCACGGATGCTTCCAGGACGGATGAATCATGGTCACTCTCGTCTTCAGGCCCTGACTCAGTATCTTGAGCAATATCCTGATCGTAGCCATTGGCGAGTTCGTCCACATCAGAGTCGCTGCTATCCGACTCTAATTCATCATCATCGCCGTCGTCACTAACATCTCCGTCGTCAGAGGCGCTGTCGTCTTCGTGCTCAAGCTGAACAGCAAAGTCTCTCACTAGCTGTAGCGATCTACTGCCCTGCCCAGGATCGGCCTCATGGAGCATGTTACGAAGGTGGCCATTGTCAATGACAATTTCTCCAGTTTCGATGTCGATTTGATCACCAACATCGGTGAAGTCGCGGGAGTACTTGGCAAATATGTGTTCAAACCGGCCTCTGAGACGCTGATCATTCGCATTGCGGTCCCGCCTGAGCTCCGGACTGTCGTTCTCGGGCCCAGATTCGTCGGGATCACCGTCATCCTCCGCCCACCCCTCGGGCGGAGTCGCGTAAACCTCCTCCTCCATCTCCGCGTCGCATGTGTCTGATGAATACTGTGAAGGAGACGCCATCACGACGCTCCATCTCGTGTGGTGGAGATCGTGCTTACCAATATGTCGAATGATATATGCAACCGCGAATTGCAGAAACGCGTGCTGGTAAAGTGTAGTCGACGCGCTTTCCCCGGATTCTTGGCGCCACCTGTGGCGGTAACCCTAAGTCTCACATGTTTCACAGCACCACGACTACATGCACAGCGCAAGAACTAAATCACTAATCTGGAACCTCAAGATGATCAGTCACTGCACTGTCGATCGGGTCCCTGACTATAGCTAAGAATTATGGTTCAGCAGCAAGCACATACTGCTAACCGTCAGCAAACACCTACAGGAAACGGAACCCTCTAGGCTGGGTGGAAGACTCTCTCTGCACGAAGTATCTTCTTCTACAAAGAAGTGTGCGCGGTTGTCAGAGCGTAGGGGCTCTAGTGGAGTTTCCAGTGGCTGGCGCGCCGTTACTGCATGACACAATGGCAGCTTTACATTGCCAAAAGTGCCGCACGCCTCTCAAGGTGGACTCATCATTGCAAGATCTGAACCCTGCATCTTTCAAGATCCTCGCAGATGCAGCGCCAGCACTGGAAGCCAAGGCACCAGACGCGCCACGATCTGCAGCTGCTATCGAACGGCGGCAACGTTATGACGATGTATCTCAGACGGCCGGATCAGCCATACATAGGAGGAATGTCTCGGCCAGTCAGCGAAGCAGTGGCAGAATGAACCCAGACATGTCATATATCGATGTGACTGCATCACTAATGGCACCCGAAGGTGTTATAGAGACACCATCGAAGACGAAAAAGGCTGCGAATAAAGCAAGTACCACCAATGGCGATGGCGGAGAAGCTCTGTCAAGGCGGATGGAGACTGTCACGAGACTGTTTGATATTCTTTCCGCGCGATCTGATATCGATCTCCCTATCTGTTCGGAGTGTACCGAGCTTGTGCTCGACGGCCTGCAGAAGCGCCAGACAGCCGTCATTCGCGAGCGAGACGCTTACGTCGAATTCCTGAAGCAAGCACAACAAGATGTGCCCACGGACGAGGAAGTGGCGAAGACTAGACAAGACCTAGAGACTGCTCGACAGCGTGAGAAGGAAGCACTAGAAGAACTTATAGCACTCGAAGCTGAGAAAGCTCGGATGGAGGACGAGATCGCTCTTCTGGACGCTGAAGCCGATGCCTTGGACGAGGAGGAGGAAGCATTCTGGCGCGAGCGTAACACTTTCACCGCAGAACTGACTGCTTTCCAGCAAGAGCGAGATAGCTTGCAGAGTCAGCTGGCTCACGATACCAAGCTTTTGGAAAGTTTACAGCGGACTAATGTCTACAATGACACATTTGTGGTTGGCCATGATGGAGTATTTGGCACGATCAACGGCCTGCGTCTCGGTCGCTTGAACGACCACCCAGTCGAGTGGCCTGAGATCAATGCAGCGTTAGGTCAAGCATTACTGCTCCTCGTAGTCGTCGCGGAGAAGCTGGGCTACAAATTCAAAGGCTATACTCTACACCCAGTCGGCTCGACCTCAAGACTAATCCTCACCGATCCCGACGCAGTCGCTACAGGTGCAGGTAAAGCCAAGAACACCGTCTTAGACCTCTACAGCAGTGGCAGCTTCGCGTTCGGCATCACTGCGTTCATGGGAAGCTTCGATAATGCTATGATTGCTCTTCTAGAATGCGTAAGGCAAGTCGGCGATTACGTTGAGCAGACCACAGCGTCACAATCCGGTGGCGAGCAGCGAAGGATGCCATACGAGATCCAAACGGGGAAAGATATGGGCAAGATCGGTGGTGTGAAAATTGGCTTGAATGGGGTGCAGAAGGAGGAGCAATGGACAAAGGCTTGCAAGTATCTGCTTACATGCTGTAAGTTCTTGTTAGCGCACGCGAGCCATGTGGCCAACGAAGCAGATTCGAGAGGTGTTGGGTCGTGAGGAGTCAGCTGAGAGCAAATCATCGAGTCTTTGCATGCTGCGATCACGACTTTGGCTGATGCAGCGCATGACCTCTCGAGTATAGCATCTCCATCACCTCTGCACTCTCGCGATCCAGATGCTCTGCTGGAGCTCGCGGTACAAGATTGCCTTTCGGACCCGCTTCGATGCACTCTCCCGACATCTTGCCGTCCAGGAAGCTCGCAAAGGCATCTACGACAATCTCGATTGGCGTGAGGAGATCCTTGTCTGCCAGGGTGTCGTAGAAGGAGGCTGTAGAAATACCCGTCTGGACCACGTTCGGGCATACGGCGTTCAGTGTGATGCCTTCTTCTGGAAGATACTTGCCAAAGGAGCGAACGTAGCCGACTATGCCGTGCTTGGCTGCAGTGTACATTGGAAGTGCTGGAAGCATCTGGTCAGTTTCAAAACAGAGACAGAGCGATTGAAAGGCATACTCGGCACGCAATAGAATCCGCAGACGGAGGCGACGGTGGCAACTGCATGGCAATTATCAGCACAATGTTCTCGCTGCTGGAAATCAGAGCACCTCACTCTTCCCACGAAAGCCGTCTTCACCTTTCTCCTGCCTCCTCATCTGCTGAAGAGCAAGAGAACTCGTATACAGAAAGCCATACAAATCAACATCCAGCACACTCAAGTCCGGCTTCACAAAACCTTTGGCCTTCGGATCATTGGGCACACTGACTCTCTCACCAATCCCAGCAATCGAGTACACGTAGTCGATTCTACCTCCCAGATCCTTAAGCACACTCTCGAATACGGAGAGTTGGGAGTCCCAGTCACCAGTATCGACTTCGTAGGGTTTGACCAGATCGTCCTGCTCCTGGGATTGATTGTTGAGATACGCAGCCACTGATTTGACCCCCTCGTAGTTCTTGTCTGCTGCTGCAACGCGGATTTTACGGGCGGCGAGCATCTCGGTAACCTGGCGACCTATGCCTGAGGCGGCGCCTGTCACATAAGCGGTCTTCTGAGGAGCCATGTTGGCTGTGAATAAGGATCGCTGATGTGGTGGGCAATACAGGAGTAGATAGACGAAGAAGAGATCTGGTAATGTATACGATACCTGACTGTGTACATAGTGCTGATACCATATGCTCGTGGGAGACAGTGTCAGACTAGAAAGAGCGGCCGAGGGCTTAGAGCTTCCCCGCCACGAGCAGAATAGTGGCGTGAATGGATTCCGAAGGACCATGGGAATAACAACCCTCTCCATTGCATGAGTACCTCCTTTAGTCAATCAGGGCAAGCAAGGCCTGTACCCAATGGGTCACACAGTAGTGAAATAGGTACCTAGGAGAACGAGAGTGAAGTAGTATTCACTGAGGAGCACAAGCGTTGCCGGCACTAGTCACACTAGTCTCTTCTCCACATATACACGACTCGGTCACAAATTGTAGATCTCGACATCGACAATTACTCTCTCACTGCTTGCGCCGGAATTTATTGATCCTCAGTAGACCCCACAAGCACCGCGAAAATGCCTCAAGCACAGCCAGAGCTGAAAAAGGTATGACACCTTAGATATCCGTTCGGGAGCGCGGAAAGTACTGACCAGCTTCCCACAGTACCTCGACAAACGCGTAGAAGTCCAACTAAACGGCTCACGGAAAGTAATGGGCACACTACGCGGCTACGATGTACGTTCCTGCCGTCCTCTCGCCTTATCTCACGCCACAGCACAGCACAGCACAGCACGACCTCTCCTCTCCTCACTTCCGCAAATGCTGATACTCGAGTGTGATGTATAGGTCTTCCTCAACGTAGTCCTAGACGAAGCAACGGAATCCAAACAAAACAACGAAAAAGTCCGGCTAGGCATGTGCGTGATCCGGGGGAACTCGATAGTGATGATCGAGGCGCTGGATAGGATCGGAGGGGATGATCGACATCGACAACCTCGGGATTGAGGGAAGGTTGGAGGAACTGGAGAGAGGAATATCAAGCAGTGAGCAGTGCTGCAGAGTCTTTCGCTAGACGCCGGCTCGTGCTACAAATGCGATTGCATCGTGGAAAGCAGCTACACATGGCCGTGCGCTGAAAGAATCGAACCAAGGACCGAGTGAAGGAAAAGGCGTATGGCGCTGGAAGGCAGCGGCGGTCAGGGAGTCCAGGAGTCGGAAACGAGGGCGCTGTCTCGAATCCAGGTGTAGGCTGTATACCATGATTCATCCATTCACAGTGCTGTTCGTCTCATCATCGTTTCTGACGCTATGGATGGGAAGCGATCTTGAGAAAAAGAAGATGAAGTGCTGAAGGTTTGCAATCTGCCTGGCCTTTTGCTGGCAAATAGGACAATATAACATAACTACAGCTAAATCTGCACATCCCAAAAACCAGCCCAAGGTATCTCATACAAGCGTCGGCTTAAAACATCAAGTCAATAATCTGGCCCAGCCAATATCCCTTATTCTCGCCCTCGTCCGAGCGTGTCTCCACACTCTCTCCTCTCTCAACTCCTCATCAAATTAGCAAACACAGTAACCTTCTCCACATCCAACCCCTCCTTCTTGCCCTCCTCCGCCGGGCCAGCCTTCTGCGCCGCGACCTCCACTTCCACTCGATTAACACCCTGCATCAGCGTCCCGTCGTAGACATGTGTCCGCCTCCCGTTATCAGAGTGGAAAACTGTATCCCGCTGATTCAGCCTAAGGCCATTGAGTGTGACGAAGAGCTTGTATGGTCGTCCCATACTCAGTTGTTTGCTGATGGTGGGGGAGATCTGGAGGTAGTAGTGCGTGTTTGGAAGGGTTATGGTTGTGCTTTGGTGGCTGAAGGTCGGGTGGGGTGGGATGTTGAGGGTGTAGGGTTGGGGTAGCGGTAATTGCGGGTGGGTTGAGAGTGTGACTGTCGGTAGTAAGGCGGCTGAAGCGGGATAGTGTCGGGTTGGTAGTGGTGGGAGGGCGGCAGGTGCGGTGTAGGTGTAGCTGCTGACAGGTGGTGGAGGTGCGCCGAATGGGCTACCGCTGGGTGGTCGCGTGGATGGCGGAGGCATCATGCCATTCGTGAGTGCTTGTGTAGTAGGCACAGCAGTACCGAGAGCTGGCGTTGGCGACTTCTCCGGCTTGACCGCCATGCCCGGTGGCGAGCCAGCCTGTGCGCTGCTGGTCGGTCGTGCTTCAATGGTACGCACATGTGAGCTGGATGGTGCGTTGCCGTTAGCCATCGCAGGACGTGCTTGTTGCTGGCCATTGACTCCTGCATTGACCAGTTGCTTCTGGCGGAGGAGAGCCTCATTGTCGATTTGCACGCCAGGTGCGGGTGAGCTGCGGTGCTGGTTCAGGTTGAGAGTGACCTTCGGCTTGGGTCCACCCAGCTTAATGCTCGGTCTAGCAGGCTCGTCGACCTTTGCTCTTGCATCTACCATAAGCTGCTCGAAGTGCTCCTGTGAATGGTCAGTTGTTGGTTCGGCAGTACAATGTCAACCTGTTCCCACCTTGAACGCATCAGCAAGAACGAACATATCACTCCCTTCCTCGTTGTAGGTCTGAGCATTGCGCCAGATGAAGCTGACTTCTTCCTCGAATGTATCCCAATTCTTAAAGTCGCTCACACCGGTGGGTGGCGCACGGCCATGCTGACCGCGGGCACGCTTCGCCACCCCTTTGAGAGATACCGGGTGCCTGATAACTTGGTAGTAGTCTTCCAGTTTTCGTGTCGGGAGGTTGCCGAATGGTGTGTATATCTCTAGCCCTCTGTAGAAGTGTTAGCTGGATTGTAAGAAAGCAGACGTACACGCAACACATACTCATCATCCGTGTAGTGTATCATGAAAGACACAATCTTCTGCTGTGCTTCCTGGAACGACAGTCCTGTAAAGTCTAGTGCATCGCCACCGGTATATGCATCCTCGTCGTCTCCGGTCGCCGCACTCGGAGCGATAGACTCTTTGCGATCTGTAGATGGTTCGAATGCCTTGATCACTGGTCTTCGTGGCTGCTCGGGCTTCGTGTCGTCGTCGTCCACAGCATGCGAATGTCCGTCATTCCGCGCCGCTCCGCCGTTCGTATCTGGTATTGGTGTTGGGAAGGAGATGTAGTTTGGATCTGAGGTGTACTGCGGGTTGTTGAGCTTCATGTAGTTGTAGACCAGTTTCCGTATTCGCTCGGCATCCTCGTATATTTCACTCTTGGGGTCATTGTAGCTCTTGGCATTCTGGATCATACGCTTGAGGTCGCTCTCGATGGTGGTCATGGTGGGATATACATTGCGCTTGAGCTTGTCCTCGATGATGTCGAGTGAGATGGGGAGTCGCGTGAACTCATAGTAGTCGGGCAGGTCGCGATGTGGTGGCAGCTGCAGGAACTGGGTTGCGATAAGGTGGCCACTGAGGGTATTGTGTTAGCAGGAATCTAGCTGCTCCTCGACATTTCATACACACTTCTTGTCTTTCGAGCTGCGCAGCTGATTTATGAGTGCCTGGCCCAGGTCTTGTACCGTGTTCTTGGGTGCCGAGTTCTGTCAGAGTGCAAACTCGGTCAGCAATGTTTTGCGCAAGGCAACGAGCAGAATGTGGTGAGGTCTTGCAAGCGGGATGACGGAGGTGATGGACTGGGTGACGGTAAGTGGCTCGCGTCCTCGTCGTGATCTTCCTCACAACTTCTCACTTGTCTCAACCACCACCGCAACACAAACGCCCCAAATAACCTCCGTCGCGCATGCAGAGACGACGCGGTCGCTGTGACCGCTACGCTACTTTCTAGCGATCGCAGTCTTGTTGCTACGAGGGAGAGGGGAGCAGACGTGAGGACAAACTCACCAGTAGTCGTATCTTCTTGGACGCGCTGTTCCCGTTCTCGGTCGTGCTCGCTTTCCTCTTCCTCCCAGAGTCCATATTGCTCAACACACGCAACCGGAATGCACTAGAAACGCGTCGATATATGTGACATGCGAAGTCGGGTGGTGTGTAGTCGTCCGCGCAGCACAGCAGAGTAGCAATCGTGCAATCGCATACAATATCCCATGCCCGCAGTCCTTTGGCAGTTCTGATGGAGCTGAGAGACACTTGGTCTGTGCTTCGGCTACAAGTTCTGCCGTGCCGACGTGCACCTCTACCTTTCAGCTCCACTCCAACAGACTGAATACACACATCAGGAAAAAGGCGGGAGTCTTTTGTATCGAGCCCAAATGATATTTGGAAGCACGCTCAGGGACCGCGTCTAATAACGAGGACGAGACCAGTTCATTAGGTTTTTTTCTCCCACCCGAACGCGTGACTGCGCTCGAATGTGTCTTGGCACAGACATCGAACTTGAAGGCGAGCAATCATAGAGACCGCATCTATGCGCTGCTAAGTCTGTCTACTTGTCCCACTAGAGCATTGCCAATGCAGCAATTGAGTGGAGCTATACCACGAACAGTCGATGCAGCCATCGATATCGATTACAGCCGCTCAACCTCGTTGGTCTTTCAAGACGTGACCAAGTATATACTGGATCGCGACCGGAGTCTGCAGATCCTGTTATACCATACCGGCCATTCTCATAGCCGACAGAAGCTAGGACTACCGTCTTGGACACCAGATTGGCGACGCTTCGAACGCCACAATCACGATCCTAGGTTCCGGCAGCTCGATCGTCTGCATAAGTCAGAGCTGGAATTGTCGTTCAGGTCAGATGCCGGATGTCTGATACTACAGGGTTTCCAGGTGGGAACCATAGCCATGTCTACTCACGATGAGCCCCCACTAACCGAACTCAATGATGGCAGCAAGGCCGAGCCTCAAACGGAGTATTCAGTGTATACTACGGTGGGTGACGTTGTGATCACTTGTGCGGGAAGCAGCGAATGGTTTGTGATGCTGCGGCCGCATGAAGAGGGTTGCCAGTGGCTAGGAATGTGTGTGATTAGGACGATTGGAAGTGGTACAGAAGTATCTGAGCCAGTGCAGTTGTCTGAGCTATTGCCCACGCTCAAGGCGCGGATCGCAAGGCGCGAAGGGAAAGGATTCCATGTATATTAGACTGTGATACGCGAGCGACCTACCCTCGAAATGATCAGCGGCCTGGTCTTCGCGTATACCATGATTTGACGGCCCCAGTCGAATATACGTCTATCACAGTATATCAAGAGTACCACGACGCATCACGAGTCGCGAACTACAGTGCAGTGCTCGTGGACTCGGTAAAGTATCGGCGGCGCATTCGGTTCACGCGAGAGGGACCTCGGTATTGGTGCCGCAGTTCGACCTCTATGCACTTCTCATTACCACGGTCAGGATCATGTAGTAGCCTTGAATTATCGCTCTCCTCGTGAGGGTGTAGTGAACATATCAGCATCATGGCAGGACCCATACGACAGCCCATTGATATCCCAAGCTTGGAAAGGTACATCGACAAGAATGTGCCGGAGATCAAGACGCCATTGGATATCAAGCAGGTAAGGCTGATTAGTGATAGTGTTCACTGCGGACGTACGTGCTGATATTAGTCTCGCAGTTTGGCTATGGCCAGTCAAATCCAACATACCTCCTGACATCTCGATCTTCCAATGCCAAATACGTCCTACGCAAGAAGCCGCCAGGAAAGCTATTGTCCAAGACAGCACATCAAGTCGACCGCGAATACAAGATCATCCATGCTCTCGAGAACACAAAAGTCCCGGTACCAAAGGCATTATGTCTCTGCCAGGACGACAGCGTGATCGGGACGGACTTCTACATCATGTCTTTCCTGCAAGGCCGCATATTTGAGGACCCAGCATTACCAGATGTGAGCGAGGGTGACAGAAAGAAGATGTGGAAGAGTGCCGTACAAACGCTTGGGAAGTTCCACAGCGTTAGACCAAAAGACGTAAAGCTGGAAGGCTTCGGCCGACCTTCAAACTTCTACAACAGACAACTGAAGACCTTCGCCACGATCTCCGAAGCTCAAGCAAAAGCCGTAGACGTTGATACAAAGATCCCCGTAGGCAAGATCCCGCACTACGACGACATGGTCGCTTTCTTCGGCCAAGCAGACACCCAGCCCAAGGACCGCAGTACCTTCGTCCACGGCGATTACAAGATCGACAACATGGTCTTCCACCCCAAAGAGCCCTACGTAATCGGTATCCTCGACTGGGAAATGGCCACAATCGGCCACCCACTCTCCGACGTAACCAACCTCCTCATGCCCTTCACGACCGCCTCCTCCGAAAGCCTCCGAAGCGTCGGTCGAGCAAATACCGCTTTCATCCCCGGCGCCACGCCCGGCCTGCCGACAAAGCAGGAATGTATCTCGTGGTACGAGGACGCCGTCGGCTGGAAAGTCACGAGTACGGAGATGACGTGGGCGGACGCCTTTGGGATTTATAGGGGGAGTGTGATTATGCAGGGGATTGCGGCGAGGTATGCGCAGCGGCAGGCTAGTAGCGAGAAGGCGGGGGATTATGCCGTGCAGATGAGGCCTTTTGCTGAGCAAGGGTGGGAATTTGTCAAGGAGTTTATGCGGAAATTGGAGGCGGGTGAGGGGAGGAGGGAGCAGGCGAGGTTGTGAGATGGTTGTGAGATGTGCTGTTGCTCGATCTGTTGATGATGTTGAGTACTCAGAGTTACGTTATGAGTTCGACGCTGAGTACTGGCTTGCCTTGGCGTCACAAGACTTCACACGTGGTCTATGGTTGTTATGCAGCAACGATATTCACCTGTGATACCTTGTCGAGTTTCCCAAGCATAAGCTTGTGGCCTAGCATGTATCAACAGAAGGAACAAGGACGGAGACGGATCGGATATGGACTTGATCCGTGTTTTGCATGCCCGCTCGGACCGATCGAGTCGGATGATCCTCAAGCCATCTCTATGGCTGTAGTTACCGATGCAGATCAGGACTTCGAGGGATTCTAAGTTTACTGTTGTGCAGAAGCGAGACGAAGATGTCTGGCTGCAAAGTCAAGCTCCAAGGTGCCCAATATGTTGTAGCTGCGGATAGAAGTGGGCGGACTGCGAGACAAAACAAACAAGGTTGGTACGCTGTTGTAAATGGCAGTCGACTCGACGACTTACAGGACCATCGGTGCTATAATTTGATTGTCGTAGCGCCGTAGTCGTGGGACTTGGGCCACAGCATCGCTCACATATTCCAACATGTCATCAGAGCAAAAGATTGCCGACCTGGAGGCACGAGTGTTGGCGGCAGAACGTCTAGCAGAAAAGGTCAATAATCGAAGCAATTGTTCATCCACCTCGACTAACATCCCACACAGGCCCACAGCCGCGGTGCAATCGAGAACGTCTTCAGTAAATACATGCACCTCCACAACCACTTTCAAGACAAGCAGATCAAAGCCCTCTGGGTCAGGCGCGGCACCGAAGGCGTCCATAGCCAGTACACCAATAATGGCATCTACACCGACTATGACTCCATAATGGCCTACCACACCGGTCGTCCTTCGCCGAAAGGCAAACTGATTCTCCACTACACCACCACACCGCTAATCGAAGTCGCTGCCGATGGCGAGACAGCCAAAGGCTTCTGGTGTATGGCCGGTATCGAAAGCGGGACCGCGGATCCGGGTAATGTTGGCGCTATGCCGGAGTTCCTGTACGAGCCTGAGAGTGCTAATGTGGATGGGAAGAGGGTGTGGGCGCATTGGGTGTGGTGTCATTACGCTATTGACTTTCTGCGACAGGATGAGGAATGGAGGATTTGGCACTTTAGGTGTTTGGAGGTGGCCAGGGCGCCGTATAGTGAGAACTGGATCACTTTCTCTGGGAAGAACCAGGTGGCGTTTGATAAGGTGAGATGCATTGGTGAGGTTGATTGAAGGTTTCTTGGCTGACCCCGAATATACAGGATCTGGCATATTTTGGCAATGACGGCAAAGCTGTTTTCATGCCTACCCCTGATGCTCCTGTCACGAAGGTGAATACCCAACGGGGTCCCAATTCGTCTTCACAATACTGATGAATTCCCAGAAAGCTGATGTCTTCGGCCTGGGACGATCTCGGCAGCTCGATGTCCCGCTTCCAGCACCGTACAAGACTTTTGCAGACGTAGAGGAATACTGAGCGGTTTCATTGACTTTGTGGGTGCGGGACAATGTACCGTCTCGAGATCGACCACATTGCCAGATTCTGTTATGTTCTGGCGGCTGGTACTAGTGTGTCGTGTTCGAGACGAGACAGATGTGAGGAGCACAGATCTTGGCTCCCGTTGTCTTTCATACTCTAATATACCGTATAAACTGGTTGCCAAGACCATTCTCTGCTACAAGACTACCTGCGCTTGAAGACTACGTTAAAAATTGATAAAAGTGTAATTAAATCTCATAAGACTATAGTCTTAGCAACCAGTTATACGGTACTCCACTTCGATGTGATATGCCTTTTGTTTCGGATGCTTGGGGGCCTGACTCGAACACTTCTGGCACAACCCTCCCATGCACGACCTTGATCTCCCCCACAATCTCCGTGTGGAGGCACAATCTTGGCATATGCATAGAGAGAACCCAGGGTGGGCACGATCCCACGATCGGTCATCTGCCAGTCGTCGACCGAGCCATATAGATGGGCAGCTCAGCCTGGATTTGGCGAGCTGATCCCCATCCTCTTTTCCACTCGCCACACCATACCAACACAATGGGTTCCATAGGTGAAACAGTCCAGCTGCAGTTCCAGGACCCGGTGGTTGTGAAGCTTTCCGACGAAGAACGCAAGAGCGGTCGTATGAACGAAGAGAATGTTGCGGCAGCTGTGATAGCATTCCACAGAGATGGCTTCGTACTCCTCGAAAACGTCGTCGATCCCGCGCACTGCGACACCCTCGACGCGGAGATGTGCCTCGAAGCCGAACGCATGGCCAAAGATCCCAAGACAATCTGGAACGATGTAACGTAGAACCCACGATCGAGACAGGTCCCAGCGAGCAAGACTGCTAACTAGATCCAGAATCTCCACGCCCCCAAAGAAAAGCGTTCAGGCAACATGCAACACGCCCCTCCCCTACGCCCAGAAGTAATGTACGAAGACATCTGGGCTAATAAACTCACCGCCACCATACTCTCCAGCATCCTCGGCCCCAATCCCTCCTGCAACTTCGCAGACGGCAACACCGCCCTCAGCGGCGGGTACGGAGGTCGCCAAACCGTACACGCAGACATGGCGTACAACTTCCCCGGTATGCCGTGCACCATTACAGCAAACTACTACCTCGAAGACGCCTCTGCCACCAACGGGTCGACGGAACTCTGGCTAGGTTCAGCACGATACTCTACCTTCCGGGACCATAAAGCTTGTCGTGTGGCAGGACCAGAGGACGATGTGTCCAAGCCGACGAAAATCAGTCTACAAACTGAGGATGACAACTACGCCATGGAAGCCAATTTCGGCGTCCGCCTGGATGTTCTCGAGGCGAGGAGAAAAATCGCTCCGCCGGTCCAGCCAAAGGTCAAGAAAGGGGGTGTGATGCTCCGGGACCTCCGGCTTTGGCACGCAGGGATTGCGAACCCGAGTCCCAAGACCAGGATCATGCTGAATTTCATCTATACGCCTTGGTGGTATAAGGTATGAGAAGGTTCCAGTTCGCACACATCTTTTGCTCTCAACCGGCATAGTTTGCGAAGAGTGGCTGTTGCTGACGTAGATCCCCGTAGTGCCCGACCAAGGTCAACCTCCCCGAGAAAGCCAGACCGCTAGCTGAGTCCTGGGCGAATCGCAAAGATCATCCGATTGTGCTGCAGACTCGTTATTTCCCTACCGAAGCCGAGTGCAAAGCGCAGCAATTCGGGATCGATTTCAGTAGTCGGAACCCATCGTATTGGAAATCATTGGACACTTCGCTGATTGCTGGATACACTTTCATCGACGAGTAGTCATTCCTTGCATGCGGTAGCAGTGGTCAGGATCTGTTTGGTTGTTCGTCTGGTCGATCGAGAAGAGTGCCCACTATTGCAGGAGGTAATGATGATATGCGTGGACCATGGGATGGGCGCCTGATATGATGATATGTTTCTGTACATAGAAGGACTAAGCTGCTCCGCAATGCCAGTACATCGATTTCGGCATGCACAAGCCCACGCGCCTCGAACGCCACCTTATTTACACATCTTTGCCACCCACGTCCATCTATCGATCGACCTCACCAAACACAAGATCCATAGTTCCAATGATAGCCACGGCATCAGCCAACAAATGTCCCCTCGAAATTTGATCGAAGCAAGCCAAGTGAGCGAAACCAGGGGCTCGAATCTTGCATCGGTACGGTCGCTCTGACCCATCACTCACAACATAAACACCCATCTCGCCCTTCGGCGCCTCGATCGCCGAGTACGTCTCTCCAGGTGGGACGGTATAACCCTTGCTGAACAGCAAGAAGTGATGGATCAACGCCTCCATATTCTCCTTCATCGCCGCGCGAGGTGGAGGAGCGATCTTGTAGTCCTCGACCTTTACAGGTCCGGCGGGCATCTTGTTCAAGCACTGGTGGATAATCCTCAACGACTGCCTGAACTCCTCCATGCGGCAGAGATAGCGGTCGTAGCAGTCGCCGTTGACGCCGACCGGGACATCGAATTCGACCTGATCGTAAGCGTCGTAAGGCTGGCTCTTGCGGACATCCCAGGGGACGCCGGAACCGCGGAGCATGACGCCAGAGAAGGAGTAGTTCAGGGCGTCGGCGGCGGAGACAACACCGATGCCCTTGGTTCTGCCGATCCAGATGCGGTTGTCTGTGAGGAGTTCTTCGGTTTCGTCGATGCGGTCGCCGAATTGGGTGGCCCATTGGTAGATGTCGTCTAGGAGGCCGATGGGCAAGTCCTGAGATACACCGCCCGGGCGGACGTATGCAGCATGGAGGCGAGCGCCGGAGACTCGTTCGTAGAATTCCTGAAGTCATGTCAGCTAGAGTATTTCGGCCCGAGCATTTATTCGTGAACACACCATAAGCTTCTCACGCTCCTCGAAGCCCCACAGGAACGGGGTGAGAGCACCAACATCCATGGCGTGTGACAAAACAGACATGAGATGGTTGAGCACTCGCGTGATCTCTCCAAACAATGTCCTGATCCATTTGGCTCGCTCCGGCACCTCAATGTTCAACAGCTTCTCCACAGCCAAGCTGAAGCACTGCTCGTTGGTCATCATGCTGACGTAGTCCAGGCGGTCAAAGTATGGCAGTGCCTGCAGATACGTCTTGTACTCGATCAACTTCTCCGTGCCTCTGTGCAGTAGTCCAACATGCGGATCCGCCCGCACGATCTCTTCTCCGTTCAGTTCCAAGATCAAGCGAAGCACACCGTGAGCAGCGGGATGCTGTGGGCCAAAGTTGACGGTGTAGTGGCGGATCTTGCGCTGTTCGGGGTTGTCTGCCTTATCGTCTGCCTTATTCATACCTATGGCATCTGCGTCTACGGGGCGAGCGAAGCTGGGGTCGACAGGCACGAGTCGGGTGGCATTGGCGTCGACTGGGGAGGCCATTCGTCTGGCGGGCGTCGAGGAGAGGCATCGGAGCTGCTGTTGTGGGCGGAAGGAAGGGGTGGCGGCGCGGTGTGAGAGTCGCTTCGCGCCGTTGCCGGCGAGGCGGGCGAAAGAGGCTGCCATCCTGGGTCACTGCGGTGGTGTACCAGGAGTATGAGGTGGCAGCGAGGTGAGGGGAGAGGTGGTCGTCAATGGGATACTATCGTGAATCGCCGCCCTTCAATAATGCAGTCGATGATGCTGTCTGCTAGCGCGAAGTTCTACCAGCAGTAGGCCAATCGGCACGCTTGCCGTTAGTAAGCAGAAATATGTGCTTCAAAGAAGCATCAATTTTCCGAGAGCATTGAAAACAGATCATGACTTTACGATAACACGAAATCATGCCGAGCTGGGCACCACTAACAGCTGAGCAACTGGCCGAGCAGCGACGTGGCTTAAGTGAAGCACAATTACAGGACCGCAAAATCGTCAATGTCAACGCCGAAACTGTAACCGATGTCTCTGCTACCGATATCCCAGGCCATTGGGGCCAAGGCCAAGACGACAGCTGGGACCTCGAACGATTTCGACAAGTCCTGGACATCAAGTTCTACCAAAACAAGCCCCACGATGCTGCCTTCTCCCTCATAGGCGTGGACGCCTCAATCGCCAATGCCTTCCGCCGCATCCTCATAGCCGAGATTCCCACTTTGGCAATCGAAGACATCTTCGTCTTCGACAACACCTCCATCATCCAAGACGAAGTGCTCGCGCACCGATTGGGCCTCATACCCTTGACCGGCGGCAAAGAAGGTCTAGATCGAATGTCCTGGTTCAAGAAACCGCCACCCAAAGACGACTATGCCGCGCAAGCCTTGTACGACCAAGACGATCTTGCGCCTTCGGCCAGCGCCCCGAACGATCATAATACGGTCGTCATGTCGCTGAAAGTGGAATGTCGCTGGGCTACCACGAATGAAGATGGTCGGGACGGCAAAGCGTTAGCTCTAGACGGCGAAACGGATCCAAGTGTCAGGTACGTGAACAGTAACGTCTACGCACATCAACTCGTCTTCGAACCTCAAGGCGATCAGACGGACTGGTTCGCAGGCGACGACGCCATCAGGCCCATGAACCCGGACATCCTCATTGCGAAACTCCGACCCGGTCAGCGAATCAATCTCCGCTGCCACTGCATCAAAGGCATCGGTGGCGATCACGCGAAATTCTCCCCCGTGGCCACAGCCTCCTATCGCCTCCTCCCACACATCAACATCATCTCCCCCATCTTAGGCAACGAAGCCAAGAAATTTCAGCGCTGCTTCCCACGCGGCGTCATCGATCTCGTTCCCGATGAGGAAAGCGGGGAGAACAAGGCTATTGTGGCGGATCCGATGAAGGATACGGTCAGTAGGGAGTGTTTGCGGCACGAGGAGTTCAAGGGGAAGGTCAAGTTGGGGAGGATTAGGGATCATTTCATTTGGGGCGTGGAGAGTACGGGGCAATTTGAGAGCGATGAGTTGTTTTTGGATAGTGTGAGGTTGCTCAAGGCGAAGGCGGAGAAGTTTAAGCGGCATCTGACTAAGGTGGAGGAGGGGGGTTAGGGTGGGGCACATACTTGGTGTGATGGCAGTCGAAGTTCTGGATCAAGGAAGGCGCTTGTGTGGTCACGGTGGCGATCCATGACGAATGGATTATTTGTCGCATCGTGGTTGTCCTTCGTCAACGATCAAGCAGCACTATTTGCGACCCGCCGGGCTAGACGTGATCTGCTCTTGGCTGCCTGGAGCCTGCGCAATGTATAATAAGATAAACGATGGTAGTCGGCAGATGCCTGTTCTGCATGCTGCCTCAATGTATGGACTGCGTTGAAGCTGATGGATATGATTGGACAACGCTGCATAGCACCGCCTCCCACAGCCGCTTTCCATACCCAAACCTTCGTATATACATCGTCTGCAACATAATAGAACAGTACCAGCAACAACACGCGAACTCAGTGGGCGCCATTTCTCACGTTGTCCTCTGATGGTCTTGTTGCTCTGTACTCTCTCAAGGCTCTCAAATCAGCCAAGATGTGGCTGCTAAACACCTCTGCTTTGGAGCTGAAATACTTCTTTGAGAACAACAGTCCCACCTATGCTGTATTGTCTCACAGATGGACCCAGGAAGAAGTCACCTTCGAGGCCATGGGAAATGGTGACTGGCAGCGTAAGCCGGGAGGATTGAAGATTTGCAGCACAGCGTCGCGTGCACGCCACGACGGCTTCGACTAGGTCTGGATTGATACATGCTGCATCAACAAGGACAGCAGTGCTGAATTATCGGAGGCAATCAATTCTATGTAGGTCGACTTGCTGGCACATGCCGTCGGTGTGCTGAATATAACGTGTGTTCACAGGTGGCATCAGTATGAGCACGCAGAGGTCTGCTATGTCTTCCTCAACGATGTGATGCCGCCGCACGTCGACGACCTGCTTTATCAGCTTGCCGACAGTAATTGGTTCAGGTGAGGATGGTAAGATTTTTGGTGATAGCACGGCCTATACCCTCACTGACAGCCGGCAGGACGCTACAGGAACTGATCGCGCCACGATCGGTGGAGTTCTTTGATTGTGAGTGGAACGCTATCGGCACGAAGATCTCGCTGGCCGAGTCAATCGCCGCCACTACGAGGATCGATGTCGACGTCCTGACTGGTCGCAAACATGCACATGAGGTCTCCGTGTGGGAACGATTCTCGTGGGTGACACATCGTTCGACGACACGACTGGAGGATCGAACTTATTGCCTACTCGGTCAGTTCGCGGTCAACATGCCGTTGCTATACGGCGAAGGCGATCGGGCATGGGATCGATTGATCAAACAGATTGCGAAGTTGCCACCAGCCATGCAGAGTTTCTCCATGGTCAAGGAATGCCGTGTCTTCTTCCATGTTCATTTCGATCTGCCGCCTGATATGCAGATCAGTACCGCCAGCGTGCGGCCAGGGTATGCATGGTCCATCAAGGGACATACGGCTCTAGTATGTGGCTAGGTCGAAGCAACTTACACTGTTGTCCTGCCCATTGCAAGCAGGAATGCCAGCGGGGACAAGCAAAACATCGATTGTGCCTTCGGCGTGACCAAGCGTACTGTGGGAACCGATTCCAGTGGATGGCTTCAATTGGGTATGGACTCTTATGGACATGATGAGATGTGGTTGAAGCAAGTAGAGAGACTTGGTTGTGCAAAGACTGGTATCCTTGAGCTTGAGCTTGACCTTGATAGGCCGCGAAGCTTGACGGCGACAATCGAGGAACAGGAGGAGATGGCCAGGTCAGGAGCTAGAGTTTTTGTGCTTGTAATTCGGCTGCATGATCGAGGCCAGTCTCCGGGCGGGTGGACATTGTTGCCTGAACCGTCACCGCCATGCACCAGGAGTGGTGGATCTGATCGGGTGAGAACACCATCTAGACTGGGTATCAAGGCATGGTTCCATCAGGATCAGATGCAGAAGATACGGGGACGGCGGCGGTAAGATAGAGCGTTCTGGATGTCGCAGTACCAGCCGGGCCAAGCTGTGGTTTGCCCGTGATGTAAGCAACAGGATTGGTGGTCTGCACTCGCGAGACTGCGGAGGATAGGAAGAGTAAGGAGGTCACATACTATGTAGGAAAGGCATATCAGGCATCAGGCGTACTGTATTATTCCACCTGCATCAAAGGGTTTGACGCGCGGATCATACCCTGCAGGACGCAGGACGCGCGATGGCGTCCCAGGGCTGAACTAATTGTACGAGCGTCTTGCACATGCTGGTACAGTGTGGCTTGCCTGAGTATCCTTATCATTGCAAGACAATTGTTGGGGGTCGTACAGTTGCCTTTCTGCTGTACGACGATGTTGTGTTCAAGCCACTGTGCACCATGAAGGACGACGAGGAAGGCCAGGCATTCCTGGGTTCGCCTTCATCAAATTGGCAGCAAAGTTCCAGGAGCGTCACTGAGCAGAGTTTCGCTATTGCGACCCACTACGTCGACAATGTTAAGGATGTCTATTCGAGGTCACGACTGAACAGGTACAATGTCACGAGACGGCAGCTGTTGATTACCCTTGGCTGCCTCTTCTTTGGAATCATCCTCCTGACAGCATTCGGTCGGTCGGGTTCAGTCACAGGCTTAGTCGCATCTTCGGCCGCGGCTGGCATCTGCAGTAATGCTCGTGAGAACCCACACAGTATCAAGGCACCGTCGCGACCGAACGTGGCTCGGTTGACGGCGGTATGGCCTGGGGTGAAACATGCGCTCGAAATAGGAGGGAAGGACCTACCGAGCTTGGACAAACCGGACTATGCCTTTCACCCTGACGGAGGACCGACGATTGAGGATTATCGTGCCCGAACCGATGATCTCAGTGCAGAGGATGCGCTGAAGATACGGCAGATTCATGCCAAATACATCAAAGCCATACCGAAGTACCCGAAAAAGACATACAAGGGCCGGGGGATAGTCATGCTGGCAGGTGGGCATTATAGCGAATTCGCCGCGACCTCCCTCGGCGTGCTGCGGGAGATAGGCAGTATCCTTCCCGTCGAAGTCTGGCGACGAGACGAAAGAGAAGAGAAGCACGACGGCTGGTGTCAGGAGATCGAGAACGAAGGCATGGCCTGCAGACGTCTCTCAGACTACCTAGACACCGACCTCATCGACATCAAAGGCGGCTACGAGATGAAAGTCCTCTGCATGCTCTTCTCCAGCTTCGAAGAAATCGTCTTCATCGACGCCGACAACATGGCCCTCCAACGCCCGGAACTCCTCTTCGACTCCCAAGCCTACAAGGACACGGGTGTAGTCCTCTGGCACGACTATTGGAACTACGACAACATCGACTGGCTCGACTACGTCATCGGCGTCAGCGACGAGAAGAACGAGAACCTGTGGGAACACACCACGCACGAGAGTGGTGAGATCGTCTGGAACAAGAAACGAAACTGGGACGCCTTGATGCTGGCAGTATATTACAACTACTTCGGCCCGAAACTCTACTATACCCTGCTCAACTTCAATTACGCCGGCTGGGGCGACAAGGACACCTTCGCCCTCGCCTTCCGCGCCCTCAAGAAGCCCTTCCATACCGTCCTCGCTCCTCCCGGAGACGCCTGGGAGCGCGGAAAGGTCAATACCCGTCGAGTCGGAATGCTACAGATGGCGCCTGGAAGTGATCCACCCGTAGCTGCGTTCCTGCACGTCACAACGGTCAAATGGTCACACAGAGATTTCGTCTGCGATGGGTGCTTACCGATCTGGCATACCGAGTCCCCCGGTGATCCCTTCATAAGTGGCTGGGAAGACTCGAATTCCGAACTCTACCCTTTTCTACACAGTAACCTCAGTATTATCGAGCCCGAGGGTTTAGATAAGTACATGCCTACCACACCGGGCACGGATGTCCCGCTCCAGCTCGAGGCCATGCTTTGGAGGGCGACGGAGTACGCGGCGTGTCGGTCTCCGGCTTGGAGGCATGAGCGGACTTGTGCGGTTGCGCGGAGGTATATGATGGGGACGTGGGGGTTTACGTTTGCGATGAAGGAGAAGCCCGGGAAGAATACGACGGAGATGAATGGGGGGCTGGCGTGGTTGCCTAGTATGGAGGCGAAGACGTGCCTCATAGATCCGCCGGATTTGTGATGGGATGGGATGGTGCGATAGACTAGAGCGCGATTGTAGCAATATTGTATGATGTTCAATGAACGAGCTGGCCTAGTCGAAGCTTCCATACTACTCAGATTGACACACGAAGTCCCGACGTGCGATGCTGTAAGATAATGACGATAGGGAAGAAAAAGATGTTAGCACGAGGACATGGAAGTCCAGCAACCCGGTGAGTTCAAAGATAATTTGGCTTGCTACTTACCACGCACAGTTGGGATATATTCATCCATGTCTAACGACCCAGACATACCAGCATAAACACGGCACTCCAACAACCCCCAAACTGGCAAAGAACTCCCCCACCGCCTCGCGAGCTTTACTCGGTGTCCGTCGCCTCCGCTTCCACTTTGCCTGACTATCTTCCTCCTCGTCCTTCCCCTCACCCACGTCTGAGACAGCGCCAATATGGCTCTCTTCATCCGAGTCGATATCGTCATTAGGGTCGAGCCATCTGACAGTAGGATAGAATCCCGCCTTCTCGATCAGCGGAGCACTATTCTGCTGGTCTTGAGAGGTGCTGGGGAGTACGTATGCGGAGCTGTTGGGAGTGTATGAGTTTACGGCTGGGGAGACGGAGCGGGTCCGTGCTGTATAGCTTCTTTGAACGCCGAGATTCGTGCTGCTATTCAGAGCTGACTCGAGGGAGGTCGAGGCGGCGCGGTGCCGGCCTTTGGTCTTGCCTTCTTGCTTCGTGGCGAAGCCATTGGCGGTGCCGTTTGATTTGCCCTGGTAGCGTGGGAGGACGAAGGGGCTTAGAGGGCTTTGGGGCATTCCAGAGTCTTCGTTGCCTTTGTAGCGTAGACCGAGGACAATTGCTCGGAGAAGCAGGACTACTACGGTGCCGCCGAGTAACGTGGCGTAGTCGAGGAAGATGCCTAGCTGGTCGGGCAACAGGCACATATGCGTCTGTATGGTAGGAAGTGGGGTGCCGATTGTCTTGCCCTCGGCGTCGACAGGGTTCCACAGACTGACGAGCTGGAAACCGGGTTTCCGAACTCCCATGGCCCAGCTGAAGCTCTTAACTGTGATCTCTTTTACATTTGTCAGACCTGGTGTGGTTCGACTTGCATCGTTGGCAGGCTTTTGTGCTTGGCCGATGTTGTATCGGTGTGAGATGTCGCAGTAGTCGTGATCGTCACCGGAAAAGACATGTGCTATGTCGCCTGCTTTGGAGACGTGCGATACTATGGTGTTTGAGAGTGACCTGGTCACAACATTCTGGTATTGGTAGCCAGCTGAGATGGAAAGTGCATGCCCTCGTTCTCGCTGTGCTCCGCAGTCTGTCTCTGGGTCGCGGTATAATGGAACGTGAGTGAGCAGGATTACTGGCAGCTGTGTACGCGAGCGAAGACCCTTTTCGCGCGGAGTACGCTCGTCGCTCGTGTCGAGGACATCATGTAGATGGCCGAGATCAGCGTTCTGCGACGGATAGTAGCTCTGCAGAGTATCATGTACGTACTTCTCAGCAGGTACTTGTAGGTTCTCCATAAAGTCATTGGCAGGCTGCCAGAGATACATCAACTCTGTCGCTTGAGCTGGTTGCGTCTCGCCACCTTCCGGCAGGAACTGACTGAATGCCGACAGTGACGGCGTATCAAGACTGACGAAAGTGTGATTGCCAATGACGTCGATTCGGTTGCTTTCGCCGAAAAGCAGCTTGAATCGATCTTGGAGTGGTAACTGTACACCCATGCCGAAACCAACATCATGGTTGCCGGGCAGACTGGCGATCACTCGGCGCTGCTTCCCTCCCATTGTAGCATATTCATTCCACGTCACATTGTTGGCGCCATTCTCAACACTAACGTCGTCTGCTCGCACCTCATACGCAGCAAATCGTTCTCGTGCTAGTCCATCCGGATACAGCTGATCTGTATCGAAGAAGATATGGCTGAATCTCCTTAAGTCGGTCTCCCACTGCTGTTGACCCCATGTAGACCATCTACCCTTCTCGCCATGCACGAACTGTTTCAGATCACGACCACTGGGTGTAAGGAAGTGATCCTTTTTCTCAATGACATGATCATGAGGCATGGACACAGCTTTGCGGAAGCTCTCCATACTTCTCTTCTCGACCTTGTCCTCCTTCATGACGCCAAGCCTCTGCAGCATTCTCCTCTGGGAGCTCTTGAGCGGCTTGGCCCTGCTAGGAGCCCACTCTCTTCCACCATCGAATAGATCTCCCAGGAAGACGATGGAGCTCGGGTCAAGATTGGCATTGATCAGCCGGAAGTTGCGACCCATGTAGAGATCCGTGTATCGTTCTGTAGCTGTAGATAACGGCCATGGTCGTCCAGGATATGTATGTGGATCCACCAACTGAGGATCCGCGATCAAGACCAGATGATGTGGTGTAGCTCCAGCCGGCCACCTCTCCCACTTGTCCCATTGACAGGCCTTGATATGCTTGCTGAACAGCGTCCTTTCTCCATACCATACAGCATAGATCCAGACCAGGGTGACCAGGGATGTGACGATGGAGATGCGCTGCAAGAAGGGGTACCGCCGTAGTATTCGGCGAGACTGCTGGGTCGCTACATGGCGAAGATGCATTATATGCAGGCAACACTCCACTCTTCAGCTTTTGATCTGTGCCTGCCTCTCATGGCGTCCTTTCTTCATTCACCTTCATGACTAGATCTCTCGAAAGTAATCGAATACCTTATATTCGTTGCCCTGCATGGCCAGAGCGCGTAGACGCGTGGCGCTAATGCGGCCTAAATCTGGGGTAAGGGTCAATCAAATCTTAGCTGAGGTTTGGTCTAACATCGTGTCTCAGCCTTCTTCGCCATTACCACTCTAAGCGTCAATGTGACTGCATTCACTCCGTCCAGTCAAGGGCTGTGTGATCCACGGCGGACCGATGACATCTGCTTATACTTCGATGTACAGACGGATCACACGCGACCCAGCATGTCAAAAGGTGCCACCACGATGAGTGTGCAGGTCTGGTGGAGCAATGGGGTTTGCTCGTCATTCGAGAGCGTATTTGCTACCCCTTACACGAAAGCCTCGACTGGAGAACCATTGACCTAGTACAGCACGGGAGCAGGCTCATGGATCGATGAATCCATGCTCAGCACGAAGTACCTTACGATAACCTGGAGGATTTAGATTTGCCATCGTATCTTGGTCCCGAGCCATTCTTGCTAGACGCTCCTTCAGCTCGTGCCTTCGCCCTCAAGGCGGTTGGACGAAGATCATATTTCTTACACTCGCATCTTTTATGTACCGCTGACCTGACAGACCGATTGTGCCGGGGTAGGTCCATCAGCGAGCTAGCAAGGCAGTGAGCTAGTGAGGCAGTGAGCTAACGAGGTAGTGAGCTGGTGAGGGAATGAGTCAGCGAGGTAGGGAGGTATAAGGAAGTGAGCTGCCCGCGAGTGTAATCTCAGTAATAACTCTTCAGTCCACAACAGTAATTCGGGCAAATCAGGGCACATATCTTTGCAGATTCCGATATGTCGACAGTACCTCATCACTTCCTTGGCACGACGGCAACAGGCCACTGAGACCCGGGGCAGACTTACACCAAACCTTCCGCTACAGGCACCTCGGTCCTGCACCGAACCACACATGATACGGACGACCCCAGACTCGAACGAGTCACACGTTGGTTCAGTCGCAATCGGAGACTGGCACGTAACGAGGCAGAGCTTCCTAGCCATATGCTAATTCGCCATACAGCAAGAACGGCAGCACCCCAAGCCATCGAGTCGTGACCGACAATATGGAGAGCTCGCCCTTCTCCAAGCTCTCACCCGAGCTACGCAATCGGATCTATCACCACGCTTTGCTCAGAGCCAAGCCCATCCATATCCATCCTGACCTCAACTTGGACAGGTTCCAGAAGCGTGGGATGCTACGTTGCGTCCACCCAACCACACTGATGCAGACTTGCCGTACGATCAGAGCAGACAGCACACAACTCTTCTACCACGAGAACTCCTTCGTCCTCCACCAGTACCCCCGGTCGGGCCGAACGCTCTTGTGTGGACGACTTCATAAGCATGGCCAGACCTGACACCCACGCTGCGCTACGACACATCAAAGTCGGAATCGCGATGCGTTACACGGTACATCCAAATCTCCTCGCAGATGCCTATCAGTCAGCAAGACAATTGGTCAAGATATGCCTGGGGGCCAGCATCACTGTGCACGTTACTACCTATTACTCCGGACCCTTGGAACCAGGAGGTCCAGACTCTTCATACGAAGCTGAATTCCTCTTGGACGCCACGAAGACGGATGAGAGCGCTGTATGGCAGGCGGCTGCGAACATTGCGTGGGCCAAAATGGAGGGGAGGCTGAAGTATCTCCGGGGCTATAAGCTCGCGTGCGAACTGGCGACACACGAGATGCTGATGACCATTACCGCTGGAGTCAGGCTTCATGATGGCTGATGGCCGCCCGCCCTTGTCTGCACTGTAAAACAGAAGGGACGCCCATACCGGTATGAGCACCCCTGCTATCTTGATGGTGAGATGGGATTAGAGTGTCTTTGGCAGGTCACGCTCCAGGACGATTGGAACAGAGGTGCGTCTGGAAGCACTGAGCAGATTGATTCAAAAAATGGTGCGCGTACTGCGGACTGCTTGAGGCAGTCTGCCTCGATGTTGCTATGGTTTCCAAGTGCATATTTTCAATACAAGTCACTTGTTGTATTCAGCTTTCATACCATCAGAGACAATACATAACGTAAAGCCTCCCAAAAGTTTACTGCTACGTTAGAACTAGCTTCACAGCGTGCACAGACCATCCACTTCACTTCCGCCAAGGTGTTGTCGCTGCCTAGATGGAATGAGCTTCCTCCTTGCGACAACGACTTCACAGCGTGCTACAGATGTCGCAAAGAAATAAGCAGCAGCAGCCAAAGATCATGGTAAGCCATTCGATTCGCAACACGACCATGCAGTATACACTTTGCCTGCACCCTATCTAACACAACTCCAACAGTCTCTCTCTACCATCGCCTTCATCCTCGCCGGTCTGACAGCAGGCGGCGGCATAACAGGCTACATTCGGGCTGGTTCCGTCCCCAGTATGGTCGCCGGCTGCTCCGTCGGACTCCTCTACGCTCTCGGCGGCTACCGTATCCAACAGCGAGCTACGTACGGCGTCGAGCTCGCGCTATTGGCGAGTGTTGTATTGGCTGGAAGCAGTATTCCACGAGCAATCAAGACGCAGAAACCGCTGCCTATTGGGTTGAGCACGTTGGCGGTGGCGGGTTTGTGGCAGTTTGGGGTTGCCTTTGCTGGGGCCAGGGGACAGTGAGGTGGTCACGACGAGGAGAGAGCTCTTGTGAAGATATGAAGAACAGGTTGGAGCAGAATCTGTGTGCAGAATATGATACCATTGGAAGTTGAGGCAACGTTGAACATTGACGACTCAATACTCTATATTACACTAATCATTGACGACAACATAGCATCTGAGATGAATTTACAGAGGCCGAGCTCCTTTCCAATATCGCAGCACGATCCGAATCATTCATCCTGTGCCCTCACTCATCCAATTCACGATCTCTCATTGGCGCTCATTATGGCCACCAACTGCTCCTCTGCTCTTGGGCAAGCACAAAGTGAAGCTCAACGACCGGTAAAATCCTTGGTCGCATCATCACCAGTATTGCCTGCAAATTTGCCAAGGGGATTCTGGAGAGCACCACCAGTGAGATTGCCCAGACCCTGCTGCACCTCCTTGACCTCCTGTAATGGCTGTCAGCGCTCTGAATGTTGAGCTCGTGCTGGGGATCGTCATCTCACCTTCTGGTCAGAAGCAGGCATTGACCCGATCGCATCCTTCATCATATAGGACGCTTTATTCTCTCCCATGGTCTCGAGGGCCTTCTCCTCCATCTGTCGCTTGAGCTGAGGTGGGATGCCAAAGCTCCTTGATGTCAGCGGTTGGCAATGTGCTTGGAATGCAGACTACTTACACCGCAATATATCCACCTAAAAGAGCGACGACAACGGCGATCGTCGCCAAGAGATATGTTCCTGTTGAAGCCATGTCGTCTGGTTCGAGCTAGATTCTGCACGTGTTGACTAGTGCTGATGTCAAGAAAGTCAATTAATCCTACTGCAGGTGATACGAGGGAATGGAAAGGATATACATATCAGGTCCTGCAGCACACAAACCTGTTTTGAGTTCACGCAGAACCTGAGCCGCGTTCGAGGCGCGTTCAGTGAAAGAACTGTGCCCCGCCAACCAGCTCCTCTAGTACGTCATTTCTGCTATGTTTCATACGAGCTGTTCAACAACTTCAAGAAATCTTCAACAAGTCACTTGATTATCCATTCGATCACGTACTCACTCATCAATCATCTACTAAATCATGTCTTACGGCGGCGACGATTACGGCGGTGGACGCCAGCAGCAGGGCGGCGGCTACGGAGGAGGGAATGAACAAGGACGCCATCAACAGGGTGGCCAAGGTGGAGGCTACGGAGGAAACGATGAGAATTATGGGCGTCAGCAGCAAGGGGGAGGTGGCTACGGCGGTGGCGGACGTGAGGACTACGGTGGGCGCCAGCAAGGTGGCCGCGACGACTATGGAGGGAATCAACAGGGCGGAGGCTATGGAGGTGATGTGAGTGATTTCTTGCCAGCAGCGGGAGATTATGTCGCGCTGACTTGATCCTTCTTATAGAGCTATGGAGCTGGTAACGGTGGTGGTGGTGGTGGTGGTTATAGTCAACAAGGAGGCAACTTCGGTCACCAATCGGACCATGGCCGCCAGGAGGGTCGATTCAGTGAAGGTCAGCAGTCTGGTCAAGGCTATGGCCATTCCACTGGCACTCAATATGGTGGCGGTATGGGAGGTTATGACAACGACCTATCTGGCGCCGCTCAGCATGCCCAGCAGCACGCTGGCGACAGTGGTGATGGAAATATGTTCAGCCAGGTTTTGGGCAACCTACAAGGCCGACACCAGCAGATTGCAAACGAGGACTTGGACGAGCAGGACGCGGTCAGGAAACATCAACAGATGGTAATGAGCTTCAACGATTTTGGGTATTCCGAAGACTGACACTTTTGACAGTATGGCCAAGGTGGACCAAGCGGGCCTGTAGACTCTGGTAGCATGGGTAGCGCTGCGGCCATGCAAGCATTAAAGATGTTCTCCGGTGGAGGGGGCCAGCAACAAGGTGGTCAGCAGGGCGGCGGAGGTCAGAACCAATTCGTTGGGATGGCGATGGCCCAGGCTAGCAAGCTGTTTGGTATGGCGCTGAGCTCATCAATGAATCTCATATATACTGATACGACATGCAGATCAGCAGCATGCTCAAGGCAACGTCCAGTCAGGAAACAAGAACGACGCGGTCTCATCCGCCGCCCAGATGGCCTTGAAGATGTTTATGAAGAGTCAGGGTGGAGGAGGTGGTGGAGGAGGAGGAATGGGAGGGTTGATGTCCATGGCCAGCAAGTTCATGTGATCTGGTTGCTGTGTAGCCGGCAGAGCATTTGGTGGATTAGCTCGCGATTCATGCTAGATGAGAGATGAGCCCGCAGATCGTGCTCATTGGCAAAAGTTAAGTCTTTCAAGCTAATAGAGTGCACTCTACACTATCTACATCGGTCTCACTGTCGGGGATCGTCATTATCATAGGGCAGCAAGTTCTCGTCTGCTTCGTCGTCTTCGTTCCCACTAAGTTGCACTCTCTGGTACCTCCCCTTACGTATTCGTGCCCACCAGCCATCCATCGGCCTCGTCCTGGCAAAATACAACCCCAACAAGCCGACACTCATGACTGAGAGAATTGCTGCAAAGATGATGGACGTCCGACCCAGATGTGGTGCGTTATTCGGATCAGAGGGCGTGATGTATGCCAGCGCTATACCCATGACGGGCTCAAGGGACCCGTCATTCGACTTCATCGGTGCATGTCTGGCCGTGTCATATAAAGCCTTAATTGACCATCGTTGCCCCTTTTGGACTTTACCAACGTTCACGCAATGTTGCATGCTAGTAATATGGCTGGTGCCATCTGCTGCATCATTCGATTTCCCATAGGTAGCGTAGGAAGTGCAAGCCTTGAGCCCGTTCTTCAGTAAATTGACCTCCGTCCCACCGTCATGGAGATGTCCAGCTACGAAAGCGATATCACCGTCGAAATCTGCTGTCACGGCAGGACTCTTGTAGTGAAACTTCTTGTTCGCCTGAGCAGGGACGTTTGAGTCGCCGCAGCCGCCTACATCGAGCCAGTAGGGAACGGCTTGCTTGAAATCGTCCGGGATTGAGGGTACGTACTCCCAGATCATGCTAAGTACGACTTCTTGGGGATTACCAAGCATGTTCATGAGCTCGCTGGACATGATGAAAGCATCGTTGGCGAGGATCGGGTAACCGATCTTATGAGTCCCTTGATCCGTGAGATCGACTCGAGTCCGCTCGTTGCCGGATGCAAAGAACCGTTGGGGCATATTGTCGGAGCAGACGCTGTCATTTCTAGCGCGATTGATGAAGACGACGTGATGTAGCCACATGCCAGTATTTGCGTCCGCACGTGTGCCATTCGAGTATTCCAGGGCGGCCTCCATGGATGTAATCAGGCATTGTGAACAGGGAAGTGGTATGGCCGTCTGCGAGTGCTTCATGCCGTTGTCCTCTTGTCGTGGTGGAACCAGCTGGGAATCATAGCTGACCTTCTCGCGGATCGTGTCGAATGCTGCATAGCGACTCGATTCGAGTGTGGTTGTCCTGGCTGTAGCTATGGTGAGACGACTGTGGTCACCCGATGCCAGTGCAAGGACTGAGAACCATAGTAGCGATATAAGACGCATTTTCGTCGTCGGTGAGGAGTAGCGAGATCAACTTCTCCTACATGGTAAGCGTCACGCACGTTTACTTTATGCCGCATCATTTAATGTTGTTGCCTATAAGATAAGATGAACGCGTGGTGGGGATGGCTGTACCCATGTCACTCTACGCCGGTCTTCCCTCGAAAGTCAATCATATTAACAGTTGAACCTGTGCTGTCTACTCACTGCGTACGCTTTCATTATACTACATGATTGACGACATATGAGCGAGTGATACTTCGGCTCGACTGCTCTTTTATTTGCTCGACCACATGGGAGATATAACTTTTCACCGCCCACCGGTCATCCTACAGCTCCAGTTCTTTTACTCTGCCCGAATTCATCATCTGCAGTACATGGCCTCTCGTACTCGATACACTAGCTTTGGTGTTCAGCATCACAAGTTGGAATAGCGAGGATATCCTGCTTGGCTGAGTACTTCATCTTCTGGAGCTACGCTACTCCTTTCCAGGTCTTCGTTCGAAGCAAACATCACCAGCACCAGAAATGGTCGCTTCTGGTGTTCAGCTTCGCGCGTAGAGACAAAGGTGTGTCCGCAATCGATGGACAGCCATATATGGTATACTCTTTTGTGGCATGGCTGGCTTTCATGCTCATATCATATTACGTCTCATCCACAATCAGATACGCTGTTTCGCCTCAAGGCTTCTCCAATGTGGCCAAACAACACACGCTATGCCTGAGATGTACATCTTCATCCGCTCCCAGACACAGCATAATCACAAAGCATCTCTCGGCATCTATACAATCATGAATCGTTTCATCTTTACGCCGTAACCTTCTTTAGGACCTTGCCGAGACTATCAGCCTGTAGAGGTGTTAGCATGCACTGACTGTACCTCCGTGAATCGCACCTAGACTTACATGGAACGGTTGTGTAATCTATACAGAAAGAATCAGCATACGCTCATCGAGCAGTCTTCCGTGGGTGACTCACCTGGAAATGGTTTCCTGTCATATAGTCGAATTTGTACTTAGCACCAGGCAGTAGCTGTTCCCATTCTTCGGTTTTGAGATCACCCCGAGGCTCCAGCAGGAATCTTGTAACCTTGACTGACATGTCTACCTCGAGGCCAGACTCAGCCACACTCTTCACCAGACCTTCCTTGACCCAGATGAAGTTCACCGTTTTGGGCACCTTATCCTTGGCCAACGGTGTAGGCATATACCTGTCGACCGAGATGACAGTAGAAGTGAAGTGCTGTACTAGCCATTCCGGTGCCTTCTTTCCTCCTACGGCACCCATCAACCCTTTCTTGGTCAGTTCTCCGACCACCTGTGCCGGTAACGCTTCGTAAAGCAGCCGACATGGCGAATCTATCATGATCATTTGATCGACCTTCTCGCCTGCATCCGTAAGCAGCTTCGCAACCTCAAATGCGTAGTAGCCGCCTGCGGACCAGCCGCCAAGAATGTATGGCTTGCCCTTTGGTTGAAGTTTGCGGACCTCATCGATCCATAGGCGAGCCATACGTTCGATAGAGCATGTGAAATCCTGCGCTTGTCTTAAAAAGGGCGAGTTCAGACCAATAATGCAGACATCGTTCCCAATCTTCGGTAATGTACCATAGGCTGTACCAGCTCCACTTCCGTCCGGGAATAGGAAGACAACTTTCTTCGAGATTGCTGGGTCGCCTTGTAGTATCGACGATAACGGGACCTTTGGTTTGGGAACTCCTTCCCACGGATCTGCTGGTTCGGGAGGGCCTTGAGAAGCACTTTTTGTGCCATTGCTTTGTGACTTTGGAGCTCCAGCTTGGCCTTTGAGGAAAGCCTTGAACTCGCCTACTGTCGGATATTTTTCGAAGTCATCTGGCCTGACGCTCAGCCCTATCTGGCTTTTCAGATCTGACGCTGTGGCCGATGCAAGAAGTCCCGATAGGCCAAGGAACTTCCAGCTTTCGTGATCCTGGATATCAAATGGGTCAATCGATATCGCCTCACCCACCACCTCCAGCGCCTTATTCACATCGTCGTCGGAAGCCATACTGATGGCTAGACGATGGGCGTGAAACTGAATGTTGATGTTTGAGGTCCGATGATGTGGGATTTCGAGCCTGTGAAGCACGGACCACCACGTTTCGGACTTGGAGGGTTTCCGTCTCGGGTAGGAATGCGCTTATGATTCCCCTACACAATGTCCCACCAACATGCAGTTGGCGGTCGCCATCTTCTTTGACATGCCGGCAAAATGCTAGAGATCAGAACCATAGTCTCATCATATTCGCCTTGGTCCATGGCGACTAGAATGTAGCCATACCTCACGCAGGAAAGCAAGCTGCTACGCGCCATAGAGCCTTGACGACCGTCAGCCAGGAGTCGGCAGCTACTAAATCTCGAGTAGCCTCTCGCCCGTGGTATGTTCTGGACTCAAGTCCTAGCAGTGGGCTGAGCTTTAGTGGCGTGAGATTGGATCCATAGGTGGTGTGACCAGTGCAATACCTAGCTTCGACCTCCACATTTACAGGTCTCAGCTAGCTAGCTGCAGTATGGATAAGACAGTCGTCCCTGGACGTATCCCAAGCAAATCAACAAATCCTCCACAGCACACTGCTTCAGGCTCGAGCTCACCATGCTGGGACCTATTGATCTCTTAATTCCACCTGTTTTGCTGGTCGGGTCCATACTGACCCTACCCTTCACTCTGATCTCTACTGCTGCTCGAGGTCAACTCAAGACTTTGTCTAACTGGCCAAAACTACGGCACTACTGGTTCCATAACCTCTGGTTCTGGTTTGGACCCAGCACGAAGTTCCTATTCGCTGGACGTGTGAAACCATTGCTCGAGCATGCGAATGGGCTTGTACTCGACATTGGACCTGCAAGTGGGATATGGATGCCAGAGCTGAGCGAGGCTGTTAAACAAGGCAAGATAACCAAGATCTATGGTGTGGAGCCGAACGTCAACTTCCAAGGACAGCTCCGTGCCGCTGCGAAGCGATATGGTTTAGCAGACATCTACCAACCATTGCAGGTATATGCTCAGGATCTCGAAACGTGTGGAATCAAGAAGGGAAGCGTAGACACGATCATTACAGTACATGTACTGTGTAGTGTAGGGAATCACGCCGGACCGCTGGTCAAGGAGCTGTACGAGTACCTCAAGCCTGGAGGGCAGTGGCTGGTCTACGAGCATGTTGCTTCGAAGCATTTTCCGATACAGCTTTGGCAGCGTAGGCAGCCAAGTCCAAGGGACAATGGATTCTATGCTAACAGTAGGTAGGTCTCATCAATGTCATCTGGCCGACTCTACTGGATGGATGCCATATCTGTCGTGACACAACGAAGACATTACTTGCAGCTGGCCCATGGGAGAAAGTAGATGTTCATATGGACGCCAACGAGGGCTACTTTGAGAGTCTACCGCATCTGTATGGAACCTTGGTGAAAGCGGCTTGACATGAACGACCAGATGTGCATCACGTCCAGACCATCCCTCCTTTTTCCGCACAAGATTACACGCCAGGACCCATTGCAACGGCTACTAGGTGTGTGTAAGTGAGATAACGAGCTCGGGATATTAGTATTGCCATCAGCAAAGGACGAAGAAATTCAAGCAACCTGTGAGTCTTGTTCCCGATCGAAGCGAAGTGCTCTCCACCTACCATGTCGCTCTTCAACATGTTCAGATTTTGACGATACAGCGGAGAGGCGCAGAGGCTATCCTTGATGATTTGTAGCATGAGGATGGAATTAGCTGTCAAATACCAAAAAGTTTCGCTTGCTATCTCAGCTAGAAGACATCGATGTATCAAAAACACTACCATTACAGTATTCCACCCAGCCAGTAAGGTCCATAGTCTTCATAACTTTGCTGAAATCAGTACTGTTCGCTGCGTTTCCAGAGTCTGTGCAGATGGTCTGATATTTTTCGACTGCGATGGTCGAGCCAGCGCCACTTGGATACTCGATGTTGAAGACTGGCTTGCCGGCCGCGACGAAAGGTGCGAAGGTGGCACATTCGCTGTAATGTATGCACTGGAGGTTCTGTTAGCATAGACAAACAGAGTAGGAGAGTGGCAGTAGAAGACTCACCTGCTCATTGACAGAGAATTGTACTACCGGTAGAACATTCTGCACGATATCTCCTGCGTTTTTGAGCCCAATTGCTAGACTGAGATTGCGGGCATGCTCAGCCAAGAACTGCACGAAGTCGATAGAATCCTGCTGGGTCAAACCCAGACCATTGTCGTTGGAGTAGCCATCCACGTTATCCGGATCAACAGCATCGCAGCCCTTTTGTGCAGCCAGCTGCATCCGCTTCACCATGATCTGGCGAACATTGGTGCTGTTCAAGTTCAACCAGTACTCTCCTGGCCAGCCAGCAAGTTCTTTGCCTTTGTCGGCTGCTTGGAAGTCTCCTGAGTCCGGCCGACTCGGTTCATACGAGCCCGCGCTGAAGTAGCAAATAACTTTCATGCCAGCTTGCTGCAAGGACTGGATTGTGCTCTGCGGATTGGTGAACATGTCAATGTCGTAGACATCCACATGTGGCGTGATCGTAGTAGATACATTGATCGGATTTTGCAGCACAATCTGCCAGGTGCTGTTCACTGCTGGCTGATAAATGCTCCCGTTGGCAGGAGGCGATGGTAATGGCGTGCCACTTGCGGGTGATGCTGAAGAAGAGCCGGACGAGCTACCGCCGCCATGGTCGCGACCTAGACCGACCCCAAGGCCTATAGCAAGGGCGATGACCACGAGCGCAACAATGATTGAAGTTATGATCATGCACCGTCTCCGTCCACCGGTCTTGCCCGCGCGCCGCCCACCAGAAGCCATGATGTCTGGTGTCCCGTATCGTACAATTGGACAGCAAGTCGACTGCCCGGGAGTGCGTAGGTGCGAGCGTGCTTTCACGTCTTGTTCATATAATCTAACATCGGTAGGTGCTGTCGTAGTGATATTTCATACACATCCTGCAGCGAAGTATAATACAGTGCGGCAAATCAGGTCTGGCTACAACTTAGTCACAAACCAGCAAATCAAGTGGCCAGGCATGCCAATATAATAATAAGCTGAACGTCGTTCCAGATCGGGCTGACCGTCAATATAGGAAGACCATGCAGCCAGGCTGTGAAAAGGTTAACCATGTTTCACAACGGACGCTATTACTAATGCGGTTAAGGTAAAGTTGGGCAAAGTCTAGATGCGTGAATAGAATCTCGAGAAGTTTAGCAATTCATTGGATCTTGAGGAGAGACATGGAACAACTTGTCAAAAAAGGGAGTACTTTCAAAGGGCGATGTGTCCTTTCATCCTATGAGATATCTTGAGCCATAGCCGATGGTATATGTACAAACCTGGATTCGATAAGACACTCGCGCGTAAACTCTGGACAGGCATTCGAAGCAAAGCAGAGGACAGTATTCTATGAATGCTATTCCACAGGTCAGTCTGATAGGGAGCTCCATAGTAGCACTGATGCATACAGCATCAGCGTATGAATGACACCTGTTGACCGCCTACCATGGACGATATCCAGACGTGAAGCCGAGAATGCGACAAGATAGGATCCATATTAGCATGTCCCGAGCCTGATATGTCTAGGTGTATCTCAGCTGGAGTTGGAGCTTTCAAGGGACTTTATCGACCTTCGTCGGATCAAATCCGATCTGAACTGCAAAGACCACTTGTGGAGCAAATGAAACGTTCAAGCAATGCGATGGCAACATCATCCCACATGGCTTGACATGCCCTTAAGCTGTTCAATCGGCCGCTGGGCAAGAAAGCAGCTTCATCATTGTCCGAGAAAGAGATTCTTTGCTCTTATGATTGGATGCACAATTTCCTTGTGAGCTCGCCATTGCATAAAGCTGTCATATCGGCGGCCAAGCTTAGATGAGCTTCCCTCGCAGTGGATATCCTTAGCGCATAGATCTGCCCATAGAGTAGTCGCTCCGAACATGCTGAGGCACGAGCTGCATATGCTACTGATCCAGCTCGTGAAAGAACTGTAGTCTGTCCGTCGCGAGACTACACTTTTCCGCGGATAGGTCGTGGCTAGAAGCTCATGCGACGGCCGACAGTGCTACGAATCGCAGACGAGCACCTGGGATGGGGCGGCAGAGAAGTCCTGCAGCAGCCATTGTACGAGTATATCCTTTCGGCTGCGTCTCCGTCCAGATCTGGGAGGTTGAACAAATGCCGGTCGATTTGTTGGCTTAAAAGTTTCAAGTCGACATGGGGAGTCAGAAATCAGGTCTAGAATACGATATTCAGCATGCCATACTGCCCTGCTGACCTCTGCGCGGCCATATGTGTATCGCCGGCAGGCAGCTGTGGGGAATAGGCGTCTCGCAAAGGTGTGGTGGATTGAACGTATCAGGTAGCCATCTATGCATCCTAGATATGCGTCGCAGAATTGAGGTTGTAACACAATGCGAACATGTTGGTACTCTTGCTGTCTTGACCTCCATCGCCGTAAACTCGATGTCCGGCAAAAGGAGCTCAGAACGGAGTGAAGCTCAAGACACACAGATAAGGCCCGTGCACATCCGTCAAGCTGGCTTCAACTTTCCAACGAAGCACACATGAAAGAGAGCATATGACCCATTGGCAAACCCAACTCCACCCATTCCACCCTCTCAACAACAACAAGCATGCCTCCCAAGAAAGTCACCCCCTCACCCGCCGCCGCCCCCCCAAACGCAGTAAAATCCTCCATCCACTCCTCCGCCAGCAGCGCACCCACCAAACCCTCCTCCGCGAACCTCCAACAACGCCAATCCCAAAACCAGCAACAATCCTCCTTCCCCACCGCCGACTCCAAGAGCACATCCTCGAGATCCAACACATCATCTTCCGCGGCACTTCGCACCCCGCAAGATGCCCAACAGATCCTCCTCGGGATCTGGAACTCCTACGTCGATAAGACGCCCCAGCGCACGAAGCTCCTGGATACCTTCATGGCGTTCTTGATGCTGGTCGGGGTATTGCAGTTTGTGTATTGTGTTATCGCCGGGAATTATGTATGTCTCTCCTCATCCACCCTACCCATCCATCTATCCATAACGGCGTGGCTTCGAGAATATGAGACAGAGGCAGAGATGCTGATCCATGACTGTGATCATCACAGCCCTTCAACGCCTTCCTCTCCGGCTTCTCAGCAACAGTCGGCCAATTCGTGCTCACCGCCAGCCTGCGCATCCAAACGAACCCTGAGAACAAGAGTGATTTCAAGACGATATCGGATGAGAGGTGAGCACTACCTATACAACCCATTCCCTCGCCATAGCCTTGTCTCAGTACTGACATATTGCGATTATAGAGCATTCGCCGACTTCGTCTTCGGTAGCATGATATTGCACTTCTTCTGCGTCAACTTCATAAACTAGATCTACCCAGAGCTTCGGGTACATGGCAGGCAACGCTCGGACGATGTAGAACATAGGAAACATTATATCACGATCAAAGCCAGGACTTACTCCGTGCAAGACTCTCGGACACCATGAGATGGTAGTGGCAAGTAATCCATTCGTCGTGCTCACGTGTCTTGCCCTTTTTGGCAACTGTATTACATGCTCTATGTACGATCTTACCTTTTGATTACCGTGTCTTTCGTTCTCAGCTCGTCACAGAGGACATCACATGCCTCATGCCATCTTTGGAGCGTCCAACCGATTCACATCCAGAGGCGTGACTCCATTCTAGGCAGAAGCGCCGGAGATGTAGAACCACTTGTCGATGCTCGAATCAATCGGAGCAGGAGCCTTGTCCTCGTGCTGAGGAATGTTGAGCTTGCTGGCATCGGTGCGGTCGTTGCTGTGAGGGACGGTGGTGTTGGTGCTGTAAACATAAGTCAGCTCCTGCACATCTTGAATGATAGGATTGTATACTCACAGGCTGATCTCGCCCTTTGGCGATTTGCCAGTAATTAACTTCTCCCACGCCTCGGCACACTCCCGAATCACATCCATAGCATACTTCCTATTCTTGCACTCCCCGGAGAAAGCGAACTGGTTCTCCGGCTTGCCGTCGGGGATCTTGTAGATGCGGAACCACTCGTTCGTCGCCCTGAGCAGGCCAGGCAAATGCCTCTCCACATCTTCGATATCGTTCAGTTTAGGTGCCAGAGGGTCGTTGACGTTGATGGCCATGATCTTCCAGTCCGTCTCGCCCTCGTCCAGCAAAGCCATGACGCCAAGGACCTTGACTTGGATGACTTCGCCGGTCTTGGCGACGAGCTCGCCGATCTCGCAGACGTCGAGGGGGTCATTGTCGCCCTTGGCCTTGGTCTCGGGGTGGGTGGCGTTCGGGTCCTCCCAGGTCTGAGGGAAGGCGCCGTAGTTCCAGATGTAGCCCTTGTGAGGGAAGCAGTTGCGGACGAAGCGGAGCTTGCCTTTCTTCGTGTCTTGCTTGATGGGGTTGAGGGTCTCCTCCTTGGATATCTGGGTGGGTGTGAGGTCAGCTGATGCTCGGTTTTGGTTTCAATGGCATATGGATGTCATGTAGCGGTGACTGCCATTGTTGCTTGTACACACCTCTTGCTTGGCATTGCTCCATCGAGGAATCTCGACGACCATGTTGAGGATGGTCTGCTGCTCGTTGGCATACAATGGTACATCGTGGAAGGGCGAGACGGGCACGCCATCCTTCTCAATGTAGATGCGGTGCTCGAGAGTGTGTGGTGCAGCGACCTTACGGGCTGTGAAGGTGGAAGCGGCCTTGGGGTCAAAGCCGCCCCGGGTGGGCAGCGTCTGTTGTGCCATATTTGCGGATGTTGTAGGTGACGAAGACGTAGCAGTGGCGGACGAGGTAGAGAAGTGCTGTGATAACTGTTGGGAGCGCGCCTGCGCAAGCTGCAGGCTTTTGTCCAGGGTGAAATCTTTGGTGGGGCTTGCCGAGTTCGGAAGTATTGCGTAGGGCAGGTGCAAGTGGTGATGGTGGGTGGTGAGGAAGGCGCGATGCTGCACGTGGCCCGAGATGCGATTCGTCTGGGTCAATGGGTTGATGGCGGTGAGCAAGCGTCGTCCGGGCATAGATAAATGTGAATGCAGGATCATCGGAATCGAGATGCGACTGGGCAGGATGGTGAGAGCCGCAGTCGGCCGAGGTCAATCGAGAGAGCTTCACATTTGCGGACTTCCTCACGTCCGTGCATCATCAAGACGACAAGGGCAGGCACGATAACAACGAGTCGATGTACTAGCGTTGGAGACAGCAGTCATGTATACTGGCAGGTAAACAGATCTAATGTACTTTCTGACCCCTACACAAGACGCCATGCTCAAAGACCAATACTACCCCATCTCTATCACATCTCCTTCACATTCACCTCCCCCATCCCCACCCCAAAGACCTCCCTAACAGCCTCCCCAAACCTCCTAACCGCCTCCCTAATCCCTTCACTCGGTGCCGCAGCATACGTAGCCCTAAAAAACATCTCTTCCGCCTTCAACCCCTTCTCCCCCACAAACCAACTCCCCTTCATCAACAGGGTTCCCCGCCGAATATTCGCCTGAAACAACGCCTCCTCCACCTCTTCTGGCTCGATCCCGGGAAACTTCGGATGTTCTTTCCAATCCACCTTCAACCACATAAACATCCCTGCCTGCGGAGGCGTCCACGACACGATCTCTTTTGGTAAGAACTCCTCGCAAGCTTCGAGGATCACGTTCCGACGAGCTGTATACGCCATTCGAATACGGACCAGCCAGTCGAGGTACCCGCCGTGACCCCACCCTTCTTCTAGTAGTTTGAAGAGAAGCAGTTGGCTCGCGCCACTGGGACTTTGCGTGGAGAGGTCCGAGTGGATGTGGTAGCGTTTGCAGATTTCTTCGGGCGCGGTGATCCAGCCTACGCGTGTTCCCGGGGCGATAACTTTGGAGAAAGAGTCGAGGCGGACTACCCTTCCGTCTGTGTCGAGGGAGAGGTAGGAGGGCACTAGGCTTGTCAGGAATTCTTGGTGGGATTTGGGGGCTGGTGGGTCGGGGGTCGAGGGGCCGGTGTAGGGTTGCATTTGTAGGAAGTAGTAGGGTTCGTCTTCGAGGATCAAAAGATCGTGCTTCTGCGCTACGGCATAGATTTCTCGTCTTCTGGCCAGACTCTGCGTTGAACCCGTAGGGTTCTGACCAGTAGGGACTGTATACAGCAGGAAAGGCTTTGGTCCTCTTCTAGCCGTTTCGTCCCAGTTTGCGAGTACCTCGTCGAGCGACGAAGCCAGCATACCACCTTCGTCCATCTTGACCGCCGCCACCCGCACACCCATCGGAAGTGCCGCTTCCACAGCGGCGGGAAAAGTATACTCCTCGCTCAGCACCCAGTCTCCAGGCTTCGCAAACATCCGAAGTAGCATCTCAAAAGCCGACGTTGATCCGATCGTCATCGTACAGCTCCAATCCTGATATGGCGGATCGTGCACAACCTCCGTATGCTCGACGATCCATCGTAGAAGCTGTGCAGCGCCGTGTCCTTGACCATATTGCAGTGCGGTGGCGATGTCGTAGTCGGATGTTCCGGATACCATATCATATTTCCCAGCTGTGAGAACGTCGAGCTGAGCCGTACTATTATTCGCTCCATTCTGTCCATGGCCATTCCGTTGCTCGACCATCCGAGGCACGGCGAATCTCATCTCCTCGATAGGGAAGTACTCGGCACTAGGTAGACCACCACCTAGACTTATCAAGCCGGGGGTCTTGAGAAACTTTGCCGCGTTCTTGAGACTACTGCCGCCTCGCGACATGGCTTCGGCAGTCATTCGGCTCTCCCATCGTTTGGCGTTGGATTTGTGTATATGTTGTGTTCGGCCTTTGAAGGCGGCGATATCTGCTGGTGCTGCAACGCCTGCTATTAGTTGGCCGGAAGCCGCTCGTCGTTTGGCTACGGCTTGGATGGTGAGACGGTCCGGGACTGTGAAGGTCGAGGTGTCTGACTCTGGCAAGACGTCCATTGCTGAGGGTGGTGCCATCGCGAGGCTATACACTGCTGTAGCCAGCCGGCTCAAGTTTGACAGGCTCCCGCTTGAGCAAGTTTGTTCTTAATGAGCCAGTGACCGTCTTACTGTATGGAACATACGTATTCGCTCCGAAAATGTTTGAATTGGTCAACGAAGTGGGTATGAGACGAGTCAATGTTGAGAGAATGGCAAGAACATAAAGGACGAAAGCCAACTCAAGTAAGGGACGACAAAACTGGAGTCATACTTCTACCCTATCTCCACGTCTCATCGTTACGAGACCATACATCCGCCAGTGTACGAGCCAAGGCAAAAGCGGTATGTAACCGCAAAGGGCGTGCATGTGATATGTAGAGAGAAGTCAATGGAATCTCCCTTTTGCGCATCGCAAGCCCGATACTACCCGCTGAAGCATCATCCGCAAAAGATAAGCCGGTCTTTAGAGTTTTCGTGCCTTGCATGAACATCCCAAGCACGCGTTAGTGTACGGGAGGTGGTTGAGAGTACGCCAACGTATTATTGTAGAATGCGGATATGTGGGATGATTAGGTACACGTATTACCGCACCTCAGCCTCAGCCTGCCCCCGTATTTGTAAACCATAACTGCGCCAGCGAAGCAATACACAGGGGTATCTCATAATCGCAATCGCGCCCTTGACGTCACGAGCAAAAGAAAGCCACGCCATAGTCATAGCCATGCCAGAGATTCCGCACCACCCAAGCGCTTAAACACACATGCTCAGTCCAACGTCGTCCGCCTCTTGCTCTTCATCCCCTCCACCAATCGCCCCTAACGACCCTGCGGAAGCAGCGAATACACCAGTTGCTTCCTAGCCACCTTCCTCGCAAGCCGCCACCGCACGGCCTCCATCTTGAAGCGCGGGTCGAGGTTGAAGGCGTTACTGCCTCCACCTCCACCTCCACCTCCACCTCCACCAGGACTATCATGCCTTCTAGCGCCGCCATCGCACCTCTTCTCCTTCTCCCACTTCTCTCGAGCAGTGTTCGCAGCAGAAGGGGAGCAGACATCCTAATACTGCTCCTTCGGGCAATCGAACGCTAAATGCCCGTCTTCTTCGCAAAGTGCACACCATTTATCCTCGTCCTCCGCCGCTACGACTGGCACACCCCCCCCACCGCCGCCATTCTTGTCCTTAGTCTCGTGCTCCAGCGATCGGTTCTCCTTTCCTGGCGTGCTGTCCTGATGTGAAAGTGCGGTTGACCCGTTGGCGGAGTTCTTAGTCGGACTGGCTCCACTGGTTAGGTGCGTGCAATCCAACGTGTCGTGGTCCTTAGACTCGCACATCTCGCAGTAGATGTCCTCGGCTATTCCCCCGCCATTCGCGTCTTCTTGCTCAGGCATGGCGGCACGACGGGCGTGCTCGGCGAAAGTTGGTTTGAGGGTTCCGCTACGTTGTCGTAGAGGAGCAGGGCGGTCGTTGTCGGAAGCTGTGGCTGTTCGTTGGCTTTCGTTGCGGGCGTGTCCGTGACCATTTGTCGTTGCTGCGTCGCGACGGAGTTGCTCGAGTTCTTTTTCAAGACCCTCTTTATCCATGCGGCTTTCGTCCAGCGCAGTCTCGAGACGTTTCACTTCATCCGTATCGCTGACATAGCCATTGCCATTTGGAGCGGCGCTAGGGGTTGTGCTCAACCCATGAATGATGGCCTTGAGACCACGGATCTCATCGTCCTTTTGAGCAATATCCTTCGGCGACGCACTGCCATTGCTCTGTGCTTGCAAAGCCGCTGCCTTCTCCCTCTCACGTCGCAGTTCAGACCGACCACGCTCAACTTCACCTCGCAAGAATTCCACCTCACCCCTAGCTTCCGCCTCACCACGTCTGCTTTCCTCCAGACCTTCTTCAAGCTCTGCAACAAGCTCCTCCAACCTCTTCAACTCATTGACAATGCTGTCAAGATCTTCCTTCCCACCTCCTCCACTCCCGCCCATAGCCACTTCTTCCTGGAGCTGTTCATTCTGCTTCTGCAAGCCCTCGACCTGAGCGATGAGATCCGTCTTTTGCTCCTCGTACACTCGTTCAGTCTCTGTACTTGCCATCTCCAGACTATCGAGGGTGCTCCTGAAGTCTGCCCGGTGCGTGTCAAACTCCTGCGTCATCAGACTAATCTTCTCGTTCTTCTCGCGTAGAACTTGGCGTAGTTGTGCAGCAGTATGCTCGTCCTCGTCGCCATTTCTCATAGTCCCGCCCGGCATCGGACCGTCTGTGGGAAGCAACGCGGACAGCTCTTTCACATTCGCTTCCATATCTGCCAACGAGGCAGCCTGATCAGATAGCTGCTTCTCGCGATCCGCAAGCTCTCTCTTAAGGCGCTGGATCTCCACATCTTGTCCTCCTGCACTTCCAAGTCGTGAAGGTGATCGCAACGGCTGCGAGAAGGAAGGCACGGAACTGCTGCTGATTGTCCTACTATTGCCCTTTACTGCCGAGCCAACAGGTGTCCTGTCCTCCTCGATCAGCGTATCCTGCCTATGTCCCAGCCGTGATCCGGTCCTGCTGTACGGTCTTGGAGTGTGCCCTGAAGGTGGTCGCGTGCTTGTGGATGCTCGCAGATTCGTCTTGCTTGGGGTAGTCGAGCTCCCAAGAGGTGGTCGTCCGCCTCGCACGCTCGAAGACAAGCCTCTTGCTGGTGTGGGCGCAAGATTCGGTGCTGGTCTTCGCAGGGGAGACTCCGGACGTGGGAGGGATGGTCGCTTGGGCTTGAAGAGAGGACTGGCTGGTCTCGCGCCTGGACCGACTGACTGCGAGAATTTTGGCGGCAGAGCTGGGGTGGGTGGGGTATACGCGTTCTTGCCGTTGATTGTGCTGTAGGAGGGGGTGTTGGGGGTGGCCGGGAAGGAGTCGATCGAGGCTGATGGCGATGTGCGCTTCTCAGCACGATGTACAGGTAAGAATATGCCGGCTCCAGGAATGTTCGTATTGAAATAAGTGACGCTGTAGTCGGTGTCAGCAGGGTGTCAGTCCTCAAGTCTCACACAGCACAACGCACCCATCCACATCACCATTATTCTTGCCACGTGACGCAAACTCCTCATCCAGCTCGACACCGACGAACTTGCCAGTCTTGCCTCTGACTGTGCCCACGAACCTGACCAACCCACTCATATCCCCTGGCACCGACACCACATCCCCCACCTCCAAGTCACCCCCGTCCATCCTGCCGGTGGGTGTGCGCATCTGCGAAGCATTCAGCTGGCTCGAGCTGATCTTCCGGCTGACATTAGTGCTGGCGCTCAGTGATCTCTCAGCCGATCCCGGGTTGCCGTAGGAGGGTCGCTGTAGACGCTGTCGTGGCGTCTGCATCGTGTGGGTTGTGGTGGAAGAATTACCAAGGGGAAATGTTAATCATTGATCCGAGCCCCCTGGTCGCGAGTAGTATGAATATGTATGAGATGAGAGACAGAACCTGGTTGTTGATCAAGGCTTGGAGCAGATCAACAAATCGCTACAGAGTAGATTTAAGGTTTGAACACGTCAACTAATCACGCAAGCCAATCTGCAGAACCCCTTGTGGAAACTCGTTGTACATGCCCCTTTTGCCCATGGAGGTATTGCTCATCTACGCGCAATCTCTCTCCTTCGTGGGATCGCTGGTATAATTGTCTTATGGAATTACGAGAGTGAATATTGTAATTATGAACGCCCGTACACAGCTCTCGCCTGACGCGACATCCCTGCACCTGCAGCTGTCATACACGCCAAGGCTTAGGCTTTCTCTCCCTTTATCATAGTCGCAGCAACATGGTTTGAAGATCATCAGGTAGGCGACGTGGACTCGATACAACGAGCAGCCTTACTTGCCATGGGCCACCTTGCCTTGAACAGGGTTCTTGTGGAAGTCTCTTGCCAATGCCTCTGCAGAATTGAGCATGAGAGGAGCAGTCACTGTATACAACCAGGTATGATTCGGTATTGCCACTCATCCACATGGGTATCGCACTCGAGCAGTATGAAGACGACGACGACGCCACCGGGCGACAGATCTCCACCACCCTTCACTTCTCTCATGTTACAGCGTCCAAAAGTGGCTCTACACGTCAAAACCTTGAGCAGCAGCAATCGATTGCCATATATCACCGAGTGTGACTGCCTTCGCGGTGTTCAGAGCGCATCCAGAACTTCACGTTATGAACACGTCATCTCGGCCAGGTCAACCTCATTGACGCTATCGTGGCGGTCTGCATTTACCTAATTCCTCATATGTGAAGTGCTGTTATTGCAGTGAGCTCGCGTTTATCAGGGTCAGCTTCGCCGCCCTCGCGATAGTGTTGGAGGAGTGTCAACCTAGGCTGAAGGGGACGATTCCTCGATATTCCGCATGATGGGAGTCCATGGAGTCTTTGTGGTCCCGGCTTGTTAATTACTGCCGTGCTCATATCGCTCGTGGTGGGACGAAAAGAAGTAGTGGCGCGGCAAATGGGTGTTGCGTTGCCATCCTCACTTCAGAAAATTAACGACTCGCTCATGTTCAGCCGGACCAGCGTACCCTGTGCAGGTCAATACGGTATACGCAGCTGAGCGCGGGTATGAGTGTTGTCAGGCTCCTGGAAATCAAAGTATCTATCATGTGCGTCGTGAGTCTTGCGCAGATGCGGCGTGAAGTAACTACCTTGGCGGATGACGTGGAGATCAAGGTCTGTCTGGTCAATCATCACCTCGAGGTGGAAGAACATGGGATCAATAGTCATGTAGAGAAAGGATGGGGTTCGACTAGCATGTCGACCTTCCGTCTTGCAGTACTGGCATCGCCGACCTACATGCGAGGAGACTACCATCGAGATAGCTATCGACGCCATGACGCCAGACATCGCTTTTGTTCAGTGACTGGACGAGAACACCAACGACTTCAAGTTGTTCGAGAGGAAGGAACGGGAACCGCCTGGTCTTCTGGCACGATGTATAGATTAGCCAGGGTAGTGAGAGTCGAATGAAGGGGCCGACCAGAGACAGTAAGCATCATTCCATAGGCCTTGATACCGAATGGTTCCCGGCGAGCATTGCTATCTTGCTTAGGGTTGGATGGCGAGACCATTGCCTATTGGCTTGATGGAGAATGGGATCGTGGTACTGATTGACACTAATGTTTCCACGAGCCACGGTACGCTTTCCTCCCAAGCCATGGGCACTGGTGAAGCTTTCTAGAACATCCTGTCGGGTACGTGTCGAGACCTAGTCGTCAGTGGTAAGGGTTACAACCGAGACATGTTTTCGACGAGGTGATACCGTCTCCGATTCCGTCCTGTTGGAGTCGTTGAACTCATCTTGGACGCAGTTGTCTGCAACTAGTCCCACAACGATTAAACGTCCTCCGGCCTTCAGAAGGACTGTCTGCGTCGTCCCGCCTTCTTTCGTCGTCGTCGTCGTCGACTCCAAACTTCTTAGGTCGTTGCTCACTACGGCCACGAAGTCAAGCAAACCGCCGGTACCGTTGAAAATCTTGTCCACGCACACCCACTCACATCACCTGCATGAGACATGTCGCCCGTCCGTCTGGGCCCCACGCGGCACCTCGGTCGCCGTTGTTCCTGCAGCCCCACACCAATCAGGAAGCTCACCATCGATCTAGTTGCGACGACTTGGCCTGGCGCCGAAGTTAGCTGCGTTTCACCCGCGCGAAAACCGATGGATCCTGCAGAACGATTCGTCAACGTCCCGTCTGCTGCAGAGTGGCACTCTTCGCACAGTCTTTTATGCGCCCATGCTTCTCTGCTTCCTTTCTCTCAAACACTCTGTCCAAACGACGGTAGATACTGTCCTCACTCTCTCTTTTAAGGATCTCTACCAGTATTCATTCGTTACCACGCGCCAGAGGCGCCTGCACTCATTACCCTCAATCATTACAGCTCGTTTAACCCTCCATTCCTTGTTCGAATCTGCGACTACAGCACGCCCACCAGTCTATCCCTTGACACATCTAACAAGCCACTTCACGAAACGTATCATCAGTCCATCTATCTGTATCAGCCGACGCAACACCACGGGTTTGAGACATATCAGCTGCGCTGTGAGACAAACCATCACCAGGACCGATCCCAGCAAACACCCAAACGAAACGGAATTGCATTCCTTTCGTACGTCACTCCCTCAACGACATATCTTCGACGATCACCATGGATCTCGCTCGCGCTTTCACCACCAGGCACAAGAAGCAGCCGGAAATGCATATCACCTCGCCCATGTACATTGGCCGCGCCGCCAGCCAGCGCGCAGGAAGACCAGTCGTGCGCAGCAAGATTTCCGGACCGCTTGCCCTCGTATCGACTAGCAATGTGCAACTCAACAATGCGCAGCATATTGCTGGAGCATCGCCAATCGAGATCAGGACAGCATCGTCTGGATCTTCCGTCAACTCGATGGGGGATCACGACAGCGACGTGAGCAGCAACCACAACTCCACAGGTACCGTCACGGATGCTTCTTCCATCGACGAGTCGCCCATCGAGCCTACCGCCGGCGACAACCACCTCAGCTGCTACTTTAAGCCTGCTGTCGACACACAGTCGAACTCTCCTGTCACCTCTCCTACATCGGCGACGTTCTCCTCATGCGATACACCCAAGCTTCCACAACGCGTACCTTCGCACTCAAAGAAGGCTCACGAGACTCTGCACCGCAAGAACTCCGTCCGTAGGATACTGTCTCCCCCTGCATCTGCACGCGAGATGTCCCGTACCTCGGTGGAGATGTTCAACACAAGCAGCGTCGTCGAGGCACCAAAGGAGAACCCTTTCGGTAGCGAGCTCGCGCAGCTAGACGAGGTGGCAGAGGAGTTCGGTCAAGTTGTTCACGACGCCGAGACAGCTGCTGATATCACCGCCATGAAGTCTTTCGGCTTGGCACGGTACGGCGCCTCCGACTATCTGTCCGAGATCCACGATCTGATCTACTCTGCTTTCGAGGAGCCCGCTTCCGACTTCGCTGGTTGGATCTAACATACTTCTTATCTACAGAGCAATCGAACGGCTTCTGCCAGGTACAGGCTATCCAGAAGCACGTTGCAGATACCCGCTCAGCATAGACGGCATGTGTGCTCAAGACTGGTTCGAATTACATGCACATACTTGCCCTCACCATCACCAAAAACACTCATTACACGATGCACGTGCATATCAACACAGATCATTATCACCACCACTGGCAGATCCAGACACCAGTATCTTTAACGACCGTTATGACACACAGTTTCCCTGGTCGGAATCTTACATGCTGGAATCTGCCGTCCGCTCATTTTTATGCGTGGGAGGAGGGTGAAGAAAGGGGCAAAAGTAGGCTTATGATGTGATACATGTCTCTCTCCTAGGGCGTTTCTGGGGGCTATCGAGCAATCTGATGGCCTTTTTCTGTGGGATTATCTCGTATTTCGTCTGGTTGTATAGATGCTTGAAATGGAAATGGAAATGCTGCAAACTATGGTCCACCCAATCTTAGGTCATTCTCTGCAGATCGTGCGTTAGATCTTCGTACTTTTGAGAATGCCATGTGCATTGTTGTGGCATATCACGATTGGCCGTGCGCTGCGGGATCGAGGAAGCGGCCCGCGCTTTTGACGCCAGTTCATGCAGCGCGCACGTGAGCAGATGTTTTGATGGAATAATAACAGAGATCGCCGCTTCGTTGGAGATGGTGTTTAAAACTCTATGATCAAGCCCTCAGCCGTTTGTGGACTACACGACTACTAACATCCTTCGAAGTTCGTTGCAAAGTTATTGACATACCCTGCAGTTGTTTTGTCAAGCTACGCGTGCCACACACACGCCCTCGCCCTCGCATTAGTCTCTCTGCCCCTCCCAAAGATCAACGCTGGTTCAGGAAAGAACTCCACCTCGAAAACACACAACGGTCATCCGCCTGTCTTCCACCGGCTTTGCTGGCTGCCATAACACGGGCATAGACGGCTCTTATCTACGAGTACCAAACACCGCAGTAGAGAGCTGGATCTTTGCCGCCACGCATTCGTCACAACAGCAGCCTCGGCTCAAGCAATCCTGGGCCTACCAATATCGGGTCTCGAGAGAGGAGGGGAGCGGCAGCAAACGGCAGCAGAGATGGCGGGGAATACCGACATCGACTTCACGCGTCGTAACAAAAAGGCAAGGCTCCTGACGGATCCGGAAAGAGACCAGCTGGACGAGTTCATCGATTCGATACACTACTCCTCAAGGTAAGACCCACATAAACAATACGGTCGCGAGCTTCTAGTCTGTGATATCATAGATGGCTGACTCGAACGGTAGATACAATGACGACCACTGCGAGTACCGTCACGTGCAATTACCAAAGGCCATGCTTAAGAAGATTCCAAAGGACTACTTCGACGGTGCGAGGGGGACACTAAAACTGCTGTGGGAGGATGAGTGGAGAGGCCTAGGTATCACACAGGTGGGTGACTTTCTCGTGAAGTATAACAACGCATTCTCGGCTGACATTGGCTTGCAGAGTCTAGGATGGGAGCACTACGAGGTGCACGAGCCGGAACCACATATTCTGCTATTCAAGTGAGTCAGACGACTAGACCGATCATATGCTTTGATGTGCAAGAATGTCGCTGACGCTCGTAATCTTAGACGACCCATCAACTACCAGCCACCAGGACAGCACTAGCAATCTCATCGTCGGAGCTGGACCTAGATGAAGCTTTCTCCGGTCTCCATGGCAATGTTTTGCAGAAATCGGCTCAGCCTTTGACGATAGGCTGGTGCTCCGCAAGATCGAACATGGCGGTCTGACCCGGCGGACGAGAGCCGAGCCAAGCAGAGCAGAGCAGAGCAGTTGTATTTGAGGCATTGATCACGACATCATGGATCACGGGTACGGAAAGAAAGGCATGGGATGCAAGGCGTTCGAGCGCGAGGGTCTTGATTGATTCTGCTGTCGTCAGACTCGGTGTGTATAGTCACAGAACTCAGTTACCGACCAACCGGCCTTCGAGCATCGCTCTACTCATCAAACAACGATTTAGCGAGGCAAAGCGAGCATCATCTGCAATGTTTGGTGCACTGCCCGGGATCTCCAGTGTCTTAGTGAGTGATGCTTGTGCGGGTCTACACACCAGTATCGCGTGCTTGGCCGTGGTACTTTCCCGGGTTACCCACAAATTTTTGAATCACGGGTTGTCACTTGAGGACGTCCATGTCTGGATGTTGTCTGTGTGTTATTCGTGTACCTGGCTGTCTCAGGGGCGGCATGTGGTGCTCACACATTCTGCACCACGCCCTGCTATTCGCGACACCAGCGTTGCTTGGGAGCTGCATGTCAATTCTTCTACAGCTTGCGAGGATCCGTCCACAAACCCGACGGCGCGGCTCGACCTTTCAGACTTCTTGAATTTCTGCTGCGCTGCAGGCCACTGGTGGTCAGTAAGCCACATGGGCAATTGTGTTGCGTTTGCAAATATGGTGTAGAGCGATCTGAAGACTGCTCTTGTTACTTCGACATCCTTGGTGGTTGAGAGTGCGGAGCTGCTTATGGCCATCGAGCTCTCGGTACTCGGAAGTGCTGTCGTTTAGAGACGAGTCCATGTTGTTATGGCGTATCGTCAGTCTGCTATATTCAGAATAGTATCAGACATGGTCTACTGCTACTCTTCCCGGGCGTACCAGCTGCATATGGGGTTTAGGTCTATCAGGCTGTCAAGCCTGGAGTCTGAGACGTCCATCTCTGTCTGAAAGGGTGGACAGATCAGGCAGCCAATCAAATTACGCTACGCGTCCATGTTCCAATAGATCGGGAGGAGAGAGAAGCAAACACATAGAAGATGCAGTCGTCCGAGTGGCGGAGAGGCGCAGCAAGGGCAACGCCTTTGTTACTCAGATTCCTTTTTGTCAAGCCCTCCCCCTCGCCGCCGATGAGCTATTCAATCCTACTCTTCAACCTAAGTCTCATCGTCGAGATGAAGACAGACTGTGGTACGACATTGAGCGACGACCGAGCCCTCTAGCGGTCGCTGATCACATGTCACCACGAGGCCCAGTGGTTTGAAGGGTAGCTGCAGCCTTCAACGCACCGTAGCCGCCAGCCCACTACCCTATCGAGACAGCGGCTCAGAGACAAAGCAGGCGCATAGTGGCACGAGCTGAATGCGCTGTCGACTCCCGCGATGGCATGGCGGCCCAAACATATCTTTCTATGCCTTGAGTAATGAGGTTCCCTCTTCTGTTCACGTCGCGGCCCTCTGAGGAACCTGTTATCGCGCTACGTTGGCACGACATGGCACCAGTGCGAGTGCTGTTCTGCTTGATAATCATCACACTCTACTTCCGCAGCGGCAACGCTGGCAATTCTACACAGTCATATCACAGCATCCAATTTCATCATTTCTACCCGAGCCTCGCTGGTCAGATCGAAGGTATTCTGCGGGACGGGAGATGCAACGCAACACTCGCCCGCTATTACAATACTTCATCCCACTTTGACTCGTGTCGCGAATGTAGACCGCAAGCCTCGATTAACTGTATCCTCGACCATTTTGACTCCGTCACAAAGGCGAATATCGCCAGTGCTGCCGTCATTCTTGGTCTGCTGCCTGCAACACTCTCTTCGATCGGTCTAAGCTATGTGGAGACTGGTATCTTGGCTCTCCGACGTCCTGGTCTGGCATTCCTGTTGGCAATTGGCTCACCTTCAGTGTCGCCAATCAAGACCTTTGACTATCGTGGTCCTTCGGAGATTTTGAGGAAAGACGACATGGCAATGAGGATGGCAAGGTTGGGGCAGCCTGTACAGACCGCAGTGTTCCTCCTGGAGTACCTTCTCGCAATCGGAGCCACTGTCAATATCGGTGTGGTCACTTGGCAGCTCTGTGTCCGTACCTTCTGCTCCTTTGCGACCGACACATGGTATATGCCATCGCTCTGGCCTCTCACGGCGATCGCCATCCACGTCGGAGCAGCTCTAGCTGTATTTCTCCGGGTCCGCTTCGAGCGCCAAAAGCCCCAGGGCCACAAATCGTGGACGTTGTTCGATGTGTTGCGGAACCAGTGGATACCTTACCGGGACCAGCCTGAGATGATCCTAAAACGGCAGGCAGAAACGATGTGGTTCATCATGCTGTCTTGGGTTCTCTCAACCGGCACCGTACTACATATTGTACTCGGCACACTTGTGTTCTCAAGCTTGCTTCCCATCAGCACCTCGGATGCCGTGCAGGTCGCCGCTCGGTACGTTGCTTCGGCGGTCGTCTGTCGAGCTGTCCTACAGTACGAACTGGCTTGCATGCGGCAGGACACGGAGGTGGAAGACGAATCTCGATCAAAGTCTAACGTAAATCGTGTATAAGAGGCGCTTCCGGCTTGCATTTTCGTTGCCATCGTTGTGGGAGTTCAGCGAGAAGAGATAGGATACCATGTGTTCCGCCGGAAGGATCCCCTGTCCGTGTAAATCCGAAACTTGAGACGGTGTATCGATTGATACAACGTGTCATAGTGGACAGTCGAGGTAGACTATAGAGCAGACAGCACGAGGCTGTGTAACTCATAGAGTGTGAGAGAGACTTGTTGTTCGCAAGTACTTTTCCATCTACAAGAATTCACCGAAGAAGTTGATTACGCTTCTCTTCGCCCTCTCCAACCCTGCAACACCCTTTTCCGTAGTCAAGTCTCCCCTGGAAGCAAAGCCGTGGTTGTAACCAGCAAAGTAGACGTACTCCCACTGTACGCCCGTCTTCGGCAGAGCCTCAAGGCTATATGCTTTCATCTCTGGTGTATACGTGAAGTCGTTCTCGGGAGCAATCAGCTGCACAGGTACTTTGACATTGTCAAAGTCGCCTTTCTCCATCATTGCTGGATGAGCGGTGGAAACGGCATCAATGAGTGATGGATCCGCAGCCAGGCGAAGACAGGCCCAGCCACCCCAGCAGAAGCCTACGGCGGCTACTTTGGCGTATTTTGATTTCAGCGCTTCGGCACAGGCCTTGACCTCTGGCCAGCGCTTTTCGGCGCTGTTCCGGCCGGCCCACTCGTACATGTCGAAGGCTTTCTGCCTCTCTGGGTCGCGGAGAGTGTCTGGGTGGACGATCTCGCCGGCGTAGCTGGGTCTATGAGTAAGATTCGACGGACCATGCAGGTGTAAAGTAGGACTAACAAATCTGGTACGTAGACCACGGCATTCAACTTCTCGGCGTATGAGTCCGCCAGTAGACGGGAGTTGTTTAACGTCCAGCCGTAGATATCTGGGACTAGAAGTATCGCTCTCTCGTTGGAACTCCCGGTAATGTAAGCGTTGTTGTTGGCGAGCTTTTGCTCAGTGCCCTTTGGTTTGCCTAGCCAGCCGTGGCCGGATTTGCAGCATTCACCAGACATCTTGCAGAGGCAATAGGTCAATAGACGATCCCTAGGGAGGGTTTTGTCGCGGTATGGTCTTTCGATGTTGAGTAGATTAATAGACCGTCATTTATGATCGCTGATGATCGGGTAAGCATGCTAGTGAGGGGCTATTCCAAGCGTCTGTAGTGGTGGAATTAGAGAACGGTGAAACTGGAAACGCGTTCGCGACTTTTGACTTTCTGAGGTCGTCGATTCGGCTTTCTTATATCGTACATTATAATACAGCCAACGACTCCGAGACCGAAGCAGAGTAGATCTATGAGGCCGTCACTCCATATCCAGCGCAGCATCGCCCTCATCAGGCAACTTTGCCACAACAGCCTCCACCATCGAGATCAGCTGGTCAACATCCGGTCTCTCAGCGGGCTCAACTCTAAGACAAGCCCTCACAACTTCCTTGACATCCTCACCAACCGCATCCTCCTTCCGTTTTTTCGCCGCTTCGGGATCAATATCACTGACTCTCTGCTTCCCTCTCCTTGCCTCAGCTGGCCCTTCGTCGGGAAACCTCCAGTCGCCACCGAGTACACAGAGACTGAGGGAGCCGCCCGTCTCCTCACTGCGAGCTTCAAACGGTGATTTTCCTATTAGGCAGGCGTAGAGCGTGCAGCCTAATGACCAGATATCGACCTTTGTGTCTATCGTGGTATCTGGCTGCACGTCAAACAGTTCGGGTGCGCGATATGGCATCGTACTATGCTCCGCTGCCTGATCCTGTACTTGTAATGCTAAGGCTCGGCTCGTGATGGGTGTAGGCGAGGGTGCGAGCGAGCCGAGATCCATGAGGATGGGTTGTGTGCCATTGTCACTGATCATGATATTGCCGGGCTTGATATCCCGATGCGCATAGCTCCTTATCTCACCATCCCGAACTCCTTCTTGCGCAGCCATGACTTCACCTTCCATCAGCGGTTCCTGCTCGATATCCTCGTCATCGCGGTCACGTCTCCGTCGCTCTTGGTTCGCTTGGATGACTTCTTCTTCTGCGTCGTGATCTGCTTCTGCAGCTTCCTGGCGGACTTTCTTGGCTTTGCGACGACTGCTTTCTCCGCCTGGTGGGCCTTTGACGCGGTATTGGTGCATTGCTTTCAGTGCTCTGCAGACGCCTAGGAAGAGGACCATGAGTCTTCGTTCGGGAAAGCGGGCGTGATTGACCAGGTTCGCGTTGATGGCGTCTTGAAGATTGCCTCGTCGGTAGTATGGTAGGAGGATGTAGACTGTCTTGCTGCCCGCGTCACCTCCTCGGTCCGACTCTACAGCATGATCGATGGCGTGGATGATGTTTGGGTGTGGTGTGAAGAGACTATACGCCTCTACCTCTTTCAGTGCTAAGCTTACGCTCTCTTCACCAAAAGGACAACGGATCTTCTTGAGCGCATAGAGCGTTGGATCGCCAGGCGATTGGACGAGGTAGACATAGCTGAAGCCACCTTCACCGAGAAGTCGGAGTATCTTGAAGGATCTACCATTGATTCGCAGGGACGGGTTCGAGGGGAAGCAGTTGCATAATTGTGAGAGCTGCCAGATGCCGTCGAGTATGTAATGCGAGAGCTGCGTGACGAGTGTTGGTTGGGACATGATATCGGCGCAATGGAGACGGTGATGCGACCTCTGGGCCCTTTCAACGATCTGGTGTGATTCGGTACTCGCGATAACCAATGCTATATGTCCTCGAGTCGTGATCTATTCCTGGAGGTGATTTCGGTACAGTAGAACTACAGTACCTTATGCTAGATCCAAGGTAAGGAGCTCCACATCTCCACGTGCTTGAGGCTGAACTCTATTTGCGGTATTGTGGTCCAAGCGTAAATATTACACAAGGTATACACATGATTCCCTGGTCCGCTTGCCTCTGGTTTGTTTACTGCCAGACAAAACAAGTACTCAGCGTAGCCAAAGCTAGATGTAGCCCTGACGGTGGTCATGTCATTACGTGCCCATATCTGCCATCACTCTCAAGAAGACACCGACTAGGCAAGTCGACCACGAAATGTTAAGCAAAACCCAAATCGATTACCAGCAGCTTTCTACAACGTATAAATCGTCAGGCTTGAGTCACATTCGGAGTGCATACCTCATACCGGCAATTTGGATCATGTTATACAACTTATAAACTTCTTTCATAGCATTCCCTCGTCCGCACTTTAGTCTGTGGTCAAGGCATTCGAAAGTTGCAATCGCGCTAGAAGAAGATCAGTGTGCGATACAGTGTACGACTACGTTCGGTTGACATACTGGTCCGAAGTGTTGTGGCCGTGCTCTCGAGCGCGTAAACGTCCTCATTATGCTGACGCCCCCCTCCACCAGCTTGAAAGCCTGTGTTTCAGCTATCCGAAAGTACACGCGTGCCATGCTTGACAAGGGATCTTGGCCTCATTGGCAATACAGCTCCGCTCAGCAGTTGCATTGGGACCTCTACACCGGTAGAGAGAGCCAGGGCTGATATGTGCTCATACAGGCTTTGGACGCTCTAACTTAGGCTTCAGTGAGCAGCACACGATGATCCAAAGACCATGCTCCCGGATGGCTTGTAGATCATGGGCAACAAAGTATGTGGTCTTGACGGCCTAGAAGTTGGCGCAGCGTGGGAGAGAGCTCTCGATCGAAAGGCTTGTCGAGGCGGATTCAATGCTACAGCCTGCCATTGCTCCGAGTGGAAAATGTAGTGATCTCTCGTATGATCTCATGAGTGGCGGAAGAAGCCAGTCAACATAAACTGCCATGCGCAAGATAACATCGCCTCCTGATCCTCTTGGAGGTCCTTCCCAAGCCACTCCAGGCGTGCATAAGGTAGACGCGTTTCTACCGCTTCATTGCCGGCTCGGAGCTTGATGTGCCATACTAGACGATCGTCCAGCGTGCCAGGCATTAGAGAGTGCGCACTGCGGTTTTGCATGCTATCCCATCGTGCTAGTATGTTTGCTCTGTGGTGCTCGGGTTCTGTCTCGACCAATTTCCAGTGAGCTCGTCCGTCTTCAATCGACGTCTCTTCGTGTAGTTGGTATGCGAATACCAAGCTTCCTTGCTCTCTGTTTCGGACATCATAGCTGGGTAATGCCACAGGCAGGTGGACTCGAATATGTGGGAGGATATCCGCCTCGAACATTCCTTCTGCGCACTTTCGTGTTTGGGTAGAGCATGGTCGTAAGCCCAGCCAGGCATCGCGAAGGCTACAGTAGGTTAGGATCGTGAGCCATAGCTCGTCAGGTAGATATGCCATAGTCATGTTATTGATAGTTCTAGAGTACATGGATGCATGTGAACGAAAGCATGATGACGATGTCGTTGCCCACAACGTCGTCCGAGGTGCATCCGGACTAGAACTATCGACCGTTGCCCACCTCAAGCCAAACCTTCAGACGTTCTATCCTCCTGTCAATATAACAATCATGTTGTTGCGTCCTCGCGCTGTATGGCTGTCGGCATGGGAAATTATCTAGCGAGGACGTGTGCTTTCCGCGCAGAACATAGATGTCTGGCATATGGCATACCCACCTGTAGGTCGACATAATTTTTCTACATATGGAATATACCTCAGCAACTTCTCATCTACCCAATACTCACAATGCCCGAGTACTCCGCGGCTCAGATTACAGACTTCGTCCTTTCATTGCGGACCCCATCGACAGGGCGGTGGTCCACCGAGAGTTTCGACAATAGACCCCGTGGACTATGGTCTACAGAAGCTCGACGACATCATCCAATGTGTTTGCTAACCAGCCGCGCCCATAAGGCCAGTATTATTTGACTTCTGGCTGGACAACATCTCTGCCTAATCGGCTTCATACGGAATCCAAGCCTTATAGCAGCTTGGCAACTTAGACTCACGCTGGCGTCCCAAAGGGTGCATCCACTCACAATAACATGGCGACGATTTGAGTGGCATGAAGGTGGCAGACCCAGCAGGATGAGGCGATTGCTACGTACTCACCTGTGATCTTTGGTGAGGCGTTTGTTCAGAGGAGTCGGTGGCATGCGATAGGTAGGACGGGGTTGCTGGTCGGATGGATGTACAGGCATTTAGTATGGAATTTATCATGCTGACTGCTCAGGCTGTCGTGATGACAATGTACGAGGTGGCGGAGTTGGTGAAGTCGATGAGGATGTAGACTTGGCACAAGCACAACCTGTTGTGTAAAGTGCCCAAAGACCTGATGAAAGCCCATACTACCAAAGGCGCAGATTTCGGACAAGCAAAGGATTGCAGACACATCACCGAACAGTCATAGATACAGCTTTCACATACATACATATCTCCATTCCCACAGCGCCGCATACGAATGCGAAGCGCTCTGATCGCTCCTCGCACTGTCCAGCACATGTGTCCAACCCAACGCCGAATTCCCTGCCCCATAAGCAAGTGCAAGCGCAAAGCCAAGCTTCCAGTCTCAGTCGCAGAGAGGGTGTGGTTTGAGTGAAGAGCGCTAGAACGCTCCATCAAACTGGTATGGTCGTAAATCGTAGAAAGGTGGTTAGAAGAGCGTCTTCAAGAAGAAGTTACTGGGAAAGCGGCACTACCGTACAGTCCTAACGCCGGCCTCAAGAGCAGCAGGTGTTACACCCGTCTCTTCCACAGACCCGTGAGGATTCGTAGTCGCCGGTGGTGGAGCAGCAGGCCGCCTAAACAGCCCAAACATCCTCATAGCAGGCGTTCGCCACCTCTCGTGCCTAATCTGTGCTTGCTGTTCAGCCAACGCAGCCTGTCGTGCCGCATCTTCGCCCTCCATCTCGTCGTTGAGGAAGAAACGCGGTCCGGTGAAAATCGTCCTAGGGCGAAAGAGCGTACCAGCTCGCCCCCCTATCCATGTTGGCGCAGGTGCGGTGGGCATACCGACTCCGCGGACTGGTCTTCGGTTGCCGGCTGAGGAGAGCAGATCGTCACCAGCTCCGCCGTCGGCACGAGGTTTTGCGACGAAGTAATCTGCTTTGCATAGCGGACAGCAGGCACGGCGTGAGGTGAGCCAGGGGTCTACGCAGGCGCCGTGGAAGGCATGGCCGCAGGTCAGACCGCGAACATCGTCGTCGTCTTCGAGGGTGTCGAGGCAGATGGCGCAGGCGTCACCTGGTACAGCGAGCATTTCTGGTGGTGCGGCGGTGCGGATGGGATCGTCTTCGTCCATGTCTTCTTCGGCGGCTGTACCAGCTGAGCCATTTCGTCGTGCCGTTTCTTCGGTATCTGCGGTCTCACTACGCATCAAGGCGGCCTTTTCAAGCGGAGGTGCTGGTGCGCTCTTGTCGTCGGCACCGGCTTGCATAGAAGGCCGCTCAGCGCCTGCCGTTGTCGCGGCTTCGGCATGATCGTGTTGCGCAATGCTTAGAGCCGTCGCAGGCCGTGCAGTATCCCCGGATGCTCTGACCTCTTTTGCTGCAATCGCACCTTCCACATCTCTCAGACTTGCTGCACGACTAGGTGGTGCGGTCACACCTCCAGCAGCCGGTAATCCTTCGGCCTCTCGTGATGCGCAAAATGTCTTGTACTTCGTAAGCGGGAAGCGTTCGTTCACCTCCTCCATGGACATGAGCTTCTTCTCTCTTCTTCTTCTGTGCGGCCTAGGCATGGTCGCAAGGTCAATCGGATCGCCATTTTCATTGAATGCTTGTGCTCGTCGGTTGCGCTGATTGTATCGGAAGCAGTACTTAACTCCTACGATGATCCTGTAGCATCGTTAGCAAGGCGTATTGCTACGTTAACATTCTGTAAGTGTACCATAGATTCGTAAACACGACACCAAATCCAAGAGCCACGAAGAACAGCAGAGGCGAGCTTGTCGGCCCACCATTCCCTCCTCCTGGAGGAAGGTTGTTCGAGTTATTCGAAGGTGTAGCCGTGGGTGTCGCGGACGAAGTAGAAGATGCAGCCATGCTGATGAAACCAGTAGCTACCGACATCCAATGCGGTAACCAATGGAGAGAACCTGGTGTTCCTTGGGGTGCCGACACTCAAGTCACAGCCCCGTATTCACTGACGGGCGGTGCTGCACAACTATCGTGCTCGTGGTGCTGAATGTAGAGTGGCGGATCCAGTCGCCACCATGCGATAGTAGTATGGTAAGAACGTGAAGTCCAGGTCGTAAGGCTATGCAATCGTCGATGCTAATGTCTCGCCGTCGCGGAGACTGGAGCGGCTTGATGTGGCAACTAGTGCGGAATCGGTAGCCGGATATATCATATACACTTTCGCTCGCTATCGCACTTTCACATCCACTTCCACCTTGCTGACCCGTGTCTTCCGTGCCGCGCAATCTGACCAGCACCAGTAATAGTCGCGAGAGTGTTTTCGTTAGTGTTGTGAGAAGATGACGACGACAAGGCACACGATGAACAGAGGGACGACTCGGGTATTGTTGGTCACTACTGATGGGCGGAAGCTGGGCTCTCCGCGGCCCATGCTCAGCTTGGGAATGATCTGCAGGTTCTTCGATGTCATGGATCTTGCAACCGTGCAACCTTCATGCGATTTGGAAGCAAACAACGCTTACTACATGTTACTGCCATGCCGCCAGTACCGGATTTTCAATGTGCCCGCCGCTTATCTGTGGACTCGACTTAACGAGAGTTGCCAATATTCTGCTTAGATGGTCTACAAGAATACAGCACGATTCGGGACGACTCTTGACGCCACATGCGGGGATTCGTACCACTGTACATCCTAAACGATCTGCGAGATAAACGAGAGTGCTTGTACCAGATACAATGATTTACTCGAGACGGCACCCGCATTGATGGTAACGACGATGCATTCGAGGCAACCCCCAGGTGTTAGTTTTAAGGAAGCGGGTAAGACCATCACTATCTACTCCTCACGAGGTTGTCATCCATCTACTGTTCAAACTTCGATTCCTCCCTTGGAAGCACCCTGATATCCGACCCCATCCCTGTGATATCGTAGCCATGGCTGACCAGATAGTCCTTGAACCTCAAATCCTCTACCTCAATTGTATCTTGATTAATCTGTGGCAGCCAGTACACCAGGAAAGCGGACACGAAGCACAGCGCGCTAGCAACATAGAACGGATACTGACCACCGCGGACGGTTTTGCTTCCTCCTCCCGCCGCTTCGATGTACGGGAAGATATAGTTGCCAATGAAGGCGCCGATCTTGCCAGTCGCCGCGGCAATGGCGTAGTATTGCCCACGAACACCAGTGGCACATGTCTTCGACGCCACGAGCCCGATGTTGTCTCCTGGACCCATCTCACCAAGTGCTAAGAAGATGCCGTACACGACGACGAAAGCGGCAATGTTCTTTGCTGTCCCAAGATATTCGTAGCAGCCGGCCATGATGAAGCCCAAGATACCTTGAGCAGCGACGAAAATCATGAGGGCGCGACGTGGTCCAAGCCAGTCTGATGTGAACGAACCGAGGATAGCACCGGGCTGCGTGTGAGTGTCAGTTACTGACATCATGATAACATGTTCACGAGAAAGCTCACCAGGTAAAAGAAGTTCACCAAGCATGACCAGCCGAAGGTCTGCCACAAGGCCGCGTTTGGCTGTATGACCGCAATGAACTTACTGCTATATATCGAGAAAGGGTACGTTAGAAAGTCGTATATGAACCAGACGGCCATGACTAGTAGAAGACGAGGTCCATAGAATTTGGCAGCCAGCCAGTACGGTGTCTTGCCACGACGGAAAGCAGACTTTTTGACGGACTCTGGCTCCTTCAGCTTCATACGGATCCAGAAGAGCGAAAGCGGTGGAATGACTCCAAGACCTAGTGAGAGTCGCCAGACGAGGCCGAGATCGTTTGGTCGCGCGGCTGTGATGATCATCGGAATCAGTGTCCCCATCACGAAGCCAAAGTCGATCTGGGTATTGGTGAAGAGGCAGAACCAGCGATTCCTCGTTCCAGCCTTAAGCTCACCAGAGGCTTCTGCGCATCCCACGGATCCAGCAGGGTACTCGCCGCCGATGCCGATGCCAAGTAGGAATCGATAGGCTGTAAGCGCGGCGAAGAGTCCGCTGATACTCCCGCCTGCACCATAACTACCAGCACCCAGCGCTGCGAAGACGAAAAGAATGACCGTCGAAACCAGTAAACTCCACTTTCTCGAGTAGTGATCGCTGGTATAGCCGAAGAAGAGCTGTCCGACGACTGTTCCCGCGAAAGCGATCGAGGACACGTTCTGTGCTGCTGAACTTCCTGCGTATTGCACTGGGTAGATAGTCGAGAGGATGGTGTTGACCGGGCCGATTACCGCTTGTAAATAGCCATCAGAAAAGAGTCCAGCGCCACAGGCGACGACAGGGGAGAGTTGTTGCCAGCGTGTCTTATCTGGGTTGGCGACAGATACGTCCAAGTCATGGGAACTTGGTGATTGCTCGAGATCGCGCGGAGCTTTGGGATCGAGTGTGTCGTTCATGATGTGTCCAGAGTCGAGTAGAAACAAGAATTCGCCCAAACTGTGAGGTTCGACGATACCAAACCGCTGCTGTAGATCAAAGTGTACTCAAGACAACGAAAGGCCTCCCGATGGACGCACGCGACCTTTATCAGTGTTTGAACGGCGATCTGCATCGTATCCAAGCTAAGCTCAGGCCAAGCTTTATCAATGTAGCTTGGCGCGAGCATGGGTCTAGCCCAAGATCAATCGCATTGACTTTATGGTATCGCACCTCTGCCATTGACTTGCTGCAGCACGTGGAGGAAGAGTTTTCAGAGTGCTGATCATATATGGCGAAGAGGCGTGGCGCAGAAAGTTATGGTCAATCTTAATGGAGGACGCGTATGCGACCATTCGACTTTTTGGACTTGCCGCTTTCCGGATATGTGGCCGCGATAGCCGATTAGGGTGGTGCGTCATGAAGAGATCCTCCAACATGTGTAAACGGCTGCTTTTATACAGGTGCGCACGTGACAGCCGAACGATGCAGGGCAGAGGATGTGCAGACACAAGATAGGCTGCTCAAGGATCAACAGCGATAACGACTGTTCTATATCGTAACACCCGCTGTGCACGAGAGGTAGCTATCTACTTGCTGGGTTATGTCTGCGCTAGCCGCCACGCATCTTGAGGCCTTCGAATGCCGCTCTGTGTCCATCTCGAGAGGTCGATCTGTTCTCAGCATGTTTTTGAACACACCGAGACCATGAGGGGAGCCCAGAGTATGAGGACCATGAAACATCGGATTGTTCGAGTACCACTAAGCAGATTGCATGTTGCCGACCTCCAGCAATGCTCTTTCTTGCTTGAGTATTCGAGATCATGCGGGCAGCACCACGAGGCCATGCCGGATGTCTTCCAGCATTTGATCCTCAGAGTCGTTCTTAACGCGCAGAATATTAATCTCCTCCTGGGCTGGCACTATGAAACCCGCATGGCGTCCGCCAAAGAAACAGCGTATCATCTTGCGAGGCGGAACACTCTTCAGACCCAGACGTTCGTCGAGCCGGAGGTATTGATGATATGGCACATCCTGGTATATCAGGTTATACCGATTGAAGCAGTCTCGAGCCCTTTCCTCTTGTCGGAGTGCTGCAATGGGTTCCATGGTCAAGGACAAGTCGTCCAGCAGGTTGGACACTCTACGTTTGTCCTCTCGTGGGTGAGTGTAATTTGTTCTATCTGGGAAGTAATGGTCGACCAACGACCTATAGGCGCGACTATGCAGGCGTTGATGCAGATTTCTAGAACAAGGCGAATCAATTCGTCTTGAGCAAAGGCGATCCTCGGATTAGTGTCGTTCCATCGTTCGTGCAGCCAATCCGAGAGATATGTTCTGGATCCTGTAGTAGTTGGACCCTCCAGCCATGCTCGCCAGGAAACATCTGGCCCTGCTTCAAACAGTGACCAGAGCGCCCACCTCACCATCGAGAATGTACTTTGGCGAAGTGGCGATTCCCACTTGTCGTGATTGTCCTCCGCGTTATGAGCGTACTCGTTCAGTACCACGGATACGATCAACTTCACAAGGAGTTGAAACCCTCGTAGCTCTGCAAGGCCTAGTGGAGAGATGTGGTGGTGCCAACTCTGAGCTATCGCCATCTCCAGCGACACGGCATTCGCCCACAATTTGCCCGGCTGTAGAGTACACAGTGTCTCGTGTTGCTTCACTCCTAATCCGTCCGGCTGATGACGTTCGATCTTGTCTGGCATGAAGGACGGCTCGTCGACCCGTGCTTGGCGAGCAATGATGGACATTTTATGGATTGCTTTCCAACCAAGGTAGATCTTATCGCGTACCCTATCTCCAAGTGGGTCGTCGGCTGCTATCTTGCTACGACTATAACGCTCAGCCACGACTGCAGCTAGCTGATGATGTCGTAAGTCGCAGAGCCACTCTAGGTCAGCGGCTTGTTGTCTTGTTCAGCTTTCGTGGACTTGATATGACTTGCACGGAGTACTCACGCCTGTTGCATAGGATACTGACATGCATAGCTTCTCCGAGAATGTTTTCCGCGCTACTCTCGTTGCGAGCGATCCCATATGCCCATCTAGCACACCGCGAACGATTTTGGCTGCTCGTCGTAGCATAAGCAAGTCATCGATCCGCAGATGGCTAGCGATCTCAAGTAGTAGATCGTTGGGCAAGGACAACAATGTTGTCCCTTGAGCCTGCGGTACCATCGTAAGCCAATGATTATGCCGAGTGAAGGATCTCGCCAATCTAGCCCGCCAATCTAGCCCGCCAGTAATGCCGACCGCTGACTGCGTAGTAGCTGAACACCTTTCTGACTATAGATTTTGTGAGCGGCCTGCTAAGATGATGACCTATGGTATTGTTTGCTGCGAAGTGGAGATAGTTTAGCACTGCATATGCGTACGCAAGCCTGTTGCATATGAAGCTGTATCCGATAGCTCACGCAACGGAGGCAAGAACATGCACTCGGGCATGCAACGAGAGATGCGTTGATGAGTGAGAGTCCAATGGACTGATCATACATATGAGGCTGAGACTGCTTTCATTGACGTTCCGCTTCTTCGACTTTCTGCTCTGCATCCGGTGCGTTGCATAATCCTGCATTGCGAGATGGGTCGAATGATTGGCAGCCGACCTCGACCTCGACGAATGTCTCACAGGACCAGGGTGGTGCCGTTGACACAGTGAAGGTGAGGTGTCGCAGCACGAGGTCCTTGCATCGACTGCATAATGTTGAACCCCTCCAGACATAGACCGGCAGGTTGCCGACCAGTGGCAGACCGATGGGCATCGGTTCCACCAGCCGGGCCGTCAGATAGAGAAAGCTGTATATGGGGTATCCATAGACAGTATCTCACTCGATCACCCTCCCAAATAACTCCTTCTGATACTCCTCCACGACCTCCCTGAGCTTTATCAGCACCCCCGCCGCCAGGCTTCGTACTTTCGCTTCCTCCTCGCCACCACCGCCAACCATCGCCCCATCGCCTCCACCCGTTCGCTCGAAAACCATCTCAACCCAGGTCTGGGTCTCTATCATTTTCTTGGCTTCCTCTTGCGCCAGACGCCTCTTGTCCGTGTTCACTTCCAGTAATGTCAGGAGAGCGAACAGCACGGCTTCAAGGACCGGCAAGATCGTGATGGTCTGGACGCGGAGGCTGAGAAGTAGATCCCAGAAATCCGTTGTGATCTGCGGTAGTGCCATTGTTGCTGGACCGCTGGCGTGGAGAAGTAATGCTAGTGTTCGCAAGAAGGTCGTCAACACGATCTGCGTGGATGAGAAGACGCTACGTGATCCGTACGCAGCCAATTCTTGCTGATACAGGTTGAGCAAGGGGACAAAGAATGCTGGACCGAAGACTTTGGCGAGCTGATTGGCGGGTGCTTTGCGTTTTGTTCGCTCGACTTCCATCCGAGAGGAGAAGGTGCGGACTTTGACAGCATTGAGATGGGCTGTAGTCACATCTGCAGCCTTCAATGCCAAAGGTTGCATCAGTTGATCCTCAATCTTCCTGCTGGCTGTATCGATCAGCTTAGTACTAGTACTGTGCTCGGCCGTGTACGTGGCATGCAAACGAGCGGGCAAACGCGTGCTCGCAAAGTCAGTCCCCGAGATCGTCGGGTTGAGCTCGTCTTCGTTCTTGAAACCTGCTAGTTCTCGACCCCCGAGACCGAGCGCGCTGAGTATGATACAGCGTTCAGCAATCGAATAGCCTTCGACAAAGGCTTGCCGGCTTAGCCAGGGACCAATATGCTCTACGTCGCTCAGTAGCGCGGCTATCATGGCTTGTAACTTCAGCTCGTCGAAGTCGGGTGTGAAGAAGGGATCTTGGAGGTTGCAGAGGATGCCCAACAGCTCCTCGGCATGGTCTTTGACTTCTTTGCCAAAGTTTGCTTTGCGGCGGATCAGGCGTGCGGCATGCTGCATGCCCAGCTGGAAGCGATCGTGGCTTTCGTCGTCGCGGAGCATGGCCATGAGATGGCGAATGTAGACCGGAGGTCTTGCTTTGTTGCGGTTAACGAGGGTAGCATCCTCATCACTGTCTTCTGCGTCGCTGTCCGGTTTGGCGTAGGGTTTTAAGTCCTCATCATCTTCGTCGGAGTCCTCTTCTACCAGTTCTGTGATCTTCTCTCCGATCACCTCTGTCTGTGCTGGTCGTGGAGGTCGCGCTGGGCCGAAGACTGCTATTCCATTGATACTGGAGGACATCGCCTGTTTCTTGGCAGGCTTGCTGTGAGTATTTGTCGACTGAGATACGGTCTTTAGCAGCATATCTCTGAACCTGGCAAGATCACCGATGTCTCCTTTCGCTGTGACTAAGCCCATGTACCACTCCGCTTCCTCAGTTTGTACCTCGTCGGTCCCAAAATTCATCTTGCTTCCCCCCTTATCAATGAGAGATGACACCGCCATAGCGACCACCATCCCAAGCCATCTTGCTCGATGACCTGACGCATCGAGTCGATTGCTGGTTCCTTGCATATGACTTGACGACCTGGCAATCACTAACACGGCCATTGGATTGTGTCGATGCAAGTAGCCGGCAGTCAGTAATAGTGTTTGTGCTATACTTTCCTGCTGAAGCACAGGGGCGTGATCGATGAAGAGGCGGGCTGAGAAAGTCGCCATGAGCTTTTCGAGGAGATCTTGTAATGAATCTGGGGCTATGGTTGCTAGGGCTGATGTTGCGGCTTGCCGGATAGGGTAGGTGAGTGATGAGCTGAGGATCGGGTCGGCGAGAAAGATTTGAAGATGCCTTTGGACGGCGGAGTCGTCTGATACGACGGCGTTGAGGAACCCGAATATTGAGGGCATGACTGACGGAACGTTTTCGAGGTCCTTCTCAACATCAATGCCGGAAGATGATGTCAGACTAGATAGCCATCGCAGTAGCTGTTCTAGAAGCTGCTTCTTGGCATGCATGGGAAGACTATGTAGCATATAGCCCAACATCTGCGCATCGTCGTCGATCAAGAGTGGTATCATTGCCCAAAGCAGCGCATTCGGGTAGCCAATATTCAAGGCTTTGGTCAGGACTTGTGCACCATATGCCCGCATTGCCACTTCATCGATCTCTCCATCGAGCGATTGATAGATGGTTGCTATGTTGCGGCCAAGCCAAGCTGCAAAATCCGTTCCTTTTGCGAGCCAGGTTGGCATTCCATGATCAAGCTTGACTGTGTCAGTTGCTTGTGCAACAATGGAGACGATCTTGCCTGAACCAAGTAAGGTAGCGAGTTCCCGGGCCATGAGGTGTTGCTTGGTAGTAAGCTCTGTCTGGTCATTATCAGCATGATGAGAAAGCCGCAGGGCAGTGTCGTTCCCAGATAGGATGAGAGTGAGGCAGTCTATGAGTACTGTGACTTGCTGGCCATTGTCTGAAATGCGGTCTCGTCCCGATGGTGAGGTTTGTTTAAGCTTCGCAAGGACGGCGTTGATGCCAGTCAAGCTCCGTAGGGTTGCCGCTAGAAGTAGTTGTTCCTCGGCTTTCAGTGTGGGCCAGAAATTTGGCAGGATATCGTTGACGAGTGAGCTTGTTATCCGCGTTTGTAAAGGACCAGTGTCGAAGAAGTTGAAGTCGCCAACGCTGCCTGGCTCGGAGAGCTTGCTCAGCGTGGCAAGCAGGTGAGAGGTATCTGGCTCTGATCGAAAGAGGAGCAATATATCCTCGGGAGATCTGATCTGGAAGAGAGCATCTTTGCTTCTGGGAAGAGTCACATCAGACGAGTCTTTAGGAAATCCAGCTGCTGAGGGAAGAGTGGTCTCCTGGTGTAGGTTGGATGTCCTGACTGCTGTCAATCCAGGTTCATCATCTGATGTTGTAGTCGTCTTCAAGGGTCGACTTCTGACAGCCGTGAAGAGATCCGCCATCCTCTACTAGGGCACATCGCTTCTAAGTCAGCGTCAATTACTTGATTCGGTCTGCTACCAGGGTCACAGTGACAAGATGTAGATGCCCTAACAGAAAAGCGCATCACGTGCCAATGTGTTTCGCTTCGTCGGGCCGAGCCCTAGAATGACGCCTAATCGATAGGGTCAAGCTCCGTGTGCAGCTGTTTGAATATGAGTCAAGTACAGACCATCGCACAGTCTGTCACTACCGCAAACATGGCAGCTGAAGTAGCTGCGCAGCCAGTGAACGGCACTGCCACAGGATCACGGGCAAGATGGAAGCACATGGACACCCTCCTCTCTCGGCCCGGCGCATATACAGACGAGGACGACTTCGCCCCCGGCAGCGTGCCTATAGGCAACATCGAGCAATCACGCATTCTTGTCATCGGAGCTGGAGGGCTGGGCTGCGAGATCCTCAAGAACCTCGCCTTGTCGGGCTTCAAGCACATTGATGTCATAGACATGGACACCATTGACGTAAGCAATCTCAATCGCCAGTTCTTATTCCGTGAGAAGGATGTCGGCAAGGCCAAGGCAAGTGTGGCCGCTGAGTTCGTGATGAAGAGATGTCCTGGGTGTGTCATCACTCCATACGCAGGCAAGATCCAGGATAAGGATGAGGACTACTACATGCAATTCAACCTCGTCATCTGCGGTCTCGACAGCATAGAAGCCCGTCGCTGGATCAACGCCACCCTGGTTGGAATGGTGGACATGGAGAACCCGGACTCTCTCAAACCTCTCATCGATGGCGGTACGGAGGGCTTCAAAGGCCAATCACGTGTCATCTTCCCAACCATGACTTCTTGTATCGAGTGCCAGCTGGATATGCACGCCCCTCGTGCTGCGGTGCCACTCTGCACCCTCGCCACTATCCCCAGACAACCACAACATTGTATCGAATGGGCACATATCATCAAGTGGGAAGAGGAGCGCAAAGATCTCGTCCTTGACACCGACGACCCGGAACACATCACCTGGCTGTATCAGAAAGCTCTCGGACGCGCCAAAGAATTCAAGATCGAGGGCGTGACGTATAGCATGACTCAAGGCGTTGTGAAGAACATCATCCCTGCTATCGCCTCCACAAACGCCATTGTCGCGGCAAGCTGCTGCAATGAGGCATTCAAGATCGTGACCTCGGCAGCCTCTTTTCTCGGAACTCCAGGCGAGAACAACTACATGCTCTACACTGGCGACGCCTCAATCTACACCTATACCTTCGAACACCAGAAAAAGGACGACTGCCCTGTGTGTGGAAACTTACCCAAAGACTTGTTCGTCAATCCCGAATCGACTCTCGGTGAGCTCGTCGAAGGGTTGGCGGAGCGACCGGAAGCACAACTCAAGAAGCCGAATTTGAGGACTGAGGAGAAGACTTTGTATTATTCGAGTCCAGCCAGTCTAGAGGAGTCTACGAGGCCGAATTTGAAGCGGAAGATTAGTGAGATGCTTGCGGATGGGGAGGAATTCGCGGTCAGCGATCCGGCGTTTGAAATCAATTTTCGTTTCATTGCGAGATACGCATAGACAAGGTGGTGAAAATGGCCGTCTCAACGATAGTGTTGACGAGAGACGATGGTATGAATAGAATGATTGCATAGCGACCGGCGTTCGAGATGGCTGGAATCCAAGGTTCTGTTTTTAAGCCCATTGTGTTAGTGCTACTTACATGTTGCATGGCAGATGCAAACAGCCTAAATTTCATCATGTACCACAGCACCCAAGACTTGACAGTCCAAAGCAACCAAGCGACTGTACCTAAGAGTCAACAATTCTAAACAGACAAGCAAGTGTGCACTGTTTGCCCTTCCTTCTCCACCGCCTACAACTCGACCACAAGAGTCTCTCCCACGAGCCTGCCGTGACTTCTCCACAGCGCAGTTCACAGATCACAGCTACTCTCCACAGCTGGTATACGAGTCCATCCTGGCAGGTGATTCCAGCAGCATGCACTACCGCGTATATAGCACTCGATATGCTGCCTTGTTGTGACTATGTGCCGTGATTGCTACGTCTTTTCACATTATAAACAGCGTACATTAGGGTTGATATGCGGATATACGCTTTAGGCTTGGAGCAGCAGACTTCTTGGCTGGGACAATCGTTGCGGGTTTGGAAGCTGCGGGCAGCGACGCTTGCGATCAGGGCGGAAAGAAGGAGGTTGAGCGCGAGCGTGGTGATGATCTTGATTGGGTTCGGATGTTGCGGAAGTTGAGAGAGGCAAGGGCGAGAGATATATATGGATTGACGTGGCGAGTACCAAGCTACGGTGATGTTTTTGTACATAATCTCGTCCCTGTCTGTAGCAATACAACAAGCAAACCCAAAAAGTCTCACGACCACTTTCCCATCCGGCGCCAACGCTAGTAAGAACGACGTCGCGAAACCGCAACGGGAACCAAAAGATAGTGATATTAAGAATAATCGCCGCCGTCTGCCTCAGCTGCACCACCAGTCTCACCATAGCTCTTACCTTCCGCGCGACCCTCATCATTATTATGCCTCCCTCGGCCCAAGTAAAGCTTATGCTTTTGTCGCATATGCTGATTTAGGCTACTGGGCTTGTACCAAGTCTCGCTGTCGCAATGAGAGCACTGCTTCATTCCCACCATCGCGATGCCACCGTGATGTCTTGTTATATGATCGGCGAGTGCGGACTCGGTTCTATGCCGGCTCTCGCCGTTGCATTGGGAGCATACGAACGCCCTGTTCGCGGAGTGCTCGCGTGTTATATAGCGCGCGATGCTGTCATTTCGTTCAAACGTTCTGGTGCAGCGATGGCCGGAGGAGGGAATAACGTAGGTACATTGGTAGCGTCCGCCGTTTGGGGCGGAAGTGGTGGCGTCGGCTGGAACAGGGATTGATAGAGTTGGAGCTGGAGAGGATTTGGGCCGATCTTTCTAAGGAGGTGAGCTCGCTCCTCCACCAGCGCCGCTAGCACTTCCAGCATCCATGCTTTTACGTGGACCACCGAGCTTCAGCTTCAGCTTCGGCCGAGGAGGAGGTGGCATACCGTTCTCCGCAGGTGGAGACATCGATGCTGCCGTGGTCAGAGTAGAGGATGGTGTGGGACTAGCAGCTGTTGGCACAGCGCTCTCGACTGTTGCCACAGGTTGTGCAGCCGGAGGCACTAGGTCATAACTCCTAAATCCACCCAGATTCAACTGTGGCTGTTGAACTGTGCCTATACCGCTGGGCGATGGAAAGCTGAAACTACCCGAGGGGCTGTGCAACAAGCTCGACGGCGGTCCAGCAGCAAAGCTCGGCGATATTGCTGCAGCCGGGAGATGCGTGGGCGTGATTGATCTCGAGGCTTGTCGTGCATCCGCGCGCGGAGCAACAGATAGTTTCCGCTTCCCTGCAGGCTGCGGTGGACGAGACAGGATATCTTGTAGCTTTCCTTGCGCCGCGGAGCAGAAGCGCAGCTTGAGAGGGTCCCGTTTCACAGACCGGGCAAGTGCACTGGAGCCAGGAGTACTATTCCTTCTCTGACTAGCTACACTCGGACTCCTGCGTGCCGGCGGGCTCTGAGCATGGGTGAGCTTCGGCGCCTTGGGACTACCAGCGCGCTGCGAGCCCAGATCAACACTTGCTTTCCGCTTATCGCCACCGAGTTTCAGCTTGATGATCGGCATGGGTTTCTCCGTAGTCGGAGTCGGCGTAGGAGTGGCGATTACAGCTGGTGGAGGCGGGCCCATGACAGATTGCTGCAGCTGCTTACGCATGGCAAGCGGGATATCCTCCTCACTGCTCTGTCGACGCTTCACAGCTTCGACGGCCTTTGGCCCTGTGTACAATAAACCCAGCTCAGTCATCCGCTGCAAGTCTTCCAGATCAAGCGGCTTACGGGGAGCGATGCGGTAAGGACCATGTTGCCTAAATCGCATGACCTTATTGCTGCGATCCTGGCGCGCGACATGCCATTGTCTTGGTAGGCGTAGAGTAACGATGCTCGAGGCAACAGGATCGAACATCAGAGCAGCGATGTCACAGAGACCGGCAATATCGTCCAGAGAGATGTCTGTTGAGGTCGCAGCATACCATAGTGCTTCCTTCAAGACCTCTTCATCTCCTAAAGTGACTTTGAGCGCGGCTATGGCGCCTTCGGGTGATGCTTTGCGATTCGCTTCAATGGCTCGCGTTTCATTACTGGCCTCCTGCTCAAGAACTAGACCCTCGGCTTCACCAGTCGCAGCAACAGTAGCAGGTTGTTCTGGCGTGGGATCACCAAGCGCAATATGACCCAAAGCTTCGCCAAGCACACCCATGAGTTTGTTGCGAACGTATGGCGCAAGCTCCTCCGCAATAGATCTCAGCAGATACTTCATCATGCCCATCTTCCTCGTCAGCCCAATCTCAGTCAAGGACTTGAAAGCCGCTATCCGCACCAGATCCGCGTTGCCGGACCGGGTGTACTGCAGCACTTCTCTCGTCTTGTCCTTCACCATACCAGCTTTCGCCAGCTTTTGTAGGCATTCGAGCGCAGTCATTGAGTAGATATTATGGTATGTAGGATTGTACTCGTCGATCCGCCTGTAGCGCTCGATGGCATCTATACCCTCGGTCTCGAATGGCTCATCTGGGTTCTCAGGCTCGTTAGACTCGTCGTCGCCGCCGAAGCTGAAGGTGTAAGTTGGCTGTGGTTCGCGATGCGATATTACGAGTGAGTCTGCTAGACAATGCATGAGCGTCGTGATATAGTGACAGTCTGAGAAAGGGTTGTCGGAGTTGTCGTTGAAGCGTAGCTTATCCACGAAGAATTGGCGGATAGGCATGGGCACTTTGCCTTCCACGTCGCGCAGCTTAGACATGGCTCGTGGTAATGCACATTGCAGAGTGAACTGCACTCGGTTAGTCCAATCATTTGGTCTCGGAATGGATTCACCAGGAAAGCAGAACATCTCCTCGAATGCTTTCTGTAGGTGGAAGCCACCCAGTGCCTTTACCTTGCCGCCCATCTCTGTCTCGGCCTTGGCATTAGCGGCAAGTATTGCGATGCCATCCGCGGCCATCGTGCGTATCCCATGAAAGTACCGCCGGTCCATTAGCGTCCGCACAAGAATGCTCAGCGAAACATGATGGGGATTGGCCATGATCAGATACCGCATCGACTCGTATTGGGCCACCAGATCTCGATCCTGCTGAAGTTGCGAGACGTACATGTACAGCGGCATAGTCAGATGAATCTTGCCAATCCACTCAAAGTCCGCATCCATGCGTATCCACTCGAAGCTCTCCTGACCCATGCGCTCCTCATCTTCCGTGGTCCAGTCCATGAGTTGCCAGTCTGCCTGCTGTTCAGGCGAGTCCAGGATGTCGCCTAAGCAATACAGAAGCGCGTCTTCACCACCTTCACCAGCATTATTTTCACTCGCAGCCGCCCGATCTTTCTGTCTCCGTGATCGCTTCAAGCGCTTATACTTGGTATTGTACGGAATTTCCAGCTTCGTAACTTGCTCCTTGATCTCCACTATGTGCTCGTAGGGTGTGCCATCTGCTTCGTGGATACGTATAGTCATTGGTCCGGTGAAGACAGGCTGGACCTCAGGAGCCCAGACATCACTAGTGTACTCCTTGATCTCCCTCATGAAGTTGTTCGGTGCGAAAAGTGGCTTGGTCTGTCGATCTAGTTGTCGCTGCGAAATCGTCATCTCGACTACCAGCTTCTTCTTGTTAAAGCGTTGACTGACTTCGAAAATGGGACAGCCGGCACCCTGAACCCACTGTTTGAAGAACGATTCCAGCTTGTTGTGACCAAGCCTTTCACACTGTCGTTGGAACTCCGCCGTAGATAGCTCGCCATTCTCAAGCGAGCCACTTTTGGCGTTCATGAAGATGCGGTTCACGATACGCTGGACCCCAGTAAGGCCACTAGCCTTGAGAATCCGCCTATCAAGAATGAACAGCACCAGAGCGGACTTGAGGTCCAGAAAGTCACGGACAGATTGCTCAAGGTGTAGCAGTGGGCCATGGTGGTAGATTGATGGTCGATCAGCATCCAGCTCGTAGACTCTTTCCGCAGCAAGCTTCTGCTGCCATCTGTAGGCGTTGTTGCCGAAGAGTATCTTGCCATAGGCATCCGTCATGTACCCCGCCACACCAGCTACCGCCCATGCGTCAGTAGGCTCCTTTGCAATCACGCTCACGCCCATCCACTGATCTGCAAGTGCGCGTATCAGTACACGGGTATTGCGGTCCATAGGCTCGATTATGGTTTCTGGGAAGAGGAGGCGTGTGCTGCAGATAGAGAGGCCAGCCGCAGGTACAGTATCGTAGATGAGGTCGTCCACAAATAGCATCTGATAGGCCGAGAACGGAAATGATCCGTAATTCACAGCGAAGTAGTCCATGGCTCGTGTCATTGGAAAGCAAGTGTTGCGAACTTCTTCACCTCGACGAGGGAGACAGTAGCCATCTACTCTGATCGCGCTCTGCCCGAGCCGCTCTTCATCTTCAGTAGCACGAGTGCTCGATAAGTCGATGCGTTCGAACGGGCCAATTGCGAAACCAACATGTCGTGCCGCTACCGGGTCTGCAAGAGTGAAGGAGACGGTCCGTCGTGTCTCATCTTCAGAGTCTACTGAGTCATCGACTTGCTCACCTACGCACACCACAGCCAGCTCGAGGGCGGCGTCTTCATCACCGAGATCTATGAGGTAGTCAAACGGTGCTTCGCCTGAGACTTGTGCCTGATCGCCATTTGTCATCACGATGTCGCCGTTTGTGCTTGCTGGTCCAGGATCAATTGCTTTATCTGCCGCTGAAGTTCTGAAAGCATCACCAAGCGTACGAGGACAGCGGATTGATAGTTCCCAGCTGCATCTCGATGTCCTATCGTCCAGACAAGGGAAAATGCAACTTGTGTTGCCAGGCCATCGTTCAGCTTTAGTGTACATGTACGGGTAGTGCTTGTCGCCCTCTAGACAGCCCAACCAACGAACGCCATCTCGGAGAGTGGTAGTCTCGAATTCGATGGAGAGCTTGATTGGCGCGAATTGTGGGCCTTGTTGTGCCGCTGCGGCTATGGTTGGAGTCTCGGCCGCAATCGCCATTGCATCAGACTCCTGTTTCTGGAGGCTCGGCGTACCGGTAAATTGCGGGATGGTAGTCACGGGGTCGATGTGTAGCTCCTGAATCTTCAGCTTCGGTGGCAGCTGTATCACAAGCTCAGGTTCAGGCTGCGGATGTAGTGACCGCTCAAGCTTCTCCCTCAGCATCTGATGCTGGTGTATCGTCGAGCCTCTGGGCATGCGCAGGTTTCGGTAGGGATCATCGTACTCGTACTTGGCCGTGATGCCGCCAGCCTGGATAGACGTCGGCTTGCATTGTCGGCAGTGCAGCCGTATCTGCTTCAGATCCTTCAGCAGCGGTTGCAACGTAATCTCCGTACTGCCTCTCAACGTCTGTGTCGCAAAGTCGACGTCCACGTCCACCCGCTGCTTCAGCACGCTGTACTCGGGCGGCGCGGCCATTGCCGCTGCCACCACTTCCTCCACAAGACCCGGCATCTTCCCTTGCAACAACTCCTACTGCCCTACCGCCCTCACCTCACCACCCTCTCCACTCCACTGTCCCTGCATGCGCCCTTCACTATGGCACGCGCACTTTCTTGGAGGTTGTCGCGTGATGCTAGTGTTGTCGCGCCTGAAGCTTTTGTGTCGGAGCCAGAGTCTAGGGGCCCGATAAGTGATATGGTGTCGTCGAAGATGTTTTGCGGTAATTGCTGGCGGAGAAGAAGTGGTGTGAGTGTGAGTAACTTAATGATGCGACAGGCAGTGAAGCTGTGTCTCCAGTTGCAGTGACGCCAAACCACTCGGCTCGGTGTACGGCGAATCTTTCCTCCGCTCACGCATTCATCACTATTCACTTACAACCACATCCTCCAACCATGTCTCATCTGCCAACCATCATCTTGTCCATTGATGGTGAGGCACGCCGAATGTAAACCATAATCATGTCATAGTCCCCGATACTTGACATACGAGTCTGCCTCGCACCAATCAAGACTTGGATGACGAGCAACCTGCAATGTCTCCAGAGGCGCGAGTACAACCCTTGGACAGCCGTACCATGAGCCATGGACGTGATGCTGTCAATACGCCAATTTTGTATGGCCTTCGAAGCCTATGCTGCTACTTCCGATTCGGCATGGGTCTTGCATGCCTCCACCGCTACTCATGCTCGGATTTCCACTTGTGCCATTCCCTTGTTGCGATCACGACTACCGGTGCAGAGTACACGTCAGCAACCAGGATTCACAACAGTCACGTTTACAGAAGCTTGCGATCCGCTGGACAGCAAATTCTGTGCACAAATGCTGCCCGTGACACTCATGGTCCTGAGCATGCTGCATAGTTGTTCATGGGCTTTGCTCGTGGCCTGCCAGCGAAGGACTGGGACGTGGCATAGTCTTCGCCTGCAAGCTCCTGGATATATTGTAGGCTCATGGAGGTAGTTATAAAGATATGGCTGTTCCCATCACCGCACCCCTTAAAACACTCTCAACATTATCCACTCCCAACATCTCACCTAAGCCATGAAGAGCTTCTCTTTGGCTGTGGCTGTAACAGCTACAAGTCTATTCATCTGCACGTATGCAAGACCCGCAACCAAATCAAGCACACCAACTGCTACAGTCGATCCTACCACTACAAGGTATATGTGTAGTATCTTCTGTTTGACCTTCAAGGCTAAGACTGAAGTAGCATTGTCAGCGGTTATCAGCATGCTACTGTCATCGCAGATCCAACCAATCTACCTACCCCAATGAGGTAAGCAGTCCTTTCAGCGAATGCATGGTGAAAGTCACTTACCGCCCCAGTGATCTGCCTCAGACCTTGGCCACATCGAACGAAACAGATTCCTCGAATCTCACTGTGCTGCTCTCGGACCTCGACATGCCGGATCCGACCGACAGCAGTAAGCCCTCGAACGTCCTTCCCTTGCCATTGTCCCATACCTCGAGCATGTCCATGTCGGAAGCCGCCGCGCTCGAAGCTGGATTCGAGACTCCACAAGAGGATCTCAGCGACATACTGTCTAGCATTCCAGATACTGATCAGCTAAGTAGCACTGCCCAGATGAGTGGCGATTGTCATCACTGCCATCCTCATCATCGTCCCGAGGAGGACCATCAAAGTGTAGAGGTCAATGTGCAGGTCGACGAAGACGATGATGACGACAATGAGGAAGATGAGCATGATCATCACCACGAGCGTCCTCATCACGGAATGGGCCACGAGTATGGTCCCGAGGGTAATGGAGACGATGCGAATGACGAGGAGCATCCGCATCATCGCTTCGGGCCCGAGCATGAACACCAGAATCACGAGGAGGACTTCAAGCATGACGAGCACTCTTACCACGACCTAGCCGACGAGGATGACTACGAGGATGATTGGGAGCATGGAGGGCATCCTCATCACGGTCATGACCGCAAGCACGGCCACGACGAGGACAACGGAGATGAGTATGATGGTTCAGACGAAGATGAAGATGAGTCTCCATGGCACTTCACCAGCGAGCATCGAGGTCACCATGATAAAGAAGATAGAAATCGTCACGATCTTGGACCCTCGGGCCCGCACGATGAGGACTATGATCTCCATGAACACGAGATGCATGACTTTGCGTCAAGCAACAACGAGGACTGGCGTAAGCATCACCACCATGAGGAGGATGGATTGTATGTACCTGGTGACGATATCGATGGTGACTCGGATCATCATCGCCACCACGGCGGTCACACCGACATGGGAAGTCTTTCAGACGACGATTTCGACAGCCCACACACCTTGAAATCCTCCCAATCAGACGAACTGTCTTCTTTGGAGGCGGAATTGATGAAAGCGGAAATAGATGCTGCTGGGACCACGATCACTGTGGGATCGCTGAGCAACACCTCAGATGTCAACTTCACAGCAGGATCTCCTCCAACCTTGGAAGTCATTACGCTAGATACTGAATCCACCGTAACCAATTCAGATATCGTTCTTGCTATCTCGGACGGGAGCGACGACAACTCGACTTTGCCAGCGAACACAACGACGGTTTCGGCAAATCCAACCACATCTTTTGGCATGCCATCGACAACAGGCGGCGTCATCCCAAGCTCATCTGCCTCATCGGCATCACTTGAGACGAAGATCAGCACAGGCTCATCCATACTGCCTACCTCAGCCTCGACTTCGTTTTCCAGTATCTCCATATACCCGGCCATGTCTATCCCTACGCCTACCTCAGCCTCCTCAGCTTCGATTGCTACAACATCTACATCCTCCTCAATCCCGTCGTCGACCTCCACAACTGCTCCGCTGAAGACCTCAGTCTCCACCATACTTTCGTCTCCATCAACTTCTCCGACAGCGAATGAGGCAGGCACAGTGACTATCACAGCGACCGAGACCGGTGTACCGCATTCCACAGCAGTCGGCCTGCCACCTTACAGGAGTATCTTAGCATCACAGGCTTCGGGCGCCATGTCAGCTGCAGGCAACGCCGTGGCTGGGCTTGTGGACAAGGTGTCTCCTTCAAGCTCTGTTGCTGCTACGTCGACGACCACGGCTAATAGTACGACTTCAACGCTTGGTGCTCGGAATGCTTCTGCTAGTCCTACTTCGACTTCTGGGGCTAAGGGGTCCATCATGAGAGCTGGAGATGCTGAACTGAGAATGGTTGGGTTGGGAGCTGTAATGGCACTACTTGGCTAACTTCAAAACCGAAGAACCCGGTGTTATGAGGTGGGCGTGCATGACTACAGACTGTGCGGCGGAATTTCTTCTCGCGTGAAGATGTACTGCGATGCTGTCTTACGACTTGACATGATGTATTATTGAGTTTTGGTTTGTGGGTGCTGTTCTCTTCACCTTTCCTCCTCTGGCTGCGGACAAGATCCCTTTCAGCAAAAAGGATATTGAGTTGCGTGGAGGATCTTGTGTCTGGAGGGACTCGTCTGGTTTTCAGTGTCTATTCCATATCATTAGTATCATACCAGAGGATGTGTTTGCTTGGAAAGCAGGTCATGTTCCGCGATGGCGAGCAGGGTTGTTGTACGAGCGTGTTATGCTGTTGGGCGTGCGAAGACTACTAGAAGTTTGTGCCTGCTGCCTGATACTGAGTTGAAGATGTTATCTGATCTAGCGTGCGTGTCTATTTGCTTCTTGTGGGTATCCAAGTAAGCTGTACATAATATCCATTCAGAACACCATGAAATGGCCCAGCCAGACAACCAGCCAACGAATCATATCCACAATCATGACATTCATCAGAGCCTCTTCAACATATATCTGATTCACATTTTCGCCCTCCCAGCCTGCACCATAACATCCCTCGTCAAGATCTCGCCTTCCTTCCGAATCGAGCTTAATCTCCCAATGCTGATCAGTCGTTCAATCATATCTTCATCGCCAAAGTGGCTGTTGTGCTCAAACTCCGGCTCCTCGCCGTACGCCACTCGTGCGCAGTCGACTAGGATACGGGCGGTCATGCCGAAGACACGGTAGCGTGGTTGTTGTAGTGGATCGTCTGCATTTTTGTAGAAGGATCTGGGTAGGGGTGGTTGGAGGGATGACTGCGCTGATTTGCTTGCTGGGCTTTTACTTTGTGGTTTCGGGGGAAGCATCTCGGCGCCAGTCGTTTCAGATAATTGCTCTTCAGCTACTCTGGGTTGGCGAGGCTTGTGGTCTGCTAAGAAGACGGAAGATGGGTTGACAGGTACGAAGAACTGATGCATGCGCCAGGCGGTCTCGTGCCAGCTGTGCCAGGAGCCCTTGTACCACTCTCCCGGCACTGTTTTCCTTGCTTCTTCGTCCAAATCTCGCTCCCTGAGGAAGTTGGAGAATGGTGCTGTAAAGACAGCGGCAACTTCTTTGGCATCTAGCTTTGGCAAGAGATCTCGAGCGGCATCTGGGTTCTGGTTTCGTGGTGATGGAGGCGGCGTCTTCAGAAACGCCACGCATGGTCGCACTCCTAGTTCTGTCATTGCCAGATTGGTTGGTAACTCTGCCAGGTGCTCCACTTCATATCCAATTGGGAGCTTGTGGTCTGACATGGCGAGCCCGATCTCCTCGAATGCCTCTCGTCGCGCGGTGTAGAAGGGTGTCTCTTGTAGACTGTCTGCTTTGCCACCAGGAAGAGCTGCTTGACCAGAGTAATTTCTGAGGCCTGTCGACCGTATCGTCAACACTACTCGCAGATCACCGCGGCGGTCTGCGAAGAGCAGTATGAGGACTGCTGCCCTTCTGGCAAGAGGACATTTGTAGTAATTCGTGGGAGGTGGTCGAAATGCTCGGAGATTCGCTAGAGCCTTCTTCGAGGCGGGTGATAGAGATGCCATGGTCCAGCCATGGTGCCTACAATGACCGTGAGATTCACGTCGTCTTGAATACAACGGGATAATGCGCGAGAGCCGAGGTCATCCTGTTCACGCGGCAGCTTTCCGCTCTTCTTCGTCTCTGGCAATGTACGGAGCATAGCATTAGAGTGTCAACGATGGCTACATGAGTGAAGATGGGGAGCAAGGTTGTTGACACTAACATCCTTCCAAAGGCTGACAATTGGAGTGAGATCCACCTAATTTGGTCCCCAAACCTGCACAGCACGATAGATATCGTCGATGTATTCCATCATTCCTGCCCGTACACAACATCATCCCTCCGATGCTCAGGCTCGACACAAAGATCGCTCACTTTACCGTTCGTCATGTTAGCAGAGACTACTGTCTGCTCTGGAGCGAGCAATTTGAAGTAGCCGTTCCAGTCCGTAGGCCACGCGGGCAGCAACCGGATCTCGGTATTGTTCTTCGCAAATGTCTGGAGGAGCATCTCTTGCAGGCCGATGGCTCCACTACCGTAGTGGTTGATGTCGGGAGACCAGTCATAATTGGGACCCTTGAAGACTGGGAAGCGATATTGCGTGCTGTCGGCAAATCGATAGGCGGTATTATTTGCTGCCAGGTCAGTGAGACCCATTCGAGCCCACCAGATCTGGTCCTGGCGCCAGCCACTGCGAGGGCATTAGTCCTGATCGAATGTTGAGAGTAAGCTAGGCGACGTACTTATCGCCATGATAGCTTGCAGATTGGTTATCGTGAAAATATGCATTGTATGCGAAGCTGAGGTTTGTAGGCTGGCCGAGTCCATATTCGCCCCATGCTACGGGATAATCAGCTGCGATTTCATACGAGCGGAAATGAGAGAGGCTCACGGAAGATAGGATAGAGCGCTGTAGGCTCGGTATTTTCAGCAAAGCTGAAGTTCGCAGCTGGAGCGATGCATATGAGGTCTGCCCACGGGTATTAGAGAAAAAGATGATACATCCTCGGAGGGTGTGGACCTACTCGGGCTCCCTGGGCAAGGCTGTAGAGGCGTTGGCGGCAATCGTGCAGAGTATTGGTTGTAGTACGTCTCATTGCCCTTGGTCAGCGGAGCATCGAAATTCAGAATATCCGCAATGACGGCTCGCAGCCCGGCCACCGTAGATGACGGATTGAGTGCCAGCTTGTACGTCTCGGCTCCAGATGCAGGATATAAAATCAATTCACCATCAACACTCAAGCCATTACGCTGGCGGTAGAACTCATCGAAGTACGCCAGTTGATACTCGACGAACGGCGTCCAGCGCTCGATGTCTACACCACCATAAGACTTGGCAAGCACCACCATATCGGCGAATTCGTTCGCAGTGTCCGATAGCCATGACAGGTAGTCATTAAAGTCAACTCCAGGCGGGTAGAGATAGGATCGTGTGGTGTTGTACTGGAAAGTATTGGCATTGTACTCGAAAACATTCGGAAGGCCGCTGTTGTCGAGCTGCTCTGTCGTCAAGCCTACGTCTAGGCCAAAGTACAACTGTCCTAGCTTTCTGCTATTTGGTGAGATGTTACCGTAGAAGTCGAAGCTTTCTGACCAAGTTCACATTAGCAAGGAACCGTCTCCAGCTTTACCTAATTGTGTACTAACGTTCCATGATGTCAAAATCACCACTCTTCAGTAACGGCCAATATAGCAGCCTCTGGTTCTGTGCGGTAAAAGTCCCACCCGACCACCTGCGGTAGTCAGGCGTGAAGGCCGTGGTATTGTCCGTCAATACAGGATCAAAGGTGAAAAGCCCTCCATTGAATCGAGTCGGGAATTGGCCCTTGGCATTGCATCCCATAAGATACCTGAAGTACTGATAGTTCTTGCCGACCTGGAAACCGGAATCTGTGGACGGGGCATCAGGATTGATGATGATATACGATCGATCCCAGAAGTCATGCCACCATTGTAAGCTGCTGGCTTGCGTCCTGTCCGCGGCCTGCAATGTCTTGTTGATGAGGTTTTGTTGCCAAGCACCGATCTCTGTAGTTTGCGCCTGTGCAGTACCAATGTAGAGCTGAAATGATGATCGAGGGCGAGATGAACTGAGTGTAAAAGCAGTGTAGCTTGTATTGAGATATTTCCCGTATGAGATGCTGGTATCGTCAAGTTGTGGCGAGTACATAAAGCTCCCGAACTCGGGATGAGTTAGCCAGGAAGCAAGATCGAACACTTTGGTAAAATATACGTACTGTATTGTTTCGCATAGGATCGTAATATGACTCAGGATCAACCAGACCTTGTTCTTTCGCCTGGAAGTCGAACAGTGGTGTTTCGTAGTTGTGGTGGAAACTCAATACCCCTCCAGATGTGAAGTTCACTGTATCTGGGTACTGGTATGGAAGCGGAATGGCAGGTACAGCGTCTACACCCCAAGATGATTGTTCTTCCAAGTGTCAGTCGTACTAACAGCGTAGAATTCCTGGGCACTTACGCTGCTCATTAGTGACCATCTGGTACCCGGACGTCCGCCAGCTCTCCATCGCAGCCCGCAGTGTGATGTTAGCGGCATTGTCGATCCCAATATGAATATCTGATGTGTTAACGTCAACCCAGATCTTGACGACCGTGTTATTGTCGCCCTTGACTTCAGCATAGCCATCGTTAAGTAGCAATCGCTGCTCAAAGCTGCATCCAGTACCAAATGGATTGGGGTCCATAGTCAACCTGACTCGTCCCAGCTTCAGCAACGAGTTATTCTCGTCAAAAGCTCCACTTTGTGCGATATAGAAGAGAACATCGCCTTCAGAGATATCAGCTTGACCCGCGTCCACACGGGAGAGTCACTCACCGTCTTCTGCCCATACGTTCAACCCTATGTCTCCTGCACCAACAGGCATCGAGCCAGCAGAGTTGTTACTCTGTGTCGTCCATACCGTATCGTAAGACTTTGGCAACGTGATGGCATTGGCCACCGCGCCAAGCCACAGTATGTAGAATACTAAGTTGGACATTCCAAGCTGATGTGCATCAGAGGTAGCTGGTCGACAGATCGGTAGGACTGCTCAAAGCTTGCAATGGGACAATGAGTCTCTTCAGCCGACTCTCAAGTCTTCCTCAGTGGCGAAGTCGAGATTCGAAGAGCAGACAACGTCTTGGTCTCGTATCTGGACGGATCACGATGGAGTGAACCATCACAGGTGTTGCCTGCGGTCGACCTTGGCTTCGCCATGGCAGGTCTCCAGCTTCGGCTCCACATTGACTCACGATTGTCGTTGCAACACTCACATACGAGACCCCGCTCGAAAGCAGGCCATGAGCGGTGCACTTACTTCTCATGGTTGCATTCGTGGAAGTCATGTTCCGGACGGTGAAAGTTGGGGAGAGTTTCGATCTGCAAAGTCTCGCCGCCAGATGGCCCGAGCACCTCCAAGGACTTCACCTTGAATGTCTCGGACACAACCAGTATTGTTGACCGAGTCGTCTTTGAAAGCTGGCGAATGCTCTAACAGACGGCCGACATATCTATGGCTATGGGTATCCGCTGTAAAATATGCAAGTACACTGCGCTATACGGCCCTCCTGATGCGATCTCGCAGGCGGAAGGATGCAGCCACGGCAGCCATTCTTCCACGTACATCCCATCAAGCCTGTCCTAGACCAACCCTACCACTCAAGCTGGTAGGCTCTCTCAAATCTCCGCCAAAGCCCGCTCAGCAAGCAAACCATACTTTCTCCCATCAAACCTCTCCCTCGTCCACATCCTCTCCCGTCCGTCTTCGATCCGTCTCCGCTTCTCATTAGTGCTAACCTCGTCCGGCTTGAAAGACCAGTAGCTTTTACTCTGCGGCAAGCGCCTCGGCTTCGCCTCTCCCACCACGCTGTCGTGCTTACTAGACACGCTCTCGGGTCTGCTGCTGTCATGTGTGGAGCCGTCTAGACTCAAGCGAAGTGGTATGCGAGGTGTGCCGTTGGTCGGAGCTGTGGATGAGATTTTACGGGAGGTTTGAATAGTGATTGCGTGGTCTTTTGCCTCATGCAGCAGGCGAAGATGCGTTTGGAGCTGTGTTGCCATGTCCTGGTATGGAGTGCTTTGGGGATGCTTGATCACATCCTCCTGATCTACATCCTCCTGCGGAATTATTTTCTTCTGGACCTCCGGATCTGCAGTCTCTATCGCAGCTGGCTCGTAGCCATAAGTCCTTGTAGGCGTCTCGGGAGAAACCGGCGAAATAGTCGAAGCGTTCGAAGCAGCATCATTCCAATCACTAGGTGAAATAGGTGAGACAGGCTCAGCTTCATAATACTCCTCCTCCCGATCCTCACGAATCGTCTTTGGTACGTGGCCAATGGGGGAACCCCATGCATTCCTCGTGATCAGTTTTGGCAACCTCGACGTACTCGCTGAGCTACCAACGTACGGTAGTCGAGGAGGAACATGAAATGCCTGCGGCGGCACGCCGGGACGAATTGGTCGCAGCAGGCCTTGCGACACGCTTTTGGGCATCTGTGGTCTTGGCGGAATGCGTGGTGGCGAGTCGAGGACGGACATGCGAGATATGTCGCGTTGGAGTCCTTTCTGTGGTACTGCGTCTAGCAAGTACATCCGTGAGGCGTCACGCTGGAGGGTCTTGTGAGGATTCATGATTTGGTCGAAGCTGGAGTGGCTTTCTAGGTCTGAGCTTGTGCTGTCCCGAGACATAGGCTGTGGCGATCGTGAAGGCAGGTCGTTTGTGTCTGTGAAATTTGGCGGAGAGCCAGGAACCGACTCGGCGGAAATCTGTGTGAACGAGGGGCTGAAGTAGTTGTAAGGGTCGTATTCATCATCGTCTGCTGGTGGCGTAGGAGTGGCAATGGCTGTTTGCTCAACGAATGGATCCTCCTTCACAGGCACCTCTGCCCTGCTCGCTGAGCCAGCCGCATCCTCATCGCTGGGCAGCAGCTGCAGTGCAATTCCATAGGAATCTTCAGCCTGACAGAATGCCGGGATCTTCGCTTGCGACTGCTCATGCATCAAACGCGCAAGCTCCTCATGCGCAAGTCCTAGGTAGAAGTTGATGAACGTCTGCTGTAGAGGTTGCTGCAGCACAGAGTCGCCACCGGCTTTAAGCATATCGCGACAGGTCTGAATGCATTGGCGATATCGTTTGTGTAGAAAGAGCGATTTGATGTAGTGGAGCTCCAGCGGGAAGTTGATCGTCGTACGGATCCGTGTCGTGGTATGCGACGGCATCGTGTGTGGTGACTGACTGACTAACAGTCGACGGTAGTGCGATGTTAGTGCCAGACAGATTGGACGTGGTGTAGCTCTTGAGCGACACCAGATTCAAGGTTGTCGAAACCTGCAAGGGACTTCCGAGAAGCAGGAATTGTCAGCCGGCAAAGTGGCGCATGCAAGTAAACTACCCGACACACACTACTTCCCGTGCGACTGCATGAATAGCGAGACGGAGTGAGAGCGTGGCAGGCGAACCAAGCGATAGAAGTAAGAAAGCGAGACTGTGATTGGTGTAGGAGATGATTCGACGATGCAGGGATCAGTAAGGCCATGCAAGCCGCGTGAATGCGGCAGCTGTGAAGATCAAATCAGGAAAGAGCGCTGCTACAAACCGGCACATCGAACGCTCGTTTCGGTTGACAGCTCGGGTGGCCAGTCATGCGTCGTGTATTGGTCTTCTGCCGTACTCTCGGCATCTCTGCGAGTCGGGAGGGGCGTAGGAAGTGTCAGCATCGTGTCGCATGGATTGTGTTTCGCCACCACTGCTTCTTCGCAGAAGTGGACAAAGGGTTTGTTGAGAGACAACACGCAAGCCATCTACACACCCACCACACCACACGGAAGCAGTAGTGAAAGCTAGCCATGCAGCCCTCATGCATGTGTGTATACGGAAGCAGGTTGTCAACGGAATAGTAGAGTAGAGTGAGAGTAGAAGAAGGTTCGGCAGGACTCCTGCCCGCAAAGACTATTTTAGTGGCACTAAATGCGTACATGTACGCATACTCTCCGACGAGAACGATACCGCGTACGACTACGTGAAGACGTGAAGCAACCGTGGAGCCCTAGAGTACAGCGAACGAGTCTGTAGTGTTATAGATCAGAGCGAGGCGACAATCGGAACGGTATAGGCCATTATGGGCGGTGAGGTGGGTATAGAGTCACGTGAGGTCTTGCCTTGCATTACGAACAGAGCTGTTTTTCTACACGCCGAGCCAGCACCCATCTATGCTTTCTTTCGCCACGCTGAGCAGTGAGTCCATATCCTGCATCCTTCGCAGCGGCATTCTTCAAATGCCTATCTACCTTGATTCGCCTTTGGCCCAGAGGCTGTCCCTGCACCAATCCATAGCACAAAACCACCAATGCGCCACCAGATCTAGCATCTATACCACAATCACAAATGAAACCTACGCCTTCTTTTCATCCTCCTTCTTTCCCTCCTCCCTTTCAGGCGCCACGAGCTTAGCATCCTCGTCCTCGCCCGTCGCGGCCGTCTTCTCGCTGATCACGCTCTCCTCTCTCTCCTTGCCCTCTTTCGCCAACGCCTTTTCTTGGGTCGACTCCTCTTCCTTCTCATCGATATCCTCTCGGTCATTGACACTCTGCGCCTCCTTCCCGTTCTGCTGCGCTGCCTCGTTTTCCTCTTTGATCAGCTCTTGTTGCTCCTTGAGGACTTCTAGGCGCTGCTTGTTGGTTGCCGCGCCCTCGGCGTTATGGACCTCGAGCTCAATTTCGTGGAAGAGTTCTTCTGGGATACTGCTCAAGACTGCTTGGAGAGCGTCAAGGAGGGAGTCAAACTCGGTCTCCTTGCCCTGAGCGTACATGAAAGCATTGCTGAGCACGAGTAGCGTACTAGGCACGCCGTACTTCAATCGCAGGTCGAGCCAGAGGTGGAGATCGTCGCGTAATCTTCCCGGACTCATGCCATGTGTTCTCAGTCCTCTCGCTGCACAAGCGGTCTGCAATTCCGGCACGGACAAGCTCTCCACACCCTCGAAGGAGATCGCGCGATCGTCACGCTTGATCTGTCGCATACGATGTCGAACCTGGTAACGAAGCATAGCGTCTGATCCGAATGTGTTTAGGTTCATATATCTGCAAATGCCGACCAATTGTGGCCTGCTCAGGTTGTCCAAAGTAAGATCGTCCTTGAAAAGCTTGCAGACTTTGATAATATCGCTCTTACTCGGTGTCTCACCAGTAGCTCTCAGCTTTCGAAAGAATTCGGTGAATTCCTCTCTCTCCAGATGTGCCGCTGTAATGGGAATACCAGATTCGCGCAAAGTCTGACGAAGGAACGTGGAGACTTCTTTCCTGCTTGACCGTAATCGAGTAGCTTTCTTCTCCTTGCTCTTGGCGTCTTCGTATGTGCTGGGTAGCATGTTGGGGAAGAGCTTGAGGGCGACTGGGAGGAGTAATTCTGCAAAGGGCACGATGACGAAGACTGAGAATGGGACTAAGCGGCCCAAGTCTTGGACTGTGCGGTGCAGTTGCCGATGCTCTCTACGTGTGAGCTCGTATCCAGCGGCCATCTTCAACGCCAGACGACTCGAGATGCGAACTTCGGTTGCCAAAAGTTTTGTGCCGTCCCAGTAATGTTGCGCCTCGTGCTTGACTTTCGCCCAGAGCGTCATCTTTTTCTTCTCCTCCTTCTTGGCCAGCGCTTTCTTTGCTTCCGACTTCTCCGCCTCTGTCTTTTGACTTGCAAGCTCACTCAGTGCACGTTGCTCCTCTGCTTGGGTGGGTGCCTGAGCGGTGGGCTTGGCGACGACGGAGTCGGGATCCGCGATTCTCTTGTCATCGCTCTTGCCAGATTGAGCAGCCTTCTTGTCCTGCTGCTCCTTGGGAAGAGGTCGCTTGGCTTGGTCGAGGTTAAAGCCTGGTGGCGGCTGGCTGTTGTTGCCGCTGTGGTCGGTGGATGTGTCGGTCGCATAGCCTTTGTGTGGGACGAGGATGGCGATAGCAGGTAGTTGTCTCGGAAAACGAACGCCACGCTGGAAGGCGACTCGACTGCCACCACGGAGCAGCAAAGGGGCCAGCTGGGCGGATGCTCGGGTGGAGAGCATCATGATTTGAATGATGGAAGCACTCGGGGTGATATTACAGTATAGAGAAAGTACTACAACATGCGGCGATGGTGGGTGAGAAAGAATAGAAGATGTGGTGATGGAATAGTGATGGAATAGAGATGATCCGCGTTCTGGGTGAAGGCTGACCAAAGCATCCCTCGCACGTGCATCCACACACAAAAGTAGATCAGATCAGTCAGATCAGGTACCGGAGCTTGTTCCTTCCAGAAACTCCCGCGGATCTACAGTAATAATCTGACCTCACCTCATCCGGACCTCCTCTCTCGCAAGACTTCCGACTAGAGCCATGAGGACTTAATAGTTTCAACAGGCATCATCTGCCTTGGTCACGACGCGTCCTATGACATGTCGCTTATGCACTACATGCGTGCTTGCCACGAGACATGGGATGATGAGCTGTAGGGCTGACTACCGCCGTGCTCTTAGAGTTTTGCGGGGAAAGCGGCTTCGGAGTTTGTGGGAATGGCCGAGCAGAAGGAACGTTGGAGGAGGCTAGCCAAGATTAGCTCATTCACCTTCACCTCTCAACCATACCACCATCCGATCTACCTAATCTAACTTGACCTCGCGAGGAAGTCGACGACTCTTCACCCCTTTCCACGCTACCTCCGCCACCATGTACGATAGTAGCTGACCCACTCGACCTCCGCCTCGCGGATACACGACCTCTGCGGGGACCTGCCATTTGCTTATCTTGCTGGCATAAGACCACTTCCTTCCTCTGTACATATATATTATAGCGTCGCATTTCTAGCATATAGTCTGTTGAGTTCTCAGCTCACCATGTCAACCATGCGCCTGCGCAAAGCAGCGCGGATCATCCTGGTCGGCGCACCGGGGGTAGGCAAGGGCACGCAGACCGAGCGCATGCTCAAGCGATTTCCACAGCTTGACAGCATATCGTCCGGAGACCTCCTACGGGACAATGTGCGACAGAAGACTCCGCTTGGTAGGTCATGTGCAACAGGTAACAGGTGACGTTGATGGATTGCTGACGACATCGCGTGACAGGCATGCAAGCCGACTCCATCATGAAAACCGGCGGTCTAGTCCCAGATAGCATGATCCTTCGCCTCATCCGGAACGCCCTGACTACCCGCGGCTGGCTCATACCAAAAGAAGGCGTCCAACCCTTCACCGTCAACACCCTCTCCACCTCCTTCACCCCACCCACCAGCCCGGACGAATTCCTCACCGTCCCACCCCTTCACGCCCAAGCGACCTCAGACCTAGAGTTCGACTTCAGTGACGCCCCAGAAGCTAGCTTCATCTTGGACGGATTCCCCCGCACCACCTCGCAAGCCTTACAGCTTGCCTCATTGATCCCGATCAACATGGTCATCCACATCCACACTCCCACCTCCATCATCCTCGATCGGATATGCAATCGCTGGATCCATCCCAAGAGCGGACGAGTCTACAACACGACCTTCAACGCTCCCAAGGTAGAGGGCAAGGACGACATGACAGGCGAAGAGTTGATCCAGCGCGACGATGATAAGCCCGAAGTGTGGCAGGCGAGGTTGAAGAGTTTTGAGGAGAACAGTGCGCCGTTGTTGAACCACTACGAGGAGAGGGGTGTGCTGTGGAGGGTGGAAGGGAACAGCAGTGATGAGATCACGCCGAAGATATTTGAGGAGTTTGGGAAGCGGTTTGGCGCGTGAGAAGTGATTGGGCACTGTGCATATGCAGCGCGTTTGTGTATATCTTGCGATTAGCCTGGCGTCTGGATGGTGGAATGTGCAGGACCAACAAAGACCACAGGATAGATTTGGCCAGTACATGAGAAGCGACATACTACGCGGAATATCTTTGAGATTGTATCCAGTCGATAGTGTCGCGTTACAAGGATAACGTAGCCATTCAATGGCCACTCAGGCCATATCTCCTGGACGGAGTTAATACCTCTTTCGCCACCCATCATCCTTCACAATGATCCAACCATCCAGGCGCATCTGCTCGACTCGCCTGAAACACTCCATCTCCGGTGGCTCTCCATCCCGTACCGACGTCATCTGCGCTAGCATTCCATCTTCGCCACCGACGCGAGCCTCGGGCCACTTCTCCGGCTCATACGACAGCATGGTCGGCTTGCCATCCGGATGCTGAACCACGAACCCCTCCTTCTCGTGCACAATCGTATCATCCGGCGCATCGAAGAAGTCTTTGATACCCTCTATAATCCACAGGCCTGTGTTCTCGTCACAGATGTCAACCTCTCCAGCTTCCGTCATCCTGCTCAAAGCGCGATTGCGAGGCTCGGGACAAGTGATCAAAAGACTCTTCAAGATCGTCGATTTTTGAACCACCGGATCCCAGCCGTGCTTTTCGGCATTTGCCCTCAACCTCTTCCTCGTCTCGGAACGGAAGAACGCCGCCTCCTGCTCCTGTAATTCCTTGTGGTATGAGAGCAACCGCTCATTCTTCTCGTCTAAGCCACGATTGATGAGGCCATTGATGTGGGCTACGAAGCAGCGAGAGGAATCGATGGCGAAGTATACGCCTACGCAGGTCCGGACGCCGGATGTGCCGACGTGCTGGATTTGAGGACTGTCGTAGGCGGTGTCTGCTTGGGTGTTGGGTAGATTCTGGGTGGGGAGAAGGCCGCCTTTGCCTTCTGGGACGTGGAGGAAGGATATGCGGAGGGGGTTCGGGTTGGGATCGCGGTAGGTGGAGAAGCGCTTGAGGTTGTGGAAGGAGGGTATGCTTGTGGTTGGTCTGAGTTTGGTGGAAAGGAATGCCATCTTCGCGGTAGCACTTTCGATGACGATGGTCAGGTATGAGATCTGGTACTACAGACGATACATATACCTTTCTGTACATCGACAGGCTCGAATTGCTACCTACCGGCCTGTATACATGGTTTGCTGCTCGAAGCACAAACACCCAGAATGCATACCAGTGCAAACGATGTTCGCGGCACAGCAAACCTTTCTGACTAACGGGCCGGCCGCGAACCAGAAGCATGAAGTCGATCGAATGCACTGGCCGACATGAGAGTGGAAAAGGCACCAAGCTCAAGCATAGCGGTCAATACTTGACTATCCGAGTCATGACTTCGACTTCCTGCAACTGACTCCATGCAAAATTACATGGAGTCAGTCCACTGAATCCGACTTGGACTGAATATCGATTCAAGTATTGACCACTATGAGCTCAAGCTTGAGGGGGAACTGGTTCATTCTCTATGTGCTACTTCCACAGCACGAGCCGCCCCCTCACATGAGTGGCGACCAGCTATTGCTGCCTGGATTGAGGTCAAGCGTGATCTCAAACTGCTCCACGTTTGTCTCATCCAGAGGCGCGTACTGTTCCAACTCAGGCGGTGGAAGACCTTCAGTCGCATCATAGGATAGCATCACGGGCTTTCCACCCGGATGTTCAACGACGAACCCAGATTTTTTGTGCCCCTCGACCTCCTTCTCACTCTCAACCCCCAGAAGTACTTCACAGCTTGTACAACCGGCTCACCAGTCCTTCCTTCCATTACCGGACAAGCAATGATCAACGACCGCGCAATATCGGACCTGTGCTCAGCCGGATCCCAAGCATTCCACTTGGCATGCTGCTCCAGCTGGAAGTTGACTCGGCGTCTGTAATACTCCGCCTCGCCTTCGTCCTTGACGTCGCGCTGATATTCGTCTCGCCACAATCTCCAGTTGTGCTGTCGCATGACAAGGGCGTTGATGTGGGCGAAGAAACACCGGTTCGGGCCAAGGGAGAAGTAGACGCCTACGCAGGTGATGAGTTTGTGTGTTCCTACGCGGCGAACGAGTCGTGGATTGTCATGCTCGTGTTTCTTGGGATTGGAGCTCTTTGGACTGAAGGTCAGTGCGGCTCCTTTTCCTTCTGGCATGTTCCTGAATGGTGTCAGCATTGGATCGTACGCAGGTAGTGCTGGGGGCTTTGCTCGTTTGGAGAGTCTGGAGAGCATCGATTGGGCTTACTGAGCTGGTTCGAATGTCGTCCTGCTTCAGTGAGCCTTGCTGGGCGACGCCTTCGGTCGTCTTATACCTATTGTCCATGCGAGCTTCCATTGTGTACGGTTTACCTGCATCACAGCCCTCCGTTTGCTCTTGGTCTGAAGTTCGAACATAGGGAGGCCTCGCCTGATAATGAGATTCGTGGATTCAAGGTCACCAATAAACTTGTTCGGGAAGAAGGAGTAATGTACCGCAGCGTTTGCCATCAGCCACAGAGGCGGGTTGCTTCTGTGCAGCCGCAATATGTGGCAATGTCGTCGCTGCTGGAGAATGTGTCCAGTGTCGGGAAGAATCCATAGCTGCTTCTTGCCAGAATAAGTGGTTCTTCATATTCACAAGTCAAGATGCAGCGCTCAGTACGAAAGCAATGCCCAACAGACACACCGTCTGGTCATCGCGTGACCATCGCCGGTGCATGTTGTGCGCTGCCACAGAGAATGATGGTAATGAGGAGCGCGATATAGTGGGCCAAATATACTGTCTTCAAACGGGAAGCAAAGCAGAGGAGATTGGATCGTAATAGCCCGTAGATGGGAGGTGTAGAGACTCGTTGTCGCTGGGGCGTTGTGCGAGATGCAAGTTGATGTTCGACCTTCGATGCTCATCATGGACCCAAACAACGCAACAGACTCAGTCAGACCAGTCTTGTATCGCACTAGTCCTCTTCAGGACAACCAGTTTCGCTCGATATAGGGCTGCCTCGCCCTGAGCCACTGTCGAGGCTCCCGTGCGGCAGAACAATGTCGATCATCAACCGATATGGGTTCGTCATGAAGACACAACTGTGCGTGCTCCATGCAATGTTCCAATGCGCCCAAGAGAGAGTCCGTGCTCAGCAGCTCAACACGAAGCCGAGCACGTGACCATCGGTCTAGTCCGTTCATGCATGGCCAGGTCGACCATTCTTTCATCCTCTAGTCGATACAGCCTGCAGATGTAGTATAATAAGGTGGAGTACCCGGCGATTATGCATGCCGATAGGCGCCCATATTCTTGGCTCGAGGCCTTTGCTGTAGCAGGAACGGCCCGAAAAACATTGCCCTCCTCACCAGCCTCCTAGATTAACGTTGACTAGTGTTCAGATCATCGCCAGGAGCCGGCTTCGGGAGCCTGGACGACTTGCTTCTCTACCAGCATGTCCTTCGATCATGTCTACCTCCACTCAGGCGCTGCTACCACATCGACCCTGCAGCCTACATTCCGTCTGCTCCACACACTAGCAACACGGGAGTCCTGCATGGTCAAGCCAGAAATTCCCCACCTCTATCATAGGGCACCAGCCTGTCTTGATACGGAGGCCTACTTGTTTCGGTCATGCACTGTCTGCCACGCTTGTGGCATCACCTTGGCATGCTGGCTTCTGATGCTCCCTGCCCAATGAGCGTCATCCCCGATCATGACAGCTTACAGAGCATTGCTTCTAGGCAGACTGCCTCCACGGGCTGGGCGGTAATGTTGCATCGTTGGATGTGGCTATTGGTTCCACTGTACGCTAGACCGAATCGCTTAGTCGATAATGTATGGACCATGCGGCTCAATGCACCATCCTACTTGAGGGACATTCAGCTCTGTGCCTCCGGGGATCTTGCGTCTCAATACCATTTGGCTTCACGGGTCAGCATTGGCGGCCGCTGCTGAACATTGTTTTTCTGCCAGGCTACAAAAGCTCTTGACCTCCCGGCCCCATACTCGAAGCAATGCATACTGGCTTCTTTCGAGCCCGACGTGTTACTTCCACTTTCCACTGAGACGACGAACCGCGCGCAGAAGGTTGATTTATGCTGAAGTAAGATCCTCGTCATGATTCAGCACCCGGGACACGAGAAAGCACCCCCGATCATAGAAAGACAGCAATGGAGAAACACAATCCATCAGTCCACGATCCCAGCGAGCCACAACCATATCGATATGTTGCAGCAGGAGATCCTAAGTCCAGCGACTTATGATCCTTTCATGGACTCGGTATCAGTATGCCGGTCTCGTGATGATACCATGGTGTTGAGTCGCTGACGAGAGGAGATAGAATGGTTCGTGCTGGACTCCGGCACATGATGCTCACATAGTGCCATTTATTGTATCAGATGACGCTCACTGCTTTCGAGGCGAGGCCCGAAGCGGTGATCACTGCTTCTCCGGGACGTTGACTCCCTTTGACTCACAGATCAAGCCCAGTATGGCTGCACCCAACAGTACCGCAGATTTTGGGGACATGATACCAAGAGCTGGGATGGATCGCAAGGACAGGAATCGCACAGCGTAAGTCGGGTGCCTGGGATACACAAGAATCTTGCATTGACTGTCGTTCAGGCAACGAAATTTCCGTCAACGTCAAGTCCAGTTCGTACAGGACATGGAAGATGGGATTGGTTTGCTGCAAAACAAGCGCTCTCTCCTGCATGCCAACAACGAGCTTCTCCGAAGCCAGCTCGACAATTTGAAGATCGAGAATGAGGTCTTGCAAGCAGCAGTGGCCAAGCCGACGAGTATTTTCATATTTCCACAGCCAGTATCGACGTCCAGTCCGGAAAGTGATACGAGTACAGCGGAATACTTGCAGTCGTCTAGACGAGCTTTCGTACCATTAATCACTCCGAAGACATCAAGAGATGTCAAGCATAATCACTGTAGGCAGCCCGTTCCGAGGCGTGCTCACACCAAGAGTAAAACCGGCTGCAAGACTTGTAAGCTGCGCAAGGTCAAAGTGAGTATGATAAGCATGATGACATGATAGCCTCCTGCTGATGCAAGTACAGTGCGATGAAACGACGCCACTGTGCAACAATTGCGCCAGGCACTTCACCAATCTCAGGACGTGCGACTTCGATGAGCTGGACCATACATTTGTTGATCTTCCCGCGAATAATCTGGTGGATAAGCAAAATCGCCAGCAGTTGTCCAAGAGGCCTTTGTCGGTCGAAGAGGTCTGGCACTTATTGCAGTCCCATCCGAGATATCTGCTAGACAGGATTGATCTCGACAGATTTGCTCAAGACCTGCGAGCGTTGGTGTTGTCCGAAGACAAAGCTCTGTCGTTCGATGGAGATCAGGTACTGGCTTTGATTTAGGCTGTCAGCGTGGACTAGGACGAACAGCATGATGCATGCCATCGAGTGGTTCATGCCACTGTTTAGAAGCACTTCCTGGTCTGCTTCTTGAGTTTTTATTTGCGTCGTGAGGGCCATGTAGAATAGCAGCTGGTATATCCCGAGCCTCTTAGCACTTTGCACTGTCAAAGAACGCAGGCCGGGCATTCACACGGTTCGTGGGTGAGCTTTGTACCTCAAGTCCATCTTGGGTCTGCAAAAGGAATCCCACAGGCTCTATAAGTCTGGCAACGTACATCTACAGATCTCCCCCCGCTCTGCTTTGTGCGAGGTCGATGCCCAGCCACGCTGCGGTCGTTACCTTCGTTGCCAGCCAATTATGTTTATTCACCACAAATAGATCACTGATTTCAGATTCCTCCTGCACGAAGAGCGTCCTTCGAAAGGAAGCTAACAGCGACCGCTCGAAACGAATTGGGTGATCCTTAGGAAGACTGCCCTGCCTGAGTCTTATCGAATTGTGGTGCAAGTCGTCGAACACATGGCAATTGATCAGGTAGTTGCTCTCGAGGTGGGCCTCGACGCGCAAAGTGTTCTCTAGGAATCTTGCATATAGCAATGGATCTTCCTTTTCCCGAGGCAGGCACATAATTGACCAGTTGGAAGGTTGGACGGAGCCGTGAGAAGTGACCATTAATGGAATGTGCGTCGCCGCAGCTCGTCCCTGCTCGATGATGCTCGTGAAAGTTTGTAGGTCGTTGAAATCTTCTCCATACACTTGGCGAAACAGCCTCGCATTTGCGGGATTGTCCACCATGGTCGTCGACCACAGCACCGATATATGCTCCGTCTCGAGCGGTGCAATCTCTACACTTGGTCCAGAAAATCCCAGCCTCTTGGCATCGAGCGAGAGCGGTGATATGTGACCATCGTTCGAAGCCAGAGGTGCATTTACTGCCTCTCGAAAGGATGAGTCTGACATGGTGTGGCGATATGATGTTCAAAGCAAAGGTGGGAGTCGTGATGCGCTAAGGGTGAACGAGCTCGGCCGAAAGCACAGGCAAGCGATAATGCGGCTTATCGATTTCCATGCGGCTGCTAAAGCTAGCGTATTCGGTCACTTCTAGGAAGGATTTTCGAACAATCACCACCCTCAAACTCAGTCGCTTTAGGGCATGCACACGAGCAAAGCAATAGTGTTTGGTCTACCCTGTCGAGTCGTGTAGTGCATCACCATGCCCGCCGCAACCTGCCTCTGCGGAGCCTGTTGCTTTGAGATCGATAGTATTACCGGCACAGGCATCTGCCATTGCACGAATTGTCGCAAGGTCACCGGGTCGTGCTTCAGTCTCAACATTATCGTCAACGAATCTGCGATGTATCTCACCTCAGGCTCGCCGAAGTCAATTGATGTCTCTGGGGACACTGGCGTGACATCCACCCTGCGCTTCTGCGGTGACTGCGGCTCACCGTTGTGGTTCGAGTATCCGCCTCGACCAGACCTTCGAGTTGTGAAAGCTGGGCTGCTGGACGATGAAAAGACGTTTCAGAGCTTGACGCCAATGGTCGAGCAGTTCACGAAGAGGAGGCCACAATGGTTATGTGCTGCTACTGGGGCATCGCAATTTGAAGGCCAGCAAGGCTCAGAAGGGACGGGTGAGGAGCTCACGGACGTCATGCTGCAGCAGAGATGATGCTTGCTCGTGGAATGATCTTGTGCGAAATGCATATCTTCATACTCTCAGCTTCATGAGGCAAGCCTGCTTTCAACAGTTCGCTTGAAACATTGAAACTCATCTTCGCTCAACGAGTGCGACTTCCGATGTGGTCCCGCCATGGTCAGAATCAATCATGAGAACAATGTTTTTGGGCCGAATCACTAAGAGAGGAAACAAGGCAATTCCCTCGGCGATAGCTATAGCTCATCGCTGTAAGGACGTCGGATTCGTAGCGCGGCAACGATAGTCAATCAACGGGACTGTGTATGGCGGTAGCATTTGTCGGATCGCTTGTATGATTAAGCGCAACGTTGCAGCATATGTCCCACGGCATGCTCGAGCGGTGGCACAAGCCTTGATAGGAAGCTAAAGCGTTAGATAGAAGGGCCAAGCAGCTTAGGTAACACCCGTGTCGGCACTCCTAACCAATATGAGGCCTAGGAGGCAACTAAACATTAATAGGATCCTCCCTAAATCCGGTAAGGCGCGAAGCTATTACGGTCTAGATTTTAGTAGGATCCTATTTAGTAGGATCCGTACTTCTAGAACTACCTATAGACGCCGTTCTATACGCTAAAATAGGATATATCTTACTTGTAGTACTCGATTATCTATCCGGTATTATTTCTAGTACGTCTAGATAGTATTTCGTAGTACTAGGGTTAGGGTATAGGTGTACGCTAGTAGTCGTCGGACGCGCGAGGGCGTACGGATATACGCCCGTACGTATAGAAGCGCGGAGTAAAGTATAGCCGCCTCCGCGAAGTTCGGCTACTCCCGAAGACTACTACGGTAGTAGTCTTTAACTCTACTTACCTTAACCCTTTAACTCTACTTACCTTAGCCCTCCCTACCCTCTATAAGCTATATACGGCATATATAGCGTTAGGGTATTGTTATGCACCTGCGGTATAAGGGGGTTAGAGCTCGTTAGACGAGTAAGTTCTAAGCGATAGGTCGGGTAAGTAACTACTCTAAGGTTTAACCTTTCGGCGGGTTAGTAACTTAGGTTAAATACGAACTACCTATATAAGAAATGTCTATTCTATATATATAGGAGATTCGTATATAGTTACGATCACCTAGCGGTAATCGTAAGCACTCTTCCTTACGGTTACTCGAGAGTAAGGGTAAGTAGGCTACTTATATAAGGGTCTAGGTAAGCGGTGTTACGTAACCCTCTTATAGCCGCCCCTATAGACCTAGCTTATTAGCTCCCTAAACTTAATTAGTTAGTCTGCTTATTGCGGACCTAATGTCCGTAACATTATCCCGCTCTATAGCTGTTATATCCTTATAACCGAGTATTAGTCGTTGTTCCGGCGTAGGCGTCTAATATAGGCCTAGCGTATGTTGGAGTCTCCTAGTATTTAGTGTCGCGGGGTCCCGCCTATAGATGCGTTTCGTTATTCGATAGCTTCCTCTAGCAAACAATCTCGACTCGTTCGTTTCGTAAGAATAACCCGGAATCCCTTCGTATCGGAAATACGCTATAATCGCTATACTAAATACGATCGTTCCGAGTATGTCTTTATCGCCGACTTTTCCTTAATATCGTATGCAAACTATATACGGCTTAGTCGTCTCTATATAACGTCCTCGGTAGATAGGCTAGATAAGGTCGTAGACGACCTTACTTCGAAGATAGCGACCGATAAGGCGAAGGTCGTAGAGAAGATAGAGGAGATGTTGCAGCTAATAGAGAAGCTTTAAGAGGTGCGGAATCGTATAGCCCGGAATAAGGTAGTCTAGAAGCAGAACAACCGTCGTCTTAACGAGTAGTTAAGGTATATAGTTAAGAATATACCTTCTTCTAATAAGAACTTTAGCTTCTCGTAGGCGGTTACTCTTAGTCGATCCCTCGAGGGCGTCGGCTTAGCTAATCCCTTCGAGTAGGACTTCGAGCCCGAGTTTGCTAGTAAAATTGTCGTAGGAGGTCCTAGTAATTCTTAAGGTAAGTTCTTAGTTCCTACGTATTATCTTCGTTAGGGTATCCTTTCTATTTAACTAGGTATTTCTAACCTCTTTTCTCTAGGATTTCTTCTACTTCCTATTCCTAGTTTTCTTAGGACTTATAGTAGAATATCGTTTAAAGCGCGGTATCTAGGTGCGCTAGTTCGAGGAGGGAAACGTAGAATATAGGGTGCACCTTAGCATCCCTAGGTAGTTCGAGTCGGTAGTTAAGTTCGCCTCTTTTCTTAGCGATTAGAAACGGTCCGACCTTTATATAATCTAGTTTCTTTGTTCCTCTCTTAGTTTTTAGGTTCTTCGTTAGGAGATATACCTTATCCCCTGTTTTTAGCTAAGGTGCCGTTTTTAAGGTCTTAAATCTCGTCCTTATAAGTGTTCGCTAAGATTTAGTAATATTTTGTCGTAGTTTGCTGTAGACATCTTTTAGTTTAGAGGCTTTAACTAAAGCTTCTTTAGATGCTAGTCCTTCGCGTAGTTCTATAAATAGGTTTAGGTCCTTGCCGTAGTTAGCGTAGAATAGCGATTCGCTAGTCGTCTCGGAGGCATTATTGTTAAGTGCAACCTAGGCTATCGGTAGCTTTTCTACCTAGTTGTTTTAGGCTAGGTTTATATAGTGCCTAAGGTATAGCTCCAGATTTTGGTTTATTCTCTCGGTTTAACCGTCTGTTTCCGGGTAGAATGCTATAGATAGCTTATATTTAAGTCCAATTGCTGCGACAAGTGTTTTCTAGTAGTTCGATATAAACTTAGTGTCTCTATCGGTAATAAAAACCTTTGGTATCCCGTAGTAGCGTATAAGGCGATCGAGTATAAGGTAGCCTAACTACGGGGCCGTAATCGTCTTACTATAGGGTATAAAGTATATATACTTAGTTAGCCTATCGACTATAACTAGGATACCGTCGTAGTATACTCCTATTACTAGGTTAGGTAACTTAGGAAGATTAGTTATAAAGTCTATTATAACTTCTTCCTATAGTTTATCGGGTAGTTCCCGAAATTATAGGTTACTATACTTCGCGTAGCGCGAAGATTTGTTCTTATTATAACTAATATACTTCTTAATATATTCTAAGACTTTTTGTCTTATGTTTAGGAAGGCGAAGTTCCGTCGAATGTATTCTATCGTTCGAGTAATACCTAGGTAACCGTAGTCTTCTCTATTATAGTAATCTCGTATATAGTCGTTCTCCTTAAGTAGCGGTACCTTGTACTTACTATACTCGACTAGGAATTCTTCGTCGTCGTCCCGTAGAACCCAAAGAGTTAAGTTAAACTCTTAAGTCTTTATACTAAGGCTTCCGTCCTTGTTAACCTTTAGCACCTGCTTTA